ACACACACACACGCATCCACACACACACACGCATCCACACACACACACGCATCCACACACACACACGCATCCACACACACACACGCATCCACACATACACGCAAACGACGTCGTTGAAGAGCAGTACTATCAATGGCCGAGGCAATCAAGAAGCTTACGCCTCGTGAGTTGGAGCTGGCTGGGATTGCGTGGCAGTGTCTTCAGGGTGATGCTAAGGTTTGTTGTTTGTTTCTTTATTTTTTATAAATTCTTTCTCTGGGTCTTCGCGAGATCTCGTGTACACATGCATGGACATGCAAACATGCATGTCTTTGCTTTGTGCTGCACACGCTGCTTACACTTACACATCCATCCTCCCATCCTCCCATCCTCCCATCCTCCCATCCTCCCATCCCTTCATCCTCCCATCCATCCTCCCATCCATCCTCCCATCCTCTCCCATCCCTTCATCCCCCAAACGCTCATAGCACCACCCCAAACCCCCCACCTCCCTCACCCAACCAAACCCAAAACTAACACCCTCCTCCTCACCCAAGCTCGACTTCCAAAAATTCGCCACCCTCGCAGGCTTCAAGAACCCCTCCTCCGCATCCGCCTGCTGGGGCCCCGTCAAGAAGAAACTCCTCGGCACCAGCTGCACCACCAATACAACAACTACAACCAACACGTCCAAGAAACCCGCTGCTGCTGCACGAGTATCCAAGGCAAAGGGTCCTACAGCGGCTAGTGCCAAGGGAAAGGGAACTGGAACTGGAACTGGGAAGAAGGGCTTCGCGAGCGCGGTCGTGGAGGATGATTCGGAGGGGGATGTTGGGGGGTCTGATTCTGGTGGTGCTGGTGGTGGTGCTGGTGGCAAGAAGCGCAAGGCATCGTCTGGATTGGGGGTGAAGGGGAAGGTTGTTGTTGATCTTGACGGTGAGGAAGATCTTGAAAATGACGGGAATGAGGGGAATGGGAATTGGGGGTGCAAGAAGGAGGTGGAGGGGGTTAAGAGGGAGGGGGGTGGTGGTGGTGGTAGGAAGCGGGTTAAGAAGGAGGTTGTGGATAGTGATGATGGTGATGGTGGTGTTGGGGATAATGACTATGGGGTTGTTAGCGGTGGTGGTCGTGGCGCTGGGGGTGCTGGAGGTGCGTTTTTGGAGTTTCCGGAGTATGAGGGTGTGTTTGGTGGGGCTGGAGATGGGGATGAGGAGTGCTGAGTTTGGATTGTGCTGCATTTGGCCAAAGCCGAGATGAACAGCATTTGGAAATGGGTCATCTAGTCGCAACGCTGGTCACGGTGTCCATGGAATCCATGGAAGAAGTCACTAGGAGATGCGCCGGTCTCTCTCTCCGGGCCAACAAAAGAGCTTATTAGCAATGCCAACACAGGAAATTCTTTTCTATCGATATTCATCACAAAGAATCGCATGGCTGGCGCAGAGTCACAGGCAGTGCCTGTGGTTATTAGGTCGCGCACGGCACAGGTTAGCTGTGATATAGTATGCAAGGCATTGGGAGGAACAGGTGCAGGAATGAGATGCATGTATGCTAGTATGGACGTGGTGCTTGTGGTGGTGCAGATAAGAAAGGAAACGCAAATCAATGCATGCATACGATTCTATCATGCTGATTCAGAAGTCCAGCGTCTATCTTCCCTCCTCTGCCTCGCTCTGATTTCATCATGAATCAGATTAAGAATGACGATGATAGATCGATATGGACTTCACATTTTACTAAAAGCCCATCATCCCATACATATTCCCAAGACTTTCAAAAAAAAAAAAACAGTTCTGTAAGAAGTTTCGACTTGCGGCCGGTCGAGCAGGCATGTACGAGTATGACAGCCGGCTTTTCTCGGTGATCTTCCTCGCTTGACATGGGTGGGTCTTTTGATTTGTTTCCTGTATATAACATGCGATCCTGTGTGTGTGTGTGTGTGTGTGTGTGTGTGTGTGTGTGTGTGTTTCAGAATTTGGACTTTTCCTGTTATGCCAAGTGATGTACCGAACGGTTTGGGGCAGTATTGGATCGGTTGCACGGGTAGGAAAGTGGGAATCTGTCAGTCAGTCAGTCAGTCAGTCAGTCAGTCAGTCAGTGGAAACATCTTTCGGTATCATTGGACAATAAAACTGAGGAAGACTATCATGTGTCGTCCACTACGTTCCAACGTTGCCACGATGTTCATTTTCGGCGCGCCGGTTGTATATTACTGCTTAGCCGCGAGTAATGTGCTCAAAGACCTTCATCCCCAATGACTTATACAACTCCACTAGATGTTCATCACTAGCACAATACCGCATGTGGACCCTCGATCCAATGCAGCCAGTATATGTATACATCCTATCCCCCACCACCAAACATCCACAGTAGCTCTTCTCCACCGACTAATATGCTCCAAAAGCCCCATCCAGCACTAGCAAACTTCAGTCACCGGGCCTGTATCCCCCGTTGTCGACAATCTTTATTCATACTCTGCCGCTCCACACAAACACGGCATCGTGGATGGATGACGGCTGTCCAGCTTCCAATGTACATACTATAGTTTCATTCCAGCCCTCTATCCCGAACGCCGGATGCAATCGGCATGGATTCTGGGCCCTTTGCACACCTTGCCTGTGCAGGACCAGCCCCATCGTCGACTGCCAGAGTTGGACGAATACACTAATCAGACCCTACGTACAATCAAACCAGACGCACGTGTTCTACATGTTATACACTCGCGGCAGCCCCCCCTGCGCGGGGACCGGGTAGATCGAGCGATTCCACGGGAGATGTCAGCGGCTGAAAGATCCATCTTCTTTGGGGGGGCGCTGGGGCTGCACGTCATGACGGACGGGCACGCGAACGCCTCGCGGTGGCTGCTAGGTTTGTATCGCATCGAAGATGGATGGGGTTGGTATGTATTATGTACTGTGATGTCGTATGAACAGGTCAAGGTCTAGATGGACTGTTTTCGGTCATACGACCCCAACAACCCGGGATCTAAGGGATAGATGTCGTGTGGCTGGAGACAGGTTAGCTTGGAATGTTTAGAGAGAGAGGAGAGACGAGATTGGGGCTTGGTTTTGAGATTAGGTTGCTGCTTGGCTGGTATGTATGTACAATCGTGGCGAGCAGTAGTAATGTGGTGTTGACAGTGGAAACTGTGATATCCGTGATTGTGATTGGGTGGATGGTAGTAGTTGAGTGGGTTCGAGAGTGAGGCGTGCTGGCGTTGTGATGGCTGATGGCTGACTCGAGTGTGAAGAATGACAGCATTGTGGACATGGATGGTGGGGGCAGGATGAGGATCCATGGCGCAGGTGGGTTGGGTGGAGAGGATTGGGCAGTGGCAGTTGACGAAAGCACAGCACACATACATCGGCATTACTTCTCGTACCATGTAATTACCATGTATCTTGTTCCTTGTGTTATATAGAATGTACAACTGGAGTATGTATCAGGCATCATCGAACATGTATCTTGGACTTTTATGTGCGTTCCGTCGTTCGTCTCGTGCAGCTCGTCTAATGCAGGCGTATGCAGCTGTGACTCGACATCGTTCTGGGTTTGGGCATCATCCACTCACTGTCTTCTGTTGCTACAATCTACAGTATCTGATATATATGTAACACCGCTACGATGTAGGTCCAATATATCGGCGGTGCTAGTCTTTGTCTCGATTTTGAACGGCATCTGAGGCCACTACCTGTCTGCCGCGATAAACGCACAGGGCGACAGGCCAGCAAAAACATCGTCACACATATGATCCTGGCTCAGCCCTAGGTCGATTTGTGCCTTTCTCGCGGCTAATATACTTCCGGACCATAAGAGCTGTGGCCTATTCACAGGCCACTACTGCCGATTCTCCATCGTGGGGCATTCAACTCACTGGTCTATTATGCACGTCTATACAAACGAGGCATAGTCTTGTTGCCTTGGCTTTCGTATCCTCCTTCATTGGCACTGTCAGCCTGAATGCATCTTCCTGACTGTGCGCCAATGGGCTTTCCAAATGTTGAGCTCTCTTCACAAGATTTCCCACTAGATGGTGACGCTGTTCGGCTTTTCTTGACACTTGACAGCTATAGTCCCTGCTACCGAAAGTGTGGTCGTGATAGGTCGGGGCACGTCGCTCCCGTTTCCGTGAGCGACGGCAGGATTGACATGCATTGAGCTTGGCTGAAGAACTCAGAGCCTCTCCACCCGCAAAGACAACTTTTCCATTCACCATCATATGCGAACGTATCCTCTTACCTTTTTTTTGCTCGGATAGCTCCCGCGGCTCGCATAAAGAAGCCTATTCTTGTCCTTCCACATCGGTCGAATGGTCCAAAAAGAGAGGCTTGAAGGTTCCGAGAGCCCGGACTACGGAGCTCTTACATATCCATGCCGCTGCAGCTAGGCACAGCTGCATTTGTGTGTTGATCTGCTGTCCCTGCCATTGAGGCCTTAATTACTTGGCCCAATCAACACCCTGCAACCGTGCTAGTTTCTTGTCGCGATCTGTCCGTATGCCTCATAAAGGTAAGTCGTCGCTCTTCCTCGCCGACAACAACTGCGTCCGAGATCTTCTATTATGCTGGCCTAATTGTACTTCGGTATGGTGGCAGAACATTACTTACGAACCATCGCACCCGGTAGCTGGCTCTGCTTGATTGTAAGCTCATTGAGTGTTCTGCAATCTCCTGGCTGACGTGTCTAGAGAAATCACAGCGGTCATTACACAGCAATCAAGGAGCTGGATCGTAGACAGTCCCTGGGCATTTGTACGAAGATTGCCACAGTTTTGAAGTGACATACTCGAGCGCTCAAGGTCAGTCAAGTCCCCAATACCTGTGTGTCATCAGCTCGGCGGTGCTGATGGACGGCTTAATAATGTGCATATCCGCAGGACTGGATGAGTTCTCCTTTCTTTTGCCGGTCTGATCGGAGGAGACTCAGACCTGGTAATGAGAGCTCAAAGCCTTGTGCGAGTCGACTGGTCAAATCTGCCCAAGTTCCGGCAATGACACAAGTGGAAGATTTTTGTCTCTGTTTTGATCCGAAGAAAGATTTTATAAGCAGATGGCTGCTGATTCGCAAAGTTTGCGAGGACTGCGTCTGGCAAGATACGAGAGAGCTTTGTGAGCAGATGCGAGCTTTGAGGGCTGTGTCACTCAAGCCTGTGTTTGACAGTGTAGAGAGATGCCTCTCCGCTACGAAGGAACGGCTAGACGCAAACTTAGCTCAACAGCTTCTGCATTTCCTGGAATCAGCCGCAGATGTGCTCGACATGATGGACGTGGGTCAAAATATGATACGACGGCAAAAGGCGTATCTCAGCTTGTGAGTTAATTTTCGGTCAAATTTAAGATGCCTTCATACCCCAAGTCGTGGATACTTCGCTTCGGTAGCATGGTATCGGAGAGCTGATATGCAGGCGCTTCTAGGTTGGTTGATATTGCAACGGAACGTGATATTGAGATAGCAGGGCATCTTGGAGAAATGTTTGATGATGCGGATACTGAGCATGCGTTTTGTGCATGGTTAAACCTGCAGAGGGGTGCGATGTCTAGTTTGAAAGACAACGTGCAGCGTAGAACGAACCTAAAAATCGTAATATAATCAACAGTATCTGTGCACTTAGCTCTAGGAATGGGTAATTGTGTATGTGACGCTGAACGTTCTCAGCGGTTGTCAATCGTGACCATGACAACGTGATATATTGATCGAAATGATCAAGGGAAAGGTGTGTTTGTCCCAATGACGTCGGTGAGTGTTTAGGCAAAGCCAGGCTGCCAATTGGAAGGGTCTGCTGCTGGGAATTTCGTTGCTAGTCCTCTCCTTGAAGGCCTCAAGGCCCGTGCTAGCATGAGGGCGACGTGTGTGACCCTGAGAGGCGCAGACCAAAGCTCACATATCTTTACCCGTTTCACCACACTCGCTACCTACTTCTTTCATAGCTGACACCCTGACAACGAGGTGTAGAAGGTACCTATGAGCAGGATACAGCCGTTGGATTTCGAGCTCATATAGGTCTGTCGCAGAAGGCTTTACAGCCTTGTGGAGTTGCTGACATGCGGGAAACAGAATATCGAAGCCATATCTTTCCGTCCTGCTAGCCCAAGCATATCGCAAAGGAGGTTCTGGTGACGTCCATGTCTATGTCATCCAAGGATAAACAAGAGGCTAGCAATGATGAGTGGTATGCAGAAGCTGAGGCTGTGGGCGAAGGGTTGGAAGCTTCAAAGCGGGACACCTTATACCACGATATCAAGGTCTTGAAGAGTGATTTGTCGAATCATAGTAAGACTGTCGCAGAGAAGTACAAGGAGCTGGAGAGACTGGCGCTACAGATCTCTCAGAGCATCGAGAATACCAAATCCTCGCCAGGCGACTCGAACATGCGGAAGCCAGCCACGACTCGAGACGATACTCGTGTCGGTGGAGGTGGGACCGGGAGTTCAGGGTGAGCACACAGTGCCGATTTATCCAGTGCGACAACAGGAACAAAAGCGCATGCAGTGATCTGGCGACTTTGGTCTTGAGAGATGTGGTAGAGATGTAGAGACTGAAGGTGGTTGAAAGCTGGAGGGACATAACTGGGGGAAGGCACGTGACCGTCGGAAGTTATGCGCCATGCGGAAGGGAAATTAGAGGTTTCCTGTTTGAGCATCACGTCCTTCTGCCAAGGCACATGGAGTGGCCAGCCATATGCCCGTATAGTCAATCTCCACTTCGCTAGACAATAGTAACACCTAGTGTGTAGACTGAACAACGGAGGACGCAGAGGTGAATGCTCGAATGATAGATAGGACATGTTCGACTCTTCTCGCGCGATCAATCTAGGAGCCTCGGCGCGAGTAGGTGATTGAGTAAAAGGGGGGCCTGTCATGTATACAGTGGTCGAATCTACACCTGTTTCCTTCTCATTCCTCAGGCGCAGTACTAAGTATAATTAGACAGTCAACTGAGCTTAGCCTGGTTTGATGAAGCTGAGTACAGTACATCTTAAATTTAGCTGGAGTACACACACCGAATTATACCTTGAGACTATGCCCACATAGTACACATACACACATAGGGTGGCTGTTTGAGGTGGTTCCGTAACAGCCTTGGTAGACTCCACTATGGACAACCCGATTGGCAGCATAACGTTGTAAGAATTACTACAAGTCTACAACCCTGGTCGTCCAAAAAGAAGCAACCAAGTTTGACATGTCCGATACTTCTTCCGCCAGCCTACTGTCGCATTCCGGACCGACGATCTGGCGAGACTTTGCCAGATGTCTGGTATACTACTATCATGTCTGGATTATGGACGACGAGATGATGATGCGGGCAACGGATGTGCTCTGGTGTTTAGGCTGCCACGTCGCTCGGATGCAGGGCGTAACACAGCCAGGAATCTAGTCATCTATTCATCACTCATCACTCGTCACTCGTCACTCGTCACTCGTCACTCATCACTCATCAGCATCATCATCATCATCATCAGCATCAGTGCATTCTCCCATGGGGCTGTCGTCCAGAGATTGCCGTTGAGTCTGCATCAAGGCATATCGATTGCGCGGGTGACGATAGGACAGACGGCACTACGGGAGATTTTGTATTTCTTCCGATGGTCGGATGCATTGATAAAGCGTATTGTGAGATGAGAAATCCAGACTGAATATTCTAGCGCGTGGAGAGTCGAGCCGAGAGACCTTGGATGTTGTAGTAAGCTGTGTAATCGGTCGGTTAGGCGCCATGGTGTTGGGTCTTACTGTACCTTACCTACGCCGTATGCCGCGATGCGACAACGTGGGGCGAAACAAAGAGTGTCTCGTCTCGCTCGACATGGTTTCTTGCCAGCGGACATCCGACAATTAATTAGCACAAAGGAAGGTGGATAATACATAGTACAATGTATGGTGACAAGTGACATCCAGAAAACGTGGGACTGGCGTAGGTCCGGACAGTGTTGTGAATGGATAGGGGTACCTTCACACACACACCAACACACCACAGGAGTCACCAGTATTAATGTTAATTAGTTAGGACCTATGGTCATATGGATGGATGTACTGTACAGGTGTACCTAGGTACTGGCTAGCTGACTAGCTGACTGGAGAAGGACTAGTCAGGTACCAGGAAATGGCAGAAGAGCAAAAAGAGGAATGAGGATAAGGGTGTAGGGACGTGGGAGTGGACTGAGCGCAGTGTTGCTGCTCTGTGCTGGCGGCTCCCAAGGTTTTGTGGCGGGCGGGTTTGGGCGTAGAGGAGGCACTAAAGTTGCGCTTGGCAGGGGATAATCTCGCCTGGACTGGGGGGTCTCGGGGGGTCAACAGGGGGGCAATGCAGTGCTATTCAGCGCGCGCGCACTGATTGATTGGCCGCGATTGGCAGATCGGCCCTTGCGCTTCGAAATTGCCCTAAGGCCCTTTTTAACTGCCCGCGCTCTCGCTCCTTCAATATCTTCTCCCCTGCCCTCTCTCTCTCACTCTTCTTCCTCGACTCACTTGCTCCTCTCCGCACATCCTCCTCCCAAGTCGTTCTTTTCATCCCATCTAAATCGTCGTCACTCTTTCCGGCGTATTTACCATTCACTCCAGTCTCTCATTACCATATTTGCCCCGAGCATCTATATCCCTTGATACCACTCTTCGCTTCCCGCAAACTAACCTCGCACATCTCTACCAATAATCAAAAATGACTTACTCCTCCACTGCCACTGCCATTCTGGCTGCCCTGAGCGTATCTGGCGTATTTGCAAAGCCCACTGCTCACCGTCACTTCCATCGTCATGCCGACAAGTACGTAAAATGCTATCCTTGACGACCAGACCAAATCTACATTCAACAATACTAACGCTACACCACAGGGACTCATACGGTCTCGATGCCGACGGCTGGAAGCACCTACTTGACTGGACTAAGATCGACTACTCTGGCAAAGGCGGTGCTCCCCACACTGACGATTCTTACGCTCCTGCGCCTTCCTCGTCGAGTCCACCCGCCGGCGAAGACAAGGGCTACAACAATGACGACCACGCCGTCTCTACCAACAGCTTCGATCTCGGTGACGTCATCGACGGCCTTGTTGGTCTGTCCAACAAGCTCACCTCTTTCGGCAAGCCTACCTCTTCGTCTGGCGCCATGGGAGACTTTTACATGGGCAACGTCGGCAACCCGTACGGCTCCAACGTGATCAAGGTCGACTCTGAGGACGGCTACGACTACACTGTCAACTACAAGAACACCTCTCCTTCCCCCATGACCATCTGTATCTGGAACAAGGCTGGATCTGATGGCCAGCCCCTCTCTGGTGGCGCGAGCGTTTCCAAAGAGTGCACACTTACCTTCACCCTCGCTTCCCAGGCCAACCAGGTTGTGGCTTTCCAATCCGACTCCCAGGTTGGTTTCGCGCAAGCCACCAAAGACAAGACGTTCTCCGGTCACTTTGCCACTTCATTCGGCGAGTGCAACATGACACCCAACGGCCCAGCTTGCAACCTGTCTGCCATCCTCAACCCCAAGGGTAACACCTACAAGATGAAGATTACCAACAAGGAGAACGACTGTGTTTCTTCCAACGAGGAGAACTGCTGGGTCACCGAGAAGCAGACGCTTCCTGGTCTTGATGGCAAGGACCGCAACGGCTCCTGCTACATCCCAGGGGCCGCTGGCCACTTCACAGTCGAGATGGGTGGCCAACAATAGGCAGTGTAATTAAATTTTCGGTGTCGAGTTGGTTTGATTGTCATGAAGTCTACGCCGGCTTATTCTTATCGCATTTGTTTTGGTGTAGGGGACTTTTGGTACGGCCATTTCCGCTTTGGCAAAGCATCTTTAACTTCAAATGTATATTCTATTTGCCACAGATCCTGGTAGATAGCAGCTTCGCAACCTCATTATTAGTCGTGTTGAAAGCAATTCTTGATCATTTCTGAGTGTGTTGTCGCGGTGCTGCCTGAGACTGCAATGGTGCATGTTAATGGTGTAATTCATAGACGAGAGTGCCCAATGAGCGTTCCTAGAAGTTCGGAGAACACTATGAATTGCTTCATGGTAGTCATATACAACCCATACAGATTTTTATAGTGGACACTGCAAAGAGCATACCGCTCTGACTACTGCGGCAGGGCAATGGAAGATGTAATTAGATTATTCGTATCGATAGGACTCTTGTATATCTACTGTATCTCGCAATCGATCACACGCTCTGACCGACATTCGTATCATTTTCTCACCGTGCCGCGTCGCCGTGTCGACCTATCGCCTGCAGCTTCGGCTCTTTACCTTAGACATCTCCAGCTCTGCTTATTCCTTGCCTGCAACTTCACGCTGCCACTGCGCCTGGATCGTCGCAATCATTTGCCCGACGTGAGGCAGACAAGAAGGTGCAAGCGAGCGACGCAACCTCTTGTCACTGGAACTCTAATTAATTAGTTATTTAATTACCTCCTACGAAACCGAAACACCAACGCGCTACGCCTCCTGCAGCCCGTTTACCCGAAATCGGTACGTTGACGCGAAGTCGGCCATGAAGTCATGCCTTCATGCTGCCGCGCGCCTGCAAATGGCCTCTAGATGGCACCGTATAGGTATTGGTGAGTGCTAGCTATCAACTATTTTCTCCTTAGTATATCTGTACATTCACACATTCAGTCGTGTCGATAACAGCCATTGGCCGCTTTTAGGTGTGCTGTCTGAGCGCTCTACCCCCCACTGTACTATGCATCCATTCACTCTGTTGACCTGAACATGGACCGATGAGCGGGGTCCACTCGACTGGTCATACTTTTTTCTACACAGTCCTCAACCTCCCCACGCTTCTCTTTCCAAGCCCACTTTCCCCACTGATATCACTTCCACCTGGGAATTCCTCCTTTTTCACCCTTCTAGTGCTGCCGTACCTGAACGTTTCCTCTTCATAGATACTTCTGTCCCGCGTCTTTCTTCTCGCTACCTCGCATACCTCCTACCCACTCGGACCATGGCTACTACCAACGGCTCCGGTGCGAAGCTGGCCTTGACCGTCGAGAACATCAATCAGAATATACGAAAAGCAAAATATGCTGTACGAGGAGAGCTTGCGTTGAAGTCGGAGCAATACAGAGCACAGCTCAGGGAAGGTGGCAAGAACGACCTCCCCTTTGATAAAATCATCTCCGCCAACATTGGCAATCCTCAGCAGCTGGATCAGAAGCCAATAACATTCTTTCGCCGTGTTGCGAGTTTGCTCGAAAACCCAGATCTACTGGAGAAAGAGGACGTCTTGACCCAGCACTTGGGGTACAAGAGCGACGAGATTGCGCGTGCGAAGTGGTTGCTCAATGAGGTCCACAGCGTCGGCGCATATAGTGCCAGTCAGGGAACACCGGCGATACGAGAAAGCGTGGCTAAGTTTATTGAGAGTCAGTACATGACATGATGGTCGACTTCTGTTTACTGATATCTGGATAGAGCGTGACGGTCACCCATGTAGCGCGAGAGACATATATCTCAGTGGAGGAGCCTCTTCAGGCGTCAACACACTTCTGAATACCATCTGCGCAAAACCAGAAGTCGGTCTCTTGATTCCTATCCCTCAGTACCCTCTCTACACCGCCTCCCTGGCTGTCCTCAATGCCCGTTGCGTTCCATACTATCTCGACGAAGATCAATCATGGGGCACCAACTTGAAAGAGATCAGAGACGCATACGAGAAAGCTACTGCGGAGGGTACTGAAGTGCGGGCGATTGTTGTCATCAATCCTGGAAATCCCACTGGTGCCAGCCTGCCCGTAGAGGACATCACAGCGGTACTCAAGTTCGCCGCAGAGAAGAATATCGTAGTCATGGCAGACGAAGTCTACCAAACGAACGTCTTCATTGGCAAATTCGTGTCATTCAAGAAAGCGCTGCGGGATCTACAGCAGTCCAGCCCAGGAACATACGACCATGTCAACCTGGTTTCGCTGCACAGCATCTCCAAGGGCATGGTCGGCGAATGCGGACATCGTGGCGGATACTTTGAGTTGATCGGCTTCGACCCAGAGGTTGCGGCGGAGATCTACAAGTTCATCTCCATCCAGCTGTGCCCGCCAGTCATCGGCCAGTGCATAGTCGAGATGATGGTAAACCCGCCCAAGGAAGGCGAGCCCAGCTACGAGCTGTACAAGAAAGAGTACGATGGCATCTATGACGGCCTGAAGAAGCGCGCTACTGCCCTGTTCGAGGCGTTCAAGAAGATGGAGGGCGTAAAGTGCCAGGACCCGCAGGTATGGCAAAAGCAACAGATTCTGTTCCTCTCCCACAATCCCCGTACTAACAAAAAATGAAAAAAGGGATCCATGTACCTCTTCCCAACCATCACACTGCCCAACAAGGCCCTCGAAGCCGCAAAGAAGGACGGCCGCGCCGCCGACGAGTTCTACTCCCTCCGCATGCTCGACGCGACGGGCGTCTGTGTCGTGGCTGGCAGCGGCTTTGGCCAGAAGGAAGGCACGCTGCACTTCCGCACAACCTTCCTGGCTCCGGGCACGGACTGGGTGGGACGGATCGAGAAGTTCCACAAGGAGTTTATGGACGAGTTTAGAGACTAGATTTAGATGATTGGATTGATGGTGTGGTGCTGGAATTTGTGGGGAAATACCATGGATTTTTCACTGCGAGCGCAAGGGGGGGCGGGCTAGATTTGGGATTGGTTGTTGAGGGTATGGGTATACTATGGATATACTGTAGATAAAACTATAGATATGCTGTAGGTATACTATAGATATAACTATTTATACGACTATAGATATAACCATAGATACGACTATAGACATATAGCATCTATTCACATCCAGCATCCATCCATTCATTCAGTTCACATACACAGCGATGCGAGGTACAACGAGGTATGCCGGACGCATCAGCGTTGTAGAAAGATGTCTTGATGTTTTATCTGCACTCCGATTTTTTTGGGGCTCGCATTTTTTTTTTTTTAGTAGTTTACACTAACCTGCCAGCTTGTGATTATTGTTTCTGAGTGTTTATTGTTATTATTGTTATTTAAGTATAAGTCATTGGTGAAAACTCACACGATGCGAGTGTTTATCAAGCAATCAATCAATCGATTACTCACTTGCTCAGGTTGAACCAAAAAAAAACACACACATCACACAAAGCGCATTGGGACAAAAAGTTCTCGTGAATTCTGGGATATATATATAGATATGAAGAAAACATCTTAGCTGACCATCACTACGGGAACAGGTGTTTACATTCTTGAGGAGGAGGAGGGGCAGTCAAATATGAGTGAGAAAGCGTGCAAAAGGCGACAAAAGAAGTTTGCATAGAGAGGGGGAAAATGATATTATTTTAATGCCCCGTTTCCGAAACAAAACAGAAAAAAACCTCAAAGTCCTCTGTAGCCTGGGTTTCTTTCAGCTTTGGGCTACTACTTGTCTCGTCCTCGTCCTGATACTCCTCGCTCCTCGCTCCTCGCTCCTCGCTCCTCCTCACGCCTCCCAAGCCTGTTCCACAAGTTACACACACCCCAACAACAAAGCGCTCTCCGTGATTCTAGGGTGTTTTCACGCGGCGGTCTTCTTCCAAATCAGGTATGCCCCGATCAGCGAGCTGGTAGTTCCGGCAAGACCGACGATGCCGTCGTCGAGGGTGAGGATGCTCAGACCAGCAGTCGGGACGGTGATGTCGCAGAGATCCGAGACGAGTTGGAGGCGCGCGGCTTTGCTTTCTCTGCGAGGTCGTGGTTAGTATGCAGTATGCTTGACATGAAATGCCTTCCATTTATAGAGTGGTTAGAAGGGCCGTCGTACCTTTCGATCTTCTTGTTCTCGGCGGCGTCCATGCCCGTCTTCTCGTCGATGGCCTTCTGGCGCTGTTGCAGGTTGTAGAGTGTGTATGCGCCGGCGACAATATTGAAGGATAGACCTGCGAACCACATGCGGTACGCTTCACGCTGGATGCTTGCCGTCTTGGGCGATTTTCTGATGTTGAGCAGATCGGGCTGTTGGTTTTTCCTCACATTAGCATTTTCCCAAATGTCCTAGTCTTCCTTCTTTGCCCTCTATCTGCCTGCGACAGACGCCCATCGGATGTATAACGTACCACTGTCATGTTGTCCAAGAGCATGTAGCCCGCATAGCCCAGTTGTCGACCGACGGCGCAGTACTTCAGGACAGGGTCCATGGCCTTTGCATCCGCCGCTTGGGCGGCCGCCTTGAAGTGCTCGACGAACTTGCCCAGTCGCATGACCTTTCGGACGAGGCCGAATTGCTTCTTGATTGCCTCATATGGCGCGACGGAGGTTTGCGGGTGGTTCGTGCGGTACAGGTACCAGGCGTAGAAGCGGGAGAAGTATTGCAGGATGCGGAGGACTTTGTCGCGACCGACTATATGAGAAAATGCGTTGTCAGCTTTCTTTTCCTTCTTTTCCGCCTTTTGATCATCGTGTCATATTGACGGGACGGTAATGAACGGGTGGGTCATGCGACCGACGGTGCTGTAAGAAGAAGGGCTTTCGCGCATACCTGTTGTCGCAACGTATCGCAGGTAATGCGACACCGAAGGGTGGTAGATAACCGCGTCAGCGACCATTTTGGGCGGATGGTATCAGTTTCTTCTGAGGTCTTTTGTTTGTCGTTGAGGACACTATCGGCCAGAATTTCGCTAAGCTTCAAGGGAGGGAAGCACAGAGTGTGGATGCGGAAGATGGCCGAGAGCCGTTGTGAGGGTGATGAATGTGGCTACTGGTTCCTTCGGCTTGTGACAGCGGAAGCTGTAAGGTGGTGTCGGGGTAAAAGGTGGAGACAAGCCGAGGCTGGCTTTGCCTTTGTCTGTGCGCCTTTATATAGGACCGCCCATAGGGCAGACCACGGGCGGAGCAGGCGTGACGGAAATGAATACGGAGCAACGGCTGTCTGCAGCTTCATAAGAGGGGGTCGGCCCATTTCTCTGATTTATGCTACGAGAGTTTGGCTACTAACAGAGGCCTTGAGTTGGGATGTCCTGGACGGTGCCAAAGTGCCCGCACACAAGCTGTTCCCTCATAGGACCAGACCTTTCCCATCACATGCATCATCCCTGCTACACTCGGTAGACTTTCTATCCTATTATGAAGCCCATCAGGATCGCGATAGACAGGTCGACTAGAACGACGGCCGGTCTCCAGTAAAGGCTCACACTTTGTAGAAGCAAAAGGCATGGTAGAAAGCTGCCAAGGAGTCAGCGTAAAGCGGGACATGAACGGATTTGACATACCGGAAGCATTCATCTCCTCTTCACTGACAAGGAGTCTCCCAGAACCACGCTCTTGAACACGCATGCGTTCCGCCAGTTCGCTGAACTCGGGGGTGTGTCTGCTCTCTTCCCAAACCTCCGGGAATGGCTTGCGGTACTGCAGCTCTAGATTGTAGTCCTCTGCCAGACTGTTGCTGATATTAGCCACCTTTCACTGTAGATTTCATTGCCAACATACGCTCGGAACGCTTCCCATGGTACCACATATTCGGGGACTTCCTCCACCGCCTCCTCTAGAAAATAGAAGTATTTCCACCCAAAAGGCGGCCTGAAAACTCCATCTTTTGGTGTTTTGCCAGGGAACTTTACGCGGTAGATACTATTGCCCCATTCGAAACCTGAATCTTCGACCTCACCATCTTCTTGAGCCTTTGCAGGTGCTGGTTCGTCGAGAGTCTTTTCTGGATCCCAGTTATCGTCCGAATCGTTATCCTGTGGTTCGTCTTTTCCCGAAGTCGAGTTCTTCTTGTGATGTTCTTCCACTTTTTGAGATAGAACATCTGAATTGGGGATGACTCCTAAGAACCTGCCACCTTTCTTGAGAGCGCCTGATACGTTCTTCAACATCATGCGTGCCTTTTCCTCGTTTTCAAATGCGTAATGCATACAGAACATCATCGAAACCACATCGAATCCGCTCGTCGCAAATTTGCTTGCTCCTCCGCCGGGGCCAACATTGGGATCTATGCCTACTTCCTGTATGATCGGTATGTCACCCATCCATTCGCCAAAGCAGTCCTTCACAGAAAATTCGGCATGAAAGAGCTTGCGGCCGCGGGGTGGCTTTCTCGACATCTCTCGATATCGGTCTCTTGCTTGCTGTATGGACACTTCGGCCGGATCTGCGGCGACGTATAGGTCTACTCTTTGTGGTGCTGAGCTCCATTTCATGAGATCGCCACCCTTTCCACAGCCAATATCCAGTACAAGGATTCCTTCGCGTCTGTCGCCGCCATCATTCGGCGAAAACCTTTGAATTAAGGTGCTCTTGACCCAGTTATTGAAGCTACGTAGTCCTTTGATTTTGCTGTCTGTCTTGCGCCATTCTCTTCCTCGCTCCGGAACTGCATTGTAGTGTTGCCTTACAACATCATGAACGCCGCGTGCTGCTGCTGCCGCGGCAGCCCTCTGCTCATCCTCACGTTCTCGTTCTTGTCGCCTTTGTCTTGCTTCCTCGCGTGCAGCGGCACTGATTGCGGCGTTTGCCCCAGGCCGCTTTCTCGGAGGTGTTCGTGAACGTGACCGACGCTCTTGTCTGTTCTCGTGTACACGCTTCCTTTTTGCATTGTCGCCCGAAGGCACAGCTCTGGCTGCTGGTCTTTTCCTCGGCGGTGATTGCGAGCGTGATCTTGACCGCTCTCCGTTCGCCGCAGGGGAACGTGCTCGTTTCTTGTTTGGGTTGCCAGTGCCAGTTGGCGGGTCAGCTTTGGCAGCAGGACGCTTCCGTACGGGACTGGAGTCCGTATTGGGCATGTCGTACTATGGGCACTCGAAGGAGCACTCTGAAATATTACCCAGGAAGTATCTCATGAAATTCTAGTGAAAAGTCGACCTCTGGAAAGCTATTAGGGGCTTCGACGACGACCCAGAAGTGATGCAAACCGTAGCTTAGCCGCTGGAGCTTGGACCACATTTTGACGGCCCTCCGCCATCGCCGACCTGAAGTGAGCAGGCGATATGGTCAACATCTGAAAAGCTTATACACAATCTCCCATCTCCTCTGTTTCGCCTCGCAGTATAGCTCTACCACCATCTTCGCCGTCAGACAAAATGGGTGAACCTCAATATGCCAAGTACCCTGACCTCCAACTCGCCCAAAATATCTTTCAAATATCCAATCCTCACTGCCCCAAGGCCGTGAAGCAGTCATCCGTTAAAGCTCTTCAAAATGCCATCAAAGAGCACACAATGGCACCTCTCTATAGGTATCTTGCGCATCCTACGGAGGGTATATTGAATGCGCTAGGTGAAGGATCCGCACAGAAGTCTCCAGGCAACCGAAGACCATCTTCAAACGCTGCAAGCATGCTAGCTACTCGGAGTCCTACACTAGACGTAGTTCTACCTTGGAATGAGAAATTGTACGAGGAGCTGAAATCCGAGAACGAAAAGGAGCTGGAAGCGATACAGAAGGAAGAGGATGAGGCAACTGAGGCCGCGGGCGAGACAGAGATACAACAAGCAAGAGGCAAACGGGCTGAGCTCTGGACAAGAACCGGCGACAAGGTCTATTTGAATCCTAATTCTGACCATGAGTATGACTGACACGCCCCTAGGAAAAAGCGATCGCAGGATTCGAAGCTGTCTTTGAGAAGACAGGCATTTTGGGCACAAAGATCGACCTTGTCTTAGCTATCATTCGCGTCGGTTTGTTCTTTGGAGACAAGATATTGGTGAAGAAGAACATCGAGCGATGCGCCACGCTTGTAGAGAGCGGTGGTGACTGGGACAGACGCAATCGTTTGAAGGCCTACCAAGGTCTCCATCTGCTCACTGTCCGGTCCTATAGTTCCGCCGCGCCCCTACTTCTCGATAGTCTATCCACATTCACCAGTTACGAGCTCTGCAACTACCCGTCTCTCGTTGTGTACGCCGTGCTGTCCGGTTCAGTCGCACTCAAACGCGTAGACTTCAAGTCAAAGGTGGTCGACGCACCTGAAATCAAAGCTATTCTTGGCGATGCTGAGGAGAAGATGGCTGCTCTCTCAGGGGCAATCTCATCAGGACCAGCTGCTGGAGATGAAGAGATGTCTGACGCTCCGAAATCGACTGCCACGCCCGCCATCGTCAATCTGACCACATTAGGTCAGAACACAGCTGCCCAAGACGAAGCCCCAGTTGACTTCGGTCCCCTCGCGAATTTGGTCAACAGTCTCTATACCGGCAACTACTCAGGATTCTTCGCCGCCTTGGCAGCCGTGGAAGACAATTTTCTATGCAAGGATAGATATTTGTACGAGCACAAGGGATGGTATGTTCGAGAAATGCGTCTTCGAGGCTACCAGCAACTTCTGCAAAGCTACAGAGTTGTTGGCCTCCAGAGCATGGCAGATGACTTTGGAGTGACGGTCGATTTCCTGGATAGGTACGTCATTTATCACTGTTCGGTATTGCAATCACGTCGGATTGTAAGCTGACCCTCATCTTAGGGACCTCTCCAAGTTTATCGCAGGAGATCGCGTTCCTTGCACGATCGATCGCGTGAAGGGTATAATCGAGACGAACCGGCCCGACGACAAGAACAAGCAATACAATGACGTCGTCAAGCAGGGAGATGCGCTCATCACGAAGTTACAGAAGTACGGGCAGTCAGTGAGATTACGTGGCAGTGAGCGAGGCTAGAGCATAGAGACACTATTAAGTATAGGTCGCACAAGATGTTGTAAGAATCCACAACACCTCACAAAAACAGCCAGATTCATGGACGATTCAATAATTGATATTCGTGAGAACTTGTGATTGTGCTTGCAAATAGACAAAAGGCATTAACAGTTTATACACTAAGGATGGTGCCTTGCAGACAGCATATTGGCACAAAACGTGACCCTATAGCGAGCTTAGAGGTTAGGCATATGGTTGGCGTGAATGATAAGGGCTATGCGACATCTCAACTATGGATTGCGCCCCCATCAACGCTATCACAGTTGGACAACGGGTGCAACGTCGATTAATCCCAATAAGGCAGAAGTATCAGCAGCCCCGCCATTACAGAGTTACAATGGACTTCAAGGACAATGAATGGATCCTTCGTTTAATCTTAGTGCCCATCCATGCATGCACCCTACTTGACCTCGATAAACGAATGGCGGTTTCTCTCAAGAACAAGAACCTTTTCCTTCTTTGCATCCTTCTGGTGTGCTTCTAAAACCTGTCAGAACCATAACCATGGGTAAATGATCCGATAATCTGTCCCTAGATTATGTAATGCTAATAGATCAACAGCGTCCTCGTCAGAGCAACCGATCATCTCAGACGTTATCGCTTCGACGACTCCTAGTTCAGTGGTTAATAGACAAGCCCACAAGACAGGCGTCGTCCCGCAAGACGTCGAACTCGACGACTTCTCCAGCCCACGCAATCGCAATTCTCTGGAGACTGATGATCTGGATCCAACCGAGTACCCTGTTCCAACCGAGGAGGAACTGACAACACTGCGCAAAGTGCATGGAAGTATCTCCTGGGTCGCGTGGCTACTATGTATTATTGAACTTGCGGAGCGCGCATCGTACTATGGGACAACGAGCATCTTTTCAAACTTCATCCAGTTTCCACTACCTGATGTAAGTTGCGTATTTGACTGTCGTCATCCGGGCAGTTCTCACGGAAATTCTGACATGATATTTGGCCAGGGCGGGAATGGAGCTGGTGCGCCACAGAAGGGTACTCAGGATACAGCTGGTGCACTGAACAAAGGATTGCAATTTGCAAGCGCGTTTGTGCTTCTGTTTACTTTTCTTGCGTACGCCATGCCAATTCTGGGGGCATGGCTGGCAGACGCGAAGATTGGGAGATATCCGGCCATCACACTTGGTGAGTGCTGTCATAGGCATGTTGGGAAGGTATAGCTAATGGGCCAAAGGCGTCTTGATTGCTGGACTTGCGCATATTATCCAAGTCATTGGGGCGATACCAAGTGTGTTGCAAGCTGGCAATGGCACGGCGCCGTTCATCATTGGGTTGTTTCTGTTGGCTATTGGAGCTGGCGAGTGTACCACGCATCAATATGGAATTATGTTACTGACTTGAAATAGGAATCTTCAAGCCAAGTATCTTGCCTCTGATTCTTGATCAGTACAGGATCCAGCGTCCGTACACGAAAGTGCTCAAGTCTGGGGAGAAAGTAATTGTAGACCCCGAACTCACCATCTCCCGTATCTCAATGCTCTACTATGCCTTTGGTATGGATCATTCCATACTTCTCTCCTAGCGCCAGCCATATTAACGACCATGCAGTCAATATGGGTGCCTTCCTCCCCATCTCTACAGTCTACATTGAAAAGTACGTCGGCTACTGGCTTGCTTTCCTGGTCCCAACAGTCGTCTATCTCCTTCTTCCCTTGCTTCTTGCCTTCACCTACAAGCGCACATATCGCCGAAAAGTCGACGGCTCCGAGCTCACCAACTTCTTCCGGGTCCTGCGCATGGCGATCGCCCGTAGCAAGGGCAAGATGTGGGGCGATCAGTTCTGGGAGAACGCGAGGCCGAGCATCATGCCAGTGGGCATGCGTGTACGTGCTAATGTCACGTAAGTACAGATATAGACTGGCTCGCCTTGTTGAAACTGATCGTCAACTGATATTTGGTCTAGTTGGGATGATCAGTATGTGAAGGATGTCAGGAGAGTTGTGTCGGCGTGTGGGATGTTCCTGTACTTTCCGATATATTACTTCAAAGGCGGTATCGGGAGTGTACTGTACAGTCAGGCGAGCACGCTGACGACGAACGGGTCAGTATACGTATATCGTCCTCTTTTGTGTATAATTACTGACTGTATCTAGAACGCCAAACGACCTGCTTGGTAACTTTGCCGCGCTTGTCATCATCGTAGCTGGTATGTTATTACGAATCTGGCCACGGTTTTACATCCGACTAACCCCCTTTCCACAGTCCCCATACTCACCTACATCGTCTATCCAACCCTCGCACACTTCCATATCCGCTTTGGCCGCATCTCGCGCATCACATTCGGCTTCCTCCTCGCCGTCGCCTCCAACATCTCCGGCGCAGTGCTCCAATACTACATCTACAAGACCTCACCGTGCGGCTACTACGCGACGGGCTGCGAGACCGGCACCGGCGTCAGCCACTACAGCGTCTGGCTCCAAATGCCCACGGTCGTGCTCAGCGCCGTGTCCGAACTCTTCTGCCAGGTGACGGCGTACGAAATCGCGTATGCGCGGGCACCCAAGCATCTGAAGAGTCTCGTGATGGCGCTGTTCCTGTTCATGGGTGCGCTAAGCGCAGCGTTGAACCAGATCCTGACACCGTGGATTGCGGATCCGTATTTGATTTGGATGTGGGTGGCGCCGGCGGTTGCGCTGTTTCTACAGACGGTTGTGTTTCATTGGCGGTATAGGTGGATGGATGGGGACGAGTTTATGACGAAGGAGGTTATGCTGACGGGGGAGACTAGCGATGGGGAGGGCGCGAGGTTTCCGGATGAAGCGAGTGTGGGATATGTTTTGACGTGTCGGTCGAATAGCGACAAGGGGGGTGAGGGAAGGAAATGAGGGCGAGTGAGAGATTCTGGATAGCCCGCGACGCATCAAGAGTCTGGCCATTGAATGCACGACTCGAAACGGTCAGTCAGCTGCGGTTAGAACGAGGAGGTAGAGCGCAAAAGATCCGCTTTCGATACATGCATTATCACAGTTTTTCGACATTTACATGAGACAGGCAATGTCTGTATATATTTAGTGGGCTACATGGACCATCCACCTCCTTAGAACAGAGGAGTGAGGTTATGTATAATGATCAAAGCTACAGCATGAGAACATAGCAAGCATGGAGGAGAGTCTGGCAGAAGCAGCCAGAGATCCAAGTCATCTTCCAGACGGCCAGGAGAGACATCTCTGTGTACTCTAACCGAATCCTCCACAAGCCATCCACTGGAACTGTCCCAACAGAACATCCATTGCAGATCCTTCTCCTTCTCCTTCTCTCTATCACCATTTCTCTTCATCATCCCCATCTTCTTCTCATATTATCCAAAAACCACACGTGCTCTCGAAAAATACTCGATTGGCACGAAACACAAACAACACTGACTCGTCACCTTCCTCTCTACTCATCAATATCCGAAAGGGACCAACTGTGCGGCTATTGCCGACCCTGACAGCTCAACTACCAGCACAGAGAGAAGATACGGCAAGGCAAGGATGCAGATAAACACACACGAGTCATTGTCCGCATCACTGGCCGGAACATGAGCCGCAGAGACTTCTAGGTCTGCGACGACAACGAAACAGCCCCAAGCCTCTGACACGCGATGGTCTACATGTCATTGTTATTCTTGGTAGGAATGGTACATGAACTACACAATTGTGGTTCGCAGATCAAGTCCCTGTCACCCACATGGGCTCACCAGAGATGACGGTTGGCCAAGCTTTAGTTAGCGACCGTACTATATACATTATCCCATGTACAAAACGCGACCGCCGGCGCCACCTGATCCACCTCCAGCGCCATCGAAGCATTCGGGGGGCCAAGACTGAGAGTGCTGGCCGCGAACAGAGCCCTGCGCAGACGTTTCGCTCGCTTGTCAGACCTCTTTTTTTTCTTCTACTAATTATTATGTGACTAGATCGAAATGCGCGATTTGTCGCTCGTCTTGTCTTGTTGGCCGCGAAGAGAAAAAAGCTTGTCGCGGTGGGTTGCTGCTGATACTGTACATAGACCGCTCGGGAGGTGAAGGCTGTGGCACAGTCGGTAGTAGTATTCGATGCGCCAGACTCCCAAGACTTACATGCACGGCTGGGTCAGATGGTGCATTAGTAGTTTACTTTTGATTAGCTGGTTGAAGATATTCTCGAGATATGGGGCCCAATTGACCATTTGGCGGCGTGGGGCAGAGCGGGAGGTGTTGGGTTACTTGCAGTAGTACTGTAGCAGTGTAGACCCTGGTGGTGGTGGTGTGGACCCTCTCTCTCCCACTCTCTAACACTCACTCACATGGATCACTCCATCACACTGGATCACCCATCCGTCTATTACACCGGCGATCCGACGGCTCTAAAAGATGCAGTCGGCCCGCCTGTTGTCGTGACATCTTTTTCTCTTCACTCCTGGCTCGTCACCCTCCACTCTTCGTCGTCTTCTTCATTTACTTCGCCTCCTACTCCTCCTCCACCTGCCACTCTCGCTGGCGCCGTTGATGCTCTAAGTACGCGCGACCTCTCCCCACGTCCTGTGTATTCGCATCCGAAACCATGAGCAAAGAGGTCCCCGTCGCCGGCGCAAACGACCGGAGCTCGTCCTCTGACGATGCTGCCATACGTAGAGCGAGCTTGGTCGACACGGAAAAGGGTCGTTGGGAGCGCATGTGGCCCGTCATTGCTTGTGGCGCTGGACTTGTAAGTCGACATTGGACTTTCGCCATCACTGGCGACCAGAGAACCATATCTGATTGTGTATAGTTCTCAGACGGATACCTGAATGGTGTTATCGGCTCGGTGTCTACCATGCTCTCGAACATCTACCCGACCACCTACAAGAACTCGCCGGCGCAGAGGAATGTGGGCTCTCTCGCCTTCGCTGGAACTGTGATGGGCATGGTATGTCTCCTGCGATCCTATCGCGCTTTGATTGTCTGTTGACAGTTTGCAGCTGTTCTTTGGTTGGTCGTCTGATGCCATCTCGCGCAAATGGTCGCTTTTCGTCTCCACCCTCATCATCATCCTCTTTGCTGCTCTTGGCGCTGGCTCCTATGGTGCCGGTGGCAGCACCTCCGGTCTCTTCGCTGCCCTCGCTGCGTTTCGCTTCTTGCTTGGTATTGGCATTGGTGGTGAATATCCAGCTGGCAGTGTCGGTTGTGCTGAGAGCACAGGGGAGCTCAAGGCTGGAACGAGAAATCGTTGGTTCATCATGTTCACCAATGTGCAGATTGATTTCGGCTTTCTCGTTGCGGCAATCGTGCCCATGATTGTTGTAAGTGTCTCTCCGTGCGTTTCTTGCTAGTCTGCTTCTCATGTTGTGCCCAGGTGCTCATCACGACCGAGTCGCATCTGCGTGTCGCTTGGCGCATTTGCCTGGGCTTGGGTGTAATCCCGCCTCTATCGCTCCTCTACATGCGGATCAAACTCCAAGAACCAGAAGCCTTCCAGCGCGAGTCTATGGTCAAGGCCCAGACCCCTTGGGTCCTCATTATCAAATACTACTGGTTCCGACTGCTGATTGTATCCACAATCTGGTTCATCTACGACTTTTCCGCCTACTCCTTCGGCATATACTCCTCCACCATCATCGACAACCTCCTTGGTGAGAACACCGCGCTCTGGAAATCTTTCGGCTGGAACACCCTCATCACCTTCTTCTACATGCCAGGTTGCATCGCCGGTGCTTTCCTTGCTGATATTCCGTGGCTTGGCCCGAAGAAGACGCTTGCTATCGGTGTGTTTCTGCAGGCCATCGTCGGTTTCATTATGGTAAGCCTTTTTTTCTAGCCAACAACGCTCATACTGACTATTAGCAGGCCGGAGCCTACAGCAAGCTCAAAGACCCAGCCAACATTGGCGGATTCGTTGTCGTATACGGCCTCTTCCTCGCCTTTGGCGAAGCCGGGCCAGGCGACAATATCGGCCTCGTCGCGTCCAAGACCTCCGCCACCGCGATTCGCGGCCGCTACTACGGGATTGCCGCCGCAATGGGCAAAGTAGGCGCCTTTGTCGGAAGCTACGTAATCCCGATCGTGATCAACAATGCACCAAACGATACGCGTGCGGGCCAGGATCCATTCTTTGTGGGCAGCAGCCTGGCGGTGCTTGCGGGTGTTTTGGTGTGGTTCTTGCCGCCGATTGACCAGGACACGATTGAGCAGGAAGATGTCAAGTTTAGGGAGTATCTGAGCCAGAACGGCTACGACACGAGTCAGATGGGCTTGAAAAATATGCAGAGCGAGAGCAGTTTTGACGGGCAGGCGGTGCAGGCTGAGAAGGTCTAAACCGCTTGAGGGATGAAGAGCGCGATTTGCTCGATGCTTGTATAGGGGATGGTGTGGTGTGTGGAATTGGATGTATCCTGTGCCGCACATGCATGATATGCGATGCGAGTTATTGAGGAGCGCTCTTGCGGTATAGCCCTCCTCGCCATCTTCCACCTCCCCATATCCATCGTCATCTACAACATCTCGCTTCGCGCGCGGATATATAATGTATGCATCTACTACCTAAGACCTCTATATATATACCCCATTTCAATCAGAAATTCCGTATGTAGAAACCGCACCTAGTGATACACCCACACTACCTATGTATGCACTCACTATGAGCGGATCAGTATCAGATCAACAAGCCACGATACTTAAGCACGTTAAAATGTTCAAGTTGATATGAATAAATGAACTTTTATATGTACACGTAGATACATATGCGTATCAATAATGCGTCAAATGCTATGCACAGACATATTTTGGCACTGGGTATACGCCCGCGATTGATGATAGATATCCACCCCTCTACCATTCATGCATCCATCCAAATCATGCATCCACCCATCGATCCATGTATGCATGGGTATGTACCACTACCAACCTTGCGCATATCCGTCCAGCGTAGTCATGCATAATCATGCATATCATAACATGTCCCCACACATGTCGCACAGACGATCTAGCAGAGATATGCCGTCTGAGGGGTACGGTGTACCTGAATGGCAGCGTATCGTATCTTTGAGTGCGATACGCGTGACGGAGCTTGAGCTTGGTGTGATGTTGGTGTCGGTATTGGTGTTCTTTCAGAGACGCTCTGTATGTTCGGCGATATAGCCTTCCAGAGTCTGGCCGTGGTCCTTGTTTGCACTGGTAGTAAACCAACCCATACCAACCCAAACCAAACTAAACAAATCAAATCACGCGGCGCCATGCCATCCCATCCCAACACCCACGCACCACGGGCCTCCCACTCCCAAGCCACAACAAAATTCACCGATACACATCCCCCGTCGCGATCAGCGTCCCATCGACCGGACTGACGATGATACTCGGTATACTCGCCGTCGAGCCGCGTGCGTTGTCGCCTTGCATCTCCTTGTCGCCGAAGACGGCTCTGGGCGGCTTTGGGGGTTGGGCGTGGGGTTCGCTGGATGGGGTGTGGGTGGGTGTGGTGTTGATGTTGGTGATGGTGTTGGTGCTGGTGCGCTTGGGGTTGTGGTGGCTGTTGTTGGGGTTGGGGTTGTATAGGAGGCTCCTGCGGCGCTCGTCGGTGTTGGTAACGGGGATGAGGCCGTCTGCTTCGGGGGGGATGGTGGATTGGCGGGAGGTGCGGTTGTTGTTGTGGCTGTTGGTTTTGTGGTGGTGATTGTTGCTGTTGTGGTTGTTGTTGTGGTTGTTTTTGTTCTGGTGATTGTTGTTGCTGTTGTGTTTGCTCGGGGGATGTGCGGTTAGAGGGGAGACGTGCTGAGTGGTGTGAGGGGAGAAGACGGGCGTGGGGTCTTCAAGCGGGGCAAAGTCGACTTTGATGGAGCGCTCGCCAGACATTTTCCTGCCTTGACGCCCTGTGAATGCAATGATTAGAATGCTGCTGAAGCTGGGGGAGGATTCAGGAGGTTGTGCTGCTTACACAGTTCGAAGCGCAGGTCGGCAGGCCCGATGATGATCTTGATTTCAAAGTCGATGCGCATGTATGAGCGGGACTTCTTCCATGGCTTGAAGCGGCTGCTTCGGTGGAGGATGCCTTCGGACGCGGGGATGGTGGCGTAGAGGTCGCAGATGTGGTGGACGTCTTAGGGGATTGGTCAGATGGTGATAGAGTAGGTGAGAGCATTGGTTGTGCTTACCTGGGGAGAGTCTGTATGGGAGCTTGTGTGCGTCGAGGTCGGATGTCACCAGGGACGAGGCAATCTCGAGTTTGGAGTCTCCTGCTGGGACGCGCCGCTTGTACTGCTTCATCATCGGCGCGTCTGCGTCGATCGGTTCGCCCTGGCAACGTCAGTACTGAGTTGTGTAAATATGTCTGGGCACCATCCAAACCTTCTTAATGTACCATTCCACTACGTTCACGACGTACTCCTTGCCATTCAGGGGGTCTATCTCTGAGGGTATGTTCGCATGAGCTGCGTAGTTCGGGTTATACAGCTCCTTGCACAGCGAGCCGTACGATGCACGGCAACAGCGGATGCCAATCGGCGACTTGTTGCTGCGCAGCTTCTGCACGCGATTCACAATCATTCCCTTGCAAACGGCAAGCTGGGGGTCCGGGCTGGTTCGGATCTGCATGTCCTTGGCGCACGGCCACGGACAGTCCGGTGTCATGTACCGTTGGGAAAGCCGTTGGTGGACGTATCCGCTATTCCCGAGGCCTCCGGAGAGAACCAAGTGTGCGATGCGCTCGAGCGGATACTTCTTCTGGATCGTCTGGAGCTGTCGATTGATCAAGTGGCAGACTTTGTCGATTTGCCGGTCGAAGAGCTTTTGGAGATCGTCTAGCGTGAAGGTCATGAATCCGGCTTCGATTCCGGATATCAGGTCTTTGTAGTCCGGCCGGAGCCCCCGGATCGGCAGTTTGAAGCTCGGCGGCTCGTCCGGGGAGCCCATTTCGCATTTCACGTTCTGGAATTCTTTGCTCTTCATCATCTCCCACGCTGCCGTTTGGATGTCGATATCCAGTGCATACTGCTTGTTGGCTTCGGTAAGTCGTTTCTCTACCAACACTTGAAATGAGCGGTCGATCGCTGTTGACCCAATGGCTTCTCCGTGCACCATGTCTAGCTGGTCAAGTCTGAGCGACCCTCCATCTGTGTTCATGACGCGCAATACCGATAGATCCGTGGTTCCCCCACCAGCGTCGCAAACAAGTAGAATATCCCCAGTCTTGAAGAGTCCTGGCGTCTCTCGCGAGGAGAACACTGCTGCTGCTTCGGCTTCAGTCAGATCGATTATCACGCTATGGTCCTCGCATTGTCCGAACCCAGCCGCTTCGATGACTTCCCGAAAATTCTCGACAATCGGAGGACTCCACGTCGTCGGCACGCTGAAGATGTATTCCACGCATGCATCCTCCCACCGCCTACTCAGCTGTCCGGAAAGTTTTCGCTCAATAGTCCCGTACAGCTTGCACAGGTAGTCGGTGTACCACTTCTTGATCTCATCGACGCTTTTCGCCGTGGTGAGCGGATTCTTCGCTTGCTGTTCGATCAGTCGCGCCGGATCCAGTAGGACCTTGAACCATTCGCGGTACACTTTGGAGTGATCGAGCTGCTCGCTCGCTTCTTCGGATTGGAAGCCCCATGATGTGGGTACGCCAGAGAATTCGCGTGGGTAGACGAGCGCAGTCGGCACCTTGTTTTCGGCGGCTTGCGAACGGCCCGGCCATTTATTAATCCATTGGACTGTCTCAGAGGCTACGGAGAGGTTCTGATAGGCGACACCCGTGCCTACAGGATGTCAGTGTTGGTTGAAGATCTACATCGCTTCGAGAAACAGATTCGGGAGGTTGCGGTAGTTTTAGGATGAAATATCGGGTCCTTGTGTACTCCTCCACAGTGCCCTACCGTAAGCTTATTCGCTTGCCGTGTGTAGCGGACCTCTCTGACGGGAGTGAAACCAAAACCACTTACAGGTCATGCCGAAGTCTACACTCACCACTATGTCAGGCATCATTGACGCCATGGTTGCCTCTGTGTGATCGGCCGCGGCGCATGCAGATGCAAGATAGAGAAACTTCGAATCCACTAGTATGCTCTTTATCGCCTTGCTATCAGCGGCGTTCTCTAGCAAGGCTACGAGACTGGTCCCTCAGTTGATAGCCTTGTCGCTGCTCGGTCCCGTGATATGGATGTCGTCCAGAATGTCGACGCGACGCCTTTGGATGGCTCGTCTGTTGATCGTTGGCACTTCTGCACAGCGAAGGCTTGAGATTATATCGTTGGGAGAGCAAACGCAAGTCCTCCCTGTCGGCAATAATGTTCTTCTACTATCTTATCGCACAGCGCGCGAGGCTGGCCCGGAATGCGGTACTTTTGAGAAAAGTACCAGGATGCACGACATCACAGAGTGCGCTCGAGGCCAGCCTATTAAGCAAGGCCGCTGTGTTCCACAAAGTCGTTTGGAGTTGTGCATGATGCATTCCTTGATCGCTGTGCGTGCAGCTCGACGCCAGTTTGCTGCGTGTCGTTGATCCCTCGCTGTTTTGGTTTGCAAGCCTGGACGGTGTGTTGGGGGCTGCCCCTATTCGTGCTTTGACTGGCTCGCGCCACTGTAGCCCTGGGCACTCTGCGCACTCTGCGCCACCCGAACACCTGCGAGCCTTGCGAGGCTTCAGCCTTGCGTGGTCCCAAACTATGCCATTCGGCAAAGAGGTGCACAAAAATAGGTCCAAAGGCATGAGTTTCATGTCGCTGGTAGACGGCCGTCTTATGAGTGGTAACGGCACGGTGTTTCAGTGCCTGTAAGGCCGACGGGTTCGCGCAGGAAAGCTTTGCGATCATACCAATGGTCTCAAGACAGGATGAGTGCACTGCACCGGACGCAAGAACATATGCATGCAGCTATCCAGGCGGGTGAAGGCTCAGTGATCAAAGGTGGGACTGGAAGGCCTAATGCCATAGCCTTGTGCTTTTGACCAATTGAAGAAGCTATTAGTCGAAAGGATCTCGAAGTTTGCTAAAAGCGAGGCTGAGACATCTCCATTGTTGTCTTTCTCATCATCTCTCTATTTTTACTTACGGCGCACGATCGCAGTCAAGAGGACTGAACAACACGAGGGCTCGAGCGATCGAAAGGGATACAGCGCAGTATGGGAGCCAGCACTCTCATCGTCTATGGTAATGATGCCGCTAACACAGCTCCATCTAATGGTGTTACGGTATCGGTCCCTCTGATTACTGGCGGATTCACGGTCTCCAATGAACAAGGTTTCAACGTCGTCAAGTCAGCTTGCTCTAGCAGCTGCCCCCAACTTGGCTCCCAAACATACTTCGTCGAGCTCGTAGACCAGACCCTAAGGATCTCTGATTGGCATCCTACCACGACGACTACGTCAATCAGTGACTCCAATATCAATGTCATATACACGCTCGGAGAGGCCGCGGCAACGTTCACCCATGGCTCTGCCACGGGCAGTTTCATATTGGGAGCAGAAACTAATGTGGAGGGAGTGAGGATGGGCCTCCATACAGACAATCTACTTGTCAATGGCGTTTCTCTGATACCTGTCTCTGGAGCTGACGCCATCTCCACTACTTCACCAGCCTTGAACACGCCTTCGCAGACTACAGCGTCAAACACGGCAGCGGGCCCATCTGCTGCACCATCCGTATCGTCAGCAGTACCGACGACGACGAACAGCCCAATTACTGCTTCTCCTGGACCTGCTGTTTCACGGGTTCTCTCCTCGGGCGCTATCGCAGGCATCGCAATCGGCACGGCCCTTCTTGGAGCTCTTATAGGAGCCGCCATCATGTTCTTCTTCCGTCGCCAGGATCAACGCCAGACACGAACACAATCCCGCATCGGTCTAGTTGAAATGATTACGAAAGACCGAGAAGAACCATATGACGAGCCGAAGTCTCCAACCACGGGACTGGTGGCCATGGTGAGCAGTAACATGCCACAGGCAGCAGAAGACCGGCAGATAGAGCGCGAACTGGGCACACTATGCCAGAGGATCAGGTAGGCCGTGGTTCCCTTTCCATGTTGATGCTACAGTGACACTCATTATATAGACTGACGTACTTCAAGAGACCATATCGGAAGCTACTACGACTGCTCAACTCCTACACCTGCCACAACTCTTCTGGACCTCTCGACGCTTGGTCCGCAGATGTATATCTCAACTCCTGAGCTTTCAACTTTGCTGGCTAGCCCAGATACACGTGCTTCTGCTCTCTGTCTATGTGTCTCATGGACCATCGTTTCACGCCTGTCACTCTCATGTGACCCACAGACATCCTTCTTGCCCATTGAAGCATCAACTATTCTGGCGCAAGTCCGTGGCGCAGTCATCAGTGGAGATCGAGGTATGTCCGACCCCGTTGGCTCTTTCCCAAATCCACGTTCCAGTATGGTCAATCCTAAGCAATCACAGCTCAAACCGCCACTTTCAACCTCTGGCGTACCCTCACTGCCAACCTGCTGAAGTCTAAACACATCCACGACGAGAACCGCACACTTTCTCTCTCATCAGCCCTGTCTGCACCTCCTCTCCCCGCTGCAAGTATTCACGCCGCCCTAGCCGCTCTCCAGGTCGTCCTCGCACCGTACGTGTCCAGCAGATACTCGGACGCGGACAGGACGTCGAATTTAGAGGAGATCCTTAAGCGTGGGGCCCGATTCGGATGGTTACTGTTCGGGCAGCCTGGCGTGTGGGAGTTTAGATGGGAGTTAGGGGCAGGGGAAGTCTGTATATTTCCAGCACTGGTGCAGACGGTGGGTGATGAAGGGGAGAGGCTGTCGAGGGAGAGGGGCTTGGTTGAGGGGGTTGTACTGAGGAGGTGAGACCGGTGCTCAATCATATCGGCGTACTGGATGTGTCTGTTCGGGGTATCTGGCGTGGTGATATGGGTTTAAATACGTGAGATGTCATGCGGTCGATGATTCTCCTACCGTACATGACTTTCGGTCCTCAATTTTGAGGTGTGTCGCACCCTGGCTTGCGTACATAGTTATTATATTGAGTCGACATGATGTCTAGCCATGAATTCAAACATATGAACTCTCTGGTCAGCATGCTTGAGATCTCTGCTAATTGATGAGATACAAAGCAGGTACAGCTACTGCTGCTCGACGACAGATTGGTGAAGGTACAATCTATGCCACATAGTCAGTACGAGCACAACGTTGTACAGAAAGAAACCGTAATTTCAGGCAGAGACCGCTTTCGTCCTTCATTAGAGTGCCCGTGGAGCACATGTTGTGCACGCCTTGAGTCCGCCCAACGCACTAAAAGTCCACTCACAGTTCAGCCGGAACAGCCCTCCTCCAGTCCAACATTCACGCTCGAGTACAGTTGTATTGTGTGGCAGACAAATGCCCCCGGAGTTCGATCCCATCCTCCACCCGCCCAAGCCAATACAAATAGCTACAGCCACAGCGCCACGCCCTCCCACTCGGCGCACAACAACATCAAACTTACACCCACCCAACAGCCCTGACTCCCCAAAGCCAACCGCACCTTCAGCGGGCCGTCTCATTACGCATACTGCGATATGACAGGCGGGAATAAACGGCCATACTAGGTCTAGCTGAGGACCCTGTGGGTGACGAGACGTGCAGCGAACTTGGCTTGAGGAGGGTGGGTAGAGTGGAATGATGGCATATTTGTGGCTGGACGGCTACACCGCTGCGGGAGTGTGCGTTCGCATTGGGGAGGGTGGGGTGCCATGCACTGTAGATGGGAGATCTGTCTAGCAGATTGATGGGTTTTGGGCGGAGGGTCGAGGGCTGGATGGTCTTGAAGGAGCGGTGTCATTGTATGTATGTTGACAGGGATGCGGGTCCCGTGTTGCTATAATGGGATCGGATGCAGGCACGGTGGTAGTGGCTCACGCGAGGAAGAGTGAGGCCCCGTCGTTTTGGTGTTGGGGAGTGTGATGTAACATCGAGCTGAGGTGCGAGGAGCTTCATGCATGTTTGATTGATGGGCTTGTCCTATTCAGCACCGGGACTCTGTGGTGGTTAGGTGAGAGCCTTGAAGATGTGCTGAGTGCAATTGTATTGGCTGAACTGCTTACCTAGTTAGCATGGCGATTTTGAACGACATTATTACGACTAGTCAGATCTGTCATTATGAATGTTTACAGCGCCGCTGTTCCGCAGCATAGTTGAAGACGACATTATGCTATTAATTCCGTATCCCAGAAATGGTCTTCGGACACGTAAATTTCTGCCAACAACGCATGGATGTCTCGAGTGGCGTGTTGCAGGTGTGAGAAAAGCCATCAAGGGGTACGAGATCATAGATACTGATACCACTCCCAGGACATTGCGATTTCAGCCATGCACGTCGAGTGGATTGCCATCAAGGTACCTAGGGCCCACAAGAAGACGATGTTCTGTTTAGCGGCAATGTAGACAAATCGATACCAATACCTGATGTGTGTTGTGATGCGAATGTGAATGCGTTCCTTCTGAGACGTGTCTAGCGGGCCACCCGACCCGGCCTCGGCCCCTTCGCAACGGGCCTAAGATCGGCATCGGCATGCCGAACCAACGTCCCGAACACTAGATTCTAGCCCATGAGGCGCTTCGCTTAAGGATGTAGACTAGTCACTAGTTATGGACTTGGTACAGGTACACGTTGCCCGATTAGGTCACTGCGCCAACCAGCCAATGAGTCGACGGAGCCCCCGACGATCCCTGGCTGCGTGCGGTGTGTTTTCTCTCTCTCCTCTCCAGCCATAACAGCCACGCTGCACCACTGGAAACGTCTGCTGAAGCCACAAGTCGTCCCCTCTCCCACAGCGCTGTTCAAAGCCATCGAGAGCGCCAAAATCCCCACGGTGCGTTAAGCTGCGGCCTGTGCCAAAGGGCGGACGTGCACGAGTTCATTTGTCGGAACTTGGTACGAAGTGTATGGCGGCTGTCTATTGGTCTCCTGGCGCCATCTCGTGAATAGCTGCCACGCAGACGACGACATACAGTAGTCTGCCTGGAAAGAAAAGGCGAGAACTTCGCTTCCCACGGCTAGATCTGAAATACGGAGGTTTGTACTTGCACTTGCATCCCGCTTAAACCGCTGTAGTCCAGCAGGGTGCAGGATCTCTCCTGCAGATGGTGTCCCTGGATGCGCCGACCTTTTCAGCGTTTACGTAGGATCAATACCAAAATGCTGAGAACAGCTGGTGACGTCTCTCCTAATGACGCTGAAGCTTGTCTTCGGAGCTGATACATCGTGGAGTAACATCCGCTAAGCACAGCAGCGTCTTAGTATGACGATATGGGGTACATTTATCTGGGCTGAGGCTCTGCCATTAGGATGGAGCTATGACAACGCTATATGACAATATGATGCGTTCATCTGCCGGATTGGCAATTGGTATGTGCAAACTTCTAAAGGGCAAACCTGCCACTACTATGTAACCGACTCGAACAAGGGTTACTACTATTTTGACCTCCAGCTGGACAACAGCATACAAACAACCCCACAAGATCCACTCCGAGGATCAACGTGAGTACTCTTGTGGCGCTAGCTCAGGCTGCATCCCGTGTTCCTCATTGGGTGTAGAGGAACGCCGTATCTGTTGGCATGCTATGAGGAAAGAGATGTAGCAGCGACGCTTCATGAATGTCAGTTCATCAACCTAAAGAAAGTGACTGTTTCGAATTAGGTTCTACGAGGGGCAGACAAGCCTGGATGTGGCTCCGCTGGCAGGCAATCTACGAACACGACGAAGCTTTGGTAGACGTGTTTGTGATGAGATGGCTAGTGTAGGTTTGATAAAAGCAAACAAAGAGCGGAAACAAGAACCAGAACCTGGTGTGTTCATCTGACTATTGGATACACGTGTGAGGGATTGAGGGCAAGGCCATCAGGGATAGATCCATCCGTTTAGTTTAGCGCCGGGTATACGCAATCCCTGTTCTGCTGGGGTAGGGACAGTTCTGAGCTGAAGATGGTAGCCAACGTTGCAGATCTCCCCTGGATGACAATGACTGCGTTGTGGTGTCACTGTTGCATTTTGTCTGATTTGTATCTGGGATTAGATTGCAGACCGCATCTTGGTACAGATGGACAGCTGAACAAAGCGGTATTGACATACTCCTCCTGGTCGTGATAGCTTCCAGGTTATGTGTGGGTACGAGCTGAGATAATGGAGGCAGCCGTAACTGGAACTCGATCATCCCATGTTGTCCGAGACAGACCAGTCCAGAAGATAGGATGCCAAACCTGGAGTGCAGACAAGCCGAGCGCAGTGCAGATCTCCCGTGTCTAGACGGCATAGTCAAACTTGACGAACAAAGAAGATAGGCGAACAGGACAAAGTGGATTTATTGCATTGTTTGTTGACCACTCATATCGTGAGATCCTAACAACACATCCCAAACAAGACCCAATTGATCCCAGCAGAATGATACAGAGGCCATCCCAATGTCTAGATCCGTGGCCCCTGCTGCCGAAGCCCTGTCGCATTTGTATAGCGACACCGGCACTTGGTGGCCTGTCCCACAAGGAGCTTCGACCGCGGGGCCCAAAGATCGCCAAACGCCACGCTTAACCCTCCTTGTGTTGTGTCGAACGAAGACCAGAATGAACATATCGCTTTTCCTCCCACTATCACGCCCAAAAAACGTGCATACTGGGCCGTCCTCTTAGCAGCAGTAGGTGGGGCTGCGCTGAGATCCGGATGTCCCGGTGACACTTGCCCGCACACGCGAGGCGGGCGCCCGGGCCCGCCAAAACTTTCACTCCTCCTCCCAAAGGCTATACGTCTCTTTACCACACGACGCGACGGTCTAGCCCTTGGCTATCATGGTTTTGGCTGTACTGGGGATACCGGTCTGCCTCTATCGAAGGCACTATGTCTTGCGTAAGGTTGAGGGGTGAGGGCGACATCATGTTCATAGTAGAGACAAGCTCCTGATTGCGTGTGCGCTCGCCATGAAGCTCGGTACGTAGCTGGTCATTCTCAGCACGGAGTTGTCGGCTGGAAGTCTCGAGCTCGAGAGTCTTCGTCTCGAGGAACTTGACGCGGTTTTCCTGGCGGCGACGAAAGGCGCGTTGGCTTTGGCTGTGTGTGAGTATGTTGTTTGGTGCAGGTGGGGCGTCGGATAGCTTACCTCTCACGGTTCTGCTCCCGCTTCCTATTCTTGCGGCGCTCTTCTTCGTTCTCCATAGCGGATGTGGGTTGAGGGGTTTGTTTGACACCCGAAGATCTGGATGTGCAAGATGTGGAAGGGCGGACTGCGGTCATATATGGGGTGTTTGGTGCATGCGTTGATGCCGCAGAGACCGGGCTCATGCTATGCGAGCTGTGTGCATACTCGAAAGGCGGAAGCACATCTTCAGAGAAATTGGAATCCCAGGCAGACTGACAGGTGTTAGTGATGCTTAATCAAGCACATAAAACTATGGAACTACTTACGTTGGAGGTAGTGTCACTGCTGCTATCATAGCCAGCATCGTACGGGGAGTGCATAGCACTCACTTGATAGCGAGGAGCGTAGTAGTGGGCCATTGCAAACTTGGTGGTAAGATAATGTGGTTTTATTAGCACTTTTGAGCAAGAGCAATGTGATATATCGAGATTGAAAGAATATGTCGTTGGAGCTTTAAGCTTCTTAAGTCTTGTTTGCCTCAGAGATATCTGGGACCAGAGGACTCTTAAATCCATGAAGCGCATCAGCCGTATTCCGTACCATCACAGCTATGGCTCATATTCCAAAGTCAAAGCTCCCAGCCTTGCTAGCCCTACTGAGAAGTCTCCCACACGCAAAGTTCGATTGACCGCCTGTGGACGCCTCCAGACACCACAATACTACGGTGGATGCCATCCACGGACCTACACCCCTGCCAGCATGAAACGAGCTGATAGGTGTGTCAAGCTGTGTTCAAGCCGCTTCGAGTGGGCCATTGATAATATCATTGCTTGGGCCTTAAGCGATGGCGTCAAGGGTCTCGCTCACGTACTGTGTGGTCGAGTCTTTGAGGATGGTTCCAGCCGGGCGTCGTTCTAGCAGTTCGGCATGCCGATGTGAATGACTCGGCCGACACTCCCGACTTGTCTGATTCTGGGCCACATTTCTCCTTTACTGCACAATGCATAAGTTCTCATCACGTGTATTTGTGCCATCTGCACATAATGCGCAAAACTAACCCTTCTGCGGAATCTGCGCTATTCTTGCACGTGTATAACTAGGCTCAAGGAAGACATAGTATCGTATCGAAGCATACAGCTGCAACCTTACATCTTCCAGAAGACGCCGATGTTCCATGGTGGCTGCTGGCGGTCTTGAAAGAATTGTTCCGTCAGACTGCATGCAGGTCACCACAAAAAAGTAATAATACCAACGTGGAGGCCAACATACTGATGCTGTAGACACCGCCGTTTGACCTCATTAAACGAATCCCTCTCAAGAACGAAATTCCATAGCCCCGTCCCTGCGAGGAAATAGGCAAGAGCATTCGATTGTGAGTATAACGTACTGACTCTGTTCCACGTTCGTGTTTAGAGTCAGAAGACGACTGACAGTCACCACAAAGGTAGAGCACAAGATATCAGCAACGGCTAAATATCATAGATGAGGATATGAAGAGACACTTTGCCAATCCATAGTGTGCTCTACCTGTGGACTGAATCAAGCTCAGCGTCAGCCACCTAGTGGACGCTGACCAATGACACAGATTGAGCTGGAAACCACTTCCGTATCTTCAGTCGACTTTGAGTTACTTCCATCTCTAGGTGACTCCAGGCTGCGTCTTACATATCGCACTTTCCCCTTTTCGACTAGTACTCCTGATCACTTTTTGTACTCAGTTTTATGTCTTAGTAAATGTATCCTTGCGTGAACTCCCGTTCTGATATCCCCCCTGATAGTGTTGCTAGGTTTCACATACCTTACATAGAGTCTGCAATAACCCACAAGTGCGTTGAGATATAGAACCAGGTGTTATTGGGACTCATCTTGGTCATCACGTCCATCATTGAAGCTGGACCAGCAAGATACGCTTACGTGCATGCAGCATATAATGTTTTTCATGCCACAAGTCAAGCAATTTAAGACAGGTCAAGCCGATCGTCTGGAGCCGTATGATTGGGTTGCATCATGGCTTCTGGAAATATGCAGGCTGGTATCTCGTGTGTCGGTTGCGCCCGTCTGAAAAAAATGGTGACTCAAGTATGGTACGCTACGACCCGAATCTTGAAGGCCGACGTGCGGTTGACCAGCCTAGAGTTCCGTGCGTGATACAGCCCTGCTGTGACAGAGACAGGAGGAGAATAGAGGTTGCTGAAGACTCATGGAGAGTTGGGTTCACTTCCTAACTACATGTCGTCGGTGTACATGGGACCTTCATGCCAGATTGGCAGTCTGATACTACACAGAAGACCAAAGTAGGTCGCAACCACGAGAGCAGCGACATGTACACCTAAAAGGACTAACGATCCATTGAGAATACCAAAGGACGTCCCATCATGTGGTTTGAGGAACGAGAAATCAAGGGCCGCTACACAAAGTAACGGATAAGTGACCCAAGGGTTCGGGCTCAGCGTCGAGCACGGATTTAGGATTGAAACAGCTTTTGCAAGGAATAGCGAGGTCTTCAGAATGAACACCACGATAGGTATCTCGAGGAAACGGTAGATTCGTCCAGTGAAAGTAGGTGGTGGAGGGAGCAAAAGTCGCTGTGGGCCCTCGTCGGGCAGGTGCGGTGAGGTTGCGCGAGACGTTGCTTTATGAGTACGAAGGACAACTCCCGAATTTTCCGGTCCACATGTGGTACTATCGGCGACAGAGTTATCTGAAGGTGGACTTGGCGATCTTGAAGGCTCTACGGTGGAATGCCGCAGCTTAGACGGTCCTGGTCTGACAAATGTTGACCTTGTCGGTGTTTTTCGTGCAGAACTTTGACGACTTGGACCTGTTGGGCTATCTACAGACGAGATGCGAGGTTCCATGTCCTCCGCTACAAAAGATCCGGAAAAGTCAGGGAGTTCATCTGCGCTTGTACCGCGATTGAATTGTTTGAGAATTTCCAACGTATTTGGTCGTTGTGCTGGCTCAAGAGAGAGCAACCTTTTCAGAAACTTGAATAAAAGTTCTGGCAATGCTCTTGAGTTCTTGTGATCCTCTTCAAAACCAGCCCATTCAACGATTTCCGCTTTCAGTTGATCGACATCTTCATTGTCTTCATCCAGACCGTCGGCGTTGCGATAAGGCAATCTACTGAAACACATGAAGTGTACGATCATCCCAAGTGAGAAGATATCAGATTTCGTTGTGAAGTTGCCAAGGGCTCCGGAGCTTAGGTCACGCCGGAGCACTTCTGGGGCACAATATGAAATTGTGCCTGTCGCTCCAGTCGACTTGCGGTCGACATTGACCAACTGGACCTCTCCAAAGTCACTTAGCAGCACTTTATATGATTGCAGACCGGTGCGCTGCAGTAGACAATTACTGGGCTTGAGATCGCGATGTATGTAACGGTTCGTATGAAGATGGTGCAGACCCGCAGTAATGTCTCTTGTAAAGCTCACGATCTCGTCGAAAGTCAATCTTTTAGGTACAGTAGAGTCCAGAGGAAACTCTAATTGGCCCTTTGAATGTCGCCTTCTACGGTCTTTGAGTTCTTGTGGAGAAAGAGTGGTTTTAGTGGGCCCAGCGATGTATTTGTAGAGATCACCAGCGTTACAGTATTGCTGCAGAATAAAGGCGCAGGGAACTCTGGGACCAAATGACGAGAGCTGCCAATCTTCAAGCCAGATATGCCGATATGAGACTAGGTTCTGATGTGAAAGATTTTGTAGCACTTGTACCTCAATCAGAACCTTGCGAAGCCATTCGTGATCGTCACCGACAGGCACTCGCTTGCAAGCAAAATGCCCCAAAGAGACACCATCAAGAACATGTCGAACCAATAGGACTACACCTTTTCCACCTCGTCCAAGCTCTTTCTCCTCGACAAAGAACGTTTTGAAATAGCCTTGACTAAAAGCTTCCGTGGAGATATTTTGTGACGCTGGAGTAGTTTGGGGTGCAGGCGCACTTCCAATGAATTCAGCTTCAGCAGGGGGCGTTCTCGTGTAGTCATCGCTCTCCACCACTGGTTGCCTGATCCTCTTAACTGGTGAAGGTGGACGTGTTGAAGTGGTAGAGCCCGGCGCGCTGGACTGGAGCATGCGGAAGTACTCTGGATTGACAAATCCCGGCGCAGGTGTGGTATCGGCTTCATGCTCGTTATCGTGATACACTTCTGGATCGGGTTCTTCTCGTAAGGGCCGATGGCAGTATGGACAGTCGGAAAGCTCCACGGCATCAGATCGAGAAGCATCTCTCAACGAGAGCTGTTTTGATCGCTGATCAAACACGACAACTGCTGAGCCATGGCGCCTAGAGAGATGAACAATGTCAGTCCAATGCTACAGCCAAAGTTCAAAAACTCCCAGCGCATATACAGATGATACTTACAAAACGATCTGCCGCGATTCTGCAGGTAAGTAGGGTACCAGAGAAAGGTTGCGCTGCGGTGGGGTCTCTGCCATCACTTGGAGTCGCGTGCGTAGGTCAGGGAATATAGTAGAGTGCAAACCTCTCCAGAAACCCTTCCAAATGAAGATGTTAGCATGGCGACGATGACTCGTCCGTATGCGGACCAAGCGCAGTGTTTTGAGGTTTATTTTGGCAAGAAGGCAACTCTGACTTGGATCTTTCCCATGCCGCATCAAGGGTTATCCATGCTAACTAGCTTTTCGGCACCGGCGTGACTACACTACCTAGACACATAACACCAACGTACACAACAACTCTAACGGAGGAATTCAGCACTACCACCTCCAATCTTGTCGATTGCTTGTCTCAGCGCAATTTCTCGACGCGTCTCGTACATATATAATATATAGTACAAGTGATAGATGAACGAAACGCCGCCAATGCCGTACCAACGCCTGCAGCTGCCGGAACCTTAAGCCATGCTTCGCCTCAATCGCCGAATGCTGCCTAGGCACAAGAGAGTCTGAAGAGAGCTGAATCTCAATCCAATTCCTCGAATCGGCCTTCTTGTACAGCTTGCTCCACGGGATTTCTCACATTCATGACACCCGTTTTCTTCAATCTGTGTACATATTAGTATGCGCAAACGATATATTGATTCGAATGAATCGGAGATCGAAGTTACAGACCTTTCGAAGAGGACGAACAATTTTTCTGCTTCCCTTTCCTTTTCCTCTTCAGTCATCTCTGGTCCAGTCTCGATGGCTTCCGCATCAAGACGCTGCCCGGTAATCGGGTTGATTGGTGTACCCTCCGTTTGGCTACTGAAAGCGTCTGATGCGTTCTCAGGTACTGCAATATTGTGGCTCATTAAGAAGCCTGAGGCAAAGCCGTAGCCAACATTTTTGACAAATGTTGACGCATCTTTACCAGAAATTTCAAAAAACATAGCAGATATAGACTCTCGAAGGTTCGGAGTGGAAGGGCAAGTTGATAGTCGTAATAGCCGGGAAGAAAGTGTGTCAGATTGCCCGAGAGGCATGTTTCTCTCCTCATCCGTTGGTAATAATAAACACTGCATATATCGTTTGACAGTGTCTGGAGCGAACTCGTACACTCTCCGGATAAGTACCAGTACAGGTGCTGCAACTGTATCTAGCTCCTTTTCCGGATACTGAGTGATGGCCATATCGAGAATTTTGATCAGGTGCTCCGCGTTGAGCTTCTGATCAAATTTTGGAAACACCGGATTAACGGCGAGTGGCTGGCTTCCTTTCTTTCCCTCTAGGTCGAGATTCATCAATGCGTTGACGAGGTAACATACAGGCGGATGCAAGGGCGGAGTTGGAATACGAGTGCGAAAAAGTATCTTGAAGATATGCGCGATCGATTTCGAAAACATCTCGGCCAAGTCAGGGTAGAAGTTGGTGATATTGAACATCAGTTTCAATGTTTCGGACAACGCCATGTCTTCCATCGGGGACGCTATAGAAGAAGCGCGTCGCCCTGACTTGGGATACCGTTTCGAATGTCGTGCTATATTCTGGTTTATTGTCTCGGCCAACTGACTATCTCTCATGAGTTTTTCAAAATCCAGATTCGTCCCATAAGTTGTGAGGAATAGTATGCGGGATGCGAGGAACTCATCGTCGCGGTTGTCGCTCTGTACTTTGTGAGTTCCATTGAATATGAATTTTTGACTTTCTTGTGAACTAACTTTCAGAAGTTCGCAGACTTTCTCTGAGAATCCCAAATCAACGAATATTTGGCGGGTTTCGGTCTGTAGGAGTAGAGCATTGGCTAGGCAGCGGAGAGCTTCGCGGGAAGTCGTAGTAGATGGGCTATGAAAGCCGTGTCGACACAGCGTATCGATGCCCTATTATTGCAAAGCGTCAGAATCATGCGCAACGTTGCGGAGTACATAAGTATACGTACCTCTTTGGTGAATATTGGATCGGCGTTTTCAACGGACCGGCCGTGAACCTTGAGCTTCTCCAATGCTTCATTTCTCTCTACGCCAGGCCACTTATCAGCTTGTAGTACAAAGGGCTACATATGTCTATGTATCTCACGTTGTGGTAGAAGATTCATCTCGGTGAGGTCGGCGCGCAGCATATTTAGCATCTCCGTTACCTCCTGCAATTTATCTAGAATATTGCATCATTAGCAACCCAACTCCCGCAACGCACAGCCGCGCCTGAGACTACGACTCACCCTGTCCGCTACTGGACTTCATTTCAATCATGGAGGCCATCGCAACATTGGCTGGGTAAGTTTGAGGAACAGTTGCGAGAGCCCTGAAACGACTGGGGCGGCGAATGCCCATCAGTACGGGCAGCGAGGAGGCGGTGGGACTGACTAGTGGACACAGTGCAAATCTGGGAGAGCAATGCCCCGCACGAACACCGTATTACACAGATGGGATATCAAGTTGATTTAACACGAGTAGTTAAAAGGATTCCTCAAGGCCCATCATCCATCTTTCATTGAGGCGTTCTCTCGCTAATCAGCCCTCAGCCAGGCGCAATGTCCAGGGTCAGAATTTCCAGCAAGGCAGCCGATGAGGCCTGCAACAAAGTCAAGGGTGGCGCATGTGACGAGTAGCATACAGAGCTGTCACGGCGCGTGACTCTGTCTCCTGTCCAAACATTGTTCAGTGGATACAGGCTTTGTCATGAGAACGCTGCTGGCAAAAGGGAGATGCATGACGAAGGGCTACCGTATATTTCCCACTTGCAGGTCCTTCCAGGGAGGGCTACCGGCCGATGACCCTGGTTTCCCCAGATTCTAAGCGTAGCGCACGACCTGGCGCCAGGACCACCTTTCAGAAAGAGACGGTGTTGAGTTCGCGTTTGCGACGTGGTGAGCTGTATCAAAGTCGGGTTTATGCTATCACATATCCTTGTACGAGGCCTTGCTCTAGTCTAATGGCAATGAGAGAAGCGTCTACACACTTAGCAGCGCATGAGGTAGATATTGTATATACTAGAAACAGAATCCGTTTCCCTGTATAGATAGAGATTCCGTCATCGATAGTCCGACCAAGCAACAGTTCGGTCAGATATTTTGCTTGCCACCATGCCCGGTACGAAATGAAATGGAACTTATTAGACCACTAGGCTAAAAAGGAATTACAGAGCGATAGCCTTCCAAAGATGAATTTCTATGTCACGTGTCTTATGTGGCTGGTAAGGTTGGTGAGGCTGGGGAGCATTTTGACGCGTTCCAATAAATCGCGTTCTACGAAAGCGCGTACTAATCCGCGTAAAGTGGAAGTATATCGCTTCAGCGCTAGAGGCCGTCGTCCTCGAATATCTCCGTGGATACTCTCTGCATCCTCTCGCTGTCTCGGGACACACACGATGCATTCATGACCGTTGTCTTTCTTTTTGCTTCTAATCTGTGTTGGAGTTGCAGCCATGTCCATTTCTTCCAGTAATTCGCGATTTAGTTCCCTTCAAGCACGACCACCGACTCCACCACGAGACACCAGTCCCCAACCCGACATAGATGTAGAGCTCGATAAAGCAATCGAACTTCTCGAGGACAACTTTGACATCAAACAATCGAGCGGTACCCGCTCTATGGATGTTACTGCCCAGACTTTACAATTCACTCCTCCTTCCTCTGGCGGTGATCATATTTCGAACAGCAATAAGAGGCGGAAACGCGTCGAGATCTCTGGATGGAGTACATACCACAATCATCCTAACGCCTCTAATCTGAGAGCTCTACCTCGAGCAGGAACCCCGCTCAAATCTATACTAAAAGCGTCTGAGCCAAGTCCGCTGGTTGAGAACACAAAGAACATTGCTCCTGCCGCTGCACAGAGTGCTCACGACTTCGAAAGCGTGGAGAAAATGCTGCAAGCTGTGATCGATCAGCTAGCTGAAGAGGGCAGAGATGCACGTGGAGATGCCTATGTTGTACTCCAGGGCGCCTTGAAACACTATGAGGAGGTCCCTGGGGGTGTGAAGGCTCTAGTCGAAAGAATACCTACACTTCTAGGGTACATTGAGCGAGACATGGGATCCGAAGGTGTCATGAACATGACTGTGGTAACACAGGCCATCAAATTCACTGTTGCTCTGCTCCACATCCCACAAGCAGCGAACGCAATGGACGATGACTTTCGAGAGTTTGTTGTTGAGCGTGCCATCGCCATACTGGCAGATTCAAATGCACCCAAAGCGTTCACCAATCACTATTTGAATTTGGTAGGACACCAAAAGTTTCCATCTCACATCATGACAGACAAGAGAGTCGAGAGGCTTCTGGAAATCCTGAATCCGATTCATGATAGAGTAAAAGGCAACTCAATGGTCATCGTGCGTCTCCATGTATACAGACGATTGATTCTGCAATCGCCCCAGTCTATGGCCAGCAGACTGACACCCTGGCTCGAAAATGTCTTTCACGCAATGGTCAGCAGCATCAAAGAAATACGGTCACGGGCTATTGATGTCGGCCTTCTTGCTGCCAAGGAATTCTCATCTCTGAAGCATACTCATATCGCAACTTCGGCTATTCTCGACCACGAATCAAAGGTCGGGAAGTCTTATATTAATTACATCGTGGCACGCCTGACTCAGATGGCCGCAAAACAAGAAGAAGCCTTCCAGGTCCCTCAAATATGGTCTATCGTGGTATTACTTATGAAAGAAAGACCGGGGCATCTTGACACCTGGCGCCATCTAAAGTCATGGCTACGGGTGTTCGAAAAAGTACTCAAGAACTCAGAGGATAATGTACGAAAGCAGGCTGTTCTTGCGTGGAATCGCTTTGTGTACGTCGTGATCCTGAGAGACGGTGTGTCTGATAGCATGGCAAATCTCCTTCGTAAGGTCATCAGCGTTTGGTTTCAAGATGACAAGACGGAGAAGACCACTTCTAACGGCCGGACCCATGCCACAATGGCGTACGCTACTTTGCTATATTACTCCTTGCGGCCAGGCCTACCGACTCAATCCCACTGTCATTCATGGCGAAACTTTGTGAGCGAAATGGCTTTTCCTACTGACGGTGAATTTGGTCTCGACGCTTCAGTGATAACCCAGGTTCTTCATAGACTCTTGATGCGTGGGCAGATCAAGTTCTGGAACGAAGGCAAAGTATTCGAAACCCCATCATCAGCGACCCTCGAAGACCTTCCCCATCTTGACTCGAAGTGGATCAGACAGAATATTGCGCTGGTCCTCCAACCCATTCGCCTTTGCTTAAATAGCGGTCCATGGGAACCAACTATCAACAAATCGACTTCCGTCAAGGATATGTGGCTCTCGTTTACGCAAGCACTGGCTGAAGCAGGTGTTAAAGAGGTCACAGTCTCAATGGAGCTGAAAGATGCTATTGCGCACGTCACGAACATGTTTCATAGCTTCTGGAATGATTACCCTGAATCGCTTTCAAACCACCGACGCAATGGCGACATGTGGATGGAAAAATTCGGATTCCTCATCTCATCTGCAATGACAAGTCTTGGTCCTCTGTACTTCAGCGAGCGATTGTTGTCTCGGAATGGCGAGGCAGACTTTGAAGCAGCTCCGACACCTTCCCACCGGTCCCGGCTCCAGGTTTCGCTACACTCGCCATTGCTATCCCTTCTCGAGTCGATCCTAAGAGTTGGGCCTGACAGCATAGGGGACCAGAGTCGCCTTGCGGTGATACAACGAATGATAGCTACCTGTCTGAACTCAAGGAACATGAAACAAGCTAAAGTTCAGCTTCTCCGGGATTGCACAAGTATCATGATGCCTTTGGCTAAGGGAAGACCCATCAGTCAGGCCCTGTGGCATTACCTCGCGGATCTAACGTCAACAACGTTGCGTTCACCTCCAGATGGTATCTCTGTTCCGGGCAAGTCTTTCGCTTTCATTGTCGAAATTCTGTCGGCGGGTGTGGATCAGGATGACGTGCAGTTGCAACCAGCTTGGGAAGATCTCTACGAAGCATTTTCTGAGACTGTGGCACGCGACTCTGGAGATGCGGGAGTTACAATCGCTGTTTCAGAGCCTATGTCAGCTTTGGCTCCAAACAAAAGCTCTCTGACTAGAGTTACTTTTCTCCACATGGCTACAATGATTCTCAAGTATAATCGCCATCCCAAAAGCCAGCGTGCTCTACGACAGAGCCATGAAGCGCTGGGTACTTCTTCAAGTCATCTCCACCGCAACTCAGACTTCGATCCGTATCATAGTGTATACACTATGGTGCACCTCGCGCTTGTTCTGGCCTACAACAGTCTTGACTCTATCAACAAGAAAACGGTGCAATCGGTCATACATGAACTTCGTAAGGCCATCGAGACCTGTCCTCAGTCTCTGGCAGGACTGTTCCTGCGGAAGAATCAGGATTCTCTCAGTGTTTGGATCCAAGATAAGGATCGCCGCCTTGTCAACAGCAGTGCTGACAGTCGTGATATTGTTAACGAGGTACGCTTGTCTCGTCTTTTACATCGAGCCAGATGAGAACTAGCGGTCATATAGGCGCGAAAGTATCAGGATCATGAGCTAATTGCATATAGGTCATTGCTCTGTGGCGAACTGTAATTTTAACATTCAGGGCGTTGCCACAGAAAAACACAGCAACACTCGCTGCTCTGGACATTCTATTAATAGCTGGGTTCTCTAGTAGTCGACGCGAGATCGTCAATGCTACTGTGGAATTTTGGAACGACACGTTTGGAAAACAGGACACACTTGCTTATCCAAGCCCATTAGTGCCCGTCATTGAAAGGCTGCGACGAGTTCTTGACATCGAAGTTCCATCTTTTCCAGACATCAGCGCCGACGAGGACATAGTCCCCCTATCTTTCCTAGACTCCCAAGACGACTCTCTGATGAGCTCGCCAGTAAGCCCTAACAAGAAGAATAGGAATCTAGCTGTGACTAGATCACCAGCGTTCTCAAGACATTCTCCAAAAGTATCCCCCATGCGAACTCACAGTCGCACCCCTGTCCGGAAGGCATCAAAAGGTCGCCTTCGTCACGAGGACTCGCAGCTACAATTTGCAGCAATTGATTCGTCGCCTTTAGGCGGAAACGATGCTAGCTCTCAACTCTTGACGGAAAATCAGAAAGAGGTGCTGGCAAAGCAAAGGCAAGAAGCAGCTATGATGTTTCCCGACATCAGTACAGCAATATCGATACCACTAAGTGAGGCGAGCCCTGATAACTCTCGATTGAATATACTTCCCAGGAATCGGCCTAAAAGAGTCGTCAATACCCCTCCAGCGCGAAAGGAAACTCCTACCGCGAAGCTTGAAGCCCAAGTGTTTGTAGGATCTTCGCCAACACCTGTGCCCGGACAAAGGTCTCGTTCTACGAGTTCCGGACGCCAAAGGAGGATGGCCACGGAGCTTCCTTCATCGCCACCGAAGTCACCTGTACCGAGAATCAGTAAATTGGTTCTTCATTCTTCAAGCGATTTCGCCCAGGACCGTTTTATGCATCGATCCCACAACCACAAAGAACGTGAAGACATGATTGACATCGGGGAGAACGACTCCACCCTTGAAGCCCATGGTCTCGCTCCATTTGAAGACGAAGAAGCTGACCTTCCTGACGGAGAGTTCGATCAAGGACTTGATGATACAATGCCCGATGTTACTAGCTCAGATGCGGACATCCTTCTTAATGCACAAATTAATAACGAGATAACGTCGCGCAAGGAACGCCAAAGTCCTCAACCGCCCGTTCCCACGACTTTTAGCGATGTGTTCGTAGATGCCCCAACCGAATGTCTCGAACACAACGATATTGATGAAGCGGAATTTGTCGACGCATCGCCCGAGCTTGATACAGCTGTTGTCGCTGAGGAGGTGACCATCAGGCGTGAGAACGAGTCATCTGTACCTTTGGCCTTCAAAGCAGAGGCTGAGACAGAAACGGACGAGGAGCGCTTGAGCCAGATTGAGGACAGTTTCGCAGCGCCTAGCTCTTCGCAGGTAGAAGATGCATCTGCGTCCAGTACGAGAGCATCTCGCAAGCGCAAAAGTGGAGAAGGTGTCATCAATACTGCCGCGTCGAAAAGACCTAAGAGAGGGCAGGGCACAGGACTTGCGAACGACTCCCAATCATCGCAAACGCAACGCAGACGCGGCCCTGGACGTCCACGCAAACAGATGACCGAACTCACCTCGTCGCAACTTGAAGCTGCCCTTGATCTGACGTCTGACGGGTCCAGCGAGGTCCCATCACAGCCGCCATCAGTAGTAGAGTCAACGGCATCAGAGTCAAGACGGTTGAGTCACGTCCAGGTCACGCCGCAACACGAGAAGACGCGTAAGCGTAGCTCAGATCAGGCACTAGGTCATGTAGAGGTGGAAGCGAACTCAGCTGCCTCAAGCTCACAGAGGCAGCGCCCGATCTTGCGGCCGAAGAGCATTATAGATCGACTGAAAAGCATGCTTACCGATCTCAAGAGTTACGCATTTGGATCAATGGAAGAATATCACGAGGCGGACAGCTTAATGGCTGCCATTCGAAGAGAAGGGTTTCGGGCGAGTGAGCGGGGCGAGCAGGACTTGGAATAGTTTTCCTGTATTGTTTGTTACGAGTGGCGCTCGTTGGGTGTTTGAAACCATGGGTTTAGGCGGCGTAGCAACAGGTGTTTGGTGAAGTGGCAGTTTGTATAGCATGGACAGCCTGTACAAGACATCCCGATGATGGCCCAATTCGCCTTATGAAGTATTGGAAGCGAAGTCGTGGATGTCGTTAGCCGCCGTTTCAGATGAATGTGATCAGTTCAAAGACGGCGGAGCCTATAGAGCTCCTCGTCGCCGCAGTCTGCCACTTCTTTGCATTCCTAGAGCACTATAGGCCGCCCATACAAGACAATTAAATCGTACCACTACAGAATTCGTAAAACACATGCCGCAGCTAACCCAGAATCTCGCTGGCGTCAGAAAGTGTTACGGTGAGGTCAGAAACGCTGCCCCGCTATTTTATATGTCTATCCTGTGCCACTACAGTACATAATCTTGGCCTTTCAACCTCTCTCAACTTCCACTTTTCTCTAACTTCATCCGCCCTCTCAAGTGCCTTCTACGATCATACATTCCACCCATATTCACCTCCGTATCATCAGTCATGGTTGACCGCCCCAAGAAACCCGGCCCAATCGATGCTCCTAAGCCCTCTTCTGCCCCGCAGCCCATTGTCGATATCGCCCAAGACAACTCTACCGTCACCGCGAAGCTGCCCTCAGGCGAAAGCGTTTCTGTACTGTTATATGGTGCCACTGTCACAAGCTGGAAGAATGCGGACGGGTCTGATAACATGTGGTTGAGCGAGAAGGCAAGCTTGGACGGGAGTAAGCCAGTGCGCGGGGGTATTCCAGTCGTGTTTCCTGTACGTCGCTCTTCAGGCCTCATGACCGTTGCTTAGCAAAGAGTGAAAACTCAGAGACAGGGCACATATCTGATAATTTTCAGGTCTTTGGTCCCCCGCCCTCCGACCACGCAACATCCTCTCTTCCACAGCACGGATTTGCACGCAACTCGCGTTGGGAATACCTGGGTAAATCAACGTCCGAGTCTCCTCCGGGCGCCACAGCCGCGGGTGATGGTGGCGTGAAGCTTGACTTTGGTCTCTCGAACGCGAACCTCAGCGATGAGTTCAAGAAAGCCTGGCCACACGAATTCGGGCTTGTGTACAGCGTCACGCTGACAAAAATTGGGCTGCACACCAGTCTGAACGTTCGGAATGAAGGTAGTGGGACCTTTGAGTTTCAGGTGTTGCTGCACACCTACCTGAGAATTGCGGTAGGCTTCCGCTTGCTCTACAGTTGCGGTATCGCAGTCGCTGACGGATATAGGACATCTCCAAAACAAGCATAACCGGCCTCATGGACGTCTCTTACACCGACAAAGTCCTCAACGCAACCACTCACACTGAGTCCAATGCCTCTCTCAGTATCTCCGGCGAAGTTGACCGCGTATACGCGTCGATCCCGCAAGATACAACTTCCGTGCTCATAGACAATAAGCCCCGCTTCGACGTGGTACGGGACAACTTCCCGGACACGGTGATTTGGAATCCAAGCAAAGAGAAGGCTGCCGGAATGAAAGACTTCGCACCAGCTGATGGCTGGAAGAACATGATCTGCGTGGAAGTTGGACATGTGAATAGTTGGGTGAAATTGGAAGGCGGTGAGGGATGGGAGGCCGGGCAGGTCATCAAGAGCCTACTGTAGTGAACTGGAATCTGACAGAGGGATGGAGTATCGAACATGGGCTGCCAAGGACTCAGGAACGGATCCTTTGGATGAGATGTAGGACACCATGGTTCAGATATCAAGGGAGGTCTAGACGTTTGGGCCAGCACACATAGGCATGTGTGAGACATCAACCCTTTTTCAGGCAGTGGTGTGGTTAGCACAATAGAAACGATCCACAGGTATGGAATAGCAATAACAATTTTGCTTGCTCAGGTGATTGCAATACTGTTCTCAGGATTCGCTGGCGATTGGCGTGTTCATTCTACTGTAACCCGTATGAAGTCATGTGTTCTACAAGTAACTCTCTGAGCTAAGATCTTTCCTATGATATCTATCCGAGAACGACAACTTCTATGAATTACCTACGATAATCTGCCTCCACTCGAGTTGCATCTCGCAAACGGAATGTTGCGCCATCAGTCCTCTGTCTACGATCATCCCACTCACAATGACGCAGTAGGCATCTTTTCCAGCTCCGCCCCAGGCCTCAAAACATCCTCCAGAATCTCCCTCTCAACCTTCCCAACCCCATCCCCTGGTGCGGTAATATGTCCCAACCTGATCCACTGCACAACAACCTCACTCCTCCGCACCCTATTCTCCTCCACTCCAAGCACTTCCTTCCCAGCATCTCCTCTCCGCGCCCTACTCTCCGCCGTCTCCTCAATCCTCTGCTCCACCCCCTCAGGTCGCACAAACACATAAGTCCGAAAGTCACAGTTCCGCCACGCTGTGCCGGCCGTAAAGTCATCAATGCCCGCCCAATCGTCCGTGAAGTAGTGTAGATACCCACCGTGTGTGACAACGGCGATATGCGCCTCAGGTCGCTGTCTAAGCCAGGCCTTTGCGCGCCGTGCGCGCAAAATGATGCTTCCAGCGTCGGGACTCGCCATCGCACCGCCGTGCTTGAGATTCCAGCCGTCGCGGACGAGGCTGAGATCGACGCTGGGGTGGGCTGCGAATTCGGCTGCCAGGGCCGCGGGCGCGGAGCCGGTGTCGCAAGGCAGGTCGGAGGTTTCTTGGAGCTCGGGCAGCGCGATGATTGGGGTGCCGCGTGAGGCGATGATGGGGGCGAAGGTGTGTAGCGCGGTGTACAGGGTGCGGCGGATGGGGGAGGCAACGATGAGGTCAATCTGAGGCATGTGTGGGAAGGAGTTTGAGAGTGCTGTGCATTGGGACATGCCATGGGGGGTGAGGTCGGGGTCCGGGAGGATGTAGTTATCGGTGGAGAGGTTGTGGTAGCCTTGGGCGTGACGGATGCAGTGAATGGTTGGGGGCATAGTGGAGGTTGGAATCTAGTGAGTCGATTGAGGGTAGTGGTGAGAGTGAGGCTTGGTGTATTAGATTGTGATATCTGGGACTGATGGCGTGGTCTGTTTGACTCCGTTGAGTTTGTCCTTGAGATATGGGATTTAGAGGGGACATCATCAGTCGACCAGAAATCTGTATCTTATATAGCTGCATGTCATCGTCAGAACTGCCACGTTGAGTCAGTGTTTCCTGTGGATCTGATGAACTTTTTGGCGCCAACGAATTAAATCAGCTACCCGGCCGAAGTCAGAAAAAAATTTCCGCATCCGGTATCATGATTTAGCGCCAGTCTAGTTACATATCAAGAAGCTCCGGCGAGCTCAGCTGCCAATTAGGTCCAGCAAACCGACCGCGGAGGGATTCAGGATTGACGTCCAGATTCACGATGGAAACTTCGGGAACGGAAACTTTGTCGCATAATATGGAAATAAAATAAATCGACATCTGTCTTCTTTTCTTCGGAGACTTCGGAAAGCGATAACTGATTGGTTCAAAAAAGGCACGACACTAGTCGGACTCTGTGTTGTGAGTCTTGTCAAAGTCCTTCTTGACGTCCTCCCAGTCTGATCCATCCAAAGAACTGACATCACTGGCTATGTCCCACTCCTTGCAGAGCTTCTCCATCTCATTAGCATCGCCACGCTCTATTGCTCCCTTCTTATCTCGAGCTACCAGTTCGTGACCAGTCCTCATCAAGCCTTCAAATCGTTCCTCGATAGCAGATTGGGCCTCCGAAATGTCGACTGGTGAGAATACGATGACCTTCGGACACTGTATCTTACACAATGGCTTGATAATAGGCTTCATCAGCGCCTCGGTATCTGATCCGGAGCCAAGCAGACACGGTCGTTCTGAGGGCTTGCTTGTATACAAGACTTCGACTTTTTTCAGTGTAGAAGCTAGACTGCCAACCTGCGCACAGGTGACGGCCCAGTGGAAGCGATTTTGAGACAAGGGCAGCGAGAAAGTTGTGGCGATACGCATATATCGTATGGAACGCCGAGCGAGTGCTCCTTGTCGCTCGAGGAATAGGGGTAACAGCGCTTGGTTGTTAACTGGGTAAAAGATGGCGCTAGAGTATAGTATCGGAAGCGCCTCTCTGTAGACGTTCTTGCATGTGCGTAGCAATGCCGGACTGAGATACTCTCGAGGTCGACGTTCGTAGCAAATCTTTGGATCCCACCTCTTGTGGGGACTTCGGTTGTAGCCGGGTTGGGGTGACAGGTCGCGGTCGATCTCAACCAGAACACGATGGTTCGATGGGGTTAGAGCGTGCCCGTAGATAAAATCTCGAAGTTCTCGTGGTAGTTGAAAGAGTGAAAAGGCCGCATACTCATCCCATGATGCTGACAGGGAGGTGCTGCCCGTGGTCGTGGGCGAATGCGGCGGAGCAGAAGCAGGGCCAGGAGCATCAAAGTCAATTAGGAAATCGCGGTGTTCCTTCAAGTCACCCACGTAACTTGGAGGGTCGTCGCTGGGATTAGATGTATGAAGGGAAGTCTGAGACGGCGGTGCTCTGGGGCCTCTGAACAGGGTGTGGACGTATTCGTGGTCGCATTGGGCGTCAAGGTCTCGTGCTGTGCCGTGGTGAATCTCCATCATGGCGCCGTGGTTGTTCGTCGCATCCTAATTATCGAAATCGCTCATTGTATCGACATGAGTGGTCAGTCAGGGAGGAGTGTGACACCGATGGATATGTGTGGAGGTAGGCTGTCTGACAAACATGTGACGAATATGTGATGGATCATGGACAGAATACGATAGCGTCAATACGTATGGTACATAGGAGTGAATATATGCCGGGAGAGTTGAGATGGATAATGTTCCAATTTATGAGACGTAAGTGATAAGAGCTCCACGTATATATATCCATGCGTGGTTCAACTTCATATAAATAACCATCCCTTTCCGGGTGAGGAGCCTCAGGCAGCCAACTAGAACACGATTGACGCTCTGTGGCGGGCAGACTCCACTAATTACCCGCACGCAACTACGTAATCTGCATCCCAGCCGCAGTATATATGAGGCTAGCCGTCATCTCCTGGTGAGGGGCCTTAGGAGGGGCACGGCAGCTAGGTTTCTCCGGGTGCCGAACAATTTTGTGCGGGTGCTATTGTGATGACTCGAAGGTAGTATGAGTTAGTCAGTTGTCGCAAGTCAAATACCTCTCGAGATCAGAATTCCTGACTCCTTAATCGACTAACAATCATGGCCGAATCTGTCAAGAACGCAGTGGAGGCTGTGGTTAGCAGTGTCACAGGAAATACTGGCGAGTCTGCTGCTGAAGGTGCTCCCAAGCTACTGCTCGACGAGGTTACAGGGGAGCGTGTCTCCAAGAGTGAATGTGAGAAGTCTACCGAAATTCCAGTAGGCTTTGTCTAACTTCAGATCTACAGTGAAGAAGAGACAGAAGCAGCGGGAGAACGAAAAGAAGAAGGCTGAGAAGGCTGCTACTGCCCCACCAAAGCCTGCTGCTAAGAAAGCTGCTGGCGCCGTCAATGAGGCAGACCTGAACCCGAATGTGATGCATTCCGATCACATTTTCAAATTGATATTTACTGTCTGATAGCAATATTTCGAAATCAGAAGTCGGACGATCAACAAGCTGCGCGAGTCACACGAGCCCAATCCCTACCCACACGAAGTCGATGTTCGCAACCAAGACCTCTTCGACTTTTACAGCACTTTCGGGGAATCCACCAAGGCAGCAAGCTATACTCCCGAGGCAGGGCGCTCCTTGTTCGTTCAACGCGTACAGGGTTATGAAAAATGTACCTCGATCAGCCCGGAAGATGCGGCCGCGAAGGCAAAAGCTGGCGGATTGGCCGTAGACCACCCCAACAAGAGCCTACTTCCAGCGTTAGAGGCTGCAGCTGGCGCGATCCAGGCACCTCTGAGGTTCATCAAAGCAGCCAAGGTTTCTAGTGGACAACGAGGAGAGCACAAATACTTAGTATCACTTGATGCAGGCAAGAAGGTCAAGAAGAGTGGTCTCATTTTTGACGTGAAGCCTGGCAACCAGCAGGGGTCTCTCAAGCTTGTTAGAGAAGAGACGGAGTCAGAAAAGAAGAGAAGAGAGGCCATCGAGAAGAAGCGCAAGGAGGCCCTTGAGAAAAAGGCAGCCATCGCGAAGAATAGGCAGAAGGAGGATGAGAAGACCGAGGCACCCGAAGAAGTTGCGGAACCGGACAGTACCCCTGCAGAATATTGGGAGGTTGTGGATGTTGATGGCGACAAGCCTGTAGAATTCTACAAGCTCATCACACTTGAGAAGCTCCAATCAGCGTTCCCAGTTCAGACATACATTCACAGTAGCGAGGTATTAAACGGACATGACTCGATATTAAGAGATGCACAAGGCGAGACCGTCCTGGAGAATGTGAGCTCATCATGGCACCCAGTGTTGCGCGCTCCGAAGGAAATGCGCATCGGCGCCAGAATCTATACCATGAGATCAGCTGGTTCCAACCTAGTCTTCTACGACATCCGCTCTCAAGGAATTCAAGTCCAAGTCATGTGTCAGAAGGAATTCGCCAAGGGTGACTTCGCCAAGCAACATGAACACTTGCGACGAGGCGATATCGTTGAGATCATCGGGTACCCTGGGAGGACGAATCCTGCCAGTAGACAGACTGAGGAAGGTGAATTAAGCATATTCGCAACTGAGGTCAGGCTTCTTTCGCCTTGTCTGCATCTCCTCCCTGGAACTCGCAAGGACAGCAAATTCGAAGACATGGAAGAGCGCCACCGACGTAAGCACCTTGATCTAATTATGAACGATAATGTCCGACAGACTTTCATCACTCGGGCAAGAATGGTCACATACATCCGCAAGTACTTCGACGAGCATGGTTTTATTGAGGTCGAGACCCCAATGATGAACCAGATCGCTGGTGGCGCTACAGCTCGACCTTTCAAGACTTTCCACAACGACTTGGACCAGGATTTGTACATGCGTGTCGCTCCGGAGCTATACCTCAAGCAATTGATCGTTGGGGGTATGGAACGAGTGTACGAGATAGGCCGTCAGTTCCGTAACGAAGGCATTGATCTTACTCACAACCCCGAGTTCACCACCATTGAATTCTACGAAGCCTTCGCTGACTACAACGTGATGATGCGTCGAACAGAGGAACTCGTATCTTCGCTGGTCAAGTATATCACTGGCGGCTATGTTACCAAGTTTGTTACTCAACACGGGGAAGAATATACTGTCAACTGGGAAGCTCCGTGGAAGAAAGTGCATATGATCAAGACTCTCGAGGAGAAGCTAGATGTTCAATTTCCTCCTGGAGAAACGCTACATGACAAGAACACCAATGATTTTCTCAGAGGCGTTATCAAGAAGGCTGGTCTTGAGTGTACCCCGCCACTAACGAATGCTCGCATGCTCGATGCTTTGGTGGGTGAGTACATTGAGGAAGATTGCATCAACCCAACTTTCATCATGGGTCACCCACAGATGATGTCGCCGCTGGCCAAATACCATCGATCCGAGAAAGGGCTCTGCGAACGCTTCGAGGCGTTTGTTTGCAAAAAAGAGATTGTGAATGCTTATACGGAGTTAAACGATCCTTTTGACCAGAGATTAAGATTCGAGGAGCAAGCAAACCAGAAGGACCAAGGAGATGATGAAGCACAATTGATCGATGAGACTTTCTGCGAGTCTCTAGAATGCAAGTCAATATTCTCCCTACGCTACTTATTTGGAAAGCTAATATTTTATAGACGGTCTCCCGCCAACAGGAGGTTTTGGCATGGGTATTGACCGACTGGTTATGTTCTTGACGAATCACTACAGCATCAAGGAAGTCTTAACCTTCCCAATGATGAGGCCGATCGACAATACTGCTCCAAAGGCAGCAGAGATCACTAATATTGTGCCTGTTCCGACCGAAGGCATCCGTACGTCCTCTGACCCCGTAAACCAAACATTGACTAACTATCTTTAAGCCCACAAATAGAACCTTGGGTAGTATCTGACACCGGATTGATGAAATCCCAAGTATTCGCAACGAATTGTTAAGTATAATGGCCAGATCCACGGATTATGCGCCCTTGAGCAGGTACAAAGATAGTGAATCACTGTACGCGAATAGAAAAATGCGAACCTTCAAGCCATAAACGACGTCTTTGACTGACGTCTTTACAAAGTCGGAATTATTATACTAAGAAGTTTGATGCTGCTCCAATGTCTCTTCATCCTTATATGATCGCGATTCCGGACATCTCACGAAAACTTTAAAGTTCTATAAAGCTCGACTAGTATCTGTGAGCTCGTTAGCACAGCAGTTCACAGTGCTGGGCCTATCTGGGCTTAGATACAATTCAATCATACGACCAGAGGTTCATCGAATACAGCAACACTCATGTACACCTATCGGGAATTTTTTGAAATCAACAGAACCTCTAGCACGGAAGAATAGGACGTTTCGAGTCACTGCGGCCTTTTGTGTAGCCTAAGTAAAGATTTGAAGAAGCTCGTTAAAACAGGGAACGTAATAGAACACCTAGAGATGTCTAAATCGATGTCAGTACAGAACTATAGGACGACTAACAATATCGTAAGTATTATCAGCACCCAATGTGGTGAGAACATCTGCCCGTGATTATCAATTTGCCCGCCTTAAACGAGGACTTGCTCCTGTTGGGCCTCCAGTGTCACTTGACAGGTATCTCTATCACATTTCTTGCTCCGGCTCATTACCCCCCGTGATGCCTCCTGCTTTCAATCCCGAGAAATCACTTATTTTCAGATATCATATATATATGAGGTTCACAACCCGTCACACTCGGCCGTCTTCTTACCCACATAGCGTATCTATATAGATCAGAAACGACATCTGACCATTGTCACTTTCAATTACCCAAGTAATCAGCGTCGTATCGCTTACAAGTCTTCTCCAGTCCTCACTTCCGCCACCACGGCCCCTTCCTGCGCCAACCTTTCCACCAAATCAAACAGCATGAAGTCACACCCGTATCCTGCTAACAAACTCACCGCGACCGGCGCTTTCTTGACCGTTCCCGTCACCGGACTCTCAAAATCCACACTCCCAAGTGGTATCACTACCTCCGGCACCCCGGCCAACTGCGCAATACCGTATTTGTTCCATCCCAAGTAAACATCCTCGCCACTTGGCCGTTCCACGCCATACGTCTCGCGACTCGACGGCACGCCCTGCACGAGTGGACTCACCAAGACAGCATCCGAGCACGAAGCAGACGAGAAGTCAGACTTGAGCAGACGCGTGCGCACCCAGTCCTGGAACACAGCCTTTGACGCGCGGATCCGCGCAGCGTCGGCGTCGGTCTGGTTCAGTCCGAACGCATAGTTGCGTGCGACTGGTGGGTCAAGATGGGGTCTGTCGCCGTCGTGTGCGGCGGCGTAGTCACGGAAGAAGGCCGGGAAGACGAGGCGTGATTGGGCGTATGTGGTCAGTTTGCTCCATACCTCACCGACGTGGTCGGGCGGGTAGAGGTTTGTGCCGGAGGTCTGTTTATAGGAGGTGTAGATGTCGATTGGAGTGCGGGTGGTGTTTAGGAGGCGCTCGAGCGCGACGACGAAGGCTTCGTATAGGGGGGCAGAGATGTTAGTTGAGGGAAAGAAACCTGGGCTGGGATAGGCCGTTGTGTTTATATCAGGTGTGTCGAGTGGGTATAGCAGTGTTGATGGGAGGGCAGGGTAGGATTTGAAGAGCGGGTTTGCGGCATACCATGCCTTGCCCCAAGCAGCGAACTGAGAGGCAGAACGCGCGACGAATGCCAGTGTGTCCATTTCAGGCGAGAGTATCACGACGCCTGATGTATCCAGTGCGTCCTGGCTTGGACGGTTCCCGTATACACCGCTGACACCCGCGGGCGCTCGCACAGAGCCGCCGGTGTCGGAGCCGATGTTCATGTCAATCCAGGGGTACGATGCCTCTGCGGATCCAGCGCCTGCGGATGAAGAGCTGGGGTCCAGGTAGCCATCACCACGAGGGTTGAAGGCGTCGTGGTAGTCGACCCAGTCGATCGTTGGGGCTTCGCCGTTTGCGAACTGACTGGTGCGTGTTTTGCCGACGATGATACCGCCCAGGTCGATGAGGCGTTGGACTGAGTATGCGATGGTGTTGACAGGTGGATACAGGTGGAACCAGGCTTTGTTGCCCATGCTCGTCTTGAGACCGGCGAGGTCGTAGATGTCTTTCAGGCCGATGCGGACGCCGTTAAGGGGCTTCTCGGATGATGGAGCTGCATAGTATAGTCGAGATGGTACCGCGATGGTGGCGGAACCGTCTGTGAATGGGTGTGTTGCGGGCAGGGTGCTAAATTTCCCGCTTCCTTCATCTATGACGCCGTAATAGAATGAGAAATTGTGGTCGTTGTACAGCCGGAACGCTTTGTATATCTTCCAGTTCCTTGCTCCTGCCATGAGGAAATATGGCCCTTCCGAAAGATCACTCAGTTGCTGTACATTCAGCGGAACGAGAAAGGAATCGATCCCCGCAGACCCGTTCTGGTGACACAAATCTGGCGAGTGAACAATCGTCAAGTCCGCAAACGCTGTCGTCCACACATCATCTTCATTCCCAAACCGCTCAATCGTCTTTTGGTAATTCTGTACATGCTCCTCATGAATCAATGTAACAGGAACATATGCGTCCTCAAAGTCAACCCCGAGTGCGTCAGGAGCTGGAAACACTAACTTCGTATCCATCAGTCCAACCCACTCAGTGACCCTCATCTCGAAGAAAACAACACACCTCCGGCGCAGCAGGAATGTAATATGCATCGTTCCCCACCATTACCGTCTGACCCCTACTCTGCGCAACTATAGGCATATGGGTATCTCCTTTCCCTGCCGCTTCCACGGCCGCTCCGAGGCCTAGCCACAGAGATAAATTCGAGAGCGCGACCATATTGTCGAAGGTGAAGGCAGTATACGGAAGCATAGCCCATCAGAGGACTGTAAAAACGGAAGAATTCGGTATTTGCACAGCCACTAAAATGGCAGACTGGGTAGCTTGGTGGTTATCTCGCAACATTGGCATGGATCGATGACGCTGGATGATTAGGGTAGCTTTCCTGATTGGGTTAGTAGCGTATTATCGACCAATCACTACTCTTGTTGCTGGGTATGCTGAGGACCCTCATAGAGTCTTTTTGGTTTTGAGCTAGATTGTGGGTATAATGTGAGTCTTCCTATACATTATAATGAATTTCAAGTCTGATAGCAGGGCGGTCTAGGTAGATAATCTGTCTCTCCGATGGTATTATGTCTTGAAAGCTCTTCTCTCTTACTCTTTGTCCCCATCCTTAGAATATTCGGTATCGTCATCATCACATACACTCGAGCAGTCAAGGACGCTGTCCGTAGGCTGATGATATAGCTATCAGTATATATTGTTGCAGTAGTAGTCTCGAGATCACATACATCAGGTCGACTACAGCATTGCAACTCCCACGCATCCGAAGTTGCGCAAAGTCGCTCCAGAGCATGTGGATCTGGCTGTGTCCAGCAGTAGTATGTTCTATCACTGTCTCTTTCTTCCACGCAGCACCACAGTGAGGTGCTGTCGTGGGTAGGACATCTTGGTTTTGAGGCTCGATTGTTCAGGAGGGATGTGGTGCAGGTGCATACGACGATCTGCAACAAGACAACAAAAGGGACGAAGTACATGGCTGTAGATCTTGAAGGTTATGGTGTGGGAAATGGGTGTGTAAGTCTTGGTGTATGCATATTTGGGCAATTATGCGATATAAGAACCGAGAAAGGCGCCATCGGAAGGGACGTGTTAGAGAATACGAGAGTTTTCTTTGTGCTACTGATGGCTTTTCCAATGAATACATCTTGAGTTGGACAGACAGTCAAGCGAAATTGTAAGGATGAGTTTGCTTAACATCATACATACTCTTTCTGCATCTTGACATCAGTGCTGCTGCAGCTCCTTCTAAGCCTTATCATCGTCATCGTCGTCGTCGTCGTCATCATCGTCATCATCGTCGCCATCATCATCATCATCATCATCATCGTCGTCGTCATCGTCGTGATCATAATCCACATCTGAACAGATCAAAGCACCAGGGGTCGCATTCTACCTCATAGTCAGCTCGTATTCTCGCAGTTTTACGCAATAGTTGGAGAACTCACTTCATCTTCATCCTCCGTACAACATACTAGATACCACTCGACCCACGAACTACATCGCCTTTTTACCCAATCCTCGTCATCATCGGTATAGCAGTCTGTCAGGCTATTAAGAGGTTTGTTCTTGGTACAGCACCAGATGTCTGTTTCCGAGTAGCACGTCTCGTGTTCGCGGCGTGATAGCTGCACCAGTGTAGGAGGTCGGGCCTCTGTAGTGCTTACACCCAGTAGTAGCAGGGAAATAAGGGTAGAGTAGAGCATTGTGCTGTAGACTGCTCGTAATACTCTATCAGGGCTTTTGAAAAAAACCTGCCTCTGGGTCCGACCCAACATGCAGCTTTTGTAGTCCCATGAACAAATAACTGTTTATCGAAAAGAAGCCACAAAGAACCACTTTGGGGGCTCTACATGAGTATACGACGCGCTTGGTAATTTGTGGAGTGCCACATGTATCGACTCGCCTATTTTGACAAGGGCTTTGATTGTCATCCCCTGGGAGCTGGACAGCCGCAAACGTTTTGTACGAGAGTTAGGCGAATGATCACCGTAGACTTACGTAACTCGTCGTCAATAAAACGTCTATACTCTGTCGTCCTTGAATAATGCCTTACCTTAGTACATATTCAGGCGCTTATTACAGTGACACCAGACTTCGTATACTGGACATTAGAAGTATGTCGTACCACAACGCGTCATACGCTGCACAGGCGATCATAAAACCTCCTGTCCTCCATATTACAGCACTCCACACGCAATTTCACGGCATCGCAAGGAATTGACCATTCAATATGCCAGCGGTAGAGTTGGAGCGATGCTGGCGATCTGGTGACAAATGGATACTAGACGCCAGAAGAAGCCTTCGCACGCTGCAGGTTTTCAAAGCCATTCGAATCGGAGTTGATCCCGGAATCTAGCCGTGGAAGATATACATAGGTATTGGGACCCGAGTGCGTTCTCATATATCGAGTTCGGTACTACGTCGTATTGATATTGGATGCTCACAGGACTGTCTGTGCTGTACTTCTCAACAAGCCCTGAAATGTTACGTGCGAGTGAGCTTTATAAACCCATTGTTACAGTCACAGAGATACTTTACGTTGGATCGAGTAAGAGAGTATGTTTTCGACTAAAAAGGAGTTTTTGCTACCGCGTAGGAACCAAACTACCCGGTACTGCCTGAACACCACTTATCATCTTCGGTACCTTTAACCATAACTCAGTCCTCATTGGTGTCATCATCACTCTCAAGAAAGTCTTCATAATCCTCCTCGTTATCATCCGCATCGTCATCCTGCTGATAAAAGTTTCCAAGGTGTGCCTTACACTTGCCCGACGCTACAATGTTTGTGTATGTGTTGCCTGGAGCATCGGCCTTGCAGTCATGGGGTACGACGCTGCCGAGATGCATTCTGGCGTTGCCATCGCAGGTGATGTCGGAGTAGTGGTAGACATCCTGCCCGCAGTTGGTATTGCCGATCTGGATCCGGTCGTCGCCGCCGAAATGCCTGCCTTGGATGTAGATGTCGGCAGCCAGCGAGGTGCTGAAGAGACTGGCGAGGAGGAGGATAGGAGTGATAGCGTACATTTTGGAAATTGGAATGGTTGGACTTGGGTTCAAGTTGTGCGATGCCGTTGCGATGGCGTGTTTTGTCTGTTTATATCCAATTATTTTAATGGCAAGGAGGAGTAATGGAGTCGACAGTGTTCTGCTGAGTATCGAGCTATTGGAAGACGAGATCTAGCGTATATATAATGGACAAAACATTTGATCGACAGCCTACTTACACATAGAATCATCCTTATAATGTTGTGCTCTACAATGTACATCCGCGGGTACAAACCAAATAGGTTTCTAAGAGTGTGCCTGAAGGATTGAAGAGGAAGGCTTTACACCACAACATTATTTATTATTAGCCCTTACGCCGTCATAAGTAGATGATCCGACGGATCGAGAGCCAACATCGAACGTACCCAGTCGAACCTGAGGTCATCATGGGAGTACGTCGTTACACTGTTGTATTTTCGTATCGGGGACTCGTAGGTCCGTTTGGCAGTCTTAAGATTGGCAGTTTCGGTGGTTCAATACTCGATGGACTTCACGTTACATGTGTGCTTGATATTAGCAAGCTTTATTGGGCATTTACATCGAGACCGTTATATATGACGCTGCAACAGCGTATAATTTCGAGCTTCTCCACGTCAAGAGATAACAACATGTCTTCTTAACCAGGTCCGGAACAACCAGTACCGTGAGACTTGGACGTCAAATCATTCAGCCAAGAGCCACGAGATGCTCCTTTGCCCTGGAAGCCGGAGCGCGACGGAGCGAACAGGGTTGATGATAAGCAAAGCCGAAAGGTTCTTTCGGTGCTTACGACGACGCTTGGCAGGTGTTTCTTCCAGATGGATTGCGGGACGGGCAAGGAGCGGAGACTTTCTTGCCGCGAGTTCCAAGTGCTTGGCAGTCTTTCTTCGACGACTCGCACACCCAGGGTAGCAATACCATTCCTCTTGGCCAGCTGTTGCACATCAAAGGTAGCGCATCCGATGGAGGGGGCTGTAGTTGTCGAGAGTTCAGGCTATACCGGCATAGATGAGATGGTTCAAAGCTTACGCATCGACAAGGCCGCGCTCCTCGCGCCGTTCTACCTCAATCAAGAGGTCCATTCCGGACCGATTTTAAAAACCTGCAAGTCTCACGCGCCGCCTGCGATAGCACCGTCGCGGCCGCAATAACCGCCCCGCACGAGACAGAATTGTGTCCCTCCGTGCTATGGTACTGCATCAGCGACATTCGCTCTCGGCATAGCCGTCTCACACTCGCATGCGCGCGGTACGCTTCGTTGCATAGTTATCTTGGGACGTTCTGATAACAAGTCCTTGCGGCTAGGACCGATTGATTATTCTTAGGACCTGCTGTCAGAGATAGACATGCATACGGTGGAGACGTTTGATATTGGTAGCGTCTTAGCGGGTGCTGTCAGCCTTTTGCAGCATACTTGACTTGCAGCATATATCATAGCTAGTCATGGCGTCGAGTATAAAGTTTAATGTACGTGACATCAAGGACACGCTAGCAATAAGTACAGAGGTTGATTACATGCGTAAATGGCGTGAACCGTGGGTGCTCCCTAACCTATACCTGACGTTAATCTATCACGGCTTTCGGTGTTAAAAGAGGAAGCTGAAAGGTGCACACCATCTTCCCGCGCGTCGCACGGGCATTGACAGGAACGTGCGAGGCGTTCTAGAATACTGCAGGCTGGAGATAGCATACGAGGACAGTGGTGAATGGCTTGAACTCGGTGAGTGAATTATGCTAAAGCATCTTGATATTAAGGAAGTTGGAAGGAGTGTTCATCGTGTGACCATTAGGCCGAACTTGCAATTAATTTGTGTGCGGGGATCGATGGCATGCGGTTCGGGATGAGCCTTGAGGATTGATGGGGATACGTCGGCCAAAAGGAGGAGAGCTTGGTGGTGAAGGGTGAGGCGATAGGTGGTCAGTCCAAGAATTGTTACGCCATGAGACAAGACATATTGTCTTGGAGTTGACAAACGTGAAGAGAATATGACATGGAACATGGATGGAGAGACGGAGTGGTAAGCCTGTGGAGAGGGTGTGTTTGTTGTCCCAATAATGGCGCTCCAAGTAAGACAAGACATGTCAAGTGCTCTGGCAACATTGCAACCCCTGTTTCACGCACTTCCCCTCATATCCATACTGCTTACTGCTACTCAGCTGCATACTCGACGCGATGAAGTTGTCGCAGCGCATTGCATGTACACCATTGCACATGCAATGTAATGCAGGAGCTGTTGATGTTTGATGACATCATGTTGAAGGTCGTAGGTACGTACCACCTCAGGCTCTGCACCTCGGCCATCATCGTCAAGTCTCTGCGTAACTCACACATTCAAAACAAAACATGCTAGCAAAAGCGTCCGATCAAGTAAATGATGCATCAAGCCGGGGGTCCCTCCAACGATGTTCCTGCATTACTTTCACCGGGGGAGGCTCGTTCTGCACATCATCAGAGCCAATCTTAGTCCTGGACAAGCAGGTCCATCCTTAACGGGGTTGTAAAAGTGAGGCCTCCGACGTCATCGAGCCGCATGATGATGTGAACTTTACCGACGCCTGTCCGGAGAGGTCTGTCCTGTGAGAGCGGGGAAGGCGTACGGAGTGAATGTTTCGTCATTGTGCGCAGAGAATGTTACTTTTTCGATCACAGATATGAGGCAACGGATCCATCAGCAAAAACAAATGCTGGGCCACGGTCAACAAACAGTGTAATGCCTATTGGAGAATGGATATCCGACGACCATCCACATCTGCGCCTCCACGTGCGTGGGGTACTGTACTTGCAGCCATCTGGAGTCCTCATCCTTGCACCTTGGCCTATCCATAGCTCGGACAGAGACCACGAAGAATCGACCATGGATGATGGAAGTGGATGCTTCAATCCAAATAAGCCTCGAGTCAAAGTCCACACTCGCTCGTCCAGACTGAGAATGCTGGAGCAAACGTGGCGCACACTACAGCCACAAACGCCTGGTGCCTCTCTCCTCTCACCACAAACACCAACCAACCTCCTCTATACCATTGGAGTAGATTCTCCAGCGGTATTACGCCTCTCGCGTCGAATTACAAGTTACAGATAATTACCGTTCATCTCAAGCTTGAAAGCGTGCCCCCCGCACCATGCCATGCCTGGGCAATAATTCATTCTCTCCTCCGTGCCCAGTTTCATCCTCTCGAGCCTCTCCATCCTTCCCGCCGTACGCCGCGCGTTAGTTGATCCTTCCAACGGCCACGAGGTCGCATCAGCGGCCACAGAGACGCTGTTCGTGTCCAGCAGTCTGCTGTTCACGTGCTAGGCCCGTCTTAGTACCCGCTTTGTTGAGGTTGAGATGTTATGAGATAGAGCAAGAGTGCATCACGATCTGTGTCAGGATATTTTAGAAGCCCGCCCTTGAAGATACACTACACGCATGCGTCCTACCTAGCGTAGAGCACAGCATGGGGACCCCCTTCTTCAGTCTCAGGAACCGTTAGACAGGGCGTCTTAGCGCAAGGCTAGGCCGGTCCGCTGGGATGAGGCGTGGGTGGCGATCGGACGATGTGAAGGGGGGAGGAGGGGGAGGACAAGAGGACAAGAGGACCGAGATACTAGACATACATACGGGCATATTCCGTAACTTTGCCAGTAATTACTACTGTTTACACAATATAATGAATGAATCCAGTGACCTCTTTATTCAAGGACAGAAGACCGAGTATCAGAGCCAGCATCAAGGGAGCAAAAGTATGAATATACTTTGGCCAGAAGGCCCGTCTCACGACAGCTGACCGCCACGGCAACACGCGACGGCAGCTCAGCGATATGAGGCCAACGTGCGCATTTTCCATCACGAGCACCGCAGCATAGATCTCAGTACTCCACCACGGGGGCTTCCATCCGGATTCTCCCAAAACGGTTAGCTCAGCGGGGAACCGGAACATGACAGCCCAATGCACAATAGCTCTTTACCACGGACCAGTCAATCGGCAACCCGGCGCTTCTATAAGGAGACAAGCCCATCTAGCCACGACATTAGATCATTTTAAGGAGACAGGAGGGGGGGGCCTCTCTCTGGTGTTTGACGTTTTGGGCATCGACTCGTTCATCGCGCCGGTGACGGGGATGAGCGGACAGTCGGTATAGTGTGAAGAACGGTCGGCTGGAAAAGGGAGGGAGGGGCAAGAGAACGATTCAGCGACAGAACGCACGGAGAGCAAAGAGTCATAATTTCAGGAGAGAGTTCGAGCGCGCCGTCACACGTGAAAGTCCAGGCCATGGCGCGACGACACACATTACACTTGACACTATGAGGTATCGAGCAGCGCCGTTTTGACCAGCCGTGGCGAAGCAGCAACAGAAAAACGAAAGAATGAATGGATCGCGACGCGTGTAAGTTTATGCGCGATGCAGGGGAGAGATGCCCCGAGGATCCAGTGTTTTTTTTCTTTTCTTTCTTGTAACGCGGAAGATGCACGTTTGATATCCACAGGGCTGCATCGACGCGTCTCTAATCCCCTTCCCACTCTTGTTCTATGGTGATATTCTGGACGACAGAACAGAGCATGGACAGCTCCGCTGCGGTGAAATATGCCGTTCGCGCTAATTATCGCGTTCTCGAGACGGGCTGATGGGGTGACCCGAACTTCGAATGACTGAGAGGGTGTCTAGCGTCTGACGGAGATAAAAAACCCATGACGGATGGTAGAAGTGGAGACATCACACCACGCATGCACAGGGCTGGATTTGAGATACTCTTCTAACGTTGGTTTGTTGCATATGATATATCCCATTCCGTGCTTGGGCGTTGAGCCATCGCTGAGCGCATGGCAATTGAGCCAAAGTTTTGCTCGTCACAAGCAGCATCAACGGCGTGAGCGTGATGACAGCCTCCAAAGAAATCACCCTCGGATAATTCATCGCTGCTGTCTGTCTCAGCTGCGCGTGCCTGCTCATGATACATTCACGACATATGCCGATTCCGAGGTTTCTTGCACAATTCGCTCTCGCAGCAGCAAAAGTCTCTGCAAGGCACGCGACAAAGTCCCTGCTTATTAACGGGAACCAAACTTCGGCATACATGAACCTTGGGATGCCCATTCTGGGGGCGTCAAATGCAGTCAGATGCATGATATTGGCACGCGCGCCCCCGATTCGGCTATTACCCCACACGGCGCTAGACCTTTCATTTCTCTTGGCCTTAATCCGGGGTACTGGGAAAAAGGGTTTTCAAATACTAGCTACTGCTGCCTCAGCTGAGGCCTAATATGCGACCGTCTAGGGCTGTACAGGTGCCGATCAATAGAGCTGTCCACGTGGACTGGCGTTGGGACACGATTGTCAAGCGTACCGTCCGTTGTAGAATGGTTCGACTAGCCGAGGTAGCATGAGGGCCGAAGATGGACTGGTTAAAACTACATTTGGAATGCGTAAGAAGAAGGCAAACACAACATCTGTCAATCATGTGTTGCTTCTGGAGTCTTCTGCAGCACCAAACTGGGAACGTTGAAAGGCTGGAAAGGCCAAGCAGCTGCTAAAAGAGCCGGTCTGAAATATACACTTTTGGCAATATAAGTTCTGATAAATACGCGCAGGTAACGGTCAGGCGATCTTATTGGCTGGCGGGCCAATAGGAGCTCCTTGCTTGGTTTCCTTTCCTAGAAAGAACAGACACGACCAGTTGTGAATGGCGCAGCATTGTTTGATGAATCAGACATTAAGCTCCTGCTCGTGCTATGTCTGAGATTGACACCCATATCGAGGAGCTGTCACAATCGCAGGCGCGTCGGGAGCAAATGACGCGTAGTTTTCACATGTGTATATATACATACACATAGCACACTGCATACCTAGGTAGTCGACGTGATGAAGTCAGCAGATTGGCAGGAAAAACCTCCTCAGCTTCCCATTCGCACATATACGCACACATGAGTGAGCCCTATCATATTCTCGGTTTCCATCATTATGTATGTATCATCACCGTCGCACGAAGTTCTATCGGTGTGTGCGATAGGTCCCCCGCAATCACACGGCCCTGATTCGCAGGCTCTTGCAGGATCTCTCGTAGTGGCGTCTGGGTGAGGCGCTTCGCGATCGAATCGCAGTCGTCATCACTGCTTGAACAGAGTGCTGGCCCCCCTCCAACATCATGATAGTGAGACTATTATTGTCCTGATCTGACTATGGCGAGCGTATCCGTAGGCGGTGAGCGTGACGGCCCGCCTGGTTCCCGATCTGACTGTGACCTACCCAGGAGGGCCTATCGAGGGATGCGGTTTGCTGAATGGATGTTGAAGCCAAGAACTGAGCATCTGCACGATTGACCTATCCATCTATATTCGTGCTGTGTCTGGATATGGAAGAGTAAGACAGGTTGATGATGCTGTTGCCGCGTGATGTGAGCTGCACGGCGTCTACTACATACGAGTGTTCGAATGATAATCAGTTGTTTTGTTCTGCACTCCGTATTGGAAGCCTTAGCGTTCTGTGCATGCAGGGCGAATCGAGAGCTCGACAATGAAGGATGATGGTATGTATGGTCGGTCGGCGAACAAACACAGCATCATCCTAGATCCTTACCTCGCGCTACGAGTGACTCAGAATGTCGTTGCGATCAAAGGAACCGCTCTTATCCATTACCGTTATCCAATACATGCCTCCGCTCGAGGTCCCTTGACCAGCGTGACTCTCCCAAGGAAGTGATTCATTGTTATCATCGCCCAAACAGGATTCAGATCAGGACGCAGGCATGGGGATAGGTAGAATCGAGCATTCTTCATCACACAACGCACAACAAGCATGCTCCCCCCCACGCACACACCCAACAGCTTTTCGTAAGACTGACCACCACAAGCCTATTTTTGCTTCTTCAGCTTCGTTCTTGAAAGGTCAAACAACACCTACCATACCATGTCCTAGCAAGGTAAGCGCTACGCGCGCAGCCTCACGAGGCAGCGTGATCAGAATGCGCATACACCTACCAACCTGGTCCTAAAACAATCGCCTTAAGACCACCCACAAGGTCTAACCCAAACACAACACATACATACATACATACATACACAAAACAAAGCCGATCAACAACGCAGCAATGAGGCTGAGAGCGAGAGAGGGGGGGGGTCACCCGTCTCTCCGCAAGGGGCCAAACGCGAGCCGAAACATCATATCTGCCCAACGACGGCAAGGCTCACCACACCGCATGACCCCGCGAGATGCGCCCCATCCCTGGGGAATCCCCCCATTTCATAGCCAGCCAGCCAGCCAGCCAGCCCCACGACTGCCAGCGCATCGATCAATAGATCACTCGCACAGCACAGCACACAACACATGCCCTAAATGCCCCATCATCACTTGCTCCCATTGATCTATCCCCATAGCCGCTCCGCGCTCATTGGGAGACAGACGCTGCGCGGGGCGCGGCTAGGCTGCCAACACTACCTACCTACCTACCTTACCATGCAGCGAATTTGCGCGCCAAACGGCAGAGAAAGCTGCCTTGTTCTGTACCGTGTGTGGTAGTTGGCAAATCAACAGCATCTATATACAAAGTGTGTGTATGCTTGTGTGTGTGTGTGTGTGTGTCACGCCCCCCGGCTGCATGCGTCGTCGCTCGCCTCCCCAACATTTTCGACCTGCATGGCGGGGGCGGGGGAGGGGTGATGGGGATGGGGATTGGGGATGGAAACGACGTTTACAGGACGTGGGGAGGCGCGCGACCAAACAAGGCGAGGCAAGGCGAGGCGATGCCTAGGCCCTAGGCCCTGGCACAGATCATCTGGGGAGCGCGAGATCGGAGCGTTGTTGTTAGTGACTAAGTTGGAGGGAGGAATGATGATAGGGTAAATAAACAGTTTGAGGATGAGAGAAGGGGGAAAATTGGCCGTGTGATCAGTGAACAGACGGAGGGAAGTGCGGCCGCGTAAAAAGCGATGAGATGGGATGGGATGGGGTGGATGATACCATACAATCATTTGGAAAACTGCTGACTGGTTTCTGCTACCTAATTATCTACCTACCTACCTACAAGATAGACTTCTGCGGGATGTGTGATGTGATGTGATCCAGCAAGCACGCTATCGTTGTGTGTCTGTCAAGTGTCAAAACGGCCGCGCTAATTACTGGATTTAAACCTCCTACCTGATTACCTCGCACTATCTATGTACTTGCCAAATACGTAGGACGTCGGTGTGAGTGAGGTGGTCATATCCGACGGCCAAGTAATGGATAGCCCATCTATAACATCAAAACGAGCAAAAAGTATCATTCTCGCGCGTGACGCGTTTGCAAGCGGGCTCGTCCCTGTGTCTCTCGAACCTTAAAAAGAAACACGTTGCCTGGAGTCTGGCTAGCTGGCTAGCTGGCTGTATAGCAGTTTAGCAAAGAAGAGTCTGAAACGATGACATACAAACTTTGCACACCGGCCGCGAGTCGCGAGCATAATGATGATGCTAATGCTTGCTGATAATCACGATATTGATGACTGACTGCGTGTTGCGAGACGAGGGCTAGCTACATCCACCCATCCCATCCCGACCGTTTGTTTCTCCTCCGACTTTCCGCACATGCAGTGGTCTCCGTGTCCTGTCTGCTACTAACAGTCCAGTGCTCCACCAAGGTATAGATAGATAGATAGTTAGATAGATAGATAGGGAAAAAATGCCCGGTCACAATGCAAGACATAGACAGCGATCCCATCTACTATCTACCCCCCTCGGAGGATCTCTCTGACACCGGGGGATATCATCTAAAACAAACGGAAGGACGGACGTCCAGGATGTCATCGATCTTTACATACCGTGCCCATTCAAGCAAGACATGAGGGACTCTCTCTCTCTCTTTTCTCCCCGCGACCCAGCCTCCGCAAGAATGTTCAGGACGCATACATGAGCGCACGAGCCCACAAGAAGAAAATACATAATTACTATAATTATAATTATAATCATAAGACTCCCCTCCTCTCCCCCCCCAAAGAAAGCGCCCACGGAAGAAAGAAAGCAAAAGATAAATTAGCAGCGCGCAGAAAACTACCCAAAAAGAGAAGAAAAGAAGAAAAAAAGAGAAAAAAAAGGAGTCATGTCATGTGCATGCGCCGCCCCGCCCTCCGGGTGGAAGACGGAAGCCCGGTTCCGCGGCGAACACGCTGCCACCTGCTCCTGCTCCTCCCCCCCCCCAAAACCCCGGGCTGTCCGCTGGGATATACCTTACTGTATGTTACCTTCATCTCTACACAGTAGTACCTTGGAAAGCACTTTTTCTTTGGGGAGGGATGTTTTCTTTGGGGGTATGTTGCATGCCGCGGAAGGGCGGGTGTGTTTGCATGTATGTATGTATATATGTATGGAGAATTAGGGGTATGTATGTACGTACAGTAATTAGTGCAATAGTAAAGATCCGCGCAGGGAGACTGAATAAGAACGAATAGGACGGACAAGAAAAGCGAAGGCGAAGGCGAAGGCGAAGGCGAAGAAGAAGAAGCACTGTACATAATTCTCCTTCCTCACGTATGTACCCATGTACCCATGTACCCCATCAGTGCGACATTTGTTTCGTATGTATGGATGCGCGTGTGTGCGTGTGTGTGTAGGGTCGTGGAACATCCATGGGTTGTTTTGTGCTAGAAAGCTCCGAGCTAATAGGGAGCCGGGGGTGGGGAGCTTTTGGGGTGGTAGGACATAGAGGAGGCTTGAGTGGGAAAGAAAGGTAGGAAATGCAGCGGAAGGAGGAATGAAATGTCTTGTAAATCGATAATTACTAAACTGAATGTCGATATCGTCTGTCTAGCTATTGTACGGACTTTGAGTTGAGAGTTTTCGATAGCGGGTGTAATTATGATGTAGCATAGCATAGCTGGAGCATATGGCATAGCATAGCATAGCAGAAGAGCAAGCTTGACGATGTTATTGCGTATGTGCCAACGAAACGAGCAAGACATACCGAAGTATTAATTACCATATACCATACATACCATCGTACACTTCTTCCATTCTATCAATATCCATACACACATATACACATATACACACAACCAACACAACCCGGAAAACACCCTACCCGACCGACCAACCAACCCCGACTCAAACAGTTTCTTAAAAAAACACCCCGATAAAGCGAGCAAGCTTCAAGACTGACTATCTAATTACCTACCTACCACCTATCGCCTATCCATCCATCCATCCATTTCCCTCCTGTCAGACCGCCTTTTCAAACCGAACCAAACACACACACACACACACCCTCTCACCTACTCTACCTACCCTAATTACTCACACACCCCGCGGCGCGGCCCACTTTCCTCGGCACCCCACACACACACACACCAACACACCAATGGCTAGCCAAGCAAGCGTAAGTAAAGTAATTAGCAGTAGAATCAAAGAATGCCTGATGAACGGTGAATGAATGATGGTGTGTGGTTATAGGCCATCTCTTAATCTAGATAGAGTAGTAATAGTAGTACCAAACAGCATTTTTTTCTTCTCCTCGGGAATTGGGGGTTAGAAATGATGGGAAAAGGTAAGGTTGTTCCCTCCCCCACCGCCACGTCCACCACGTCCACCACGTCCACGTCCCGTCCCCGTCTACTGCCCCAGAAGGTTATCCGCGATGCCACCACCTATTATTACCTACCATCCAATCAGGTGAAATAGGAAAACGCACATTTGTTGCATATCACATACACACACACACGGCCCGTCAAGAAAGCGTTTTCTCGTCACACGTACACATGTACAGCACAGCGATAGTTGTCTAGTTCAATGCCGCTTTTTTGTTCAATTAAATAGTACGTAGTTATCATGTCTACCGGGGCGCGCTCACTCTTCATGCGAGCCGCGCCGCCCAAAACGTATCATGCAAGCGCATTCGCTTCCAAATGTGTATTTGCGGATGTTGCTGGGGTCGATGCCCTGAAAGGCGGCCTCACGATCCGGGATACAAGTACAGAATGAGGCGCGCCTGAAGTGTTGAAAGATGATGGTACAATGATCAAGACGACGAAGAAGATGAAGAAGACGAAGCCGAAGAAGAAGAAGAGACAGGCTGTTGGGTGGCGTTGCGGTGAGGAGAGGAGGGCATGTGAAAATCTCAACCGTCCAGCGACCACGCATCCCTGTGCCCCATCCCTTCATTAGTGCGTTGTAGTCCCATTCGGCGTGAGCCAGTAGTGCCATCTTTAGAATGCCTAAAAACAAGATGCGCCACCGTATTCCGAGCAGATGCCGCCCACGATATGATTGATCGTCGTCGATAAGGCCGTCGCTGATGTAAAGATAGAATCGAAAAGTCGTAAGCTTCATTGATGCCGCCCGCGCAATGCCAAAGGGTGGTATCGACCAATAGTTGCAAGGATAAGTCTTCAGTGCAGGAATCAAATGTGTCATGGTGGGGATCCCAACGCCGGACCAGGATGTATGTTCCGAAATGGGTCCCAATCAGAATGCCGTCGAATGTAAACGCCGTACCGCTATGTGGTGTAAAGTAGCTTAAAAGTATTGAGAAAAATTGGGACGAGATGGTAGATGCTACCAGCCCTTGATGTGGTATTCTTGCAGGCCATGATCAAAGTATGCGTTCCACGAGTTTGTCGTTTTCGCGTTCTCCCGAATCGGCGCCAGTGGTGTCACCTTAACTTCGCCTTGGCCGGGATACTGTTTCAGATTCTTCATGTCTGTGGATGTGTGTCGTCGCTTTAGCGCTGCATTGGACGTCGCATTCTTCTGCTGGCGCTCCCATAGAAGATGCTTCCGAAGAGACTCGGTAAGCTCGGTTGATAACATGTTGCGTCGCGTAGTGCGCGGTGATAGAGCGGGAGGATGCGTGTTGGACGTGGTCATGATAATGGGCTTTGATGGAATAAGCATACCACGCTGTTCTAGAGGATGATGTGGTGTAGTATTCTCTTTCGGGGAGGCTGCGATTGAGGGCCCATTGGGAGATGAAGTGCGTGATCGCCTTATGGCGGGGGAGGACCTTGAAGCGTCGTTCTGTAGCGCTCTGACACGGTCACCCTCGTGGAGTGCGGACGTGATGAGAGAGCGGCGGGAAGTGAGGTTCGGTCTAGAATCGACTCGCTGGAACAGCTCGCTCGGATTGACACTGGAAGGACCACTCTCGTCCTCCTCATCTAGCCAGTCATCGTCATCGTCGTCAATGGCGCTCTCAGAAGGATCGTCGTCCGTATCAATGGCATCACTGTCAATCTCGTCATTATCCTCCTCTTCTTCTTCTTCTTCTTCTTCTTCTTCGTCCTCCTCGGATTGTGTAGTGGCAATATCAGCGCCAATCTTGAACGAAGCACGCTTACGTGTTGGAGCCGGTCTCCTGAAGCCTTCTGCGAAGGAACTGTGGTTCATGTGAGACGTCTCGACGGAACTGGTAGCATCTTCGTCGGACGATGTACCCAGTTGAAACATGGCACCTTTCTTCTTGCTTTGCTCAGCCAAGGCTGCCTTTGACTCCATTCTTCGAAGCTCGACCTTCTGTGGGCTGTTCTTGAGGATGGACGGTGGAGGAGCAAGCTGGGTCTTAGATCGGAGCGACGAGGAAGCACAACCCAGAGAGAAGCCACGGACTACGCTGTGAGAGCTAAGATCGGTCGAGGTGCTCACATCGGAACCGACGGGAGGAGACATGTTGTCAAGCTCACTGTCGCAAACAGTGGCGACGGTAGAGGACGAGGATTCGGGAATGGTGTGTAGCGGAGGAGAAGATGGTCGAGGAGTGATGTCTTCTCGTCGCGATTGTGGGCGAGTGTCTGGTTGAAGAGAGAGAGGCAGGGGTGCTAGAGGCTCTAGATCTTGCTGCTCCTTGATGGAGATTACCAGTTCTTGCAAATCACCAGGAGTGATGTGCTTTTCCCTCCTGCAGGACCGACCCTTGGAAGTAGTGACGCGGTCAAGCTCAGGACGAGCGCAGCGTGTAGGGCAGGTGGCGAGCTGGTCGTTGACAGAAGACTGAGAATCGACACTGGAAGACAGTTCGGGCAGGCCGAACGAGTCAGCCGTGTCTTGCCGCGGGAGAGGAATTCGTCTGGGGCGTGACAGGTCAGGTGCACAGCAAAACGTCTCCCGGTTCCAGAGTCTCCAGCTCATGTTCTCCAGGCGTTTGCCGTCTTCCATGGTTCCGGCGCACTTTGAGAAGACTACCAGAAGGATGCTGTCAGCCAACGCATCACGCAGTCCACCAAGTCAAAACTAACCTGACCACAGCCCAAACAGATTCTCCACGTTAGATGTGTCGATTGTGCGCATGGAGTCGGGTTCCACGCGCACAATTGGATTTGTTGAAGCGAATGGCATCGTGGCCTCGTGTCTAAGGGATTGCGAGAGGTAGCAATTGCAATGTTAACGTCGTCTGGTGCTGGTGGTGGGTTGCGTCAAGCGATTGCAGGATCGGCAGGGCCAGAAGCGAGCAAGGTGGAGGTGGAAGAGACGAGATGCGAGTGAGAAGAGCAGTTGAGTGTCAATGACGAAGCATGCTTTGTTCTCAGGCGAGTTCACTTTGCGTTGTGAAGGTGCGAAGTGTAGGTTTTGCAGTTGAAGTTGTTGTCGACAGCAGTGAGAGTGTATGAGAGTAGTTGTCGTGTAGGTCAAAGTTGGATCAGTGTGATGGTGGTGTGCGTGTGTGTGTGTGTGTGTGTGTGTGTGTGTGTGTGTGTGTGTGTGTGGAGTGTGGTGGATGGGGGAGGCGGCCTTTGCGAGATAATGGATGGGGGTGGGAACAGGTAAATATGGCGAGGAGGGCTGACAGCAGCACCACGACTGCGGGACAAGCCCCAAGCCTAGAAGAGGGCGAGGGCGAGTCGGTATGGGCAGTAAAACTGGCAGAGAAAGCACTTGGAGCCACTTCTTTTTGGGGGAGGGGGGGTGGAGGGAAGCAATCCTGGGCAGCCAGAAGCAAAGCGTGCACGCCAAGTTTAGTGGAACTGGGGGAAGAATGGAGGGGAGAGGGGGGGGTAGAGCTTAAGCTTGCTGGGCGCAAATGGGCTGGACTTGGGGGGCCGGCTGGGCTGCTGCAGGCTGTGAAGTCGCTAGATCTTTATGGTTTATGGGCAAAAAGGGCAAAGGGGGTAGCCGGAACTTGTGCACAGCGGACGCGCGAATGGGGGAACAGGACCCGCCAGAAGAGAAAGACAGACTATGGAGGGCTAGGGGGGGGAGGGGGGTCCTGACACTGTTCTGGTCACGGTTGGCAGCCAAAAGGTACAACAGACTACTTTACTACTACTTTCCGCCAAAGAGCATTCCGTGCTTCGGTCGAGCTCTAACTAATACCTTCTCCCTTGTCCCCCCCCTTTGACGTGGAGAGATAGAGAGAGACAGAGAGAGAGAGGGAGAGCCACGCGCTCAGTCTCGAAACACTCCGGAATGGAGGGCGCTCCTCTGGGCATTCGGGCCTTGGGTCGTGGCCCTGCCTTTTGAGACTGACTACTCCAGTTCCGTCTACTTTGGAATGCATGTCTCTTGCGCTGGCAACATAGCATCTGGTCCGGTGCTTTGACGATCAGGTAAACCGCTTGCTCGTGAACAGCCTCACCGTTCATCTTACTCGTGCGATGGGCCATCTCGAAGCCACGTCTGTTGTCATCGAGACCACCAGCATCGTCTCATCAGACTTGTCAATACGAACGACAAAAGTCAATAGTCAATTAAACCTTCACGGGACAAGAGTACATTGGCCGCCCTGGGCTCCGAACTGGACGGATCCCCCTTGACACCTTGATAATATATATATATCATAGTACTGTCTACTAACTGGCCACGAACACATCTCGGCGTGGGGAATGAGAGAGCTAGGATCGGAGAGAACGAAGATGCTTCATCGACTGGAGGAAACTTCCGTCGACATGGTTCTGGCTCATGGTCATGCCTCGTCTCTATGACCCGCGCGCATCCTTCACTCACAGGCGGAAGTGACAGTGTCACACCTGTCAGCTATGATTTGTGAGAAGTCGACATGCCAACTCATGCCTATAGGCCAAGCAAGCAAAGTAAAGCATGTGCATCCATCTAGTCGAGGACAGAATAGCAATCAGTAGTCATGGCATGGCATGGCATGGCCGGAACAAGACGACGACAAAGGACGAAGGATGCTTTGGCGGCGAGAACAAGTCAAGACCATGTGACGGTGTGAGTGGCGAGTGTTTACTGTTGTTGGTTTAGCACAACCAGACCCAGCAGCTGCCATGCACACGTGCTCATCCACTCCACCCCATGCGCAGCTATCTGAACAGTAACCGCACTTCTGATACCGTCACCCTTTTTCTTTCCCCTCCTTAGTCATCTTCCACGCCCTTGTCTTCCGGGTGACTCGTGACCTGTGTGAGGCGGTCTGGCCAGGAAGTCCTTGTTGGTTCGATGCCCCCAATGTCTCTTCCAGCCAACAACTCCACTTTACTTTTCGCTTTTTGCTTTTGCAGAGCTTCTGTAGGAACCGGAACCGGAACCGGAGTCCAGGGCGATCAGGGAGTCAACAGAGAGTGAGTGAGCGTTGCAGAGACTGCAACGGAGATACGGCTTGTCATTCCGATTGGGGGCACTGCAACGCTCTCTCCCCCACATGAAACGCACGCACGCACGCACTTCGCAATCGTCACATGAGGCAGAAAACATATCGCGGATATCAACAAAACAATGTCTACCTTAGCTCCCTATTGGCCTATCCTCACCTTTTCCAACACTGCGTCTGCAATTGCAACAGTCTTGGCCTATCGCGGCCGGGCGAACTGGGACCCTGTGGGAGATGATCGAGCTTCTTCTCCGCCGTCTGCAACGTTGCTCACCGATACACTCCGTTCTTACGTGCAGTAATTAACGATGATGACTGAGTCATTGATTGTATCTAGATCATTATGGTGAATATAGAACGTGGAATGTGCAATGTATGTTGGGTCATGAGCGATGCTCGTTCACAGTCACCACCATGGATCTGTGCAGTGAATGATGTCCGCGAGGTCATCTGCAATCGCTTCGCCGACTTCCGCCAAATCAAGTGCTACATGGCCCATCGCAAGGCACAGCTCTGTTTCATGAGTTGTACAAACCGTTTCATGCCAGTGATGCTGTTCTCCATGTCTATCCATGCTCAGCTGCCTTGTTACCTGGTCCGCAAGTCCAACTGCACCACCTACCAGCAAGGGGCACAACCATGTCATGCAGCGAGCTCCCAAACTTTGTCGTGCAGATGACCCTTTTCGCGCCAAACAGTGCCGGATTAGGATCCTCCCCCATAGTTGCCTACTGTTTGCCTTTATCCTCATTCTTTTGCCAGAACTTCACGCGCGTCTGTCCAACACCCCCCGCCTCCTTAGTGCCAATCCTTACCTCTCCAGCCGTCTGTCCAGGCTGCGACCGACCTGATGTGCCCCTTGTGACTTGGATGTACCATTCTTACTCTGTCATTTCGCAAGACACATTTTTTACAGTGATACTTGCTACACTTGCCAGTAACCTTAATTAAGCACTTGGCGCACCAAAGCAGAAAGCCAGGAGAGGGCTCACACGCGCTTGGACTGTCATCGATTGCTCGAGCTAGCTTGTTTCATCCTAGAAGGGAAGCATATAATGCTTCTGAATTCCAAACACCAACGAATAGTAACCGCATATCAGGTCATCGTATAGCCAACCATCACTAGCAAATCCTCAGCTAACGGTCACTACGTTAAGGACAGAAGTCCACTTGGTCGGAGAAGCACGGATGCTCGTCTTACGGAGTGCGAGATATGTGCACTTCTCGAGAATCCTGCCTGTACAGAGTAATAGTCTTTCGAGCACAAGAGCGGTGGTATGACTGGGAAGGAATCATCTGTACGCGTAACACACAGGTGGTACCGTATCACCGCTTCCCCTGTAGTGGAACGCATTGAACTTTGAGCTCCAGACAAAAGCGGTGAAATTCCTAGCAAATCACCGGCTCGTCTTGTCACCAAATTTTGCTCGCAGATTACAGGCCAGATCTAATAAGTCTACTAAAGTGCTGGAAATAGAGTATGTCCACCAAGTATACACCGTGTGCAACAAACGATTCATGATGGAATATCCGGGGCGAACCCTTCCATTACCCGTACGATGGGTACGCACCATACACCTTCGTAGACTATGATGAGATTGTTCCAACGCTACCGATCGCACATCTTTTAAAGTCGCTAATTACTATTTCTCCCAGTTTCATCAACAACGATCCTCACAAACCGTTACGTTGGGTCAGGGGGCGTACACTTGGCAGCCCTAACTACTACTTCTATACCTGAAGAGAGAGTGTGGCCAGATTGCCATGCGTCCGCCTTGCCGGATAGTGGACACCCCTTCAGAAAACGCTGATATTACTAATTTGAGGAGTTGCACACCAAGACGGATGCTTCAGACCATGGCATTTCCGGCTTAAGTCGCCAACGCCAGTGCCGGGGGAGGTGGGAGGCTCAACGCCAGCGGCCCGACCGATCGGGAGCGGCGCCCCGACTTGGCCACTTTGGACGATACGAAAGAAATGGCTTCGACACTAAATAATGCTCAGCCCAGCGTCGCCGGCTTTATCGTCAAATCAGAAGTCTTTGGATACGCAATGTTTGTAGCAGGCAAGGTCTGCTGAGTCGTTAGCAATAATACACTTTCATATTGATTCGTGGGACTGCATTGTCTCATCTATGAGCGAACGATCGTGGATGGCTGGACAGTTATCGGCTATACAGGCTGCGACATCAGCGTCAGCATTAGCATAAGATCCCACGTAGGATCCTACGCGGGGCACTTCAATCTCCAGACTCCTGGTAATTTAGCACTGGAGGCCAATTCCCAAAAGCACTGCTAGGGCAAATGACTCTCTCCCACCAGCCATCGCTCAAACGCTATGAACTGTGCTCCCGTACGCCTGGCCCCCGACGCTTTGTTCGGTATATGCAGATGCTTGCGCACCGTACGTACCCTTATTCCTGGGGCGCTGCAGCCCTTTCTTTTCTTGAATTGTCTTGCAGCCTGCACGTCGAGGTTCGCAATGGTGAATCGCAGACCCTGCAGGCGTGGTGAAGAACAAAAAATGCATACGAGTCACCAGACACGGACAAGCGGTCAACGGAATCCCGGAAGGCTGGTTTTTAGTGACGGGTGGAAGGTGGAAAGCCGTCCGATACAGCACACCCAATCACGACTTCTACCCACCCCTCAAACCAGTCCAACTATCATACATACTGTACTATGTAGGCTTATGGAAGGGGCATGGATGCTTTCTCACCACACTATTCCATCATCAAAAGCATTCTAAAGTACCCTTGACCGTGTCGCATCCCAATGATACCCGGGCTAATCTCAGTCCTAACGAGTGGGCCATGGCGGCCTAATCTCATTTCGTAACCAGCTGTCTTTCTATCTATCTCTCCAGATTAATAATAAAAAAATGCTTCTGGAAATCCAATGCGTTCGGCCGACCTATGGCTGTGCCCCAGGACTTCCTGACCTAGCAAGCGAAGCTCGCCAGGACGCCGCAGGGTATACGGCGCGAATGCCAGTTCGAGGGGAATAGCTAAACTGGGAGACGCAGCGACGCGAGACCTGGATACAGACATGGACATGGGCGTGCTGCTTCGAGATGGCATCAAAGAAAAGCATGTCAGCGGGTCGTGTCGTGGGCATCGATCGCGTCGACAAGTCGAGTGCACAAAGCCGACGTCAGGGGCAGGTCAGGTTAGCATTGCTCATGTGGCCTCGACAAACTTGATGGATGGTCGGTCCCCCACGCCTATAGGATTCTTACTTTCCAACGCCATCGCAAGCATTCTGATCTATGTGATTGGCCTTGTCTCGGAACCCCCTCCTCCGCTTGCACACCCACGTGCTGAGTCCTGTGTATCGGGACCCGGCAGAACGGTACCCCTCGCCCGTTTGGGGTAAAGCGGTGCTGGCGCGTGCCGTTCCACCCCCTTCCCCCCGCCTCTTGTTGGCTCTCTCTCGACTCCATCTTTTCTCCATGAGGTATCTGATCATCCAATTCGGCCGCGGAATCACACTTGCCCATGAATTTAAAAAAACAACCGAGCTTCCTCGCGATCGAAAGACCATGGCAACAGCAGAAGTAAAAGTATACGCTCGAAGCGGCAGGTAAAAGAGAGATTGACGTGTAATCGCTAACATATCATCCCATTGCCTTGCGCGTCCAAAACGCTTTGTTCTCCTTCGTATCACTATAGCCTAGCAAAGCATAGCAAAGACCTTGGACGTCATGTACTTCGAAGTACCTTCACGCTTGCCCTTCCTCAGCAATCGCTTGCAACGCTGAGCATCGGTGCTAACGCTCACCTCATCGTGAGACATTCTGAGTCTTGTTTCTTATCGTCACCAACTCTGCTGCGTCGGCGTCCGACCTGCCACGAAACCCTAGCGATATTGTCTCGCTGAGGGTGGTAGATGAGCTTATGGCAGCCCTCGTCCAAGCTGGAGGACATGGTTATTATAGTGTATGGTCAGCATCATCCATGCCGTCGGGTCTCCAACGTCTACAGTCAGCCACCATCACCACCACTATTACCACAGCCCACACAGCCCGCGCCGAGCTGACGCGGGACTCTTCTGGCACTGACACCGAGATTAACCCTTATTGCAAAGTGTCCGGGGCCCCACGCTTACAATGCCATCACGCTCTTCAGCCAGAATACGCTCGTGTTCCACGGCACCTCTGGTGGCTAAGGTCATCTGAAATTCTCGTGCTCCGTGCTACCTTGGCACGGCATCGAAATGGATCAGAGAGCTATGCGGTACAAAGTTGGAGGCAACGTCGCCGCAGCAGCAGCAGCAACAGCATTATTTTACCAGGAACCGGGCTCAGTGAAAAAAGGGTCAGTGTTGCTGACATCGCTCGGATAGACCGAGTAACACGCAATAGAGTCAGTCGCGTGATCTAGGTGTTGAATTTGTGTTGTGTTATAGTAATGAACTCGACTCGACTTGGCCGCGCACATACACAGACTTACCCACCTGCCTCCAGACATTGCTGCAATAACAGTATACACACGCACACATCCTCTGTGGTCGGTCGTAGTATCACAGACGTGCAGAGGCAAAGACTTAATACGTCCGCCTCTATCACATACTGTATAATTACATAGCAGTCTAGAATGTCCATTTCCGGCCTTCTCCGTTGTCCGACATCCTGCCCTTTACCCCCCCTGGGCGGGCCGTTATCATTTTATCATTTAGCCAGCCGTAATCAACGTTTATCATGAAAGCGAAGCGCCCCAACTTTCTTTGCCCAGCCGCCCGCTTCGATCGTTTGGCAACGTTGAACGGAAGCGGACGGCCGGTCGGCCGGCAATCGTGTCGTCGCCCTTCAGGCCCCCCCAAAAAAAACCAAGCCAAAAGGCGGTTTCAAAAAAGCAAAAAAGGCCAATATATTTGTGCAAAAACAACCCTCCCAGAACACGTTTCCGATCGACGCCATTTTCTTAAGGGAGGGGGCCAGTCGGTCCAACATCATCTAGGTGTTCGTGGGATATCTCTCGTCAGCCCCCATGCCGTTGCCATGGGAGGGAAGGGAAGGGAAGGGAAGGGAAGGACTCGGAGCGAGAGATGGCGGTTCGTCTCGCATGCTTGTATCGCTAACTAATTAGCAAGCAGCCTCAGCCTCAGCCTCTTCAGCCTCCGCCTCCCCTTTCCCGATTCTTGCGTCCACGTGCCCCCCAGAATTCGGCTAGTAAGGTAAGGTATGGCAAGGCGGGCAGGCGCAGCAATGGATGCATGAATGGATGCATGGGCAATACACCACCTACACTCGCAACGTCGGCATCAAAGCTAATTAATTATTACCAAAGAACAAAAATAGCAGTTTTTTCAGTTCGTCACTGTCAGTTGGTCAGTCCATGCTCCTCTTCCAGATCAACCATTATATCGAAACAAAAATCGCAATAGACATGTAGTGCGCACTCATTATTAGCTTGAAGAAGCCCGACCCTCGTCGCACCCTTCCTCTCATATGTCTTGTCCGAGACCTGTTGTTTCCTCTTCACACGCACTGCAAAGTGCAAGTCGTAGCGGCGCAAAGTACGCGCCTGATCTTTTTTGCATTCAAGCTGGAATGATGCATTGATGCTAGACTGACGGACTGACGGACGGACTGATACGATTACGACAGCGCAGCGCAGCGCGAGGCAAGGCAAACAAAACACACACACACATATATATATACTGAGTTGCAAGCATGAGCCTGCCAAAACCTAAATATAATCACTCGTCATCTGAACATGATGGCCTGCACTCTAATTAACCCTTCCCTCCTATCCCGTCCCTCCCTCCCTCCCTCTCCATCCCGTTGGCCCGAAATGTCGCGTTTTGCCCTTGTCTTGTCTTTGTCTTGTCATCGTCTTGTCATGTTTGCAGCTGCACCCCGTCTCTCACGCCCCTTGCTTGCTCTGGAGGCTGGGTCCAGCATATTGACATTGATACGACGTCCGTCAAGGGGGGGATCCTTTCGAATACCTGGTATGGGATGCGAAGTAGCAGCACACACCCATCACACCCATGAATGATTCACTGCTATACCCCAGACACAGACACGGGCCTGTGAACTAAGATCCCCACATAGGTTCAGCCGTATGATAGCGTTAGAGCTCTGTGTTTTCTGCCTTACTTTTCCCCTATGCTCCCTTGTCGTGTTGGCTTGTCTTGTGTTGTCTTGGATGACGGTATAGGAAGCTGGTTCCGGAGTGAGTGGTTGGTTAGTAGCTAGAGACGGAAATAGCTTTGTGGTTGTTGCATACCTACTTTCCTACCTATCTACCTACCTACCCGGTTTTCATCCGTGAGAGATGTTGTAGATGCGTGTGTCCTAGGAGTTCTGAGATGTATGTATGTGGATATGGATATATATATATATATATATGACGCGTGCATGGGGGACTGTACGAGGGTGCTCTTTTGGTAGGTGAGAGAAGGCGCAGTAGTAGTAGTAGTAGTTAGTAGTAGTAGTAGTAGTATCGTATTCGCTCGACAGCCAACTACGAGAATACTGTCTATTTCTTCATGTATCAAAAGATGATAATACGTTCTCTGTCCTCGGAAACCCAGGTTGATTTCTTAGTGGTGTAGCATGGTAGTACAGTGAATAGTATAATATGTTTTCTTCGCTGACATTCAAGATTATTTCTGTCTGTCTGTCTGTCTGTCTGTTTGTCTGTCTGTCTGTCTGTCTGTCTATCTCTCTTACAGTGAAGTATTGTCCGCTGCTCAGCACGTATGATCCTCTCGACTGCGTAGAGCTAGATCGTCATTATCTACCAATCTCCCATTCAAGGAAAGCATGAGACATGTTCTAAGGCAGTCATCTTACACGTTCACACAACAAACGCAGAGGACGCAATGCCAAACGTCTAGCCTGACTACATGCCTCTCATCCCCCGTCAGATTCTAAGAACTCAAGATACCAATAGCTTGGTTATTCGAGCCTTGAGCTGCAAGAAATAAAGAACATCGCGCCAAATAGTTGTGTAGCACCGAAAAATCGATATCAGGATGAGAAGTGAGCAGTTTGTACTCCTTCTTTCATTGTGTTGCACCGCTTAGAAGTTAAATAGGGGTATATAAGATGGTAACAACAGTCCAGACCAGTCACTTGAGCCTATAGACTGTCCGAATTGGTAATCAGAAATGAACATCACATCAAACCGCAACTGGAGAGCACGAACGTGTACATCATTGCCTTACCATCGTTACTTATTCGGCTCCTATGTGTCTCTCTGATACGTACAAAAACTTATATAATCCGTCTCCTATCAATTATCATTTCCCACATACCATCCTCCTATCCTTCAATGCAGTATATCCCGTCTACAACAGCACAACCAACTATGACGCTTTTTGGCCGGAGTATAGGTAGTACCTTTTCCCTCGTATCTGTCGTGTCGCTTTCTTGTACATCCTCCAGACTGATTCGTAAGTAAGTTGACTGTTTTCCTTCGGACGCGCACCTCCTCCCGGTGGATCGGGAACTAGCTCTTCTTTGTACGGCTTTTGGTGGATTGGGGGTATGGGAGTGGGATTAGAGATTGGATGAAATGTCAGGTAGGTAGGAGTGCTCATCTTCCGTCGGGTTATAGGAGATGGTGGAATGTATATATATATATATATATAGGGTGTGGAGCAGAAGGGGGAGCAGAGATGCACTGTGAGAGAGAGGACTGGAGTAAATTAGTGCGTGGAAGCGGCTGTTGGACTGATAGATGTGAAGTAGTTGTGCAGATTTGAATATCGAAGAAGTTACATAGAATGAATAGCAGAATACGTGACGAACACGTGCTGGAATTTGGGTTTCGTCGCGCTCGAGCACTGTGCGACGGATGCTTGCGTCATGATTACTTACATTCATGTTCAACTGACCAGTCCTAGATGCGGAAGCAGTTTTAAAGTAACTCTATACTTGGTGTATTAAACAAACAATAACGTGACTACACTACAGGACATAAACAACAATGATATCAACGCAGGCACATCGTAACTCCCCAGGCTATATCAGATGCATTACCTTCATGCCTCCATCAGGGATAAGATTCAAACCCACATCCCCTAGGCGATGGCCCCTTTTTACATATGTAACGAAAAGTTCCAGCATTGACCGAGTCGTGGGGAGCGATCTGCCCGCGTGCCTGATGACCACATCGACAGATATTCCCCTGATCTTGACCGGCGTCTCTTTCAGACCACCCCATCCATTTCATGCAATCCGGATTGCTGCACTTGAAGTGGAACCTGCCCGCATTTCCATTGGCATTGGACTGGGTTGGTCTTCTGATTGTCTTGCGCTCACACCAGAGACAAAGCGGGCTTCCACTATTGATGCTACCGGTTGCTGGGGGAGATCTACTAGCTGAGGTAGAGCTGTTATGTAAACCTGGATATGTGACCGGTGATGGACTGTCTTTGACGCCTGGAGACGGGTAGGAAGGAGAAGGCGAGCTTTGGTTCGAGGGAAAACTATTCACAAGAGGCTGACTTGAAGGCGTCGACATGGTCCTTAGTTCTGCAGCGTTGCTCTGTGCTGATGGTGGTGGTCCTCGAGAAGGCGTGTTGTACCCTGAAAATGCAGAAACGCTACCAGCCGAAAAGACGCTTCCGTCAGTCGTTCGATACGCTTCGTGGGCCCATACGACGTTCATTTCGGGCGTCGAGGGCGGCATCTTACTGGACGCCGCCACTTTGACGCTTTGAGATGGTTGATAGAAGCTGGACTTTGAGCTTTGGTTTGTCGATTGGGTTGAGAACACGTCCAAGTTCTGCGAGGAGACTGCGTGTAACTCAGGAATCTGATCACGACTTTCAGTTCCACAGATGTCTGTTAGCATTGCTGCAAGCTGCGCTGTAAGATCATCGTCGACGTCGCGTGGAGATGGGAAGGCTTTGTATAATGCAGAGTTGACGAACGCGACCTTTGTTCCAGATTGGCCGCTGCCATTTCCTTGGTATGCCACGACCAGTTGGTTAAGAATAGACTAAGATATATTAGACATGTCTTTAAAGTCCAAGTAGACACGGTTCTGCGTACCTCTGGGTTCACAGTCACTGGACTAAGTCTCTGTTGCTGCATAGTCTGCAGCAGGAGATTCATCAGAACCGCTTTAGCAGCCCATAGATGAGGGTCTGTCGCGACTGGTCAGCTTCGTCTCGTGAAGTTCATGAATGTATCATGCCTTGTCTCAAGAGGTTCGACTCAAGCAAGTCATCGTCAAGGTGCTTCTCTTCTAAATGGTCAGACTCATGTCAACCGAATCAGTTTTGCCAGCTGACTTTGTACGCTGAGCCCAGTCAAACAACTTGATATGATATCGACATCCACATCTTTCGAAGGCTCGCTCGGTGTGGACTTGCGGGAGAACGGATTCTTTAGACCAGCCGGCATGCTGATGGTGAAGACGCCAAAGCAGACACAGTAAAAGAAATGAAGATTGATCATAAAGCACCTGAAAATTGTTATTGGTCGCAGAGGAGAGCGAAAGCGATAGAGACCAGAGACGCACACTCTTTATCAATGTTTCAATGCTCAACACACCGTGGCTCAGATGTCCAGCCCCGTTCTATACGATCGTCTCCTTCATGCGAACGAGTTGAGGGGCAGCTGTCTCTTCACTTGTAAGTCGGGCGTCACACACGGCATCTTGATAGGGTCCAATATCGGTGGCTTGCAGCAGCGTCTCGCTAACAACGAAGTATGGTTGGCGGATCCTGCTGCGTCTCCTACACCAACTGAGGATAATGAGTGATCCTCTGTCAAGTATCTTCGCAAAGTCATGGTGCTAGCAAAACACAACAGCCTCACCTCGCTGCGCCATCAGGGCCACTTCGATGTTCATTTGAGGTGTCATTTTCGTCTCTGTAGGCCGCTGGACCGCGCTACCAGACCATAGATGTGTTTGCATACAAGGCTGGCCGTACTCGATATCGCACTTACATGGTGTTGAGCTCAAAGAACATCGATGCTGACGCTTTCAATGACGACCACATGTGTGACTAGATAGGCCTGCAAGTAGGAAATAGCACGTGGATACGCTATCTCTTGTGGTCATATAGATACAAGAAGATGTTTCGATACCTCCAATCTGATTATTGCGCATCATACACCCTTCCCACGGTGTATCGGCTATCCACCACTTCTGGGGAACATCAATTCGGAGCCCGTGACAGCCTCGGCCTCAGGCGCCAATCATTTTTGACGGCAAACGTCTGCGAGCGGGTCCGCCCCACACGTCAGAGCGTAGGACTGTCAGGCCGAGATTCAAACTCAAACCCCGACTTTCACCACCAGAATAATCCCATTCTCACTTGTGCGCGGCATCAATCATCACGAACCTCACTTGCTTAAAAACGCTTGCCGCCAGTCCAGAATGACTCCTTTCATCTTGTCACTTTCATCTCTTACCAAAGAATTCCATCAATCTTCATCTATAGACTGAAGCCTCCATCAATACCCGTTGCCGACCCATCATGTCGCGTGCCTTGAGTCGTGTGGACCTGATCCGCACGTCTATCCATGTATTCAAAGCGACACCCATCTCTTCACTACTGTCGCGCGCTTCCGTACCAGCGATTCAAACACGTCTGTCCTCACACTCGCCCCTTGGTGCTACCACGACCAGAAAGAAAGTCACCCTCAACACCATCAGTTCCCTATACCATAAGAACGAGCCCATAACAATGATTACGGCGCATGACTTCCCGAGTGCTCACGTCGCGGATCATGCTGGCATGGATGTGGTATTGGTCGGCGACAGCCTTGCCATGGTGGCTTTGGGTATGGAGGACACCAGTGAGATAATCATGGAAGAGATGCTGTTGCACTGCCGCTCGGTCTCTCGGGCGGCAAAGTCGGCCTTCATAGTGAGTTCCGGTCTGGTTTGATATCTCAGAGTCCACCTGACGTACCTATTCAGGTCGGTGATCTCCCTTTGGGAAGCTATGAGATCGATCCACAACAGGCCCTCGAATCTGCGATACGTATGGTCAAGGTTGGACGAGTCCAGGCCGTGAAGCTCGAAGGTGGTGCTGAAATGGCATCAACCATAAAACGTATCACGACCGCTGGAATTCCTGTCCTTGGTCATGTCGGCCTTACACCACAGCGCCAGAATTCTCTAGGAGGGTTCCGTGTTCAAGGCAAGTCTGTCATTAGCGCCATGAAGGTGCTCGAAGATGCCTTGGCCGTGCAAGAGGCCGGTGCATTCGGTGTAGTGCTGGAAGCTGTGCCACAGGAAGTTGCCGCACTGATCACAAAGAAATTGAGGATACCGACGATTGGTATCGGTGCAGGTAACGGTTGCTCCGGGCAAGTGTTGGTTCAAGTCGATATGTCCGGTTACTTTCCTCCAGGTCGTAAGATTCCCAAGTTTGTGAAGCAATACGGAGACGTGTGGGGTGAAAGCATGAAAGCCATCACTGCATACCGGGATGAGGTCAAGTCCAGGGCGTATCCTGCGCCTGAGCACACCTATCCCATCCCCAAAGAGACGCTGGAGGAGTTCGAGCAACTTATCGCCTCTTTGGAAGCCGCGCCACCAGACACTAGCGCATAGACGACTTCCTCTGGCCTTTTATGATCTCATTATTTTGCTTCGTGTCAAATATACCCCCAATCATTCTTGTCATCGGAGGTTCTCGAACTCCGCCATATTCTGCATCACATAGTCAATCAAATATGTCACACCATATATTCATCGCGGGCCTCACCTATCATGACCAACGTGCCTTCTCATTCCTCTCATTGCCTCATCCGAATGCAGGCGTGACACTGTACCAGACGATCAATTCACCATCTGTACGGAAGCACCTCCACAAGTTTCCCACCCCTTCATCCAACCCGGGCGCGAACACCTGCTTGACATAGCAAAACACGCTCTCCGAATCCTTAACACCCAATTTTTTTCTCAGACTACGAACCACAAAATCGAATCTGTGCGAGCTCTTGACTTTGAAAGCGTTTTGCCGTAATACGGGTGCGGAAGGGAGTGCTTTGAACCGCACAGTCACTGTCGACCATATCGATGTATTAGTTTCCGTGGTTCTGTAGAGACAGTGTAAGGGAGTGAAAGAGAGAAGGTAGTCCCAGGTCACCGACGTACCCTTTTCAACATCCAGATCTCCTGCCTTCTCTAGTGCTGCATGCGCGTCTTTGGGGAGTGTCGTGAGGACTACTGATGCGGCCATCGTCATGGGAAGGTCGCCTGCATCCGCGTCCGCGTCGACGGCTTCGTCGTCTAGCATGTTTACTGGAGCTGGAGATGTGATTGAGGGTGGTAAAGCCATAGTGACCAATACAGCTGCCAGTTGCTTTGAATCATATGAGAGTTGTTCTTGTACGTATCGATGTATGACAGCTGCCGCTTAGTGGGAAAGTACTAAGTGGGGCAAAGCCAAACACTGCGCCACAGCGGAGAATAACATGGAGATATCAAATCGTCGTGCATGAATAATCCGAAACCCACGTTTGGTCAAAGAAAAAGGTCCTAACTCAATGGAACAGTACTGGATACGTACATGCATCGTGTCGAGACCTTGTCAGTACGAGCGAAGTCAAGATGGACCATGATCGTTACTTCAATCTTGGACTATTAGGAGCAATATTTAGTTCAAGTCATATCCGTGTTTATCCTATGTTCGCATTCAGCCATACTCCATGCTCCCGCCATGGACCCTCTCTCTAAAGCAACTATACTGTTTGCTGCTGGACGCCATGGACTGTAAATGTCTAGACGTAAGCTCATGCGGAGTCATGTCCTTGCATTCCTTAAAAAGGCCCAAGCCGCGCACCGAAGCCACGTAATAAATATAAGTCGTGAAATATACAAGAGTAATTCAAAGCTATGAAGAAAAGAAAGCACCAGAGCGCCTCAAATGCAAGCAATGCAGCGGTCGCGTATGGGTATGTGCAACCGGTTGGAAAACGCCAAAATGCTGGAGTGCTATGAAGCGGGAAGAATGTAAGCTACTGCGGCCAAATGTCATCTGCAACGGTATCGGGCGTCAAAGTACTTTTGATTCGGGTTTGACATTCGGTCCGTCCGAAAATCTTGTATCAGCGTTTCAACATTGGGCGAACGAGCTGTGACAAGAGGTCATCGAGTTCTCTCCAATTCTCTTTCACTCGACCAAACTTCTGGTGTTTCGATGTTGCGACATGAACCTCGAAGTCATCAAATTTCTCACGGCAATTCTCACAATAGCCGGGTTTTGGATCCCTGTCAGCAGACCGCTTGCGTTGCAGAGCAGCACGACGAGGAGCCTGCCCTCGGCCACACGCGCTTTCTTCCTCTATGATGCCAGCAAGGTTTTCTTGTGCTTTGCGTTTGGCAGCCCGTGAGGGTACAGCCCGATCGTCATTGATCGCAGCTCGCACGTCATTGGCATATGAACCCGCACTGTTTGCCGAGGGGGCACTTGTCCTTTCAAAGACTTTACGCTTCAATTGGTTGATCTCTTTGCTGCTTCCGGCTCGAGAGGCGCCAGGGACTGGAGCTGTCGAAGATATCGAGGAAATATAGTTAGACCTGATGGCTGAAGTTATGTTCGAAGGCTGCATCCCTGACGCAATGGGCTGGCCTCCTGCGAATGTTGGCAAGGGCCTTCGGTTCGCCTGTGCACTGGTGTACATTGGCGGCAAGTCATCAGTATTACTGCGCTTAGCAGGAATGACCTTGGGGGGCTCGAGGGGCTTATTAAGGCTGTCTTCTTCCATTGAATCGACAGTCATCTGACGAAGTGGTAGATTACTGTTGCGTTCTGTAAGAGCCCTCGCCCCGTCAACGTTGCCGAGAGCCATGCTCTTTGATACTCCTATGTTAGAGGTAGCACGCGTTCTAGGAGCAGTCGTCTCCGTTTTGGCTTGGACACGTTGCTGCAGTTGTTGTTTCCTGACGTGATTTGGGTCTTCTATGAATGGACACTTTCCCGGGCCTGTGTTGCGGAACTGTGGCCACTTCCCGTCTTCCTTCACTGTTGGTACGGCGTAATCTCGTACCATGACCGGCCTCGTCTGTCCGAGCATATCGTGCACATAAACGTAGCATCCTCGCAGTGGTACCATCTCTTGCGTAGCCACAGTCAAGTCACGGTCGGCCGGACCTTGGATCTTTTCCTTCTTCAGCAGCTGCGAAAGGTCAGCTTCGCGTGACACTACTCCACGAGAAGGCACAGCCGTAATGCGGGTTCCTCGCAGGTTGTGATTGCTAGGCCGCTCATTTTCATTACCGGCAAATAACGTCTCAAGCATGCGTTCGAGTTTCTCCAGAGCCCATATCTTCATGCCCATATCTCTCGCCCTCGATAAGATGTCACCCTGTCCACTCTGCTGGCGCCTAGTGTCAACATCTGTGGGCATGCTGTGCTCGGTTAGCTGACGTAGATCATTTCAATTGCGATTAACTTACGGTTGTCCCTGGGCGTTAGCCTTCTTGTGCAGTGCATCATCAAAAAGATTCTTGCGCGAACTATTTCCGGGCTTCAGCAACACCGGGTTTATGGTCTTGACAGACGCGTCTTGTCCTTGGCTCTCTTCGTTAGGAGTGACCCGTGCATCAGTTGTGCCTAAGTCCTTTGCCTTCGGTATATCGCGCGTTGTGATAACGTGAGTTACGGTTCTAGAGAAAAACTTTTCATCTCGCTGTGTAACATTCAGTCATGCTCTTGTTGGTGTGCCGCAGAGAGATGGAGGTTCACATACCGATCCCAGGCTCCGAACTTGTCTTACTGTATTACGGCGGACATCATCTTGAATACCTTCGAAGTAGAACACGAAAGTAGGGAATATCTTCCTGTAGTGCTCTCTCCACATGCGAACATCGTCCTGACTTTTCGTATTACGTTGAGCAACAGCTTTATCGCGTACGGCTTCAAACCTCCGCGTCAGAGGCGTAGTGCTCTGAGCGGACCGACGGGAAGCACCTCGACGAGAATCTGTCTCTTCGACTTCTATAATCTGTTTTTTTGCTGGGGGTGGTTGGCCATACGCAGCTTCTCTCACGTCTGCGGCAAATGCTCGTTGCCGTTTGCCTGCAGCGGCCGTGACAGCGCGGTATGGCGAGTTGGCAGCATTGGGGTTGTTGGCGAGAGGTACTCTTCGGTTCGTCATATTGGAGAGTACCGAGGGTGAAGGTGGTATAGAGACTGCTGCCATATGGATACGTGTCTATGGCGCGTAAAGCTCTTCTCTGAAGACCGGAGGGGCAGGTTCAGACAGCTTGCACGCGACTTGAGACACGTCCAATACACTTAGGAGAGGAAGTACGCCATGTTGGTGAACGGGGACAATTGTTGGCGGGGAGGAGGTCGAGAGCAATTAAGCTTGTCGGACGTATGTAGGAGAGGGAATAAATCGACCGTTGTGTGAAAGGTCTGCAAGTAGTGGAGTAGCAAAGTGTTTTGTGATTGTTGACAGGCGGCAGGTATTAACGTCCGAGCTCCCGGCGAAAGTCGCGATGTTGTTAGCCGCACCCGCCTCTCTGGCAACGCCATTGGCCGCAGCCCTTTCCTTTCGCAGTATGCTCACAACAAACAAAGATCCACTCTTTCACAAAACATCAACAACTATCATCAGGCATGATCTCAATCATAAAGCTAGTATTGTGCCACTGATGGAAATGGCAGCGTGTATGAATTCTTCTGGGCTGGAATGGCCAACACTGTCTTATCGGCCGGTTTTAGGCATTTAGCATGTAGCCTTCAGTCGGGAAATATCTGTTCCTGTCTCGATAGCTGCCGAAGAGATATTACGCTCAGCATAAGCATATCGGAATATGATTGAATCGTTTGGTAGTCTAATTAATGGCCTCGACGATGCCATGACTGACGTTCTCTGTACCTTGATAGCTCAACTTGTGCTTTGCTGCTAGAAGATATCTTTGTGTGCGCAGACTGTCTGCAATTGTATGTATTGCAAGTTAGTCTATGCAATCTACACATCTCAGCTGATCTACATAGCGAACGAAGTGGTCTTCTTCTTGACATAGTCATATTCCAGCCAGCATTTTCTATCCCATAGCAAGCTTTCGAAGCTGTGTCGCATCGCCATTAAACCTATCCGAGTCGCCTCCCCAGGAAGAGTGGTCATTATATTGCCAGATGGTCTGGTAGCCTATACAGATGTTAGGTTTATGGTTACAGTCCAAGTGGATCAGCTCACCCCAGCCTCCAGGAATCGTTCCTGGTGAGTTGTTCCAGCTCGCCAGATGCAATGGACTCGTGTTGCTAAAGGCCGTGGAGTCACCCGTGCAGGATTGCCACCAGCTGCGGTTAGTATATATTATGCAGTGACGACCCGTCTCACTGAGATAAGTTTCCACGAAGTCCTGTATCCAGGATACCATGGCTGAGGCAGACTTGCCAGCGCAGTCACCCTCAAGGTCGAGCATACCAGGAAGAGTCCGACCGTCGTTACTCCAGCCGCCCCCGTTCTTAGCAAAGAAAGAGGCTTGAACTGCACCGCTGCTTGAGCTAGGTCTGGCAAAATGATAACCGCCACGGATAAAGCCTGCTGTAGTCGCGCCATTGTAATGCGAGGAGAACTATACAGCTTGTTAGCTTGTTAGAATGATGATACAGACGCACAAGTACAAGATGTACTACAACAGACGGGGAGGTTGCTGCCATACTGCAGGGTCTTTGTATGTAGTGCCCTCCGTGGCCTTGATCAATACAAAACGAAGCCCGGCATTGTACGCTCCAGCGAAGTCGACTGAGCTTTGGTAGTGGGAGATGTCAAAGCCTTCTACGGTTGCACGCTTTTCGAAGCCAACTGGCGACGCCAAAGCCACCGATAGGGCGGACAAAAGTCCGAAAAGGGCCGTGGAGAACCTCATGTTGAGTGCTATATTTACGAATGATGTGAAGCTGAAAGTGGAGGATAGCACCTAGGTCCTTCAAAAATTAGGGGGTCTTATATGTCCAGAGAATACGAGAAGTTACATTTCCAATACCCGTTACTTGACCGTGTTGAGGACCATTGGGATGAGATCCGACATCATCGCCTTCTCGCTTGCCCTCGTTGTGTAATGTGAGCCAATGGTGCTATGAATAGTCTATTAGTGGGTGGGCACTCCAATATCCATTCAGCATGCGAGACACGTTTCGAAACCACAGGGAATCACTCTATCGACCTCAGCTATGCAAGTATGATTGACCTTCCTTATTGGGACTAACTCGAGATAGAACAGTTCATGATAGTCAAATCTAACCACATTGGCCACAACTACACGAGCTCGGTGGGGCGATGGAAAAAATCACCCTTACACTCAAGTTGTGTGGTGGCTGACGTAGCAGGCTTTTCGTTGTGTCATACATATTAGTGCCATAAGTAGCCTTGCCAACGGGTTCTGAGACGCCAAATACGAGAGACAATGGAGGGTAACGGTGGTAGCGAGGTTTCGCTATGCTATCTCTACAGGCAGGTATACCGTTGAATATTTGTAATATTGGTGCTACGTCTTCGAGTTATTACTGTACATCTATGCTATACAAGACATGAGTATGTGTAAATAGCATTCATTGTATGAAGACTGCTGCGAAATTCACCTTGCTCAAAAATTGCCACTGACGAGTGGGAGTGTGTCGATCACGTATACGATACGAGGAAGGATCAAGAACACGTAATATCACGAATTGAAGCAATTGGATAGGCTTTTATGATATCGTCATTGGATTTTCTGCCTAATAGAGCCACTCGGGCTCCGCATCTTCATCTTCTGGATCGTGAGAAAGTAGTGAGCCTTGGTCACTATCTGGAGGGCTGGAAACCGGCATATGCTCTTCCTTCGGGTTGGAACGGGGGAAAGTAGTAGACCCGCTGTCCTCGTATTCTTTGGCCTCAGGACTATGCAAGTCACTTCTTTCTGGTCCGAGTTCTTCAGTGTTATTTTCTCGGCAGAGGGTAACGTTCGGACCGAAGTGGAGGTATGATATGTCAAGAGCCCCAGACATCAATGTATCTTTCCCGGTTTGTGTCTGGTCTGTCAAAACTTGGTCGGCCATGGGGTTTCCAGTTTTCTCAGGTTGTAGCGCACTATTATCTTGTAAAGGCAAAGTCGAAGTCACGGAGGCGTCCGCAGCATGCTCGTCGGGTTTGCTGGGCTTCGGATCTGTGTACTGAGTATGCGATCGCAAGCTGTCATTTGTGCTATGCTCATGGGAACGCACAGGTTCTTCCATGCGACTGGTAAGGTGCATACGTGCCGGGCCGCTTTCTGACTCCTTGAGAATAGAGCCGCCATCATAGGTAACATTAACGTCAGGAAAGAATCCACCACTATCATGTTGGATCTCATCAGGTAAGAACCCGCCACCGATGTCTTCATCCTCATCGTTCAATACGTTGTCATTGGCAGCCTCCTCTTCGATATTGTCTTCGTGATTATCTATGAGTCTGGAGGAGGCTCGATGAGATGTAGGCAACGCCATCTCTTCATCTCCAGCCTCACCGGGAAAAAATCCACCACCCTCATATGCCTCCACATATCGAGCCTCTGTTGCATCATGTGCAGCCTGCTGCAGCTCTGTGACATCAATCTGAGCTTGCACATCAACATGTTCTTCGTCACTCGCATATGCTTTGACCCGTTCGACGATCTTCAAACCTAGATGGAAGCGACGCCACAGATATAGAGCATGAGAGACGCGCTTGGACATCTCTACCTTTTCTTGAGCATAGGCCAACCCATCGATCACGGTTTCCACGGCTTCACGATATTCAGCGGCAATTACACAACCTTGGATCACCGCTGTACCGACGCGCCCATGGAAAGAAAACCCCGTGACAGCATCAGCGTAATCGACGCCCACGATACGAGCAGCTTTACTTGCATCGGCATGCAGTATATGTATACCTCCTGGCGGTACCATTGTAGGGGTATAAATGTCCAGGTTGCCAAAAGTGTTCTTTGGTATTCGGCCTCGTACAACGGGTGGTGGAACGTATAATTTGGTCTGGTAGGCCGCATATAATCCAATCTCTGAAATTGGATTGTCATCAGAATCATTCTCGTCTCTGGCCATACCTCCTTTGGGCCGAGGAAGCGCGTGTTTAAGGGGTTGTTCTCCGGGTATAACCTCTCTTCCAAGACGATACCACTTGTCAGCACTGCGGACCACATGCACATTGGTCCTTCGAAATACACTCTCTATCTTTTTTGACAAGGCTGAGCCTACGTTAACTTTTCCAACTTCATTTTTTGGATAGAGGACCTCATTTCGTCTGAGATGTCTCTCCAGAACATAGACCGGGTGGTCCTTGAAGTCTTGTATGTTTTTAGGGAGGCCTTCTGCCGCCTCTTGTCGAGCTAACGCCGCATCCTCTAACTGGTCTCGGTCAAGGGGTTTCGACCTCTTGAATGGTTTCATAACCTGCCTAAGCCAGTCGATGCCACCATCGGTATTCTCCACGCGGGTCTTACGTGTCTTAGCGTTATAGGCTTTGGCATATCTCCTGGTCACATCTCGAGCTGTGCCATCTTCTTCGTAGGCAATGACATAAGTCATCACGTTGGAATGCGACTGGAGGGGAGGTTCGAGTCTCATTGGTTTATCCAACGTGAACGTTGCCAAAGGATCGACCGATATCCATCTTTGGTGTGCTGCGTCGAATGCTTCAACCCAGAAGACGGGATAGTGTGGTTTCACAAGGGGTTTCGACTTTGGTACTGAATTTATAAGCGGAATGTAATTGGTCCAAGTATAACTACTCACTCGCAGTGATTTTTGGGGCCTTCCCTTTGTCGATCGTAGTGGCGGCCTGGGTTGGGCGTCCTATCCTGCTGATTCTCTTAATAGGTGTTGATGTCGATAGTGACTTGTTAGGAGTAGGTTGTAGCTCCTGATCTTCCTGTGATGGTCTTTTAATATCCGTTGCAGTGTCGAGATAGACGGTCTCCTTGCCATTGAGTGGACTTGATGCTGCTGTCTGAGGCAGTCCTGCAGTTATCGGAAGACATTGCAGAGAGCAGACTAGCCGTGCTTCTACACCGATGGCGCGTAGAAGCGTGCAAAGGAGCTGTGCACCAATGTCTTGCGAGCCGTTGAGTCTGAGGGCCGCATCGCGGAAGAGCCCACGATCCATTGGTGGATCGCCACTCTGGGAAGAGATGACCTAGTCCCAATTAGTCCTGTCTTGTGGATAAAGCAGTATGTGACGGACAGGCTGGGTATCTTGCCCTGATGTGTACCAACGGGGTCGGTACATCCCTTGCGCATTGATACGAAATGTAGAATTCCAGAAGATTTTCAAGGTATTCAAGCCCTCGCGGAAAGACTGCGACATACGCATTTGGGGCCATTCTGGATCAGGGAGTAACAAAGTTACGATCTTGGGAGGTATAAGGGCCTTTAGCACAGCCTAGATTTGCGTCAGTGTATACAGGGGTATGGGGCTGAGCAGTACGTACCTGGGCCTCGCAATCGTTACACCATGAGTTTCTCAGATAAGCATGGTAGATGAGACACGATACGTGCATCTTATGGATATCGAGCCTCAAGCTACGTTCCGCTGCGGTGATACCTTTGCGTTTAGGTCTCCTTCGTTCAAGTGCATTCTGTTCAGCACCCAGAACAATAGATATGTCAACAACATTTGGCTCTTCATTTTGAGCTCCTTCATCTGACTGTGCTTGTGGGTGTAGGTCAACATCTTCCCATTCCATATCACTGTCATTTGAGTCACTGTAGTCGTCGAGCACTGTCTGCAACCGCCTTCCATCTACATGGAGATCAGAATTGTCTTTGATATGCGTAGCAGGAGACATGAGATCATCTAGCTGTTGCGATTTGAGCAGAGTAGGGGTCGCGAAGTTCGAGGCTTTCTTTTTCGTAAAGCGGCGCTTCTTCAATGGCCTATCGCTTTCCAGCGACGCCTGTGAAGTCGAAGACATGGACGCTTCCTCAAGAAGTCCTTGATACACATCTGGGACGTCTTCATTTCTCGGTCTTTTTAGGTGTCGAGCGATACTACGTGCTCTTTTCGCATTGCCTTTCATAGGTCTGCCAGGTGCCATCTATGCGGCCGAACGCAGCGCGCCGATGAGGTATCCAAGACTAGTTGTCCGCATCAAGCGTAGCTTTTAGGTGGGCACGGTGCCGCATTATCAGCGCATCCCACAGTAGTTATAGACTCGTCGGGGGTCTGCTGGAGGTGAGGACATCAAGTCTCGAACAGCGCGACGTGCTGATGGACCGGGTGGACGAGAAGAACCCTGCACGGGCCGCTGAAAGTAGAAAGGTGAATGAACGCGGGTAATAGAATGACCATGACGTTTTCGGTCTATGTTGCACACTATCACGTGTCTAGGTAGGTCGGTCCGATATTATGTTGCCTAAGGCACTAATTAACACCAGAGACTCAACGTCAACTCTCGGACTCGAGATAATTAACATCTATCGGATGATAATCCCAATCAGGCGCAGCCCCTCATCAATCATGTGCCAGGGTCGGACCCCTTACAGTGATACAGCCGCCTCTCTCCCCATAGCTGTTGTTTGATAGAAAAAGGGTTGGTGACGATGCGTTCTTGGAGTTCGACACCGGCACTCTGAGGTCGAGTCGAACACCTGGGTGCCACCAAGACTCACAAAAGCACTGCACTGGCTCTAAGCTTCGTCTAGTGATTCGCCCAGAGTAATTGGTGTGATTGTGGAAATAGGGCAGGTCATGATACAAATTCATGCTCCCATACAAGTGTCGTCTGCGTAACCGTCGGGATTCCAAATGGTTTGCTGTGCTTCATGTCGCCGAAAGCCTACTACCTCTCCGACAGTGTGACCACCCGTCCACCCTGCGAAATTCTTTCTTGCCGATAGCGTGTGCATGAACATGATAAGATGGCAAGTATCAGCGCGGATAATATCTTAGTACGGGGATACCTGGGTCAACTATGGGGAGGCGCGGACCATGAGACTGCCTAGGTAGGTCACACAACAAGAGCTAGGAAGATGAATAGGTGATCCAAGTGCTATGCTGGTGCCCGGTAGTGGCAGTTGGAGGCTACTACATGTTTACTCTGAAGTCCGCTTCGGATGAAAGTACTCCTTACTCGCTGCAAGACCTACTGACGCTCTATGTACGCAAGCGGTATTAACGCGTTCGAACAATATCCTTCAACATTGCTTTTGAAAATCACTCATACGCTGTATCCTTATAACGACCCACGCCGACTTCTCGTACCACGTAAACAGATTGAGAATCCTCCATCTCTGCTAAATCATAACCAGGTTACCTCAAAATGCGCAGTCTCGGCCTTTGGTATCGACGCAATGAGCGTCCGTGCAAGCGAAAACCTCCTCATATACACAATGATCAGCAAGATGTGCACTCGCATCATTCCAGCCACGGTTCGAAGAAAAGCTGTTGCAGCGATAAGCAAAGCTCGATGTTTCTAGAAGACATACTCGATTCTGGACCTGTCGGGGTCGACACAGAAAGAGGATCTGGTGCTTTCGAGAAGGTTGTGCTTAGCGTCCAGGGCATGACTTGCAGTGGATGCGAAAAGAAACTCATCAAAGCCTTTCGAAGGATACCTACGATTCGCAATGAGAAGACAAGTCAGGTCTTGGCAAGAGCCGAGTACGAAATTGATATATCTGTAATCTCGATCGATGAGTCTATATCCCAATTGAAGCGGGTCACGAGTTACAGTTTTGAGCAGTTGGCCGACGACATTGGGCAAGCCTTGGAGATCTTGTCTGGACATCCCGACGCGCTCATGAAAGTCGGACAGTGTCCAGGAGTGCAGCTCGTGGATCGACCCGACAATAATAATCCACAACTGCTGCGAATTTACTATAACGCTGCTGAGGTCGGCGCAAGGGACCTCTTAGAGCACCGCCTGGCGGATATAAAGCCTAGGCTAGCTCCTCCTCAAGCTCACCCCTCTCTAATAGCAGGAAAGAAACAAGTTCGCCGAGATGGCGGGCTGTTCTTCATTTCGGCTTTCCTCACCCTACCAGTGCTTGTATTCTCATGGGCGCCAATACCTCATAAAGGCTCTGTTGTGTATCAGGTTGTCTCACTGGTTGCAGCAAGCTTGATACAAGTTGGTGTGGCTTTCGAATTCTATCCAAGCGCCTTCAAATCCCTATTCCGGTCAAGGGTCATCGAGATGGATCTCTTGATAGTGTTGAGCACCACGGCAGCTTATGCTTTCTCGGTGACTGCTTTCGCTTTCATGGTCTCAGGGAATGCATTGGAGACTGGAACGTTCTTCGAAACAAGTACCCTTTTAGCTACGCTCATCTTACTCGGACGTTTCATCAGTGAGCTTGCACGGCAGAAAGCAACCGAGTCCATATCAATAAGATCACTCCAGACTCAGACTGCCATTTTGATTGACAATGGAAACCGCAACGTCATCCGAGTTGTTGACGCAAGACTACTCCAATTCGGTGATACGTTTCGGGTTATGCCACATTCTAGTGTCGTGACAGATGGTATTGTCGTATACGGCGGTTCCGAAGTCAATGAGTCTATGGTAACAGGGGAGCCAATACCAGTGGCGAAGGCAAAAGACTCCCACGTCCTTGCCGGTTCGATGAATGGAACGGGCAACCTTGATGTGAAGCTGGTAAATCTACCAGGACAGAACACAATCAGTGCAATAGCAGACATGGTAGATGCAGCCGAGCTTACAAAGCCCAGATCCCAAGCTATTGCAGATACTGTCGCGGGATACTTCGTTCCAGTAATAGTTGCGATCACGTTGATTGTCTTTGTCACCTGGGTTCTAGTCGGTATCCTTATCCAGCACATATCTCACAAGAGCGCTGCCGTCAATGCGCTGACCTATGCGATCGCTACATTGATCATTTCTTGTCCCTGTGCGATTGGGCTTGCAGTGCCCATGGTTGTCGTTATTGCAGGTGGCGTGGCTGCAAAGTATGGAGTGGTATTTAAGTCGCCGCAGACGATCGAAATCGCGCGTAAGACTACGGATGTTGTTTTCGACAAGACTGGCACGTTGACTCAAGGACGAATGAGCGTTGTTCGGCAGTTCTACCTTGGCTTTGAGAAGTCCATGACAGAGGGCTTCCTGCTGGGAATGACCCAGGACGCGAAGCATCCTGTCTCGATTGCGATCGCGGAAGCTCTCGCAGCAAGCGGCGTCAAGCCCAACAGACTGGACTCCATCGATGTCATACCTGGGTGTGGCATTGAAGGTCGTGTCCAGGACTCTCAGATACGTGCCGGTAACGCACGCTGGCTTCATGTTGAAACCAACACTCACGTCCAAGCCATGCTCCGTGAAGGATTGACAACCTTCTGCGTCGAATATGATCAATATCTGGTCGCAATCTTCGGTCTGAGGGATACTATTCGTCCTGAAGCTCCCAGAGTGGTCCGAGAGCTGAAAGAGCGAGGTATTATGGTTCATATTCTTAGCGGAGATGACGATATTGCTGTTCGACATACAGCGACTGTTCTAAATATCGATAGTGAAAATGTTGTGGCAGGCGCAGGGCCTGCCGATAAGCAGGCTTATGTGCGTTCGCTCACGGAGAAAAAGCCTGGGTCAACGGTGATTTTCTGTGGTGATGGCACAAACGACGCAGTTGCTTTGGCACAAGCTACTCTGGGTATACATATTAACTCTGGATCAGCCACTGAAGTTGCTAAGTCCGCAGCGGATGTGGTGCTTGTGCGCCCTGATCTCCAAGGCGTAATCACTGCTATAGACATTTCTCGCAGTGCGTTCCGTCGCATTCTCTTCAATTTTGGGTGGTCGGCGGTATATAACGTGTTTGCTATTCTTCTGGCTGCGGGAGCATTTGTTGCAGCTTTTGACAAGGCAAGGATAAGACCAGAGTTTGCCGGTTTAGGAGAGATTGCGAGTGTTCTCCCAGTGATAGTGATCGCGTTCACGATGAAGTACTTCAACTACGGAAGATGACTTTATATCTGGGTTGAACGCCTCACCACCTAGTTTGTTCAGCGCAGAGTGTTACTTAGCTCATGTCGTCCGCGTCATTCAATCCTAAGAACCATCATGTGAAAATCAATGTACAAAGTCGAACATAAGTAGCTTATATGAATGGGTGCTGGACTATACTATACGAGCCAGAGAAGTGATGTCACAGCTGGCGGTGCGTTGGGGCCGCCTAGGCCGGCCTGGTCCAACCGCCAATGCGTGGCCCAAACACACAACGCGTCTTCAATCATCAATCACGCCAATTGTCGATAGCAGTTTGGCCTACATGGCAAAGGATACAATCCGTTTCCCAAGCATATTGCTCTTATGATCTCATAGATTGAGAAAATGCTGTGTTCGTCCGAAGTCTTTTGTTCAAGAGCTCTCCGCTTGACGACAAGTTGACCAAACACGCCATGTCAGAAGCAGGGCTTCAATCTTCCAAACGTCGTCGACTTAATTCTTCATCTACGGTATACCAATCTGGCACCGTAAAGAGACAACGACGCTTCCGTCCGAAACGAAGGAGCATACGCAGGGTTATTCCAGAAACGCCGGAGAAGAAGAGACAGAAGACCTTGACACAGGCGCAATGGCTCGAGAATGGACGTGAAGTGCAATCTGAAGAAGAAGAAGGGGAAGAAGAAGAAGGGGACGAAGAAAAGGAGGGAGAAGGAACATTGCTGTTCGGTGATACTGATGGTCCCACGCCGGCTGTTGGCCCAACCGTGTACGACGGACAAAGGGCAGGCAATAATCGAGGACCAAGACGAAGACGAGTTAGACTTATAGCCACCCCATCTGACGATGACGATTTCAGTGCACACGGCGACACCTCCCGTAATGCTATGGAAAGAAGGCATACCTCTAGGAGTCAAAGCACCCTGACTCAACTGGAAGACTTTCTGACTGAGGATACTGTCCTTTCAGCCCGTTCAGTGACCCCAGCAGGCTCTGCCGCCACACGGAGGAAGAAGAAAGATAGTTTACAACGGCATAAGCAGCGCACGTTGACGCAGATGCTAGAAGTCCCTGCATCGGACGATGAGGAAATGGCTATGAATGACGCTGAGGACCAGGATGAATGGGCCGTACAGGGCACTGGCACCGATGTTGAGCTGGGTACTCAGGACGATACACACAGCGTCGCCTCTGATGCCATACCTATGGCTTCCGACTGGAGTCCGGCCTCAAAAGATGCTCTTCGAGTACCAGATGATATTAGACATGCCCGAAGGCGAGCTTTACTGGCTACCCAAATCACTCAGAATCAAGATAACATTAATCCCAATATTGTGTCACCCGAAAAACGACGATCTATGCACTCCACCGGCCATGTACTTGCTACTCCGCAGAAATCTAAACGACGAGAAATTCCGTCTTCGCAGTCACCAGCATCTTCTGCGATCACAACGCTAGGAACAGATCGATTCTACGACTCGCCGGTCAATGCACGGGTACGAGAAATCGTTCAGGAAACTCCTTCAAAGAGCAGAAGAACTCAAAGAGTGCTCTTCGCGGACTCTGCGTCAGGCTCTTCTAGTGGCAGTACTCAGATCAAAGATGAGCCTCTGAGCTCAGCCAATATCACAGTCTCTTCCCCTGCGCCGCAAAGTCTGCAGATGGTTGATGCGGTTCCCAAGGCTAACCAACGAACAAGTACCAGTACGCAAGTCAACAAGCGCACCATGTTCCGAAATGTCATTCCACCGTCACAAGACGAAGAACTTGTAGATGAGTCGCAAGGCCATAACTTGGTCACGATGGATGAGGATTCTGAAGCAGACCTGGGCTCCAATAGTAATGCAATTGTAGGATCGGAAGACGGAGACAGGCTCTCAAAGCTAGCACAAACGCAAGGGTCACAGAATGGAAGTTCCAGGGCCAATCCGGTCTGTGTTTCAACTGCGTGTTCGAAACCAACGTATGGATTACAGGTGCAAGATATTTCTGCTGCTTGTCACCACGAGTCAGAACTTCACTCCATTGACCTAGATTCTCCTGCCTGCCCATGGCATGGTCCAGATCCTTTACCGCGGCTTCCCATCGCGGAGAAAAAGGGTATGCCCGTTTCGGAAAACAGAAGTGTTCAGGAGCAATCCCAAGGTAGCGGAAGCTCGCAGGCAGAAGCGCAATTGCACGAAGAGATGAAGACTTACAGTCAACGGAAAGCAGGCAGACATCTCAAACAGCGCGCGATGAGATACCCATCACAAGCCACGACTATCGACATCACTCAAGCAACGCAGTCTCTTGTCACTACAACTGTGACATGCAACTCTTCCCAACAAGTCCCGCCTCTAAGCACTGCAGCAAACAGTGGAGAGTCTCTTGCACGTCCGCCCGATCTGATCATACCTTCATCTCCGATTCAAATACTCCCACCTCCACTATCATCCCCTCCGATCGAGCTAGTTGAGGACTCACAATTCGGAGTTGACAAGGGTCGACGTTGTTCCATGGCACCAGCCAGTCTGGGTCTCTGGAGCTTACCTGCCCCTCCGCCGTTGGACAGTGATGAAGAAGAGGAAGGTTAGGGGTATGGAAGTTTGTAGACAAAGCACGAGAGTGACACGAAAATGAGATAAACGATGAATTTCTATCGAACATCTGACAGACTATGTATGTACGAGCTTTGTATGCAATAGACGTCGTAGGAGCTCGCAGTTCTACGTTCGCGGATTCGCACCTAGTTCTAAATAGCTATTAGCGCGCGACAGTACTGAGCTAAGAGGTATGAACATCAGGCGGAAGTCATTTTCAGTGTGTCAAAAGCACAATTCTAATCAAGGTAGATCAGAAGGGGTTGAAACAATTTATAGAAAGAGGCTATTCATCATTGCAGGAAGACAAGAATGAAAGAGATTGAAGAACACGTACATTACTTGTGCCAAGGATGAACGCTGCTAAGTGTCTCGTGCTCAAGATGGAAAAATAAAAGACATTATAAAGAGCCGCGAGCATCGGAGCTATGCTCCAGACCTGCTTCTGATAGGGGTGCGACGGTGCGAGCGAGAAACGTTGAGGTGAAGAAGTGAAGAGGTGAAGCGTGGGAAAATTTATGTGTTGTGTGGCCTCGCCCGGACGCAGACTAAAATCATTTTGGAAAAGCGTGCCGGGTTGGTCGGACTTTACACTGCCGACGACAGGTGTTGAAGCCATTTACATCCAGAGCCACGTTCACTCCTCTGTTCTGAAGAATTTGGATAGGAATACTCGAGCAGTGCTCCTCATGTATGTAGGAATAGGGGTATCAACTACAGCTGCGATCAATATATCAACAATGGTTCGCAATGTCCCACACGTGTATAGAAGTGTCTTCAATCCTTGTCTTCCACCCTTGACAGGAAGAAAGCAATAGGAAGGTTAGTACTGAAGTCTCGCACACTTCAAACTATTCGATATATCTCTCGGTCGAAATCATCCAGGGTGTCCACAGGCTGACCCATTTGACATCATTGGGCGCTCTGCGTCCAAACATAGGTAAGGACATATATGTTCGGACGTGAGCTAGGAGCGCTTACATCATAAACTCATCACTACCATATGACAGGTGCCCAAGAAGAAGCAGTCTTTGATTTGTTCGGTCAACTATGCAGAAGCTAGTCTCAAGTAACACGGGTGGAGAGCTGGAAATACACACGAATTGGCGATTGTATACTGGATTTCGAAGGTTACTCAATACATTTGAGAGATGAGATGCATGTATGCGTCGAGATGTGCTAACTACTCACAGGAGGCAGTGCTGTGATCGCATCCCCCTGAGATTATATTCATTCTTCCCTATGCCCCCAGTCAAACCTCTAAGCAGAAGATCGACTCAGGGTACATACACACTGACCAAGCACCGAAAAGACCAATCGAATCACTATTGTCCCAAAATCCAAACGCATAGGGGGACAATCAAGTTTGGACTTTAGATTTACCTGGCGCAACGTCTGCTTGCTTGATGCTACCACAGTTTACGACCGGAGTTGACTGCATCATGTTACCTTAGTTCAAAGTTGGCGAGCTTGACGGCGATACAAGCTCTCTAATCTTCGCCCTATATAGAGCATAGGGCGTAGTAAATCGTGCCAGTGTACCTTTGTATGTCTCTTGCTGATGATGATTAATGGAAAATGCAGATCTATAAGAAAGTTTCTTGAGATGCCACTTGGCTATGCGCAAGATCTGCTCCGTTCAGACCTACTTACTCCTGTGAGTCGAGCTGGTGCGCTCACAAGATCTGTCAAGGTGACTGGGCTGTCCAGGGGGTTACTTGAACCGCAAATAACACTGTTCACCGCTAGGTCCCCCGCGCCACGTCTGTTTATTTGACTTGCGAAACCACCACAACCCACCGATCACTTCCATATCACTTGGATGCGTGCTATCGTATGACTCCCCCGCTTCCTGAGATTCACTTCGAGCGCTGCCCTGGGCTCAGTCGCCGATTCACGTCGCGTCATTTCCTTATAAATGGAGCTCTTCTCGCCGTTTCTTGCTTACACCGCAACACCTCACTTGATCTCTTGCCTTTGGTGTTTGTGGCTGCTTTCCCTCATCATTTTCATCATTGTACCCATCGATAACCAGCCCAGATCAGCATCGCTGTTCAAGCTCCTCGCACTCAGGACGTCACTTCTTCTCAGCTTTTTCACCCAGATCTGTCGTATCCACAAGCTCACTGCAGTTCGCAAGGTTCTAGCTCAATCACGACTCGAACAATTTGCCTTTGAGACGTTCAGATAGCTTCGATAGCAAGAACCGTGTAGCTAACGGCAAATTTTTGCAACATGGCTGATAGCTACGCTATGGACGCAGCGCTTGCATTTCGTAGTGCATTTGGCGGCAACAAGACTTCGAAATCGAAGTCGAAGGAGGATGATCGCAAGCGTGGACAGCAGCGACGTCACAGTAGTACGTTCCTTTCGTTGAAAAGGTGGCATTCAGTTAACTCGGATTAGATTCTTCAGAGGACGACGATGACAAGACCGAAAAATCGCCTTCTCCTCCGCCGTTGCCGTTGAGGTCAGGTCCAGCTCCACCACGTCCAGAACGTCCAAATGCGCTTCAGATAGAGGCTGTTCACCAGTTTCTGAACTCGACCGTCAGACCAACACCGAAAACGGTGAAGAAGGACAGCATCTCACGTCCCCGTGAGCATCTGGATCCAATTCATGGTAGTCCAATAGGATCATCTATGCAGTCACCTATCAGTACAACCTCCAACGAATCCGGATGGAGTCCTTCCTCTTACTCGTCGCCTTTCATGTCACCGCAGACACAACAGTCTAGCTTTCCGAGTTCTCCTATCAGCTCCCCCTACCATCAGCAGACTAGCTTCAAGCAGCAGCAAAAGCACTCTCCCTACATCGAGCAAGCTCCTCATGCTCACTCGTTCCGATCAGCGCAGCAAACTCAGCAGAAGCCGTATAGTCATTTAGCAGACACGCCACGGACGACACGGTCCAAGCCTCATGTTCCACCCTTCAGCTCTTCCGCAAAGGCTCAGCAGAAGCCATACGCTCACCCTACCATTGATCTTCTGAACAGACCTCAGCCATACCCTTCGACCAATCCAAGGTCAGGGTCGCACGCACCACCACCATCATCCATCTCGCAACAGAGAAGTTTCTCTGAGCAATCGAACAAGCCCCAGCAAGGCAGCGTCGACCAGAAGCCAGCGCAGCTGAGCTTCACCACCCCATCCCCCTACCAGCAACAAGGCACCTGGGAGATTCCCTCGCACCAGACACCATCTGCTCCTGCCAGACCAGAGAACGTCGAAGTTCTCTCGCACCAGGTAAGCAGAAAAGGCAGTATCGGCCGCATTCTCTCCCGCTCACGCTCCGTCCTCTCGGACCTACGCTCTGTTGCAAGCCCTGCTAACCTGCGCTTCAAGACGCTCGCTCGCCGCTCCCCAGGAGCAGCCAGCATCTCGGCAGACTACTTTGCCGCCGAACTCGCCGCCTCCGCTTCTGGGCCCGGCCCGCGTCCTGCCACCCGGCGTGCTCTCACGCGCGAGGAGTCCACACCGAGGCTCCAACGACTCGAGTTCGGCGCCTCCAAGCTGAACCTCTCTGAGGCGCTTGCGAGCAGCAAGCCGAACTCGGGCCGTCGGGCGCTGAGGAAGGTGGACTCGGACGAGTCGTTTGGGTGTGTCGATGGGATGCGGAACCCGGAGAAGGAGGCGGAGGAGGCGAGGAAGGCGGCCGAGAGGGCGGAGGAGAGGGAGAGGGGAAGGGGGGAGAAGGTTTTGCGGCGGGTGCGCACGTTTGTGCGGTTGACGAGGGGGGAGGAGAGTGAGGAGGAGTGAGGGCCCGGTTGGGCGGGGGTGGAGGTTGTTCATTGCCCATCAGAGGGCTTAGAGGCTGGCCGCTGCTATCTGGCCGGCTTTTATTTTCCAATCAAAAGTGATTTCGAGTTTGATCTGTTCATCGTGTCCGTGACTGTGATACAGTGGTGGCAAGATGGTGATATTAAGCATGCCAGGGTTCGATGTTCTTGATAGCCAGTAGAAGGGTTGAATGTTGACAACGATGGATGAGGCAGGCTTGGTTTTATCGATCCTTGAGTATCTGCTGCTCGATGTGTTTGACATGGCGGTAATCATAGTGGCTGATCCGTGATTACATGATAGAGAGGGCCAGGGGAGGAGGGTTTTCGATGTCTAATGGAGGAATCGAGAGCTGATTGCGTTGGGTGGATAGATGTTTATCTGTGACCAGTAAGGGATCCTTATTCGATGCTAGTCATCCAGCCAGTTTCATGGTAGGCTGCCAATGATCTGGTAGTTCTTTGCTGTATTGAAGACCGCGATTTTGATAGACTTTTCACTAAATTGTAGTTCTTGCTGAGATATGTCGTTGAAAACACCATAGGTACTCGATGATGACACGACTTCGCGATTCCGGGTGTTCTACTTCTAGAAGATATCATCGGTGATAAAGCGTTTAGAACGTGATATGATACTATCATGATGCCAGGGCAGTAGAGGTTCTCTAGGTCTGGCACATTTCCCGCGTGGTATCCGCAAAATTGGATAAAAGACTCATTGTAAGGCGCTTGTCAACTGCGATCTTTGTGTATTAGCTGTTCTGTGTCTTTAGAAACCTGCCAAAAATTCTTTTCTATATTGCGATTCTCACTAAATAGCTCACGTACAATAGTAAGCAAGTCAAATATCCATGTGTTGAATCAGGCTATAGCAACTTGTGATAGTGGAAGGCATACCACCCACATATGACTAACGTGATATTGCGATTCTTTTGCTTGAGCAGGCTTAAGGTCTTGCTACCCATTATAAGATGTTACAGTCGTACTGCCTAAGAGGGTAGAATAGTCTGATACACAATGTCCGACAAGGTGTTTTTGCCGTGATCAACAAGCTCATATTCGGGTCTATATGGCTAGTGTTGAATGTTCAGATGACCCACATCATGTACCTGAATAGACTTCTATAAAGTGCTTGAATGGACGCTAACACAGATGCTAGGACATTACGACTCCAGAAAGCGACGTACAGGAACGCTACTTCATCATTGACTCAGGAATCGCATGTTACAGACCCTAAAACGACATACCTGGGAGACAGACAAGGGATCATGAGGCAAGGGGAATCGAGTCAAGCAGAGGGCCGTCCAGTCAGCGCAACAGGAGAATGTAGGTTACTCGTTGTATAGGCACGGCATCTTAGGAGATGAGGAAAACTCGGGAACACGATGCAGCGTGAAGAGAAAGGGCGAAATAGCAGGAGAGTGAAACCCATGAAGAGGACCGCTACCAAGACAAGTGAGCGATTTTGAACAGCCGGCATACTGCGAACAAGGTCGAGGAAAGAAAGCGATGCAGATGCCCCATGTTCCACGCATATTGGACCAGCAGAGCCAGGACCGTAGTCGGATAGGGCCGGCATTCCTCCCGCTTCCGGGAATTCTGGTGTTGCAATCAGGGCAGTAGTAAATAAATCGTCAGTTTCCGGCTCTAGCCACCTGAGTAGCAGCAGCCAGCGCGCAAGGTGGGGAAGGCGACCGACCGATGACCTTCCCGTCCTCGCAGCTCCCGTCCGCCCTAAGGTTAAAAGTCTCTCCCAGATTCCGACTTCACTCCGCATCCTCACCCTCAGTCACCGGAAAGACCTTCTGCTGGCAATCGATTTCGCTACAGCTTCACGAACCTACACTCTACCCCATACCACCCCGACTCCGACACGTCCTCAGAGAGGAATAGGCCGGAGCCAAGGATCTGCAGCTTGCCGCACTGCAGGGTAGTCCAAGCACCCAGCCCACCCAACGAGATCTGTTACGTTTCTTGCGATCACCGAGCAGGCGCCACAATCTCGCATAGACCGGCCTACTGGATCCCTAGTAATAAGCAAAATGCCCTCCTCACATCAAGGCTCACCTCCGCATACGAAGCGGCCGTCCATGACCACTCGAACCTCCTCAGCTTCATCGGCCGCAACCCTCCTACAGTCTCCTACCGAAACTCCTCACCAGCATCGATCTCACAAAGCGCAGAAGCACGTTCGACTGGGCCAGCGTAACCTCTCTTTCGGCAAGAATCTGAACAAACTGGGCAAGCAGGCAGTGGCACATGCAGCAGAGAGCGCGGTTACGAAGGGTCACAGACGTGTCCTCTCAGGAGGTTCGACTCCGACTGAATCACAACGACCGAATGTAAGGCGAAATGCTTCGACGGTGGGGATCGTGCGACACACAACACAAGCTCCGATACGGAAGAATCATTCCAGTGGCCATCTCCCGCGAAATTCATCTAGCAAGAACATGCTCAAGCCTAGCAAGAGCGAGGTCGCGCCGGCGAAGCGTTCCCTCATGAAACCAGGGAGGTCGAGGCCCGCCTCTAGAGAGGCGGACCACCCGACAGTTCACTTTGATATCGGCGATGATCCAGATCTCGCTGACGACACACAAGAGGATGCCTGGACCGAAGAGAGCGCATCTCAATCACCAAACACAACCCGCTCAAACACAAGATCGAACTCTGTGATACTAGATCCCCATGCGACACAGAAGGAGGAGGGGTTTACAAGTCCAACCACAGGAAGCCGGAAACAGTCGCAGCAAGGACTTGCGCAAGCAACTCGCAAAGTCGTAGATGCCCAGCAGATCAACGGCGCAAGCTCCTATACCCCTAGCAGACCCCCAGACGCTGATATGATAACGTCACGCCTCCTCCGCCGTACCGCCTCAAATACAGCGAAAGTCGAAACATCGCTCGCATCAGCATCCGCAACGGGCCTATCTGATTCACATGATGCACGTACACTAAGTCAAAGCCAAGGGTCTACACTCGCCGAGACACCAGGTCGGGATCTTGTGTCGCGTTTTATGGACGGAGATGGCTCCGTAGGCACTCCGCGCAACAGCAACTTCCTAACACCCGCAGAAGACGCCGAACACAGTCAAGAAGCAGAGCATCACGCACCGAGGCGCAACAAGTCACAGCCAAACATGGCACACAGACACACACGAGAGACCACACCAACAAGCACAATGTCCAGCCGCGCCACCTCACGGCGCTCGGGCACGAACACCCCGTCCAGCGACCTCAACCCCAGCCGTACACAGCAGAAACTCTGGCTCCAGCGCGCATCCTCAAACGTCGAGCCGCAGAAACTCATACCGGTCATCCTACCACGTACCGGTGGCCCTCAACTGCTCACCGCAGGCGTCAACTTCTCGACAGGGTACAGCGAAGGGCGGGTCGATCCCCGACTACTGAAGCTGTTTGAGAATATCGCAAAGGAGTACACCGTCGTGCATCGGTACAGGAACCCACTCGCAGACGCGCTCGGTCGGCTGGACAAGCTACCTACGGCAACGAAGAAGAACTTGACAAGTACTAGTAGTGCTCGGAGTAGAATGAATGGACGGACGGAGCGGGACGAGATGGAAGAAGAGGGAGATGGGAGAAGGAGCTTCGAGAGTGATGGGGGCACGGTGAGGAGTGAGGCAGAGGAGATATGTCGGCGGATGTGGGAGAGCACGGAGGTTGTGGAGGAGGATTGAAGCCTTATGCGAAGTAGAGTAGGGACGGAGGGAAGGTAGGGTACGTAATGTGACGGTTGGGCGGTTCTTGGGTGATGGGCAGGGCGAATACTACTTCTTGGATCGAGGGTCCCTCGCGAGACGTGACTTGGTGACTGCGTGTGATAAAATAGCACGCAGGATAATAACTTATGGCGTATAGCGATATTGCGGGAATCTCACGTACTCCTGGGGTCTTCCTACTAAACTTAATGAGATGATGATGATGCAGGATCGGTTCTGGCCCTGCTGGATTGTAACCTTACGAGAATCTGACCGCTGACCTGCGGTGGTGAGCATCATTGATATCTGACAGTGTGCGCGACACGACACAATACACACACACACACTCGGTGGAATTATGCATGGCATGTTATGGGTACCGTCGCGTGAAACCATATTCTGTACGCATAATGATCTGCGTGTATTGTATTGTTTGTATATGCGAGAATGAGTATCAGATATTGACATCGAGGTAGAAGGAGTGGCGGAATTGCCCGCTGGCTGCATGAGAAGTCTCGTCTCTGGGTTATGAGATTCTACTGATCGAGTGATGTGTAGTCTGTAGATCTAGAAAGGTGGTACAGTATTGTTGTTGCGAGTGTCTAGAGGGCCACTGTGTCTTGTCCACTGTGTGTATGACGACGTCAGATGCAGTGACTCTATTGAACTTACTTGAAGGGTGACAACACACGACGATATCTTGGACTCACGAAGGATGCATGTTCACTGACGACTGCTCCGCTTGACAACACCTCTTTCCAAACGGCACACGTCGTAGACTAGCAAGAAAGCCGGTGTCTCGGCAATCACACGTTTCACCACTCACCCCGGCAAAGCAGCACATACATACCTCAATAGCATACAGCCGATGAACAATCGAAACTCGTAACGCAACACGACCAGCAAGAGCTCTCATTTTAAAACTCTGATGTTGCAAACGCTGCGCAGCCAATCCGCATCGAGTGAGGTCGAGCTGTACCTGACGCTTAACTGGTCTTGGATTAGTATGATCGTATTAAATTAGACGGACCGTGGATGTCCATCGCTTCATGAGTCCTTCCCAAAGGATTAGGTTTAGGCGGCTAGTCGTTGGACAATTTCGTGCTCGTGCTGGCCGAAGGGGAGGGTGGGCTTGGTATGCGCTTGAAGGCTGGATTCTTGCGACGGCACTGGGCAGATGGCCGGCTTAGGCGAGATGATGAAGAAGAGTTGCTTGGGTTGACGCGAATATTGATGGGTGGTGGGTGGTGGCGTAGTAACACGAAGAGATGACCGCAGCAGCGCAGCATGAAGAAGGAGGTCATCATTACCTACGCACAACAGCAGCTGAGGCAACCAGAGTGGAGGCGCCGGTTGCATCATCGACAGGGCAGGCAGGCCTGGATAGCTGGGGTTGGACAGGGTCTGTGAGTGTTTCACGCCCTGCTCGAGCCGTTGCTCTCACCAGATCAGTTGGGTCCTGGAATAGACGAGACTGACTGGCGCATCTGGAGCACAGCCATGATGGATGATGAGATTGATGAGTTCGATGAGTTCTTTGTCCCTTAAGATTTCCATTCCACGTCGCACGAATGTGTTCTCTTGTGATTTGTCGCGCTGTGTACCATGTAGGATCTGGACGCGGTGGGCGTGTTCCTTTCGCGTGTCATCTTGGGGCATCTGGTGAGGTGTGAGTGGACAGTGGTAACAAGCCCCAGACGTCAAAAGTCTTGGTTTCAATAGCGTCGTTGCGACTCGCTCATCTACTTACTGTACCTGGCTGGCCCAGTATGAAGCATGAAAAGGTCTCTCGAGCAACAACGGGGCAAGGTGTTTAACCAGAAGTAGAAGAATGTCATTCAGGGAGAAGGGGGCCAATGTGCGGTGCGTGACTTGTCGTCCTTTCCTCATCCGCTCATCCATGTGTTGCTCCGTTGGCTGCAGGGCAGGTGCAAGTCTGCAAGGTACAATCGCGATCCTCCACATCCTGGGACGGGGTGACAGACATAAAGTTACTGCGTGCTTGGCGGCGATGTCGGGGGCTTGTTGGGCGCTGGTCGGGGCCTCTTTTGGGGGCTTATCAGGCTGCTTGGGCTGTGTCTCTCGGGGCGCTGCATCGTAACATTTAGCGGGTGATGCGCAGAGACTTCTGGGGATCCAGATAGCTTCTCCAGCCTAGCGCGTGGCCTTGTGGACCCCCCAAGGCTAGATTCACCCCCCCTAAAGTAACACTCTAGTCAGGAACGCGGAAATGAGACAACCAATTGCCCCCCGGTAGGTTAGTTCCCCCCCAAATAACACAAACAAGGCGTCTCCGCTAATTCCTCTGCAGCACGACCGCAATCAAACTGGCCGCTCTACTATTTTCCCTATCCCCCGGATGCCTGCCCTTTTCCTCTTCTTCTTCTGCTTCTTCTTGCTCTCGTTTCTTCCCTGTGCCTCATCAAAACCCACATTTCTGCTACACGCAAAATATCTCACTGGCTCTCTGCCTTTGTCACTCTTTTTAAATCCAACCAACGTTCTCTATTCTTACAAAGGCCTACGCCGTCTCGCTCATTCATCCATACAAACAAAGACCCAAAAGACATACCCTGTCGTCCTTCTAGAAAATCGCTAGATCTGCTCTTCAAGCATTCGCACGATCGCGCGCATCGATATCACTACAAGACATCCTATCGTCGCATTCTCTGCACCAAAGCACCACTTGCAACGTCGCAGTAGTCGCATCTCCAGCTTTTCAGCTTCCTCCGATCTCTCCTATCAAGAATCAAATCTCCGGATAACCAAAAACTCAAAATGCGCTCCTCCTTCAGCCAGATCGTCGCATCCCTCCTCCTCTTCCTCTCCGCCTTTGTCGCTGCCAACAACACCCCTCCCGCTGACGACTACTCCACTTACTATGTCACCAAGACCGTCTTCCGCGTCGTCACGCAGACCATGACTGGCACTCCTCCAGCCACTCCAATCACCACTCCCGTTACCACCATCGAGACCATCATTCCCTCGCACGGCAGCAACTCAACAATGCACACCCCTACTTCCGGCGAGCCAAATGGTTCATCAGCTCCTGCGCCAACTGGTTCACAGGGTGCCGCTGTCGCACTACAAGCTCCGGCTGTTGCAGTGGGTGCCGTAGTCCTGGCAATGCTCGCGCTATAGGCTTGCTCCGCGCTTCAAATCATCTGAAAAGCGAGCTGGACTTTACGCGCTACCATTCAACGTCAATATTACACCACACGTTGCAGAGCATCTTCACACACACACAACTCTAACTCATACCTCGCAACTTGCGCATTGGCCTGGGTGTCCTCATAAAACCATCTACGGTGGATAAGAGTTTCACTAGGACGGATTTCTCTCTCTCTTTTTTTAAACCACTTTTACGATTGCGCGGCGGTGGACATTGTAGTCAGGGCTTCTTCTTTCTATCTTGTCTCTTCACGTCGCGCGTTTTTCACGCCCCCTTTCTATCTAAGCGCCGGAGTTCCACAGAGTTGCCGATTCACGTCGTCACGCATGTCATGGCCGTTTGTTGAGATACCACACTTTTACCCCTTTTAACTCTTTCAATCCTCTTTCAATCCCTTATTTGGCATTTTGAGGTGAGGTGGATACCTGTACGGTGAGCGGCTTGGTCACTTTTTATTTTTTATTCCCCAGTCCGAGCCGCGGGATCTTGTTGTGGTGGAATGGAATGTGAAAGTATGTATGTAGCTGTTCGATTGCTCACAAAGTAGTCTGATTTTTCAATTGACACTGAGCATCTATCTTGTGCTGCTGTGCCTTTGTGTGATGGCTTGTGTTGTTTTCCGGTTGTTGTCTTTACCTCAGCCCATGTTTAGTGCCTTCAATAACATTGAATGCCCGTGTCAAAGAGACCTGCAGGTTAAACGCGCCAAGACGGTCAAGCCATGCGACATCCATATTCGGACATTTCAAGATCAGAAAGATAACCTCCGTCACGTAGCCAAGACTCTCCACGCGTCGTCCACGAGGTCGTGCTGCCTGTGCTCTGGCACCTGTTCATCCATCATCACTCAATGGTGTTCTTTGCAGCGAGGCATAACTACGCTCTGCACATGTCGGGTTCTATAGTCTGCTGAGAATTCTAGTACCTATAACCTGATGGTACAATATACTGTGTTTCACTTTGCATTTGACACGAATGCGCTTTCTTTGGAAAATGTCTTGCGAATAGTTGAGTTGGTCACGCGATAGCTTGCTTTCTGTTGATGCAGCATCCAGATTCGCAGTTGCCCGGTCAACTCACAGACAGCATTGTTGAATTTACAGACTATACGGATGTTGTCATCGTTGAAAGTATTTTGCTGAGATACTTATAAGTGCAAACACGATTAGTGAGTGTTGTTTGACGTGTGATCTGTTTGAGAGTTTGGCATTGTAAGGCCTCCTGGTGGCAGGATGTGAGCTACTGTATCTCTGCCCCCAGCATGCGGAGGCGGGACGATCCGTGGGCCTGGATGTTTGTTCCTACCTCGAAGATGACACTCGTCGAATATAATGTAATGAAGAGCATCATGTAGAGAGAGACTGGAGTTGTCCTCAAAGCGATGTCCTCATGGAGCTCTGTGCTCGAAGAGTTGTTGCGTTGATTATCTGCATTCTGGTCCCGAGACAAAATGCGCTCAATCTCAGCCTCAAGCACGCACTTAGTAATGCCAGCGATCTCACGATCCTAAATGACAAAGGCTGACTCGCACCGCTGGCCTCGCACATGCCAAAGGCGGACAACGACCGCCGAGCTTCAGCGTCAGATGCCACGGGAAGATATGCGCGATTTAACGGTAGAGAAGACCTCACGATAGGGACCATCCCGTTGGTTGCCTCCCTGGTGATGGTCGGAGAGGCGCTTGAACAACAATGCAGTTGGATGTCTGGAGGCCAAAATGTATCCGTGACTGGACCTTTTGGCCGTATTTCGAATGATTGTGAGCACTGTGATTGGGTGAAAGGAGGTCGGCTGAAGCTGGGAGCGTAGGGAAATATCGGAAAGGCGTTGGCGTTCCTGCACCTGCACCTGCGCACCAGTCCTCAGCACCGGTCCACACACAGCGATAATCTGACGCTTGGCTGGTTTAGGCATGACATGCAGCGTCATCTAGTTGGCACGCTCTCTCGGCCGGGAATGCTTAGGGCTGTACAGGTTCATCGTACTTGCTGCAGCATTGTAAGATATTAACTGCGTCCTTATAATCATACCTGATCTATAGACTCTGTCTCGTGATACACGCTCTCGCCTGAACGAGGAGAGGCGGGTAGTTACATAACAGCGGCATTGCAATGCATTGAGAGCCAAGAACAAGCGAAAATGCGGGGAAGGGTCAACGCCATAACTAGTGATTGACTATTGTACTGTACTATGTATAAAACGTTGACGTCGTTCAGCGAAGTGTAGGTGTAGACCGTAATTGTTAAGATACGAGATATTCAGTTAAAGCTGTATATTTATGCCGGTCGTTGTCTTCTTGACGATCCACTGACTATTCCCGAGCGACTAAACGATCTGTGCATTCCAACTACAATCGCCCGTCTCGCCAACTATTGAACTCCAGCATTTCCATCACCTGCATCTCACGTTGCCTGAGCGTCTCCCGCTCCATCAGAATTGGATAAAACAGTCACTTCGGGCCACTGAACTCTTGTTATCAAGGTATAAGACACGAGACGAGAGGAACAGCCGTTGCGGTGAGCCGAGTAGCGTTGGGCCGAACAAGGCACAGCCCCGCAGCCCCTCGTCCCCTCCACCTGCAATCCTGCCGGTTGGCATTGGTGGAGTTGAGGGCATTGACCTTCTCACGCGAGCTTTGTCCAGAACCTCGATCTCATCTGTTTCCTGCGAACAGAAGAAGCCCAGACTGGGGACTATCCTGTGCGCAGGATAGAGAGACAAGAGACGTTGTCCTTTCATTTACTCTCTTCTTTGCGTGTCCTCGTGCAAGAGAGAGAGAGAGAGACTCACTTTATGCGCTACAGCCGAGCTTTACCTTGGACCTTGGCCCCTGGACCTGGCTGCGTCTCCATGTGTCCGGCAGACGTCGAGTTGATGCTCATGCTCGTGGCTAATTGTTAGTGCTTCGTCATACTCACGATACTGCCGCTTCCGTCACAATTGGATTTGAGCTACCTACCACGACTGATTGTCATATATCCATGGCCATTCGACGCAGCTTTGGATACCCAATGTACTATAGAAATCCCATAGCAGCTGCTCCACTGTCTCCATCAGCAGCCCCGGTCAGCAGAACAATAATAATAATACATAGACGGCCACTGCAACTGCACTCGGTGGGCCGGCAAAGCCTCAAACTCACCCGACTTCTTCCTGCAGGCCCGCTCGCAGCTGTTAGTTTCCGATTCCCAAATCGCCCCTTGCCGATCGGGGCAAACCGGCCAGTTCTATCACATCCACGTCTAAACATCATCCAGCAGCATACGCCTCGCCGATGGCTGTCCCGATCTATTAGTGGATACTACCTCTTCTCCAAACTCATCATACCGAGCTATTCGAAAATCGCTCAACCTTTAAAGGCCCTCGGTCCCCTCATCGTCGTTTCTAATTGCTATCCTTCTTCCCGTTTGCTTCACCCGTTCTCCACTCTCCACTCCTCCCAAAATCAACACCGTCCCTTTGATCTTGAATTCTTTCGAAACGCCACCTTTCACCCTGAATCAACCATTACAATGTTGTCACAAAACGTTAACAAGACCGCCCTTCACCCGCACGGTATCCAGTATGACCTTCACCATCTCCAATTCCTCTCTCCAAGGCTGACGGTAGATGCACAGGCCTCACCATGAGCACACTGAAATAGAAGAGGAGCTTCACGAAAAGGCTCACATTGACTACGATCACGTCAAGATTGTACGCTACCCAACCTTCCAATGCTGCACCACATAATGCTTACTGCAACTCCAGGTCGCAAATCCTGCCGTATCTGCTCTCTACGAAGACGCACTTGTCTACGAAACCGGTTCCGCCATCACGTCTACCGGAGCTCTATCCGCATATTCTGGCGCGAAGACCGGACGATCACCATCGGACAAACGTATTGTCGAGGAAGCCACATCTAAAGACGATGTTTGGTGGGGACCCGTAAATAAGCCAATTTCTCCAGATGTAAGTGCAATCAATTGATCATGTCGCGTGGTCAGAGGCGGAGCAAGAGCTGTGGCAGGAAACGCGCACCACCAGCCAGACGTCATGCAGGTGTTTTGTTGCCGATACCGAGGGCGCTATCCCAGTCACTGCATATGACTGATTGGCGTCTCTGCTCTGGCCCGCGTGGCTTGTGGGCTGCTGCGGGGCTGCCGGTCTACCCCCCCAGCTCCGGCCGGGCCTTCTTGGCGGTTGGAGGTTTAGTTGGATGTATCACGTGCTGACATCCCATTTCTACAGGTCTGGAAGATCAATCGTGAACGTGCCGTCGACTACCTCAACACTCGTTCCCGTATCTACGTTATCGATGGTTTCGCCGGATGGGATCCACGCTACCGGATCAAGGTCCGTGTCGTGGCTGCTCGTGCCTACCATGCTCTCTTCATGCGCAACATGCTTATCCGTCCGAAACCTGAGGAACTCGAGCACTTCCACCCTGACTATGTCATCTACAACGCCGGTGCCTTCCCGGCAAACAGATATACCCTTGGTATGACTTCAGCAACCTCTGTTGCCATCAATTTCGCCGAGAAGGAGATGGTCATCCTTGGTACTGAGTACGCCGGAGAGATGAAGAAGGGTATTTTCACTGTTCTCTTCTACGAGATGCCTGTTAAGCACAACGTCTTGACTCTCCACTCTTCTGCCAACCAGGGCAAGGACGGAGACGTTACCGTTTTCTTCGGTCTTTCTGGTACTGGCAAGACTACACTATCCGCTGATCCCAAGCGCATGCTGATTGGTGACGACGAGCATTGTTGGAGTGATACTGGTGTCTTCAACATCGAAGGTGGCTGTTACGCCAAGTGTATTGGTCTGTCCGCTGAGAAAGAACCCGATATCTTCAACTCCATCAAGTTCGGTGCCATTCTCGAGAACTGTGTGTTTGACCCCACAAGCCGTGTTGTCGACTACGACGACGATGCTCTCACAGAGAACACCCGTTGCGCATACCCAATTGAGTTCATCGACAACGCTAAGATTCCTTGCATCAGCGACAACCACCCAACTAACATTGTGCTGCTCACTTGCGACGCTCGAGGTGTCCTTCCACCTATCTCCAAGCTCAACCGTGAGCAGGTTATGTACCATTTCATTTCCGGATATACCTCCAAGATGGCCGGTACGGAAGAAGGAGTTACGGAACCTCAAGCAACCTTTTCCTCCTGCTTCGCTCAACCCTTCCTTGCGCTCCATCCCATGCGGTATGCCAAGATGTTGGCAGACAAGATCACTGAGCACAAGGCTGATGCGTGGTTGCTCAACACTGGCTGGGTCGGTGCTGGTGCTGCTACTGGTGGCAAGCGTTGTCCTCTCAAATACACTCGTGCTATCCTCGATGCTATCCACAACGGCGAGCTGGCTAAGCAGGAATACGAGACGTACGAGACCTTCAACCTCTCTGTGCCAAAGACATGCCCCAACGTTCCGGACGAGCTTCTGAATCCCGCCAAGGGCTGGGTCGGTACTACTGATTTCAAGGAGGAGGTCACCAAGCTTGGCAAGCTCTTCGTTGAGAACTTCCAAAAGTTCGCAGATCAAGCTACCCCAGAGGTTCTCGCCGCTGCTCCTCAGGTAAGCTTTGTGTCTTTGCTATGTTCTCCAGGGTAGGCGCTAATTGATCACAGGATGTCGGAGTAGAATCGAAGCCAGTATCCAAACCAGTCTCGGATGCCAAGCCGGAACCCGAAGCCAAGTCGGAACCTGTAGTCAAATCAGAGCCTGAAGTCAAGTCAGAGCCTGAAGCCAAGTCAGAGCTTGAAGCCAAGTCAGAGCCTGAAGTCAAGTCAGAGCCCGAACCCAAGTCAGAATCTGAAGCCAAGTCAGAACTTGAAGTCAAGTCAGAAACCAAAGACACGTCTGGACAGGCCGGAGTGACGAAGATTGAACCACTCGGAGCCAAGCCCGAAATCCAAGTTGTGCCGGAAAATTCTTCCTAGGGATATATGCGCACATGCAATTCCCGTCAGGAGTCGTCGCTAATGCATGGCAGATGGTTAATTACACCCAACGCGCTTTGAATTCTACTGCATAAGGCCATCATGAAGGCCTTCATCATCTAGAGCGATTGTTTTGCTTTTAGACGCATGCAAAGGCCAACCCATTTCTACATTGTTATACAGTCTGTCAGTCACTGGACTTTATTTGGATACGAACGCTTTTTTCCTTGTCATCATTATGGATACCCTCGATCTTGTTGCATATTCTGAACAAGACTAGAGGTCCTACGCGAGCGCCTGTTCTGGGGGGAATTGAACTTGGCGAATTAAACATGTTAACTGGTGGCGCTTTTGGGGGGGGTATATCAAACTTGGCTGTGGTGATTATGATGGTGGTGGTAATCATGTCGACATACTAGGATAATGATTACGTGATGAGTTTACTTAACTCCCTGTTGATGATTCGTGATGATTGTTACAGCTTGTGCGTGTGGTATACTAGGTCTGGAAGGCTGAAAGAAATCGTGGCTTAATTCAATATCAATCCGGATGGTGTTCGTTGGGTGTACAAGTTGCACGGGCCGTCTACGATGCATCCGACGTGCGTACCTGCCAAGAATAGAGAAGTGAGTTTTTACCTTACCACGCGGTCGGTCGTGACACGCGAGGTCCCGTGATTAACTGCGCCTGCCGTGACTGTTTCTAAGCGGAAATTTGTGGTGGTGTCAAGCTCTTTGATACCCTGCACTTCTTCTTACGAGCTAGAGTGCGCCATTCAATCACTCTGTAAGGTTGACCTCTTGCAGAGAATGAACTAATTCATCTTTCTTTGAGATTTGGCTCATTCTTAGTTGAGCCTTGTCGATGCTCTTAACTACGAGTCATAGCGTTCAAGTCTTGATCACACAGACTGGAAGAGTACTTGAACTCGACGAATCTATTTGGGTATCCAAGAAGTATATATACGGGTATGATTATATGCATACTATTGGCATTAGTGTGCCCCTTTCTGCCCGCTCCAAAGTCTTCAATCTCCCTCCTGGTATCTTACTGAATTCGTGTGGATCATCAAGTAGTCGCTGACAAAACCAGTTCCCGAAAAACGAAGCCGCCGGAACCACATTATACGTAAGCCCTGTTCTCACAGGCATGTACGATCAGTATATCTGCGCCAGTGCCATGCCACCGGCAAACATGGAAGCCACGGATATGACACTCGATATGCCCAGCATGGCCATCCCGCTGATACCGTGTCCTGATGTACAGCCGCCACCCATGAGTGCGCCGACAGCCAGGCAGAAGCCACCTGAGACTGCTCGAAGTGTGGAAACAGAAAGAGGGGTAGGTGATGACAGCGATGCTACAGCTGATATTGAGAGGCCTAAACTGCCTAGAATGAGGCCCGTAGCAAAAGTTTGGGTTGGAGTCGGGTAGTTATGAAGACGGTCGGTATGCTGTGCATTTCTCGGCTTGTCATGGCCTTCGACAAGATCCCAAAACCATTTCCCTGTATCCGAAAAGACACCGGAAACGCCGAGCGCCCGTCCGCGTAGAACCACAGAAAGGAACTGCACGCATCCAATCACCAATCCACTAACAACAGGGCTTGGAAGGTCGAACGTCGTACTTTCGAGAAAGCTAGATCCGAATACAACCGTTGAGCAAAGCGTTATGTAAGTCAAGATTGCGGTCTCCTTGGAACAGGCCAAGATCTCTGGGATTGTTGACCTCTGGGGCAGTGAAGATTCGGATGTGCAATTTTTTAGAAGTGGTCCAGATATAGCCTGATAACAGATACCTCCAATTGCAGAACCGGCGAGGACGAGCAGACTTGACGGTACCCCAGCGCCTACTTGCACGAAGACGGTTCCAGGACAAGCACCCGCCAGAGTCATACCGAAGCCTACAAGAATACCTCCGAGGATGTTGCCTCCGTATGGACCGAGTCCGGGCAATGGTGTTGGACCACGTGCAGCAATGTTGGGTTTCGAGGTAGAATGGGGTAGTGATAGCACGATTCTACATGGACCATGTGAGTGATATTGAACATGGGAGAACTGAATCCTCACTTACGCGCTACTCGCAGTTGCTGTCAGGAAGACTCTCATCATATGAAAGTTCTGGAACTTCATCTGAGCCATGATAACTTCAGGTATGAAAACGCCCGAATATGTGAGGGCAGCACCGAAAGCGGTGCCGCACAATGCTGTTCTCCAGAGCTCGCCCATGCCAGAAGGATGCGAGGGAGCAGAAGAAAGTAAGATCTGCAAGTGAACTATGAGGAAAGAGAGGGACTTGTCGAAAGCAAGGTTGCACAAGGACAACATCTTAACGGAGACGGGTGGGAGATGAGTAAACGGAGGAGTAGGATCTGAGCGGGTCGGCGCGGCCAGGAAATGACGGAAAGAGGCTAATGAATGGTGAAAGGAACAGCGCCGGGTAGAGACGATCCAGTGAATATTCCAACCAGTGGAACGCCTGGTAGCTAAGTTGATGAGTTCGGCTGATACGGGTGTTTAGATGGGGGGGATAGTGGGGACGGTTGAGCCAGTGGGTATATCTGTCTGAGAGCGAAGTATGAATTGAGGAAGGCCAGACACGAGACAAGCTACAACAAGGTAGGAGGATAGCTAGTAGACAGCGAAATGCGATGAGGATTCAACAACCTTCCGATGGAATGAACATGGATGAAGACAGGCCAAACAGCAGCCATCGCGCCTTCTATTCTATCCTCACAGCATCCGTCTCAGGCGCGGGCAAGCCGGCGATCAGTGCAATCTGGGGATTGCTGTCCTGTATCCATGTCCACGACAGCAAGTGGATAGAGTCATCTGTACCAAGGCCAAACATTTGTACGGCGCGCAGCACATGGTCACAAAGGCATAAGGGGGGGATGGATGGCATGTCGTCAAGCATTGCAGCAGCTTGCTTACCGCGACACACAAAGACCATGGACGACGGCATACTGTTGTTACGAGTCCACACCATCGGACATGACAGGCGCGCGGACCTTAAGCAGCCTTCACATTGGCGCGCAGCAAGACTAGAGGGAACGAAGTGAAAAATGATCAATCAGGAGAACAAAAGCAATGGAAGCACGACATGGAAGGGAATTCGCATGGGACCATCCATGGGTGACGATTAGGGCTGACTTTTGGGGCGTCGTCTAGCCACGTCGGGGGCCTCTAGACACAACAACACACTCCACTTGGGGGGGCGGCCAAACATGACGGGCGATGGCGCAAGGATGTCCTTTATTTCGTCTGACTGCTCGCTGAATTCCCATTCGTCGCTCATCGGTCGCGAGCAGGAATGATAGATTTGTTGACTATTGACTATTGACTGTTGTTGACAGTGAGGATTTCCAAGGGTGCATGCAGCCCCTTGGTCAGGCCTGCTGTGCCCATGCGAGGTCGCCGACTGCTGCATCTGCTGCATGATGGTCGCCGAAGCGGCAGTCCACAGCACGAAGTTTGAGAGATCTGCCCCCCAGATGCCCGCTGATGCCCGCTGATTGCCCCCCAAATACCCCCCAAATGCCCCCAAGATGCCCCCCAGATGCCCCCAAATACCCCTAGATGCATGCCCGCTTGCGACAAAACTTGGCGCGAGCATGCGGCGTCACGGGTCTTCCAAGGGACATCCATGGATCCAGAATCATTTCACTCTGACTTCTTCACACAACCTGCTCATATTCTTTGCTCCGAGGAATATTCTCAAGTCGATGAATCAATCAGGACTCCAAAACTCTGCATGTATCTGCAGCCTTCCCAGTTACTTGTTCCAGAACGTGCTCTCCTTTTTCCGTCACTTCTGTAGTGTTGGTGATACACAAAGTCATGTCAACAAACCCTCAACTCTGCGCTCAGCTCTCACCGTTTCCAACTTTCGCCTCTCAGATCTCTCATCGTCATATATGTCAACGCTTTCCTCACCGCATCTTCACACTGTCACCATTAAGTCTTCACTTATCTCTCTCGAGTAATCCTTCTAACCCTTCTCTCAGGACACTGCCTTGCCACAGCAGTACCCTGCGTCAGCATCCTGGCCTCGCACAACAGCCACTGTTTGACTGTAGCACCTGTCCGACCACGTTGGCCTGCGCGACCCGCTTGACTGCCATTTGACAAGTGCTGTGCGACCTGCTTCACTTCATATCATCTCCTTATAACCATCACTCTGATCGTGAAGAGCCTTCCGACAAGGCACCTTTTCTGTGTGCCCACCTCTGTCGAGCATCTGTCACACCAACGATCTCGCTATGCCACTCACGCGGTGTGAGTGCTATGTTTAGCCGACTGTTCGCTTCGTTACGTTGTGTGAGGGACGAGAGGCGTCTTTACATGCGTCACTCCTTGGGCAAACTCCGTGAAGATAGTGAGTTCCTCCCCTCTTGCTTCAATCACTCTTCTTTTAGATATTTCTGGGCTGTGCAAGCTTTGCATGAAACATGCAGACTTGTTCACAGCCGAAGATGACCGACAGGTGTCGGCTTGGGCACAGAAATATGCTCCCCTATAATGGAACCAGGGATCTCTGTGAACAGATTATCGGCGACAGAGCCTGTTCCAGCTACATGGCCCTGGATTCAGCTAGGAGATGTGACCTTACCTCACTCATCCCATGACGAGTTTATGCAGACACATCACAGATGCTCCGGTTGCGAGAAACTTCGTTCATCATGCATAGCCAAACAAAGCATACTCCGGTCGCCGGTACGAGGCCAATTGAACCAGTGTCTCCTCTCACGACGGAACAACTACCTCCTCTAGTCCGTCTTTGCACCTCCACGTGCAGGCTCCGTTCTGGCTGTGACCTTCTCACTGGGTCGCATTCCCGACCTTTGCCATACCAATACCACCTCAGCCGCGCGCCTCTACCGGTGCGTACTACGCCAGCACGGCATTCTGTTCACGACAGAAGAATGTGTCACTATCGTATACTTCGTATGCTCTGTCATCATCGCCGTCCATAAGGTCTCTTAGGTGGAGTGTACGCCTGGATATCCTCTTACCCTTTGCCACGAATTCGGACGCCGCTTACAAGCAGACCCTGACTATCACTTTGTCGTTGACAGATCGTACGGAGAGATATCGAATCGAGTCTTCATCTAGCCACGTAGGTTTGACGAGTCAACACTAATATTCATACTTGGCTGGGTCTCCGGGAGCGAAATTAACTTGAGCGAATTGGCTTGCCTAACCACTCATAAATCTCCTGATACAGGACTCGCTTCTTACAGTTGTAGAAAGTGAACTGTGTTCACGTTCTTGACCCTACTCTAGTGTAAATCTCTGCCTTCGCAAGGCATTCCCCGTAGATTACTAGTATATGAGTACTACACTCGCATTGATTCCACAATTTCGCGTATCCGATGTTCTACTACTTGGCTCCGGTGTCGATAAACAAAGGAGTACAAGGTTCTAGGGCTTGTGATTCTCATGTAAGAATAATTCTATGGCTCTCTATGGTGGCAGTTGTCTGTTTCGAGTGCCACTGAATGACCAGCACTATTGGCCGTTCGTGTTTGCATCGGGAGCACAGTGAACCAAAGGAGACGAGTGAGCTTTTCGGGCCCAGTAACTCCACCTGTATATGTACACATTACGTTGAATGCGCAGAAGACTCGCTGTTTTACACCCAGAACAGGATATGTTCATGGCAGTTTCATCCCTCACACACGTATAATGAATGAGTTCTTGCACAACGTACTCCTCCTCTACCCAGCACTCTAGAAACGGACACGCAGTACAAGTAGATAAAAAGGCCGAGAACTGCTGTCTCTATACCCGGTACGCATCGGTCCTAGACCCGCGAAATTTTCCCTTTGCCTTTGTATAGAGGAGGAGGAGGAGGAGGAGGAGGAGGAGGAGGAGGAGGAAAAGCTAGATTTTTTTTCTCCATACGGAGCTAGTTTTCTCGGAAATTTTCGCCACGACGTCGCACAGTCGACGTCCGAAGTAGTTGCCTGTTTCGTCCGGACTCGGGTCGATTGATTGGGTGCACACGTCATGCGTAATGCACAATGCACATACCACACCCCCCGGATTTCTGGATCGGGGAAGACGTCATATTTGGCTGTGGGGATGACGGTGTGTGGATAGACTGCTGTTAGCAGGTTAATGGCCAGTGTACTTGGGCAGTAGTGGTATCGTTCATACTCTATTCATGCTGTTGTTATAGGTTCTGAACTGATCTGCAGAATTTCGAGCAATGGGAAAACCAGATTCACAGACATTCCAGGCAGAGGACTGAAGAAACCAGTTCTATTCAGTCATGAATACATGCAGAGTGCTAGATGTCCCATCGATCCATCGATCAACGAGGACTCGACAACAGGAAACCACTCCCTTGTTACAATGCAATGCCATACGATAAAAGTACAAAGACCGTTCCAAGTACACACTTCTCACAAACCCCCCCCAACCAACCTCGAAACCTCGAAACCCTCATTCTCTTTATGACCACCGCCCCCCCAACTATTCGTACAAGACAAGCTAGATTGTCGGTTCCGATCCATCAATCGCATCTTAGTTAGTTAGTCCCGGGGAACAAACACGCAGTCGGTGGCCTGTCCGTTGTCGGCCAGCGAGGCGCAGCACTGGGCCGTGGCAGAGCTGTCGACGGCGCACTTGACGATGAAGTCGTCGAGGCTGTTGACGTTGGTTGCGTCGAGGCCGCTGCAGCCGGTGCTGTCGCCGTACGTGGGCGAGGTGCAGCAGACGGCTGAGGGGGTCTTGGTGCTGCAGAGGGTGACGCGCTTTTGCACGGCGGCGGCGGAGGTGAGGGTGGTGGTGGTGGCGAGGATGGTTGCGAGGGTGGAGAATTGCATTTTGGTTGGTTGTTTGTTTGTTTGGTTGGTTGTTGGGTTGGTTGTAGGTGGGTTGTTGTTGTGGTGGTGTTGATGTTGGAACTGTAGTTGAGATTGTGATTGTTGATGTGATGAAAAACTGACCTGGACGAGATGTCGAGCAGCTTATATATCCCATTCAGACGGGTATATCAGTCGTCGTGGATCCTCATCGAAGCCATCATCTTCCTTACCATCGCCCTACCGACGCCCTGACGAACCGCTCAACCACGGAGCCCACGCTCAGACGTACGTCAGCCTAGCACCTCACTCTTCCCCAAAGTAGCACGCCAAACAACCATCCAAGTCCATGTCTCGAGGACTAAGCAGTCTCGCCACATGCCACACGGAGCTTAAACGCTTAGCCCTCTAGTTCGTTCAGCCTTGCGCAGATGGTCAATTTTACGCATGACAGGCACAGGGTCCTGACTTTCCCCCTGATGGATGGATGTGTTCCTGCATGTTTTTTTTATCGGAGACCGAGTCTAAGGTTTGACAACGATTTCAGTAGAAAAAGATCTACATATGAAACATGTCTGTGCTGGGTGGGGCCTAGTGAAGACGGGGAGTAATTATAGGATCCGACTGTTCGAGAAGGGTTCCGTGGGGAGTTCTGTGCCAAGAAGAGAGCGACGTCAGCGGAGGGTATTAATATGATTTTCTTGGGGCCTGGACACCGAAAATAGAATATGCTTGGCAGCGGGGGAAATTGATGTTTATCCATGGATTCGCTGGGATGTCGATGCGTGAATATTGGGCAGAGCTGAGGTGATGGATATGTTGTGGCCTGACCAAGCAAAAGTCATCTAAACGCGCAGCTGGTATGTGCGTTTACTGCTGTTATGTGATGCAATGCAGCAGTGCAAGAAGAATTTCTTGGAGGGAGGAGGGAGGGAGTGAGTTACAGCACCCACATGTCTTGTTCAGGTTAGTTCCAGTGCGGCCCGTGATTCTAGACGAGTGATCGACACCCTAGCGGCGTGTTTATTCGTATCTCGTACTTCTCCACAATCAAGTAAATAAACCACCAGGAGCGCGGAGAGTATTGATCAGACAAAGCGAATCCCTGTTTCCATTGAATCATCCTTTACGTCTTCACTTGTTCAAGGGCTACTGTTCTGGAATATGGAAGTCTCATCGAAAGCTCTCCTCAAGCACATGTGGACGGGATTGAATTTTGTCTTCGACATTATGTTTGGGCAGTTTGGTTAGGGTGTTGAACAGACGAGATATTGTGACGAGAAGGATCTTTTGGGGGTCACGGCGTCTTCCTCTGGTACGATTATGTCTGATATGACCCATGATCTGATGACTTTCAGGGGCTAAAGTTATATATCAGCGGATCAATCCAATGAACTTATGAGCACCTCCATACTGTGTCTGTCGAGACATGTCACAGTGGAATCCTGATGGGACAAACGTCATATGCATTTAGCATCTTTTGACGACACAGGTCGGCTGATACCCAAGACTCAAGTCTGGCATGCTTGCGCCGGCCATGCTAGATACGAATCAGAGTCACCATTCTCACTCATTCACATAAAATGCCCGTGCTGAATGCTATTCCAACGTAAATATTTGATATATTGTAAAAGTATCTAGGCTGCTGCATTGCGACCTAATCTCCCCACCGTGAAGAAGATCTCCTAACTTGGCAATCTGACATCGAAACAGAACAGAAACCACATCCCCTGAACAAGATGGACCGGTTGTCCTAGATCTTCTCGGCCTGATAGCCTGTGCCGGCACCTTCGTCCTTTCCACCGCCAACTGCGCCTCCACCAATTCCCTTCAGAAGTTCACCAAGACCGCCGGCACCCCCAAGGCCGCTCAGAAGTTGACTGAGACCTCCAGCACCCTCTCCATTGCCTCCACCAAGGCCGCTCAAAAGCTGAGTGAGACCTCCGGCAGCATCACCGTTGCCCCCACCAAGACCCTTCAGGAGTTCACCAAGACCTCCAGCACCACCACTGTTGCCTCCAACAAGGCCACTCAGAAGCTGGCCGATATCTCCAATACCGCCCGCTCCTCCGTTGCCCTGTCCACCGAGCCCACCCAGCCCACTAAGAAGCTGATCAAGCTGTCGCTTCGAGTTCCCATGAGCACCTGGTACGGGCAAGTCATCAGTGCCCTCCGGGAGCAGAGCAGTCAGGAAGGAGGTGATATCGGCCTGGCGCTTGCTGTTGGTGGCTCCCGCCCCGTGCTGAACGGCAGCCGCATCGGCCGGGCTGACCTGATCAAGAGCAGCAATGATAGAGCCCAAGTCGGCCTGCTTGAATGTCGGAAGGGCGATAACAGAGCTGGCAAGCAGCGCGAAAGATGCAACGAAGGCGCCGGTCTTCATTTTGATTGATTGATAGATTGGTTTGAGATAAAAAGCTCGGGAAATGTTCAGATGAAATGAAAAACTGGAGTTTTGAGAGAGAGAGAGACTGATTCAATGTAAAGAACGTAGTGACCGGCACAAAGGGAGCGTCTGAATGTAATGAGAGTAGGATGATCGATGGTGATGAATTATGCTATATGTGTGCAATCCAAGACCTTTATATATGTCGAATCCACGACATTGTCAGGAACCATTTTCTGCATAAAGAGGCTAAGCACGACACATTTCACCATCGAAGGTTAATCTTTCTCTCCCGTGCCATTCGTAGACGCGGTTTAGGTTCCTCGTAATAATTGCCACCTCCAAGCTAACACACTACACACTCTAGCATTGGGATTAACCTGTAACAATGGGATGTAAAGCTGTAGCACTGAAATGATAGCCCAGTCATGAACGGTCACACGATGAGATCTTGGTAGCTTGGGTATATCATCAATCAAGTATTTCCAGATTTTCAAAACACTGAACCGTTTCATACCCGAGGAATAAACTTTGCGCAACACCCGTACCGTAGTATCGCATCGATACTTGTCAAAAAGATATAAATGATGTGGTACGATAATATCATGTGAATCCACTGTTATTACGATCTCTGGATTGTAGCAAGAATTAATCTGCTCTTCGAGTATGGTCACGTGACTGGTATATTGAAACCCGAGACGAGTACGAGAGCGATCCATGGTCTGAATCAGTGTGCGGAGCTGAGATTCCGATCGCTTCCTAGTGCTTGTGAGATTTCCAAGCTTGGATGCAGAGTCGCAACAGGAGTCCAGGATGTGGAACAATGTGGCCCAGCGAAGCTTTGGACATCGCCCGTGACGTGGGGAGAACCACCGCTCGCGATCCATCGATTTCATCGGATTCACTATCTCCAGGTGATCACGCAATCTGCTAGCTTCGTAGATATCGTTGATCTGAGCATTGGCGACATTGCTGGTTCGCCGTCTGTTCAGATGTTACTGCTTTACAAAGAGTGTTAGCGGCTTTTGTCTGCAGATTACAAAGGGGCAAAACAAACGTCAAATCCCGAGGAATCTCGACTTTCTTCAATGACTTTGCATCAACACTAGTCTTTGCCATGACTTGAAGTGGCCGGTAGTAGAGCTGCAGTCCACCACGTTTTGGCCAGAGATATGACGCAGTGCCATCCATTATCTGCAGCGCAGCCCCCCAAACCCACACGCGCCGGCCCGGCAGGTCGCCGACCCAAGGAGTCCAAACGCCTGAAAAGAGCTATGATCAACACTCTCATGAGATTTATGTTGTTGGATGGACGTCAGCGTTGGAATCTCAGTTTTTCTATTTGTAGTCCAACATGACGACCCGCCCCTCCAACGACCAGGATAGACGAGGGCAAAGTAGATGAAGTCTGGCCGAGCTGCTTCGGTGTTGGTGCCCGCCCACGTCTATCTAGCAACCTTGTGCATTCTATACCACTCATGCGGGCTAGCTAGAACCTGACAAGTGAAAGGACGCCGGTAGGATTAATAAGGTAGGCCGTTTACTGGGATCACAAGTTCATCCACTAGTTCGGCCCCGTCGACAGGACGTCTTTCCAATCCATATCTACACCAGTGTGGCTAGTCACTCCAGGACCAACACAAACAACAACATGCCGCCCACATCATTGGTGGTGATGGCACGATCGGTAATAGCTTGCAGTCCAGCTTTGGATCACTCCGCGTGTGCATGCGAGTTCGTTGCACTGCACTCCCTCCCCTGCTAGCGACGCTGTGAGCTTGACTGCAATGCCGTACAAATTGTAATGTTGCTCCCTCGGGTCTGCTTAGATCCAACGGCACTTTTTGATATCCCGTCTCTCATTATGCTAGTTCCTCCTACGACACCTGCAAGGCAGAGTCTGATAGATCATGCCGGCCGCATTGACAAAGTACCATTCGTGGTATAAGGAAATCCTAGATTTAGCTATGACTTAGTATGCTAATTGTTGTTCAGGTAACTTTGTGGGTAACGTGTGCGCTCGGCACATTCGCTGCGATGATGCGTCTAGTTTTGAGGTTACGAGTCCGACATAGGTTCTCCTTGGACGACTATCTGATAATCTTCGCAACCTCCACGGCGATGGCCATGAACGTGACCATGTTCTACTTCGTGGAAACTATCTTTCTTGTGGAAGCCATTAATGTGTATGGTATCGTGCCAACACCAGAAGAGCGGGCCCCTCTACTTAATGGCGTGTATTGGAGGCATATCGTCTTGTCTCTGTCATGGACGGCTATTTGCACAATCAAGTTTTCTTTCCTGGCCTTTTTCAAGGACCTCGTTCATGGTGTATCGCGCCATATCACGCGCTTCTATTGGGCTACAGCTGTACTCGTGTTTCTTTGTTATGGTTTCTGCTTAAGCCAAAGCTTCATTCTATGTCCTTACTTTGGCGACGATCGAAGTGAGTATACGTGCGAACCGGCTCAGTTGCTCCACAACTGACAATGTCAAGGGAAATGCTTCCCAGATAGCCCCCGAGCCATTAGTATTGCTGCAAACACAATAGCGGCATGTCTGGACATCATCAGCGATGCCATGAGTACGCCTTGCAGAAAACGACCCCTAAGCACATAAGTCACTGACGTATTGCATAGTCGTCGCCATCCCCATCCTCGTCCTCCGCAAAGCCCGCATGGCCAAGAAACAAAAGCTCGCCATCGCCGCATTCCTATGCCTATCAATTACCATGATCATCATTGCGCTGATCCGCGTCGCCGGCGCCGACTATGTCAGCATCCGCAACAAGCACGACTTCGACACCACCTGGCAAGCCTTCTGGCAACACATCGAGACCAACCTTGCCGTCTTCATGGGCTCTGTGATGATGATGCGCAGCATCTTCATCACCGTCATCGCCGAGCACAGCAAAGGAAGCAAGGACGGCTCGAAGAGCGCGACAGGATCGCTTGTGCGCTCGTGGATGTTCGCGTCGAAGAGTAGGAACACCATTGATGTCGGCCATGTAGACCCACCAATGGAGCTACGCCGTGCGAGTTACGCACGGAATAGCACTAATTCGTCGCGCTCGCTGGTGCCCAAACATGCGAGCTTGAGTGCTGGATTCAATCAGCCGGCTACAATAGCAGAGATGCCACCGGTGGAAATGTACGACGACGACTACCATAGCTTCAAGCGGCAAGACAAGGAAAGTCTGCGATCATTCTCGCAGTGGGATTTTGACTTCAATTCGCTGCACACAACGCTTGAGCCGGGCATGGCTGGCAGCCAGGGGCATATACGGACGAATCTCGACGCCATTCCAGATGCACAGGTGAGGAAGGATAGGACATACTACTACCCACCAAGCTCAGATAGTCCTGTGTAAATTGAAGCGTTTTGTTAGCATAGCGTTGGCGTTGGGGGGGGGGATCATGATATACATGAGTTTGGACTTGGGATATACCCAGGCCACTCGATCGCAAGATTAGTAACAAAGAGTTCATATAAGCACAGGGTATGTGTGGGTCGCTCTTGAAGACATTGTGTAGCTTGCGCAGGTTGCCCAATCGTGATCAGCTCATATCAAATCGGAATGGGGAAATGTCATGACTAGACTGTCGGTGAACGTCTCGTGCAGGCGGAGCGGAGGCCAAGATCACCCTACTGACCTCAAGGTCAAGACTTGTGTTCGACGTCACCTGTGTGTAGTGAGTGCACAATTTCAGCCGCCAGATAGGCCGGTCGTTAGGCAAACCAGCAGGGTTGAAGACGATTATTGAGTAACAAAGATCGTGCTACAAGAGCTTTTGGCGATTCTTCTCCACCTCGGCCTGTTCTTTCAGAGACGGACATCGATATGGTTGTAAGTGATTTTATCATGTGCTAGACACCGCCCTTAAGTTTTGGTTATAAGGTACAGTACGTACCATATTGCGATAAGATATCGAATTACAGAAAAAGTGCATGCACAAACATGACTTGATTACTAATGTTGTCATGTTTTGGGCTGAAGTAAGGGAATGATGAAGGGGTAAAGGACTCGCATGATCCCAACTGTAATCAAACGAATAGAACTTAGTGGTTGTAGAGGGAAAAGAGAGGGGAAGGAAAGCTCAACATGAGGTTTGGCCACATGGGGGTAAGTTAAAGTCATCGATGGACTACATCTCACACAGTGGCTGAGCTGATGTCAATGAAGCGAGGTGAGGTTATAAAGGCGGGAAATGGGGCGAGATGACATTACATGAAACATATGAGCGAGCCAGGCTGTATGCCGAAGTCTGAACCAATACCATTGTGCATATGCACTTTTCATTCAGAACTCAGAGGATAGATGGAAACATTGCACTCGACAGCACTCCATGCACCTTCAACCCTTGAGCTCCAGTCGGCGAGAGTATATCCGGTAGATTTTCTTGTGCTGGCGACTCCGATTCGCTTTATTTACCTCCGTGTGAATTGTGTGGATTTGTGTCCAGGCTGAGTTTAGGGACATCTTGGTCGAGGAATGACGGAAACGGTCGTAAGCTTGGTGTCGGTGTCTTCTGTGTCTTCGAGAGGGCGGCTTCAGACTGGAGAATCAGGTCTATGTTGCAGCCGGGGTGGTAGCGGGAGCCAAGCTTCTTGCTATGGCGTCTGGAATGGCCAGACTGCTGAGCGATCATTGAATAGCTGGAGGTAATAGCGGTGAGGGTGGTGAGAGTGATGAACACCACAAGAGGAGGACGAGTAGCAGTCAGACTGGATGACATGATCAGCCGGCCAGCTTCATATTAACATAGTGAGGCGCCGCACTGCGACCGGGCCAAGGCGTCCACCAAAACGAGTGGTTTGGCTTGATTTTCCCCACGATGCGTAGACAATGTGGAGTAGGTGGATCCGTACCTGCAAGACGGGCTTGAGATGTGATAGTGGACACGTGTCGAAACGCTCCTTTACGGCGATCGAAGGTCTGCAGGCAGAAAGGCCTCAACAGCCAAATATCGTGGAGTAAGTATGACGCCTAAGCGGTTATACCCGACAGTGTGCCTAATTGGGATGAAGTTGCAGCAGTCCTTGCGTTGCAGTCTGCGGATAGCCAGATCCGGCCCGTTTTAGAGGCGCGTGATATGCCGAACATCGTCAATAGAACACTGATCTATCGTAGAGTGTACAGACTGATGGGACTAGCCAGAGGAATATGATGTGAATGGAAGAACGTGGAGCGAATCGAGAGCACGACAGCTTCGTAGAAATGCCAGTGCGCTGGCTGCTGCAGGCGCATGCCAGGGCGAAGAGATCATATGAGGTCGATAAGATGGCAGAGGACCTCTCATGAAAGCCAACTCCGGCTAGCCAGCATCTAGCCAGTATGCAATCTGCAATCTGCGATCCGGCCGGCGCCTCAAAATCGTGGTTCCACGCCAAATACGTGTATCTGGCTATTGTACAGCAATATAGACTGCTCCATGGCCGCCTCTACGTGTGCCGTTGCGCCGATGCATCGAGATATATTACCGCGCGTTCCTATCGTAGACTCGAGTTCTGTGGCTCCTCACAGGGTCAGAGCAGCCTAACGGATTCCAACATTCGTCATGCTACAAGCTTACGACTCCACAGCAGAACGGCATCCCAGGTTCCATTTGAGTAGGAAGAGAAGATGCATCTGATCCCCTGCACTTGTCAATCAGGACGCTTCTCAACTTCCCTTTGAACAGTCCAAGGTTTGACTTCGGTAGTTGATTTTCGGGGCATCCTTGTCTTCATTCGTGAGCTTTGTGATCCGTTCGCTACCAAAAACCCAGGACAGTGTCTCGTTCTTAGTCGTCAAGTTCTTCGGCCAATACGTTCCATATATTTCTCTGCATGGCTCTTCTCTTGTCATCTAGACTAGGAGGCGTTAACAGCCTGAAGTCACGTTTACTTGCACTTTCCAAACCCTCATGCCCCAGGTTCACCAAAGTACGATTTATCTTTTCTCCCATTCTCTTGATACCTTCAACCTCAGCTCTTTTTTTCTCTAGCTGATCCTCCATCATCGTTATGAGCGATTCGCGAGCTTGGTGCGGACGGTATTCATTGATGAGCTGGTGCATATTGACGATCATGAGGTGTATTTGATGGATCCTGTCTTTCCATTGTTCAGGATCGACGGAGAGCACGCCTAAAAGCTCGACAAACTTCACGATCAGGCTATGTGCCAGCTGTTTGAGAGACTTCGCACGGTCGATCGTCCCGTCTGACCCTGAGAAAATGGCATCTGCTTCGATACTGGGATAGAGTCGTTCGTATCCTTCATCTTCCTCGAATGCAGGAGAAGCTTCGTTGATCTATACGAGTATCAGAAAAGCAGATCTTGGGCTAGACGCTTGGTTGAGGTCTCACATTATGTACTTCGCCGAATACACTGAATTTACCTTCTGTTGGTGGTCTTGGAGGAACCAGAGCGCGCAGTTCTGACGGAAGCTGGAGAAGCTGAGTGGCTTCCAGCTCAGACTGCTTGCTACTCTCCGCGGTAGACTTGATGCCGGCGGCTTCTTTGAGCTGTCTCAGGTTGGTGAGGTTCTCAGTCGTGAAGTTCTTCCAGAATGGTGGTGGCGGTGGAAACAGAGCAGCATGGCTCATGATCTCATCTTGATTGGCCATGGATCTACTATATCGTGTGTTGTTTTGTTTTGGGCAGTCGTCTCTGAGGTGGTTGCACTTGACGCCTTCAAGGTGAATGAGACAACCTTATGTGGGCGCGCGGGCACCCCCCGGACGGACCGGAGCTTGGACGCGAACGTGGACGCGTTTGGGCGAGTGGCACCACTAATTGGCTAATTAATAGATGTATCCACCGGATTTATTGTATATTTCAGTGCAGGGCTGACGCCATTATCGTATTCAATCCGTTAACACTTCTCCTCAATAATTTTTTGGCAATCTTGCTAGCTGGACTAGCCAGGCTCCTATCGGCCGTCAATCGAATAAATGTCAACCTTAGCAAACGTACGCGCGTCGTCCGTTCAAAGGACCGGATATCAAGGATCAGTCGTGAGATTTTGGCAGGTACGGAACACGGTGCAGAACTACTAGAACGATACTGATTTGCCCAGCGGTCCTATGCGAGTGACTATGTCGGCCTCGCTCTGCTCATCGTTGCATATCTACTTGTACGTGCTTTCGACATACTGTTATACTACGCCCAGCTCGGAATACCTCACTCACGCCATACAGATCGTCCTCTTTGTCGAGCCTTTCCATCGCATGTTCTCCCTCGATAATATCGCCATCCAATATCCACATGCTCTAGTCGAGCGTGTGTCTGTGACATGGCTATTTGTATATGCAGGTGCCGTTCCATTAGGAGTACTGGTCGCATGGGCAGCAATATCCCGCCCAGGAGGACATAAATCACATGTATCAATATTGGGGCTATTTATCAGTCTAATACTTACGTCCTTCATCACGGATGTGATCAAAAATGCGGTTGGACGACCTCGACCGGACCTCATTGACCGGTGTCAGCCGGTACTCTCCCTAAAGATTGAAACGGTAGAGAATACAATTGCTGACGGAATTAGCAGAAACAAGATACACCTCAACACCAGCTCGTCACCTTTGAGATATGTACACAAGAGGATCATCATACGCTGCATGATGGATGGCGATCGTTTCCATCTGGACATTCGAGCTTCGCGTTCGCTGGTCTTGGGTATCTCGCCCTTTTTATTGCCGGGCAATGCCATGTGTTCAGACCACGAACCGATCTTGCTCGAGTGTTGTTGGCTCTCGGGCCCTTACTTGGCGCGGCGATGATCGCCATATCCAGATGTGAGGATTATAGACATGACGTATATGACGTAACAACTGGATCTCTGATCGGAATGTTGGTGGCACTCTTTACATATCGGAGATATTATCCCCCGTTAAGGTCTTCGCGCTGCGATGTACCATACCCGAACCGACTTGATGATGCAGAGGAGAAGGGCTATGGTAAAAGAAGGGACGATGAAGAATCAAGAGTAGCTGCGGCAAGTGAGTTTGAATTAGAGTCTCTGGACGAGGAGGACCATGAGCGAATGCCACTACACAACCAGCGAGCGTGAGTGCAGTAGTCAAGGAATTGATACCGCTTTCCGCCTCCAATGCACGTATCTATCGTCGTTGAATTCGGCCGCGGCTGACGAGCCTGCACACTGTCTATCGTTTTCGACAACCCTCCTAGGCTATTCGTCCTCATTGGAACGTCCCCGGAAACAGCCAGTTCAGCTTCTCCAACGCCTCCTTCTTCCTCCCTTCCTTGCTCGTCGAAAGCGCAAAATGAACCTGCCCCTCGACATGCTTCGCCGACACTTGCTCTTGATGCTCCTCCTTACTCAGCTCATCCAGCACCGCGCCCACAAAACGCCGCGCATTCTCGCTATTGGCTTTCATATGTCCCATCACCATCTCCACGTTGACATCCTCACCTGTGTTCCGCCAGCAGTCATAGTCTGTCGCCATGCAGATCATTTGATACCCCATCTCGGCTTCGCGCGCCAACTTAGCTTCTGGCAACGCACTCATGTTGATTACACTTCCGCCCCAGGTTCGGTATAGATTGCTCTCGGCACGCGTGCTGAATTGCGGACCTTCCATGCAGACCAGCACAGCTTTGTCATGGAGCACCACGCCCTCGCCCTCGAGACTGTGTCCGCATTTACTTATAATCTTTGCCAGGCCTGCGTCGAAAGGGTCTCCAAATCCAACATGGCCCACAACTCCGCCTTCAAAGAATGTAAATGGGCGAATACCTTTGGTGCGATCAATAATCTGGTCTGGCAAAACGAAATCCCGGGGCTTGACTTCCTCTTGCAGCGAGCCGACAGCACTGAATGCAATGACGGTGCGTACGCCGATGCTACGCAGGGCCGCGATGTTAGCGCGAGCGGGGACTTCGTGGGGCGCATATTCGTGGTGCGTGCCGTGGCGCGAGAGAAAGGCGATTGGGATAGGGGCACCGGTGGTTGGGGACGGGTGATGGAGGATGGTGATCGGAGCTGAGGGCATGCCCCATGGCGTGGGGACGGTGAGGGTAGCGACGTGGGTGAAATTGGGGAGTGATTGCAGGCCAGTGCCACCGATTACAGCTATGCGGACCGGATCTAGCAGATATCAGGAGGCGACGTCGAGAAATCTAAAGATATTCAGAGAAGGGGGAGTTGGAGCTACACGGACCGTTGTAAACATTTGGGATTTGCGTTGTAGCCATTGTGTCTGTTTCCCAAATCTGTCTGTATTAATATGAAACTGGCGTAGTTATGGAATGGGTGGTGGTTGGAAAGAGGCGACAAAGCAGGGTGGGTGAAGCAGAAGTCGCCGTGATAAAAGTGCATAAAAAAAGTGTATTGCGCGATTCTGGGTACCCTGACGCACTCGTCGAGAACGATAAGTCCCCACATCCCCGCTGCCCGCTCCCTAGTTCATCCTGCTTGTGTAATTACCTAGTTCGGAATCATATCTCACTCCGTAGCTGCGTATCGTCATGCACAGCATTATGTCCCGCAGAATGAAAGATCTTGAAGCCTCCTTTGCTCCAATGATACAACAACACGTTAACACGTGGCGGGAAGGGCTCTAGGGGGTGCTGCACGTAATTGTTGGGCGCGGTCTACTATGCCGTCTTATAAATTGCTGTAGGTACTTCAGCTTAATATCTCGATATCAGCTATCTCCTATAATGCCTCAGGAATTCCATCCTCTCCTCGACTCTACCTGATCCATGCTTCTCCTCTACTCGCTCCAAATCACGAATATCTGTACTCTCCAATGCCTCGTCGTCCTCTGTAGTCCATATGCCAGGTATGTCGTCGGGAATGCCCTTCCCTTCCTTGAAGCTGGCCAAGACCAGTCTGACCAGTCGCCGATAATTCGACGTGCATCTGAAGATTTCCATCATCGTATCGTGGCCATGTCCTTGTCTTCTGATCTCGCACGCCATCTCTCGGATACCCTTCGCGTCCAGCGCTATTTCAGAAGCATCCGTAGCTATAGACGTTTCCCGCGCGGTTCGACTCTGGCTAGGTCCAACATCATTAGAATCCTCTTCATCGTCAGACATGTTGAGTGGCTCCGGGATGCCAAGATCAACATGCTGCGATTCCGTCTGAAGAATGGCTTGTGTGTCATACAAGACTGGTCGAGCTTGTCCATGTGTCGGCGTCGATCCTTGGCTACTGGCACTAACAGACTCTTCGTCTGTTTCCCAGCCACCTTCAGGAGGTGGTAGAGCTAGGAGCGTTGCGCTTTCCTGGGAAGAGTCTTCTGTAAGATGAAGGGGTGTGTCACGCTCATGTGCATCATCATCTGGATAAATATTGGAGTATAGTTCTTGTTTAGACTGCTGACGTTCCGAGGCCGATTCGTTGCTGATGTCATCGACATCTTCATCAGCGATCAGACTAGCTAGATCGATAGGACTGAGGTTGTCTTGAGTGGGCTCTACGATATCTTCGCGCACTGTCTCTCCGATTTGAGACACTAAAGCCGTACTGGTGCCCATACTAGTATCTATGTCTGGAAATCCGTCAGTCAACGTATCCGTCAATGGCTGGCGTATGCCTGGTAAAGTTTGACGCGTCTCTGCACCAGTAGTGGTCACGAAGCGCATATGCTGACCCTGTTCAACTGCCTCAGGGAGAGGTCGTATGAGGACCTCATCAACATCTCCCTCGTCTTCATCACTGGATGAAAGTTCGATAATAACTGACGCCTGTGAAACTTGTGACGCTGCATTAGTAGCATCCTCAATTTCCAGGTCCATGACTTGCGCCTCAGTCGTCCCTATTCGCATCCGCTTTGGGGAGGGCTGTTGTTCCTGTGACTGGGTTTCTGGAACATCGTCATGTGGTTCTGTTTCTGACGAGCGTCGCTTACGAGACTAAGAAGTATTAGCAAAGTATGCCATAGGCCGAGGTAGATAACACACAGCGCTACGTATTCCCTCATCTTGTTCTTGTTCTTGTTCTTGTCCTTGTTCGAGACTGTCTGTGTCCAAAGTTTCCTCTTCAGTCCGGCTAGCGTGAGCGGTTTCTTCAGCTTTCGCTTTGCCTGTATATCCTGCAGGTCGTTGCACGATCTGGCCATCATGAACTGTATTCTGGGGACGTACCGACTTCTGACGCAATATCGGTGACGTATGTTGGGCGGGCGATGGACTGCTCACTTCGTTCGAGGACTGCTCTGTATGTACTTTGAATTGTAACCTCTCTTCGTCCTGGGCTTGATTGTCTAGGGCTTTGTATTTCATGAGCTTTGCCTCACGCGTGCCGTCCTGTCCGTCTTGCTCCCAATCAGGCTGCACAATCTGCTCCCAGTAGTTCCGCCATTGGATCCCGGTATGTGTTGAGTGTTCCGCCCAGCTGTTCCAATTTGCAAGATCTCTGACAAGTCCATATGCTAGACTTTTCATATATCCGGTGTTGAGATACAACTTTCCATATTCCTCTTCATCGAATGAATCAAAGGAATTGCTATTAACGATCTGCTCTTCTGCTCTAGGTTTCACTATACCATTGGCTTTCGGTTTCGGGTTCACTCTGTGTGACCTGTCTCTGGGAATGTTTCTTAGACTCTCAGTCTCATGTTCGACGGTGATTGCTTCCACTGGTGACAGTGACCTCTCCGGCACGTTGTAGCCTACGGGAGGTCTATGCATCAACTGCTTAACATATCGATCTCGCCACGATTGCCACGTATGTCTTGAGTTCTACCAGCTTAGCATTTCTCCCAGTATGTGCACTGTACCGACCATACCTTCTGCTCAAGCTGCTTGTATATTTCGTTGCCCATCACCGGAGCGCCAGGGGTTCGATTCTCATAGTCTTTGACCCACGTATATAATTCAAGATCATCTGCGGCGGAAAAGGGAGTTCGTACAGATCTCTTGGGTTGTAGCGAGCCTATACTACGAGCAGAACCTTTAGGAGGGCCTGTTGCATGGTCGTCTGGGTTCTCCAGCCGGCCGTTCTTGATAGACTTCTCGATATATCGATAGGAGATTCCCCCTGGTACTGTATCCTTTCGCATATGATCTACTATCATCAGATCGGCTTTAATCTCGAGTGATACGATGGTCCCTCCATTGCTCTTGATCAGCTGTATAAAACCCATGCGATTCGGCAAGCGCTGCGCTACCCAGAAACTCTTCCCATCAAATAATCCTCCTCTTCTACCAGGGCTCCGATAGATATTCTCATACACAGTACTGGCACCTGACGTCATGGCGGGTGTGTTTACAGCGATCCGACGGACGCGAAAGGCGCGTAGAGAAAACAGGTGGACAGCGTCCGTAATGGCACCCAGTGTGGACGACGAAGAGGCATAGAACCAGTTGAAAGAAAGATAGGCACAAAAATTCAAACAAAAGCCGTCTTCAAAGTGAGCGCGCATGCAAAGTGGTTGAACACCGAAGACAGTGATATTAGCTGTTTGCGGCCCGACGCGTCTTAGGCGTTGGACTAGGTGCCCTGGTATCCGTGGATCCACCATTCCCTCCTCACCCTCGGCATTTTTCATGGAAGACGCCGGACATGTATTGACATACATCCAATGTCCAAACTAATCGTCGGCTTCACCGGGGTGCTCGTTGTGTCTTTCTTCACCTTTGTCGCATTTTTTGGTCGTCTACCTGCTTTTAGGTAAGCCCTCTCTTTTGCTCTCCTCTCCAGTGCTCACCAACCGGTGCGCACAAACGACGATATAGACTGACAAGATCGTCAAAAAGAGGCACCCCGGTCGGCTTCCTGCATCGCTTGATCTGGATTTATATTCCCAATGTCCTGCTCGCGCTGGACTCTCGCCTTACTGGAGGCCGTTTGACTGCTGCTGGACAGCGATCAAGCCACTACCTTTTCAATGAGAAGCATCCTATCATTATAGTATGATGAGCATATGTAGCACCTACGGTTGAAGGAGCTAATAGCTATAGATATTCTTCCTTGGTCTAGTGACCGTCTGCGCTCTCTTCTTCATACCACAGGTGTGGCCGTCCATACCTACGAAACACCACTATATTCTACCATTGGCATTACCATGGCCATATTACTTCACCTACCTTTGCGCCCGCGTTCGAGGAGGCTCACATATCACAAACGAGAACCACGCAAAACACATGCAATTATATCCGTATGATCGAATCATTTACAACCCAGGCCAACGATGCACGACCTGCAAATGGTACAAGCCAGCTAGGAGTAAACATTGCAGTTTCTGCAATACGTGTGTCGCCCGATGCGACCATCACTGTGTCTGGGTCAATAATTGCCTTGGACGAAGCAACTATCGCTGGTTCCTTGCATTGCTCCTCTTCACTGGACTTCTCTTGGTCTACGCGACCTATCTTACATGGCTGGTGATCGCTCCTCGAACACGCGATGCTATGCAGCATGTCAAATGGTCGACACCGCATTCAGCAAGTCTAATGGATGCTTGGGCGGCGAGATTCAGTAATTTCGGCCGAATAGTAGACATAGGCATAACTTGTGGCGGTCCAAGCATATCCGGCATTGGCCTACTCGCTCTGTTCACAAGTCCTATGCCTTTCGGCCTGCTGCTATTTCACATCTACCTCATTTGGGCAGGCACGACAACGAACGAGACATCTAAATGGGCGCTTCTACGCGAGAATATGTGGGAAGGCAGTGTCTTCATTGCTCAGCGCAAAGTGCCAGGAAAACCTCCAACCGAGAGGGACTCGCCCTACCAAAACTGGGAATTGGAAACTGATTGGCCTGTACGCTGTCGACAGGTTGTGGTGCGGACGAGAGATGGACAGACCCCCGTAAACGTGCCGAAGGAGATGAGTAGAGTGATAGACGAGACAAGTTGGAAGAGGGGATGGAGCTTGGCAGAGGTAGAGAACGTTTACGACTTGGGATTCTGGGATAATTTCATCGAAGCCCTAACGTAGGAATTCAAGATTGACCCCAGAAACCCATCACAACATAGGTGTCTTTGTATTCAGTGACGCGAACACTCACACACACACGTCTGTTTCCACTGTACACATAGTGAGAGTGTGTGCGACCTGGTGTATATTTGCGACCAATAAGAAAGGTACGCAAGAGGGAATGATATTGTATGCTTACGTCTTCCATTTCCGGGTATGTGCCGGCTGTGCATTCGTGGGCCCTGGACGGATCACGCCTCTGATTAGAATGATACAAAAGCCGCCGGGACCACTCGACAACATGCCCATCTCCGAGGAATAATACAAGACATATAAAGTCTCTCTTCTCAATCTTGCTTCCGCCAAGTAGATGCCCAACGCTAATAACAACTGGAAACATTGCTGCCTCCCATGGATAAGCATACCACCCACGCAAATCCAGAACGCCGCCGCGGGGAAATATGCCGAGGGAGTCCAAGGGAATGGATCTAAAGCTAGAAGAATGGTGAGGCGAACCCATTCATTGCCACAGCCTCTCCAAACAACGTCGATGAACCCGTCTTCAAGTCGTTGTTATGCATCGTGGATTCGGACATCATCTCATTCGTATTCTGTTGACTACCATGTACCACATTCCACTCTGGTTGACTCATCTGTTGCTGATGAGATGGCGACCACATGTTGTCGGACTCCGTGGTGAGAGTTGTCACCGGACTTAGTTCAGGATAGGCCATCTCTTCCAACTCTGCCTCGTCAGGGCTTGACCCATTCTTTACGTCCATCTGACCGGAGTTCTCGCGTATACTCTTTAGAACACCCGATATATCATCCAGGGGAGCGCTGCGTAGCTGCGACAAGGCCGCATGGGCGTCGGGTTCAGGGGCAGTTTGTAAGTATCGAAACAGTTCGCGATAGCCGTTTGTCTCTTTGCGCATATCCGCATTCTCTCGCTTGAGCGCCATGCTGGGTGTCTCTTTGGCGTCCTCGGTGATATACACACATTCGGTGCCACGCCTGGTGCATGGCGTGCACTGCGCACGTTTCCCATCGCACTGAAGAAACACGGAGCTGTCAGCAACAAGACACGTCCACTAGGAGAAGCACCCAGGATAAGAGAGATGAACAAGGGGATGGGAAATTCGGGGTATGTGTACCGCAGTCTTACGGCTCCGACAGGCGTTGCACGCAACGCGGACGGAAGCGCGCTTCTTCTTCCCTTTGTTATGTGCCGCGCGCCCAGCCAGCTCTCGAGCGGCCATCGAGGAATCCCTAGGGAGGTGGTTCGGGAAGATGTGACGGTATCGAGTCTCCATGATCCATGAGTTGAGAGTGAAGGCGTCTGCAAGGAAGGAAACGTGCTCGGAGAGAGAGACTCAGGTTCTTGCTCGTGTCGTCATGTAGTGCAAAGATGCGTTTTGACAATTCCATACTTGACGGATCTATCTCCGTGCGTATGCGGATGCTGATTGGTGGGTTCAACAGAGAAAGCATACACTTGGTCGACGTCCTAGGCTTTAATAAGTGTACGGAACCCATCAACATTTGTAATGTATGCACGCATGTCCCCAATCGGCGTTAATGTATATGGGATAATCTATGGATTTTATCTCAGCCATTTAGCAAGGCATCGCCGATCTGATAATATCATCGCATGCACAACCTTGGATTTCTGTAGACACATTGCGGCAGATAGACGAGCCTACTCATCAATATCAATGGGTCTCTTGAGAACGTGTCCGTGATTCATGACTGGTCTACCTCGAACTAGATGTGCGGTTTCTGAAGTAAGAAACACGACCTTAGGTGACATGCACGGTATTACGAGGCTTTCCATTCATTCCACTACGTGCGACGCTTCTTCTCGGCTCGAGACTAGGAATATACGATGCAGAAACAGCAGCGTGCACGCGATAATTATTCCGATTTCTCTAATCATCGGTGTTTCCGGTTACCGCTTAGAAGCACTGACCTGCAGCCGGTATCTAGACATGCGGGCTGATGTCTACTACTGTACGTCTGCCCCATGATCAGCTAGTCGCGGATAGAGCCGAGACATATCAGATCCCATCCATCCATTGGGCCTATGACCAGACAACATTACACTATCCGCCTGTATACAAATTGGTTAAGGTGGTCGATGAGACAGTGGCTCAGACACCTCAGATGCTCAATTGCGCTTCATGGGATGATTGCAGTCGTCCACAATGTTACGCAAATGCTAGGAACGTTACCATCTCCAAGACACAAGCATGCTGTCCTACCTTAGTTTTACTACACTAGTCCCGATATCCGTAGTAATGGTAAAGCAAAAAGGAAGCATCGTATAACATTAGACCGTGATTTATGACTTCTAGCTCGTCCATCATACGACATTCAGTAATTTGATGGCTAGGACGCCCTGTGAGATTATAACTTATTCCTTTTCTCCCATGGCCCCTAGCAGCTTGACACATTGACAATTGTAAGCTCGAAAAACCAAATACTCCATGCAGTAAGTAATGGATCTTGAGTTCCTCCAGAGCACGCACTCGAGAGTTCCCCGAAAATCAGTGTAAATCCATTCATTCATTCTCTGATAACCTTGACAACATCTAAATACCCGCCCCACCGGTTCGCAACCTGAACTCTTCTTCCACCCCAACTCGCACCATCCAGAAAACTGGAAAAGGATACTGGTCCGACCACAGGTTCTTCAACCCCATTGGCCTCCGTTCCACAATCAAGGAAAGTTCGCCGTTGAGCGTGGAAGTTCTTTATGCAAGTCATGTCAGAGGAATGGTCACTAATGCACAGTATAGGCCTAGTTGGGCCGTAGCGAGATTGCGTATGGCCCGGGCCTGATTAAGGGGTCGCTGGCGTGACTGCTGTGACGGTCGGATGTGTGTCTGGTCAGTGTTGAGGATGGGATTGCATTGCAAATAGAGAAAAAAGGGCATGGTAGGAGAAGAGGAACCGGGAGGAGGATTAGGATGGTGATATTATATTGTGGCTGGACTCAAGAGCTTTCGTTGTTGGCACTTGAATTGGCTGGAGTAGAACGAATGAGGTTAGTGGCAGGGAGCTAGTGAGGGACGAGTTCCCAGAACGGATAGCTCAGCTAAATATATAATTAATTACTACTCGCAACGGACTGAATTTGAACTGGGACCTTGGACTTGAATAGTCAGATGCAATATCGTGTTCCATTTCGAGACGTTTTATTAGCGGGTGATGCAATGGAGATACTGGGCGGTTCAGAATGCTTTGCATAATGAACAGCAAGATCGTTGGTTCTTCAATGGCAGGAGAACTTGATGCTACATCAGTCAGGTTGATACCATTTGCGTTTGCCCAACTATGTCTTGTGCCTTATAGGGCTGATTATTACATCCCGCTAGACGCAATCGGCGGTTATATTGGAGACGAGGCAATTGATCACGCCGCGGTAGTATTTTATTATAGACGATCAATTCAGGGATCGTTCACCATTCGTTGTTCAATCATGAGATCAGACCATGGCATGGGAGCATTTGTTGAAGCCTGGAAAATTAAAGCAATAGAGCGGCACGTCTTACCTGAGGACTGAGCAGTGCCCGGACCTATGCTTAGTACAGGCAACAGACCATACATTACAAACCGAAATGAAGTCTAGGGAGTATTTCATGACCATCGAGCGGGCATGTAGGCGTCCAGACGGTAATGCCCTATGTTAATCTTGCTATTATCTCGTAATCCTAGGCCGCGTCACCAGACGAGGGTACATATGTCCTGTATTACTTGATCGACTCGGCATGATGTCGAAGGAAGAGAGTGAACAGTGAATGAGAAGTGCTAAGTGAATGCATATCGGCGCTGCAGGTAGACTGGAGGGAGCCGCCAATATCTACCTAGTCCCGATTCCAGCTTAACGCTCAGCTCCGCTCAGCTCAGCTTACCGCGCAGCAAAAGGTATGAAGTGACGAATCGCAGGCAGAGAAATGGAAGCGCCTCTAACTTCTGAAGCATCATTGATCCACCGATATGATAGCATAATAAAGTCATAGTGATAATCACAGACTAATTACCCTGCCAGCAAGCATTCACTCTTCATAGTCCTGCGTGCACGGCATTAGGCATCGAGGCTGACTGTGGGTGGTGCCGTCGTGCCGTCCGTTGCGCTCTTCGCGACACCCAAAAATATCCACGGTACTCCCTGTCGAACGTCGCCTAGAAGCTTAGAGTGAACCATAGTCTGGTCAGCGTATGTGTAAGTAGTTGTGAAGAAGTGGACTGGTCGATTCTTTATTCATTCTCGTCCAACCGTTCGCAGCTTTGCGCGCCACTAAGTCATTAGCTGTGATGCCTCAGCCGCAGCAATCGTCTCTGCATCTGCCTCTCTCTGTTGTTCACCTTTGTCCGCTCGTATATCATCTAGCGGAGCGCCCGCTCTGTCAGAATGTCACTCTTCAGTATCACTCGTCATTATCTTGAGACTGAGCCCTCTGCTGTTCATTATGTCTCCTTCATTGCGCTCACAGCCTGCTGATCAATTCGAGACTACGCGCCCAAACAGTCGAGCTCCCTCTGCTCGCGAGCTTAGTGTCGACCGTGATACCCCGCGACAACAAGAACCCAACCGGCCCAGGATGAGAAAAGAACCTCCTCAGAAGTCAATTGACGACTTCTGGGCCAAATTCACCACAAAACATCCTGGAAAGGTCTACACCATCCTCCCCGATAATCTCTACGCGAAACGCGCTGCCGTGCATGCCGCACGAGCCGCGACGAGCTGTGAGAATGCTCTCACTTCCTACGAACAGGCTGTACAAGCCTGCAAGGCCAAGGTCCACAAGATCGTGAAGGAGTGCAGGAGGATCAATCAGAAGTATCGCGACCCACACTTCGACATTGAGGCAGATTTCAAGCGCTCGCGCCAGTATCCCCATATCCCTGCCGACTGCTTGGTCGGTCTGGGCGAGGAGAGGACTGACTTGCAGCCCATGTCGGTTAAGAGAGTCGAGGTTCGTATTTAGTGGCGTCATGCAGCTCGTATGCAATGGCACGTCGGCTCACCAGCTTTGTTGTAGGACATCTTCGAAAAACCGGAATTCTTCCTTGATGGTGCGACCGCCAACGATGTACGGCAGGGCAATGACGGTGATTGCTGGTTTATGTCTGCTCTGTGCACATTGAGCAACAAAGAAGGACTGATCCAGAAAGTCTGTGTGGAGTATGACCAACAGGTCGGCGTGTACGGTTTCGTTTTCCACCGAGGTGGGTAGCTCATGATACCCTGCAAGCCGCACAGCCAGGACGCTTGCAGGCAGCGTGCGCGCTCTTGGCTGACCTGCCCCAGATGGCGAGTGGATCTCCGAAGTTATCGACGACAAACTTTACCTCATCAAGGAGGATTTCGACGACGCTACACTGGGCAGACATCAATGGCTGGAAATACAGAACCGAAAGAGCCCGGAGGAGGAATACCGAGCTGCTATGCAGTCCGGCTCAAAGGCTCTCTACTTTGCGCAATGCAGTGATCCGAATGAGACATGGCTCCCTCTTCTGGAGAAAGCTTATGCTAAGGCGCACGGAGACTACTCAGCCATTGAAGGTGGCTTTGTTGGGTAAGCTACAAGCTCTCTATCTATTCATAAATTATCCTGCTAAGTAAAACAAGTGAGGGTATTGAGGACCTTACAGGAGGTGTTACAACCGAGGTGTTTGCAACCGATATCTTGGACAAAGACAAGTTCTGGAGGGAAGAGCTGATGAATGTGAACAAAGACTTTCTCTTTGGCTGCGGTCAGATGGGTGGAATATATGGTCAAAGAAAAGGCATCCAAGAGCGGCATGCTTATTCCATCATGGAAGCTAGAGAGGTTGGTGAGCATCGTCTCTGCAAATTGCGAAATCCGTGGGGCAAGACCGAATGGAGTGGACCATGGAGCGATGGTTCAGCCGAGTGGAGCCCAGAAATGATGCATAAGCTAAACCACAGGTTTGGTGACGACGGGGTAAGTGACGATCGCCAACTTGGAATTATAGTATGGCTAATATCTTGGTAGCTGTTTTGGATTTCTTATCGAGACCTTCTACGCAATTACGAGCATTTTGATCGGACAAGACTATTCGGTCCTGAATGGACCGTTACGCAGCAATGGACCAGCGTCAATGTGCCTTGGTCTGTTGATTACCTCGATACCAAGTTTCACATCGAGCTCGAGGCAGCCAGCCCTGTTGTTATCGTTCTGTCTCAGCTTGATGACCGATACTTCAGGGGTCTAGAAGGCCAATATGAGTTCCAATTGCAATTTCGCGTGCACAAGGATGGCGAGGAAGACTACATCGTGCGCAGCAACGGTGCGTACTTGATGATCCGTTCAGTTAGTACCGAGCTTGATCTGGAGGCTGGTGGATACACTGTACTGCTGAAAATTATTGCAACTCGCGAGCCTGGCACCACACCACAAGACGTCGTTCGTGGCGCCTGTCGCACTCGGCGAGAGAAGCTTCTCTCGGTTGGTCTGCGTTATGATCTCGCTCATGCCAAGGGCAATTTTCGTGAACTCGAAAAGGAACGTAGGAAGCACGAGAAGGTGGAAGAGAAGGAGAAGTTGAAGAAGCTCATGAAGAAGCAGTATGAGTCTCATCGGAACCAGAAACATCGTCTCAGGCTGAAGCAGAAGAAGCGTGCAGCCAGAGCAGCTGAACGGAGGGCTGCCAAGCACACGCCCGGCCAGGACAGCCAATCTACTCCGGGCGAGTTTTCACACCCCAATAACTTGGACAGAAGGATCGAGGAGCTCCGACTGGAAGATGCAAAGGACAATGGCCTTGGTATATATGCTGCTGAGGATGTTGTTCCGGATAAAGCACATACCCATCCACCTACACAGCTGCCACCACATAGAAGATCCGTCAGCACACCAAGCACACATCCGAAGACAATTCGCGAGCGCGCCGAAAGCCCAGGTCCAGGAGGCTTCCAGGGGAGAGGTGGTTATAATGGACGCGGAGGTTATAATGCCGCAGAGAAACCGATTCTTGAAAGGACAGAAAGCCCACACGCTGTGGGTGGTTTCGGAGGACGAGGCGGCTACAATGGGCGTGGAGGCTACAACGAGGAACCCAAATCTGAATCCAACGTAGACCAAGTTGTTCCAGCAGCGACAGTTATCGCCTCGACTGTCGCCGGTCATAGCCGACGCCTCACACTCTCCGCCGAAGATAGGCGTGACAGCCGCGAAGCACCCGGAGGGTTTGGAGGCAGAGGCGGCTACAACATTCCCAATGTCCGTGCCGGCTTTCCTGATTTCGCAGAGACTCGTCCACGAGCTGACAGTCCCGGTTCTGGGGCCTTTGGCGGCCGTACTGGACATGGCGGACGCGACAACTACACCGGCCGTGGCGGCTACAACGATACCGAAGATAGCGACGCCGACCATCCGGGTACACCCAGCCGTATCGCGCTATCATCACCGCCCGGCCGACGTGCGACATCACCTGCTGCGCCCATACGTCGCGCCACACTCTCCCCAGCGCCTGCGCATAATCCGGTCATACGCGTGACCTCTGGCACGGGCGCGAGTATCAGCGCATCCGACATCGACGACGCGTCTGACCTCAGCTGGGACTCCGAACTCGACGGGCCGTCTGACGATGCACTTGACTCCTCGTCGGACGATACGGCATACGACCCGGTGCGCTACACGCATTTCCACCGCTTGGCGCGTGCACAAATCCCCGACGATAACGACGAACGGGAGGATGAGGGCGACGAGGACGATGATTTTGCGGCGGATCCGTGGAATGCCGTGTGTGTTGTTGGCCTGAAGGTGTTTACCCGCGATGATGTTAAGGTGACGATCGATGTGCGGAGAAGTGATAGTTGGAAGGAGGAGAAGAAAGGTGGGGAGAGGCCGAAAGGTTTGGGGCTGGATGTGGATGATTCCAGTCGTGATGCAACGAAGAGGTACAGTCCGAATCCGAGGCCTGTGGAGGGTGAGGGCGATGTGGAAAGATTGGAATTGAATAGGTGATGGAGCAAGGGGGTGTATGAGTATGTGTTGTGGCGTATAGGGGTGGTAGAGATTGTATTTAGTGATCGCGTTACATATAGATCTAGACCGAGTCCATAGTAGACATTTGATTTTTATACAAGATTTTCAGTTTCTTGCCTTTTGTCCCTCGAGTCACAACACTAAGTGAGACATTAACTACATTCGCGACTCATTAGCCGAAATAGACTGTTGGTAGTGTCTGTATATTATCAGAGTCTTGTTATTGTATACGGGCCTCTGAAGTCACTTATGCTATAACAGACGCATATAGCGCTGATTTGGCTTCAACAAAAGGTGTGAGAGTATGTTATGTCATCGAAACCTATAAGCATGTGTATCGTACAAAGTTCATACACGATTTCCTCCTTATTGCATGAATGTTGTTGTCGGGCTCCCTATGATCTGACAGGTTAAGATGACAGGCGATACGAATCCCGAGATTAAATGCGCAAGCAATAGTAAGTCTGCAGGATGATCACGGAACCAGAGGCAAGTCGATTCTACACCTACTCCAGCCATCGAGCAAGATTTTTTCACAAGGGCTCCAGCCCCAGGCCAACTCTCTGCCATGTACTCGCAACATCTTCGCAGAGGGTCACAAAGTTGTCGTCACCAATATGTCGCACCATCCAATTGCTTATCATTATCCGGCGATCTTCGACTGACTGAGCTGCATACTGCGCCATGTTAGGGGTATCCGTTGCGGACATCTGGTTCACCAACGTGGCGAAGACATTGCCATCATTCTGTTGTTCAGCGTCACGAAGTGTGCCACAGCGGTCGTTATTCGAAGCTGTGCGCTCCGCGTCGTTGTTTGATTCCACCGTGGATGACATGTCAGGACATGAGATGGAATTTCCTTTACTTTCGTGATTAGTCATGGCTATGGGGTGACTCTCGCTGAGCTTAGACGGGCTGTTGGTAAGAGATGGAAACGGCAATCTGTTCGTGATATCAGCAAGTGATGTTCGAGGTCTTGGCACGTGCGATACAGCGGGTATCGATGAAGACAGAGGACGCGAGGGGTCATGATCGAACGCTGCTGATTTAGGGTTATTTCTACTAGCAGACAGTGATTGGAAAGGAGCTGTATTTGCTGCAAAGGTAGGAGCAGGTAAAGGAGGGAGTTCGAGAGTAGATGTCGACGGCCGACTTGACGAGCCTCCGCTGGAACGGGACTTTGCCCATGGCAGATCCCTTTTCGGAGGCAGCGACTGAAGACGCCCGCTCTTTTCCAATACTGAGGTTGTTGATGGTCTTTGTATCTCTACTGGTTCCCGATGTTGAGAGGGAGTTCTATCAGCTTCGCTCAAAACAGCATCATGGCCTGTGGTACAGTTACTCAGAGGATTTAGAGTAGGATGAGGTTGGCTCGTAACAGAATCAGAAGGTCGGTACTGAGACTGTTCGAGTACGTTCTCTTGAGTGGATGGCTGGGCTGTCAGGTTGTACGTCGGGGTACGGGTCAGTGTTTGAGGCAAATGAGTGATACCAAGGTCACTTTGCAAATGTTGCGATCCTGTGGTGTATGATCTTTGCATGTGGCCAGAGTGGTTGATCTGTGAGCAGCTATGGCCAGCGAAACCGTTTCCAATCGGCATGTCTGCGGATGTAGTGGAGGGATAGACCCCAGATGGAGTCACTTGAGACGGCATCTGAGGCGTGCTTGAGTGAACCTGTGGTGGCACAAACGGTTTGAGTAAGGCAGTGTCGGGACGTGCCATGGTTTGCTGTTTCGCAAGGGGTGGATGAGCTTTTTCAGCATTACCAGGTGCTTGGGTTGCGGTCTTCAAGGGTACACTCTGTGTGATGCGACAACCCATTGCCTCGACGACATGTAGTGCCTGAAGGAAGTCGGTTTCATTGCAAAATTTCAATTGTAGTCTTCGTTTCTGTTATGGCACACAGAGATCAGTTCAAGAAGATAGGCTTTGAGGAGACCAACGAAACGAACTTGATTAGTTTCCAGCATATTGTATCGTATGGCGAGTAGGGGACTCCGCACAATGACGGTCATAGCAAGTTGATCATCGCGAAGCTCGATTCCACTCCGGCGAGCCATTTCAATAGCCTGACTTGCCTCGTTGGCTTTCTGCTTAAGATCAACATGTTCCTGCATCGGTGAGGTCAGTATCATGTATGGACTACAAGAGTCGGTGGAAGACACCCGCTCGTACCAGAAGTAAATTTCCCTGAAGGACTTTCATCTTCGAGTCATTAACAGGGTCAAACACCACCAGTAAGTTGCTGTTATGTACATGAGTCCAGGAGAAAGCACTTAGTTCAGCTGCAGCATCAGTGGCATAGGAAAACTTGAGCAGAGGCAAACACATAGGCGAGAGAGGTGTCTGGGACGCCATACTGGCGACTGATGCTAGATGAGTGAATGAGTGAGAATTGGATTGGGAGAAGAGTAATTAATAATTAGTATAGAGGGCGGATGAGCATAAGTTACAGCTCCCGGCACGGACGCTAAGCCCGAAACAGGCGTATTCTATTTTATGGAGATACCTAGCAGAGAAGCGGCCTACGTTGGAGCGCCGACAAACGTAACGCGAACTTTCCCAGGAACGCGCAGCTCATCACTCTGCCCGCGATTTCTCTGCGCCCGCAGCCATCAAACAACATTGCGCATACCCTGATACTTCTAGATCGCCTGGCGCAGCTTTGCGCGATCCGTTCTTTACTGTTCATGCGCTGAGCCCTCAACCGCAGGAGTTTGTGCAACTGCACCACCATGGCTCCAGCTCGTCCGCGCGAACCCTCAATCGATCGCTCTGAAGAATACGAAGAGTTTATGACCAAACTTGCGGCGTATCATGAGAAACGAGGGTATGCTGCGACACACAATGCTTTATTCAGTGACTAGACTCACAAATTGTAGTACAACACTGGAGCGTGAACCGAAAATCGCGAACAGGCATATAGACCTTAACAAATTATACAAGAGAGTGTGCGAAGAAGGCGGTTACGATCGAGTATCTGATACAAAAGGAAACAAATTAGCTTGGCGCAAACTTGCTGCAGAATTTCTTCCAGGCGTGTCAAGTCTTATCACGCAGGCTTTCCTCGTAAAGACAGCATATTACAAGAACCTCGCGTATGCCTGCCATATTCACGCGTTTGCAAGAGTCTGATCCACTAGTAGGGCATACGAGATAACGAACTTCCATGGGAAAGAGCCACCACCTAAAGAGATCCTCGAAGATCTCACAGCCAAAGGAGGAGATCTAATGAATCGCACAGTCGAGAACTATTTCGCATCTAGCAATAGAGAGGCCGACATGCTAACTAACGGACAAGATAGCGACGACTCTGATCAGGAGGATAAGACACCGAAAGAAGAGAAGATGGACATAGATGAGCCTGGGAGCACTGGTGCAAGGGTAACACGAGGTACATTACTGTTCCCGGTAGGCTGTGAAGGCAATGCGGTCCCGTCATCTGTTAAATCTTATTTGTTCACTTTTGTGGTCATTTGGCCGATCATTTGTTATTTCGGCCCTGCTACTAAGGTTGTACAATTACTAAACTGCCTTGTTCAGGTCTTCGACACGCTCCTCCTCAACGCGTCCTATTCCAGCCAGATGCTGGCCGACAGACGCGTAATTCTGGAATCATGAACTCCCCCACACCTTCCAACCTTGCTGGTGGGACGCATGTAAACGGTCTGAACAGCGGTAACGCTGGCGCGGCCATGACCATAGCTGGCTATGAGCCCCAGCAGCCTGCGCCGTCCCAAGTCAAGCCCGTAGTGACACCCTCGAACAATCCAGAGCATTTCAGAAATCTTGCTGTCCGCAACCGTCATCGATCATCGAGAAAGGGACCGGCCGCGGGCATGATGGCGCCTGGGAGTACGTCACAAGAATCCTCCTCTAGGAAAGAGTTCAATGGGAATACTGCTAATACTCGCCAGCTGGCTTTATCGGGCCTAACATATACATTAGAGCATTGCTTGCTCTGCAATCAGGTCTTGTAGAAGAGGAAGCATACGCTTTACATCATCTTGTCAAAATTTCCCACGAAAGGGGTGACAAGTACCAATTTACTGGCTTTCCAGGTCTCGCCGAAGCTTTGATGACGAAAGTCTTAGAGGTCAGCTCTGTCTTTTACAATGTCAAGTGGGACATCTCTTACACTGGAGTCGGATCTGAACCTGCTCACGTCCTAGATGGCCTAAGCGGAACTTCAAACCTTCTCGGTCGCATACGGTCTTTGGAGCGTTTAAATGTAGGTGATGATATTCAAGATGCAGACTTCATAATCGCGTTGGGAAGAGTGAATGAGGCCGGTTTGGTGCTACGCAACATGGTCATGTTGGAAGAGAATGCACACTACGTGTCGCAGATACCTCTCATACGCGACCTGATCACCATCGTCCTAAACCTGCCCAATCATCCTTCGGTTAGGGAGCTTCAACATTACGCCCTCGACATCGCCGAACAGGTCACTAAATACTGGTCTCTCGATTCGCACGATCCAGTATACGTTACGCTATTGAGGCAAGCCGAGTCTACGGATCGAGGCTCAATCATTACGTCTCTCAGAGCGTTGAGTCGCATATCGCTGAATCTGGAGGTGAAGAACCGGTTAGGGAACGTGCCTGCGAAACTACTACAGAGCATCTGCGATTGGCTACTAGTGGATGATGAGGATCTCCGGAATGCCTGTCTTGACTTTCTCTATCAGTTTACGGCGATCCTGGAGAATGTTGAGCAACTTGTTCACGCAGTGAACATAGAGACGCTAGTATACCAACTTTCACGACTGCTAATGTACAACGCTACTCTGACAGAGAGTAAGAACGGAGCGAAAAACAAGAGTCAAAGCGTACAGGCAGCAGAATCTGCGCCAAAGCTGTCACAGGCTATTATCGACCGACTAGTGGTTCTGGATGAACCTGAGAGGAGTTCACAATGGTAAGTTTCTTGGACACCTCAAAAGTCGAAGCTTACATTCTATAGGCTCAAGACCTGCTATGAAGAAGATCCCTCTGGCGAAATCACACAGATTGATCTGTGGCGTGCCTATAACGATGCATTCTTAAATGCATTGTCACGACAAGAGCACCAAAAGAGCCTGATGCAAGCCAAAGAATTCATTACTAACGTGTCTACTACTTTTACTGGAGCGCAAGCTCAAGTGGTCACGTCAGGACAAGGGGCAAAGTACACCATTCGCGGAATTCGTCCACGCGCAGTCCCAGTGAGCCCCCGAAGTCAACGTCCTTATATTCGATGCCAATGGCATACGAGTTCCCATGATATCACGGATCCATCATCGTCTGAATGTAGCGAATACACCTCTCAGCCGAAGGATATGTACGAGCACATCCTTGCGGCACACTTGAATATCCCGCGAGATACAATCACAGGCGAGTGGTCACTGGAGATCAAACCAGAGGTGAATGGTGGTGGAACTCCACTCGAGACACGATACAATTGCCATTGGGCGAGATGCAGACATTTCGCGGCGACGAACGGTAACACCGATGCTCGCCAGGTGGGCAAACACATCAGGACGCATCTGCCCGACGACTCCGCCAAGTCAGTAATACGCAATAAGTATAATCGGACAGAGAAATTAGCTGAGCCCCAGGCGCCTGTTCCTGGCGGCCCGACTCCAGCTCATACGCAAGCGGTTCCATGGCCAGTGAAATGGTCAGTCACCGCTACAGACGAACGCAGTGATGCTGCAGGATTGCCCTTGGCGTCAGTCCTAGTAATGCGCAATCTCGCGAGGCAGATGGCCAAGATCAAGTACACAGACCGAGGGAGACAGGGAACTCCGGGTGGCCGCAAGCGTTACAGAGAGGACGATGACGACGAGGGAGAGCCACAGAAGGGTGGCTGGGTACAGAAAGCATTCTATCCCATAATGGACCATATCTTCTACGTCATGGCAAACAACCTTATTCTGAAAGATTATATGACTAGCCTCTGGCAAGCCGTTGTCACAGGTGGCGGCGCCGGGATCATCCAGCCGACCCAGCCGGAACAACATTCATAGAATTGTACGTTAGCTTTCCTTTCTATTCTTCGGCATCAGGGAGTGTCTCGGCGCAGCGAAAAAATGTGTGGAGAACTAGAATATATGTTCACATCTGTGGGCTAGGCTAGGTGGAATTTGTATTGGCGTTCTGGACGGGCACAGGCTGAACTCCCTCCTGCTCGGACAGGTGTGTCCGGAAAGCAGCGAATGTGCTCGGGTCGTCTGGGTAACGTCGACACAGAAGTGGGTTCGTCGTTGGGGAGATGTATCATGCCAGAATAATTCAAAAAGATATTTTCGTATTGATCGGGCTACCTCGGCTTTTTCTCCAGCCCGTCTAGTCCACCATCATAGTCTCCCAAGTCGTACTCGTTCGGGTATCTCTTCAATACATCCTTTAGCTGCTGCACCTGACCCTCGGCCTCCTCTGTCATCTCCGCATACACGTCTTCAAACATCGCTCGTAGAGGCGGTCTCTTCTCCTTCTCCGCTTTCGCAAACGCGCCCAGCACCTCCTTGCGAATCCGGCTCCTCGCCTCCTGCTCCTTGGCCTCATCCCAGACCCCCTTGTTCTCCATCCACTTCCGCAGTCGTGTGATGGGGTTGTCACGTCGTTTCCAGTCCTCAACCTCGACCTTGGCCCGGTACGCGTAGCTGTCGTCACTCGTGCTGTGGTGCGACACTCGGTACGACATGGCCTCGATCAGCACGGGCTTCCCGCCATCGCGCAGAGCCATCTCACGCGCCCGCGCGGTAGCTTCGCGCACGGCAAAGATGTCGTTGCCGTCGACGCGGATGGTGTCGATGCCATAGCCGATGCCGCGAGACGCGATGCCGTCGCCGCGATACTGCTCGAGCGTGCTGGTGCTGATAGCGTAGCCGTTGTTGCGGCAGATGAAGATGACGGGGCAGGAGCGGGTAGCGGCAATGTTGAGCGCGCCGTGAAAGTCGCCTTCCGAGGCGGCGCCTTCGCCAAAGTAGCATGCTACGACGCGGCGCTTGTCGAGCGGGCGGTCGGGGTTGCCGGCGTCTTGCATCTTGAGCGCGTATGCTGCGCCGGCGGCCTGGGGGATCTGTGTGGCTAGAGGGGAGGAGATGGTGTGGATGTTGAGCTTCCGGGAGCCGTAGTGGACGGGCATGTTGCGCGCGCGGCCGCTGTCGTGCTTGTTGGCGAAGAGCTGCGACATGAAGTCGTCAAGGGTGAAGCCGCGGGTTTGGAAGACGCCGGTCTCGCGGTATTGGGCGAATATGACGTCGTCGGGGAGGAGTGCTGCGGCGGAGCCGACTGCGATGCCTTCTTCGCCTGCGGATACCATGTAGAATGAGAGACGGCCTTGGCGCTGCGCTTCGAACATGATGTTATCCATGATGGAGACTGTCAGCATGTCTTTGTACCAGCGGAGGGCTTGATCGTCTGTGACGTCGAGGGGAGCGCGGTTGCGGTCTACGACGATGCCGTCTTGGTCGAGGATACGGTACGTGGGCATGGCGGAGTCGGCAGAGGTGCCTTGGAAGTTCAGAGAGGTGGTGAATCTACTATTCACAGCGCCAGGGAAGTGGACTCTGAAAGCTTGTTAGCATATATTCTGTCGAATGCTCTTACGGCTGCATATTACCTGTCCGAGCCTGGTCTTTGTGAGATCGATTGCCATCGTCTCCATGTTTGTGAGTTGCTTCGGAGAGCCGTCGTCGAAGATGTTGACCGGACGGCTGTAGACCGTCTCACGCAATTAAGTGTCCCTGACAGTCGCGCAGACATGATGTTGATTGTGGCATTGCAGAAGTCAGGCTTGGGCAGTCAAGACACGATCGTTGGGAAGTCTGGGGAAGTTCACTGCGGCTATCATCGGTCTATGTCCGAGCTCCACGCGTAGGGCTGAGACGCTTTGCCGAAATTCTTCCATCATCGCCCGTCACGACAGCTCCATATCCGTCTCTATCTAACGAGCATATGGTTAAAATCATTTCGCGTACACATCAATCGACAGCTCTGCGGCGAGTCGACCGACATCAAGATGAATACAACGGGCATACGAGCTTTACAACCATCCCGGTTATTACCATCTATACGCAGAACGACAGAGAAAGGAGGCTATCGATGTTTCTCTTGCTCAATCCGGCAGAGCCTGCAGCAGTCTTCGCCGCGAAAAGTGCCGCCCCAGAAAGATGAAGCTGGACGGACAACGCATTTTGGCTTCGAGACGATAGATGAGTCATTGAAGGAATCAAAGGGTAAAAATCTACTACGACAGAGCACAAGTCCCGTTGAACAATGCTAATATTGCTGTCGGTCCAGTCAAAGGAGTGTTCTCCTCGGTGGCGTCCTCGTACGATCGCATGAACGATCTCATGTCCCTTGGCATCCACAGGCTATGGAAAGACCACTTCGTCCGCGAACTAGACCCTGGATCGCCATCAGTATCGGGATCATTACATTCCGGATCAGAGGAAAAAGGATGGAATATACTTGACATTGCAGGCGGAACCGGGGACATTGCGTTCCGCATGCTCGACCACGCAACCACGATCAACAGCGATCACAAGACTCGCGTCACAGTCGCAGACATCAATCCCGACATGCTGGCAGAAGGGAAGCGACGGGCGCTTGAGACGCCATATGCGCGATCGGAGCGCCTTTCGTTCATGGAAGCCAACGCGGAAAAGCTGCCGACCATCCCGAGCAACAGCGTCGACCTGTACACCGTCGCATTCGGGATCCGAAATTTCACCGACAAGCAACAGGCCCTGCACGAAGCATTCCGCGTGCTCAAGCCCGGTGGTGTGTTCGCCTGCCTCGAGTTTTCAAACGTGAACAACCCGGTCTTCAATTACGTGTACAAGCGGTGGAGCTTCGGCGCGATACCGCTAATCGGGCAGATTGTGGCCGGGGACCGGGACAGCTATCAGTATCTCGTCGAGAGCATTGAGAAGTTCCCCAGCCAGCCGGAGTTCAGGGATATGATCAAGACGGCAGGCTTCATGGTGCCGGGCCAGGGCTGGGAGGACCTGAGCGGGGGTATTGCGGCGATTCACAAGGGCGTCAAACCCAAGACTTCATCGTCATAAACGCGCTCGCCAGTTGTGACATGAAAGCCAAGAAACGCGGTCTGGTGATCTCCACCGGTTGATGCGCCGCGCTTCGTCGTGCACACTTTCTGCATGCAATCAGTACATCTACGCAGAGCGTTCGTTGGCAAAAGCGCGAAATCGGGCCGTCCAGTAGCCTGAAATAGCTTCCGGGCGGCATGTAACATTATGTACTGTACATAGCATAGATATACATATATATAGCACAATAGCCGAAGGACAATCCAATAGGATCACGCGAGTCTGACTCTGGTTTTTATCTCTTTCACACACGCACATCAGAAGATGCCCACCATCGCGGAAACCATCTGAACTGTCGACACGCATTGACTGTACTCTACCCTACCCGGTGATCCACATTGTTGTCTTCCCTTGGCCCTATCGCACACGCTCAACACTCAAACTGAAACGTTCGTTGTGGTAGTGTGTGGGCATGTCGTATTCGCATGGTCGTTGTCGTCGTCGTCGTTGTGTTGTCATTGTCGTCGTTGTTGTTGTCATTGTCGTCGTCGTCGTTGTGTTGTCATTGTCGTCGTTGTTGTTGTCATTGTCGTCGTCGTTGTTGTTGTTGTCATTGTTGTCATCGTTGTCGTCGTTGTCATCGTTGTCATCGTTGTCATCGCCGAGTTTTCCCCATCGACGTACGTCAGTCACATCGTCAACCAAACCTCCTCATACCAGGCATAACTTGCTAGCTAAACACACACACACGCCCCAGGTTCATCGCTATGTGATGCGATGCGATGTGATTGTGATTGTGATGTGATATGATGTGCATAAGGCAGCCGCCTGCCTCCATGGTTCGATATGTCGGTCCGTCCAGGCTGGGCATCGTCTAATTGATTAGTCCTGACGTTTATGTTTTCTCAGAGCTACCTACTATGATGCTACTGTAGTATGTATCCGCCACACACACACAGACACACACGAGCCTCATTCCTTATCGACTTATCGACTTATCGACTTATCTACGTATCTACGGTATCTACGGTATCTAATCAGCAAAGCACAGCACAGCACAGCACAGCATCAGCACACGAAGGAGTGACGCCTTCCTTCCTTCCCTTGTGCTCGTGCCACCCTGTCCACCCTGCCAATCACTCAACCCCTGCCTACCTACATCCCTGTCCACCCGCACCAGCCACAAGCCACACCCGTCCCACCACCCTTCTAGAAGCCCCGCTAGACGCGCCAAGCCGGACACACCCCGGCACACAAACGGTGCCGGCTCTACCCCCCGGAGGATCAGGCGAGTGTGATAGGATAGGATAGGGCAGGGTAGGGCAGGATAGGGCATGTAAAACCAGGATGCTAGGGCTGGCGGGTGATTATGGGGTGTAGATTCCTGGTATGTATGTATGTATGTATGTAGATTTACTGCTAGGGCGCTGAGTAGCCAGCCTAGACTAGACTAGACTAGCTAGACTAATTAGCTGTCCGCACCGTCGTATGCATATGGACGGATGGACATGGACATGTGCAGAGACACTAGCGCACGGACTGAGATGAAGATGTCGTGATGCATGGAGCGTGGTGGCTCGTGGCTCGTGGCTCGTGGTCATGGAGATAGTCCATGGAGACAGACAGACGGACGGTCAAAAGTGGAGTTGAGTTGAGTGGAGTGGAGTGGAGTTGGGTGTGGTCACTCACTCACTCACTCACTCATACTCACTCACGGGTACCGACGGGGAAATGGGCATGAATGATGTGCGCGGAGGACGGTGGGACGGCGGGCGGCCGTGCGAGGAATGGAAGTCGGAAGTCAGGGCGAGGCGAGGCAAGGCAAGGCGAGGCAAGGCAAGGCGAGGCAAGGCGAGGATGACAGGGGAGGAGGGCAAGGCGAAAGAGAACATGGGAGGAGGGGCGAGATGGATGGATGGATGAGTGGAAGGATGGTGGTGTGGAGAAGTCAAGGCTTGTTTCTTCGAGGACTCCCAGCTTGAGGTGCGAGATGGGTGATGGTTGATTGATTGCTGGTGCTGGTGCTGGTGTTTGATGCTAGCCTTTGTATCTTGTGTCTTGTGGAAGCGGCCGGTAACGGACGGTGAACGTGATATTGTCTGCATATACATACACATTGTTGTTGTGTGGTATGTGGCTGGTAGTAAGTGCCTTGATTACGTACATTCAATAGTAGGTAGTATAGCACCATCAGGTTGGTACCCCTACACAGCCCGACTACCACCAAGCAACGCTCGACAAGACAAGACAAACAAAACCAAGCACGACGATCTCGCTCCATGGATTAGTCTCCCTCCTCTAATTCATACTTACAGCACCCGACTATCACCCACAGCTCCATCAAGACCAAACATAATACCCTGGGTAGAAAGAATCAATTGAACCAGATCTGTGATTTTCTTTCTTTCTTTAGTTTAATTTAGCGCATTCCTCCTCTAATCTAAACCTTTTTTTCCCCGGAAATATATACGTACATACACAGGTAAAAGCGGCACGACCCGATTCGCAGCCACGGAGCCTTTTTTTCGTATGTTTTGCCCACCCTACCTACCTACCTACCTACCTATCCATCTGCCGGCCGGCCGGCTGTAGCAGGAAGGAAGGAAATAAGGACCGGAAGGAAGGAAGGAGCCGCTACACTTGCCTCAGCCTTTCCATCCACGTGTCCGGGCGGTCAGTCCTTAGCACTATTTACACTACACACTACTACCTAACTAGCTACAGTTCGAGACCCAAAGGCATACATGCATGCATGTTATTTACCGTACGTACCATACCGTACCTGATACTTAGAACGGGGAATTAATGGGGATACATTATTGTTTCCCCTCCCTCCCTTTGGCGCCGACACCGAATGATTGGAGAGAGTGCTGCTGACGTGTTTCTTTTTTCTTCTTATTTTCCCCCAAAGTCCCTTGGGAAAATGCATGGCAGGATAATTACTAGGCGCTGAGGTTTTGAAAGTCCAAATACAGAAAGGACCCGCGAATGGGGTGGCCTATTGAATCATAATCGTCGTCGTCATTTGGCCCGGGCAAAAAGGTACTCTCCAGTCAGGTGTGGCTACGGTATATGCCGGAGGTCAGTGGCTGCTAGTGATTGCGACTGCGGAACTGACTGCCTCCTACGCTCGGAGGGCTCGGAGCGGGGGTCCAGGCAGGCATGACATCATCCAACCACCTCAATAACAACACCACCACAAGCACTGGGTTTCAATTGTCCACGAGGACCGTATGTGCCATGTCAGCAGTGTAGGATTATCTATACTATCAAAAAGTGCTAGAGGAGCTACCTGACCAAACAGCGTACATGCTCTGAACTGTATTCAGAGCATAGCTACAGTCCATTCCTCCACTCCAATACCAAAGGAACGCAACCCCCCCCAAACCCAGTCTATATTTTTATATACGAGATTATCAAGTAGAATGAGAAAAAAACATGTTTGAACCGCCGCGACAATACCGTTCGCGCAAAGACTATGCCTGTGTGTATCCAGTCCCCCAACGTGATTCTTCTCCGGTCTAGCAAGTCCACGGTTGTATGTACAAATGTGGGTCGCGAACGAGACAAAATAGGGAGCGAAAGAGTTCCCAAGCAAGCTGCTGCGGCATTCATTCGAGAACGCTGCAGTCCGTCGCAATTCTTTTTTGTTTTTCTTTTCGCGTTTTGTAATGGTGCCTGGGATCTGAAGTAGAAACGAAAAAAAGATGGTATCTATGAACAGGGCGGCATGATTTCATGGCGTCGTTACGAGGAAATAGTAGAAGAGAAAAAAAGGATTTCCGCGGTTTCCACGACCGGATCATCTGCAGCCTTACGAGAAATTATCACCGAAGCTGTATGCAGGGACTTCGGTGTTGTCGAAAGTGGACGAAGGGAAGTCGGAGTAGTTTAGCCAATTCATCGCTGTGCTACCTTCATCCACTGGACCCAAGGGCATGGATCGAGGCTGGCTTTCCATTTCTGTATTCATGAATGGGGTGCTCGTGGGCGTTGCGGGTGCCTTCTCCTGTGGCACCATGTCCATGAGCGGGTTCCCGTACTGCTGCTGCTGCTGCTGGGCGAGATAGTTGCTCTCAAGCTCAGTGGAGACTGGAGGGCTTGTACGTCTCAGGTAGTCCAGGTCCAAAGAGTTGCGACTGTGTGTGTCTGGTACAGAGGTTGGGGCTTGGCGGAGATCTGGCGGGGTGGAGGCATTGCTCAAGACACGGTAAGCACGCGATTTGTGATAGTGAAAAGCGTCTTCCCAGGCATGATCCGCGATGGCCGTCTGGGTAGACTTGAGATCCAGATCTCCAAAAAAGTTAGGCTCACCAACCTCCGACTGGGATGAAGAGGTGCTCAAACCTGGAACGCTGGCACGATTGGAATCTCCACTGTGCGAGTTTGGCTGCGGCACAGCATCTACGAGCTTCTCCGGGACAAGTGGCAAGTCCGTTGCCGACCACGACGGCTGCAGACCAGCGGAGGGAATAGCCCAGTCGCTGTCGTGTGACATGTAATCGCCCGAGGGCGAAGTGGAGAAGCTGCCATACGTACTGTAGGCCGAGGGCAAGCCGTTGCGAGTCCAAGGCCAATTATGCAGCGGTAGAGTGCTATCGATGGGCGAGTTGGGACCAGAGATCAGTGTGGGCGTTGTTGCGATTCCTGCGAAGAGTGGTTTCGCATACAGTTCCGAGGCTTCAGACTCAGCCTCTCGTTCCGTGATACCCAGGTGATCCAAAGATCGCCGTTTCGCAGGCATGCCGTAGATGTTGTTCACGCTGTCGTTCGAGTCTGAATGCTGCGCACCAAAGGACGGACCGTGGCCATGCACAGTATGACGATGTGGTACTTTGTACGGCATGCCGGTATTGTGATGGGCGTTGTTTCGGTGGTGGACGGGTTTGTGGTGGCCATTGGCGAAGACGGTCAAGGTGCTCTCGGATTGTGTGGAGGTCAGACGAGGTTTCGCCTTCATCGAAGTTTCGACGCGCAGACCAGGGTTCTTCTTGGAGCCGCAAAGACATTTCGAGCCAGTATGGCAAGCGCAGTCAGCTCCACTAACTTCTGCAATGTTAGACACGAAAGCGTCGGACAACGGCACATCTGAATCCTGCTCACCATCCCCTAGCTTGAAATCACCCTTTCTGTCTCTCTTGCAATCGCAGCGACCATGGAGGGAATTGGTCTTGCGGTTGGCGCGGCAGTGGTCACACTGTTTCACAGGGCGGCCCTTGGGATTGATATGCTGAAGCTCACGATCTGCAAAGAGTCAGAGTCAGAATGGTGGGTGGAGATTGTGGGCGGCGCATACCATGGTGTTGACAGCCGCTGACGCGATGACCCTTGATGCACGACAGGCAGGCATACTTTTCGCCGTTGATGACTGGCATTGTCGGAGAAAGAAGAAGAAGAAGAAGAGGAAGAAGAAAGGAGGACAGTGGACCTCTTTGGTAGTGGAGAGGGGTGAGTGACAGTGCGCAGACGGCGGGCGAAGGGTAGTGGTGGTGAAGAGAGGTAGAGAAAGAGAGTGGGTAAATGAAAGTGGGTGCAGAGGAGTGTATGTATGTCCAGATGGAGAAAGAAGATATACAAGCGAAGAATGAGCAAAAGTGCGAGGATGGAGGATAATTGGAACCGAGAGCACAAAGGCAGCCGCCGAAGAAGAAGAGTACCGAGAGTGGAGTGTGGAGAAGAGGATGAGGAAGGGTAGGTAGGGTAGGTAGGAGGGATGGGGTCGAGCCGTGCAGCAGAAGCCGCTGGCCGAGAAGCGCAAGATGAGGTGGGGAGTATGGACGTCAAAACGGCACGTTCAGTGTAGGGGCCAGGATCTGGGAGGGATGATGATTGTGTGTGTGTGTGTGTATGAAGGATAGAAGAGGAAGAAGAAGAAGAAGAAGAAGACGAGGAGGCGATAATTAGTGGTGGAGGAGAAGTCGGTAGTAGTTAGTGGAGGAGGTGTTAGTGGTGGTGATGGGATAGAAGCGGGTGTCTGGGCGCGAACAGAGAGAGGCAGCAACAGGGACGAGCTGGCTTGTTTGGCAGGCTTCTTCTGCTGGAGTGTGAATTGTGGATTGTGGAGTAGAGCAGTAGCAAGCAGAACGAGGAGCAGTATGTAGAGTAAGTAGAAAGAGGGGAAGATGGTTGGTATAGAACTGTAAAGAAGGTATGGTAATCAAAAGTAAAGGCTGCCCCTCCATCTCCATCTAGGTACCACGGTGCAGGTGCTTGTGCTTCTTTCCTCGGTATGTTGATGTTCTGTATAGAATGGTGTAAAGTATAACTCCTTTCGGCAGGGCTGGCGGCTGACCAAGCAAGCCAACACTTACCCGGCCTGTTTAGCTAATGTAGCTTTGTGCAGCTGGTGCCCTCTTCTACCTAGCTACTTTACTGTGCCCTGCCTAACTACACTACCACCAGCACCAGCACCAGCACCAGCACCCCATTATTCTTAGTTACTCCTACGAGCAAGATGCCGATCCAAGCGTGTGTGTATGTCTTTCTGCTGTCTCGTCTCCACTTACGCAAAAGCCTGACCTTGACCAGAGCCTGAGTCTGACGTCTGAGCCAGTGCCAGAGCCTGAGCAGAGAAAGAAAGCCTGAGAGCAGCAGCCTGAGCCAGCGCCTGAGCCGCCGACTAATTAATGCCTGTCTACTTACTTTACTACCTACTAACTACTACTCTACTGCTTCAACCACTCCACTAGCTAACCCATCCTCTCCACTACCACATACCTCCATTCTCCTCTAAGCCGTCCATCATCATATCCTCCTTCCACTGACTGACTGCTCATTACATACACCCATCATAATACTCTTGCATTCATTCGTCCTCGTCGCCAGCTAAACGGGCCGCCTAGATGCAGCCCGCCGGAAAGGGTTAACACTACCTCTCTCCACATCAACACTTCTCTTTATCCATCACCACCTAATTACCTTCTCAATCGCACTGCCAGACCGACCATGGATGCCCTTTTCCTACCCTTCTATCCGCTGAACACTCCAGCCTAGAGCAGCCATACACCACCGTCTTCTTCTTCTTCTTCTTCTCCTGATCGCGTGCCTTGCCTCGACTGCCGAGACATCATCACTGTCATCACTGTCTGTTGTTGGCTGGCTGGCATCCGACCCTTTCCTACGTCCCAACTATTAATTACTGCTTGGACCTAACTCATCACTACCCATAGAGCAATCCCCACTTTCACCACTGCTACTAGCACGCAAGCTGTCTCGCCTGGAATCAGGCATTGCCATTCACCAAAGGCCAGTCTGAGCTTACTCAACAGATTGCCATGCCTATGCAATGTGCATCGTGCATCCATACAATCGGCCCTGTCACTTCCGCCCCCTCCCCCAGCACATCCCTCGATGACTTGCAGTCTGACCGGTATCTTACCGTGGTCACAGCGTTGACACGGGAAGATGGTGATGGTCACCACTAATCCATCTACACCACACCGCGCCCTTAACGCCATGTCCCTTAGCAGCACCACCGGCCATCTTCTATTTCGAGCCTACCAGCACCGCGCTCCTGCAGCGTTCGGCGGACGGACATGCGCTTTTACCCACCACGTCTCTCCCATCTACTCAACACTGGCAGACCCTTCGACTGGGGTGACCTCTTCTGTCGATGATAATAGTCAGAAGTGCAGACAGAGTCTTCCTGACGCCTGCGCGCCGCAACGCAGGGTCAGCGTTCATGTCCGCGCACGGCCCCTCCTGATGACATGTATGCAGAGAGAGCAGCGAATAGCATCGAGATGTGCAGCATGATCGACTGCTCGTCCCGTTAGACGATCGGATCCGCCCGGCCTTCACCCGCTAGTAGTGGAAGAATTTGCTGCCCTTTCCAGCCAACTAATACAACGCATCTACCAACATACACACACCTGACACCTAACGCTAAACGGTCCGATGCCGACGCCGGCAGACTTAGTGCGTGTGCATGCTACTTTGCTACCTTAGTCTAACGGTCGCTCAGGAAAATGTCCTTTTGCCTTTCCGTCTGCCGCTTCACTCTTCTCTACCTCATCCTCTCTGCCTGCATAACAAACATGTCGTTGCCGCCGACTTTTATTCAACAGTTAATTACTACTATACTTCATATCGTCGGTTCGCGTCAGGAATGCGTGGCGATACTTTGTCGCCTAATACTTTTCAAACAAATTCCCAGTCACTAACTGCATACCACCTTGGCCGTAATATACATACTGCATGTCCATTGGATCCCCCGATATCATCTGTTTCAGAATCATTCCACCTCAGTTAGTCCTCTTTGGATCCCCGGCTTTCCAGAAGTTCGCTAGAAATCCTTACCAGCACCGCGCGGATACTCTTGGCTAAACCTGGGCGTGGACGACGAGGCTAGAATCCTTGATGATATTCCGTAGATCCTAGGGGCTCTCAGATACGGGGCTGGCCATGATACCATGGACATATGCGGCTGCATCTCCTGTCTTTCCACTTGTGAGATGTACATCATCTGTGATAGGACAGCCAAGCTCGGTACTCTGCAAAATTTTCCTTGCTCAACAACAACAACAACAACAACGGCCGAACCATCATGTCTTCGAATGCTCCTGGCTGGACTCGCTTATGACACTGACACAAGAGACTGCCGAGACTGAGCTTTGTTTACTCTCTAGTCCGGACCATTCCTTCCCGCAGATCACCTCCGCTGCCCTGACTGCCCTCTTGATACGACAAGGTAACGTTACAACCGAAAATAAACTGGTCCAAGTCCGAGCTTGCGGCTCAAGCATTGCATGATTCCATAGACACCGTTCGAAAATGACATTGGTCTTCTGCTCCGCGGGTTGCTGTCAAGCTTCTAGAAGGTGACACACCCGAAAGTGCACAGATCAATTGAGCGTTTCAACAGCATGCCAAGCCATCTGAAGACCTGTCAAAACTCGTGGCACGGTTCTTCTTGATCCTACCACAGTGTTACAGGCAGCAGATCGCAGTCTTCTCACTGGCTGCTCTGCTTCATCCTAGACATCTTCATGATAAATATGGCAACGGAACTTGGGCGCAACTCATCCGCAACAAACGAAGCGACACTCGCGCCCTAGTCCATTGGCTTGACAACGATTAGCTCTACATCCCGCTTGGCATGAGTCACCACACTCTACACATATGATATTAATGGATCCTAAACACACTACACTTTGGTGCTCGTGGTCAAAAACGTGACATGTACATGTCGATCAAACCCGTCTCGAAGCTTAGCTTCCACGTGACTCAATGCTAATGTCGTCAATATCGAGTTTGATATATATATATATATAAGCAGTAAGAACAGAGAAACATATGAACCAATCCACTTTGGAAATACAACTTTGTGATCATGTCGCTATTAATTATACTTCTAGAAACGATTGGTCTTGGATAATCATCATGTGCGCTTCTCACGTGACACAATATCATGTCCAGAAGTGTTGATTGACACGGATGAATCGTGATAACATCGATACCATGATGACTGCGTGCGGGAAGTTGTTTATCCTGGACCGATGAGCAGGGAAGATGTTTTTGGCACAGTCCATGCCCTAGAATAGACAGGCCAGGCCGAATGTCGGTTTGTGGTCTTGGTTGCATCCACCTCAGAACGGCGTTAGGAGCCGTAGAAATGATTCGCCGACCGCTGAATCGTATTTCCTGCCTCCGAACTCCCATGAAAGGTGCTTGTCGGTTCAAAACTCACCCAAAAGGGTCATGTAATAGGATTCTAGTATCGTGCATCATCATGTCTCCCAGTCTGGTTTCCAGCTTCATAACAGACAAAACGCAGCTTATTCTGCCAGATAGCGCTAATCCAATTCAGGCCCCCGCCGGATTGAACTTTTGCACGCTTGCTTTTGCTTCACCTCCCGCCCCAGCCGCGCGCACACGGCTTCTCCATTCCACATGACTACCTTGCTGCACAATTCCATCAAACAGCTCCTAGTATACGAATGAGGCTGTATAGTGCAAACTGTTTTGAATCTCATATAACCTATTTTCTGCGACCGACTGGCCTCTATCAAAGCTGCTCGCTCTTTCCGGCGCGCGACTGATCCGCGACCTACAGTCACCAAGTTAACGCGTACAAGCACGCGTCAAACACCTCCCGACACAGTCCTTGATACTGGCTAGCCTGTTGTCTGGTTAAGCTTGGTTTGATTAGGGCTATGATACCTGATTAGAAAGCGTTCATGTCAAACACGTCTTCTTCTTATCCTGACCCCCAGGCACATGACGGACATGGTTCGTCCGGCCTCTTCGTGCAGAGTCATGGGAACCACAGCCCACAGTCTCATGGAGGCAGGAAGTATCAGGAGCACAATTCTCTCGATGTAGCAGACACTGCCATGCAAGACAGTGATGCCCATACGCTGGAGCAACTCATGGCGGAACAGCAGATGCTCGCGCAGGAGGCTATGGATCTGCAAAGTCATCCCGCACATGACTACATGCCATCAGCTCATGATGGTCAGTTGCTCGCGAGTAGTCGTAAAAGATCCAAAGTATCTCGCGCCTGCGATGAATGTCGACGCAAGAAGGTGGGGTCCTCATCGACGAGATTGTGGTAGTTGTGTAAGACTAACGTGTTAGATTCGGTGCGATGCGACTGGGGAGAACGGCCCAGAGTCCTGCACAAGCTGCAAAAGATCACAGACATCCTGTCAATTCAGTCGTCAGCCTTTGAAAAGAGGTCCCTCCAAAGGGTATATCATGATGCCGCCCCTGCTGAACAACGGAGCAAAGTGCTGATGATAGCTTAGTTATATCAAAGAACTTGCCGATCGTGTCAAGCTCATCGAGAGGAACATAAACGTACCAAGCTCCAGCCCGATTGCCTCGTTGTCTACTGGTGTGCAGCGCGTTTACTCGCCCCCATTGGTATCATCGCATTCCGCGCACGATGGCTTCTCCGCGTTCACAAATCCGTTCAGTGCTGTAAGACAGCCATCAGCACCTCCTATATTAGGTAAGCAACATATCCCAGCACTAGCTATATTCTGCAATGTCTGGGATTTGAGACTCGGGATTGTCGCTGTCACGTCTCAATTCCATCATAAGGCAAAGCACTACGCGCATTATCATGACTGACATCTGCAGGAAATTCACCCGATGAAGTCATCATGAGCAAGACCAGCAACCTGAATGACACCGAACAAGCCTATACATTTCAGTACGTCAGACAGTGATCAAATTATGCTTCTGCTAATCATGTCAGGCTATATACATCACATTTACAGTCCGTACTTCAATTCCTACCGGAGGAGCCCACCGAACTCAACATCCGCTTGTCACAAACTCCAGCCAACTTGCGACAGGCATTTTGCGGCGCAGCAGAATGCCTTTTGCATACCTTTGGACAAACCACACAGCCGCAGTATGACCCCCAAGAGATGATCAGCCGTACATCGCATTTCCTGGACGCCGCGCAGTACGAGTGTGACAACGCAGACCCAACCTTTGCACTTTCAAACCACGTCATGTACCTCGTCAGTCTGGTCATGATGATCATACAAGCCGATCAGAGGCATTCACCTCTAGGACTCTCCAGACCTGGAGAGCTGATAGGCCGCGCTGTCGGCCGTGCCAACAGTCTAAGCCTGGAAGACGACACGAAACTGATCGAAGGCGGAACCAGATTACTCAATTTCGGTCGCCGAGTATATGGAGCCTTGTTCGTGCTAGACCGCTACCATGCTCTAAGCTTCTCCGCCAACCTGACGATGCCCCTGTACCTGCAACCCTTCATCAACACACACGACCGCATCGTCGGCCAGCGCGAAACCACTCTCCTCCTCCGTACGTCATAATTCCCCCCAAAATCCCACCACCGCCAACAAACAGCTAACCCCTCTCCCCCCCAACACAGGCATCGCCGACTCCATCGGCCTCTACGCCCACATCCTCAAAACCCGCCTCCCCTCCGCCACCCAAGACCCAATCACCCACCTCCTCGCCCCAACAACCATCTCCCCCCTCCTCTCCGCCCTCCACGCAAACCAGTCCTCCCTCCTCACCCTCCTCCAACTCCCCGAAAACTCCCTCCTCCACCTCGCCCTCCACCACGCCGAACTCTCCGCCGCCCGCCTCGACTCCTCCTCCCCCTCCCACACCCTCCTCCACCTCACAAACCGCCTCCTCGCCCCGCTCCTCGAACCCTCAACCCCCATCTCCCCGCTCCACGTCCACTTTGCCCGTCTGGCTGCTACATCCCTCATCGACCTGTCCACGCTCCCTGCCCCCGTCGGCCCTGACGCGCTTCGCTCCATCGACGCCTTTCTAGCTGCTCTCTCTACTCGCCCCGTCGTGCCTATCCTTCCTGATGGCACAGGCTGGGATCAGTATCTGTACAAGGTCCTGGCTGCTGCGAAGGCTGGTGGTGGGAGTGGTGCGAATGCTGCTGACGAGGCTGTGAATGCGGGTGGTGGTGGTGGGAGTGGGAGTGGGAGTGCAACGGATCATATCTCCGGCTTGCAGAGTCTGGCCGAGGCTGCTGTTACCGAAAGTCATCGGCCGGGGAGTAGTAGTGCGGGTGCGGGTGTGGGTGCGGGCGGTATGAGTGGAGGAGAGGGTAATATTGGAGATGGAGGAGGGCAGGGGCAAGGGCAGGGACAAGCCTCGATGAGGGCTCAAGCGACTGCTGCTGCGGCGACGGCGGCGGTTGCTGCGTTGGCTGGGGGTGGTGCTGGTGCTGGTAGTAGTGGTGCTGGTGGTGGTGTCGCTGGGGGCATAGAGGGCGGGTTGGATAAGGCGTTGTTGGAGTTTATGGGGTGAGTGAGTAGTTTGAGATGCGATTTGGAGTTTGTGTTTTTCTGTCTTGTCTGTCTGTCTTGTCTGTCTTGTCTTGCGTGTTCTTGCGTGTCTATCTACAAACAGACAAACAGACAGACAGACAGTCAGACAGACAGACAGACACACAAGACTACGAGACTTCCACCCCACACCCTCCACCCAATCTCCAAGAACATCTCGATCGTAATAGTATGTATGTACATAACAATCCCGCCGTCTCGGTCTATTATCTTTGTTGGGATGGAGCACGAAGACAGGGTTCCTTCCAATTGTAATTTTTTGGGGGGATTGTCTTCCTTCCTACCGTACGCGGTTTTATTTTTATATTTATTTTATACTTTTATATTTCTACGTCTACATCTGAGTCTTATGATGATATGTTCACTAGACATAGGAGTTCAGAGACTTGATGCTATGATAATGTGCCGTGTCATGTCCGACAGAGCTAGCAATAGCATTTCCCCCAAAACACCCACCTCCTCCGACCGTTCAGATCGACCGCGTGAGCTCATGGACACATACGTCGTCTTTGCATCTTCGTGAAGCCCCGTACCCAACATGATCATCATCACTACCCACTCCCCTCAAACCCCCTATCCAGCTTCGCCACCGCCGCTCTCTCCGCCTCCATCCTGACGCCCTGGACTTTCGCCGGCAGCTCTCTCATCATATTATGCAGCAACTCCGCCAGATCGCCCGGCTCCCTGTCCCACGCCTTGAACTTCTCCAAGTCTGCTGCTGCTCCTCCTCCTGCTCCTCCTTCGGTCTTCGCCTTAGGCTTAAACTTCCTCCGCAGCCCGACCTGGCCGCGCATGTCCATGAAGCTTTCGTACCCGTGGTCGTCGAGCACCTCGCTGGGCACGACGACCTTGGGCTCCAGTTCCTTGACAATGGCCTGGTTCTCGGGGTTGTTCTCGAGGAGGAAGCGCAGACACATGATGGCGTGCTCGCGAATGTAGGGATTGTGCTCGTCGTGCGCGCAGCAGTTGAGGATGGCTTCGATGCCTTGGTGCGCACGCACCTGGTCCTGGACGGCCTTTGAGCGCCAGACTAGGGAGGAGAGGACGAGGATGGCGAGTTTTTTGAGGTTGCGCCACTCGAATTCGTCGGGATGCTCGGTGGGAGATGCGGAGGGGAATGGTGCGGTTGGTAGGAATGTGGTTGGCGGGTAAGGGTTGGGCGCGTTTGCGGACGCGGAGGTGTCAAAGGGGCGTTCGACTGCGACAGGCTGCGACTCGGACGATGGTAGAGTGCCTGAATCATTCGGTGGAGGGAGAGCCGGGTCATATGCGAGAGCACTGCCACCAGCGATGGCTCTGGCGGTATCAGCGCTGCGACGAACCTTGTCTTCCAACGTCTCCCCAGTTCGCATTGGCAGCATCGGGAGGTTGACCTTCGGTATCGCGGTGTCGAGCTCTTTTAGGAGAGTCACGAGCTCACTGATCAGATCCCAGTCTGTCATCATTTTCTTCCACATGTCGTGCTCGGTCAGGACGGCGAAGAACTCAAGGTATTGATATATTCCCTCGTACATCCGTTCCATATCCCACAAGTTCAGCGGGAAGTCATCGGGGGATGCTTGATTCAGTCTGATCTTTCCTTGTAGGAATATCAGTGCGCAGGTTTGTGGAATTATGTTCGTGCGGAACTCCGTGAACAGAAATCTGACCATATCCACATCGACTTGAAGTGGAAATCTAGGCTCAGCCTCTGGGTAGTCTTGTGCACGAGTGGCCTCTCTGACCTGTCTTGCTTTGAAGATGTTTGTCAGTAGTTTCATAATGACCGCCTGAGCTGGTGATATAATATCTTTCGATTCTCTGAAAGCCTGATACGCAAAGGGCATCAGACCGTTATTGAGAATCGCTTCCATGATCTTGACCATAAATTTGAAATACAACTCCTCTTCACGAAGATCCCACGCAGCAACGAATATGAGGAGTTCTCGGAGGAGATTACGACCATTATCTTGTGCCATAAGTAGATAGCACCGAATGATGTGCAGATTGAGAAATTGAGTTGCCTCTTGTGAGCCTGTTTCGTGAACGAAGTCATCTGCAGGAACGATTCCCGACATGATGATCATTGGAAGTACTTCAATTTCGGCGGGTCCGAGGATCAAAGGAACGTCTGTCAGCAGTCCGCGCCCATCATCTCCTGGAACAACATAGTCAGATTCCTCCTCGCTGTCTTCCTCTTCGCTCACAGGAGGGTCAGCTGCTGAAGGGGGAGGAGCTTGAGATTCGGATGGCAGAGCCACGGGTGAAGCAGGCGAAGTAGTCGAAGGCTCCTGTATTGATGTTTGGTTGTTTCTTTCCGGTGGTGGTTCCAGTCGCTTCATGAGATCGTCCTTGCCTCTTTGTAAGATGTCGGCCCCGAAAGCCGCTGTGACAGGTCAGCAGAGAGCGTCATAAATCGACATGGACTTACCGTGGAGTCTTCTCATCTTACTGTCCACCAGTTTGTCCTGGGCCAGATCATCTGCCTGTAGTGGATTGTCAGATATGCTCAGATGTCTGACACAACAACTGTACCTCTATCTTTAGTCCGTTGATGCTTCTCGCCAGAGCTTCAACCTTCTCGTCCAATGGCGGATGTCCTGTAGTATATTTGGCAGATGATGTGGAGAAGAGCATACCCCCGGTGAACTCAAGAGCGGCAGTAGAATTTGGGGGAGCCCTCCTCACGAGATCTTTGTAAAAGCCATCCCACTCTTGTCTCCGTTCTGGTGGCATGCTTTCCCATTGTCTCTTGCATTCAGCAGCAATCTCCGCGGCATTCCCCGCTTTACCTTGGTCGATCAACTGTTTTTTCACTTCAAGACCATTTTTACCGATGAAGAGTAAGAATGGTGACGATGCTGGAGGCTGCGGCGGGTGAGCCGATGAGCTCTCCTTTTTCCCATGACCCGAAGGCAATTGTGGCGGCGCAAAAATCTTTCTTGAAACTCCGCTCATGAGTTTCATTTCGAAGGGTCCTTCCTCATCGTACTGCACATCGAACGTTGCGTCGCCCTCATCAGCTTGATATGAGTCCACGACAGCTTCGGATGGAGTCGTACTGTCAAACAATTGAATCCAGAGCATTAACTTCCGTCTCTCGTTCCTTGTAACTAGGTTGTTCAAAAATTGTAGGCTGGTAATGAGAACCTTCTTGAACGCATTTATGACGCTTTGCCATTTCTCTTCCTCTTGGGACCCAGGATCTCCATCGTACCCCCGAGCAGTGACCTTGACACAAAGGTTTATAAGACGAAAGATCTCTTTGTCAAACCGCGACATTGAAGCCAGTTGTTGAGCTCTAGGTCCAACGGTCAAGACATTCCTAGTTATTGCTACCATGCTATTGACACGTTCCAGGTCAACGCAGAGACTGCCTTGATTTTCGGCTATGAGAGCCCCAGAAAGCCCGTCATAATCTTCATGTGCAGGGGGGTCTTGCGCTGGATCAACCGCCGGTGGTGCATTGAAACAGCGTTGCTCGATAGATGGTATCGCAGAGTCAATCAGGTCGCCGATGTCGTGCCAGAACTGCGAATCCGTACCTATGTCTTCTCTAACGAACAGTTCAGCGGACGTATCCTCGCTATGTTTCAAAGGAAGCACCACACATACCGAACCTCAGCATATTGCCTCGTGTTGGTGAGCGTTTTCTTAACCAGCACATCGTCGAGCTTCTGCATCATTTCTGGCTTTATGTAGCCGGCTCCATGGACACTTCGGAATTGTACCGTCCATGGACCAATCGCTAGCCTAAGGGCTGTTGCATACGGCCTTTTCGCCTCTTGAGGCGGCGGACGACTTTGGGATGCTAGTTCCTCGATCGTCGGCGACTGTGGAGGGGCCGCGACATTGCCACGGTCTGCCATTATGGTAAGAACAAGAAAGCCGTAGCACACATCCCTAGGATGCAGGTATCTGGGGAAGATTTCATTCAACCATCTGTATCGTGTAACAGTGACGGAATTGAAGCCTGTGGTGGGCAAGCTCTGACAAAATCTCGAGCATTGATGGATCCGAGTTCAAGACAGCCCTATAACTCTTGGCGCCCGCAATGTCCACAACCGAGTTCACAGAATTCAATGTTGCACTACAGCACCGTTTTCAAGCCGCTGTATCATGTGCATGCACAAACTGGAGAACGGGATGTTTCAATATACTGTTAAGGTGTTGGTGTGCATATACATGCCTTTACAGCGTCCTGCAGCCACTATTATGGCCGTGTTCGATCGCAATGGTCGGGCGTGGCTCCACAAGAAGGGCACGAGCCGATATATGTGCAAAAGGGCTCCTGGTAGCTTGATATAGCAGTTGCTACATCTAAAGTACAAATAGAGCCATACCTAGTCGAGGAGATTGCTATTGCAGAGCCTCAACATTCCTTTTCGCTTCATACACCCTCTTTCACTGAGCTCCTCAACAGCCATGTATTCACGCTTTCTCTTCGTCCTAATTGTGGGCTTCAGCATGGCAGCAACGACCACAGAATACCGACGGGATCTGTCAGCTCCGGAAAGTGGAGGCGTCCGTATAGAGCCGTCCCGCCCCGAGACATAGTTAACAATAATAGATATGGATGTCTACCGAGCCGAATCTAAAAGGGCTGAAAAACTACACAACTTTTCCATTGAACACGTGTATCAACCTTTCGGAGCCGTGGTTTGCGGCCATCAGTTCATTGCGCCCTGACACGGGTGTTGCCGTGACTTTAAGTCGAAGGAATTACTGCGACAATCCCACAGATGCTATTTTCTGGCCAGGAATTGTAGGTAACTTGGATACCTGTGGCGTGAGCTTTGCTAAGTGCCCTGTGCAGGACGATCTGCGAGACTACGGATGGGATCACCGGATCGCATCATTCTTAGTACACAAGGTTCAGGTCGAAGATAACGGGTGGAATTGCATCAGAGAGATGTTTGCTGGAGTACAATGTTCTAGATGCTGTAATGGTTGTTCTGATAGCGGCGAAAACGTTTGCGCTGAGGACTAAAAAGGTACTGATAAAAACTATAGAAAATGACTGCCACTGGAATCTCAGAACCAATGCACGCTGAATACGGAAGTAAGCTCCTCCCCTTTAAGAATCCATTTAAAGACTCGCAGAAATGCCTGAATATGCCTGACTGAATATATATGACGCCCGTCGTAATGCTGTGTGTGATGAGATAGTAGAATGTGATGGAAATATACGCTGCGTGTCGATGTTCGCGAGGAAAGGAGTAGATAGATGTGACATGGGGTATGATGACGGGTCGAGGCGGAAATCCATCGTTCGTGCATAAAGAGGATATACTTTTGGTGTTGACTTTGCCTCATCAGTGACCAGATAGCTTCCTAAAGGTCTGTCGCGTACTTTGACGTCAAGGAACAGTTAGAAGTACCCATTTCGTTCTGCTGATGGAACCCGCGGTACTTCAATGCTTGGCAATAGTCCACCGTTGTATCGCGTGAGAACCATGCGACGAAAAGCGAAGTAAAATATGACTGCCAGTGTGACTGCTGATGCGACTCCGAACATGACCCATATCGAAGCCGCATTTGGCAAAGACTGCCATATAGACGAACTGAAAGAAGACACACCATAAAGAACTTCTGGCGACGTCTTCAGCGTTGGGAGAGGGAAGTCAAGTAGGGACGTAACTACACGGGTTTAGTTCAGATCAAATATACTAAGAATCAATACTCACCAACAAAAAGGACTACCAGGACACTAATCGCCAATGTTGGACTTCGTGGCATAACGCACAGTACTATGAGGATCGCAATAAGGATCCATTGCCAAAACCTTGCGTAGCCTACAAGTTTTGATAAAGTGCTAGCATATTCAGCAGCGTCTGTCATGGTTTGCTTGATGAATTCGGCATCTACTTTGATGTCCGTAAGACGTAACTCGGTAGAGGTAATTTCCTGTCATCTTGTCAAGACATTCATCCTTAGACAGAATTTGGATACATACGGCATGAACCTTTGCTTGTGATAGCCGCATGTCGGCCAGATTCTGGTCCACGAGTTGCTGCCATAGTTTAGCCCACATCAACGTCATCACGATGGATGACTTACCAGACCCACACGAACGTCGCTCAGACCTGCCGCAGTCTCACTGAAAGCTTCGAGTTGAGATCTCCGGGCATCTTCAAGTGTTCGCAAGAGTTCGACAGCGAGACTGCTACTGTACTCTATGCGGTCATCATGGAGTGCATTCTGCTCGGAAATACGCGACAGCATTATGCCAAATGTACCGGCCGTATTCTGTCGCATGTGCTCCAGCTCAGTGCTAGAACCCTTTATGATCTGAAAATGTTGGTAATGGTAGGGAAGTGTGATTCATACTACTTACCTGGTTCAATGCATCTATGCGAGACTCGGTCTCACTCCAGGCTTGTAACATCTTCGCAGTTTCAAGGCTTATAGAAGATTGTATATCTACCAAGAACTTGGTCAGAATAACCTGAGACTCCTTATTACCAGCCGTGAAAGCACGAGTTGCATCATTTTGTAGCGAGATCAAAAATTCAGTGTACTCTTTTGTGGTCTCGAGTGAGGTCGCATGGTCTTGCATGGATCGCTGCATAGTAGCAGTGATATTTGATACAGTTTCGGTCAGCGACTTGTACGTCCTAAGGACATTATCTATGATCTGTGAGCACGCTCAAACACGTTTGAGCGCCGAATTTGATTGATAGACTCACCTTTCTCAATCATATCTCGACTCGCTTGGCATATGACAACAGCATTCTGCCGTGCATTGCTATAGCTCGTCCACCATTGAGGGCGAGACTCAAGGGCCTCCAAGCAACCTTTGATCTGTGCGTCACTCACAGTAGGGTAGCAAAGCTTGTCACTCACATCTTGGGGGCTCCAAGAAAAGACACCGCTGAAGCGAGACCGTGGACATGCTGTATTAGATGGCGTAAGTGGTTTGCAGAAATCTGGCAGCGTTGCTCGGGCTCCGGCCAGCTCGCACATAGCCAATCTTGCCGCGAATTCCGATTTGACTTCATCAAGCGCTAGCTCTGTGCTTTTGGCGGGAATATCATCCCCTTTCGTCTCGAGGGACTGGCAAGTGTCTACAAGAGTGGAAACAGCGAGACGAATGCAAGATGGGGAGCTTTTAAGTCCCTCCATGACTTTCAATGCGTGCGAGTATATCTCTGGCTGATGACCGGTGTGCTCTTGAATCCGAGTCATCAACTCAGAGGACCAGTTTGGTCTGTTAGCGCTACTGCCACCATCTGTGAGAGTCAGCCAAATCGTCTCTGAATGCTTATACTTGCTTTTGGGTTTAAATCCGAGCAAACACCATATCGCCTTGCTCAAGTAATACAGCATGCCTTGTTAGTACTGACCTTGGCTGAAAGTAGCTGTTGCAAAAGAAGAAACAAAGAAGACTTGAATCAGAGTAGCAAATAATTCCATGACGAGTGAAGGTATGGATAGTGAAGTCGAGACTAGACAGGAAAGCAAATGAAGCAGTGATCCAATCGATCACGGGATACGAGATAGATTCAAGCTGGAGATGAGAAGTAGAAAACGAAAGAGCAAATACGAGGTTGAGTAGTGTAGGCACTGAAGCAGTATTAAATATAATACGGGTGATCGACGTCTGAATTGACTTCACCCTGCGCTGCGTAGGCGAAGGTGAGGCCTTTGCTTATAGAGGTGAGATTTAAGCCGCGTGAGAAGTAAGGGATAGCTCTCATACGCTATCGACTTGGTAAAGACCAACTCGTTGTTACCCGAAAAGGATCTTCAACACCTATAATGAAGACGTGACCGGGATGAATGGTGTTGAAGCATTCCTGGACTCCTGGCTGATCTCCACAGGGTTTGCCGACTCCGAAGCTGTTCGGAAAGCTCCCTATCCCAAAGAGCCTCCTCCCTGCAAAAGTTACAACCTCATCACGATCAGACACCCGTTGGTCAAACACGTCCCAGCGAGCGCCATGCTTTCCCGAACGGCGCAGCGGAGCATCAGCAGCTCTCTGTCATCGCATCCCGGCGCGATATACATACCTTCGTTTCTCCTTCCCGCATTCCAAGCGCAATTCTCCACGACGACTAAATCGCAATCTCGAATCGGCTCTGCTCCGATCTCTGTTCCTCCAGAGGTTCAAATAACTATCAAGCCACCGCCTCCCGCTCCTACCAACCAGAACGCGCGTGTGAAAGCTGTAAATGGGTTGATACACCTGAAGGGACCCTTGGGCGAAGCTCAGATGGAGTACCCGAGTTTCATCAACGTTATGAAAGACCCTGCAAGGAGTGAAATTAATGTGTCCATCGAGGATAGGACTGTCAGGAAACATCGCGAGATGTGGGGTCAGTATGTCTCCCTTCTGTCCGAACGACCTTAGTTTCTGATTGTACAAATAGGTACGACTAGAAGCTACATACACAGTCACGTTCTCGGTATATCAGAAGGGCACACTTGTATCCTCCGATTCGTGGGTGTCGGATATCGCGCAAGTGTTGACGACAAAGCAACAACTCTCAAGCCAGAATATGACGGTCAGAAGTTCGTGAGCTTAAAAGTCGGATACTCACATCCGATCGAGTTGGCAGTACCTCGCGGTGTCAAGGCAAGCTCCCCGCAGCCAACCAGACTCCTTCTAGAGGGTCCAGACAAGCATGTGCTCACTCAATTTGCGGCGAACATCAGGAAATGGAGAGTTCCGGAGCCGTATAAAGGCAAGGGCATATTCGTTAACAACGAAGTAGTCAGGATGAAGAATAAGAAAATTAAGTAGTTTGTGTCTATCGGATGGCACCGACACCTCTACAGTTCAATGTACATATACATCTTGCTGTACGTTCTGAACCGCATATCTTTTTTAAACGCCAAGCACTTCCTTGACAACAGATAACACTGCATCGTGTACGCCTTTAGGACCTGCCACTACCCCTTTGTTGTCGCGAAGAGTGCGTCCAATACTGAAGTCCAGCCTCTTTCCATGGATGTCAGTGACGACACCGCCAGCTTCTCTGACAATTACATCTCCCGCTGCATGGTCCCAAATCTTCTCTTGATAGTCCTTCCTGACTGGTAGACGCAAATACAGATCACCTGCACCGCGCGCGATTGAGCCATACTTTGACTGCGAGTCCATGCGTACACCGGGCTTCGTAATACCAAGCTTCTTTGCGATCGCTGCATTCTCTCCGTGCGATGAGTGGGCAGCTTCTACACTCTCGCAGAACGTTGCCTGCGATACGTCCGTCAAATTCTTCATGGCAATTGATTTCCCTGGCTGAAGACCTGCCGTGCCAAGAGGTCTGCTCGTCGCACCTTGTCCCAAGACCGCACTGAAAAGTACTCCCTTGCCGGCCTCATCGTTTGCGTTTTCACCAATCTTGACGTCCAACGGCGCAGAATCGTCTATAGGAAGATTGGGACATCCCAGGACGCCGACCTTGACATCACCGTCCACCATCAGTGCGAGACACACTGCATACTGTCCGCCGCGCAAGAAGCCTTTTGTGCCATCGATCGGGTCGAGCGCCCATATTCTCCCCCTACCACCGCCTTCATCTTTTCCATAATCAATAGCGTCGAGCATCTCGCTTTCGCTTGTCAAAGGTCCTCCGAGTAGCTTCTCTGCCTCCGCATCTTCAAGTTTGGTATTCTGCACGACCTCCCAGATCTGCTGCCTTAGCTCGTCATTCTTTCTCAGTGTATCGGAATCTTCTTCACCGACAACCTTGTCCTCCGGGAAGTTTTTGCGAATGGCGTGTATAATGAGTGCCTGAGCTCCGAAGTCGCCAATGGTGACGGGAGACTTGTCGTCTTTGGAAACAGCGCCCTTCGCTGTCTGATGGAAGACCCGCTTCGTGGCAATTGAAGCACGTTGTACGGCTAATTGAGCCACCAGCAGTTCCTTTTCGTAGACCATGTCTGTTGTATGAAGCGAAGCTGAGGAGAATGCGTTGGGGGGCTTAAGATGTTGAGAGAAGAGAAAGAGGCGAGAAGGGAATCTTCTGAGGGTATTCAAGGCCAGGATGACGATTAGAAACAGAAGAGAGGACTTGAGTATGGATGAGGATCGAGGTGAATTAGGTTGATGTGCACGTAAAGTTGTTCTGTTTGGCATGACCACGAGTAGCAGTCACATCCATCGCAGCCTGAGTTCGTTTGTTTCCACCCCACTTCTTTCGTCAGAGGGGTTAAGTTTTGGTGCTACTGTACTGTAATAACCTATCTGGATCTGGTACCTCACAGGTCTGTGGAGCTAACGGGATCCATACCGAAGTAGGCCGAAATATCAATGCATGCTGACATATACTCAATGTGATGAATATATCCCAAATGCTACAAATATCCCAATCGTCTAACGCGTTCTCCGTAACCTACACATCCCACACAACAAATATGGTTGCGCTTAATACCACAAAGCGGAAGTTCGCAAAACTCTTGGACAATTTGACTTCGTCGTCTCACGAGTCGACCACCTCCTCATCTGAACGCAATGTGTTATCAGCAACCTCTGTAATGCGTACCGAGCCTCCAACAAAGCGCTCTCGTTTATCGGATGTAGCAGCAGCAAACACTCATGACCTACCTTCTACGCCAAGCAGTGTCTCCTCTAGAGCATCGTTGACCCGAACCCAACTGTACACTTTGAGGACCCAGGAAAGGCAACAGAATACCCCGAGTAGCATCAAGTTGATCAAGGCGGGAGCGGCAGCACAGGTCAGCCCAGGCGCCGCGCGAAAGCCACCGTACTACGCGCCATGGAGCCAAGAACAATTTCTCGCGCGCCTCAAAACCTTTGCGGATGTCAAGCTTTGGACTTCAAAACCAGACCGGATCAGTGAGATGGAGTGGGCAAAGAGAGGATGGATTCTGGATGGCTGGAACACGGTGGCATGTAGAGGCGGCTGTGAGCAACGCTTATCAATACGACTCAGACTTAAGAGGAAAGATTCGGAGGGAAGAGAGATTGATCAGACGGAAGACGAGCTACTAGATGTCGAAGATGAGCTAGTGGATAGGTATGAGGAGTTACTTGTCACAGCACATACAGAGACATGTTTGTGGAGAAAATCTGGTTGCAAAGGTAAGCTCTCTCAATTGGAGTACACATAACCTGCTGATTCAAACTAGGTGACATATATCACATTCCCCTCGCTCGACGTGGAATTTGCGAACAAGCTCTCAAACTTCGCTACAACTCGCTCTTGACCATCGCAGCCTCGCTTCCTCCACTTGATAGCCTCTGCCTCCCCACCGATGATTTACCCGCCGTACTGATCGACATCTTACCGCAGTCTTTTTTCACAACTATCGACAAGAGCGACACCAGCGAGCCTCCGTCGCCGACACCTAACCTACCCGCCCTTACCCTCGCCCTCCATGGCTGGACAGGTACAACCCAAGAAACTCTTCCTCTCCTTCTCTGCGATCATTGCTTCCAGCGCGTCGGCCTTTGGATGTACACCACCGAACGTATGCAAGAGATGAGCAAGTCACTGGATATACCACTTTCGCACCTGCGGTTGAAAGTCGCCGAGACTCACCGCGAGCACTGCCCTTGGCGGAGTGGAACAACACAACACAATCCATCCGTTGGTCAACTTGCCGGACTCAGTGCTTGGGAGACAGTGCTAAGCACATTGAAGCGCACCACCAGATCTGGCGATAGGAGAAGCAGCGTAGAGAGCAGGCCTCAAACCCCTATTGGGAAAGGCATATCTGGTGATGGACCTGATGGCGAGGATAATGAGGTACTTGAGGAAGTTTACTTGACAACCGCAGAACTTGAAAAGCTAGATCGCGAGCGGACAAACAAATGGCAGAAACTACGGGCACGCATGAGTTTTCGTCGACGCAAGAGTCTGAGCGGGAGAGATGTTGGCGGAAAGAGTACCGGGACGCCAAGTATGAAAAGTAGGCCAGAGACGCCGGCACCGACGAGCACGCAAGTGGATGGCAGGAATAGTGTTCCTGGAACTCCGACGCCTGCGTGAGAATGATGATTGCCCAAGTGGAGAATCCATGATTTGAGGGATAGGGGGTAAGACGGTAATATAAAGCCTCTAGTTCATTTAAGTTGGAGGCAGAATACTGAAACTATGACCTCAGGTCTGAAGCCCGATAGACTGGCAGAAGCGTGCATGTAATAGCATATCGGTGCAACGATAGCTTGGTTAGCCGAAGGTCTTATGTCACTCTTTCACTGCCAGCTCATTGGCTGTATCTTTGCTCCAAGTGAAGTGACGGTTGTTCCTTTTGGTTTAACAAAAGTTGAACCAGCCTTTGCTAGAGATGAGGACAATTATCAAACTGAGCAAGCCTATACACTGTGTTTTTTCCATATTGTTTTCCGCAGTGTCATCCGTTTTCCGCCATTTCACTTGTCAAAACACTGTTTAGCTCCCTTATTTGCCAAGGCTAAAATCTTCACAAGGCTTCAAAGCTACAGAGTCTGCAGCACACACCCCGATATTTGTGCACAGGGAACTACAGACAACATGTTCGGTGCAAAGTTTACGACAGGGCCGGTAGGCCAAACCAGGTTGCTATTGCACATTCATTTGCAAACATTTCAGTCAAGCTCATGTTTTTAGGTTGATCTCTGATGATTCAAAAGACTCCCAAACGCCCGGTTTCAGTTCGACGTTCAACCTAGCAGACTTTAACTTCAGCCCACAGGTTCCGAGTGATACGAGCGCAGACATGCCGAAGAAAAACAAGAATTCGCAATTCTCTAACGCGTCTCAAGGACCTGAAATGAAGAAACATGAGCTGAACTCAACCGAGAGAGAGGGACGCGGGCTCAAAGGTTCAGTTGAAGATGGTCTGAAAGATCTGACCAACTCAGTGTCGGACATCAAGTTGACAGTTGAGAAACCATCTAGCAAAACCGAAGGTGACCTTCTCGTGTCAGCACGCGCTTTCATCAACCGCAGTGTCGGGGCTGCTAGCTTCAATGGTAGAGCACAACAGATCCGCATGACACCTCTGCTCACTTGGGACGGTAAGCTTGCACAAGAGAAGCATACTGGCTTCTACACCTTCGACCAAATCTCACTCCTAGGCTACAAAACAAGAGACTGTTTGCCGTCTCCAGCCGGAAACTCTAATGACCCAACAGAAGAAGAGCTCATTGAGCCAATCTTTCTCAACACCGAGACTCCATGGTCTGCATTCATCTGTGGTTCCCAAGGCAGCGGCAAATCTCACGCGCTCTCCGTGCTTCTTGAGAATTGCCTCTACGAAGATCGCAGTATCGGCCGCCTTCCCAGGCCCCTTTCCGCCGTCGTCTTCCATTACGACAACCAGTCCAGAGGCAGCGTTTGTGAAGCAGCGTATCTCGCGTCTTTAGGTATACCAGTTCGAGTGCTTGCCAGCGAGACTAATTATGCGACCCTGAAGGCTGCCTATGGGAAAATTCCGGGCGCAAAGGCAAACCTCACCGTGCAGGAATTCGTCCTTAGACCAGAGGACCTGAATACAGCCCGACTGCAGACACTGATGGCGTTTGGCGAAAAGAATGGACACCTGCCGCTGTATATGACTGTACGTATGCGATGCTTCTCCTCCCACCCCAGCCAGTGGTCGTTGCCTCAATGCCCACATTCATTGCTAACCCACGCATTCCAGAAAGTCAACCAAGTCCTCCGTGTCATGGCCCGCGTGCACAAGGACGGCGGCATGCTCACCCTCCTCCGCTACCAGAAGTTCAAACGCGACCTCGCTGCACTCGACCTCTCAGACACCCAGCGCGGGCCCCTCGACCTCCGCGTCTCCTTGCTTGAAGACTACATGAAGCTCAACCCTCCAAAAAACAGCGGCGGCCCCTACCTGCCCCTCTTCACCGCGCGCCCGGGCGAATTGACCATCGTCGACCTCAGCACGCCCCTCCTCGACCAAGCCGCAGCATGCTCGCTCTTCAACATCTGCCTCGAGCTCTTCCTAGAAGCCGACAACGGCGTAGCAAAGATCGTCGGCCTGGACGAAGCGCACAAGTACATGGGCCCGACCGACGCCAGCGCCGTGTTTACAAACACCCTCTTGCACGCCGTGCGTCTGCAGCGGCATGCGGGCGTGCGCATGGTCATCAGCACGCAGGAGCCTACCGTGTCGCCGAAGCTGCTGGATCTCTGTAGTATGACTTTTGTGCATCGCTTCAGTAGTCCGGATTGGTTTGGTGTCTTGTCTGGGCATATCGCTGGGCTGGCTAAGAAGCCGGGCGAGGAAGGGGCTAGAGATGGGAGGGATCTGTTCCAGGAGATTGTAGAGTTGAAAGTAGGAGAGAGCTACTTGTTTGCGCCGACTGCGGTGTTGGATGTATGCGATGGAAATGCTATTGCACTGGGTGCGAAAGGGGTGAGGATTAAAACAAGGATGAGGCTGAGCGCAGATGGCGGCGTTAGTCGGTTGGCTGGAGAATAAGAGCGAGCGTGACGCGTACGATCAGACAAAAATGACCGTGTATCATGTTGGTTACAGAGAGAGAGAGAGGGCTTTGGAATCACAGCTCGTGAAAGCGCACGTGTACTGCTGAGGCAGAAAAGTGATAGAACGAATACGTTCACAAGGAACAGAAAATCAAATGAGAGGCACATTCAATGCCATTTCTATTTGACACGCGGAAGTGTGGTGGCAAATGGCCGATATGGCATACTTTGCTTCGTCTGTATGAGCTCTTACGAACGATTTCTAAACGGTCAAATCAGGGCATATACAACAGATCCTCGGTGAGTGCCTGCTTTGTATAGTTTGTAATGGTCACCATGTCAGAACACTCTGGTTGCTTTGGACGGCTCCATGACACACGTTACAACACCCAAAGCGCGACGCGTACTATCATTCCCTCCCTTTTCGTAGATTCCGGACCTATACATACCAACTCTTGGAAAGCCGAGTACCCACGATGCGTACAATTCTACATTTCACACAGTGCCCGTCAGGTGTAAATTCTCAATTGCACTAGTCCACGCGCTCGCTCGCTCGCGTGGTCAAACTCGATTAAGTACAGTAGAGGGGTATCAGATAACTAGAGATGCCGCGCCGTACTAAGATCAACGTTGAGGCAAGTTTGATATGACTTGAGTGAAAGGAGACACTAAACATAAGAGCTGGGAGACACGCAAATGTCCATGATCTGAGTGAGGCCCTTGGCTGGATCCTTACACAGTGTAAAAGAGCGAGTGGGAACCTATGCTGACAAAGCTTAGACACGTCATGACTGCTATATCAGTATGAGAGGCCAAGGAACGCAAGATTTGAAGTCATGTTGCAAATTAATTCTGTCCCAGATAAGTGAAAAGTCATCTATGCAGCCGGGGTGGCTTCAGGCTTCTTATCCTCGACGACTGGTGCTGTAGCTGCCGGGACATCTGGCTCAGCGGGAGCAGCAGGGGTAGCAGGAGCGGCATTGGACAGAATAGGATTGTCGTCCAAAGGCCCTGAGGTCGCGGACATGCCTTCCGGGGTAGCCTTCGGAGCTTCAGTAGCTTCAGTAGGCTTAGTATCGACTGAAGCAGGTGAGGTGACCTTCTCCTCAACAGCACCCCCAGGGGTGCTGGCTGTTGGAGCAGTGTGAGCAGCAGTTGAGGGTGTGACTTCGGCGACCGCAGGAGCAGGAGCTATCATCCTGTTAGCTTCATTGTGAGTTGGCGCTGAACGACGTTGGGCGATCAGTATAGCGGAATTATTCGTGGTGGAATGAATGATTTTGTACGCTTAAAGGGCCTGCCTCGGGGTACAGCTCAAAGCATGGCTTTGAGTAGATAGAAGCCAACTCATTCCCAACGGTCCATATGTTTGGGATCAATGTGAATCGAGAGGTCGCATCATGACTTACTCGCAGTGGTAGTGTCGGCGGTCTTGGCAGACACAGGAGTCTCTTCGGCCTGGGGAGCAGCTGGGACAGCTCCCTCAGCTGGCTTCTCCGGAGCAGGAGTTGGTGTTGCAGTAGTTTCTGGCTTAGGAGGAGCTGGTGTGGTCTCGGTGGGCTTGGCCTCAGTCTGAGTAGGTGCGGTTGTTACGGGGGTCTCCTCTTGTGCCTTCTTGTCCTTCTTCTTGCGAGAGAAGATGCTCTTAAGAGTCTTCTTGACCAAATTGATCGCGTCCGGGGCTGGAGCGCATTAGTATGTTTCAAGCATTTTGTGAAGCGGTATGTATAAGCTTTCATGCAGCTTGATGCAGGAGTCGTTGATGCATGGCTTCCTTTGGAGTATCGAGCAGAGGGACTTACGAACACCAGGCATATTGGCGGATGTACGGAAGTAAGCTTTTCTGATGAATCCTCAGCTGAGCGCTGCGCTGCGAAGTTTGTGTTCGTTGCTGTTGGACAGGTAGTCAAGGGGTGACGAAGAGTGGCGTTGGTCAGCTCAAGTAAGAGGCCATGCAGAGATGATGAGGAGTGGAAGGAGAGTGCGTAGGCGCGAGGACAACAAGCAAGTGAAAGGGAGAGTGTATGTGGTGGTGAGAAGCTCAAAGGAAATGAACTGGGGATTCGAGCGCACAGACAGGGAGGCACAAGGCCAAGGGACAAGGGTGGAAGGGTGGAACTTTGGGCACCTGCGCCCACGTAAAAAGGCTGGCTCAGTCGCTGATTTGGTCATTACGCTTGGGGGCTTGCGGGGCTTCCAACGCTATCAACGGGCCCTATATTTGGCATGGCATGGGTCGCATAGGTAACATTGTTACATATTCACACCACACACAGCTGTTCCAGTTTCATCGTCTCAAACATCCAGCAGTATAGCACACGTATCTAACACGTCTGATCGTGAAGAGATTGTTTATCCAACTGTTGACGCCGACACCCATGCTCGTCGCGCATTTCGCACTGCCACGATCGCATGTCACGCATGCTTCTATCCATTGGGCTAAGCATCGTATGCCTACCCAGGGCTAGGTACCTCAAACGCCTATTTTGTCACGAAACAGTAGCGCCGGATCACAACATCGAGTTGGGAAGATGTCTATTGAGACGGCTCTTGGTCAAGTTGTCTTCCGTCACTACAGATCATAGCTGTTCTATTTTCTTATGGGCGTCTATTGACGCAAGCCATGGTGCAATTTATTCATCCAGAAGGTGGTTGTCGGGCCCAGGGAGCTTGTGTTGGCGGCAAGCGTGCGCTGGAGAACTCGCTGGATGCCGCTCCCGCTCCGCCGCGACGGGCCCACGGTGCTGCTGTAGAATCTCCTTGTGGGGTGACTGGGGTTGGCGCCGTCTGGGAGCTTGCCCTTGCCCATGGTGCTGCTGTTGGGGGTGGTGCACGACTCACTATCGAAGCCGTTGGCAGTGTGGTGGCATTTGTCCTAGCTGTATAAGATGACGATACAGGTACTGCTCTATCACAGCCGGCCATGCTTGTTGTTTGATAGCCATTTCTGTTTGGTTGGTTGGATGTGTGAGCTGTTTGCTGTGCTGTGACTGCTTCTGGGTCTCTCTGCCATTCGTAGATGGACCCAAACGGGAAGTGTTGGACAACAGGAAACTTTGACAGCACTTCTGCATTATACATCTTCATCATACCCTAGATGCTTATGCGTAAGCCACGGTCCGGCAAGCACAAGGATAATCACTCACTTTATTAATCTTCGCCCATCCAGCTTTAACGCCTGATATGTCGAACAGAATTGGGCTGTGTTCCCAGAAAGGACCCTTCTTTACGTCGTAGATGAAACCAATGGCACTAAAGTACATATTGGTCTTCCTCTCACGTTGAACAGCGTCAGCCTTTGCTACGTCTGCTGGATTAGGTGCGCCATCGACAGATCCTTCGTCAGTGATATCAGCCGGAGATCTGATGGGTGGTGACAATTGTGCTGAGCCGAATATATATGGCAGAAATGAGTGATCGTCTAGTCCCCATACACCGTGAGATCCGGCAGGTTCCAACGTGTACGTCAAAATCAGCCGGCGGACGAGACGAAGATATCTGCGGTAAGTTGAGTAAGTTGACCTCGTGATCGAAGGCTTCGCTCACGGTTCTACGACACCTAGGACAATTCCTCGCTCTTCTTCTTCATGCTCGGTAACGTTGAACCCACCTAACTTCCATATGCCACCTAGAAATGCCAGGAAGCTCAACTCATGGCCAGAGCCGTAGTCAAGCCTTTGAGCACTTCCAAAGCTGCCATAAAGATAGGCTTCCAATTCATCTTTGGAGGTTACCTCACCAGACGATTGATTCCCAAAGTTTAGTACCTGGGTTGGCAAGTATTCTTCCATCATGTGTGGAAGCCTTTTCTTGACAATTTCATACCACTTCCTGAAGCTCACATTACCGAACCTACGCGGCCCTGTGTCTGGAGGCACCTCATCGATGATCTTGCTCAGCTCTTCCATCAGGTTACCAAGCTTTTTCACAGCTGACGAATACGTGACATGTTTGCTCGAGAGCTCGTAAGTCGTGACTCCCGAATGGCATTCTTGGTCGTTTGGCGCCAATCTCGGGAATATGGAAGCATTCAGCTGGAAAATGAAGCTCCATATGTCTCGATAGGCCATCGAAGATAGAAAGAATGAGACATCAGCACCATCATTGATCTGCTTTTTGGGAATGGTGAATTCACATTTCGTAACCGCATCCCATACAGGCAGGCTGCATTGGTTTATTCTAACCTCTGACATGGTACGTTGGCGGAACGTACCGGCGATGCACTTGGTCTGTTGGCAATTCTCAAAGGATGGCACGTGTTTGCGCAGAAAAGGCTTAGTAGAGCTACGCGTGTTGGTACCGCATCCGATACGCAACCAAACGTAGCTGCAGGTGGAGTGGGACAACCCATATGATTACCTGTCCGGCAGAACAAACGCCGAATTTAAAGGAACTCGCGGTGCATCTGAAGCCTTGCGCTTTGCACAATGTCGAGACGGCGATCAGGCCGCCACAATGGAAGCGCTGGCCATCGGTATGAGTCGCATGATGCACAAGAAGAGCAACAGATGCTTGTGAGCAAGCAACTGGAGGAAGGTAAACCACTCTCCAGATTGTGACAGTCGGCAATCATTCTAACCTACCTTATAGAATCTTTCGTTCCGGAATCCTCACTGGCGCGACCTGAAGACGCTCAAGCAGCTGCGGATATTAACGCCGCTATCATTCAAGCAAGCCCACAAACAAAACCACACCCACAACAGTCCGCGCAATATACAAACAAGGGAGGTAAACTCGGGAAACAGCTAGCAGTCACGACGTCGTCCCTACGACCAGTCGTTATCATAAGAAAATCTTTGAATGCAGCCTCCTCAAAAGAGCGACAGAGCATTGAAGAGACTCAAAGTGCTACATCAAACGAGAAGCCTGGCACGAAAAGAAAGAGGGGAAGGCCAAAGACAAGTACAATCAAAAGTACTCAGGCAAAGAGTCCTGTTCTCGGGCTCAGACGCTCATCTAGGATCACTGGAGGTAACACTGGATCTACTTCTGAAGCCACGAGAGCCCAAGAAAGAGCAAGCATTATCTCAAATGCTACAGCAGATCAGGTAGACAGTAATCCATCATTCGCAACTGCGGACAGTACAAGAACAACCCGGCAGAAGGCTTCGGTGGAAGCAAACATAGCTGTCGATTCGAGCACTGAGGCCAGCCCAACGCAGACACGCAGAGTAGCCGAACAACAAATAGAGGAACCCCAAACAGAGGAACCTCGAATGGAAGAACCTCAAATGGAAGAACCTCAAATGGAGGAATCCCAAATGGAGGAATCTCAAATGGAGGAATCTCAAATGGAACATCCACATGATCCAGATTTCTTCTACGGACTAGATTCTGACTTTAAGCGCGTGTTCGACTCTGCGCGACATGTTGGTGTTCAAATTCATCGTGGCAAAACTGTCTCGCACGTCTTCGATAACTGTAAGACCAAGACAAGCAAGCAATTCGTCGAGCTTTGCATCGAGGTCATCAACAAGTTTAAGAAAAGTAACCTTGATGACGTCAAGTATGCGCAGAGTCTATTTGGCAAAGTTAAGAGTGGATTAAATACCCTTCTCCATAGCGGCAAGGACAACGAGAACAGCAGGGGTGACCAAAACAGCGAGGACGATGAGAATAGCGAGGAAGAGGAGAACAGCGAGGTGGATGAGGACGACAAGGACTACAAAAAGTACTTGGTGCAAGACGCATATACCATGGTCATCCCTAAGCTCAGTGAGCTCCTCAAGGCAGTGTACACTGCGTACGGAAATGAGGTACTCGCATCTCGTGACAATTCCATCGCTATGTCTTTCAAACAATCCGATTTCATACGTGGGATTGCCGAGACGATCATCAATTTCGAGGCTCAGATTCGCGCCTGGGGCATACAACCCGCCACCGACCTACCTATCAAGCGACCGATCAAGACCCACGCAATCGCCCCGCTAAAGGAAATCTGCAGAACCCTAAACAGGGCGCTCCACAGAGAAAGAGAGTCCCGCAAATTGGCTGCCGACCAAGCTCGTATTAAGGCGGACTTAGAAGCCCGTGCAATCGACGATGAGTGCGAGCTTGCCGAATCGCGCAGTCGGTATGAGCGATATAAATTTTGGTCTGCGCTCAACCAGCTGCGCCTCGACGTAGAGAAGAACCCACGGCGCAGACCATTCCTGTGCGTCAGCGCGGTGCCGAGTAATGACAATATCGGCCTCGATGCCAACGGGGACCCGTTCGAGCGCATAGGGGTGTTTGGCGAGCGTACGACGGCGCGACCGCTGCTGGAAGCGGTGGAGATGAGGAATGGGAGCTGGAGCGAGGAACAGCTGGATGCGCTGCTGTGGAGCTTGGAACACGAGAGTAGCGAGGAGCCATTACTGTTATTCAAATGTATTTTTGCGAGGTGGTGTGGGGCCGGGGGTGTATTGCAAGACTTTAATTGTGAGGAGATTTATGGTATGGCGAAATATATGAAGGCCTTGTTGATGGAGGAAGAGGCGATGGATGGGTTAGAGGAGAGAGATTGGGTGAGGAGAATCCCGAGTAGGTGTTAGCGGCTGGACATTCCGTGTGTGAGTTTGATATGATACCCAATATTGTTCGTTGCATATAGTCATGTCCATGATATGAATGATACATCTACGCCTTTTCGAAATAGTAACGAAACTCGTATGTCTTCAAACACCAACGTAGCTTGCAGACAAATGAAAGCAGAGAGAACCATCGAGTGTCACGAATCATATTTTCCCTCATTCTGCACCTTCTCAAAGACTTCTTCTGTATGCTTCCACACCTCCTCACTTATCCCAGATCCCTCTTGCTCTTGGAGCACAGTCTCGTTCGCACTTGGTTCATTACTCCAACCAATTAGGTGCGCCTTGCCATCCGCCTTGAATGCTGCATTTGTGGCGGCATACAAGTGTCTATCCCCACTATCTCGCAGGCTGACAATCATCGGAAGAGGCAGGCGAGTAACCAGATTCATGCCCAGTCGCATTAAGGGGTTCATGTCACGTGCAATATTCGTCCTCACACCTCCGGGCGCAGAGTGGATAAAACTCGTCGTTGGGTACTGTCGAGCGAGACGGCGGAGAGAGAGTGATGTCATGGTGGTCGCGTGGTCGGCGCATGCCTTCAGCGTGTAGGCGTTTTTGAGCTGGAGATCGGCCATGTTGAGGGATGTTTCGAGGCCGGCGGCGAGCACGGAGATGACACGAGAGAGTTTCTGTGGCTCTGGGGCACTCTGAAGTAGCGGTAACAGATTCGTGACGAACCGCAGGCGGGCGTAGTAGTGCAGGGCGAATTTTGCGTCCAGACCTTCGGCGGTCTCGGTGCGGCCGCGCATGGTAAGGAGACCGGGGCTGAGGAAGAGGAGGTTCAGGTGTGACTCTTGCGACGTAACCTCGGCGCAGGCGGCGTCGACGTTTTTGAGAAGTGATACGTCGGCCTGAATGAAGTTTACGGTGGCTTTGGTATTGATGGTCTTGAATTCGGAGATCAGATTCGTGCCCTGGGTCTGGTTTCGGCCGATTAGGTAGACTCGCGGAGAGTCTGTCTGGCGAACGAATTCACGAGCCGTGGTTTCGCCTATTCCAGACGTACCGCCAACTTGATGTGGTGAGTTTGGGAGAGCGGGTACGGTAGGTTAATTGAGTGCATACCGAAGACAGCAACAAGGCCAGGACCCAAGCTCTTCAACTCGGCATTAGCAGCCCTAATTGCCTTGATATGCACCATTGTAAATAACTACGCAGATTAGCCGTATTACAGGCCTACAATGCTATGATCACAACAGGTAGAAGTCGAAGTTGAAGCTAGGAAGTGATTGTATATTTATCAAAGGTGATGTCCCTCTTGGCGCTGACGCGATGACTACGTACGGACGAAGAACTTCGGAGCTATGATATCGACAACCCGACATTGACGTCCTTGTGAAAGATGGCCGACTTGCGTGCTTGAGTGATGATGTGTTAAACTCGGTAATTTGGACTTACTACTATGCAAATACGATACTGAAGAGAAGGATGAGCAGCAGGATTGACGTCTTATAGTCTATAACCCCATAGTACCTAGGTAGATAGGTACTAGTAGTAAGTACTAGTGTTAGACAGGTAGATGCTGACTAAGTGGACGACTTCCCGAGTCAAGCCTTTGAGCCATGTCCACCTACGCAGCTCCAGGAGTCATGCCCCGTGTCGAGCGTCAACCATCGACGTCTTTATAGATTACTGCATTCGGCGCTTCTCGTCCATCCGTGACTCCATCTCTCGGCTTCTCACCGCTCTTCATCGTGATCGATTTAAGACGGTGGATACGAAAAACATTTCATGTCTAGCCCCGCAGGGTTCACGATCCTACAGAGAAAGAGTAGACTGGGTAGTAGCCGTGGCCCCTAACCCTTTGCATTCGCGCCTGCAGTCAGCTTCTACCAATCGCTGCAAACCAACATCCGGAGCACGGCCTAAGCCTTACGCCGCTCTGGCCTTGTCCGGACTTCACTTCGTATCTCGTCTTCATGGCATGACGGGACTGTTGATCGGAAACCCAGCACAGACAGCCGACGGACGCTTATGCCGGTATTGCATCGAACCCCAGCACGCGACACGTCCGGCTGCGAGATAGAGTGCGCTGGCGCTACGCTTGTGGCTTTGGCCTGCTGACATCATAGGTCGTGGTACTTCGGATGAGTGAAAGCCAGTATGTCCCCGGAAAGCAATCCTAACGCGAATTCTGGGGTGGATTCCAATGGCAAGAAGTATGTGAGGAGAAATCATAGGAAGAGTAGGGCCGGATGCCAGAACTGCAAACGGCGACGTGTCAAAGTAAGTCGCTGGTTTCTTTTGCAATTTCCGTGTGTTGTGTTTATTGCTTGTTGTTTCTCTTGACCATGCTTGGAGCCATGGTAGCCTCAAGCATGCACAGATTCAGAGACAACGAAACAGACATACAGAAACAACGTAGACTCTCATTCCCCAATTTGGACATGGACAGTCTCGATTTCTCGATTTTCGCATTCCGTATTCAAGGGCCATGTCATTTCGGACAAGTGCCGGTGCTGATTGGCCTCCTAGTGTGACGAAGAGAAGCCTGCATGCTCGAATTGCATCCGATTCTCTATCAAGTGCGACTACAACCCTCTCCCGAAGAACAGCCTCTCTCCAAATGACATCGTCTCCTCGTCTCCATCTCCGAATGACCTCAATGACACTGTCATTCCCCGCCGCCGTGGACGTCCTCGCAAGAACTGGGAGTCTATTTCTGCCGCCGCCAATGCCAAAGCCGCACAGGATAGCAATAACGATAACCTGAGCACCATCTCCGAAGACCCCAAGGATAGTAGACTGTCCCTCGCAAGTGTCCACCAGCATCTGAATGTGGAGGATCTAGAGCTACTATGGCACTACATCATGAACACCTCTGCAACGCTCGCCGGCGACACCCTGGGACATCACTTTTATCAGACACAGGCTATGCAAGTGGCCTTCCGATTCAGCTTTGCCCTTCACTTCCCACTCGCTCTAGCCGCATTGCACATCGCTCGTTTCGACAAGTCCCGTGCAGAACATTATTCCTATGTCGCCCAGCGACACTACACAACTGGCATTGAAGAGCTCACGCGTGTTTTGCCTTCGGTAAATAGCGAGAACTGCCAAGGCCTATACGTCGCTTCTGTTCTCGTCAGCATCTACACCTTCGCCATGCAGCCGCGGCCTGGCGACTTCCTAATCTTCAACGACGTTGGTGGTCTCTCTCTCTGGCTCCCCTTGCTCCGAGGTGTGCGTAGCATCATAACAACTGCCGGCTCCCAGGCCATTTTCTCTGGCGTGCTGGCACCTGTGACGAACAACGTGCCTGGAAGCCCTGCTGGGACACGACTGGCTATGAAGCGGCCGCGTAGCATTATGCCCTGGCGCACGCAAATTGCAGAGCTAGGCACGTACATCGAGTCTTCGACAGACCCAGTTTTAACGCCTACACGCCGCGCCCTCTTTGGTCGGGCGTTAGAGGGTATGCAGCCGTCGTTTGCGTCGTGTTATGCAGATAGTGCAGCAGAGCTTGCATCACCAGCACCGAATGAAAGTGCGACGGTCATGATCTGGTTCTATCACATGGACCCGGACTTCGTGGCGTGTCTACAGGATAAGGAGCCACTGGCCCTGATCATACTTTCATACTTTACCGTGTTGATGAAGACAATGGAGGATCGCTGGTTTATGCGTGGGTGGGTGGAACATATCTTGAGTGGAATCAAGAAGAGCGTTGATGCAAGGTATTCCGGATGGCTGAGGTGGCCGATGGAGGTGGCGGGAGTAGGCGAAGGAAGAATGGATATCAGTTATGTCACGGCGTCAAGCTAGGAAGTTTCTGCAACTAGGGAGTTGGGCGTTTGTGTGTCTTAATTGGACGCAGCAGTCTAGGTTGGAGCGAAGACCTGGACGTTCATGCACAGCAAGATTTTGAATTGTACCATCAGTAGTGCAAAGGTAAACAGGCGCGACCATACGCATCATTGATACTGTCATTATCATCGTAATTACCCCTTCTCTACCAAAATCACATATCTCAACATATGCTTCTTAGAGCTCCATCGCTCTAGCCATTATCGACTCCAAATACAAAATCTCCCTCTTGCCTCAGAAATACAAGATCTCTCACCGTATGTCAATGAAGAGATTATACTTTGTCATCCCCGCCCTACTCACTCCGTGACGGTCGACCCAGTAGCCTCCAGAACCTACACACGTATAACGTCAGCGACTAAATAGGATTATATTTATTGTATAATCTAACATAACATCAGTTTAGTATGAAGTATATAGAAGGTATTGAAAAATTCTAGCTAGCATCGGGTTTTGATCTATCAATATCTTTCTAAAATTATACTATAACACTAGAGAGTTTTACCTGAGTTTCAGCGAAGCAACCTGGAACTGACGGATTGACGCACGAGCACGGCCCTGATCTACATCGACGTTTGCACACCAGGATCTTCCTGGTGATGTTCCTTGTCCTTTGTTTCTCAACGAGCAATGATCCCCGAGGGCGATCTGGTTGCGTCTGAGTTGATTATCAATTTGCTATGATAAAATCAATCATCCGATCATTACTCAAGACTCCTGTTCCCTGCCTGAGAAGACGACATAAGGCTTGTGGATCGTGCATGCTTGCTCTCTTGACCGCTTTTACGGCTCTTCTGTACCAACGTCGATGTTGCCCTGGATGAAGAGTTGTTTTCAGCTAAGCAGCAGACAGAATGATGACTTGTCCTATGGCCAGTGCTGGAATCGTCTACACGAGCATGTTTAAGGTAAAAGTCTCAAAATCGGTTTTTATCATGTGGATGCTGTTCTGTCGCGACCGATTGCGGTCAGATTCTTTGACAATGAATTAAGAGACGTCTTCGTCCATAGCATCAAAGCTCGGGAGCTGAAAAATGCAGGAGAAAGCGCTAACTGCTTTCGGTTTCGGTTAGCACTTTGATCTAGAACAGACGGACGATGGAACTTCAACCTGCACACACGAGACGTCTGATACAGAATCGAGTAGCAAATACGCAGATCGAGACGATGAACAGGTCGAATGACAGAAAAGACAAGGACCCACGAGTGCGAATTACACTTATCATCCAAAGCCAAGCTATGTTTCACGTGCGGTGTGTAGTTCCAAACTAGCTGGCGTAAAATTTTTACATCTGATTAACCCCATGTGGAATTCCCCTTACACCTACAGTGATTTAGCCCTTGTGTCCTCTATGCTGATGAAGGGATGCTCATAGCCGACGTCGCGATGTTGAATGTCGGGAGGATACCGTTGCGTCATCCAAGAGCGCAATGAATCCTGCTTGTGTCCATCTCACTGTCTCACATCTTCTTCGCATACACGACATGTCCCGTTGGACCTGAAGCCGCATACCAATGGAGTCTTTGGGTAGAAATTGCAGGCTTTGTCCATCACTGATCTAACAGCCCCTCTCTTTCATTTTGAGGATGTGGTCGTTGAACCAGAATCGCTTCATATCATTTTCACCAAGATACTTGGCGCCCTGAATGCTCCCAAGGCATTGCACGTCCTTGCACCGACATTGGAATGGCTGATCCATGTTCCATTCGGAACTAGGATAAAAGAATGACAATTCATCCCCTTCTTTGAGCCCTCCTTTGAGGTCCCGAGCAACCCTGATTTCGTTTTTTGCCATGTCGAACTCAACAGTTGGTCTGCAAGAGTGGTTGATGTACTGAAGATCGGAGTTGAGACTGATATGCGATGTCGGGCCGGTCTGGACAGTCAAATAGCTTGGGGTTGCAGGTGTGATGCCTTTAATTGGCGTAAAGAGAGCTCCAGCTGGAAGGGTGACCTTCGATACTGCTCGTGAAGCAAAATCTCCGGGAAGGATTTCGACGCGTAAGATGTGAGATACATCGAATTTGGTGGGTTTCGAGATAGAAGACCCTTGGCTAACAGGTGACGCTGAGCCCTCAGGGGACACAAACTGTGGTGACATGATTGTATAGGTCGATGCGTGCTCGTAACTTTCGAGACGGGTTTGCTAAGGGATCCAACAGACTTTTGTACTCGAGAATCGCAGCCATCACGAGACCTGCGGCTTTTTAACTATCAGTGGCTCCTATTTGTGTGGGTTATCTCTCCGATGACCGAGTTCCAGAGGTCGGTACCAGGACTACACAAGACCAGCTGCCGAGGCTTGACAGGGTATATGGATCCATATTTCGTGGGGTTAGTGAGGAGCCCGCGCTGTTGTTGACGTTAAAGCGCCGCGTAAATAAAAATCAATTAGTACATCCATAGTAACATTAGTTCGCTTGAATTCGGGACGCCGTGTCATGCTTAAGACTGCGCCCCGAGGTCCCGACGCTTGGCCGTCAGCTGTACCGTTGAGTAAGAAGTTTCGACCGTCCCAATTGCTGTTGCCTATGTTTCACTCCGTAAACACCCCAGTCAAACATGGCATATGGCAACAACAGTATGGCATGGCCGCACTTTCAATGTAGGTCACTTACAAGCTTGCAGTGGCCAACAGTGTGTTCAGTCCTGAGTCTTCTAGACAAAGTTCCGTTCTTGTCATAGCTATCGCATTATCTGAAATTCTCCACTACCAAAAATATCACTTCACCAGTACTTAGTCCATTTCAACTTTCGACCGGCTTTTGCTTTCCAAGAGTTGTTACATCACCACATACCAGATGTCCCTCTGTTCGACAATGATTACCCCCGAGCTCGAAGCTCTTGAACAGATCGAATCAAGTTTTGACGACAAACCTGAACTCATTTGGTGCTATGAGATCATCAGTCCAAGCAGATCCTGTATACGAAACGACAGATTCGTCCTAGAACAGTTTCTCACTGACCAACTCTCGCGATGGTTCGACTTAGGCTTTGGTACCGACAACCCTAATCCCCCTCTGCATCGCCCAGACAGCCTTGCTATACAGATTCAGTGGCATGATCGACCCAAGCAACCCACATCTGAATACTTCGTCCCCATGTACTACAACTTGACGAACGAAATCATGACATGGGTCAAGCTAGAGCAGAACAGCAAACAAGCTCAGCAAATCAGGAGCGCGCCTGCTGATCGAGCTAACAAATACAAAAACTGTCCACCCATACTCTTCCAATGTGCACCACACGCATGTCCCTTCTCTTTGATGGCTTGGTATGAAGAGATGGGCTCAGTCGAGACCCAGGAGGATACTTATATCTACAATGCCGAGGATCTACAAGAGGACATGAACCTCGCCTCTTCGCCGGATAGTACTGCGTTTGTCTCGATACCCATAAGATCAAAGTATCGTTAGACATTAATGGTGGACAGGAGACTCTAATACAATCAATACGCCGGACCAGGGCTTCTGAACCCCATTTGTCTCAGACAGTTGCTCCGCATTCCCACCATAAAATATCCGCAGAGGGCGTCTTATCATGCCTACGACATTTGTGCAATGGTCCATTTCCAAACATATCTGGCCTGGTATGTCTACTTGCAAGATACAGGTCACAATCGAGGTCTGGATAGCGACATTACATAGCGTATATTACTGAGAAGAGAATGAATATGTTTTTCTCTGACTTTGTCTTGCAACATGTCGCTATTAGTTCCTGACAAGCCCTCATACTTATGAACCTCTAATTATATCCGTATTTCATGTGTGAGTCAAGAGCTTCCTGGTCTGCAGGAATGAAGCGAACAGTCGGTTTATAACTTCTACCTAGACATCATAGTAACGAGTATATAGATTGGCTCATCTAGTCATGTATTTGAACTATGAGAAATTAAGTACACTCTGGCTGTCTAGACTTTTCGGCTAATCACTGTAGTTGTCTGTTTCAAGTAAAGTCAGTTTGCATGATATAAGATAGAAAAGTGGGTCTAAGACGATGGTGTAATTTCTATAAGTCCCCAGTGTATACATCTCCAAAATTCTTTGTCGCATACATCTTGACATCCTTATTTCTTCCTTCCCAAACCTGTCGATTCACTGAATACGCCTCCGCCTCGGGCTCTGGTATTCGGGGGAAGATTCCCATCTTAAGGATTACCTTGCCGGGATATAGTGGCGAGACAGACTTGATCGGACTACAGTACGATTAATTTCCCAAATTAATTCTAAAGCACACAAGTAGTACTATCGAACTTACTTCCCGCATTGGCCGCAAAACCATCGCTCAAGCTTATTACCACTCAGGGTCTCGCCATCTAGATAGCATTTAAAAATCCCGTTCTTGTCCTCGATCTTCACCTTCTCTTCTTCAATCAGCAGATTGCTCGCAACGTGACTACCCGCGACCTTGCGGCAGTTTGCACAGTGGCACAGGTGCCCACGCTTCTTCCCCACAAACAGTTCCTTGTCCTGTATCGACACGCTTATCGAGCCGCAGAGACACGACCCTGTCAGTTCGTTCTCAAACCTGGAAACGGGGACCTCTGAGGGTGGGGTGTCGAGCTTCTTTGGAGCCATTTATTGCGAAAAGATTCCGGTATATGAGGCTGTGATTGGGTGGTTGTGGTGCGTTTGGTATGCAAGTGTGAGCACCCTGAAGGAGAGTTTACAGGGGCTTACATTCTTATTTTTACTGTTTGCTACTCTGACGTAGTAGCTATAGACATTACTAGGTATGGATGATGCCCCCACATAGCAGAAAGATTGACCTCGGGCGTTGGGAGGGGCAGACATATGACATCATTTCACGCTTTGCGGAAAAGCATGTGTGTTCCTAGGAATATAGAGAGCTCTCTCAATTCACAAGTACGTTATGGTTCTATGGTGTAGTGGTTAGCACATCGGATTCTGATCTCTTTTCCTCTATCTTCCGGGGACCCCGGTTCAATTCCGGGTAGGACCTTCTTTTGCCTCGTTGGGGTGTAGAGCAAGCGGTCAGGGCCATTGCCTGCAATAGATTTTTGGTTTATATAATTATTTAGACAACCTATCAATGCATATTCGAGTCCTAGATTTTGTACCACAAGGGGGACGTCATTTCGTCAGAATCCCCGATCATCCATCCGACAAGGGTTGCATTTATGATCAGGTTGGACTATTCGTTTGGGGACAGATACATGTCGATGCGGCTTCATGTGTTATGTTGTGCGCCTTCGCAATTATTGTATTCCAGGCATGTGCCTAAAGCTGAATAGAATGCTACCATATTCTCTTAGCGACCATAGAATACCTACTGACGCCATTCAATTCGCTCCCATCCCATCCTTTCTCTTCATTTTCTCTCACCCTGGCGTCCCTGTCCCTTAGTTTCTGTAGCCCCTCTTTATCTTCGACGTACACCCATCGCCTCTTATCATCGTCAACCTCCACCACACCCCATCCGCCAATTCTCTTGCCCCCTGTATCTACAGCCAATCTCTCCTTTTCTTTCATCCGCGTATATCGCTTCCGTGCAAAGCTCAAAAGAAGCATCCCGAGCACCAATTTGATTGACAGCAGCACAAACCACGCAAGTAGCCACACGACCAACATCGTAGCGAATGCAATGAGGTCATCCATCGACCACCAACTAAAACTCGATGTTACATCACCCATGCCAGCACCAAAGGATGATCGTCCAAGAGCGCGGCGGAATACCTGGTCAATATGGGCCAAAGCAGCTGTTGTAGCAGGCGAGCTCGTTGATGCGGACTCGGCTGTAAGGCCGGTGACAGTCGACGCGAGGGGAATGGGCATGTGAGTTTCGATGAACATTCGGTATGTTTGGACTATTGCACGGATGAATAGACAAGACAGAGGCAGGACAGGTAGTCCGAGGCGCTTCGTAAGGTTTTGATCTGCGAAAGCCTGACGATTTCTTAGCATACAGTCCATAAATTGTCTACGTGTTACTACTTACGTGAGAATAGTAATCCTTGGCAAGAAGATCTAAGAACCTGCCATATACAGCGGGCTTGGTGTTGTTGAACTTCGTGATATAAGCATGCTTGAGCCAGTCGACTAAGCATTCACTGCCTAAAACGAGCAGAAACGGGCCGAAGACCTGCCCGCCGATATTTGGGAACACAGTGAAGCTCTTTGGGATAATGCTTGAGCCCTTGAAGCTAGCAGTAGTGGCATTGCTGCTAAAGGCTGACCCAGTACCTGCTGTACTGGAGTTCAAACCGAGAACACCAACCTCGAACACGTTCCGTAGGACGATGATCGACAGCATCAAAGATAATTGAAAGCGTTCCACGATGTCGGCACATGTCATCTGAAATAAGTTCTCCTTTTCGAACTTCTTAAACACTGTTCCCTTAATCTCAACGAATTGGTTAGACATGAGCAGTGTCAAAAGAGCGTTTGAGTATGAGTTGACAGCCACATTGAGAGTGATGACTTGGTAAAAAAGGGCGGTCGAGTGGATTACGTTATAAATCAAGGCGAGGAGGAACATCCAGAACGGTCGGAGAATTTTGCTTCGGCCATCCGGGTTGCGTTCGAGGGTTTCTCTTGAAAAGAGGCATTCGAGCACGTCTTGACCTAGAGCCGAAAACAGACGGTCACATACCTGAGATCATGTTAGACTAAGTTGATTTTGCAAATCGTTCACCGCGCTCACCTCGAGTACATTGTAGATCACGTACAGTTTGATTGCTGCCTGACCTCGAATAGAGTGATACATTCTACTGGCATCTAATCGCATGAGTATGAAGCAGCTCGCTATGACCAAAAGGCCTTTCAATATGTCTGCCTTGTGTGTAGGCATAAGAAGTGATGGCTTAGACTTCGTCCTTCTATGCCTAAATGTTGAGCTTCGGCTTGATCTCCGCGACTGTTCAGGCAGTGTAATTTCATGGCGCGGCTCTGTACCCATAGACAAATGCTTTGGAGATGGTAGTGTTGTGGCATGTGATGGTCTTCTTGAAGGGGGTGGGATTCGTATGGAAGATTTTTCCTCCGTATGCGCTGGGGGAGCTGACACGTCTAAAAATCGTCTGCGCTGCCATACTCGACCTATGCCCCAGTAAATGAAGCTACCGATATCTTTGAATTCTTTGATTATCGTCCTGACCATCCAGTCCGCTAGCACATATAGCGCTTTGAAGAATCTCAGAGGAAGAATCGTAAAGGAATATAGCCAGGCGTCTAGACATGCGAAAAAGCCGAAGACAATGGTTTGCTCTAATTGAGGAGGAAGTAGTAGAAAGTTTAGAAGTCGCTCGTATTTAATTCTAGCTGATTCGTATGGGAAATCGCTCGTGGCAGGACGATAGATGTACAGGGGGGAGGGTCGGTCTGCAGCCAATTCTAGCTGCAGATACGTAGGTATCGATAAGGGTGGCAAAGGGATGCTAGGAGGCATAGGAGATCCTATAGGGTCTGCAACCAAGGGTGGCTTCAGACTACCAGTAGATCCTGCGATGGGCTTCTCCCCAGTTATATGTAATGGTGGAGGCACAGGTCTGCTACTTCGTGGCTGAGAGTCAACATATGAGCCCTGCGCCCGACTCGAAGGTTTGCGCTTGAAAACTGGGGGAGTTGAATAGTTCCTGGCCAGAGCCGGACGTGCCTTAGAAGACTCAATTGGCGACTTCATGTTTTCAATTTCCAGCCGTCTCGCACTCATAGCCTTGGCGGAGGTTTCCTCTGTACTTAAGGCAGATGACGAGGTGTCTAGATTGAGCTTGAGAATAGCTTCCTTGTGCCCATTTTCAGCAACTCCCTTATCTGTACTTTGACTCAACTCCATAGCACCTTGCGTTTTGTTTTCGTTCGTCCTAATCGAAGAGTCTACCAATGATATATCTGGGATGTTGCCGACGGCGCGTAGTGGTAGCGAGGTAGGCTCCGAGGTCAGCTCTTGAATCTGTGCTGGCGAGAGCTTCAGAACCTTTTCGCGATCATCGCTGCCAGAAACACCTGATGTATTCCGCTCGATGCTACGTTTCCGCTGTTCTATCATTGCATGGTGCGTATCATGTTCGTTTCTTGGCCCGTTCGTTGTGGGAGATGCCTCGGAGCTTCGATTTTCGTCCATGTTTTCAGCTTGCAACACGACACTGCTTCTTGATGTTGTCATATTTTCGCCTATTATTCCACTCTTTGCCCCGTTGGACTTTTCTGTTATGGTGGATGGCCTCTCAAGCACGGGAGAAAGAGTCGGGGAGGGAAGCTGTACCGGACCTCCACCGTTGGTATGAGGCACCGGTGACCCCGTCATACTGAACTGGCTGTCGAAGATTACCGTGGCACATCGTTGTATGTGCAACGATACAGCTTTCAGCAGTCTGCCGGGGGCTTGCAGCTGTCGTTTGTTACAGCGCCGATGTTAGACGTAGAGAACTGGCGCAGTCGGTTCGGCCAGATTTTCTGGGCGTCAGCCAGCTAGCTTCGGGCTCGGCTGGACCCTGATCCATTGTTGGTGACGCGTGCGGTCAGTGCCTACCAGTAAACGACATGAATATAACTCGCGTCCTTGTTTGAGCAAAGAAACGCTCTAACACCTTTGACTACCCTTTAGGATCCACGAATCATGGCGGAATACGAAGGTACCACAAATATGCTCCTTCCATTCCGTGTTCCGCGCTCATGTAATCCCAGTCGAACACGGCATCAAGTCCGACGAGTCAAAATCCAAGCATATCGATCGACCAGACCTGTCCTCATTCTACTCAGAACTTGACTACAGCACGTCAGGTAGAGGAGCACATGCATCGCCGGAGCCAGACCATGTAGCGGCACCACATCTTCTCCTTGCGGATGCGTATAATCATATATTGAGAGACAATCCAAACGTTTCGGCACTTCTCGAGCCCATGATCGAGCAGCTCTTGTCCGCTGCTGATCATCCGCAAGCAGAATTGAAGGGTGTGCCCAATAGCTTCTTTGACGAGCTAGAAAGAGTTGAGCGCAAGAAATTGAAACCGGACGATGATTGCCCCATCTGTGGCAACGCCTTCCTTGACGGTTTGTTCTCCTAGTACACGTTCCAAAGTGTTGCCTGACATAGTTCGTGTATAGACAAACACATTCTCGTCGTTCGTTTGCCGTGCCATAAAGATCACATGTTTGACCTGGAATGTATACAGCCATGGCTCAAACTCAACACCACTTGTCCATTGGACCGCAAAGATGTGTATACCCCAAAGAAGCCAGAGAAGAAGGTGGAGACCCCACATGCTGCCGACGACGAAGAGGAGTGGGATGATATGTATGCATGAAGTCTTGGTTTACGGATAGGATACAAACCTGGTCATCCCCATGAAATCGCATGTGGGAGGTCCGCTTGGAAGAAAGGGCCAAGATGTGAAGGCAATAATGGTGGTGCACCAGCGCGCATAATACGAATCGCGAATACAACTGAGTTTGTAGCGCGATATCGGTCATGTCCGGATTGTAGCGACAAAGCGACTGTACGGTCCCTGAGCCCAACCATAGTCAAGATTCTGACGCATATATGACTAGACAAGATTACAGCAGAGCTGTCTTCAGGGAATAAGAATACGCATCCACATATTCTACACTCTTAGCCTAACTCTGAACAAGTTTTGCTCGACGACCTCTTCCTTACGCTTCTCAAACTCCTCCATGTCCCATTGTACACACACATACCGATCTGCCAACCAGTCCCTCCTGACGCGACTCAACCACACTACACTGTCCCCTGCTAATTCAGGTGTGCAGTTCAATATTCCCCTGGTCTCTTCGGGCAGATTTTTACTCACTTCGGTAGCGACACCACCCGGATGCACACTGTACGCCAACAGCCCTTCATCTGCATATTCAGCGGTAAGAAAGTCATTGAAACGAAGAAGCCATGTCTTACTACTCTGGTACGCGGAAGCCCCCGGCGTGAAGACATGCGCCGCCCCAGACGAAATCTGCACAATTGTCTTGAGGCCCATCGACGCTGACGGCGCGAGGAGGAGCGGCACGAACGAACGACACATCAGAAACGTACCAAACACATTTACCTCAAACGTCTTCCACCACTCGCTTGGCTCGCTATTCGCAATCTTCCTCGGCGTCTCCATCAAGCCTGCGTTATTCACTAGCACATCCAGCCTGCCCCATTTCTCCTTGACTTCCTCCGCCATACGCTCCACATCAGTCTGAGACGTCGTATCTGCCGTGAGGAGAAGAAGTTCGCATTTCCCTTGCGCTGTCACGGCGTCCGCGGTCTGCTTGAGTGCGCTCATGTTGCGGCCGCTGAGAGCGAGGCCGGCGACGCCTGCTTTTGCGTAGCTAACAGCCATGGCACGCCCGAGGACGCCGGACGCACCGGTAATAAGGACGTAGCGCGAGCTCATGGAGCTAGGCTGCGGCGTGATGTAGGCATATGTATCGTTGGGTAGAGTGCGTGTGAATGTCTTGCCTGTGGTTCTTAGCATGCTGCTTTTCTTTTTTGAAGCATTAAAGGGGGGGCACCGAACCATTCAAGGGTGGTGACTCAAGAATCTGTGCCATTATGTACCACGTGAAGTGTCTAGCGTTCAATCGTCTAAGTCTAGTAATACGTATTGCGAGTAGGGCCTGTGCAGCGGGGAACGTTGGACTCCGCAATACGGAAGCTTTGGACGGAAAGTAGGAGCGAGATCTCAAAGAGAAATCAAGGGGTTGCAATCTAAAAGTCACTTATATACCAGATTCCTTCCCCCGTCTTATCGTGGCTTTACGCTATGTTCCCACTATGTCCTAACTCCACTCCCCGTCGACGTCGGGTATTAACTAGATCCATTCAACATGATCAATAACGTTAAGCGCGAGACCATGTCCAAAGGGAAGCATGTAGATAACGGAGCTCAACACGATTGACTGTACAACAGTCGCGTACACTAGGAATCACGAGAGTGGAAAGCGTATCGCTACCTTTTAACTTGAAGCCAAGGACGTGTTTGGCGTGGAACATACGCTCACTGTGCAACGTGGTCATTCGATACAATTAATAATTGAACATAGCTTACATGATGAGGGAGTTTGCAAGCAAAATCCATTAAACACTATTTATCCTATATAGCAAATGACCTCCTCTCGATACCTGCGCCTGCATGAGTTGATGTCGGGGAAATTTCAACAAAGCGAGGGTATAAGTGTCTACAATTTGCTTCCTCAAACTGATGCACGTCTTTCATGGAGTACGCACTAGTATTGACCAGGTTTTCCCTCAACACCGCTTACAGGTGCAGAACCGTCACCGGTGGCAACAACTGGAGTAGCGGCTGTAGTTGTATCTGGTGGCAGATCGGTGGTAGTCAACGGTGTTGACTGCTTCTCAGCTGTAACAGCCTCCCCTTGTGCAACCGCTGGGCTGCTTGGAGCGCTGTCGCTTACGGTGGGTGCAAGCTCAGTGGATACGGCGCTGTTACCCGCCGCCGCTTTGATGACTTCATACCATTGTTCGGCGTCTGCGGGAGTATGGGCCTTGAACTGAAATTCGTGCGATATGCTCATTTTGTTGACAATGCTGCTGCCAGACACATCCTTCCCCTTGACATTGAACTTTTGCCCGTTGACAGCACCGACCAGGCAGTCGGGCAGGTATAAAGATATCTCCGGCGCTGGTTCCTTCTGGAAGTCGTCATCGGTTTTGTATTCGTGGAGAAATTTGGACGGCGTGATAACGTAATAGTTTGTGTCATACTTCTTGAGCAGTTTGCCTTTCTTCTCCAGTGAGCCCGCAATCATCGGCTGGGTCGCGCGATGGCGATCGTTAGGGAAGGCAACATCGTTAACGGTCCGTGGAGGAGCACTCGGGTCAATCAGTACCGTGTTGTTCCTCTGTACGAAGCCGTTCCATTCGAAGTCTGGTGCTATGCGCTGACAGGTTGCAGTAATGTCTGAAAAGATGGCTTTCTGCTGCTCAGACTGGCCATTGACTACTTGCATAAATTGACCCATACCCGTTTGAAGAGTGGCAATGACATGTGCTTCAAATTGAGAGAAGCTGTTCTGTACAGCGATAATGTCTGTACGGTTATTGTTTTCTTCGATGATCTGCTTGTTGAGTAGGTGCATCACACCACGTCTCAGGACGTATGGGTCATTAGCAGCAGTCATCTTGCCGCCTGCAGAGTCAAATGTAGCAGTGTGTTGACCCAATTTCTCAATGTGTTTCTGAGACGCGGTTCGTGCTTTATCCACATTCTTACTGCCTTTACCAGCACCTTTAGTAAGTTCTTTCTGTTTGTTCTTGATCTCGGTATGGAGACGTTCGAAGACAGGGAGCACAGAACCCTTCAAGGTCTTCTCGGTATCGGTGTGAGACTTAGCGATGCCCTATGATGAGTTAGCATTAGCTCTGCAATTTTTCGAGATATCGATACTGACCTGTGTATTAGACCTAATGTTGTCAAACATGCCGGCAATGCCTCCAAGGTCCTGGGCGAAGTGGTGCCCCTCCTTTAGTGGATTTGACACGGTCTTAAGCACTTTTTCATAGTCCTTTGCCTGACTATGATGCAGCTTTTCTGTTGCACCAATGTAGTCTTCAAGATAGCCGCAAGCATGCTTCCAGGCCTGCAATCGCTCATGAAATAGCTTTGTCACCTCGCTGGTATCCTCGCCCGGTGTCCAGTCTTCGTCGGTCATGGCGGTAGTGGTCCGGAAAGGGACATTGTTGGTGGGGCTGGTAGGGGTTGCCATATTCCCTGTGAAGGATGGATGATGTATAGTAAGGATGGTCGTTGTATAATTATTAGGGCCCGGTCGTGGTTTTGCGTTTCGGGATAGCAAACAATAGGAGGGTGGTGGGGTTGCGGAGGGAGAAAAAGAGCAATGTCCAGGGGATGGCCTTAGGGTGGAGCGCAAGTGATGAAATTGTTTTCGCAGGTAGTCGCGATGGATTGGGGGTCTTAATTAAGATTAAGGTATGCGTAAGAGTGGAGAGGGGCAGTGGATAGCAAAGCCAACACCCCTTTATATACCTCAAGGAGACTGGTCAATTTCTCTCGTCTCTTGCTAAAACTTCTACCATATAAGTTTCCAAGCAGCGCCAGTGCAGCTCCATGTGCAGATCGCTTCGTTGCGGGTGTTGAGAAGGCCGTGAGCACGTTTGGCCCTTTAGCCTGCCCAGCGCGTGATCGGCAGCTATCCTACGTCATTAGATCCTGCATTTCAGGGAACAAGACCTCCCAAAGTCGCGCTAATCTCAGAAAATGCTTCGATCCTGACGCCTGTGGCAAGTGCCCGCAAGATCGTGAACCCTAACTTAGTGGTGGCTGTGCAGCATAGGTGTGTTTTGTTATCATCCGCGGCTTTTGAAGTAGAGGTACCGCTAATCCCCAGTATTAGCCTGGCATTGAGGATGCACAAGATTTACTATTTCGTCATCACACACTATGGAATGCCTCTCTCCATTGCCTTCTTCAAGTTTCTAGATTGCCCAGCTCTGGGTGCTCTCGTATCGTCGGCATTTGTCGCCCGCACAAAGTATACAGTCAATTACTGTATTTAGTCTATCGAATCATCTATTCGCACAACGTTACTCGAAAGGTATATGGAAATCAAAAAGCCACCGAAAACGACCTGACCTTGACAGAGAGGCAGGAGCTTCTGATGTGATGAGAGGAGTGTGGGGATATAACAGGATGTTCGCCGATTGTTCGCCGCAGAATGATACAATGCTTGATGATGGCGCCGAAGGGAAAGTAATGCTACGCTCGCAACAATGTAAGTATCTAACTACTGATGAGTCAAAAGAAAGAAACGCTATAAGAACCTGATCGCCTGTACCTGCTGCTAACGGTGCGCGTTACGCACACCGACAGTTATAAACCAACATACAGGAATCGTTTACCTCCGAGCTCCATCTGTCAGGTCGAACCCAGTTGGTGATCCTCGGCGCGAGTTCAAATGCGTATTTCGTAACGTCGCATTCTGTAACGTATCAGGGCTTCCCACGGATGACGAAGGAGAGTTTCGTTCACTTCGCGGCATCGTAGCCACTACATTTGGACTACTAGGCTGGCTTGTTGCCAAATCATACGTTGGTAGGTCTTCACTTAGGGGCGTCGGTAGCGGTGTTCGTACTGCCGTATTGTAACTTGGAATTCGGGATAGTGCAGACATGTCAAATCCCAAGCGATCCTGATCTGGAAAGTAGCCACTCGTAGCTTCTGGCAAGCGAGTAGAATCTATAGCAGTTGATGGAGTACTTGTGTGAGAAGTTGTGTGGAAGGAGTGCTGTGAACCTGAACGTTGCGGTGCGGACGGGCGATCAGATGCGTCTTGATCTAGACGCAGTGTGACCAGTCGTGAATGTAGCACGCTCGCAGAGGCCTCTTGGTCTACGTCTGCGACACTATCGATGGACGTCTGAAGGTGCTCGTTTGAAGGATTTCGACTCAGAGCCTGGAACGGCGTGTGGACGACGCTGGCTGGCTGGCTGTGGAAGTCACTGGGATCAATCTCATGATACAGTGAGTCAAGCTGGTGGCGTCCGTAAAGTGGTGGTGCTGCTTGCATGACCTCGTCTGCCACTGCCGTGGAAGCGAGTATGGCAGGATCTACAACCACACTTTGGTCCTCATTTGGTGGCAGGTTCGGCGATATGAAAAGATGTAGATGGTTTTTCACCAATAACTGGGCGTGTTTAGTTGAGTACCAATGCTATTAGTCGAGACAGGGACATACCTGGCTAACGTGGCCTTCTGGGTTATGAAGATTTACATAAATCCGCAGTTTGTGGATGATCTTGATGTTTTCCGTATCGACTGTTTGACGACAATACCGTAAAGACTTCGGTAAATCTAGGGTAGTCTTGAACTTGTAGCACTCGTCCACAAGTGAGTCCGGTCCGAGCGCTTCCATCTCCGGAGTGTTCAATCTCTCTGCAGTCGACGGCATCTCTTGCTCCATCGTTTCTACAGCTAGCTCCCTAGTGTGCTGTGAGGCTCTCGAGTAACCGCCTGCATCGGCAGTAAGAATAAGGTGCTCTATGACCTCCATCTTGACTTTCCCAATGGTGAGCCCCTTCTTGAGAGGGACTAAAGTGAAGTCAGCCGTTATTGGCGTTCCCACAATATAATTCTTTTGTGGGACGATGATCTTGTAAGCAATCTTTTGCGCCCAGATATCTTCGTTGATCTGGGAACGTTAGCAGTGCACTTAGACTTCACCTATAGCTGTTGGAGTACGGACCTGTTCTAAGGGCATAGACTCCATAGCGTCTTGTCCTAGTGTACGTATTACACGGATGTGCTGTGTGGCCATGAGGTCTTTCGTCATCACACCTCTCTGTACCGATGCATTAAGGTTGTATACAATGTAGCCCATGGATAGCCCTTCAACGCTCTCCTCAGTGTTCCCAGGAATTTCAAACTTGAAGGACCACTCATGTATACCAGCCCCAATCCTATGGGCTGACTTGGCCGAGCCTTCCGAAGGATATATGAGCACTTCTTGGTTCAAGAATGTGGTTTTCTTTGTCACATGCTGTGGTGTCACCGTATTGGTGATCCATTGCACCTTTCTTATTCCTACCAAGGACATTTTTATGCCCTTCACTGGCATGGAGTCAGGGTTCGTTAGAACAAGCTTACCCGTGAGCTCGGTCGCTTGCGCCTCGGCTGGGGACCCATAGAGAACGACAAATGGGGAGGATGGACTGATGAGAGCTATTTGTTAGTTACTTGCTAGACAGTACGCACATGGTGTGCGAGTGCTTACTGAATTTCTAATATAGGCTTTGTCTGTGTGCCAAAGACTGGAGTCCGCACCATATCTGGCTACAGATCTTCTGATACTTTAGAGCAATGTAGAATATATGTTCACTGGATTATTAACCACCGGGAATGTTTTCCGAATGCAGCGAAGCAGAAGCACACTGAATGTGAATGAGACCACAGCAAGTCCCAGGAGACTGCGTAAAGATCTTTGTTTTCCTGAACTGTAATATGGTTGAACGAGGGTGATAGTGGTCAAGATTGCGAATTAATAAGGCAACAGGACTTTGAATTGTCAGGTGTTTGCTCAAGGCAAGCAAGTAATGCTTGTGGCAGCAGACGCAAGAATGCGAATGCGATAGAAGCCCGTGTGCAAGAGGCTGGGTGTTGAATGACGTGGGAAGTGCAATCGAGGCTGAGCTTGCAAGAGACAAATGATAATTTGAAACAGTCGCACCTAGGTGAGAAGTAAGATAGCCAAGACAACGTGGAAGCTGCAGGCGCAGCCCTGTTAGATGAGCACGAGGACCAAGAGTCAAGACACACTCTGTAGGTCCAGTGATGGACGCACACGGCCGAGTGGGTTTGCGGTGCGGCGGGAGACGGGCTTGTGAAGCATAGACAGACATACTCAAACTTCTTAGTTCCCGCAAAGAATGGGCCTTCTTCGCCCACAGATTTGGATGATCACTCATTACGTGACATGCCCAGTCGCCAGGAATGTTGAGGGTCTGCAACGAGTTGATTAGCCTTTGTCTCCACGCCCCCTTCAAGCAGCTCAACGCCTGGCGGCGGGCACTATAGTTCGGCTCGTTGACCTGACGAGGTCACTGAATTGACGGGGTTCGCCCGAATAGCTGCTGGATGGTAGGCTGAGGAAGTGAGCAAGAGGCGCGTCTCGGGGCAGGGAGCGTTGGCGCCAAGGTGTGAGCCATATCTGTGAATATATCAAGTAACATGTATCATGTACCTACGATGATTGAAGGGTCCGCCTCCAACTTGCCCGATGTTTTGCCCTTTAGCTAATCAGTGTTAGTTAAGACAGTGGATCGACGTGCATGCGAATGCATATGTCATACCGCAGTACTTGGATGTATTATTTATTCTAGAGCTACATAACAAGGGTTGTTGCTGTGAGCACCTTCTCTACTCACGTGTTACTATCAATGATCACGGGAGAAAGTTTGATGACCTGGCCCGGAGACCTCAACCGCGGCTGATAGCAAACAATAAAGAGTTGTCAGCAGTTTGGATCAAGCAATCTCGGCGTGCTGTTCAGACGCTCGCGCCCGCAAGCGCCACTTGTCTGTAAAGTCTCTTACATCCTTGTCATTCTGATAGCCTGATAGTCTAATAGTGGCGTGGCGTCAGACTTCGGTGCCCGCTTATCTACAAAATTTTCCGCTTGTGCCTCTATCGCACATCGATCATGATGCGGCCTTTATTCTGCCACTACTGCAACGATAAAAAATCAATACCGTGCTATGCCCGTACGTAAAGGCGGCTGAGTGAAGCATGGGGCCTGTCTTCGTTACTGCCAACAGCATTTGGAGTCTGCAGTCATATATGGCAATCGTCGGGCTACAAGTTAGCGTGGTGTACCTGTATATTAGATCGGCTCTTCGCTGCTGTCTTTAGGTCGATCCCAAGTGCGTATATGACCTGCGTCGAATCGTTAGCAATCAGCAAAGGCGCATATGCTCGAGTGCCCTCTTCATGACCACAGCCGATATCGCTTATCGGATGGCGCGACTAGCTGCCAGACCGGATCGCCCAACAGTTTTAGCGGCCTGAACCATGGAACCGCATCACACAAGGCAGCTTACCGTTCTTGCATGTAGTGACGATACAGTCGCTCTCAAAACTCAGCCAGCTTAGCGGATGGTCATCTATCGTCTTGGCCTATAAGAAATGTCAACTGGGTCCCATAAGGGCAAGAGGATTGAAAGTGTATACCATGACTGGCGGAAGGATAGCTGTCCGTGCTCTGGACTCCACTGGATGCACGATTTCATCTCCATTTATACTCACGGACGTTAAATTGGAACTCGAACGAAGCCGTCCGGCGATCTTCCCGGGTAGCGGTGAGGTAATGCTTCCTTGTCGACCAGCTACCTAGGCGTTATCTGTCAGTTTCCCGGGACTGTGCTCGCGGATTCACGAGATCGACTGGAAACCTACTGCTCGAGGTCGATGGAGCATGCCGACGCTGAAGTCCCAGAGCAGCAGCCGGCAGTCTTCCCCAACACTCCCAAAACGATAGTTGCGCTCATCGCATCTCCAGGGATCGAATTGCACGGCCGTTACCCAAGAGTTGTGACCTTGGCAGCGTGCGACAATCGCACTTTCCTCCAGCGACCATATTGAGATCAAATCGTCCTGTCCCCCTGTCACGACGTACCTTCCATCGGGTGACCAACACACGCACATCAGTCCGCCGTAGTAGCTTGAGTAAACATCTAAGAGACTATAGCATAGTCAGTGTACTGCATCAGGTAGATGAAGGAGACCGACACCTACGTCTCTTTGAGGAAGTCAATTATACGCAAAGAGCCGTCCTCGGACACTACTGCAAGGTGACGATCATCGGGGGAGAAGGCAAATGCATTGATTCTCGAATTGGACACCTTCCAATAGGCCACAGGATTTGTTTTCTGGTTACTCGACTGGACTGACTTCTTGACGGACAATATCGGATGCGCTGGATCAGCCGGCTTGTCAACGGCGGACGTCGGTGTGTCCTTCGCTATGAAAGGCGAATCCTCCTTTTCTTTGTCGTACACTACCAAAGATCCATCCATATGAGCAGCCAAGAACATGTTCTCAGAATGAGGTATCCATTGAATACAAGACATGGCAGAACCATTGATTGAGCTCTATCACTTGTCAGCTCAAAAATCGCGACGCATATGCACCCAAACGTACATTTTTGTTCAGTCTCGCATACTTTTGGGTAATTGGCTCGTACCATATCGCATCACCAGTCGAAAACCCCATGACGAGATCAATATGAGTCGTGCTCTTCGTGATTTGGTTGATGTCATGACATAGAGGGTGAGCTTTGGTGAAAAGTATCTTTGTCAAATGTTCTTCCTTTGGGAATGTTGTCGATGAAGATAGATCAAGCCATTGTAGGGCGCGATTTATGTTCGCAAAAGCCATTATGCCCTCTGGCGAACGCTCGTTCAGGCGTTTAGTCAACGCATCATGTGGTATGACCCGTGAAACGAAAGACGAGTTGCTTTTAATCATATTACTCTTCGGCTTTCTCTTCTTTGAGGGATCTTTCGAGTCCTTTCCCACGGGTATTGCCAATGCAGGATTCCCATCTCCAAAGACGGTACTTCGTCCGTATGAATGGTTATGAGAGCCGTTGGCCTGTAAGTGTGATCCCGCATCGCTGGCTTGACTCTGGGATTCATTCGGATGCTCTTGTATGCTATCAGGGAACGGCGAAACTGTTCTATTTGTAGTGTTTGATCTGTAAAGGCTTGATACATATCCTTGCCGAGGAGTTAGGATAGTGAGGGACAGTCTTACGCCAGCTGTTGGAGGTGCGATAGTAGTAGCCAGCGGATTAGGGTTATGGACTGGAGCTTCCGATGGATGAGGAGGAGGTGTTGCAAGATAGAGCTCGTCTCGAAGAACGTAAGTACCTGGGACGATCTGTTAGTACAAATTCCTTGTGAACACATTCGGATTTGGATACCTTCACCGACGACTAGTTGAAACTCGGAACCGGACGGTTTCGTCAATGTATTGTTCGTCTCTATTAATGCCTGACCACCAACACCCACGAGCTGGCTCGTCGGATATCTTGGGGGTGGTGGAAGGACAAACATAGCTGCTTCCATAGATAGGCTTACTAGAACAAGTACAAGTTAGCGCAGTCATATGGATGGCTCGAACACCAACATTGCGCTGTGCCCAAGGTACCATCAACGCAATAAGCGTTTGTACCACTCGTCAATAGGCTCGGAGCTGGCCTCACTCAATTCATAGGCTACCCGAGACGAACACTAGACTAGTACAGCGCTCGAGAGTGGCCTTGAAGATAGAATGTGTGATATAGACGGTTCTGGGACAATGGCAGTATGCGACGCAGGTCGCGATGGCGGCTAAGCTGGCCGAGAAGCCCAAATCACCGCAGAAGAGGGCGATGTCATACCTACGAAGTAAATAACACAAGACTGCTCAGTTCGTAATTGGCGGAGTATGGCCAGGAATGCTTCAGAATGAGTGCTTGGCAGCCAGAGAAGACTGATAACGACGACAGAGTGCACAAGAATTGGAATAGAAGGCCCTTAGGTAATAATTCATGGAAGTATATGATGTTATAGACATGTGGGGCTGAGGTTTGAAACGTCCGTGCGAAGCCCTCTATCGACGGATGATGCTAAGGTTGAACCATAACACATAATAACCTTGAAGAGACAATAACAGCTCGGCTGCCTCGCACCAACGGTTTCCCCCGCCATGAATGTTGGCCAGATATAGACAACGATGGATGCAGTATGATCTGTGTAGAGGACAATTGATACGTGATACAACCCAGTCTGAAGCCGAGAGCTTCACAAAAGCTTCAATTCATGGTTATGCTACAGGCTATCTATGAGCTGGATGCCTCTCCTTCCAAATTGCGAAGTATCCTTCTCAGATTCGGTACCAACTCTTTCATTCTCTCGCCGTTCATGATTATCATTTGGGTCGTAAAGGCCGAGCTCAAAAATAGCTGTAACTCTTGGCGCTGATGCTACATACCCAAGGTAGCGTCCTACACCCACTACCCAGGTCTATAAAGCTATTTATTTCTAGATAAGAGGCCAAATACTTAATATCTATATAAACTTGAAGAAGAGGATCCATTTAAAATCTATATACATTGTGAGCTCTAGAATATCTGTATTATCTTATAATAAGAGGGATATATCTTAAGAGGAAGGAGACAGTAGAAAGTAGTTCCAAGCATTTACATGGGCCACTCCTTTAATCGTTTATTATTGTGAAGAGACTCTGTAACTTCTTAGATAGACTTGATGTAGTTAATCCAGTATTTATATAGAGAGACTTATATATATAGACTCCAATATATATAAGCGGTACTTGGTAGAATTAGTGCCAACAGTCACAGTGGTTTCGAGAGAGCCAGCCGCCAAAGGATGACCATGCCAAGCATTGCTTCCCCACATCAACCTTGCGCCCGGGCGGGCCACCTCAGGACCTGACAGAAGCTCTAAGCTCTTGGTTGAATTACGATGTCAAAACAACAATTCACTACGTGTTACGCGCAACGTACAATAATGCCACGCTCGAGATCATGAGCTACAGAGATGACTACCGGTACTTAAACTTGTTCCATGTTCTGCTCATCAATATCTTATAGGACGTATGCTAATTCGTACTTTTTCACCAGTCCGAATCTGTTGTGTGGGAGATGAGGGCGTAGGCAAGTCCTCAATCATCACCAGCTTGGTCAAAGATGTCTTTGTCACCACCAAGATTCAGTCCATCCTCCCACAAATTACGCTTCCGCCGACACTAGCCACGCCGGAGCATGTCACCACTGTGATAGCCGACACTTCATCTTTACCTCAGGACCGCGAGACCTTGCGAAAAGAGCTTCGGAAAGCTTCAGTAATATTATTGGTCTATGCAGATCATTATAGCTATGAAAGAGTTGCCCTGTTCTGGCTACCGTTCTTTCGTTCCCTTGGAGTCAACGTGCCAGTTGTGCTATGTGCCAATAAGGCAGACCTTCTTCCAGGAGGCAGTACCACCCAGATCATGACCGATGAAATGATCCCGGTTATGAACGAGTATAAAGAGATAGATTCTTGTATCAGGACAAGCGCAAAAGAGCATTATAACATAAATGAGGTCTTCTTTCTCTGCCAAAAAGCTGTAACCCATCCAGTAGCTCCGCTCTTTGATTCAAAAGAGGGGAACTTGAAGCCTGCTGCCGTCTCAGCACTACAACGGATCTTCTACCTCTGTGATAGGGACCAGGATGGCTACTGGAATGACAAAGAGATCATGGACTTCCAAATAAAATGCTTCGAGAAGGCGCTGAACGACTCGGACCTAGTCAGCATCAAACGCGTTGCCCAAAGCAATACCACGCACCCAGATCTAGATCGCGGAATTAATGAAAAAGACTTCCTTACCTTGAATAAGGCGTTCGCAGAAAAAGGACGACATGAGACGATATGGATCATCCTACGAAAATTCCATTACACGGACAGCCTGAGCCTTACCGAGTCATTCCTACATCCCAAATTCGATGTTCCAGTCTTCGCGTCCGCTGAGCTCAGCCCTCTTGGTTATCGTTTCTTTGTAGACCTGTTTTTACTCTTTGACAAAGACAATGACACAGCCTTGAACGAAGCAGAACTCGCAGCACTCTTTGCCCCAACGCCCGGTCTGCCGCCATCGTGGGTCGATTCTGCGTTCCCATCCTGCACAGTTCGCAACGATGCTGGTCACATAACTCTTCAGGGATGGCTTGCACAATGGAGCATGACCACATTTGAAGAGCCGAAGACTACCCTAGAGTACTTGGCTTATCTTGGGTTTGACGGACCGGAGAAGGGAGGAACTACAACTGCACTACGAGTCACGAAGCCACGGAAACGTCGAGGTCGAGTAGGAAGAGTAGAGAGGAATGTTTTCCTGTGTTACGTGCTCGGTGGGAGTGGCAGCGGCAAATCGTCTCTGTTGTCCTCGTTCTTGAATCGCCCTTTCACGGGGACGTACCATCCTACAATAAAGCCACAGACAGCCGTCAATAGTGTCGAATTGAAAGGTGGGAAACAGTGCTACCTCATCATGGAGGAGCTTGGCGAGCTTGAGTCTGCTATCCTGGAAAATCAAGCAAAATTGGATGCTTGTGACCTACTATGCTATACATATGACTCTAGTGACCCTGAGAGTTTTGTGCACATCATTGAGTTGCGCAAGAAGTTCCCACATCTGGAAGGTCTGCCTGCAGTATACACTGCTCTCAAGGCTGATCAAGACCGGTCAGTACAGCGAAGTGAGCGACAACCAGATGAGTACACGAGTGCTCTGAAGATGCCTGCTCCGATGCACGTAAGCGTCGCATGGAGTGGCGTGTCGGAATTTTTCGTTCATGTAAGTCAATAGCACACGCCACAGTTACTTAGGACTAATAACATCTAGCTAGCTGAGTGTGCGGCAAACCCTGTGACTGCTTTGCCTAAACATGGCGAAGAGCCGGTGGATCGAACGAATCTGTACATTGGTATTGGCGTGGCCGTGTGTACTGCGGCAGCATTGTTTGGTATATGGAAAAAGATCAATGCTGCATTGTAAGCTGTTGGAATGCTATTATAGCTGGAAACCAGGCCTTGTGAGTGACTGTATACACTCTTGCTCGCCAATGAGGACTGGGTGTTGGTGCAGCAGAAATGCCACATCCGTGGCCTCGTACACGTATTTGATATATATATGATGTTGCAGCCCTATAACCGTTCGGTTTGAGGGTTTGGCTGGCGTAAGGAGAGCAGGAAGACGCCAAAGTTTGGATGGATATTCTGGGAGCATACTTTGATCGTAGACCCACTTGGACGCACTAAACGTGACCGCGTGTTTACCCCACACTCCGCCTTTCCTCTTCCGTGCTGGAGCTCCCCCGCAATACCCCACTTAAGCTTGATTGATGGTGAGAGTGGCAGGTGACCATCTTTGCACTCCTAGGGATGCTTATGCTTGCATAACGTACGCACACGACACAAGCTCAACTGCCCCTCTTCTCATCCTCCATCGCTCGATTACCCAGCTTCCAGCTCACAGTCTTCATTCGACTCTCAAATCTTCTTTCAATTCACCATTGAAAACCGGCAAGATGAGTGCAATTGCTGATATCCCAGAGCGTACTGGACCTATCCAGGTCTTGTTCACGCTCCACCCGGGCTTCGACTCTCTTGATTACGTTGGGCCCATGGAGGCTCTTCACTATACCAAACACGAGGATAAGTCCATCGGTAAGCTAACAATCTCCATCTCGACTCACACGCTGATCAATCTCTTCCTTGCAGACTATCCAGCCTTCCAAATCAAGACTTGTGCCAAAGAGCCTGCCGTCCAGTCCGCCCAAGGCATCACTATCAAAGCCGACATGGACTTTGAAGATGCTGAGGCTGATCTCGAAGAATTTGACGTCCTCATCGTTCCGGGTGGCAACTATGCTGCCATCATTGAGAAAAACGACGACCCAATTCCCCTCATCAAAGCTTGGGCTGAGCTCCAACGCAAAGATCCTTCTAAAGAACGTACTCTATTCTCTGTTTGCACCGGCGCCTTGTTTCTCGCCAAAGCAGGTGTTCTCCAAGGTTTGGCTGCCACCACCCACCCCGAACACTACACACGCCTTGAGATGATCTGTCAGGATGAGAGCCAGAAGGACCTGGGTGTACGCACCGATGTTATGGAAGAGAAGTATGTCGTCAATAACGCACGCTTCGAGCTTGGCGAGCGCTGGGACGAGAATCCCTTCATCATGTCGCAACGCCCGGATGCGCGTCGCAAGTCCAGCGCCCGTCGTGGCAGCGAGGCGTGGAAGCTATCTAAGCGTCGCGAGTCGATTGTCAAGCGTGCGAAAATGCCTCTCGGTGGGCTGAGAGTCATTACTAGTGGAGGTATCACTACTGGTATTGACGCTTCGCTATACCTCATTGCGGCATTGGTGTCTGTAGACTCCGCATCTGAGGTTGCTAAATTCATGCAATACAACTGGAGCAAAGGCGTTACTGTAGAGGGTATTGATGTCTAGAACCTACAGATGAAATGGTCTGTGGACGTATCTCATGTACGATGAGATAATAAGTGACTAGAAAAGTCCATACGTGGTTGTATGGTCTATAGTCGGGAACACAAAATGAGCTGGTGAAGCTCAAAATGAACGTAAAGAATATAAGCTCAAATGCACGGTGCAAGAGATCGTACCGCGTATTGTCTCTAGCTAAGAATACTACCTATACCGTTAACTCTCCCAGCGAACTGAATGTGTCATACAAAGAACTGGCGAATTGCTACGTATGTGTGTGTCTATCGTACGGCGTCCTGGCATAACATCTCTAACTCCGATGAACAAGCGGCGGCCCGAACTCCGTAAGAACCTCGATAACAATAAATCTACTGCAGGAGTGGATCCCTGAAATGCTTTTGGCTGTTGGCGTTCTTCTCTCTTCTCGCTCGAAACTTGTTCTCCATACGCTCCCCTCTCTTCCGATCGCGTTTCTCTTGAGCTCGAACTTCCCTCTTCACAGTATCACTGACACCGACCATACCAAGTCCACCATTGGCTCTCGAGACAAGCTGACGGTTTTGATCCCTGCCACGGCCACGCTCCCGATTTTGAGCTTGCTCACCACCATCCATGTCAATATCTGAGTCCGCATCCCGGTCTTCAATGACACGCTGGGCCATGCGTTCTGCCGGGGTCGGGTATGTACGAAGGTTTTGTTTGTAGTATTTGTTCAGGCTGCGGTGGCCAGCGGTACGACCGCTTGGTAGATGGAGTTCATATTCATCGTGATATACGGCGTGTGGGGTAGCATGGGCATGACTGTGGAATCCATCAGCTGAACGGTGAGGACGAGGATCCGAATGAGAGTGGTGGCGGCTCTTATTGAGTTCGGCATATCTGTGAGAGCGGTCGGAGATTGGCACGGAAGTGATCTCATCGCTAGGAACATCGGATAGTGAGCTGTCAGTTTCCCAGCCTTCGTCTTCTCCATCATCGGAGGAAACACCGTCTCCTTCCTCAGCGCCCTTGCGCTTATTAGGGACTTTGACGCCGCCGCCAACAGTAGACGTTGAAGATTCAGAGTCCGAGTCTGCGTCGCTCCACGTACTTGTGAAGTCATAGAACTCACCCAGTTCAAATGCTTCCTCCTCGTCTTCGAAATTGATCATGCAATGGCCCAGATCACGCATGTGTGTTTGAATGCCGTTGGCTGTGTGTAGGATCTTTGGGCAATACAGACAGTTGTGTTCGCCATGAATTTTGTTGTAGAGGAATTCAACCAGACCTTCAGTGTCGATTAGGTATTCCTGCTCCGGAATGAACATGCCGTGATGCTTGCTCATGTGCTCGACGTTGAGTGGGAATGTAGGCGATGTATAATTGCAGAAAAGACAGTTCTTCAAAGGGGGCTTTGCACCATCAATAGGTGTGCTGCTTGGTGTCGATACTGACGACGTGGTGCTGGTCTTCGAAAGAGGCCGCGTAAAAGGATCTTGGCCTGTAGCAGAACTATCTGGTCCAGAAGGTCGCTTGAGAGATAGATCCTGTCCTTCCAACGACGCACCTTCAAGACGGTCGACTACGTCATTGAGCTCGGCGACGGGCGTTGATGCTGCTGAAGGTGTGGGCTCACCAAGGGAGAAGGTAGAGCTCATCATTGATGCTGTTTCAGAGGCATCCGCGACGTGCCGTGCCGATGGTCTGCCTTTCGCCACCACGTTATTTTTATGTTTGGAGCTGTTCAGGTGATTTGTGTATGCGTTTTGACTGTAGTATGTTTTCTGACATGCTAAGCAGACCTTTTCGAATGATGCTTTTGCGGCAGTGGCAGCAGCATCAGCGCGATTTGCGAGAACCTTTTCGGTGAAAACCTCCAGAGTCAGAGGTGGGAGTGACGCGACCCGTCTTTTGAGGTTGTACCGACTGAGGAGAAAAGATGGTAAGTGCTATGAATGTCAAGTATATGCGAGCGTACTTACTGGAAATCTGTCTGCATGTGCGCTCGCTGTAGTTCGCTCGTTCTGTATGCGACAAGGCAACTGTTGCAGGTAAATGCATGGCTTTTCTCAGCGCTGCTGGTGGGAGCAGCTTGTGAGGTGAGTGTGGCCATAACAGTCAGATTCAAACACAGTCGGCGTATTAGCTGTTGCTTGGTTGTCAATAGGTGGAGAGAAGTGAGGAGGGAAAGGGAGGGAAAAGCTTCTTAGGAGATGCGATTACAAGACGAGACTGTAGCGAGTCTTTTTTCCACCCACAATTTGTAACCATGACCGAGGCGGCAGTTTGGCGGGGTAGCACTTGAATCACATCACTCTAAGTGCTTACATATCCATACACTAATTACAGTTCCTACTATAATATATATAATTACATATTAGATACATATATATGTGTGTGTGTTGAAAATAGACATAATTGATAAATAAGTACTAAATAGTAAAACAGAAGAGAGTCTCTTAAGCATAATAGCCTATACAAATTCTTAGGAATTTCTCTTATTAGGACTAGAATTAGACATTAATAGCGTAGAAGCTAATTAGAAGTGATTGTCTAGTTTATTCTAGAAGTGTATATAACTATTTTGGGAGATAGACTTCTAGACTTAGGGTATATGTATATAGTATACGAAAATATGCGTAAAATACGTGCATAAGTAAGTGCCCGGCACTTGCTACCCCTACGACTTACTTCGTTACGTGATGGATACTTCATCAACACTGGCAGTCTTCGCTTAGCCCAGCAATTCGGGTCTTCATAGATAAATATGGATCTAATTATAGGGTCACGCACCGCCTTTTCCTTTGTCTTCGTCCAAAGTCTTGTCGCACATAGTCAGAGACTGTAAAGACTACAGCATTCTCCGCATTTCGTCACACGTGCTACGTTCCTCGCTACATACCAATGTGACTTCTCCTGATCGTATTTCCACGCTGGAGTCAAGTATTGAGTCGACTTTTTCTACCATCACCACGCCGAAGTCCAGACTAGTGTTATCTCGACCACGCGCAATGCCGTTCCGAACCTTCCCTGTGGCGATCGACGAGGCCACGCGTCGGAGCTTTTGTACGACTTGACACCTTTTTCCCCCTCCATATTCACGCGAAACTCATCGGTTGTATATCTGAGAAAGAATTGTAACCCTCTTGGAGAGACTTGCTCTGGAACTGCATCTAGTAATGTGTCGCTAGACTTGTCGTTACTGGCCCGGCCATAATGAGACATTTCATGCGCCGGAGATCTGGAGGCCTCCTAGATACATATCTTTTGGAGAGATCTCCACCGGCGATGAGGACGCTCGAGCTTCACACATAAAAAAACCAACATAACTTCGCCTCGCCCCTCTTTTCGTATGGAGCACTTTTAAGCTAAGCAAGGTCGGATTTTGCGCGACTCGGCTTTTGCCCGATTCGGGTTTTGCACCTTGCTCCCCACATGCACATGCCGAAGGTCTACAAGGACTGGTTAGCCAGTCGGTTTAGCAGATATATATATACAGTACAATGGTAGGAGTAGGGGGCACAGATACTTTGATTTCAAATAAAGAACTCTCCAGGCTCTGAGCGAGGGGCATCTCGGATGCGCAAAGCACCATGGCCCATCAAAACGTCTTGAAAGGAAATGTGGCCAATGATCCCCATGAGCCCAGTCAGATACCAGGAGTAACTCCTGCGTTGAAAATTCTCATTGTAGGTGCGGGAATCGGCGGGCTGACAGCAGCATGCTTCCTGCGGCAGCAAGGCCACAAAGTAACTGTACGCGAAGCACAAAGAGCTCACTATCTATACGACAAGTACTGAAATGAGTGTAGCTTGTGGAGAAGTCTCGATTCGCGAATGAACTCGGGGCAGCCGTTCATCTGACGCCAAACGCCAATGGCCTTCTGCGTAGACTCGGCATCATTGACATGGAAAGTTTAGGAGCGAATTGTATTGAGCAAGTATGATGCATCTTGCGCGAGTAGTTTGGAACTTGACTGATCCCGTCAGATGACCAATTTCAGCCCAAAGAGCGAAGTGCGCGAGCAAATCGACCTTCGAAGCATGAACCAGTTGTGGCAACATGTAGGCATTTCTTGACTAGCTGTGTTAACATTGGTTGACTTTCTGTCAGCCATGGCTTCTTGCGCATCGTGTTCATTTACATGCAGCTCTTAAGAGGTTGGCGACATCCACAGATGGCAAAGGAGAGCCAGCAGTCTTGAGGACTTGCAGTAAAGCCATTGATTTCGATCCTGCCACGGCAAGTATCACACTGGAGGACGGAGAGATTGTGATTGGTGATGTTGTGATTGGTGCCGACGGAGTTCATGTGAGTAGACGTCGCGGATCGTGCTAGATTTATTTAACCTCGATCATATAAAGTCTCGATCAAGGCAACAAATAGACCCGAACATCACGCCGAAGAGCTCTGGTCAAAACGCATTTCGCTTCATGATTCCTAGGAAATTGGTGCTCGAAGATCCTAGGACAGAAAGATTTGCAAAGGTGAATGGGAATCTCAGTATGTGGTACGGCAAAGACAGAAGGGTTGTCATGTACCCCTGTCAAAATAATGAGCTGTTGAATTTTGTTGCCCTGCATCCCACATCCGAGTCCCAGCAGGTTGACCGGGACCAAGAATACACCACCCAAACCAATATATCGATATTGGAAAAGGTGTATCAAGATTTTGATGACGATCTTGTAGCGCTCTTGAGCAAGGCGGACGTCAAGACGCTGAAGGTTTGGGAGCTGTGGGACATGGATCAGCTACCGACGTGGGTAAACAACAAATTGGCGCTACTTGGAGATGCTGCACACCCATTCACACCCCATCAAGGTCAAGGCGCTGGCCAGGCAATGGAAGATGCAGCTTCGCTGGCCGTAGTGCTACCTTGTGGCACAAAGCAAGAAGAGGTCGCTGAGCGTCTGAAGCTTTACGCCGACTTCCGTTCAGCCCGGGCTCATCGAATCCAGCAGTTTTCTAGACTGGCTGGCCGAGACGTGGTCGGCCCTGTAGACAGTAAGTCAGAGATTTCGGTCCCTTCTGAGTCAAAGCCGCGGACTAACAAAATCAGTGATGGAATTCACCAATTATAACTTCGGGCATGACGAATGGGACAACTCGACGAAACTATTCCGTAAATGGCAGTGGTCGCAGAAACCAGACTTGTACTGGCGAATGCCAGTGTCCTTCGGCCCAATGCCTGGTCCTAGGCAGTACTTTGGAGGGTCATATCTCAATCCAAAAGGGTCAAAATTTGTGACAGGGTCATTCAAATTCAAAACCTCTCGGACCATACTACAGAATCTATTTCCCTCTACATCATTCACATTCAAGTCTCCAGGAACTGTTGCGCTCGCCAGCTTCTCCCAGACCACTGTACAGGGAATGAAATGGCTGGGGGGTACCGGATACCGTCATCTTGGCCTATACATCCATGGTGTTCAGTACGTCCAAAAGAACGGCGAGGTCTTGAATGGCACGTACATACCTCTGATGTTTGAGAACCTGGCAGAGTCCATAGTGAGTGGTCGTGAAGAGCTTGGAGTGCCAAAATTATTTTGTTCACTTGAAATATGCAGGCTGGCTACCTCGTATAATGTACAAGCACAGTGGCAAGGGATCACTTTTGCGAACTTTACTATCGACGGCCTTAAAGATATCCCTGCCTTGGAGGAAACTGGTACAAATGAAAGCGAGCCTGGTGAGGGCATATTTGCGTACAAGTATATACCGAGTACGGACAATCTCAATGGCACAGCGAGAGGTCAGGCGGATATAGAACATGCTGTGTTTTTGCCGCATGTTAGCGAGTCGCAAGTAGTCTCGTCTAAAGTGACCAGGGTCATGATAGGGGAAACAGCGAGCATATCATTCAACCCCGGGGACTGGGAGGATCTTCCAACATTACACCACATAGTGTTACGACTTTCAGAGATACCAGTATACGGGATGGTTAGCGCAATGGTGGTGGAAGGACATGGTGTGCCTGACGTTTCCTCTGCTAGGCGTATTGATTGAGTGACACGCAGCCAAGTGAGGCTATATACATCATGACCCGAATTCAATCAAGCTTGTCGGTTCTCGCTTATCGTCATTTCGAATCGTGTCTCTGACTCAGTAAGCGGCACCCGTGAACATATTGTTGAGACGCTCGCTGCAATCCAGACCTCCCCTGTCCATCGGCGCAGCCCTACCGCCCCTCTACAACGGGGTGCTATCTCTCCAACGGATCCAGTGACACTATACATGAGTTATAACACAACCGGCAGAACGTAAGCCTCAGTGCAATGATCACTCTGCACAGCCCAGCTTTCCAGATTCCTGGGCGCTCAGATTCTAATGGAGCGTAGAGGACATGCGGGAAATTGCAGAGAGCCCAGGCTGAGAAGGGGCATGACGGGCCGCATGAAGCATCCGCCGTATTGTGAAGCGCATGTAATGGTTTATCATACCATTGCAGCTGTTGGTCGTGGCTACGGCGGTGGGAGATTGATAGGATAGTGGAGAAAAGGGATAGCGTGGAGAAGAGGGATAGCGTGGAGCAAAGGGAGAACGTGGAGAAAGGCGATAGCGCGGAGAAAAGGGATAACGTGGTAAAAAGGGATAACATGGTAAAAAGGGATAACGCGATCCACAAGTGGTAGAAAACTGAAGCCTGACAGACTGCCACGAATCTCTTGAGATTTTGTTGTGTCAATCGTTGGTAGATCAGATGGAGCTGTTTTCATCTCATTACGTTGGCCGGCCTGTTCTAGTACATCAGTATGTGATGTCCAAAACACATGTCTTCCTCAGCTTGATAAATGACCGTAACTACTATATCGGAATAGCATATTGTACAACAGTAGAAGCAGGGAACGTGCGAAGCGAGGCTACACAAGATATCACCACCCTGGAACACGATGTAAGGGAAATGCACGTTCGATGTGGCGCGGTCGAGCAAACATTCGGCAAGCCAATAGGTTTCCTCCCGGCCGACTATTGGTCTTCTAGGTATGTGAAGATATATGTCAAGAATGGGCACAGTCAATGGTCCGGACGTCTTTTTCCTTCGAGGAGATATGCCGCGTATAGGAAGTGAAGTAGAAGTGAGACTTGTCCGTTGATATCCTTGAGTATCTCGTGACTCCAGAAAGACACCCATCGTTAGGGTTATGTCTCTTGTGTCTTATTGGGCTATGAAACAGCTGTTTGCCTTACCAGTGCGAACGGTGAAAAGTGATGATGTTACTCATGGTGCACCGCCAATGCGCTGGACGATAGACCTTTACTTTGCGTACACAAGGGGGATATATCAGTTCACTGCGTCGAATGAGACCTTCATGGGAACGAGACTTTCATGGAAATGAGACCTGATACATTGGCAAGTATGACTGACAATAGAATTATCGTGCAGGTCCCAGACCTATTTCGCGGCTTTCTCAAAGAGGAACCTCAGCTCAACGCCTTCTATGGGTCTATCAGACCTGAGGCCGAAGAAGAGCTGTGCAGGTATATTGATGACAATAGATCCAGATAGACTATGCTTACGCAAGGTAGGAGGTGCGACCTGGACTCTGATACACAAAGGAAGATTGAGAAGTGCAACTTCGCATTTTTCGCTGCAGCGATGGTGCCAAGAGCGGATCGGAAGCGATACAAGCTCATCTGCGAATGGGGAAACTGGATCTTCCCATTTGACGACCTTTTCGATGACGGGCCACTGCGTGATGACCCAAAGCGCGCTCGGGAAAGCATGAATCGACTATTATCCAGCTTACGGAAGCCTCCGAACAGTGTAGTAGAGACAGATTCGACGTGGTCTGCGCTCATTTCCTTCCACGATCATATATACTCAGCTATCAGAATGGATTCGACGGATATCGTGTCCAGGCGATACGCAGATGCAATGACCGACTACTGTATGGGAACACTCGATCAAGTCGGCCAATACGGAACCCTGCCTACAATAGATGAGATGCTTGCCATGAGACGTCGTTCCGTTTGCGTAAGGACTTTGTACGTACTGATCGAGTATGCTCATGAAATTCGAGTTCCAGAGAACCTTCACGATAATGCTCATCTTTTAAACATCGAGACAATTGGCGTCGATCTGATATTAATGCACAATGACATACTTTCATACCGAAAAGAGGAGTCAGAAAGTGTTCCTCACAATCTTCTCGCAGTGTGTCGAATGCACGGGATGACAATGCAACAAGCTGTTGACTGCCTCGAGCATCATATAAGCGAAAGACACCAGCGACTGGATCACACTATTCAGAATTTGCCTAGCTGGGGAGAGGATATCGACAATGAGGTGGCTAAGTTTGTTCAGGCTGTGCAGAACACTATCAAGGCAAATTTGTATTGGAGCTTCAAAAGCGGTCGCTTCTTAAGTGAAGAGAAGAGGATTCGACTGAAAGAGTCAGGAGAGCTCGACGTGCTTGCACTTCCACGATTTTTGAGACTCGCACATACCGAGCACCATAAAAATGAAGGAGATGGCCGCGAGGAGCTAGCACAGGGACTTATCGATATAGACGCTCTAAAAAGAATCCTGGCTTCAGTATACCGGGCTGTACGTACCGTCATGGGCGTCGGTTGGCATTGACAAGCACAGCTTCTGTAGATGAGGTTCTGTTATGCTATTATATAATATAGTAGTCTTACGGTCGACTAAAAACGATATACGTCTTCGCTTGACGTGTCGTTTACGTTTTGGATCTGATCTAAATTCCAAACCAAGACGCCCATCTTCGGTGTTGCTAGAATGACAGTCACCACAGCTTCCAGTCCATGCATGGACGACATATGTATATCTATTGTCACTACAGACTAGAATGTTCAGAACAATTCTTAGTAAGCGCGTAGACTATTGCAAAAATCCTGATCATAGACTAGTCATTGCAGCGCTAGATCAGTCGCAACGGAGAGCATATCTAAACGGTGTGGAGCAAACTATCATTGCTATATCATCTGCTGGAGTAGCAACGCAAACCGAGGTCTTACAACTTAAATGGACGTATTCTTGATTTGTATTTCATAACGTCATAAGCTTTGGTGAGCGATCAACGAGGACTTGTTCTATGGCTGCTTCAGTGTCATATTGGCTGCAAGTGATACGTTAAGATGCACTTGTCAATATTCACCTTAAAGTGTGGCATATATCTTATGAAAAAGGTAGATTCTTGCTATAGCAATTAGTAATTGAAGCTTTCGCTGATTGCGTTTCGCCCGTCCAGCCATTTCAGGAGTGTATTTTGTAGTGCTACCCCTGCACATATATAGAAACTATGCACACCCTCAATCTCAAGGTCTTCTTTCTGTATTCGTCGCCAGATCACAGTAGTACCTTGCTCCTGTAATAGATTAAAAGGCCGTCTACCCTCAAAAGTCTGTTCAGATGCTCCTGTCTCAGTTACGAAGAGAGTGGTCTGAGGACCAAGATCATTGTACGTGCTCAAAGTATCTGCAACAATACCGAGGTCCTGTTTACGCACGGCCCACAGGAGTCGTAGTTGAGGGATGGGTATGCTTTGGAGTTGGCTGAGGAGAGGTGTGATCCCAACACCACCAGCTATGAATGAGATTACCTGGTCATCAGTCCCTTGTGGTATAGTGATCTTGAAGTCCCCACCGATACCACGGATTGGAACGGTAAGTCCCACATTCGGGCGCTGTCGCTCGAGGAAACTAGTCACTGGGCCATTTTTCCTCGCTGTGATCTCAAATATGTTTGTGTGAGGCCCAGAAGGAGGCGAAGAGATCGTGAAGGTGCGAATGAAGTCATCGTTCAGACTAGCCGGGTCGTCATCTCTCATATGACTATATCCGATATCTAGTTCTTCTGAAAAGTCTAACGCAACCCACTGTCCGGCATCATACGAGATAGGAGCTGATGTCGAGAAGCGATATCGAGATATGGTAGGAGTAAGTTCTGTTTTGGCCTCCAACATGGCGTTGTTAGGAGGATTCCTGCTGGTGTCAAGCACATCTCTACCTTCCTTCACCAAAAGTCTCAAATGCGGGTTGTATGGCGAAAGCTCGCCCGGTACACCACGAAAAGGTAGACCACTCTCAACCAGCTTAGCGGATCTTATCTTTAGTTTGACCAAAAGATTGGTGTGTGGTAGGAGTTTTGCCGCGTCTTCTCCAATGAGTATCTCTGTATCACCAGTGACGTATAGGATATCACCGGTCACAAAATTGGGAAATGCGAGACCGGCTTTTGGAGTCCTGCAGAGATTCCCCAGGGTTTGATAAAGCCTGTTGCCGCTATATTCAGGCCAGACAATCTCAGTACCGTCCGAGTCATTAGATAAAACTCGCACAAAACCAGGAGGCCCACCTCGATGATTCGTGTCCATGTCAGTGTCTAAATAGTAAGATGAAACGAAGAACAAATCTGCGTCACCCAATAGCTCCAGAGCTTTTGTGCTAAGCTTTGGAGAATCAGATACAAGCTTTGACTGGATTGGTGCTGGCGTCACCTCCTTTTTATTGAGGTACTTGGGGCAGTTTCCTTATATGGGTCAGCCGTGAGATCGCCTGGATGTGGTAAGTATACGTACCAAGGCTTTGCTCTACATTCACTACCAACTGAATCAAGCCTTGATTCACAGGCTTTACTGCATTTGGTTCCTCATTTTCCCCCTCATCTGCATTGGCGAGTGCCCCAGCAACCATTCGCCCGTAAAGTTTGACCCGTTTTCTTGTCATCAGATCGATGGTCAACGCGGAAACCATCCTCCCTGTTCCTTCCTCCTTAACCACTTCTCCATCAGCTCTCCCACCGACGAGGCATTGCACCACTGGATCATTCACACGGTCAACATAAGTCTTCGTGCCTACAATCGTGTTACTCAAAGGCCTCGAAAAGCCTGATTCGCCACCCCACACAGTAACCCAGGGACGGCCTTCGGCATCGATCACTCCGACAGCCAGTAGAGGGAAACGTCGGAGAGAAAATGCCGCCTGGGGTGTTAGCATAGAGGAAGTTGGATTATCTCGGTTCGGAACGTGTAGCAAACGATGCATTTCTTCCTCGCCCTCCGACCAGGGAAGAGCCATCGAGAATGCCATGGTGGACAGAGTGTTAACCGTGAAGTATTTCGGGAACGAAATTCGACAAGTCTGAAAGGAGTGCTGCTCTGACCTGGTCAAACGCTACTCGTAAGCAGCACTTTATAAGTAGCGGCCTAGGCTCCTGAAGAACTAGAGATGGTACAACTCTGCTGTGGTCGCTTGCTTATTCTCTAGAGGTAGATTATGTGTCTCATATCTGGTATATGTTCACACAATAGCCGGCCGAGAGCAGGTCATGTCCTTCTGACGCTAATTACCAGTGCTGACACAGGGTTTGTCAGAAGTACTAAGAGAATCGTCTAAGACAAGCGTCCTCGGGCCAATGGATATAGCATTGAAGCGGGAAGCCAGATCATCAAAGACTCTGGCGACTGTGGATTATCTCAACCTACTTTGCGAGGTCGTTAACATCGAGTGTTATGAACGCCGTCTTCCCTTCTGTGCCTTGTGGTGTTGCTCTGCTTGCGATGTGAGAGCCGAGATAAGAGGTCGCACTCCGGCTTGTGAGACCCTTCTTGGCAAAGCGGAGTGCCTGACCTCGGGACCAAGGGTCCCTCGAACGGATCCATCAATCATTTGACACTTGCCAGGGAGCTTCAGACTTGTAATTCCAACTGCGTATCATGATGTCCACTAACGTTATATACTATCGTGCTAAAGCTCCATGGTTGGAAAGCTTTCGATCTCTCGCACTTCGCTGAGCCGTTGAGCCAGCTCTATGAAGCCCAGCCACTATTGTTTACACCACGATCAAAATCCTGAAACCCCGCCTACGATGCCGGATAAATGAAGACCACCCACGACCTTTGGAGGCCTTTGATCGGGACCAGCAGTGTCGGAACGTCTGAAGATACTAGATCGTGCGAGGTAGAGCGATCAAGATCTGTTTGCCGAATATGCAGGCATGGTGTAAGAAGCTAGAAAAGTGTGTGGGAAGAAGAGGAAGCCGTTCAAAACTTACGGAGTACCCTTTTTCCATCCTCTACAGTGCTTGCAGCTTGCAGCCACTTTCACCAATGGTTGTTACGTCCATCATGTCGGACTTCATGTACTATGTAAACCAAGGCGGCATAGGAACACCGTGGACTTTCATTCTGGTACAGCTCGCCTCTCTCTAACAATTCTCTGTCTGATCGAAACAACAGCTATTGTCCGTGTCGATCGTCACTGTCTTTAGTCTGACAGCAACGATTGTTTGAAATTGCTAGGATGGCTTTAACTCTACACTACGCCTTGAGCCTAATAACAGTCTCCTCCGTCTCTAGACACTCGGGTCTACTATGCTGAATTGGTGGGTCAGCAGCACTCTTGAACATGTTCGTACAATTCAGATGTTGGGTAACCATAGCGGTGTGAGGGTTTACCGGGCATACAAGGCTTTGTGTTCATTTGCACTCGTTGGACTGTGACTATATGGTCATGTGTTGCTTACTCTAGAACTTCACTAAACAGCAATAGCATCTCTACCTTTACCGCAGCTCTCCTTGATACATACGTGTTAAAACGCAGAATCGCCAAGGATGTATACAGCTAGATGAAAGACCTATCGGAACTGGACCGCAAGACTGAAATGATTCCCCACCCACGCAGTTATCCAGAAACACATGAGATGGTCGAAGAGGCTCAAGCAAGGATTCAGAGACCTGAACATGAGACGATACCTAAGACACACCTAAACCAGATATGGCAGTTTCTGCACTAGAGAGCAACGCGTCAAGTATCAAAAGGGCGAGTCGAGATGGGTACATGCCGATGGAGCTCGTGACCTATGGTGAGGCCGAGATATGATGGAAAACTGGTCCTAATGCTTCTAACTGTGTGATGCAGATAGATGAAGTGAAGTGTCATTAAGACTAATTATGTTCATTCTTCAACATCAAGTTATAGACTTTACCATTCAATAGCAAATACGGCGTATATTATACTCGAGTAAATGCTCTGGATGTCGGCCTGCACACGCACTGGCGCCTTCTGAGTCGAGCGAGCATGTAAGTTTGTTCATGTGACTGGGGTAGGAGATTAATCTCTTGACTCTCCATGGATACCATTATGAACTGATGACATGGGCAACCGGATTATTGAATATGACGTATAGACCCTACAGTATTAGAAAGTCACACGACCATTTCTGAAGAAGACCACTCTCACCAGTAGCAGTGAAACAACAACTGATTCTGAACCATTGTATTGGCCACCGATAAGCAGCATACATATATGACGAATTGCCGGAATACCGCTGGGCTGGCGGATTTAAAAAAAACCAAAATTCATCATTGGTCGAAATTCCGTATGTACTAGAGTTCCGACCTGCCATCCATCATCGCTAAGCTTGAGACCGGAGTCACCCAGGTGGGCAAGTAAACCAAAGAAAGCTATACCACTGTCAGCAAAACTGATTGCATGCAGTTATGCAGAGACATTTACCGTAATTATCTGCGTTTATCAGTGCGTCCTCCCTAGGCTTTTGAATTATGTTTTGCCACCAATATGAATTCGGACCGACATCATAGACTACACCGGACTCTTCAGTGAGGGGTCCTTGATAATATACCTGCATAGCAGAGGACGATCAAACTTACTTTGCCACGCCGGGAAATGGGTTAACTCATGTAAAAGGTAAACACTTAACAAGTGGTACGGATTCACAGTTGGGTCCATGAGTCCTCCTGTTGACCAGTCGAAGCCAAGATAATCTTGTAATGTAGACAATGACATAGTTGCCAGGCGATCGCATACTGTAATCTGCGCGAACAATTTGTCATGACGGGGGTGGTCTAGCGGAACTGAGTACATGGTAGCTAGAGTACCCGGACTACGACAAGCCGGGGCTCTTGGGAGTTTGAAGTGCGGATCAGTCGGAAGATAGTAGGTACCCGGTCCCTGCTGCCATCGAGCGTCATTGTCGCAGTAGAGAGTTAGATCGGCTTCCCCTCCGTCGATGTTTCGTGTTATATTCGCGATACTGTCCATGATGTTACGCACATCTTGAACGGCTTCTTGGTCGCTTATAGTCGTATGGAAGATACGTGAGAAGAGAATCCCAATATCATGATCGGCGGCAGTATGATCAGCGATAGTGTGATCGGCGATAATGTGGCCGGCGGCAGTATGGTCGGTAGTAGTATGGTCGTCGGCATTAGTATGGTCGGCAGCAGCGTTATCCAAGCGCTCAACGCTTCGGCGGGCCATTAATATTGCTTCCTCTATAGCCGCACCCACATTGGCTAACTTGAAGGAACAACTGCTATCGATATCATATTGTACAGCAAGTGAAGGGGAAAAGTAGAAGGAAGCAAAGACCGCAAATGCAGCCCAAAGGATCATTGTCAAGGCAAAAAAAAAATAAGAGGGCTTCAGATGCCATCGCGGATGCGAGAGAGGAACCTTAAAATTCTTATACTAAGCCATCATTCAGTCCATAGCAAAATCAGACCACTGTATGAATGATGAAACGGCCGTGCACCAAATATGGATAACAGATCGCTGCCACGTTCCAGCTATCATACAGCGGCTGGTATATTGTAAAAATGTCTCTCAGACGCAGTTCTCATATATAGTATAACCATTAATGTTCTCATATCTCATGCAAGACTTTACAGTCCTATACCACCGGTATTGAACATTATGAATTGCGAACTGCTACCTTGGCGATCGAAAAGCGAAGGATCTTCCGCGTGCGAACTTGGATGAGGCGTTCAGAAACCATGCGTCGATGAAACAAGCTAGGGTAATAGTTAGTCTATTAGTAGTAACTCCGGAATCGCGTAGAGGACGCGCTTATCTAGTTCTAGTTTCAAGTATCAATGAAAAAGTTCTTGACCAGAGCGTTCTATTAGTAGCTATAATTTCTAGAATAATCTCGTAGGTTAAGTGCTACTAATTTATAGCCTAAGTAGATATTTTTAGTTCGCTATTTGCCACGATTCGAAGTCGCCATGCCCATGAGCATGCTCCTTCGGCAATCACCGGTCCGTTACGTGGCCTCGTTTAGTGCTCACTTGCATATCTACGGAGTTATACTGCCACCTTCTATTCTTCATAGCCAGATAATTGTTGGATTAATCTAAGCACTATCCTGGACCTTCTGCACCACCGTTATATTAGCTATAAGTAAGCTACAAGGGCTATGTAGAGCTAGGACAACTAGCTCATTCTAGCTAGGACACGCTGTAGTTAGATCTCTAGCAAGCCATATAAGGTAAGAAATGTTATCAGTATCTATAGCTAATAACTATGTGGAACTACGCGTTTTGATAACTTCCTTAAGCCTTCGAACCGGATCCATCTTCGCCATCGCGACTGATAGACTACCTTGTGAACCCACTACGCGCACCTACCAATCACTGAAGGCACCAATACCAATGTCCATAATAGTATAAGCTTTGTTGCAATGGTCACTGCCCAAGGCTTCTATGTCAGCAATGTACTCGGGAATCATGTGCCACATCTATCTGACGGCACAGGGGAACAACAGTTTCACTCTTGCGACTCGGCAGACGCCGGATTTGCATACGCACGAATGCTCCACTAAGACCTTGTGTCTGTAAATGCAGAGCTAATTAAACGACAAACTGGACTCGAGAATTCAGTAAGCGACGGATGGAAACCAGGAATCCTCGGGGGGAACTGGGGTGTTAACCGGGATAAAGCTAGTTGGTGCCGATGATCAGACTTAGCAGGCCCCACTTGCAAGGGCACGTTCCGGACGCCGACGTAGGAGAAATGGGATTGTCGAGCAAAATGTGTCTAATTACGACTTCCAAGTATATACAAATGTAACAGTCCAAAGCCTGAACTCAACCCCTATGCATGCCTATTAACATCCTTGTTCACCGGCGTCAGGTACACCATTAGTGGTCCCTTGTGCCATAGAAAATATATCTTCTGGGCGTGGTTCCAATCCTTGCTCTCATCTGCGATGCGCATGTCGAAATTGAATACCATACGTGCGAGGATCAGTCGCGACTCCGCATATGCCAGGCTACGCGCGAACTCGTAAGTAAATCATACCACGACAAGTTCGGAACAGAAGAACAACTTACTTTCTGCCCAGACAGTTTCTTGGTCCGACGGAGAAAGGCTGCAGCATTTCCCTGTTGTCGTGTGCAAACTCCTCAGCGCCCAGGAAGCGCTCTGGGTGGAATTCCATGGGCTTGGAGAAATACTTGGAGCGGTGGTACGATGCCCACTGATAAACAGCAACAACAGTCTACACAAAGCCGTCAGTCTTCCCAGTACCACTGTTTGATCTAGATAGGGACGCGTCATGGCTTACATCCGCAGGTAAGTATTCCCCAGAAACAGTCGCCCCAGCCTTCCCTGTAATTCTTGGCAGTCCAATGGGTACCGGTGGATACATCCTCAGAGCCTCGTCCAGACACGCAAGCATATATTTCAGGCCTCCCACGCTGATGATATCAATCTCGTCGTCACTGGCGAATGTTGAGCGCACTTCCGCCGTCAGTTTCGCTAACACGTCCGGATTCGTCAGGATATGGAAGGTCGCCCCCGACAGCAGCGTCGCCGTCGTCTCACTGCCAGCGATGACAAGCGTGTTCGCATTCTCTGCAAGCTGTTCGATAGACAGCCCAAGCGACTGCTTCGAGTACAGTAGTCCGTTGATCAAGTCCGGTCTCGAGCCTTTCTCAATCCGTTTAGCGACTTTCTGGTGTGCGGCCTCTCTGGCGCGCATAGACGATTCTTTGATTGATATGGGCACTAGGAGGAGGAGGAATTTCAGGATGGGGAAGTAGTAGGTGGCCTGTAAGACAGTGCCGAGACGTGCAGACTCAAGGATCATTTTGACCCAAGGGTGATATTCGGAGCTTTCGAGACAGCCGAAGGGTTCGCCGAAGGCGAGGTCGCCGATGACATCGAAGGTAGTAAAGTTATACCAGGCGCCGAGATTCACGGGGCCCTTGATACAGTTTTCGTGGAGACGCTGGATCAAAAGATCGATGTACTTTCCAATCATAGGCTCCTGCTCACGCATGCTCTTTTCCGAGAAACCGTGCGCCAATTCGCGGCGTAATTTGCCATGCTCCTCTCGAGAGGCGGTGACGATGTTACTGGCTTCGATCGGATTGATTTTATAGAAACCCTCGTACTTGCTTAGCTCCTCGCCACCGCCCGTTCTGTGACCTGCGATGTCCTTCCAGGCTTCAGGGGTGGAGAAAGCGAGTTCGTTGGGCGCGACGCGGACAACGTCTCCGTATTTCTCGTGAAGGAGGAGCACGTCGAACGGCCATGTGCCGCGGATGAGCTTATGGCAGTAGGCAAGATGTGAGATAGCGTGCCATTTTGGACCAGGAAACTTGGCCAAGGGGTGGAAGTATAGGTTGTATACTGCGATCGAACCTAGATATATGGTGATCTAGGAAGGTCAGCAAGGCACCAGACGCATGAATGTATACTAACTGATAGTAGAAGAAGGAGCGCTGCATTCTCAGGACTTTTGAGTGATTGAAAGATAATGGAAGATATAGCCATGGTGAACGCAGAATATCAATGTAACCAAGCCACAGATCAAATAACGTAGATTTATGTATTGTATTGGTGTGAAAATCGCCATAGCCCTCCAGGGCAACGTCTATCTTATATCACATTCCTTATGCCACATTATTCCAGCCACGACTCGGTGGTACGTAGTGCGTTCCATAGAGAATGCGTGGTTAGTTGAAGCCAAGCCAGGTTCTCGGTTTCGTATTGAACAGAGCGTACACAGAACCTAACTCGGCAAAGAGAACGGTTTGAAGAGTCGCACTGTCGATCTCGTTGATGACGCTGAAGCTGACTCGCGCCGCGGGCGACATTAATGGAGGCGATCTATGGAGTCACTAGGCCACTAAGTGCGGCGATGCGGTTGGACAGTGAGCGCTAGGGTGCCACGCCGGAATGGAAACGAACATCCGTTCTGCCCAGTTGCTGCGTAGGTCGTGGAATATAGAAAGGATAAACTGGTGCGCACCTGTCAATATGTATCTGTGCTGGGGAGGGCAATCTTTCCATTCCAAGGAGTTGTTGATGCTGTACGTCCGCACCCTGTCCGACTTCCCCAGAAATGATGCGAACTCATCGCGCCCGGAACTCTAAGTGCGACTTGAGGATGACGGGCCAGTAAACCGACGCGGGGATACTTTTGATCTTAGGCCGTTCATTAAGAACTTGGCGGACACGCTTGTTCGGCTTCGTGTTCGCGTTGGATGTGCGCGAACGTATTCGGATTAGATGATAGCTTCACTCCGTCTGCTGATGAATAGGTATCACTGCCTTATGGTGACTCGTTTGTACGTAGCCATGGCGTCATTTGTACGCGAGCCGTCTCTTCATATGGTACAAGACATTAGCTATGCGCAGATTCATCTTGGTCTCATGTAATCCTGATCGATACGTATCGTGCTTCTATCGGCATCTAACATTGAGAGTGAGTCCTCGGAATCGACATGCTGTTATGGGCACAGATACAAAATACAACATATGCCGTTTGGACAGGAACAAGAAACAGGTTCTAAACACCGTTTACCCAAACTCCGATTCCCGGCTCCGAGTGTACATGATCACGTCTTGTATATGACACAGGCGCGGACCAATAGTGATCAACATTGCATACTGTTACGAAAAAAGCAGGCGTAAACCGCTAGGTTGTTTAACTTTGGTCCTTTTCTTCTCGCCAGGGTAGTCTCCGCTCTTTGAGTGGGTAGATCTTGATGATTTTGCAGTTCGAGACGTTTTCGATGTCTTTGCACTTCGTACTGATTTTGGTGCCTTGGATCTGCGGGACTTCCGATCCTCCTCCAGGACACCTTCGGCTATCAGGTGACGTGATGCACCAGGCGTTATGAATTCGCCGTCGACAGTTGTACCTTTACTATCGGCCTCTACGTCCGCGATGCCTCTTCTCCACATTTCGATACGGCTGAGCTCCGGTGCTTCGAGCTCGTCAAGCTCTAATGGTGACTCGAGCTCTCTGGCGACTTCCTGTTCAGCCTTAATCTTCTTGATGACCTTGAAACCACCAAGTGACACCACAGTGAGACCGACACCCACACCGGCGGCAATGAGAAACTGCGGACTAGCAAGAAGGGCTACCACGGCGGGAAAGCTGACTTTGAGGCTACCAAGCACACCTGGAGCCAATTTACTGATAAGCCCGCTTATCTCCGCCAGAGTAAGAGCTACAGCTGCTAGCTTATCTGGATTCGTCTGCAGGTTCTCTATCATAGTCGTCACGGAGTATTGTAAGCAGTTTGCTTCATCGAGTAACATGGTGAGCTTGGACGCCTTAGCGCGCAGCTCGTCCTCGTCTACTCTTCGTGCAACCGGCAGTGGTGGAGGCAGGTCTCCATATGCTAGATCCATATCGATATCATCCTCGGAGTACCTGCGCGAAGCCTTCTTGGGTGGTACTATAATCCCCTCTGTGTGTCTCCGGGCCAGTTGTTTCCGTAACGGTATATCGTCTCTCCCATCATTCTCGTAGAAGTTGTCCGGTGTGCCTCGTTCCACTGACGGCTTTCGCGTGTGATGGTGATGTGTTTTCGAACGTCGGACCCCTGATGCCTTCGAGTCGGCCCGAGAACGTGTGCGTGAAGCTTTGGAAGGAGCTCGTGAGACTGCGTCGTCGTCTTCGAGTGTCATTGATTTGAGAGCCCGTTGTGCTTTTCGTTGTTCGTAGTCGACATCGCGGACAGCCTTGATCTCTGCTTTACGCTCGCGATACGCAGCTCTTGCCTCTCTGAATACGTTGATGAGATGCTTGCTCTATGCCCTTGTAAGCGAAAGTACCAATATGCATTCGCGGTATGCTTGCCTCCTTGATAATTTTTCCTGACTGGTTGACCACCGTCACGGTCTGACCCATTGTGTTTCCCGCCATGGTGATGTTTCAGATGAGGCTTTGTACCCTGAACAAGTAAGCCAAGCCTGTGAGGCTTGAGACGGACACACGATCGCAGTAGGGGGTCCTGTGTGAGTGACCAAGTAACAGGCAAGGGCTGATGTGATGGTACCCGAGACGGAGCGGTGAGGAGACAAGTGCCCAGCACCGTGGGTATGTGTATGGATGTGACGGATGAACAGAGCCGGCCAGGAGGCCCTCTCTGTTAAGAGGCAGCAGTCGAGAGGCTTTGCTCAGTATAGTAACAGTGTGGCAGCCATGATGGTCGCGGGCGCATGGAGAGAGGTACTTTGTAGACCAGTGATAGGGATACAGCGGGGCTAGGCTTGTTGCGAAAGCACTGGCGAACCACCCAGAGCAGTACACGCTTCGTGGTTCGCGTGACTTTGTAGTGGTACTTGTAGGTCTCGGGCTCGATACGGCGAGTATTATTGCTGTCAGGCGCCGACAAATGGAAGTCCGGGTGGCTGGTCGTGCAGGAGGTTGATGTGGTCGCTTGCGATTTGACCAGCGTCTCGCCCGCGCTTTTATCATTCCACGCAGTCGCTACTGTCCCATTGGCTTTCTGTCGCTGCTCCATGAAGGCTGCCATCTATACAGAGAATGCTCATACTATTGATATCGTTTGGCCTTTCTTTTTTCATGCCCCTATGACATCGACGGCATCATCTACGTGGCTCTACCCTTGGACGTGGTTATACAAGATTCCCGGAGCCATGTTTCTCGCGCAGGCGGCTCGGCCGATCGAGGGCGATGGCGACAGTGATGGCGATGGCGATGGCGAGAACAATGCACACTGGCAGCACTGCCAGCTGTCAACCGCCGCTTTAGCATGGCATATGGCATCATGGCGTCACGGATTCATGGCATGTATGCGCGAAATTGCGCGTCTTTCCGAGACTCTCGTCCCTCAAATACCTCGTTTTCAGCTCCGTACAGGCTACAACATCAATTAGAAAATTCCAGATTGCACGCCACGAAAGTCGAAGACACTGGACTGTGGCTGTGTGGATGAGGCTCAGACTGACTGTGGCGCCTAGCTAGTCATGGCCAGTCCTGGGTACACAGCAGTTTTGTCAGACATGCCTTACCCTTTATAAGTAATATTGAGGATGTATATCTTGTGAGAAAGGAAAGATCCTGGCACGGGAGCCCTTGCGCGCCTTGTGTTACCAGACACGGTGTCTGAAACAGGGACATTCACTGTCACTGACAAATTTACTGCTGAATCGAGTAATTCGGGGACACTTCCGAAGCACTATGAACAACGACGGTCGGCCTGTGAAACAGTGTTTGCAACCGCCATAATAGCCTTACGGTACCCGTGCCGATTTAAGCATGACAGAACTGTACGACTTGCACATTCGTAATTCGTCCGCGCCACCATGTACATTGTGTCTAGTTGCAAGACGACATTGATTGTGTCTAGTTGCAAGACGACATTGAGCTTGACACAACGGGGAGAGAATCCGTTCAGCGATATGACCAGGGTCGAGCAATGGCAATATTCGGATATGTTTGTGTGGATCGCTGGTAGAATATCCATGCCCATCCATGCATGGGCAAAAATGGTAGTTCGGGAACACCCTCGTGCGATATCGCTGCTACAACACTATGTCTGGATTCTCGTTTCGATAATAGGCACCCGATGAAAGATCCAAGCGTCTACGATGTGACACTATGATTGTTAACGAAGTAGGCAGGACTTGTAATCATTGTGTTTTACAAACGTTCACAACAGTGCACCAAGTCATGTTCATGCACCTATGAAGCGACGAATGATTTCAACATGTTGTGTTGTGCTCAAGGTATGTTAGCCCTGATCCTCGATCCAGGTTGTGGGGACCGTAGTTGAGCGTTCGCTTGATCGAAGACAAACATGATAGCTTTATTTGTGCAGGTGAGTCATTTTCTAATGCTATTCGCGGACTTGATACCAGATATTCTAGCAACCAGGAGGCACGGCATCGCAAAGGGAGCACACCTACCAACCACCTATTGATGTTAGTAGACACAAGACGGTGACTTCCACTGACATTTGGTCATTGTACTTGCATCCATGACCGTGTGAGCTTAACTGCATATGACCAGTCACTCAAGGCGAGTTCGCAGATGGTTAGCACTGTGGCTGTCTGAACAACGAGCTGTCGCCGCATCTTCTAACAAGAGATGACCCAGGAGTCTAAACAACCAGGAGGAGACTGACCGCCTTTCCTATATATACTTTGCTCAAACATCACCCCGACTCTGCAGGATTCCACCCCTGAAGAGGAAGTCGTGTATTCGCCATAATTCCACCATCGCTCGTCATCGGCTGCCATCCAGTCGGCGGAAGGGCCGCTTCTTTTGGTTTCGAAATGACGAGCATAACAACCATTACCTCAAATCGCTCCCTACATTCAGATCCTCGTACTACTTCAGACGCCTACCACCATGCAGGAGCCGGCCACGACAGCCTTCGACATGCAGATGAACGCACCCAGAGGCCAACATTGAGACCAGACGTCATCAGAGCACTGAGCTGTTCGTCGCTCTCCGTGGTGAGTGGACGAATAGAGAGCAAAGACGGCGTAGAAAATATGTGCACCGAAGGACGAACCACGAAGAGCGCAGGACACTCGAAGATGAAACCGCAAAAGCGTCTGCCATCGACCTCTGAGACAGGTGAGTGGTTTCTGTATTTTGTTATCTTTTTCTGTCGCGCTTGGAGATCAGACAGGACGCGATATCTGTGGCTCTATAATGATGTCGTTGTTGTGTTGTGTCGATGATACTGGGTTGTCGCGGCCCGCGCCTTTCCAACTCACATGGCCGCAAACCGGGGATCCACAGCCTCGCGTGGGTGTCGTTGGCATTGGCGTCCACTTGACATTGGCGTGGGTGAGGTATTCTACACTACCACACTACCTACCACTACACTGCCTTGTGGTCGCTGGTTAGCTGGTGGATGTGGGGAATGAGGGATGGTCGTCGGCCGCGCCAAACCACACAGCTAAGCTGGCCTCCACCCAACAGACCCTAATTGACTGCGATCATGGACACACTTCTTCATATTCATCTTTCTTCAACCCATGTCCAGCTCTGATCCCGCGCTACTGGTGCTAACAGACTCGCAAGATATTGATGAGCAGCATGGCGCAAGAGTCGAAGTTGCCAATGGCCTGGCTTCACCTTCCCTCCACAGTAATGGCGACAATCGATACAAGCCGTCGCTGTTCCATCGCATGCGACATGACAAATCGGTCCTTTGCATGGCAGTCTCGAAAGATCGCATATACGCCGGAGCACATCGTGGGGAGATATTAGTACGCATGAGTATATTCCACGCGCCGAGTGTGGCTGACACACAAAGGTCTATCGATTAGATACCTTCGAACGCGAAGCTGTCCTCGTGGGCCATAGCAGCAGCGTATTGGGGCTTGCCCTGTCCTCGGACTATACACTCTTGTTCTCCAGCTCTGGAGATCGAACAGTCAACGTATTGACACTGCTCGCTCAGAAGCTCAACACAGTGCTAACTTGCACAGGTTTGGGACACGAGTACATTGACCCTACTATACTCCATCTATTCTACCTACGACACAGGTGATGTTTTTTGTGTAACATACTCCGCCGACTTGCAAGTGGTTTATCTCGGGGCTCAAAATACCAGTATACAGGTAGATGTCGTCTTGCGAGCTCCTTCAGGCAGCACTAACGGCGTCGATAGTGGTATGACTTGAAAGAGAAAGAATCTCGACCTCGCCCAAAACCCTCTGCACATCCATCATTCCGACAAGATCGATTCTTCGATTCCTCTGGGCCTGGTGGTGTACGCACACCTCGGCAGTGTTCCTCCGAGCGGCCTAGGGATACAAAGGGCAGTCTGTCGTTAGAAATTGACAAGCACTATATACGCCAATATGCCCATTTCGGCTATGTATACTGTATGCTACTTGCTGCAGGAAGTATATTTGGCTACCGAGGTGAAGAAGTTCTCATTTCAGGCGGCGGAGATGGTGCGATCAAGCTCTGGCGATTAGACGCAGACAACAGCGGGGCTTTGCGTAGCCTTGGACAGCTAGATGATGGAAGAGAGGAAGGCCATTCCGTCTTGACAATCGCACTTGACGGAATGTTCCTATATAGCGGAAGACTCGGAGGTGAGATAAATGTGTGGGACCTGGAGACTCGTCAATTGGTTCGAAATCTGAAGACCACCATTGGGGACGTCCTTACCTTGACCATCGGGGGTGGCTATCTATTTAGTGCTGGCATGGATGGGGTCGTGGAGGTGAGGCAGCCACCGAAGAACGAGGCAGCAAAACATTGCTAATGCAGTCTAGAAATTCAACTCTCAATATGAGCCTGTCGCACACTTCAAATCACATGCAGGTCTAGTACTAAGCTCAGCCTTCACGATACATAAAGGAAAAGCGATGTATGTGACTGGAGGCAATGATAGCACCGTCTCTGTATGGGACGTTAGCGATTGTCATCGCACCCAAGCCACAGGGCTTAGAACCACCAATGGTAAGCTTCGAAGCGGTCTTGGGTGATAATATCTAACAGCGGCAGAGCAATTGTTCGATTCGCTGAGGGCATTCGTGTCCTATCGTACCGTATCATCGGATGCCCGATACAAGGGCGACTGTCGGAGAGGAGCATCGTGGTTACGCGCCTTGTTTCGTAACTTTGGCGCCGCAACACATATGCTCAACGCTGACGATGGGTACAATCCCATAATCCTCGCAAAATTTCGAGGCAACGCAGCAACTGCCGCGCAACGTAAGAAGATTCTGTTCTATGGCCATTACGACGTTATCGCAGCCGAGAACGAGAAAGGAAAATGGCTCATGGATCCGTTCTCTTTGGAAGGGATTGATGGCCACCTTTACGGACGCGGTGTTTCCGACAACAAAGGCCCTATCATGGCAGCGATCTACGCTGTCGCAGAATTGGTCTCGGAGAAGGCTCTGGAGGCAGACATCGTATTTCTGATCGAGGGAGAAGAGGAGTGCGGCTCACGTGGGTTCTCCAAGACCATCCAAGACAATAAGAGCCTCGTCGGCGATATCGACTGGATATTATTGGCCAATAGCTACTGGCTGGACGATCATGTTCCGTGCTTGACATATGGTCTACGTGGTGTGATACATGCTTCTGTCCAGATCGAGAGCAACCACCCAGATTTACATAGTGGCGTAGACGGGAGCTCCCGCTTAGATGAACCTCTGAAAGATCTGGTGCTACTTCTGTCAAAGTTGACAGGAGAAAAGGGGTCTGTCCTAATTCCAGGGTTCTACGATCCTATCATGGCTGTTACGCGCGATGAAAGGGCTCTTTACGATGAAATCACCAAAGTGCTCTTGGAGCGCAATCCAGACCTTGGCGATTCCGAAGAACTTGCCGACTCCCTCATGCGACGGTGGCGAGATCCTTCACTCACGTTCCATGGCTTCAAGACCTCAGGCCCAAATAATTCGACCATCATTCCACATCTTGCACGATCTGCACTCTCTCTTCGGCTTGTTCCAAACCAAGAGTCGCATGTCATCGTAAAATCTCTCATCGAATACCTTCATAAAGAATTCAGCAAACTGGAGACAAAAAACACTCTTACCATTACCATAGACCACCAAGCAGAACCTTGGCTAGGTGACGTCCACAATGCCATCTTTAAAACACTTGAGGCTGCCATCATGGAAGTCTGGGGGCCGATCTATGGTCGGCGCCGCTCTTCACTTGTCACCAGGCCGGCTGCTCCTAGCTCCTTGACGAGTCCACCTTCTCGTCCTGTGACGTCTACTGGTCCTACCACATCAAATACTTTAGCTCATGGAAGTGTTACACCCCCCGACAGCCCAGTAATCCTTTCGCCAACTGGGACATCCGCACAGGCACCAATGCGTGCACGAAAACCCTTGTATATCCGCGAAGGAGGCAGTATACCTACCATTCGGTTTCTAGAAAAGGAGTTTGGAGCACCAGCAGCTCATTTACCTATCGGACAGGCTAGTGATAGCGCTCATCTTGACAATGAGCGTCTCAGATTGCTCAATCTCTATAAGGGGCGTGATATATTCAAGAAGGTGTTCCGAGACTTGCCTAGGAAATAAACACACGGTCTCGCCAGATGAAACACAGCGGACAATCCGGTTATTACGATAAGCGACTGCCTAGACCTGGAGTATGTTGTCTTGAGACGTTACGATACAGGAAGGGAGCAGTATACCTTACGCGTCAAATAATTGGACATTGATGTCGCTCCGATTAAAAAGTCTTGTAGTAGCTTCATATGTAAGGTCACAACACTAGCTCATCTACATGTATTAGATGTAAAAAAAAATGAAGACTATAGTACTGAGGCATTGATTTGCCAACACTGCAATATAAAAAAACTATTGGAAGCAGCAGCGCTAGGCTAATGTTCAATTACTGTTAACCGTCAGTCGCTGTCTTGTGTACTTGAGCATGCATGTCTAGAGATCTTCACAGTCACGATACTACAGTATGGCTGTCTCCAAAGCCATGCCATCGGGGGCTGGCGTTCTGTAGGTGTTCGCATCCGGATAGTTCGTTCTAGACATGATGCACTGCATGTGTGATCCAAGGCACGCGTTGTACTGGCTGTAAGGTAAGTGTTGAGCCGTGAGTCGTCCCATGACTGTATACCAAACATCTTTGTTGTGTAAGAAGTAAGCCACGTTAGCGAGAGCCTGGCTGCATACCGCAGGCAAGTAGCAGGAAAAGGGCCAGTCCAAGGCTAGTACGAGATTGGAAGACATCACCTCTGACCAAGATACCAGCATCACGCAGAAAGTGTTTCTGTCCAAAATGGGACTTGTGGCATTCTCACACTTTGCACTTACACTAGATGGTCAAAAGTTTTTTCAAGGACTGTTACCATGACCAAGTGGTCTCGCAGCACACCACCATCAGAAGAGAGTAGAGCTTTATCTCATCATCAAGTTCCTTATGACCGCAGAATACCTTCATTCTCTTCTAGATACAGGAAGAATGGACGTTTCATGCGGTATCAACGACTACTGAGAGGCTCAGCTATACAAGAACATACGCTTCATTAAAAAGTGCCAAAGCCACATCTGGTATAAGGCAAAACGAAGCAAAGCTCGCGAGTCTGAAAGAATAGGAGGAGCACCTTGAGGTCCCGGAGACCATACTCGAAATCATACAAAGATCACCATGCGTCTGGCTGACTTTCATAGATATCAGCCGATGGTCTATAGTCTCTATTGGTCAATCCGTTCGTGTTACCGGTGTAGTAGTCGGCGTACATTATTTGTCCGTTCCGCATTGCCTGTTGCTCTAACACGAAGACTACCTGATCGGTTTCATCAAATTTCTCATATACTCCATCATTTCTTAGTAATGTTCTGTTAAACGAGAAGGAAGATATCCCAGTATCGTCATGTGGATCTGCATTCCCAAGACGGAAAGACCAATAAGCTTGTTCGGTGCGCGGAACTATGCTCAAGACTGCTCGCGTGAAGTCAAGTTCAGGGGCTGTTCCTCCCTCGATGTCTATAACCTTCTCCTTCAGCTGTTCCAACTGAGTCCGCCAATAATGGGCGTGCGATCGGCTCTTGACAAGGCGGAAGCATATGCTTGGGAGCACATCCTGGCTGCATGTGCCTGAACTCCGTTCTCGGGCCCGTTGCACATCTGTCAGGATAAATAAACGAAACTTTTGATAGTGAGGAAACCGGACAGACAGTTCCAGGCATGTCGGGATCTTGTCCAGAATGCATTTTATCGGCAATTCTGGGTTGAGATCTGGTATAAATAGCTGCGAAACCCAGCCCCTCTTGCCCAAACTCTCGCCCTTGAAAACTAGGTGACCATCAACGTGAAGAGCGTGCGGAAAGTCATGCTTTACGAGTCTGTTGAGCCAAAACACTTTTTCGTTGAGGTCTTCTAAGCTTTTGATCGGTATGTCGATATAAGATTTCATCTCCTTGCCATCGTTGTCATGCAGAACGAAAGTGATATACCTTTTGCGATCTCTGGTACTTGGACCGGCTTGGTAAAGGTAATGCATGGCGTTCGGCGCCATATATGTTCGGATCGCAAATGTTTGAAAGATTTGCTGTAGACAATAAATATCAGTGCTCCCGGCAGTGTAATACTAGTCAACAAGAATGGGTCACAAGCCTCTGGGGGTCCACAAGATGGAAGGAGATCATTCTTTGCGAGGTGTATGATTGTTTAAGTACAGTTGAAGACTTGTCATCGAGCCATAGTTGGGACGCAGTGACTTCTCCTCATTTTATGGAATAGAAGGTGCGATAGTAGGTCATCGAAGTTGCTCTTCGGAATCCCTCACTACTTCCTGATATACTCCGTGTATGGTCTCCGTATATGTCAGTTTTAGGTATTAGTCCTCGTCATGAAATCTCCCAAGCTTTCATCATCCAACTTATGACAGCATCCTAGACATTCGACTTGGGATTAGAGAAAAAGTTTTCGCAGGTTCAAACGACTCTCCGACATCTACATGTCTAGAACGCTGACCATTAAAGGCAGTACCTGCGAATATTCTTCCATCATCATCGATAATGGCATCTCAGCCGGAGACCCCGTTCTACACGTCTAGCGACATCGAGAACCAGCTCCTTCCAAGCCAACCACCCTCACCACCCAAGAAAGCTCATCAGCACCCCCGTTACGGCGCACTACGCCCTGTTTCCTCTCGCCCTGCACTTCGAGCGTTATCAAATAATATCTGTGTATCAGAAAAAGTCCCGGCTCAAATAAAGCGCACGTATGGTGATGTACTCGCAGACGAAGCACGCACCATTAACCGTGCAGATGTCGACTGTCGCAACATTCTTCGTGAGAAAACAGATGGTACGACCAGTATCAAGCGAGTCAGTCGAAAAAAGATTAGCATTCTGCGAGATAGTTTCACTCCTCCCGCCAAGGAAGTATTTCCCGGGAAGCCTTGCCGTACGGCAAAGGCAACTGAAGTCGAGGAAGACGACTGCCTTGAAGTGACTAATCATCGTTGTATCAAGCTAGGGGATGTGGCCAAAGGTAGTGATTTTTCTGTGGACCTGGGAGAAGTACCTTTACCGTCAATCGAAAGCCCTGGACCTGAATATGTTACCGAAATCTGCATCCCATCGTCGCCAATCGACCTGGACCCAATGTTCGCCAGCGACAACAGCTTTGTTCAGCCTCGTCATAGCAGACGTTCCAGGAATGTCTCCCCCAGCGATCAACCTCGTCTCGAAAGATTCGAGCGCCGCTTTGGCACCGTACTGTCAAGCTCCAGCCTCGACCTGGACATAGACTTTGACGACGCCGCAACACGGCAGCCCAAGTTCACAATTAGCCCCAAACATTCCACTATGGCTTCAGACCCAACCAAACTCCGTCCAATCGAGCGTAGTCACACTATCACGATCTACAAGCTCCCTGGAGATGAAGACCGCCGCGCTTATGTTCTTCGAGAGATACTCACCGAACTTGCCCATAATTCCGATGATGCGGCGCTGAAAAGTCATCTCGTGCACAACCAGCACCATGCTCTCATTGCATCCCACGTCATCCACGCTCATCTCGCATATAACAACGGCGTCGGGATTCTCGGCTTCCTCGAGACACCGTTAACGTCTACAGGGCTCTGGCACAAGACACAGCGTGCCGGACTCGGCGACTCGTACGATCACATGTACGGCGTTCTATACCGCCTCGTCGAGCAAGGTACGATCGAGCAATGGAAGGAAATGTCGCCGTATCATAAAGGTGAGGCGAGCGTATTGTATCGTGTGTTCCATGATCAGCTGTCCAAAGTGGATCATGCATTTGAGGAGTTCGGAAAGGCGCCAGTGGTTGTGGAGATGAGTAGTTGGATCACTAGCCTGTTGCATATTGAGCAGCAGGTCGATAGTACGGATCGAACTATTTTGGAGATGCTGGTTTGTGAGGCGAATGATTTGTGAGGATGCACGTTCTTGTTCTTCGAGAATCGGAGAGTAGTATGTGGTGAAGGAGAAGTCGCTGGGCATTCTGAATAGTGGAGACGACGTTTCAATAAGATTGTCTAAGGCATTGTTACGTCTCTGTAGTCAGTGGTGTTAAAGGATGAGATAAGAGGCTGTTTGACTCGCGCGCTCACCTCGTCTGCTATCTGTGCTTCCCTTGAGACGTATGATACGCTACCGGGAGGACATCGAATTATTCCCGCCCTATCTTCAGAGCACAGCGCTGCCTGATGCACGCACTGATAGAAATTCGTTTCGTACATGTAGTCTATCGTTATACATCTCTTTTTTTGTCGTTATCACCACAATTGGCGTCTCTATCCACCGGCGCCCTTAGTTCACAAATGCCCCCTTTTCTTGCCCTCCTCCTCCGCGGGAAACTCAAGCAGCCACGCATCCTCCCTCCACCGCCTCCATCCATCCCGCGCCAAACTCCTGCCCGCAACCTCTATATCCGTCCGAATATCCTCAATCAGCCTGTCCACCCCATCATAGTCATACTCAGGCCTGATAAACCCCAGAATCGACAGATTCAGCCACGCATGGTAGAAGTCGGTCGTGAAGGCATGCATGATGTGCACCTCGACGCTGCGCACGGTATTTTTGTAGAACGGGTTGTAGCCAATGGATAACACGGCTGGGTATGTGTCTTCCGGGCCGCTTCTGCTGCTCTTGTCGTTGTTGGTGTCGTCGTTGTTGTCAGAGGAGTGCTCGACATGTTGCTGGTGTGCGCTGGCGATTATGGGGTTTGTTGCTGGTGTTGCGGCGTTGGTGGGTGGTGTGCCGGTCGTGTGTGCATCTTCTGCTGCTGCTGCTGCGTTGCCTGCGACGGCATGGCTCCGGCTGGTGTCGAGCCCGACCCAGCCAAAGTAGACGCCGGACGCGAGTGTGCTGTGGCCGCCGACAGAGAGCCCGGCGATAGGGATGTTGGCCGTTGGGATGCCGAGCTACTGGCGTGTCAGTGTCAGGGCTGCATTTGACTGATCGAAGAGGCAGAAGGAGAAAGGGAGAGAAAAAGAGAGAGAGAGAGCACACCTCTCTGCTTCCGCGCCCGAAGCCTTTGATGACGGGACCGCTGAGTTTGATAGGAAATGGAGCTTCGGGCCCACTGTCTGAACCGACAATCTCATCGCGTGGGCGATTCGCGGGTGGAGGCATGTTGTGGGACGGGGTTGCGGGCGAAAGGAGAGAATTGAAGGAAGTGGGATGACACGGCGGGGTTCTACTTAGGTGGTGGAGTGAATGGATGACGTGAGCAGTGTTTATTGATGCCATTCAGGGTCCAAACCAATTAGGTCCGTGCGGTGCGATAAGGTACCATGAAAGGAAAGGCTCCCGTTCGCCTTGTTTTCAAGGCTCTGGATTGACGATAATTGCTGCAGGCAGGTAACACGGGTTCTAATTACAGTTCCATGTCATTGCTTGCAACCTGAGAGCCCTTGCGGGTAAATGCATTTTCTCTAACACCGGAACATGCGACCATAGCAATCCTGTCGAGGTATGTGCCCCAAAAACGCTCAATGTACGCCACCCTTGATGAAGCCTGACAAGATGTCAAAACTATTGTCCCCTCTGCATCCTACATGGCTCTGACCGAATGATGAATGGCGTAAATACTATCAGCTTGTCGACCGATCAATGTAGCGTGTCCGAACAAAGCTCTAGGCGACGATGTGTTGCCTCTGAGCCCCCAGCTGGACTGGTTGTTTGAATGATTCCTGCGGTGAGTGTTGTTGTATGATGGGAAGGAACTGGAAGGAGGCCATATTAGCATCCTGAATACATTGAATGCATGGTAGAGGCAAAACAAGGACTCACATTCAGTATGATCATCGCTGGCATGTCGAACTGATCATGCCAAACACACCAACACATCTGACAGTCGATTCGATCCTTTCCACCGGCCCGTCTCGCAGGTCTCATTTTTTCATCCACAACTCTGCCACCGAGATCGTCTTTCTTTGCCTGGTTCACGCCATTCGAAACGCTGCTCATCAAACCATCATCTTCGTTCCGCGCAACGTATGACATAAGCTTCACACGGCGTGCAGCTGTCCCACGTGCATCACCGAAAGCCAGGCGCGCAAAGTCCTCGTAGAAGCGCACGACACTGTCATGATCGAGAAGTTCGGCAATCATCACAGGGTTACCTGTGGAAGTACGTGGGGGAAGGTCTTCAGCCGGTGTCGTGGCTCCAGCTATACTACCTCTTGAGCTCGTCTGCGTTGAAATCGAGTCCCAGTTGGAGTTCAAATTCGGCTCAAGGCCTAGAAGTACATTACGACTCCATCCTGTCAGAAGTGAAAACTCTTTACCGACGGCTGCAACCTCGCCCGAGCGGCGGATAACAAGTGAAGGAGTCCCAATATATGCGAGCCAATCCTCGTAACCCCAAAGCTTGCGTTGAAATGTGCGCTCTTGAGCGATCAGATCTTGCTCATCGAGGTCTTTGGTGCACGCTATGAATGATGGTCGAATTGAGGCCATGGACTTAGCTACTCGCATGCGTTTGTCGACGGGGAATCGAGTATGCAGTAGCTCCTGAAAACGATGGAAAGCTTGCGTGTACGGATAAGGCTTGTTAAGATCGCGATAAATGACATTCGTGTCTCGATGCACCCTCTTCGGGCCAAAGTTGGGGTTCATATTTCGAAGTAAGCTGCCAGGCTGGCGCTGATGTTGCTGCGACTGTTGTGACTGCACTATAGGTCGATTCTGGTAGATAGGCTGATGCTGCGCTTGCTGTTGGTTGGTGTTTACGAAGAACGCTGGTGAAGCTGGTGCTCCTTCGTACGTCGTCGGTGTTCCATCTTGACCCGAAGAACCCGGACTTGCACTCGAAAGACTGCCAGCATTGTGGCCAACGGAGTAGGCGTTGTGATATGTATCAGGGCGTACTACGGAATCCATGTTGTTCGGAATTGCCGACTGAGGCGTCTGCATGTTGACTTGACTACCTTGCCTCGAATGAGCGATCTGCCAGTCAACATTGTCGAAGCCTCCAACGTTCACGGGGCTGTCTGCATAGCTTTGGGGGTTGTTAGCATGATACATGGCCTGATTCAACGGACTGATGATATTGTTCTCATGCGGTGGAGTCTCTCCAGCACCAGAGGACATGTGGCCGAGCATGCCGAATTCCAAAGCTCCATAATGGTTCCCAAAGTTCATACCAGCGAGATCAAAATTGAATAGCGACGGATCGTTAGTATCGAACATGCTCGGTCCAAAATTCTGCATTTGCGGTGGACTCTGTTGTGGGACTTGTTGCATTGGTTGCCCCATACTCTGGACTGGTGGGGTTCTTTGGCCAGACTGCTGTGTATAGTGAGGTGGTGAAATCGGGGTAGACTGTCCACTGTAAGGTCCCATATCAGGACCTGGTGGAGGCATGTTGCTATGCATGGGAGGGCCATTCTGTGGAAACATGCCATAGTTGTTTGGGGGTTGTGTTGGGGAGAAATACGTCGGTTGTGGTCCCATGGGAAGGCCTTGATCTGTCAAAGAAGTTCCTGATGGGTTGTTTGGGCTACTCTGACTGTTCATATGAGGTGGATAATTACTCAAGTGCGGCGGTAGTAATGCTTCGTTCGGCGCATCATGAAGATATTTGGCCTTTTTGCGTACGCCATCTTGACATTGATCTTGCAGGCCGCGACGTATGCACCTACCACATGGTCGCTCATCACCTGATAAGAGTTAACAACTTTGGACGAGCATTCCTTCGCTATAACGCATACCCAGGGATAGTAGAGAGAATGGAATACATACTGCAAGTCAAATGAGCTCGTTGGCAGGCTAAGCATGCTCTTCTTGCCTTCTTCCGTTTCTGGCGGTTGGGGTCTTTGAGGTTTGTTTTCGAGCCGTTCACAGGTTGTGACTGCGACGACTCGTCCTCGGGTTCAGATTTGAGCTGTTTGTCTTCAGCCATATCGTCACCGTCCTCATCGCCGCTATGTTCCGGGGAGGGAGACGCATCTTGCGCGTCTGGGGTGGACATTTGTAATATGAGAAGCTGTGTACGACGTTGGGAGCGTCCGTATGAGAATCCAAGCGTACCGCTGCCGTAGCCCCACGTTTATGCTGCGGCTATCCGCTCCCGATGTCGCCTCGAAAGATAGCCCCAAGTGAATGGTTCAGCCAATAGACGTGGATCCAAGGGAGGTCGGTGTTCCCAAGAGAGTGTTTCGAGCGAGCAATATGCGTGTGCAGAAGAGAGACAGACTCGAGCCAGGGTGGTACTGGTAGTGTGGACGGTGCTCAGCTGGGCGCGGGGGAAGTGTGTGCGACAGGACTCGACAGGCTTGGAAGCAAAGTCTTAGATTGGTAGGTCGAGACTATTGAAGAGAGCAGAATGGTGGCGAGCTGATGGAGTGGTACAGCGAGCGAGACGTGGGATTGGGACAATGCTGGGGTGACACGGGACCGGGGTGAGTGCAGAGATGATGGCTTTCGAGAAGCAGATGTGGATATGATCATGGTGCGCAAGAGGCAGATCCACCCATGCCTCTGGCGTCGTTGATTGTGTTATATCGCGAATACGGATGGCCCTTGTAGCACGAATGGAAGCGAGGTTTAAGCGTCTATATCGGTAGCGCGTGCGCAATTGAAGCTGTAGGAGTCTTGGGCGGCTGAGATTTGGTCAAGGGTTCAAGATGCTAATTATGCGAAGCTTGTCCTGGAGCTGACGGCTTGCCTAAGTCTCAGAGTCTTTCAGAGTCACTGTTGATATCACTCAGCGACCAGGCTGGAGGGTTGTTGTCTTGGAGCTAGGATCAGGGCTCGCAAGGTACAGCAGGCAGTCGAAGTAGGAAGACGTGGGGATTCGCGGGAAAACTGGAGGAAAGGAACTGCAAGAGGTGCAGGGCCTTTGGATGCGATAGTGGCTATGGAAAGAAGGAATTGGCCGAGAAGACAGCGAGGGCGTGCTCGCGTCGTGCTTGGAGCTTAAAAGGCGCTTTGAGAAGATGGCCCTGGTGGATTGTGGACTGTGGACTGTGGGATGTGGAGTATGTATGGAGTGGAGAGTGGAGTGTGTATAGAGTGGAGTGAAGGTTTGCAGTGCTGTTGTCAGCATTTGTCTCGGCCGATCGGCGCCCCGCAACATCTGAATCTGATACCGATCGGCTTTTGCGCATGCCCGCGACGTGGGTAGGTATGAGACTGGGCGGCGTAATAGACAGTCTGCCTCCCAAAGCACGCGTCTTGCTCTGTCCATCTGCGTGAGGAGTTGAGCCGACAAGGCCGAGGTCGCTCTGTCGGCTGCCAAGATCTGTGCATCTGCCTCAGCGTACAGTAGGTGTTACTTACCTATAACGCGGATTCTAATGCATCTTTCCAATTCCAATGAATTATGAGGAAAAACAGGAGCAGGAGAGGAAGCCTGGCTGAGCAGTGGACTTTACAACTGAATTCAAAGCTGACCTAGATGGCTGATGTATATACAAGGGATGATAGGTAGCAGTGTCTAGTGATCCATTGCGACAGCGCAGCCCTAGGTGCACAAGCACCTGCAACCTGCACAAAACACAAGCATCTCCCTGCACAAGCTCAAGCCCACGCACAAATAATGCACAATCAGTGCATAAACACATGAACATGCCACATCGCCACCGTGCAGCTGACCTGGTCCTAGCTTGTTGCCCTTTGTGGTTAGAATGCTGACTCCTAATGGAATCTAAGGATGCCCCAGGCTATCAGGCATCAAGGCGCTCAGGCTCATGCTTACGCTCGCAGCTCCCTTGTTGCAGCTCCCAGCATCTCAACAACATATACGTGGACAACGCCCCAATCTTCTGCACTTTGCACTTGCTCGTGATCAACTTGGTTGCCTTTTACTGCTGCACCTCCAACCTAGTGCCTCTCACATATCTCCAGCCCTGCTACCGAGATGAGCCAAGCCTTTCCCACCATCTGAGTGTGAGGTGAGCCCCTTGCTCAGAGTATCTCATTCAATCTCATCTCATCTCATCGCATCGCATCGCCATCTCATCTTGTCTCGTCGCCTCCACCCTCGTACTCCGCCTGACGTCTCATCACCTACGCCTCGACGCTCGAGGTAGCCACGTTGCGGTTCAACCCAATATTCGGCGTCGCCGCTAGCAGCATGTTGTATCCCACTCGTGTCCTACCCTTGGACCGTGAATGCTGGCCGCGAATGGCGCCTCGTGGGTTGTACAATCAAGGCGCAGCCGTCTCAACGATGCCAGCGATGCGTGTCTGTCACGTGCCATGTGCTTCTGATGATGCGTCAGACCGATCGAATTCATGCAGTCATTGATTAAGCAACATGATGTAGCTATGTTGCAGCTCCCGACTCCACGCAGCCACCTCAGCTATGCTGTCTGTTGTGGACTGTCAGCCTCCCTAATGCCTCTACAAATGCTTAAGCACTTACACTGTTCTAGGCCTATGCGCTGGACCCATATTTGATATATCATGCTACTTTACAAACAGTACCAGGACCTCGAGTCGCCATCCTTTCTGTCATCCACCAGATTCAATCCTATGTCGTGCCACCCTCCTTATATATAGTGGGGCTGGACTGTCTCCCCCCGTTCACATCCCTGAAGGACATGCTGTCTCTTGTTGGACACACGAGCACTTTCACACTCGGACACGCACTCATACTCACATCACGCCTTCAAACCCTAACACCCTTACACCCTCTTACACACCCTTAAGCTCAAGCCTGGGCAAATTTGCTCTTGCCCCTGAGGCGCTTGCCGAATCGATAAAAGAGGTATGGGAACCTGCACACTAACCGTTAATCATTGCCATCCTGATCCCAGCAACCACTGTGTCGGGTCGTATTCGCTCTACCCAAGTCTGGGAGTGTCCCACTTACGGTGTCATGGCCAGTGCCAGAAATGCTAGCAGTGACGTTGCCCACTGGTAGCCGAGATCTGGTGGCATAATTAGTCCACAAGTCATACAACTGTCCACTCGCTTGGATCGCCCATGACCGATGTACATCCAGTGTCCAATGGGCCATGCATGTCTCAAGCTGGTGTCAGACTTACTACTGTACATTTGCACCCCAAACAATGGGAAGGCCGCCGCGAAGCTTGATCGAGCAAAGCTGTTGGCTGCTAATGCCGACGCAGCATACAATGGGTACTACAACATTATGTCATGCGTCAGTCCGGTGCGATCCTCCATCAGAGTTGAATGGACATGTGAGGGGTATCTTACGCAGTCGACGAGGAATGTGAAAACGCCTGAGTATACGAATATGATTCTGCAGGACACTGTCAGCTCTAACACGACCATACATGGTAGCTGTGTGCGACTGCAGCATTATGCGTCTAACTTACCCGACACCGAAAATGGCTGAGAATATTATGGGAACTGCACACCATCGTCATCAGTCTCTCGCACTCACTGTGTTTGCTGGATTCCAAAAGTGTGCACGTACCTATCCAATGCACCTATGTACCCCCACAAAAGTAGTGTCAGCAAATATTCAGAACAGCAAGGGTACATGGAACACTAGCGGCCAGTACGTACGAAGGAATATGTAGTCCAACCAAACCCTGTAGCAACTGTCAGTCAAACCGTCTTGCAATTGGAGGAATTCCAATAAATCAGTGGGTGGCGTCCTACCGAAAAGCGACACTGGTATGAGAATTGCTCCCAGAATCGTAGGAGGCAACCGATACTCTGGTTCTGATCCGCCTGGCTCCCCTCCCTGCTGCTCCCGTTGCCGCACCAGATACTCGCGGTACTGCCGCCACAGAGGGTCTGTCGATATTCCAGCGATCATACCTATTAGGATACCTATGAAAGCAAGGCCGGTCTGAGACAGCGTGAAACCATGATTGACCCCGAATACAAGCGGGTACGCCCCGAAAAACAGATACAGGATGCCCAGCAGAAGTGCGGAGAGTATGCAAAGACAGAGACACTACGTAATGCGTTGTTAACGATCGTCTGTCTGTTATTGCTGACCTGGTACTTACCATTGGCTCAAGGAAGAGTAGCTGGAACGGGCGAATGCATGACCAGAGAATCGTCTGGGCAATAGTTCGATCCATATGCTCGATGGGCGCCATCCATTTGTCATTGCCAGTGTCCGCTCGCATCTTCTGAGCTTTGGCACGAAGCAGCACGGGATGATACGTCTCTGGAACAAAGAAGACGATAAGACCTAGCTGCACGCCTGCCCAAATCAGCAGTGTGTAGAAGGTCCACCGCCAGTTCGTGTATTGGTTTATGAAACCGCCAATGATGGGTCCAAGCTCAGGCCTGCAAACAATGAGTTAGCCCATGATCTGCTGAAAGGTGTGATTTAGTCCATCTGCGCCCATGCTCGGTATCTGGGAGCGATCCGGTTGCCCGGATGAATCAACAATCTATGTAGCACCAGATACTGGAGCCCCCGCCATACCCAAGTACATTCGATCCTTTGATTAGGATACATCATGGGCTGGCATATGATTCGTGGGAAGGGTTATGTGACGTACCCAATGAATGGAGAGGCTGTGTAGACCATCATGGGCATTGACAATTCAGACTTCGAGAACATGTCGCCCACGGTACCCCCTGGAACATCATACGGTCAGTTTAAATGCAAGTTTCCTTCGCTTCTGCATGCTTACCTGCAACACTCAAGAATGCAGAGCCTGCGACGCCATCCAAGAATCTCGAAACGAGCATCGTAGCCATCCCATTGGCAACGGCACATGGAATTAGCCAGATGACGAAGAATATAAGCGACGCAATATATATTGGTCTGCGGCCGTAGAACTGTTGCGGGTAAAGACGTCAGTGTTCATCTCCATAGAACGAACCCTGTGGTTCTGATCGTCAAAGGTTTGACTTGCCTCAGACAGGGGGGCTAGAAACATGGGTCCAAGACCCAAGCCTACAACATAGAGAGACAAGCCAAGTGTGGCAACCTCGCGTGACGAGCTCCAGAGTGGTATAACCTGCTCATAGATGCTTGTATAGCCGGACGAGACGCAAGTCCTGTCCAAGTCAGTCCGAGGGATCGCCCATGATGATTCGTTGCGTCAAGCATTGGTATATGGTGGTACTGCGCGATCAACGCAAGGTTTGACTGGATCAATACATACACACAGAGTGAGCTTGCTGCAATGATCAGGACTATGAGCCATTTCTGCAATTTGCCCTTATTCCTCGGATTCATTGGATCCTTTTCGCCATCCCACTTGACTTCAAACGCCTTCTCAGGATCGCTTGGTTCATTGATACCATCAGAGCCTTCGGCACCATCCTCGTCGCTGAAACAAGTGTATCCGTCTTGGCCAGCATATGAACGCTGTGAACGAACTGGGCGCAAGCTGTTGGTCGTGTTGGATTGATTTCTTGAAAGTGTCGGTTTCTTCACATCTCCAGGCGCTCTAATAGACTCGAGTCTTGGTGAGATTCTCTGCGGTGTGCTGTTACTCTCTAACGTCTTTTCTTCTTCCCCACCATGGTGTTGATCGGATACCGGGAAATGTGAGTCAAGCAAGGAGGATGTCTTAGATGTCGGCTCTCGATAAGCGGTATTGTTCAATGGTTCCACCAACGCCATTGTTGCACTTGTCGTGTGTTTGATGTGGCTTCACGACACCAAACAAGCTTCGCACAATCTACAATGAACGATGATAGCAGATGTCCAATTGCTGAACGACTGGTTAGATTGTTGTCTCAGTGCTACTTTATAGCACGTCAGCGAAATACGCCTGATTAAGGAAGCATTCTACGTCTTTCATTTAAGGAAGACAAGTACCTGGATCGGAATTGTATTCGAGCATTCGGCAATGAGAAGTATAGCTGGGACAATCGGCACTGCCTTGCGGCACATAAGATCACACCCAGTAGAATTATCAGTTATAGCTTAGCAAGCTGTCGTGAAACGGCCGGAGATCTCAGGGTAAACAGCGTGTCTTATTGCAATTGGTGAGAACAAAACTGAGACTGAGAAACTTTGTGGGTCGCAACGCCGCAACCCACGTGACTGCCAATGCGGAAATTGAAGATGAACATAGGAAAGATTGGAGTGTGGAGATAATGGTCCAGTCGTAACTCCGACTCGGATAGCCGACCTCGGCATCAACCGCACCGTCATTGTTGTTGCGGCATGGCTGGCTTATCCGTTTTCGGTTAGCTGGCACTGATTCCAAATATCAACCTCCATGTCGGCTCGTAAACACTTCTGCGACAGCAACAAGCCGCGATGTTCTCTCTCTACAATGGTCATAGACATAGATATGTATGTTGAGGTCCATTTATTGCTATTGTTACGCTACGAAGTTTCAACCAGTCACTTTCGCATATTTTGATATCTGCTAAACAGCCTCAACTGTCCCAGGAGCACACTGGGCTTTCTTTTTCCCTAGACGGCAGCCGCAAATATCTCCCAGATGGTCTCAATCCACAATTGTGGACGGCTCTCTGCTGGAAAATGGCCACCAACCGGTAGTCTCTTGAAGTAGGTTAGGTTGGCAGTTCGTTCAACCCAGTCTCGAGGCTACGTCATTGTCAGTCATCATGGTTGAACATCAACGAGGAGGCCAAGATCTTACAGCATAGTTGAAATCCTTCAAAGCTGGGTACGCAGGGCTGGGATAACCCCACTGCACTGCGGAAACAGGCACTTTCGTTTTAACGCCCGTAAACAGGTTTATCTGCGAAGTGCTATTTAGTGCATAGTCGTCAAAAGGGATTGGTGTGACTTACACCAAACAGCTCTTTATAAGACCGAATGTTTCCATATGGGCCTGGAATGTATAATGCTAGTGCCCGCCGTATGAGTTCTTCTGCGGTTTGCGGTACATCGCTGACTGTGTATACTAGTTGCCACATCCACGCCAGGAATCCAACAGGACTGTCAAGTAGCGTGTGGGCGAGAGACAACGGCAATGTACTATGTACATCAGAGTATCCTCCATGATTGGCGAGGAAATCATTCTGAGACGAAATGTAGGCAGTCTCTTCCGGCGTCGTCTGATTATTTGCGAATCTTGCCGAGTCGGTCGCATTCTGAAAAACGAGATAAAAGTCCGTGACGTGATTGATGATGCGATCAACGTACTTTGGTACCATGTGCTGTGCAACTACGAATCCCAGGTCTGTTGAGTAGACGACGTAGCGTTCATAGCCTAGTTGCTCCATGAGACTCGCAAATACGATCGCGTGCCCTTCTGGATTGAGCCCAGGGGTGGTCGGAGCAGGACTGAAACCAAAACCTGGGAGATCAGGCGCAACAGCGTGAAAAGCTGGGAGGGAGCTGTTTGGCGGATGGGCGAGGCTAGGAATCACCTTCGCCCATTCGAGACTTGTCGATGGCCAGCCGTGGAGCAGAAGCATTGGAATGGCATCCTCGCGATCAGAAACTTCATGAATAAAGTGGATATCCAAAGATCGATTATACATCTCTCCCGGTGGAGGTACAGTCGTAATGAAGTGCGAGAAATTTGTGTTCAGCTCATTTTGGAATTGATCGAAATTGAAGTCGCTCGCCCAATACTCAGCCACTTCTGAAACGTTGGCAACAGGTGGACCATCAAACCATGCTGGCGCATCAATGTCAAGCGACGGCCGAAAGTTAGATGCCCTAACACGCGTATCTTCGATGAAAGTCGGATCAACGTTGATTGTGTAAGGGCGGGGCTGATATGATGCGTTGTAACATTTGGCGACGGATATGAGAATGGGTAAAAGCAATGCTGATGAGGACATGCTTGTCCGTGGCGCAGTCCAGAAAGAAGTCATCTTCGATTCAGGTGTGGTCAAGAATGCAGAGCAAGCTGGGAACTATAGCGAGAGGATTTACCATTTTATATACAGTAAGCAGAGCGTGTATTATTTATTGCTTCTTGATTACGGTAAATCCTAGTGCGGAGCAGCTGACAGAGCAGTATGTCATTTCAATCAAAAGGGTCTATCGAAGATCGAAGTCCAGAGTTTCAAAGATTGTGACTAGTGAGAGATGATTATGTCAACTGGAATCTGTATAAGCTACATGTATGGCTTGCCGCAGCAGTACCTATTCCAGTAAAGTCGTGCTTACTATAGCCTTTCCCCAGTGCTAGAGTCTTCTAGCATACATAATTGGTCTGACAAATCCAGTTTTGGGTCGGATCCTTCTCGTGCGACTCTTTAATGGACGCATTGGTGCGAATGCGAAGAACCCTCTGCGATTAATTGCGAATGCGAAGAACCCTCTGCGATTGATTGCGAATGCGAAGAAATCCCTGCGATTCATGGATGGCCAGTGCACCTCTCGCACGGGTGAAGGATCCATATCGCCGACTGCCAAGATAGACCTGTGCGTGCACGATTCTTGGCTTTAGTGAATGAACTATACCTGTCTCGCAGTCCGACTGTCTTCATTGAAGACTGCCAGTTTCGATTAAGCTGGAGCGAGAGGGACCCTGCTTAGGAGCTCATCTGATGTCCTCTGAGCATGAGCGCACAAGATAACGCAAGAATGCTGGCCGCGACGCCCCGGATCCTACTCTCAGAGCTTCGAAACAGCCAAATCGAACGTCCGGCTACCAAGTGAGAAACCTACAGTAAATGGATTTTTCATACATCGTGAACGGACGGAGAAGATCTGGAAGCAAATCCGTAAAGCCTTCGTCTGCAAGGTGGGGGCCTCAATAGCCGCGAAAGCTGCGAACGGCGAGCCGGAGCCATCGACCCAAACCCAGTCAACGAATGTTGCTGCGATCACATTTGAGAAGAATAACAACGACAAACCAAAGAGTCATTGTCGTAAGGCTTCTTGGTGTCGAAAGCTTTGCTGAGAGACCGAGGGATGCTCCTGTGTAGGGTTGCACAAGGATGACCAGCCTCGCGACTAGGTTTCGATTCACTTCATACTCTACCCAACGAGGGCATCTTTGGAGAGCCATCTACAGTCATGACTCTCCGGTTGAGTTATCTATCAAGCTTCAGCATTTCCCTTCGCTCACCAGCTTCTAGGCAACTGTACCTGTGTACGGCAAGCCACCTGCGCAAACTTATCGTGGCGTCTCACCGGACAAGCCACCAGTTCGTCCACTGTTAGCTAAGCCACCCTCGTCTTTCCAGAACGAGCCAGTATACAGCGCAATGTCTACACACATACGTGTTGAACTGAAAACAAATTAGCCTCCACCAATGAAGAACGCGGAACAGGCGCTGCCGAGACCCGGCACACGACCTGATGATCTCCTTTGCTGCATGCATGGCTTTAATGTGCGCTCATTCAGCTGCTTCTTCGTCAACTGTGGGGCTGTGCCGCAGCTTTTGGCCAACTCTGATGGTGACATTAAGAATCGTTACTCTTCCTGCTTTGCAGATTGCAGATGTTCTGCCCTCAAGTCTATGACATGAACACATCCGAATTAACAAAGTTTCTGGAACCGTTGAAACACGGCCCCTCGTGGACCGCCAAATGTATTGGCAAACTGCTGGATGCTGACAATATAACCCACGTTGCAGATGGTCTCGTAGGAGAGAATGGTGTCAAACCAGTGCAATATGTGAGAGGTGTTTGGGATATATGGGGAGTAGATCTGCCAACCTGCTATCAATACTGCAGCCGATCGCAGTTTCCAATGGTCTTCGACTTTCTCAACTTCTCGTCTGGAGTAACAAACTACCTCTTACCCTGGCTGGGTCTAACAGCGCAGTTGCCCTATGAAGCTGGCGACTACTTTGAGAATATAATGAGCTTCTGTCTATCCGTGGGCAGTCCCTCTCTCTCAACTTTCTCCCTGATGTCTACAGCGCTAAGTAGCCATCGAACACACAAGAGATTTGCCATCACAATCGATCGATCTCGTTCCGAGGCTTCCAAGGAAGCTGCCAAGGCCGCTCGAGACTTTCTTAGAAATGCTCAACAGTCGTCATTGCGGATCAATGACATGGATTTCTACACACTTATCGTAAAAAGCGATGCAAGATTTCAGAACTGGTGGGTTACCATCCGAAAGAGACTGCACAAGACACGTCGACTATACACTTTGTCACTCGTTGCGCAGAGTTTCTTCGCAGTAGCTGCATGGGTCCTTACTATCGCCGCCTCGTACATACAGTCTCTCGGTATGCACTCTCAAGCTCTACTTCTCTCCTCTGGAACGCTATGGGTCTGGCTAGTCCCCGTCGTACTCGGCTGGGTCTACGTAGGAACACAATCCAGGGAGGGTACAATCAAAGAGGCCCTTCAAGGTCAAGACGATGAAAAAGTCGCGGCAGCTCTCGAAACGCGCTCCGGTCTATGCCACGAAATTGAGTTTCATCCACCAGATTCTTGCTTCGGTAGTGTGATTGGTGATGAACGAGTGCAAGGTCCGGCTTTCAACTACGCCAGAACCTTCACTCATCATCGCCTTGTGGACATTGTGGCAACATCATTGGAAAAAAGGGCCGCCATGCCCGACGTAGTCTTCCAGAGGGCTGACCTCGACGCTTACATTGAATGGGCTGATTTGTGGCAAGATTCGTCGTGGGTTGCGCACTTCCTATTCGCTAATGCAGTCGCTTTGTTTCTTCAATGGGGCGTTACAGGAGCAGCAACTGTAATCTCTTACCTCACCGAAGTACGTGGTCTTGGATGTCGGTCGGGTAGCTACTTGTTATACGGCATTCTGGCGACATCTGCACACGGTTTGCTACTTACTTCTGCATTCCTTTCCCACTGGGCCATGCTCATCTACCAAAGGAAAGCTGAGAATGTTCACAACTATCGACGCTATGGTACACACTCAGTCATATGTGTGCTTGCTGTGCTTACACGCTACCTCGGTCGAATCCTAGCAGTACTGAATGCTCTTTGGATTATTCTCAGCTCTATTTTCGAACTTATTGGGTTCTACGAAAGCTGTTGGTGCACCGGAACTGTGCTCGGGCTGGGAAAGAGAGCATGGGTGGTCCTCTTCGTCAGTGGAGACAGAATGCGCGAAGATGCTGCCCCTTCATGGGCCGGGGGTATAGCTATGAGTATTCTGGCAGGAGCAATTACGTACCTCATTGTCTGGATGGCATCAAGAGAGCGTAAAGGATAGGACTAATTGTCAAGCATTGTCTTTAGATATAGACGACATAATATACCTAATTGGATCTGACTCGCGAAACTTCACTGTACCGCACAAGTTGTTGTTAGAGAAACAATACGGAAGTTGCAATACTGAGCAAGATAGATACTTGCGAAGGTATCCCTCACCTTCATGCTACCACGAATGGTCCTGTTCAATTCGGTCCGCTTCCCAGGGACCCTGGTCTCTGGTTTATCAAAGGGTTCCCCGCATGCGTCAATCGATAGGATGATTCCGAAATAAGCTATACCTCGGGTCAATACTTGTCCCGATAACAATTTTACACACATTATACAGGGCACAGGAGGAAGAAGGCTCTGCTGAACCTGTACGCTCAAAGAAAACGAACTTGGAAAACATTGCGGTCTTTCTCTTTCTACAGATCAAACTGGAAAGGAAACGAGAGAGTAATGCTGGCAATCATACTTTTCTGGAATCTGGTCCACGCACAAACATGCTGGAGAGATACGATCTGCAGCGGTCCACCAAGACCATTATTTCAAGGGCCATGGGAGTCGAATATCTACGCTCCAAATGCAAGGATAGTCCAGCCGGATTCGATTGTAGACCTATTAAGAAACGTGGACTTTCCGTACGAAAGTGTTTTGACACTCGAAGGGAATGGTTCCACTGTAGTCGTGGACTTCGGCATTGAAGTTGGTGGAACAGTCTCTTTCCATTACAACACAACTGCACCAGCTTCCATAGGACTCGCTTTTTCCGAAGCGAGGAATTGGATCGGACAGTGGTCTGACTTCTCAAATGGTGGCTCAACCCCTGACGGAGCAATATATGCAGATATAAGAGCGGCTGGTCAGGGCATTTATAATATGCCGGAGGCGAAGCTGCGTGGTGGATTTCGGTATCTAACCATATTTCTCAAAACAGATCAGAGCAGCAAAGTTACAATCACGAACATCACTCTGGAAATATCGTTTCAGCCAACGTGGTCTAGTCTGAGAGCATATCAGGGCTATTTCCACTCCAATGATGATCAGCTGAATAAGATCTGGTACAGTGGCGCCTATACTCTTCAATCTAACAGTGTACCTCCTAATACTGGTCGAACTGTACCGTTTGTGAAGAACACATGGTCAAACACAGGACTTCTGAGTCCTGGAGATACGGTAATTGTCGATGGTGCCAAACGTGATCGCGCTGTCTGGCCAGGTGACATGGGTATTGCTGTCCCGTCGACCTTTGTCAGTGTCGGTGATATGACCAGCGTGAAGAATGCCCTTCAGGTTATGTACGACTATCAGGTATTGCTCAATCTCCGAGTCATGGATCTACCTTTTCTAACAACCCAGAACCCTGATGGATCATTTCCGGAAGCCGGGCCGCCTTTGTTACAACAAGATAGCGACAGTGAGTCAACTGTAGTAGTAGGATTGTTCCAGCCCTGATATCCACTAGCTTATCACATGTGGACTTTGATTGGGACATATAATTACGTTCTATATACCGATGATATGGAATTCCTTGAGAGGCATTGGGTAGGCTATCTCCATGCTATGGAGTATGTGTATAGCCTAGTTACTCCGGCGGGATTACTGAATGTTACCGGAATTCGAGACTGGGCACGTGAAGCCCAAGGTGGCAACAACACTGAGGCAAATATCATGTGGGTAACATTCTCCTGTAGTTCAAGACCCAGAATACTGACCTGTTCTATCTAAGTCTTTACCACACTCTCCAAACAGCGTCTCAACTTGCTACCTGGATAAACGATGCCACTGATCTAAGCACGGAATACACAGTTCGCGCACTCGCCCTCCGGACCGCCATAAACGCCAACTGCTTCGATGATAATCACGGCCTTTTCCGTGATAATGCCACCGCCACCACTCTTTACCCCCAAGACGCAAACAGCATGGCCATCCTCTTCAACGCCACGACCCTTTCCCGCGCCTCGTCCATTTCCAAGAACCTACTCGCTAACTGGACTCCCATAGGCGCCCTCGCACCTGAACTCCCGCATACCATCTCTCCATTTATATCCTCCTTCGAGATCCAGGCACACTTCGCGATCGGTGAAACACTTCGTGGTCTAGACTTGATCCGCCGGTGCTGGGGCTGGTATCTAGCTAACCCTAATGGTACACAGTCTACCGTCATCGAGGGTACCTAGAGGATGGAAGTTTTGGTTATAGATATAACCGGGGATATGTCAATCCGAGCTATACGAGCCATGCACATGGGTGGAGTAGTGGACCGACGAGTGCACTCACGGAATATGTGCTGGGGTTGAGGGTACAGGACAGAGCGGGAAGGAGATGGAGTTTCAGACCACAGTTTGGAGACCTGGAGTGGGTGGAAGGGGGATTTGGGACACGGTTGGGGAGGTTTAGAGCCGCGTGGAGGAGAAATGGCGAGTGGGGTTTCAACGTTGAGGTCGAATGTCCCGAGGGAACAACTGGGGTAGTTGAGTTACCGGTTTTAGATGATGAGAAAGAGATAATGGCTCTTGTCGATGGGTTAGAGGCTGAGCCGGCTACTGTCTTGTATGATGCTCCTTCCGGGAAGAAGTTTATAAGGTTGGAGTTTGAGGGTGGATTCCATTCTGTCGAAGTTTCATAAGGCACTAGGTTGAACACTATGACAACGGTACGAGTTTGGATCTATAACTTACTATGTGCAGGACAATATGATGCTCGGAGATCGAGTCTATGACTGGTATTCTGTCACAACAGGCTCCTGAACCAGGATCATTTCAGGCATTGGTTGCGGGAAATATGACAAAAAGAGCAAACAACATGGGGCTACCACATGGGAGAGAGAGCATGAGACACATATTCTCTCCGTATGTATAAATCTCCTGCAGTCATGTTGAATTATAATGAAACAACTATATGTTACGTCGAGACCCCTGATTGGCTACAGCCCAACTGGTCTTAGCGTGCCGACAGGGTATGGATACGTCCGTAATGCATCTTCGAACGTCACGCAGCTCGACGCGTGTATAATGGCCAAGGTACAATACATGTAACAGGATCCCGCTCTTTGTAGAAGTGCCTCGAGGACTCTACAAGCTGACTTGTGCTAGTCCAATCCTACTTGCATTGAAACGCGGAGCTTCTAAAGCGCATCATGTTTGCGAGGGCACCGTTGGTCAACTCCAACTGGAGGGCTCTATTGCACAATTTCAACCAAGATTTTTTCCATGAAAATGATCTAAAGGTCGCCGCCTTCTTATTGGAAGCAGTCGGATAGTCACAATCGTTAACATAGCCTACGCGGAGGAAGTAATTAATTCTGCTCTGGCTTTAGAAATGCTCCGCATAGGTGGTGTGGCAAGAGAAGGAAGGACAAGGCGTGAAAATGCAAAACAGTATGCACTTCCTGCTATCTCGGAGACAAAAGTAGCGACTGGTCCTTATTCGTTGAAACTAGACATCACAATCGTGTTGTTTGACGAGCTCGAAGCGGACAATTGCGGTGGGGTGGTGCATGGATACGCCAATTTCCGGACATTACTGCATGGATGTTTACGATAATCAAGTACCGAGGTGACATTTTTCATAAATTCTATAATTCGACCGCGCCCGCCGCAGTTCCTTCAAGCTTCAGCTTCGTCCATTCCTTTCTTTCTTTTCCAACGAACTCCTCAGGCAAGGTTGCTTCACCCATACTATCATAAACATCGCGGCTGAGCTTTCAAAGATGTGGTCTATTCAGTACCGATTACCTTTCGTCAGAAGATCATCAAAGTCGTACCGGAAGCTCGGTGATGATGGGGATATCGACGACAGTATGTGTGGTGCGCTACTCGAGCGCCCAGCCGACACAACTGCAGCAATCCTTCCATACAAGCAGTCCACGAAGCAGAGGCCACCTTTACCTGCCTCGAGGTACAGCATAAGTCAGAAGCATTCAAGTAGCACAAATACGAGAATACGCTTCGAGGGAACGAACGTTCAAGCCCTAGGACCAAACTTATCGCCAGTGCCCAGCGCAGCGAAGTCTCGCCAGTGGTCGCTACTTCCACCCATGGCTAGATCCACAAACGTCCCTGGACATCAAAGAACGTCAGTTTATGGGCTTTGCCGAGTCGTTTGAGGTTCCATCAGATATGATTTCTGGAAACCACTAGATTCGTGTTGAGTGGTTCCCCTTTTCTTCGACAATGCAGCTTTTCTGGCCCTGGTTCAATCCTTTCTCTATTTTCCCGCCAACTCTCAGCCCGCTTAAGAGTAACTTGCATCCGTGAGCGACCTCTATATCTTTCAATTTGACACTACGTGTCTGGGACCGGACCGGACCTGAATCATCTTAGATATGAAATTGAAATCCTTCGATTCCGCGTGCTCAGACGAGCTACAGGGACTTCAATCAAGCACGCGAAGATTTGAAGTTCCAAAATGAGATTGCTTGCATATGGTTTACTAGGATACGCGTCCTTGCCTTGTCGCCACACCAAAACGTCCTCATCGCTCGCTGCGTCACGCTGAAGGTATGAGGGAGCCGCACATGCTTGCAGTGCGTGTATGTTTGGCATAAATGAGCACCTGCAGATTGACAGGGTCCCGGAGTCCAGGCTACATCCATCGTCAGTTCAAAGGAACCCCACTTCGACGCATACAAACCACAAGTTATGCAGGATATCATAACCAACTTCTTTGCTACAATCGTCCTAAAATGCACATCAGAATGACCTTGTACATCATGGGTCTAACCGACAGGGAGCGGACCTCTTACTGCATGTGCAACGTTATCTCTGGAATTTTGATCCACTTGGTATGTAGTGCGTAATGTGTCTAGGGGTGATAGGCGGAACGCTGCAAGGTGCGGTCCGGGGAGCTGTGGATAACAAGACGAAGATAGTGAGGCTTTGATATATAAAGCAGGGATCAATGCAGAAGACTCAAGTGGCGACTTGAAAGCTTGTAGGGATCTGTAGTGGGCACATCAGACCGTGACTGTCTGCAAGCTTTTTCCCAGCAAAGACCGTGCGAAGTCGTTCTACAAGTCGAACAGTTGGCACGGATGAGTCCGATGAGATTGGAGAGTGAAAGGTACAGCGGTGCTGCAGTCCGACAGATTTCGTGCTTAGCGATCGCAGGCGGCGCTTCGAGACGGTGTATCACTGGTGATTTGTATTGCACATATCATAGCTTCTACAATGAGCAACCTGACTGTAATGATCTGATTGTTCAGCCTTCTAAGTTCTCACTGCGCCTCCATTTATGTGTATCAAGTGACTCTGATAATTCCTCGAGCTACACGTCTTCTTTGCCTTGTGAACCCAGCCCAGCCCATCCACTTCAAAATTCCAAAACACATTTCCAGGACATGTATCAACCCTTAGCTTTAAAGCACAAAATGCAATTCAAACCGTCCCAGCATACATCAAACGTCCGGAGGTATCCATCTACTCCGAACGACTAGTTCAGTAAGCTACATAACTCCGCACTTCTCCGACCTGCCATAGTAGGTCTCAAATATGCACGACATCGCCTCACTATTCTATTACCTGCTGATCATGCAATTTATCGGGGTGTTTGTCCTTGGATCCACTTCATTTTGTGTGCATTCTACTTTAAATAATCATAATCAGAGGGAGATTTTCTTTCAGAAATGACGGGAATGTGACATGTAGTAGCGTGGGACAGAGTCAGCAATACCAACCATCTCCCTGGCCACGTCTGACATGTCGGGGTTGTTTATCGCGTCGCTGCGAGTAAAACTTTGTGTGGATATGATTTCTTATTCCTGATGGCTATTGCGCGGTTGTGAGTATACAAGGATTATTATTAAGAGCTTTGCCCAAAGAGTGCGTCATTACCATAGGCGAACAACACTGACTAGTGTCTTGTTATGGAACGAGAATGAATTGACAAGGCGCAGGAAGTTGTGTGGCTGGGAAACCGAAAAGCCGATTTTCACGGTGCTTAGTGTATTTCTAATTCCTCTGGGTGCGTGTCAATACTTTCTCGTTATTTTTAATAGACGAATAGTGCGTTGCTTTGCGCTATGGTATTGTGTAAAACATAAGTGAAAGAAAGTAAGTGTAGGCTAATACAGTACGCACGACCTCACCTGTCATCGACTCGGCACCTTTATATTTGCGACATTCTGAAAGATAGTATACAGGTCAGATGGCTCGGTGATGAAGGTTGTATCCACATTATGGGTTCCCGAGGACTTGGGCGGCAGAACGTCATGGCATCAATCCCATGACATGTTGTTTTGTTTTTCTTCTTTACTCTTTCTTTCTTACTTTTTCCTTTTCATCATTCAGCCAGGATCATGGTTCCTATGCATTTTTGGTTTTTTGAGAGACTAATTGTTGTCTTTGATCGGCGGTCAGGGGCTAGACTCAGATTTAGTCCTACGCAGCAAATGTTAGATTCAGTGGGGTCCTCATGCTTGCGTAATCTTCATCTATACATTGAACGGCGGATTTTTATCAGAAAAGTGCCAAGCCCCCAACATCATCGTCCGCGTCTTCGACTTGTACATCCTCGTCCAGCTGCGACGTTTTTCCGAGAAGACTACTGAAAAGTTCATCCGCTTGTCTCTCACTCCACGTCCCCCGTTCCTCCGGCGCCATGAAGTTCTGCAGCTTCTCGTGTACTGTGTAGCGCAACTTGCGTCCCTTGCTCGCCCTGGTGTCAACAACTCGTCTTGTCTTGGCTTCTCGCGCCGCACGGTACTGCGCACTCAGTCCCTCGTCCACTTGCACGGCAGCTCCATTACTATCACTGGTCCGCTGCTCTAATAATTCCTTTAGTAATAGCCCGTAGAAGTCTGCGTCGTCGTAGATGTCTGGTGTGAGGGCTGTGACGCCTGGTGCGCACGAACGCGGTGTCTGCGTGCGCACAATAAGACGTGTTGGATCGCTAAGTTGGGATGCGAGGACAGATGATAAAGGCTGAATAGCTTGGTCTCCTGCGAGGCTACGCGGGCCGGCAGTAGTTGTTTGACGGGTTTTCTCTGACCAGCGGTCTAGGATGGCGTTCCTGATCGGGAGGCGCGAAGTTTCGGATGCGGTGAGGCTGCTCCATATATGCTCGGACGAGGTATCTGTGGTATATGTCGTGGCGTGTTTCCGCTTTGTTCCCGCTTTAGCTGTTGTGGTCTGCGGTAGTAGGTCTGTCAGAGTGTTGAGGAGGTTCAGGGCCGCAACTTCGGCGGCTTTGAGAGCGGAGTCCATATCTTCGGTCGGAGTTTCTGAGCTTGCTTTGGTCTGTACTGTAGCGGTGTTTGTGGCGATGAGCCCCTTTTGGAGGCGGATGCGCGTATTGAGAAGAGTGTCAAAGGTCTTACGTTGGGTCTTGACAGCGACACCCTTTTCTGCGTCGGCTTTGACACCGACTGTTGCGGCGATGGTCTTAGATTGCTCATTCATGAGCTTGCGCAGCTTAGCCGTATCAAAAGGATCGCGAGGCTTCACAGCAGTCATGGGAGCGTCGCCTTGTATTGACTCCATATCTGACACTGAGTCGTCGTCCTCTTGTCCTGATTGGGAATCTGAGTCCTTGTCATCGTCGTTCGCGCTAATGCTCTCGCTATCATCGTCTGAGCCGAAGGGTGAAGGCTCTTGTTCGGACTCTGGATCCTCTTCGTCATTACCGGACAGTAAGTTATCGCTACTGTCATCGTCGAGTGCGTCACGCCCAACACGTCTGCCAGCATATTTTGGGCCCAGTGTAGGTGCTGATGGCTTCCTAAGCTTGCTCTTGCCCACAGGCTCGTAGTGTTCTCGTCCAGCATCGCTATCTTGACTTTCTGCTTCATCACCCTGCTCGTCATCACTTCTGCCATATTCGTCCTCTTCTGGATCGTAGTCTAATAATTATTAGCGACTTTGGAAATCTGGAGGTTTTCGGGTCGACGCACCTTTTGGTTGTGGATCTTCGAGCTCGGCGATCTGCTCGGCCAGAGATTTCACCCTCCTTATTTTTGACATTTTCAGTTGTAATTCCTTTTGCTACTAGAAACGACAAGAGTTGTCGCAAGTGTAATTGGTACGTGCCAAGGTCAGAAAAATTCCCCAATGGCGGAGTCGGCATCGGACTCCCGAAAGCGCCGCCAGCCGACCAGCCTTGGCATGGAATAATTCGAACTTCATCATCGACGGACGCTTGATGCGACACCAATGAACATGATTCCAGCTTAGCATGCAATGCAGAGACGCTTCTTCTCTCAATGCAGGCGCTTCAATCATGAAAATCCTCTGGTACACCTTGAAGCATGGTTCTAATGGAATGATCGCTAATACCAATAGGGACTGCCGCGCTCAGGCGCACCTCCCCAGCTGCCTCGAATGCAGCGTGGATTGCCGCAGAAACGAAGCATTCCAGGCGTAGCTAAGATCGTGGCAGTCTCATCTGCGAAAGGTGGTGTTGGAAAGTCGACCATCTCAGGTACAGGATTATGTTCATAGATGCATCATTGGCTCATTCATTATTCAGCGAATTTGGCCCTGGCTTTCGCGCGCAGTGGGCTCCGAGCTGGATTACTCGATACAGATATCTTTGGCCCGTCAGTACCGACTTTATTCGGTCTTTCGGGGGAGCCGAGACTGTCAGAAAGTCAGCTCTTTGATGAACTTCATATGTAATCACGATTTTAACTGTCACCACAGAAAACCAACTGATTCCGCTATCGAGATATGGCATCAAAACCATGTCCATGGGCTACCTTGTTGCTGAATCTGCCCCGGTAGTATGGAGAGGATTGATGGTGATGAAGGCTCTGCAACAACTGCTGCACGAAGTCGAGTGGAGCGGGCTGGATGTGCTTGTTTTAGATCTACCTCCCGGCACGGGTGACGTCCAGCTCACTATTACGCAGCAGCTTGTTCTCGACGGTCAGATCCCCGATGCAAAGTATGAGAGCAACACGCTGATTGGTACAAGGTGCTGTAATTGTATCAACACCCCAAGATCTCGCTCTCAAAGACGCCGTGAAAGGGGTAAATATGTTTAAGAAGGTCAACGTACCTGTAAGTATTCCGCACAGGACCTCGACAATATGAGCTAACATTATATGTACACAGCTTCTGGGACTTGTCTCAAACATGTCTGGCTTCATATGCCCGACATGCAGTTCGACCCACGATATCTTTGGTCCTTCGTCTCTTATCTCAAAGAGGTGTATTGAGCACGAACTGGAGCTTCTAGGTGAGATTCCCTTGCACCCTTCGATTTGCGAAGATGCAGATAAAGGTAGGCCTACCATGGTGGCGGAACCTGAGAGTCCTCGTGGGCAGGCGTTTCAAGGCATTGCGACGAAGGTTGCCAATGCTTTGAGTCTTTCGTCTGTGTAATGGCCGTGCATAGACACATGTCAGAAAGTGACGGTGAAGGCAAGAACGTCGGAGTCAATCGACGGCTGTATTCACGGGTAGAATATTAATGTTGCCTCGCAGCGTGTTCCTGCGTAAATTTGAATGCAATTCCGTTGGTATCCTGCCCTATTTACGAAATGACGCCGCCATGCTTGTAGTATGATGCGTAAATATGAGCAATGCGTAGTCATGTACAATGAAGAAAAATCGTAATAAGGCGATGTGAGCTACAGCTCCGCCATGTATCAGAATGAGTTAGCTAAATTCGTCTGCCCCTTCGCCGTGAATGCGCAGAATAATCCCGTCATTTGGCGCCAAACAATTTCTCTTTCCAAGTCTTCGTCCTCGGGGTATCAACATCGAACTGACTTGTGATTGTTGTAGAGGTGCCTGCATTCTTCTGTCCCCCCTTCGTCTTCAGAGCCTCGGCCTTCTCGACATCAATCTCCTTATTTGGGTGCCGCTTCTTTTCTGAAGGCGGTGATGCCATGCGGACTCCCGTGCGGCGAGTTTGACGTTTCGAACGGGAGTCATCGAGACGACCTGTGAGACGGCGCGAGACGCGTCTGAATGATGCACGAACTTCCCATTGACGTTTCTTCGCAATGTACCAGAGCGTGAGGGAGATTGCTACAAGAACTCAGTCAGATGTCTGCTTGAGGCGGTATGCTTCGCTAGAACTCACCTCCGAGTCCTACAACAATGCTGACCACACAAATGATAGCGATCAGACCGGCCTTGGAAAGAGAGAAGGCTCCCGTGTCGTCCCCAGATGCTCCAGCGGCATTTGGATCTTGAACATGGCCTGGGTCTGACTCTCCAGAATTCGCCTTTGCGTCCTCAGCTGCGATCAGGACAGGGTAGAGGGCGAACAGGGCCAATAAGGCGCGCTGAGCATCATGTTGTTGCATCTCAATACCGATGGGGAGTTTCTTCTGCGGCGTAGGAGGCACAGATATGTCAGGGAAAGGATAGGATCTTCGGGAATCTTTTTCTCTCCTTCACATCCATGGCGAGCAGCATCTCTATATTTGAGCGCTGCGGCCGTGGAGGAGGTCTCGAGGAGGTTGAGCTAGCTCGGGCGGCTACCAAATCACAAGGCGTCACACTGTGACCGCCATGCGAAGCCGCGGGCGATACGTGCATGTCCTGGCGCATCGATGGACTAGAACAACGACAAGAGGGCTCAGGAGCGAGTGCGAGAGAGGTTGATTGGCGTTGTGGAGTAAAAGCGTGGGCGGTTAAATGGTGTCGCTTTACTGATTTGTTGCTTTACTGATACTGATTGGTGGGCGACGCTTTGTGGCTTGAAGATCGGGCTGGACTTTAGCGCCGAGGGAGCTGCAGGAACAAAGTTAGTCCTTAAACAACAGAACTTCACACTTCAACGAGCCAACACCATTCTCGATGCACTGCCTCCCTCCATGCAACTTACCAGATTCTTCAAAGTTGTCGCGCGTATACGAGAAGGATTCAGTGTACTTGACTCAAGACCATTTCGTGGGTGAAAATGGTCTCAGGCATTGAAAACACTGCTTCCTTGGAAGTGCCCCTCAACACCAGACGAAGCGTTGTATGTCTATCCTAGCCTCTTTGCTCTAGGGGTGGCACGCCCAGATAATGTATGTAGTAGGCACAGAATAGGATCGACAAGCCAGTTGTAATCGTGGTTCTGCGAGTACTCCTTCAGTGGCGTAAAGACTTCCTTTTAAGTATAACAGTACCAACCATTTATTGCTCGGGAAGCTGAGTCCAGGCCCACTGGGATTTATATTGATCACTGCTATCTCCACACATACCCTTTGCTGTGAAGCATCTCCTGTCAAACTCGAACATGCCTTTCGCAGGAGCTCATTGTGTTCTGGTCTCATGGCTAGTCGTCAATGGGCTGCGAACTGTAGAGTGGATCTTGGCCATACTTGCAGCGCCAAGCAGGGATATCAACATTCCCTTGCGTATCTATATTGAGTATCGCAATCTTGGAGGTGCAGTAAAACCTTAGAAAGTCAAGAATGTGTCTCAACTAAGTAGAATGAATTGCCTACATTCATGGATACCTCGCCCTGATGTACAACATAGCAAGAGGTCCGCCCCTTCCTGAGTCGTCAAGCGACTCATCCCACAATGGAGCTCAACTCTCCGAATATTCAATGCTATCACAAGCCTTCCAATTTCTCATACTTCAGCCGATCGCTTTGACTCGTTCTACTCACAGTCCTTGTGTTCTACTGCCATCATCTTGTCCGGTTGCGATTTCTGATACTTCCATCGAAACTACGCATGAATGAGCCTGAACTGGATCCAGCTTTCGCTCGCTTTCAGCTCAGACAGCTTGACTTTGAGTCTCGCGGACCTTCGCGATTGCACATCGAGGTCTTGCGATCAGAGTCCACCATAATGGAGTCTGACCCAGACGTCGATGTGATCACCAACAGCCCAGAAAGGCCCGTTACTGCCGGCTATACTGAATCCCTTGTCACGGAAAATTCACCTCCTTGTTTTCAGCGGAAGAACACTCAACTATCTCAGCCTCAATTCACCTGGGGGCCTCGAGATGACAAGCAGCCAGTGATGCGTGTTCAGCCTACAATTAATGATATCGGAGCCCAGATGCAAGAAGCTGTTAGAGTTAAATATCGATATGCTCAGGCGCACTTACAGCAACCCAAGTTGCAGGAGCCTCCGACCTCAGCCCAAGGAGATCCCTTATCTCAACCTGGAACCTTGGAATCTCAGATTCCTCGTATTCCTCCTAGAGACGTTCAATTGGTACACCAGTCCCGAAGCCCTCATATTCTGCCTGTAGCTCAGGCTCACCGAGGTGACACCCCTCCAGCTCAGGGTCCCCTACTCAAGGGGCGACGACTCCAGGGCCATCAAACTCAATCCATCGAAGCCGAGTCCTCCCAGTTGCAGGCACAACAAACTGGAATGCAACAAAGTCTGGATAGTCAGCTCCAGCGAACTGATGACGAGTCCATATCTTCTGTCGGCAAGTTTACAACACCTCAGCAATATGGTTGTTTGCATGCTTACAGGTACTAGAAAGATCTGTTGCCAACTTAAATAATTCTGCGTGTGGTGCACGACTACAGCCTATTCTGGAAGACGGTCATGAGCAACGCAGGCATGGCGAAACTATACGTAATGTTGTTCGAGCTGATGCTGAAAGACATGACCCGGAAACGCTCGTTTCTGAACATGCAGAAAATCATGACCAGGCTGTCCCAAAACAGTGAGTTCTCAATTTGATGGAATCGACAGCTCACCATAGCTAATCCTCATTCCAGTAGTCTTGGACAGGCAGGATCCCATGTGTCCAAAATTGTAGATGCAACAGTGCGTTCTGTTGTCAATTCTGCACCTCCGACAAATGCGGTGCAATGTTCATCTGAATCCAGGTCTCTAAGACAATATTCTCCATCCCAGCTGGATGCGAGACGCAAAAAGGGTGAAGCCCTCAAGATTCGTACAGGCAAGAATACGTTATCTTCCAGGAGAAGTCGGGTTATTATGAACGGCCAACAACAGCGTGGACAGGCGCCAAGGGTTTCAATGCCCACCGGCATATCCTCTGCAAGTCATCACTTTACGCCACTGACTGAAGTCATTGATGATTTGGGCAGTGATTCAAGATATGTTACCGGAATGACTCAGTTCCAGATTGCCGCTTTCCGCTCTCGACCTTTCGAGAATATCCTGAAACAGAATGCAATTCTACCGCAAACTCTACCGATTGCAACTGACATTACGGATCCCGCTTCCAAGCCCAAAGGTACTTCAGATGCACTGTCAATCCTCTTATCCGCACTTGGTACTAATACATAACAGCCAATTATGCAGAGGAACCGACATGCACGCCCAATGATGATGGAACTGTTTTCGGTAAGTACTATTACCGCTTGCCATCCATTAACATCAAGTGATATAACTGATGGATGGGTAGGATGCACCAATGGACCCCAATCCTTTAGGCACATCGATGAAGACCTTCCAGAGAGTGTGCGAGAGGATGACACTATGGGAACAGGTAAAGCTTGTCATTCCAAGGGAGATCCACTCAAAGGCGGTTCCATGGCCGTGATCACGACCGAACGAACAGTTCCCGATGCTTCTATTATCAATGATAGGATGCATAATTCTCGCCTCGATATACGAACTTGCTCAGCCCAGACAGAAGACGTTATTCTACCAAGGTGCTCCCTCAATGAACCAGGCCCTTCAATTGTTGACCTTGTTAATGGACCGACTGCTCAAGGCGCAGGAGAACCACATACTTCGAACGCTGAACGAGCACTCCACCGAGTAGCTCAAAGAAATGGCAGGTCGAGAGTGGAAAAGCGAGGATTTGCAACGAAACCCATCAAGAACGTGAATCCACCTGCGACCAGCGGAAAGCGCAGCCAAAAGCCACCTCTCTGTTCCGCCCAACTGTTCGCTCTCCTTCATCACAGCATCAAGACAGAAACGGAAGAGCTCGCTCTCGCTCGCCAGGAAGTCCAAATCTTGAAAGCACGTGAACAGGGTTATCTAGAAGATCTTGAGCGATTTCAAAACCTGCAAGCCGAACTTGCGAAAGCCAACGAGGCTCATAAGTCACTTCAAAGCAAAGCAGCAGATATGGTAAAATTTCTCGAGGGTCTGGGCAATGACATCGAAAAGGTGCGGCAGTCTAAGGAACGCCTCCAGGAAAAAGAGGTCGACGCCTTGCAGGTACTGCCGAAACAGGCGGATGAACAGCGTGAATTGCAGAAGGAAGTAATTGAATTTCTAGAGGACTTCGCCTCACGACTGAAACGCTCGCAAGCGGAGACTATCCAGGCGATTAGTAATGAGAGACTTCTACAGCAGGACTACATTAAACTACAGCAGACATTAGCACGCACACAACTGGCTCTTCAAGAAGCCGAGAAGACCAAAGCCACCCTGAGTAAGTCACTCGAGACCGAGAAGGCTAACAACGAGCATGCGAGTCAAACATTTGCTGCCCAGTTAGTAGATGCATGTACCAATGTCGAACTTGCTCACAAGAATGACCGCATTCTGGAAGAATTGCTAGAATCTCGGAAAATCTTGAAAGATCTGCAGAGTCGTCAGTATGTAACGATGGACGATGTTGAACGTGTCACCACATCTGTCAATGAGGCTGCTGAGAGGTGAGTTGTTTAATCATGGTGTCTGGATTGAGCACTAATATCGTGCAGACTCCTGGAGGCAGTCAATGATCCAGTCGCTCTGTCTGGTGACATCAAGACTGGTATTACTGGTCTTCAATGTCTCTTGACGGGAAAGTTAGAAGACCTAGCGCAGAGCATGGTTGAGAAAGCAACACTGGAAGAGAAACTCGGCACTCAACGAACAGATATTGCGACGCTCGGTGAGAAGGTATCTCAAGAGCGCAACTCTTGTTTGAACCTTCAGCGTCAACTCGAAACAATCCGCAATGAGGAGTCGATCTACAAGAAACAGATCTCTCAGCTGCAGCGCGAGGTCCAAGCCCAAAAAGATCAGTTTGTTGCGCTTGAGCGTGGCAATGAAGAAATCATGTGCAGATTGGAAACCCAGTGCAGTTCGCTGATCGCTCAAATCGAGTCAAAAAGTTCCGAGTTGTCCGAAAGTGCCGAAAGGCTTCAAGCGTCTATCAATGCTGAACAGGAACTCCGGCTCCATATCACAGTGTGTGAAGACAGATACCAAGATTCTGAAAGCAAGTATTCTGGATTACTCGAACAGAAGGCGAAGCTGGAAGCCGAGATGTTGACCAAGATAGAGGAGACCAAAGCGCAAATTCTGAAAGAGTCGAATATCATTATCAATGAAAAGTTGGCTGAACATGAAAACGAGATGCATCAGGCTACTCAAAAGGTTATCCACGCTGACAAAAGGCGTAAACACGTAGCAAAGGAACTGGAAACCGCGAAGGCCGAGCTAAACCTGTTGAAGGAGGATCTCGTCGATAAAGTCGCCAGAATCGAGACATTGGAGATTGATCTTCGTACGAAAGCTACAGCCATTGACAGCTTACAGCAGGTTGTCAGCCAATCCAAGGAGAGTGAGGAGACGGTCTCAAAACAGTCAGATGAGGCGCTTATCAGCGAAAAGGTCGAGATTGACGCTCTCAAATCTATCGAATGCGGACAAGCTGCGGAACTTTGGGAGTTGAAACAGGCATTGGCCGCGACGAAGGTAACCGAGAACGTACAAATTACAAGAATCAAAGAATTGGAGCAAGCTTTGGAGGTATTGCAGAAGACCGCGAGCGTGCAAGCTACAGAGATTCACAATCTCGACCAAGCATCAGGAACATTGAAGAGAACTGTAGAGTCACAGACTGTCAAGCTCAATGAACTTCAGCAAGTATCTCTTACATTCAAAACGACTGAAAGCGCAAACGTGACAAAGATCAGCGCGTTGCAGCTTGAGCTGGAAAAGGCAAGGGAGACTGAAGGTGCTCAAGCCTCTACAATTACTGAGCTGCATAAACTCGTGGATGAACTCCATGAGAAAAACGAAAGCGTGAAAGACCTTCAAGAGCGTTTGTTACGCTCAGCTGAATCAGTACAAGAGAGAGATTCTGCACTTCAAAAGTTGAGTTCGAATCTGAGCGACGCCGAAACTGAGACAAGAGTTCTGAAGGAGAAGCTCAAGAATGCGGATGAAAACCTGGACAAGAATTACCGAATGTTGCAGAAACATCAATCTGACTTTGACTTTGCGTTTGCAGAACAACAAAGGAAATACACTGAGGGATTGCAACAGTTTGAGACCAAATTAAGAACAACAGAGAATGAGCAACTGGCGCTTACATCAAGCTCGCGGCAAGCAATTCAAGAGGCTCAAACCAGTCTGTTGAATGAACAAAGCAGGTACAAAGAACAGATCGAGGCTTTCCAGCAGCAAAAGGCTTCCAACGAGTCTCATGTTTCTGCACTCGAGCGCAGGCTTTACGACACCGATCAGTCTTCGCAGGCCACTATAAACATGCTCACAGAGCAACAAGAGAAATTGAAGGCAGATTTGCGGCAACTTAATGGCACGATTGTGGATAAAGTTACCTCAAACTTGAAAGCCGAGCAGCAAATTGCTGACGCAGAAGCTGCTAAACTGGCTACTCAGCGTAATGCGGCACAAATGAAAGCCAATTTCGAGTCCCAAGTCAACACCTTGCTGACTGAGATAAAAGAAGCACAAACCAGAGCCTCCGAGGCCGAAGACAGATTACAAGCTATCGAACGAGCATTTCTAACCAATCCAAGACAGGACACCTCGCAGGAAGTATTGGTCCTGGTGCCAGACACTCAGGTTTCGGGAGCACAAACTACTGTTGACAGCCAGGATAGTCAAAGTATGATGGATAGGCATCCTTGGATCGGTACACCTTCGACTAGCGTTGTCGAAGACTCTCAAGAGCGAATCAGGTCAAGCACGCAGTCTACGACCACAGATCAACCTATGGTAATGACAAATCAAGGCGTAATGAAGAAACCAAGGAGAAAGGTCGACCGAGCAACCCTTAGCAGCTGCCAAAGAGAAGCACCAGCAGATCAAGCACATACTGTACCCTTAGAAACTGTCGGATCGCCTCGATCACGACTGAGCCTCGTGAATGACGACTCTGAGATATTCCCGATGGACAATGAAAACACATATCCGGCCGTGTTCCTGAACGACACTGAGATACATGACATCCAATTCGAAGCCAGGGCAAGTCAAATTGCTCCTCAGGCATCTTCCAACGAGCCTACTAAGTTCTGTAAATTCCATCAACAGAATACACGATCATCACCACCCTCATCTCCTCTATCGGAGCTAGCGCCGCAATCGACGCCGGAGGAGTACATGCGACCCGCTTGGCTGTCTAGTAAAGACGACAGTAGTGCATTACCTTCCAAAGCATCGAGACAGCTGAAATTTAACAGCCGAATCCGAGTATTTGATCGAGATCAACAGTCAAATGGAGCGATGAGCAAACCAACAGCGTACATGTCCAACCCGTTCTTGACGGAAAGGCCTCGTTCACAAGCCAACACTGCGTCGAAGCTCACTCCAATGGATTCTAGGATGACTACCCACGACAAGACGAGTATCAGGACCATTGGCTCTAACGACAATGAATCAGCAGAGCAGACTGAAGACCCTGTTCGCTCGCATCTCAGCCCTACCTCGTCTACTGATTGCGCCCATGACCAAATTCCAAGTAGACCAGAAATGAGCCATGGAAACGCCAAAGACTGTCAACAGAGAAAGTCCAGATTATCTCCCATCAAGGTAGCGTCCAAGCGTAAAGGCGCAGTGTCGCAGCACTCAGGTGAAAGCAATACACAGAAGAAAGCAAAGGTCTATAAAGGCCATGATCAGCCATACGGTGGAAGCCAGTTTCGGTCTCCAGAAGGTCCTTCCAAATCCTCGTCTCAGACAATGTGTCCAGCGAAAAGCAGATCTCAGTCCATCAATCATACCCGATTCCGCAGCTCTACTATTCCGCGTAGAACCAAGGCCACATCGCAGAAGAGTAAGCATTGCCTGTGTAATGCTGATATCGATACTAACAGACTGTATAGCTGACCGCTATAGCCTTCGATTCCAGCAAGAACTTGAGTAGTTGACATTACTTCGTCACCCCGTTCTCGAATTCACTTTTCGTCACACCCGGCGCTAAGGAATCTACGCCTCGACGTGCGAAGCGAACTGCCTGTGATAAACATATCAGCAAAATTGAGACTGAGAAGACATTCGACGTATGGATTACATTACACAGCATCTTTACGACTAAATTGAGCGATTGACTTTCCCCTGATATGACAGTGTTTATGGGGGTCATGTAAAGAGATAGATAGAGAGATATATGTCCAATACATCATGATAGTATGACGTCTCTGGTCTGTTCAGCTGTTGCCTGATGGTATGTGCGGGTTTTCTCGCCTGATCTCCGGCAGTGAACAAGACCAAACGATCTTCACTTACGCATTGTTTACCTTGTTCACGGCGTAGCGTCGCGCGCGCAGGCTCAGCAACCAGTATTTAAAGTCGCGCCCACGCCCACTTTCTATTCTGCTCCTTGTCAACAACATCATTGTCTTACTTTCTTCACAGTCGTTGCCATCGTTCCAGATCTTCACGAACCATGCCTTCTTCATCAGCACAAGCAAATCGCAAGGCCGCAGCTCGCAATGTCATGCCTATGATCGAAGAGGAACAGGAGCAGCCTCTGCCTCCACGAAACTCGCCGTCAAACGCACCAGCAAACTCGGCCAACACTCTGCCGCCGCGTTCGTTAAGCTTCACTGTTGACGTAATTCGTCGTTCAGGTATGGTACCTCGCGCACCACCCCCTGGTTTCACTGCAGCGGAAGTCCGTCGTTCGGCAGGCAATTCATATCCTCTACCCCATACAGTCCTCGTAGAGACAATCCATCACACACCTGGTGGCCAAGGTCCACCGCCAGAATACACTGCCGAAGAGATTCGCATAGCAGAAAGCATTCTTGCCACCGGTGCGCCACCGCCTGGTTTTACAGCCGAAGAACTGGCTCGCTTGGTTGTGACCCATGGCATGGAGACAGTCTTCCAGTCAGGCCAGCTGCTACGATACGAGACACCAGTTGATGCAGGCTCATCAAGCACTGCTGCAACCGCATCCACACCACCAATGTCGCCTCCCAATCCTCACCCTTGCTCGCTCGAGACGTCTGAGTCGGAAAGCATAGAAGATGCAGTCATGCACCTCCTCAACGACACGGACAAGCCTCCATACCGTGAACCCCACGTCAAGTCCGCCCTGATCGTCATGAAATCCGAAGCACCGCCGCCCCAACATCCGCTCCACGACGCCTTCGCCAAAGCAGAAGCAAAGGCCTACCACGTCCTGCAAAGCGTCAACGCAATCCCCGGCCCCTTCCCCACCGGCCCGCCCCCGAGATCCCCAACCCCCGACACAGAAGACTTCACCCTCACAAAAGACGAGCACCTCACCGTCGAAAAGTGCCGTCTCGCAACCCGCATCCGCGCCCTCAAGCGCCTCGCTTCCACCGCCCTCATCCCCACCTCTCCCCTCCCCCAATCCCACTTCCCCGCTCCCGCCCTCCCGGCCCCAACAATGCCCCTCCGCTTCGCAGCCTCCACCTCTCCCGCCACCGCCGCCATCTCCGCCGCCCTCGCCGCCATCTCCGCCGTTCCCGGCCCGCCCGCCCCTCGCATCCTCGACATCACCCAGGACTTCCGTCAACTGGACCAGACCGCGCTCCGCCCCTCCGACGCCATCGTCACCCTACTCGCGCATTCGCGCAAGGGCCGCCTCGGCCAATTCCTCGACGTGCGCGGCTGCGCCAAGTTCGAATGGTCGCGCCGTCCCGCGGCCGGCGTGGAGAGTGCCGCCGCGCCGGCCTCGCGCCGGGCTCGTGGGTGGAAGGCTGGGCTGGATGCTCAGGTGTTGAGCGTGTCGCGCTCGGGTGCGAGTGTTGTGGTGAGTTGTACTGGCGTGGCGTGTGGCGGTTTGTATCGGCTGCTGCACGTCGGTTTGTGCTTGTCCTGTTGCGCTTTTGGCGGTTTTTTCCTTGGTTTTGGGGGGGGGGTTTGGGGCGCTTTTATGTGCTTTTGCCCTTCCCCCTCTTGCCTTTTGTCTCCTCTCCTTCCTTTTCCTTTTCCCCTTTCTCTTCCTTTCCCCCCCTTTCTTCTCGTCCGTCGGTCTTCTTCCCTTCTACGACTCAAGCAAAGAACAGTCGGCTAACGAAGCAGATCGGCTTCCACACCCGTGGCGCATACACCCTGGCCGCCACCTTCGCGGTGCAGCCGGGTGGGGGGTGGCAGGCCGTCAAGGCTTGCGCTCCGCACCTGGCGCCGGGGTGGCACGCGGTGCCGCGGTTGGCGGAGCGCGTGGGGAAGCGCATCGCGGTGAACGTGTGTGTGTGGAGGAAGTGGGAGGAGTGTGAGGTGGCGCGGGTGGCGGTGTCCTGTGTGGAGGCGGTGGGTGGTGGTGCTGGTGTTGGTAGTGGTGGTGCTGCTGCTGCTGTTGCTGATGAGGAGGAGGAGGAGGAGGAGGAGGAGGAGGAGGAGGAGGGAGAAGAAGAGGAGTGAGTTTGGGTGGGGAGTTGGGGGTGGTGGTGGAGGTGGTGAGAGGAGAAGAGAGAGAGGAGAGGAGAGAGGGGAGTAGGGGCGGGTGGAGGTGGTATCAAAAGTCATATTAGTCAATTCGACTTCGTTCGTTCGTTCGTTTCATGCATGCACGCATACATGCATATCTCCAGGGCGCGCAAAATGTCCATGAGCTGCTGATCCACATCATCATCATTGTCACCATCCAACTAATTCTTCAGTACATCTCGTACCCGACAGACAGCATATTCAGGACAACCAGCAGCGTAAGACAGGAATACGGCTCCATTTTATCACTGGAAGTGGGTTAGACGGCACGCACGAACGCACGCATATAGCTCTTGATATCGCGTCAGAACGCCGGGTCGATGCATATTTTGTAAGAAAACGAAAACAGGTAAGAATATAGTACAATGCTTCGCGAGCCGCGTCTTGTCTCCTGCACTATCTCTCGCTCATTGAAGGTTTCGGTTGGTCGTGGGGTGGTGGTGTGGTATATGGTGTGTGATATGTACATATGTTCGGATCGTGTGATGTGTGTGTTATCGGTTGGGTTGGGCGGTTCGATGCCGGTGGAGATGCGTAGCGTAGTTGTAGAGGTACATTGGTACGGTCGCGAGTTCGTTGGTTCATTTCTATATATGCACTTCTCGGATGCGGGTTGGATGCGTGTCTTTACTTCCCCCGTTTCCGCTCGAGAAAGAGGACTTTCTTCTTCACTACGCGAATGTCAGTGCCAGGACCAGTCGCAGCACCAGGTTCCTCCTTTCAATTCAAAATATAACGTAGTGCTCCCCATTCCTCACGCCCTCTCATGACCCCTCCTTTCTCCCCAGAAGAGCCCAGGAGGAAAAGACAGAAACATACCAACAGGATCATATCTCAGCAAGCTCAAGGGCCTCGCCTTGCGCGGCCGCGTAAAGGTTTTGAAGTAGCCCGTCAGCGCCATGGATATCAGGCGGACGGCGATGGTGCGGGATTCTGCGCAGTGAAAGAGATTAGTATATTGCTTCGAGAGGTGTTGTATTGGATTTGATAACGCGAGTATGGATGCATGCGTGAGGCTGTAGTGAGCACTGGAACGATCGGGACTGATGAATTGGTGTAGAGGAGAGTGGATGTGAGTTACAAGGGCAACATACTCTTTGCTTTCGCCATGATGGAGCGTCCAGAGCCGTTGCGGAGCAGGAATTGGCGATGCGGATGCGTGCGTGGTGAAGACGTGAGGTTCGACAGCATTTCCGCTAGCATTCTGATATCCCGGAGTTGGGCCGAGGTATTTGAGGCCTGAGGCACCAACATACAGCTTGGCATGGCTTTGCATCATCTGCAGATGCCGGGACTTGACCACTTTCCAGGACACAGCTGCATAGACGACCTGTTATCGGTAAAAGGAGCCATTCTCTAGCCCAACACCGGTGGAGCGTTATGGTGAAGCAGCCCGCCTGTAATCACCACACGTACCGGTCACAGACAGTCGTGCCCAACATTGGTCAGCAGCAAGCAAAACAATACTATGACAACGAGATATTTACGGCATGATCAACAGAAAAGCCGGAGCAAGATAGCACGGCATGGCAACAGATATTAGGTGACCGGCATCAGTGAGCGATCGGCCCAAACCTGTTCCAACGGGTAGATGATGTTACCGGTGGCCTTGTCTGGTCAGCCGACATGCCTCAGGCAGGGTCGGCCATGCGAGACGTCATTGTTGATATCAATGATACTTCTGCTGACATATGGCGTCTTCTAGCAGTTGCTACGAGTACATTCCGATAGCTTGCGCGTCGTCGTCGTCCGCAAGGCAACAGGCTGGATAAGGCGATTGGGCGAGATGGATCAATAGGGAGACAACGGGAGGGAGACATGGCCTGGCCCGCTGTTGCCTTAAGCCACCATATCGTACAGGCAGGGGTCCTGATCACGAAGCGAGGCTTGTGGGAGCTGAGAAGGGTGGAAGGGACGGAACGGGCTGCAGTAGAAAACAGAGCGTCGGGACCATGGCATATTGAGCACTTGAAGCAGGCAACCAGGACATGCAGGTACTTTTACGTGATGTTAAAAAAAACAATAATAAAGGTACACTGCTGATGGACTGGAAGGGAAACGTGTCCTGAAGTGCTGGCGGAGGATCTAAGCAAAGATGTACGCGAGAAGGGATGGGAGAAGAAATGAGACAGAACTGCATATAGATGGAGCTGGCTTAGCATGCTTAGCATCGAGTCCCTGGGAATATCAGGACAGGACGTGTAGCACAGGAAGGATTCTCCAGGTTATGTGTGTGGGAGTCATCATGGACGAGCCTGTCAATAACGGGCGCATGTCTTGTGGCGGATGCTGGGCCGAGATGGGCAGATCAATCCGTCGGTCATGAGGATCCGTTGAGTCAAAGTAGGAGTCAGACAGAACTGCTGATAGCTGCTGATATGGGGGGTTTTACGAAGATGGCGCCCTTTTGTCTTTGCAGACTATCATTTTCTGCAGCCGATGATAGCGGGGCAGGCCTAGGAGCCAAGCCACGTCCTCAATTGGCCAAGTGAGCCAGACACAGCATCACAAGTCAACACACCCACCTATAGCGATTTATGTTTTGGGAAGCGGTCGCGGCACAGCAAGAATGTTGACTGTTGACGAGGATGCACGGCGCATGACGACACGATGGTCAAACGCGCAATCAGGCAGAGCAACGGATATTAGCGGCCCGTCGGAGCAGGAAGCGCGCTGGGGAAACGAGAAGGCGACCGGTCAAAGATGGCAGAGGGTGAGGATGCGATGTTGACCGGTCAGACGAACTGGGTATAGCTAGAAGCTGCAGCTCGACGGCACTGGGGTCATTGGGGTAGCTGGTCAATGTGGACCACTCACACTCACACACTCACATCTGCAGCTACCATAAACGCGCTTGTCGTTTGACGATGAATTCATGACTTGAGTCTCTTACACGATATGTTTGTCATAGCGCCGTTGTGGAAGGGCGATAAGGGCGGGTTGTGAAGGGTGAAGAGACTACTGTCTCATGGCGGAAGCGCAGACGCTGGCCTCTTCCATGACCGCTACGATGAACGAGTCGTTCAGAAGGTAGGTTGTGAAGATGAAGAATGACGAGCAACAGTCGCGCGGTAGGAGAAATGAGCGGAGGAGCCCGATGGCATCGTTCGCAGCGGGATGGAAGGCGGTTATTGCGTGCAGTAGATAGAGAGGCAGTGCTAGTAGTAGTGGAGAGAGTTATGAGTGAATTGGAGTGAGATGAGAGGACGAGAGAGGACGAGAGGATGGGCAGGCGGTGAGATTGGCTGTGGCTGGGACAGTACACTTACCGCATTCGGACAGCAATTGTGGCTCAGCACCTCCTCCCACGCCCAACGCTCCACACAAAACAACTCCGCACTTTATTCTTTCTCTACACATTCATCACACACAATCCCACGCTGGTCTCCCTCCCTTTCTTCGCACTACCTCTCTTCAAACAAGACCAAACATGGTCCGTCGAGGCGCAGTGTCTCAGGACAGGACAGGACAGGCCACATTCTATTACCGCACTGCTGGACGGGCCCCATCAGCTCCATCAGCTCGGTGGAGAGTGCTGCGGGGGCTGCTTTGAGCCTTGGGGAGCTACCGTAACAGCTACAGCTACAGCTAGGTGTCTCTGTTTGTCGACACCACCACCACCACCACCACCCTCCACGGTAGAGGAAGAGTCACATCAAGCGACTCACGGCTTCATGCAACGAGCGGCAATTGTGGAAAGCGATCGTCTCATGGACTTGGCTGTCTGGAACTCTAGATGCTGACGTGCACTAATTTGACTAGCAGCCAGAGATTGAGGGAATTGACAGCAGCTTGACGCAGCTGCGCATTGCTTTGTTCAATCATGGCACGCACATGGAAGAGGAGACGAGGATGATGGAGGAGGACGAGGACGAGGACGAGGACAATCGCTTTGACAGACAGACAAACGCGCCTGGAATGGGGGAGGGGGGGGAGGGGGTGGTGAATGAGGGAGTGTCAAAAAGAGCCAGGGTCAAGGGGTGGTGGTGAGTGGTGAGTGGTGGTGATGGTCAGGGAGCGTAGGGGTGAGTGGAGTGGACAATGGAAAGTTGGGTGAGAGTGAGAGTGAGTGTGCGCAGCCTCCACCGGCGACCCAGCGCTCCCCCCCAAGGCTTCAGGGCTCCCCAGGGCTTCCCAGGGCTCCACCCGTCGACAGGCAACCACGCTAAGGAGACGCGACTTGGGACAAGGGCCAGGCCTCAACTCTTTTACTCTTTATATATATCGTGAGCTTCCTTGTCCCCCCTCCACTCCCTCTCCCCTATATATCTCCCTCCACTCTCCCATCTCTCGTCAATTCCTCTTTCTACTCTTCAATCAACTTCGACAACAAGAACAACAAGAACAATACCAATCCAACACACGGCTATACCATCCACCACTCCACTGTCGACCTCACCACCCTCCCGCCTACCAATTGACTACCGCATGGTCTCTCTCACACATAGAATGCCCTCAGTCTCCAGATCATCCACAATGCCTGCCGTCATCCAAGTCCGCGCTCCAAGCCCCCGAAAGGCTGGTGTTGCCTTTCACAAGGACCCTGTCCAGAGCATCTGCCGCCCTACCACCGAAACCGAAAACACTGTACTCGAACACTTTGAATACCATGCCAGAACCTGCCACTACTGCCACAAGCCATACGAGGCCTTCCGTCAAGGACACCAGCTATGCACAACCGGCCATCAGTTCGCCCAAGACGTCGCTGCATACCTCTGCAACATTGGCTCGGACACCTACAGCACACGTGACGACTACCAACGAGTACGTGTCGAGATCCCAGTTGGCTTTGACGAGACACGAGGTCTCCTAAAGGCGATCGAACGCTCTCTCCGGTCCCGCAGCCGTGGCCCCTTTGTCTCCATGGACCGCTCATACATGGTGCAGTCACGCACGGGCGAGCAGCCGAAGCCCGTCTCCATCTCCCAAACACACAAGTCCTCGCGACGACACTCGCGAGAGGTGGTGGACTGGCCAGACTACCACGTGCCTGCTGTGGTGACGCCCGCAAGCTCCAAGCGCGGCTCACACTACGAGGCCGACCTCGCCCAGCAGCGCAAGGACTACCACCGCTACCACGTCGAGGTACGCGAGCCCGTCGACCGCGCAGCAGCCTACACCCACTACCACCGGTGAAGCACAGCCGGACGTCTTTTTGTTCTCTCTTAAGCGTATTATGATGCATCATACACACGTCGATCTACAGTCACGGCACGCAATTGCACGGTTCTATGCCCCAGACCCCCCACCCCTGAAAAGGAAGGAAGTTTCGGTTTTGTAACAAACAAACACCCAAAAACATGGCTGTCTTGGTGGACGAAGATGGTGGTCGATGGGAGATGGATGAGTTATGAATGAATGAATGAATACATGTATGAGTAAAGGGACGGCGTTGCGCTCCACGAGATGGTGTCGAGCTACGCATGCCAGGATGGGAGAGTGGAGAAAGCTTGGAGAAGCGATGACGAGGGATGGATTCTGCCTGCAGGCAACATGATGGTGATGATGCAGTAGCAGGACTTGCAGGATCAGAAGAAGACGACGAAGAAGAAGAAGCAGAGGAGGACATAGTGGTGGGCATGTAGCGCGCACAAGGCACGAATTAGGTAGCTCTCCCAGCCGTCAACGTCAATATCAATCCCCAAATGCCTCTTACTATTACTCTACATGATAGTGCTTGTGCATGGTGACTTTTTGCCATTTCCCTTGAATGTTTGGAAGTCACGTAACGCCCGATCAGACGGAGTAGGACGTGAGTCAAAGCGTGAGTCAGGAGGTGGATGGATCCATAGCTTACCTGGGAGGAGCTGAGAACGGAGAGCTCCTTCCCTCGGGCACGCGCGCACGACCGTTGCACATAATTAGTAGAATGGTCTGTGCGCCTCGCCTCACAGAACAGACAGGAAACGGTCCTTGGGCTTGTTGGTTCCAAGTTGCGCCGATCATCCATCTAATCAATTATTCCGACCATCTATCCCATCCATCGGACACTAGGTACGAAACTAGGTCAGTAGGTAGGAAGCTAGGCAGGTGGGTTCTAGGCTGGTTCTAGATGTGTTGGTGGTGAGACGGCATGACATGACGACAGGTATTACGATCTGTTATGGTTTGTTGCTTGCTATTGATTTCTTCTTCTTTTTTTTTTCTTGGGAGCTGTGTGGACGCGTCATGTTGTTGAGGATAGAATATGGGAATGGATGGGACTGTGCAGTGCAGTGTGCTCGTGCTTGATCGATTGAGTCTTGAGATCGAGGCTCGATGGTTGATGGTTTGATGCGTTAGGGTGAGATCGTAGTTGATTGATGCTTGATGCTTGAACTCGATACTTTGATTGATATTCACAGACGGATAATCCATGGACAAAGATTCGCTCTTCAGGCACATGGCTGGAGCTGGAGCTGAGCGGAGCTGTCATCATCCACTTCTATATATGGAGCACGATCGAGAACGAAGGCGAGGCGTGGGACAAGAAACAACAAAAACAACAGCAGCAAAACAAAGGGGACAACTGGATCTCGGACGCATGGCATGGCATGCAGGCATGTGCTGACCTGGAGCTGGGACAGATGGACAGATGGACGACGATGACGCAGCCATGTTTCCGTAGTAGACTCACTGCAAGCATGGATAAATGGACCTCCCTCCATCCCTGCAGCACGGGAGAGCAAAGCTGGCCTGAGGCTATTTGATGTTATCATCATTTATTATTTGTTGATTGATTGTTGAATTGGCATTACTTGGTTGGTTGGCTGGTTGGCTGGGCTGGTTGGCTGGACAGGCAGGAGCAGGGGGAGCAGGAAGCAGGAAGCAGGGCAAGGGTAGCTCCCCAATTTGGCGAGACTAGCTGGGGTAAGGTAGGGTGCTGTTTATTGCCCGGTTGTCGATCGCAAAAAGGAAGGCGCGGTCTAGGCTTTGGAAGTTTGGGTGGTGACGTCGTGCGTGTCTGCCTTGTTGCCTGGACGCGGGAGCTACCTACTGCCAGGTGGTAGTAGTTCTAGTCTCCCCAACGGTCTCATCGTGTAGATCGTCAGAAAGCAGCAACAACAACAACAACAACACATCAACGCAGGAAAACATCGGGTACGCGATAACGCGATGCATATCCATTCCCAGTGAATCCACAGTAACCACTCCCCCTCCTGGTGCGCATCAAACAAGACAAAACACCCTCCATCTCCATTAATCATTACCCACAAAAGCACCAGACAGCAGAAGCAGAAGCAGAAGATCTAATCTATATGCCATGGAGCATGGTATGGAGCATGGCATGTTTCCGATCTCCGAGAGAGAGAGCGAGAGAATGAGGGTCCCCCAGAAGCACAGACACGGCGGCCCATGGATGATGGATGCCCATTTAATCTCATGATTATGTCGTCACTTACACACATACAACATGCCTTTTTTGCCTGGGATCCCCCCAATGTCCGGGATGGTGGGACCCTTTAAAAAAGAGGGGAGAAAAAGTCTAAAATAATGAGGCGATGAGACCTAGAGTCGGGCCGGGGGTGCTGCCCTGACGACTGACTCTATCATACACTGTACTGCATTGCACGACCACTTCGACAGCGGCGCGCTGCCCCGTCTATCCGCTTGTCTATCTGTCTAATTAGTATGGATGGATGGATGGATGGATGTGTGGAATGGTGTACGGATGCAGGGCAGGGCAGGGCAGGGCAGGGCAGGGCCGGGCAGGGCAACGCAGTGCAGGACGGAACAGGGCACGGCATGGACAAGCACTCAGGAACGTAAAATACAGGTTTCGTCGAAGCTGTGTTGACGACATTTTACCCTTTTATCTCTGCCTAATGCCATGTCGATGTCCATGTCGACGTCGACGTCGACATGGGCGTGCGTGCGTGCGTGGATGTGGGTGTGGACTTGGGCCGTCGGGCAAAAGGCGTTGGGCGTCTGTCCTGACCGTCCTGCAGCACCGTTTTGCAGTGGCGTTTTCTAGCAGCGGGTACCTGGACCTGGGACCTCCCTTACTTTTCATATCAGCCTTTTTTTGAATTGTGCAAATCATGATTTCGGAAGCTGGAACGTGGGTTGGTGGTGGTGGTTGTGGTTGTGGTTGTGCATGATACATACAGTAACTACGTGTGTATATGTGGGACTGGTGTACCTCTCTACCTATCCATCTATGTATCCATCCATCCATCCATCCATCCATCTACCATCATAATCCCAAACAGACCTCGCCGTCCTCGCGGTACAGTACCGTGTAGTGTGGAGAACTCATGCATTGGCTCGCGGCGGGGCTGCCGTGCCGTGCTATGCTGTGCTGTGCTGGCGCCCTTCATCTGTCGCAATTGCTTCCATGACGATGCTGGAATGGGGTGCTTGGCCTGCGGATGGGTTATGGATGTGGATGTGGATATGCATTGTGGATATGAGTGTGGGTATATGACATATGGATATGCATTGGGTGTCTGTCTGTTTGTCTGGACGGGCGTTGCGTTTGCGTGTGTTTGAGGTCGGTCGCGCCGCGTGTGGCTTGGCGGCTGGGCTGGCTGGCTGGGCTGGCTGGCAGGCGGGGAGGGGGAGGGGGAGGGGGAATACAGGCGGACCGAATGGACGGGCTGTGCTGTGCGGAGGAGGCATGGATGGATGGATGGACGGACGGACGGACTATCTGTCAATGCAATCACGGAGACCGAAGTAAGAATAGGTATAAGCATAAGAAACGACTCATTCTATTGTTATTATTGTCACTGCTATCCTGTTGGTTTCGTTTCAACGGCCTGTCGAAGGAGAGGCGTGAGGCTTGTCCGTGGTGTAATTAGAGGTCATATTTATAGCCGTCACGTGCACTCCCGTTAGACAGCCCGGTTGCTCGAAAGCGGACTAGCGCGTTCGTCAACGGACCTCTCTCCAGCATTGCAAATGCGTGGTTTCGTTGTTTCGCTGTTTCGTTGTTTCATGTTCTCATGTCTCATGTCTCATGTCTCTCGTCTCGCGTCTCATACTGTATGTGATAGATACCCCTCGCGAAATCATATACCGCCGCCGCCACCACCACCACCACCCGCACTGGAGCCAGTGTGGCGCAAGCTCGGTTTGAGATGCTGGCCATGGCCTACTACAATGCCATTCTATTTCTTGTCGTCGTATTCTCTAGCTTTTTCTATTTTCGGAGCGTTTCTTGGGGAGGCGTCTTACGGGATGGGTGGATGAATGAGATGGGATGGATATTTGCGTTCTTTATGGGAGATGAAACACTGCGGCCCCCGAACTCCTCCTCCCTCTCTCCGCGTTTCCCTTTCTGATCTATGCGAACGGCGAGACGGCCCGTTACGGGACAGACATCGAGGACGATGCGCACCATGCTGCTTCTTGTTGCTGCTATTACGGTCGACGTCAGGACTCTCATACCCCCCTCTCTCTCCTAGCACACTCAAAGCCAACATGACATGCATACACCTACCTATCATACCTCACACTCATCTATTTACGTTTCCCACGACAAAAGTCAAATCCTCACTCTTCTTCACCCGTGCTAACTCCTTTCATACTAGCTGGCTGGCTGGCTGGCTACTGGACACTCTATCTCTCACTCGCCATCATCATTGCATTCACCCCCGTGATCTCATCTCAAACAGTCTGAGCGTTGGTTGGTAATATCGCTCGTTTTATACGCTGGGGGGGTGGTGATGGGAGGTGTAGCGTTGGGTTGGATGGGCTGTGCTTTGCTGTGCTGGACACGTGACTTGCGGAATGCTGGGAGGGTGGATATGGGATTTGGGATAGTCCTGTATGGCTCTGGAGTGTGGGACTGCGGGACTGCGGAATTGGGATGGAGTTTGGTGTTGGCGTTGTGTTTCTGGCACTTTGACAGTAGCATCCTCACGTCACAAACACAAACCACCACAAACCACAACCACAGCCCACCCTCCATCCCCTTCCTCTCACACTCTCAAACAAACTCCCAAAGCAAAAAAAAGAGATAAACGAATACGTGCCCCCTCCCCCCTCTAGCACGAAACAACTCCCGCAACGAAACGCTCGCTGAGATTATCGTATAGCATAGTCAGACATACCCCTCCCTCCCTCTCTCTCTCTTTCTCTCTCGCTCTCTCGGCCCGGAAGTATCAGAGTCGCGGACGGACATGTCACTACATCACCCATACATACCCAAGACAACAGACCGAAGCAACCATTTCGACGTCACATCTTCATCATCATCTCTCTTTTCTTACCCCCCAATTTCAAGGGCGTATTGGGCTTGGGGTGTGCTTGGAATGTGCTTGGAATGCATGAAACAGCACGCTTATATAGAACATACAATCTGAGGGGATTCATACTAGCTTTGGAGAGCAAGGTTTTATGCTGTTTGTTTGTTTGTCTGTCTGTCATTTACGTAGTCAGTGACCTAGTTACTCAGGCAGGCAGGCAGGTAGGCAGGTAGGCAGTCTGTCAGTCTGTCGGTGTCACAACCCCTACCCACGTCACTTACTCATTCATGTCCCCCACGCTCCCACGCTTGTGGCGCAGCTGCGCGAACTGCGCCAGACTCTACAACTTCCCTGGTCTTGCTTCTTGTTCTTGCTCTTGTTCTTCCCCGTCCTCCGCTTGTCCGCGCCCCCGCATCGAGGCTGGCATAGTGACTGGTAATTATGGCACGGCACAGCATGGCATGGGAATGACTGACTCGATCATGTTGGCTGGTTGCGACGGAGAGCTTAGTCGTGCAGCCAACAACTCTGTTCGGTCGTGCACCTGATACTGACTGATAACTAATCTAGACGAGAGATCAAAAAGTTCGTAGACGGCATTTTGGATTCTGTGTCTTGGCGTATGTTATGGTCAGGCTCGATGTATGTCCTGCATCCTGCATCCTGTATGACGAACGCTGTTCGGAATCCTGCTTGGAATGCTGTTCGGAATGCACCATTCTCATCATCGATCGGCTAAAGCTGTAGCATGCGTGACATGATTGGGTGATGTACGTGAAAGCAGTTTTGCACTGCTTATATGTTAAGCTTCGTTATATACTCCTGCGGTTAAAGCGCGTACTTTGTTCTTTGTTGTGTGTTGGAAGCGTAGATTGAGCTGTATCATTTAGACTAAGCACGCACTTTTTTCTTTGTTGTGTGTTAAAAGCGTAAATTGAGCTATATCATCTAGACGAAGCACTTGATTCTATACTTCACTACTGCTGGTGAACATTTACTAGTTTAATGGATAATAGGAGACGATTGAGTTATGTATAAATATATTCTTTCTAGAGATTTATAGAGTTGAATTATCGGAGACTTTGATCTAATTAGCTAACTATAAGGAGTCATGTAGTCTAATTATAGGAGACATTTATATGATCCACTAACTATAAGGATTTTATAAGCTCTCAGACATCAAAACTTCCAACCAAAATGTCTCATCACGCATGAAGTGCAAGGACCTTGGAGAAGCTCGTCTGATCTTAGGCATCGAAATCGACCAAACGCGAGAAGGGCAAATTCAACTCTCCCAAAAAGGACATGCTTTAAAGGTTCTTCGCAGGTTCGGAATGTAAGACTATAATGGCTGGAAGACTCCCGTCGACGCGAACCTATTCCCGTTGCAATTAGAAGATATTGTCGATCAAGAACGACAGCTAACGTACGTGCAATTGATTGGATCAATGAATTACCTTGTTACTGGAATACGTCCCGATTTGGCCTAGGTGCACCAGGTGTTTCTTCGACAAAGGTAGAGGGATATAGTATTACAAACCAGATGGTATAGGTGATGATACGTTATAATTTTTTGCTTAGAGATTATAGCTTATCAAGACTGCTAAGGCTTATACAACATACGAGTCCTTTACAATAGACTAGATATAGCAGTTTCTCCTGTCATAGCTATGAATACTATACTATATATAGCAACATTACAGACTTCTCCATGCTACATTCACAGACAGCACGATAATCACAGCGCAGTAGAACCAAAGGAAGCTCCACCGGCTATCGCTAGAAATGACACCTCATGACCTCTCATTGAACAGACTCTCTATCTAATATACAAACAACAAACCCTCTCCCCCTCCCCAGACCTCTTCATCCCCCAAACAACACCGCACCACCACCCCCCCTCTCACCCACTAGCCAAACCCCCTACCTACCCACCCACCGGCCTCCTCGTCAAATAACTCGTATCCACCACCTCATCCGGATCAATCTCACTCGACTCCTCCGAACTCGACCGACTACTCACCCCCACACCACCAACCCCTTCCTCCTCCCCAGGCCGCCCAAACACCGTCAACTCCCACGCCTCCTGATGCGCCTCACACTGCACCTCCGCCGTCGTCCCCAGCATCTCCATCCCCAGCCCGGCCCACTCTACCTGCGTCACCTCCACCCACCGCCCTGCCGCCGCGCCCACAGCTTCCTTGACGAAGCGCTGCGGCGCGCCCGGCGATTCCACCGGTCGTCGCTTCGATTCGCTGGCCAGCAGCGGCTTGACGGAGTGGGCGTTGCGCTGGATGATGAGGCCGGTGCTGCGCGGGACGCGGTCTGGGACGAGGTGTGCGCCTGCGTGGGCGAGGAAGGAGGAGGCGTCGGGGGAGAGGAGGGGTTTGTTGAGGGTGGTGTCTGGGTCGGAGCGGTGGAGGGTGAGGGCGGGGCAGCAGAAGATGGGGGGTTTGCGGGTGTTTGGGCACATGGTGGTGGTTTTGGGGAGGGAGGAGGAGCAGGGGGTGAGGATGGTTTCTGTGGTGTGGGTTTGGGGGAGAGGGGGTTGGCTGGTGGGTGGGTGTTGGGGTGGGCCGCCGTCGGGGGCGTGGAGGGAGAATCGCTCGCCGTCCCAGTTGCTGGAGCTGTCTGTTGAGATGGAGGGATTGGAGGGGTGCTTCTTTGTCGGTCTGCTGGAGGGCTGGGTTTTCAGCGGGGTGGCGGTGAATTCTGAGGATGCGTTTGTGAAGAAGGAGGTGGTTGAGGACTTCTTGGTTGGGGTGGAATCGGACATGGTATGCTGATTTTTGTGGCTACGATGTAGATGTGTGATGAGTGGACTTGAGAACGTTAGATCTCGGGTAGGTAACGTGGGGGAACTGTGTTTCTTACAGATTGGTAGACAGTGTCAAGTTGTCTGAGAGCCTCTGAATTTGGAAAAGCTGCGGTTTAGAGGAGAATCAATGCTCTTTGTATGCTTGGGAGATGCGTAATCGAGAGTTGTGTAGAAGCAAGAAATCTCGGGAAGAGATATGGAAGACAGAAGATTGTCCTTTGACAGGAGAACCGGAAGTGAACAATCGAAAGCAAGCCCCCTGTTTGCAGTATGACCCCCTATCATGATGACCCATGCAGAATGGAGCCGATATCCCTTGATTGACCTTCACTGTGCTATCACATACACTCATTGTGAATATAAAACTACTGTGTGACTAACAGGAACGTCATATGAGGTCCAACGGGAGAGTCTTATATCCGGCTATCCGCTCGTCTAGCTACGATCATCTGAGGCATGCGATAGCCCGGTGCTTCATTAGTCACGAGTGAATGACTACGATCCAGCAGATGTGCCAACTCTGTGCTGTGATATGTCTCGCTTAGACGCAACGCTGAATCACCAAGCATTGTCGAAGCTTCTCTCTGGAACTGATTAACCAGACATGGAGGAAACCATGGATCAAAAGTCAAGAAAAACGAGACATGAAAGTCCAAAGGCTTATCAGGCAAAAGACAGAAGATCTAAAGTCACAGGTCAGGGCTTGTCGGATCATATGCGCCCAACGTAACTTTGAAATGTCTTATTGCTCACCAACGTATGGCAAGTCGTCTTGGGAGGAAATATATCCATCCATCCTCACCACAACGTGAAATAGTCAAGTCCCTTCACTTTGAACACTGCGCGTATTCACAGTTAAACATGAATTAGACGACATCCAGCACTATGGTCTACGGTCCTGTGAAACCCAACTTACACTCCCCCTCCCTCCTGAGCAGTTATATGAGACATATGCCACGGAAGTTCATCATCTCTACGAGTTATCTCATACTCTAGGACGTCCTCTTCCAAACAAAAGGTTTCATGGAAGGACCAGAAAGGAGATACAAGCCGTAGCAACGCAACACCCGAGAAGATGACGAGCACTACTAGGAGTGGAGAGAGATGGGCAATAGCGCGACTGTTCTCCATCCGACAGTGACCATACCCTGGCCCTAGAAACCCTTCTGAGTGGAAGGTTCTGACTCTCTCTGACAGCTCCCAGTTTCGACCAGGATCGCAAGCCAGAATATTTCCAGACCGTCTGCTGAGCATACACGAAGTTGCATTCGAAAGTACCGTAAGAGTGAGAGTGGCTGTCAGGAGTACCGAAATAGAGGAGGCACAGAGAAGAGAAGGATATCACAGTGGCATCGGATCTGCCAATCAAATGAAAGCGGCTAGCATTTTGATGGGTCAGGATGAGGAGCACTGTTGAGCCACCAGAACACATGCACAAATAGGGAAGAATGCTTGATATAATGACACTTGACACCGCCGTACAATGTTGTTATATACGGAAGATGTTGAAAGAATGATGGAAGAAGAAAACACAAGTTCATAGCATTGGCATGCTTCACGGGAAAAGATGAATAAGACGCGATAGGTCGCAGAAAATGCGATCTGACGGGGTACTCCGGGAAGGCCAAGAAAATAAAGAGAAGGGTCTATATACCGAAAAGAGCCATACAGCGAAAGCATAAAAATGTACGAGCGCCAGAACTACCCATGCAGGCCAGAGACCATCAAAGAACTAATAATACCAGACATCTAAAGTGCAGAAAAGCAGACTCTTGGCCGACCGAACATGCTTACAAGAATAATCCCGAGAAGGGATTATCTAATAGAATTCGGGGGGCGCCTGCGTGATCTCAGGAGCATAATAGCTGGTCAACGGCGTGTTGCTGCGTCATCGTCAGGAATTTATCAAAAGATGATGGTAGAATTGACTCACCTGGATGATGCGCTGAGACGAGATACGTGTCGAGACGTGCGCCGAGACGACATTATCCCATGAACCTTCTCCTCATGCTCATCACGCTTGTCCTTGCGCTTGAATGCCTTTCCGGACAGACCATCGCTTTGACAATGACTCTCCTTGCGACTTCGGCGACACGTCGAAACTCGACACCAGAATTGTTGGCTCTGCTGGTGATGCGATTCATGATGTCGTTTGAGGTCGGCGACACGCTTGAAGCTGATACCCTCGCAGCCGGCGAGGGCGCATGAGAAGGAGTAGTCGGAGTTGACGTATGCAATAACAGAGATCGCTGACTGAATGTTGCTTCTAAGAGAGACGTCTTAGTTGAGGTTCGAGGGATCGTATCGACCAATTCCAATTTTCAAAAGGCCTGACGGAAATGGTGTGTTTGCATGAGAGGTCATGCCCAAAAATGGCTGGGAGCGGTCCCAAGCAAGGAAGGTGGTGGGTATTCAAACGAGGGTCGTGTAGTCCAAAGATCGCCTAGATATGCGGTCTGTCTGTGAAATGCGAGAGTGAAGCGAGTGAACAACACCGCTGTCGGGTTTTGGTAGGGATTCGTCCAAGACATGCGGCGCTTAGTCGCAACTGACTCTATATGGCGGACGGGATAGAGAAAGTAGCTGGAATTGCCACGATATTTCAAAGACCGGGGATCCAGCACCAGGTAGCAAAGGCAGGAACTTGTAAGCAGTGTGTCATATAAAAATTCTGTCGCCTATCAAGGGACGATCAAAGGGAGCCAATAGACCAGCTTTGTCCTTTGGCAATTTCCAGTTCAGTTCAAGAGGTCCAGTAAGCATCCCAGTCACAATGGAAGAAAACATCATGCGTCCAGAAGTCCACGCCATAGATCCAGAAGTCCAACGGTCCAAAGGCCCTACGGTCCATTATTATCCGGATGTCATCCTTAAAAGAGCACACTGCGGAAACCTGTCAGCCTCATGCCCCTTCCACCACTGTTTGGCAGCGTGTCAGTATACAGACATCAACCGTTGAACTGGTTGGTCGTTCCCAAATATGAAGAAGAAAAAGAGGAATTGTATTGTATCTCTGGGGCGGAAAAACCAATGCTTTCCTTCGCGGTATGTATGGAAATGGGGTGACTTCGGATAGACCCATGACCATGGTTTAAGCTCGGTTAGCTGATACGGGCCCAACATTGAACGTTGACGTCTCTAAAATACCTTCCATATGTGTTTGCGAAGCCTTGGGGATTCGCCTCTGTACTTGCGGACAAAGTAGATTGGGCACTCACACGCTATTGTTATCTCCTGGTGACAACGCCAAGCCAGCATAACTGCCAGCGTCGGATGCATCGGTGACGTATTGCAGGCCCTCGTGAGGTGGGAAGCTGGAGCTCTGTGCGTGCGTATAAGCAGGTTGTTCGGGAGGTACATTCGAGCCGTCCAAATGTGACCACTGCATTGCGTAGCTTGGAGGATTGCTGGTATCATGATACTGAGCGTAAGAATATGGAACCTGAAGAAATTGGGGTGTGTTGCCGCCATCGTTGCGAGCTTGATGAGAATGGTAATCGTTTGGGGAGAACATGTCCATTTGTGCTTAGTCAAGGATATCTGTGATGCTTTCAGAGGCCTGGACCAGTTCAAGAGCGGGCACTTTCCTATAAGTTTCTCGAAGATAACTAAATGCACAACATATCGTGAAGTCTACACCCGCTTGGAGAATGCTGACCGGCCCTGGATGTGAGGCGAACCACAAGGCAAAGAAGGCAAAGGGATCCCATCCCTGCAAGGTAGATGTTTTTCTTCCTCACTTTGCTACCCTGGCGATGCTGTCAACTCGGTCACACGGGCAGCCTACGTGGAAAGACGCTTAGAAATACAGTTGATGATCGAGACTCCCCGGTATCGGGGCGCGTTGTTTTGCTATTCACCGGCAAACATCTGCCTTACATTTAGATTGATACGCTTCCGTTTCAACCAGCCAGACCACTGCGAGAAAGGGCGGACACCTATACTTGATGTGCTGTCACATTCAAATGACGGCCATTCGCTCAGGGCTTCTGGACACGTATCTGCAATGACCTTGGGAATGCCATGCCAGGCAAAGCGAGAAGGCCCAGACATCACAACAATATCGCCTGAATGCAATTTGATCGTGGCAGGTGGATAAGTTGTCTCCATTGGGGTGCCCCTATCTTTCAGGGCACTCAGGATGAATATTGCATCACAACCAATGCTCAGACTCAGTAGAGGCGCAGCACATTGCTCACTGACATCGCGATGTAGGCTCAATGTATCACCTGGGGTGTAGAGGTTACAGATTGCCGCCTCAGGTAATATGTCTGGACATAGCCCGCGTAGCAGGCGAGCGATATCATCAGGGAATGGTGGAGGCTCAGATGTGGGATATCTCTTCCTGGTCCAGTCATACTGGCCTCCCAGAGTGACCCATCGAAGTTTTCGGTTCAGAAGCGATTCGAGCGTGAGGGGCCCATGGACCGCCGGGTCTTTTGGTCTGTACACTGGCACAGGCTCCGGTGGAAGTGAGAAAAAAGACTGACCAGACGCTGGTTGTATGAGGTGGTGATGTAGATGCACGTTGGTCATGTGCCTTGGATTCACGAGATCTCGATGGAGCAGCCGGTCCAGGAGAACTCTTTGAGTACTCAATGGGATTGCGGATGGAATTATGCGTAAGCCTGTGTAGTGTCAGGCGCAAGGCTAGGTAAGACTGGTGTAGCGCTTGAAGTACGTCCGAAGTCGAACAGCCGCTCTCCATCGTGAAAAGGCGATGATCAGAAAATTGCAGCAGTACCAGCCTCGTTCAAATATCCTTACCTGGACAGTCATCGTGTTCATACACCGGTATCGAAGCTGGAATCGTTGCCTTCTTTTCGCAGGCTCGATTACTGACATCCACCACTTCTCCGGTGAACTGTTGGAAGATACCTTGAAGATGTTCATAGTCTAGTGTGTGCAAGACTTTGACCTTGCTTTTATGCGTTTTTGATAATTCTCTCTTAAAGTCTAGCAGGTTTTCATCCCAATCTAACGCCGCCACTTTCATCTTCTGGTATGACTTATAGACCAGCCGGATGTCTTCCGGGGGCTTCTGGTGAGCATCCAGACCAGACAGAGCGTCCATGATGAAGGTAGCTGAGGCTTGACGTTCAGTTCGTTACTTTACAAGGACCGGGCGGAATTTTATTTTGACAGGTCACGTTTCAGCGCGACACCAACGCGCGCAGTGCCAAGCCTTTTAGCCCAGGAACGCCCGCCAACCATGTTTAGGTACTTACCGTTTGCTGTTTTTCCACAACATCTCAGCTTCTGCATAGTGCGACGCAACGCCTTCTTTCTTTTCCCCGGACGCATACTAACCAATGAACCCTCCACAGTCTCCATGACCATTTGATCTCACGTACACGCTCAGCTTTGGCATTCAAAACCTCAACCTCGCTTTCTTGCGCGCCCCGCCGTATTTGAACCCCGCGGTTCGCTAACTGTCGATCTTCGGATATACTGGGAACTGATAACAAACCGAGAGCTACACCCTCATCATGGAGAACTATCAGAAAATGGAGAAGGTTGGCGAGGGTAAAGTCTTCGCATGCGCGATTGCTCAGCATCGCTCACTCGAACCAGAAGTTATGTACTGATGAGCCAATCACAGGAACATACGGTGTCGTGTACAAAGCGAGAGATCTCACCAGACCCGATCGTCCCATCGTTGCGTTGAAGAAGATAAGACTCGAAGCAGAAGATGAAGGTGTACCCAGCACCGCAATTCGGGAAATATCACTTCTCAAAGAGATGAACGACCCCAACATCGTGCGGCTCCTCAACATCGTTCACGCCGACGGCCACAAGCTATACCTCGTTTTCGAGTTTCTCGATTGCGATTTGAAGAAGTATATGGAAGCACTCCCTGTATCCCAGGGTGGCCGCGGAAAAGCACTCCCTCAAGATTCTCAAGGGAGTGCTCTCCAAAGTCTTGGACTGGGGCCAGACATGGTGAAACGGTTCATGAGTCAATTGGTTCTTGGAGTAAAGTACTGTCATGCGCACCGTGTGCTGCACCGCGACCTGAAGCCCCAGAATCTCTTGATTGATAAGGAAGGCAACCTCAAGCTTGCGGACTTTGGTCTTGCTCGGGCTTTTGGTGTACCATTGAGGACGTACACCCACGAGGTACATGTTCCATAGAATGACATGGCTTGTTACTAACAATTAGTCCAGGTCGTCACGTTGTGGTACCGTGCCCCTGAGATCTTGCTCGGAGGCCGTCAGTACTCTACTGGAGTCGACATGTGGTCTGTAGGCTGCATATTCGCGGAGATGGTAACCCGAAAGCCTCTCTTCCCGGGTGATTCGGAAATCGATGAAATTTTCAAGATTTTCCGGTAGGCTAAATTTACAATGACAACCTCTTGCTAAAGCTGATTGAAAGACAGTACAATGGGCACACCAACAGAGCACGACTGGCCAGGTGTGAGCACATTCCCAGATTTCAAAGCCTCATTCCCAAAATGGGCCGCAGCTAGTCTCGAGGAAACTGTGCCTGGAATGGACGACGATGCTATTGATCTCCTCCATGGTATGCTATTCTACGACCCATCCCAGAGAATATCCGCAAAGCAAGCACTTCTGCATGATTACTTTGACGGCAAGAGCCACATCTGGGCTGGCAGACAGAACGGACTGCGCTAAGAACGAGATTCTGAGAAGGCCTTGCTTGATATGAAATATACCTCGAGCGCCAAAGCCTGAATTGAAAATGACGTTGACGATAAAATATCAAGTTGCTGGCCCTCTTCTAGACGGTTAGGTTCTGATGTACGGGCATATTGGGTATTGTGGTTTGGCGTTTGGGCAAGTGACAGGTGACCTGGCGGCTCGCTGGCTTGGGATACATGTAAACGCTTTATTATTCGTAGTGGAGATGGCTGGACCGGCAAGTAAAACATTGGAACGTTCTCTTACATCTGTACTACTCGACTGTCTAACACCTTGCGTCTGATGCTGGGAGATCTCACATGAACGCGTACTCGTCTCGCGTCTTGCCCCTCGACGCTAGTACGAAACGGGTGATTCTGATACCCCGCGATTGAATATTGGAAGACTCAGCTCGGGGTCATCCCAGTCGGGTTATAAGAAGATATTGAAGATGCCTCCTGTAGCCCAATCGTCAGGACTTCTCCCTGTGTCTTCAACCCCTCCTCGTCTCGTTCTCTATGCGCAGACTCATCATACTCCTGAAGGCAATCCAATCTCGTTACTTCCCCTAATCACACAGAACACCGGCGTCACGCACGTCATTCTCGCTGCGCTCCACATCAATCAGGGTCCCGGGAACATCTCACTCAATGATGATCCGCCAGATCATCCCAAGTTCGATACCCTTTGGGCTGAAGTAGGATGGCTGCTTGGTGCTGGCGTCAAAGTGTCAATCATGGTTGGTGGTGCAGCCAAGGGAAGTTGGGAGCGGTTGAGTGGAAGTGAAGAAGAAGTACGCTCTCTATAACACGGTTTTGAATGATACTTATAGTACCTGCTTTAGTTCAATGCCTACTTTGAACCGGTAATTGATCTTATCAAGAGACACGGACTGTCTGGCCTCGATCTCGACATTGAAGAAGAGGTTCCACTAGCGACGCCTATGCGTACCATGCGCCGACTCGATTCCGTGTTTGGCAAAGACTTCCTCCTTACGTATGCGCCGACATGTACCGCGTTACTTCCAGAAACGATTAAAAATCCCCTCCTCCCTGTGCGCCCCTACCATTTCGACCACAGCACGCCTGTGCCGAACGGCAAAGCTGCTTGCACCGAGCCTACACTAAAGCATCTAAGCGGTTTCTCCTATCCTGAGCTATTTGGGAGCGAGATTGGCTCGAGGATATCGTGGTTGAATGCACAGCTGTATTGTGGATGGGGAGATGCTTCGCAGCCACAGTGGTACGATGCGATCATCGCGGCGGGATGGCCAGCGGACAAGGTTGTTCTAGGAGTCGTGACGACATCACGAAACGGATCTGGGAGTGTCCCTCTTGCGAAGCTCTTGGAAGTCTTCAGGACTCTACGTAGTCGTCACCGCGGGTTTGGTGGTGTCATGGGTTGGGAGTACTTCAACTCAGGAGAAAACGACCCTGACATGGCCGGCAAAAACCCATGGGATTGGGTCAAGGCCATTGGTCAGACGATACGGAGTGTAGTCGAGATACAGCCAGTCCATACGCCTCACCCATGGAGAGAAGAAGATGTGTTAACCTTGGTCGAGCTGGGGTTCAGTCGCGCCGATGCGATACAAGCTCTCAGTGCAACAGAAAACAACGTTGAACTAGCAGCTGGTATTCTATTTGACCAATGATTTCGGTGTGGCCAAGAATGTCAGATATGATGCCTCCCAATAGAATTGTGGCTAATCTCGAGACAACCGACGCCTTTCCGAGTCCCCTGCTACTACCCCTCAGTTGCTGCACATTTCGATAGAATCTCGAACGTCCGGCTGATAGAACACAAGCATCCCGCAAAACACGCTTTGGTGACATATAACGAGAGCCGATATGGTCGTCCGAAGTGAAAACCCTTGGGAGACTTCAACGAAGAGCGACTTCATTTCGGTGGGCTCGTACAAGCTATTCTTGTCCACGTCTGGTCCACCTAGGAAGCATGGTCAGCCTGTCATAATATACTTCACAGGCGGTGGCGCGCCGTCTATAGTATATATGCGACTACAGGAAAATCTATCTGAATTCACTAGGACCTATTTCTATGACCGAGCAGGCTACAACAATAGCGATCGAGGGCCAGATGAGTGGGTGACTACACAGCGTAGTGCCCAAGAACTGCGGGCGTTGATGCGCGCTGTCAATGTTGAGCCACCATACATCATTGTCTCACACTCTTACGGATCAATCGTAGCTCGATCATTCCTAGAGTTATATCCTAACACGGTCGCTGGTGCCGTACTCATCGACTCTGCTACAGAGCTGATGTTTGAACTTTATCCGTCAGTTCCATGTGAGGAGCTCAAGGTCATTGGCACCAATGTAGACTTCGCCGAAGTTACTCACCTCAAAGAAGAATCGCATCTTTCTGACAACGAGTGGGCTGCCATAATCAAAGCCATAAGCAGAACCACCCAAGGTGCCGGGGCAGAAGATAATCGCGGGAGCGGAACATGGCTGGCACAACGACAAGAGATGCAGCGACAGGTCATGGCCGACAAACCACTCAGCGTGATCAAATGCAATGCCGCCGACAAAGACTATAAAGTCATCTACGAGCATGGCGTGAAGATGGGCAATGGCACGAAAGAGGAAAGGGAAAGAGCACAGAAATTCATTGACTCCTATCGCATCTTCGATGATCAGATCAAGGCCGCTCAGCTTCGCCTATCCCGCAACAGTAGGTACGTCGTCATCGATTGTTATGGCCATGACATGCCCATTCGCAGACCACAGCTTGTCGCGAAAGAGGTGAAGTGGGTTCTCGAACAGCTTCGATATCGGAAGAACAGCTTGCATCACTCTGCTTCGGCCGTGGAATCGAGAGAAATGTTCGCGCAACCGGCCAGAATCTCATAGTCTTCAGGACCCATATTGGCGGACTCGGCAAGAATATCATCGTGCATAGTGGCCATGTGAGCAAGTTCAGCCTCAGTGAATAAGTTGCGGATCGACTCAGCTCGCAGTCCTGAGTCATGAGTATTCAAGACTGGACTCCGAGGCTTGACTTGTGTCTCTAACTCCTCCGTGTCGAGGATTGGACTCGACGGATCCCACTCGACCAACCTCTTAAAGTCGACATCTGTCAGCGATAGCTTGGGAATCTCTATCTGACCAGGCGGCCAAGTCCATATTGTAACTTTTGCATACCAGCCGTCGCCACATGCGCAATACACACCAATCGAACGTTCGTCCACCCAGCCTGTATCTTTGCTGAAATTTTCCTTGTGGTTTTCTTCGAAAAAACTACCCAACGCGAGGAATGAACGCTTTTCTTCTTTCGGATATGTGACATGAACACTTACCCCGTAAGGCCACGGTGGTGGGGGATTGTTGTTGCCGTTTGTATCTCGCATCAGACGCTCCTCGACAAGATGGTTCAGGAGCGGCTGGTATTGCTCAACATTGGTGCTGATGCAGCTTTGGGATTGTCCTGGCGGACCTTGGGAACAGTCCCAGCGTGTGATAGTAGTCATCTTGAGATGTATGAGAGGTTGTTGGACATGTTGCTAGGGCAAGCCAACGATAGCGTTTATGTACTGCGAGTTTCCAGGTGAACGATCCTCCCCCCGAGTCAACACATATTGGGTACCTGTTACCTTTCACTCCAACCAGTCACTCTTCTAAGCGAGCCCAACACTAAGCTATGCTCCAACATGACAACACTCTTCCTTAACAACTAGTAATGGCCCAAGATCTGTGGCTCCAACAAGGGCACTATGCCAAACTAAATGGCATAACCTTATACAATGCAGCACCTACAGCGTTGCTGCCTTTTTCGGCCTGAGCTCTGGATGCCGAAATAGGCAAGTAGCTACCCATGTTATTGGAAGTCTATAAGTAGTTAGCGCGACAAGCTTGCCACACCTACCTGTTCCAGTAAACTTGGAACAAAGAACCTCAGGCTGTCAATGGTCGAACCGAGCATGTGCCACCACATATCGTTCTTTTGATGCTTTGTTTGAAAAATGCTTCCTAGTATTATCATCAACAGACTATACACACTACCTCCTTCACCAGACACTCTGTCTCTCTCTACAGTCATCTCGTTCGCCAGTCAACGAGCACAGAGAGTTAGCTTCTACCAAAGATCCTAGTGTCATCGCTAATATAAAGCCTAGAGCTCCAACCACGTCATGGCCTCAAAGCCCGGGTTTCCATACTTAAGACTCCACTGCTGCACTTCGTTCACCACTCAATCTTGAACATATAAACCATCTACCACCCACGATGCCTATCTTCGACAAACTCAAGTCCAAACTGGATACCTACTCCTCCCAGGCCCAGCAAAAATACTTCCCTGGCCAGCACCACAATGCCCCTCCCCCTCCCATCCCCCAGCAATCCGGTACTCGCATGGTCTGGCCCCCCAAACTCCTCCAACCGCCAACCGTTCTTGGAGAAGTTCGCGACACATCCAATCGCAAGATCAATCGTGATGGCGGGCGATCTATACGCTTCAATGGTCGCCTATACTACATGTTTGGTGACACATTCTGCTTCGACCACAGCGATGATTTCAAGGGTGTGGCCAATAACACCATTGCGTCGATCCCGGACCCATCGGACCCGACGAAGAGCCACTATTGGGATGGCAAGATGTTGACGGACAACTTTGTGCCGCATACGCCAGCGGAGGCGCAGGAGTGTGAGGAGGGGAAGAAGGATAATCGAAGGCTTGTGAATTGGGTTTTTGGAGGCGTGGTGGAGAGGGAGGATGGCGGGTGGCTGTGGTTTGATAAGATCCGGACCGAGGGTGCGGCGGCGACGAAGTGTTTTGGCATGGGTGTGGCAAAAGTGCTTGCCAAGGACGATGGGACGCTGACTTGTGAGAGAGTGGATGGGGAAAATATGGTTTTCGGGGTATGTGGTCCTACCCATCAACCGTATTTTTCTTTACTGGGAGTGATTGCATGGACCAGAGATATTTCCAGCTCTTTACTTCTCCTGAAGACGACAGAACTGACAAACGTCCATAGGAACACGAGCCACGCTTCTTCAGCATCACAGCCTACCCACACACCGACGGCTACGTCTACGGCTTCGGCTCCCTCGGCAACGAACTCGGCAACAAACTCGCGCGCGTGCCCATAAACGCAGACTTCACGCAGCGCAGCTCCTACGAATTCTTCGCCAAGGGCGGAGCATCCTGGGTCAAGGACTTCCAAGACCCCAACGCCGACCTCGAAGACGTCATCGCGGGCATGTCCCAGGGCGGCATCCTCTACATGCCGGACCACGGCCCGGCCGGCAAGCCGTTTGTCTGGTTTGGCGTCAACAAGTTTATGAGTGGCGACTTTTATGTCGGTGCGGCGGAGCGGATTGAGGGGCCGTATGATATTCATGAGATTGGGCATGGGCCAAAGATTATGCCCAAGAGTGATCATTTGTATTGTCTTTATCCGCATGACTGGGCGAGCGATTTTGGGAATGGGATGGTGTGTGTGAGTTGGAGTGATGATGGGGAGTTGGGCGGGAAGGTTGCGGCGGGTAGGTATTATTTTGAGATGGAGTAGCTGCTGCCTGGAATGTGTTTTCTCAAGCTTGGAAATACATAGACTTTCTTCTTTGCTTCAATACAGAAGAAACAAAAAGGACGTTGCCATCCGAATCAAAGCATTTTTTGAAGCAATGATGTGTTAGACTTACTGTGTGATTAGTACTCGACCCAAATATTATAATTATCATAGTGCAAAAGACAAGAGGCAGTTTGATTCATTCAAGATGACTTCTCGAGCGCCCATATATTGCCTGTATTATGTTGAAGCTGCCAGACTCCGTCCTAGCGTTGTTGAACTTAGTGGTTTTGAATGACCTAATATATGAACTGTGTTTCCATATTGCTCGCAAACCCATAATATGGTCTCTCGAAACATGCTCAAAGATGCACAATGCGCGCTTCCATCACACCCCTGGGATCAATCAGGCCCTTGACAATCTCCTCAGTAATCGGGCCATTAACGCCGAGAATCATCAATGCCTCCTTGGGACCCTCCGATGGCGACAACAGATCTTCAGCAAGGGGTGCAACACTCATGAAATCGATATTCACACCATTAGCGCCGAGGTGACTGCCCACGAAACCAATCTTTCCGGCTTGGTCGTAGTTGCGACAGAACAGCAGCGTGCCTTGTGGGATGAAATTCGCTGTGAATCGGTCTAGGCGGGAGATGTACACCGTCTCGCCGGTTGCAAAGCCTTGGATGACCTGTTCGACAGCCGGCGGTTCGGAGAATCCGGTGCGTGCTTGCGATGTCGAGCGGGTGAGGCGCGCACGTAGCGTGACGGAGCTGGTGTAGCCCTTTCCTTCGAGGTCTTCTCTGCTGCGCGACTCGTTGATCAGAATGCCGCGTTCCTTGGTGATGAGCTCGGCATTCACGATGTTGACGTTGACGTCATTGGCGGAGCTGATGGGGCCGAGAAGCCCTTTGACGAGAGCGGCGTATAGGGGCTTTGTGTTGTTTATTGATGCGAGAGCACCCTCGTAGATGAGATCGAATGTCGTGCGGTACTGATTAGCGACGATCTTGGAGGAACTGAAGTGCTGTGTGTAGAGAGAACCCATTTTCTCGACTAGGGTGACGAATGGTTGGAGGGTGCGGAATTCTTCGGGCAGGATGATCGGAGCGTTGACTGCACTTCTTGGGAGCTGACCGGCTAGAATGTGGATGACTTGCTCGCACACATCTATCGATACGTTCTCCTGTGCCTCTTTCGTTGAAGCGCCCAAGTGGGGAGTCGCAACTACTTTTGGATGTGCGATCAGCCTTGAGGCCGAAGAGTCTGCCTCGGGTGGCTCAGAAGTGAAGACATCGATACCCGCTCCAGCTATCGTACCGTCGTCAAGGGCTTTTACGAGGGCGTCTTCGTCAATCATGCCTCCTCTGGCCACGTTCAGAATGCGGGATGTAGGCTTCATGGTCGCGAGTTCTGCTGCACCAATCATGCCTTTTGTTGAAGCAATGAGAGGCGTGTGGATAGTCAGGAAGTCCGATGCAGGTAACAGGTCGGCCATGCTAGATACAAGTGTGACTGAAGCTGCTGCGGCCAAAGAAGTATTCGCATATGGATCGTACGCCATTAGAGACATACCTATGCCATTGGCAATACGAGCAACAGTGAGACCAACTGAGAACCAATTAGCAGTGACGTACTTGAAAATGAATATAAAGTGTACCTTTGCCTAGACCGATAATTCCTAACGTTTTCCCTTTGGCTTCCACGCCTGTCAACCGACTTCTCTCCCACTTCCCGTTCTTTATGCTCGCTGATGCATCACCGATATTTCGAGCAACGGCCATCATCACTATATCATGTGATCAGGAAAGCTTGGAGGGAGTTCAATAGTTGGATCGCGTACAAGCTATCGTGTGTTCTGCAGCAGCATTTATGTTTCCCGACGGCGAGTTCACGACAATAATCCCCTGCGTAGTTGCAGCTTTCACGTCGACATTATCCACACTGCGATTGATCAGTATGTAGTATCGAGAGCGGTTCATGAATAGCATACCCAACACCTGCCCTTGCAACCACTTTGAGCTTCTTACCAGCTACCAGGACCTGAGCCGTAACTTTGGTCTCAGAACGTACAATGAGAGCCTGATACTCGCCAATGATATCGAGAAGCTGCTCTGGTGATAGCCCTTTCTTCTCGTGGACTTCACAAGTGGCCTGGAGTAATGCAAGTCCATCTGGTGAGACCTTCTCGGGGATCAAGACCTTTGGTCTATCAGCGATGGCATCTCTGTTCTCGAGAATAGGGATAGCCATGTTTAATTGAACGGCCAAGGAAAGATGAAAGGATGAGAGACGAGAGAATGTACAAGACGTCACGGGGTTCAGTTAAGTACCCGGTAGGCAGGTAAAACAACGACGTGTCAGGAAGGTACCCAAAGACCTGTCGGGTACTACAATAGGATACGTCTAGGTACTTGACCCAGCAGCAGCATGACACGAGTAAGTATCGACAAGCGACATAGCAGTCTTCGTTCTCCGCAATCGGCGGCGCGCACCACGACCACAAAACTGCCACAGCAGAATTACTCATGCATCTTACGCCAGACACAGGTATGAGCGGACGAGGTTGTGCCAAAGTGTCGAGGCTAAGCTATAAATGGAATGGAGTGAATAGGTACCCTCCAGTGACATGATTGCATCAAGCCAGCTACCCACAATACCCCGCATCAAGTCTTCCCCACGACCCACACACTATCATACTTGACCCCACACTAGAAGCCCCTGTTTCTATAGTCTTTATTTCACCTGTTAGGTGCAGTGAGGAAAGAAACAGACGATTACATTGTCGATCATGATTCATGTACTCTGAGAGCCTGAACTGATTCATTGATGTTGCAGTTGCTATCACTGTCACTATCTTATACATCATATGACGAATGCTGAAGAGGCTCGAGTGCACTCATGCATTAGCGCGAGGCTTCAAGGTTTGGTTCGGGATGATCTCGATCCAGTAGCCATCAGGGTCTGCATCGCCATTAGCATTCCCGTCACAGACAAATACGAGTTGTTTTCATTGGCTTACCCAATATGAAGGCAATCGATTTCATGCGACCGTCTGTCAGACGCTTTTTGAAATTGACCTTCTTGTCTTCGAAACGTTGGCATGCAGCTTCAATATCATCAACAGAAACAGCAATATGCCCGAAGCCTTGGGGCTCTGTATTACCGCTGTGGTACTTGACACTGTCGTCCTTCTCGCTTCCGTGGTTGTAAGTCAATTCAAGAATACCTTCGGCATTAACTCTAGGGTTCACGGCACTGGCATTGCTGCCTGCACCGGAGCCGTAAGCCAGAAAGTAAAGGCTGAAGCCAGCCTCCTTGAAGTCGTTCTGCTTCAAAAGCTTCATCCCCATGACGTCTTGATAGAAATCTAGACTTTTTTCGATATCCTTTACCCGAATCATAGTATGGTTCATACGGTAAGTGTTAACGTCTGTCTCTTTCACATTCTCAGTCGCTTCGACGTCATTCATTGCGATGATCTCGATCCAGTAGCCATTGGGGTCGAGAACGAAAGCAATATTGTGCATGCGCCTAGAAAGGTGCATCCATGAGCATAGAACCATCTTGAACATTAGGTAGAGTGATGACCTACCCATCTGTCAACTTCTTCTGAAACTTGTACCCAGCATCTTCTATACGCTTGCATGCAGCCTGTATGTTGTCTACCGAGATACACAGATGGCCAAAACCTTTGCCTGGCTCGCTGTTGCCGGTTGCAACCTTGTAGTCTGTATCGTTTTCAGTGCCATAGTTGTGCGTGAGCTCAACAATGCCCTCGCGATTCGAGCGATGAGCGCCGTGGGATAGAGCGCCAGGCGAATCGTATGCAAGGAAATAAAGGTCGAACTTGGCGTCGGGGTGTGAGGACTTGTCGATGAGCTTCATGCCAAGAAACTCGTAGAATTTGACTGACTCTACTGGGTCCTTCACCCGTATCCTAATGATCGGATTAGTGCATCGCTATGGTGACTCGGGCAGTGTGCGGCGTACATGGAGTGGTTGAACTTGTACTTGCTGAGGTCGGTCGCCATGGTTGCGAAATATGCGATTTTAGAAAACCTGTATGGGGTTCGTGGGCGTAAGGTGCTAATGTGCGTGAGTCTCAGCAATCTGGAAGATATCATGTGCGCCCAGATAGAAAGACTTGATCATGAACTCTTGAAGGCGTATCTCAATCATAAGAGGGGTTGCTTCGTCTGCGACGTATGACGTGCAGTCGAGAGCTAGGTTCGGCCGGGCAAGTGGAGGTCATTCTGGCTTCATCTGAGAGATTAATCACCAACATCATCAATTAGATGGGATCTTGCAAGGACAGAAATATCGCGACTAGCAGCATCCGTGTACTTGCACTTAGATCTCAAACTTTCTCGACGCCTCTTCATCTCGGTGCTCACGCCACGAGTTTCTGTTCACGTGACTAGAGCATCAGCCACTCTTGACAGGACAGGACTAGCGCAAAGTCCAGGCTTTCGCGCTAGCACTAGTGTTGCTATTGTTGCTCGAGCTCGAGATCTTTAAAGTGAAGATAAACCGCGAACCTCAAACTCAACTTTCAACAACAAACTTCTTTGCTGTGCGTCAATTGTTAGATACCGCGTCCAAAACTTACATGCCCGTACACTCATCGAATCAAAGCCTGAGATTCATACTCTTGCGTTGACACTCACTCTCCAAGACTTCAACAGCTCAATACACCAAGACCAGCTTCCCTGGCAGCTCGATTGAGCTATTACAAGTTATTCAACAAGACTCAGCTCGTAAGTCGTTTTTCTTCGAAATGGTCACCGCACATATTCGACGATTCTTTCACGCTGTTCATGAAGGCTTCAACGACCTGGAAGATAAGGTCTATGACTTCTTCCATCGATCAAAGTATCCTGTAATTATCAATGCAGTTTCTACACAACACCCTGGTCACGGGTGTTGATAAGCAAGTCAATTTCAATCGAAACACCTAAAGCTAACGACTGCCAGGTCCCCGTAGCCATGCTCGAGATCAAGGCGCTCAGTGACTTTCTCTCTCGGAATGCCCACGAGATATATTCGCCTGTCATCTTGTAAGTCGTCGATGATTTTGTCGACTGAGCGGCACTGCTAACATCATCGAAAGCGTCATGTCGCCAAACGGCACTCTCATCGCCTACAACACTCCAGTGGAGGATATCAAAGCTCTCCGTAGCCGCGCCGCCATCGTCTCAATGGTCTGGAACGACAGGAGCTACCTTGTCCAGCAGGGTGCTTCACACCCAAATCCGACTGAAGACTCCGACGCCAGCATCAGTGGCCCGGAGCTCGAAAATCTCACGATCGAGGCGGAGGACGCCAACATCTTCGCCTGTAGTGTCCAGAAGGGGCTAATTCTTGTCATGGAGGGCGTTGCGCCACCAGGCCGCAAGGCCATGTGGAAGGTGACCCCAGAGGTCGCCGGTGCCCCAAGATACCCTCTTTCCGGCGCATCTGGCAGGGAGGCCGCGCTGCTCGACAAGCAGCGCAGCAAGGTCGAGGGCATGGTGGCGCACTTGCGCGAGGACTTTGCCGAGTCCGGCTTTGTCATGCCGGACGGCAGCGCGTTTGTGTGATCTTTGGGTGGGAGAAATCGGGGTCAAAGCATGGGGCATGGCGTTCTCGGGTGGCTGGATAAGCAGGTTTAATGATACCAATTGAATGGAATACTGGTTGCGCGTCAAGATGAACTTCGTGAATCGTGCTTCCTGGTGACTTTCTATGTGCTAGCATTGCCATCTGTCCATCCGATTCTATATCCAGATTTGACCATAGCACTGCTTCTTACGATCGATGTACTTGAAAACAGCGTGTCCTGTTCACCGTTCGGTGACTTCAAACTTCGAGACATGCACAAACGTGGCCTATGGTCTACGCAATAGGAGTTACTTCTACCAGAAACTATCTATATACACAATTCGGATTCAGAATAAAGCAATTAACCAACCTTTAGAATCTGTGTAACTTACACCCGACACATTTATATGATGTCCTCGACGTTGAGGCGTTCAAGATCTTCGTACACAGTACCCAATCAGCACACCTTAATACACATAACAACTATATATTACAGCCTCCACATGGCTAGAAAGCGATTAGTATGTTCTGCGCTACTAATTCTAGCTGACTCCTGTTCACGTTGAAGCGGTTTCCTTAGCTGAGAAGTACGATTTTTGCGGTTCCTAGCTCTACCTTTAGAAGTTCTTTCAACTTGGAGATTGACGAAAATAGCTATGTTTTTTGGTTGGGAAGCAATTCTTCAAGCTCCATTGTACAATGTTTGCCGTTCCAGGCCACCTTGAAAGTAGAGATTCTAGCTTAGAACGCTGATTTCGGTGGCTCCGTGTTCGGTGTATCGCATTTCTCTCACCCAAAGAGCACGGTTTTTTGAGTATCCATGCTACTCTCAAGCACTTTTTCCGACTAATCGCATACATTCAGATAGGTACAAGCTCAACGATAAGCAATTTCGAATGAATGGATCGATACATGTGGCTTGCTGTTGGCATATTCCAACAGGACGTAGATCATAGGTCCAGTCATCATTGAGGTTCACATCAATATCGTCACCATCTCATTCCTCTTATCTGCAGGTAGTGTTGTGTTTGTTGTTTATAGAAGGATTCAGTGTTGAGTTAGTAAAGTTTTTGTTCTTGAAGCACATATTAGTCCCCACATCTAACAGGCACCGAAGCTCTCCATATCTTTGCTTTATGGTGGAAACATAGCACTCCATCTGGTGACCAGCGAGTATGTTCCCACTGCGTTGGTTATGCGTTGGTTTACTTCCGGATCGTGTCAAATTGTCACTGTGGAGACTCAATGGACCGTTGGGTTCCTCGCGCATCAGGGTACCAACATGTGGAAGGAGGATTACGCATACCGGTCGGGTCTTTGACCCGAGAGACAAGTAACATGGATAGAAATGAACGTGCAATAGCCCTCTGTGTTTACAAGTGCTGGAACGTCATGATCAGGTGCTGAGTGACAAATACGGAGACTTGGTTGGCAGGAATTGGTGTACTTACTCGTCCTGTGAGAACGATGTCCAGGTACATAGTTTCTGACCTACAATCCGTTTTATGGTGATTGGCTTAGAAATGCATCGTGCACTAGAGAAGATCACAAGATAGACATGATATGATGGGCACGTTATTCGTAGGTATGAGCATAGGGCCTTAGAATGATCTATGAAGCCTAGAAAGCGAATGTACTTAAACGTCGCGCCTGCAAGAATTAGCGATGCTGCTACAGCCATTCAGAGGATCTTACCAGGTCATTTGGTCATTTTCAATGTACGGCGTCTTGACTGCATTCTGGTCGCCAAACGGGTCTTCATCGTCATCTTCTGGCTCGCTGTCTTCAAGCCTTTGCTTACCAGCACCAGCGAACTGCGGAACTGGAGGCATACCAAGATGTGTTGGTCGAGGAGGCTTAGGTGGAGCGTCCTCGTCCCTGATATTGAGTCCTGCCATAGCCTCGTGTGGGGTCTTTGGAGAACTGGATACCATATTAGACTGTGTGATCGCGGCCTCAGTGTCACTATCGCTATCGTCATCAATGCTCTTGTCCATGATCTCAAATGCCATCAAGGCTTTGACAAGCTCGTCGTTGGCATTGAGGAGACCGCCTAGCCATTGCTCGTTAGTCTCGATGAGTTGAATGTATCGCAGAACCTGTCGACGTATACGCTTGCAAAGTTCAAAGCGCTTTACACATTCAGCATTCTCGCTGACACGACTTTGCTCGCGGTTCACAAGCTGAAGGCCATTCAGAAGGTTGGTGCTTGCTACCGAGGCAGAAGCGATGGTCTCAAGTAGTTGTGGTTTTTCCCGTTCCAAGTTGAATGGCTTCCCTTTGGATTTCTTGTCTCTCTTGAAGATGGATGAGCTTGCAGGAGTCGAGGGGCCCAGAGTTGCTGCATTTGGTCGACTGCCAGATCCCTGGGAGGTCGCAGGATTGCTTTTGCTGCTGGTGTTACGGCGGTGCTGTGTCACCTGCTCTGGCTCTTCTTCTCTCTCGGCTTCCCTATTGTTTTCACGAATGACCCGAGATGAGTCTACCGTTGGACGTTTCTTCTGGGGTAATTGCTTGTATACTGTCGCGATGCCTGATAATCCCTGTGTTCCTTTGTATGCGACAGCCCATTGTCGAAACAGAAGGTTACACTTGTCCTTCACAGCCTTGTCAATCATATCATCCCGAGCCATGACACGAAGACGTTCTAGAAGAGGTTCGTCGGCAAATGTTCGTTGGAACCTACTTCCAGCATTTTGGATCAGACCATCAAGTATGGTGAGAGCCCGCAGTTGTCGATGCACGTCTCCATATTTGCTAATCTAGATTAGTTTAATTCAGAGCGCCATGGATACTGACATGCAGTTTCTTGCGAATAGCTCTCGCAGCCTCCGTAGGACCTGAGGCTTGTATGCGAATCACTTCGATAAGGTCGACGATGCCTGAGATGTCATCTTCTTCGTATTGCTCACTTGTCAATCGGTCTATTTGGACTGTAACTGCGGAATACGGATGCTGGAGGACACGTCAGAGACTGGAGATGAAGTTATATCCAGGCAACACAGAAGTAAAACCCGCTGCGTGCTCACCTGAGTACTGAACATGTTCGCCAGTGATGATGTTCAGAGAGTTCGATGACTGTTCAGGCTCTTAGGTCAGTCAGACATGCCAGTACGTAAGCCTTATTGCTCTGGCTATATCATGCATGGACCATAACACATTCTTTCTACTCGAGAGCCGAGAATGAATAGTGGATGACTCAGCAGCGGGGGTGAGATACGAATGCATATTTCACGTACGTCCTTTGTGTGAGAAACACGTCTTAACAGTGCTTTTGCGGTGAACTGGCATGCACCAAAGGATGGTATAACTCTTTCGATAAGTTACTGACAGGAGTTTGCTGTATCAATTTATCATGTACGGGTGAACGGCAGGCTGCAAGTGGCTTCGGAGGTGCTCCGGTCCAAGCAATCAACCCTAGCTTGGAAGAGACAGGGTCCAAAGTTGAAAGCAGGCTCAAAGCGCACGATCAGTTGCAGTGGCCAATAATGAGGATATGTTGAATGTATTGGATGGGGTCTTGGTTGTGTATATTGTGATTGACTATGAGAAGAGACAAAGAGCTATGAGGGATGGATGGTGGGTCCAATCACCAGAAACGTCACAGGACTGGCATGACCCCACTCGGTCGAATTTCGGCAACTGCAACTTGAATGGCTTCCATCTTCAGATCTGACCTGGCTTTGGTTCCATGACAATTTATCGCTGATGATGACCTTTTATATCTAAAGCCAGTACACCGTCCGCGAACCTGAAGCACCACACCTCCGATGTCTTCATTCACGCCGATCAATGTTACACTGGGGAAGACAAGTTTTATTGACAGTGACAATCGCGCAGTCGAAATCTCTCAACCGTTAGATCATCCTTTCCTGTTTGAGCCAAAGAGGAGCCCACAACACGTATGTGAGACGACAGGCTCATATGCGGCTCAAGCTCGACGCAAGCGCATCCGAGTGCATTCTGGATCGACGAATCCAAGTCTTCAGAAATCTCCAGAGATCAAGGCATTGACAAAGAAGCGTGCAACGAGAATACCCAGTGATAACCACTCGCAACCTGTGACCAGGGTTTTCAAAATCACCAAACCGAAGAAGACTCCTAATAAATCCAGTCCGCCATTACATATGTATCAAAGCACTCCGAGTCTCCATCCACTCACTGCTCCGGCAGACTTTAATACTGCCACAGAGCTTGTACGATTCGCAACGATACCTTCGACTCTGTCCACGAAGATAGCATCTAGGCATGACTTGACAGACGCAGTATCGCTCGTCGCGCCACTAACCTCGCAAGATGCACTGAAATCACAGACCATTCACGGGTTTACTGCTTACGATCGACAGAGAGGCATAGGGCAGCTAGTTCCCAGTTCGACCGGATGCGCAAGCCGGACAGAACGTCTAATCTTAGAAATCGTCAAGAATAGCAATTTATCTCCATCTTCTAATCCCAATGTCCCAGTTGTCCGATCCGACCAAAAGCAGTCCACTACCAAAGCTGCGATTGTTATCGAGACGGTGCCTATCGCAACTTCACATGAAGTCCCAGATATGTTCACTGATTCTGATACATCATCAGATTCGGACTTGCTAGCTATCAACATTATGAGTCCGTCAGCGATCGACACGACGTCCATGACGAATGCCACGGAAGAAAATCACGAGCTCCATATGCTAATTCAGCAGAGTGATTCTTTCCTTACTTCTGACTTCCTTAACTCTGGCTACTTCGAGTTCAATGAGCTTGAATCTGACGAACAAATCGAGAATCTAGACCCACATGAGCCTTGCATTGAAGACCTCACCACCGAGACAGGTTTCGAGTCAGATGTTTTCGATGACATTGATACATCATTAATGGGCTATTTAAGCTTGGCGTCACAGCCACCTTCTAGCCCCAAGGGAACCCATGAAATAGACTGGTCGCTCCAGATAGATGCGTTTGACGACGGTGAGAGTGATGACAGAAAGTCCAGGAATGGTATCATTAGAGACTCTGAGCCGAGCGAAGTTCTCAATGATGAACTGAGTAGTCTCGACGACAGGAGGTACGAAGATGGGATAGCAATTATGAGACTTCCGCACACAGAAGAAGAGGCCTCAGATCGGCTCCGACCTTTTGTTAGGCCTCCTTTCCCAATGTCAGTGAGAGACCGGTCGCCAATCATCGGACTATCGAAAGACACACTATCTCGAACTTGCTTTCGGGTGGGAGAGGCTATAAACGAGGGCCTACGCGCAATGCGCTGTAATCAAGGAATCGTCATCGAGCTCTATGCAAGGATTTTAAGCGCCTCTGAAGGAGATAACAATGCACAGAAGTTTGTTCTGTGTGACTTATTCCACGACAGACCGCCATACTTGAGATCAGTGCACGATGTGCGCAAAGAGACAGAGCTTTCCAAGTTCAATGCGCTGCATTTGCAAGCCTCAGCAGTGGATCAGAAACAGATGTGCAGATGTATCGGGAAAATAAGAGTCGTCGAGAGGCAGCCAGAATTCGTCATGAGCACCATTTGGGAAGCTAGCTGGGACGATGTCAAGCATGTTAGAGGTATTGTGTGCAGTGAGTGAGCTCAATCGGGAAAACTGTTCGTATACGGGACCGTGAGTGTTCTGTAAAGGATGTAGTCCTAAGATAAAACTGTATGCCAAATGTGTTGTGTAGTCGCAAGCAGGTCCTGTCAAGTAAGTGGCCGCCTCTTGATACGATATAATCAGTATATTCCATCGTACCCCCTCCTGGTATTAATGGATAGTATGGATGGATCTACGCGGGGCTGTTTGACGCCCCAAGACCTTGCTCGGGAGCACTAACATCATCGCGCTTGATGCGTGTCTTACAAACACACGCTCATCCTAGTCCAACTTCAACAACTGCAGTTCCAGCTCCTAATACATACTATGGTGCTGAATAGGCTTCTAAATGTCTTCAAGCTTCACTTCCAATGGTCCAGTTGATCCGATCCACGCTACCACCATGAGCGCCATCATCGCCAGCCAGATAACATCGCAACTGCCAGACTCGAGCGCGCGAATGGACAAGAGCCATCCTAGCGACATGGTACCGAACCACAATAATCCGAATCGCACGCCGGCTAATTCTCCTTCGAAGAGCCGCTCCTTCTCGGAATCTCTCCCTCAGCTATCACCATCTCCAAAGTTTCGCGAGCCGAAGAAAGAGTCAAAAGATGACCATACAATTATATCAGGCCCGAAGACCCCAAGAAGGCCAGAACTCCTCTCGCGTGGCTTGTCACTTCAGATGCCACCTCGGGATTCTAGCATGCCAACGTCAGTCTTAAATACCCAAACACGGGCACCTCTATCGCCTCAGTTGGACCGTACCCTTACATACGCCTCACCTCTGCACCTTCTCCCACGCCGTTCCCGAGGTGCAGAGTTCTCACGAGCGTGCACGAATCTTCATCACTCTACCCTTGCGGAGCAGTCCTCGCCTGATTCGTCCCCTACGATAACACAGAAAGGACTCGTGATACCCCGTAAATCTCGGACAAGCTCCTTTATAACAATGGACTCACCAAGTGGAGGGGCGAATGCTGCGTGGAATAACGTGGGTCTGGAGAAAACTATGACCTCAAGCTCTGTTGGTAGTGTCAATATGCTGGGAATTGACGATTCCTCGAGCAGCGAATCTGAGATGGAAGATGCCATGTTATACACAGACGACGTCGATGACCCAGTACTCATGACGCCGCAAGTAGTCAAGTCGAACCACAACATACCTTCACCCTTTGGATCTACAGCGACGTCGGGCCACAGTCCTGGAGGCTGGGCGAATCCTTTTGTACCATCTGGCCCACCAAACTTCATGAGCATACACAGAGCGAGGCTCAGGAAAGCTAAGAGCAGAAAAGGATCTAGTAGTGCTAATGGAAGGACTTCGCTCGCTAGCCCGGGCCCAGCATCGCCACCACAGGGCCGGAATACAGAAGGTGGCGGAGGTTACTTTGTTCGAGAGGCCGTCATGCGGAAGTCGAACTCGAGACGTGAGAGTCTATCTTTACACACAAATGATTTACACATCTCGTCGGGAAACGACAGTGGGGATGAGACTGGCCCGCCTGTGCCAACTACCCCGGGAGTTGTTCGACGGGTAGTCTCCAGACGGGCGAATTTACTCGTAGGTCGAGTCTGTACAAGGATTTATACACGAGACACTAATGCCGAGTAGCCAAAGTCCAGACAATTCGGACGGATCAAGAATGAACTGTTCGAAGAATATGCCCCAATAGATAGCGAAGCCCGCAGAGAAGCGGAGATCATAAGACAAGTCCGCGAAAGCGATGCAGACTATGACTTACAGCCGAGTACAGCCCACTCGTCGCCATCGCTGATTCCAGCCTCGGGAGTTGCAGAGTCGCTCGAAGACATACCTGAGGATGCTGGTATGGGGCTAGAAAGCGCCTCTGCACCCAGCAATAAGGGCTTATTTGGAGCTTTCGGGGCTACAAATTCAAGTTTCCCAGGCTCGCGAACCTCATGGAGCAACGAGATACATTCATATACCCCACCGCCTGCCTACCTCCCACGCGGCAGTTCGTCCGCACTCAGTGACGATGTTAGTATGGACTCTCCCGCGGCGTCGTCGGCCTCAGCACGAGGGTACGAGAATGGCACTCATAGCTCTGCCTCTCGTAGCGGAACACCGCAGGCATATCCGCCAACGGCGGCAGAAGGACTGAAGAAGTCTAACAAAAGGCGAAGAGACGACGACCTAGACATCAACTCAATAAAACGACGCGCTGTATCCCCTGGTGTGAGTGTACAGAATAGCCCAATCCTATCACAATCCCCAAGCCAGCGCGAAGGCACCTGGAATAATCCCAGACTGAGCCGAGAGGGTTCGGTGTGCGGTCATGCGAACGGAGAGCGTTCAGGGAGCGGGGGAAGTCTGGCGAGTATGACTCCTGTTGTAGGCCCGAAGAGAATTGGACTTCAAGGGATGACTGATACCAATGATGGTCTCATGAAGATGAGCATTGAATGAGATGGATCCCTGAGTTATCATATTGCTCAATTTGGCTTATTCTTTGAGCGTGGTGTTTCAGGAGTTAGGACTACATTAGTAACGAACTTATGTACTATTCATGAATGACTTCATTCCCTGATATAAGCAGATTTGGGGAATATGAGATATCACAATCGCGTAAATACAGAGAGCAAATCGATATCTGTCGCAGTGCGGGCGATGCCAGAAGCCGCCGTTAATAGATAGCTTACAGTAGACAGGCAGGGATGATGATCTTCGAACGATGGTAGCGCCAAGAGGTTGAAGGACCCACACCCCCCGCCGCTCCATTGGAGCCGTTGGTTGTGTCGCAATTGAAGGCGAGGACAATTTAGGTACATCGGAATCATACTTTTCCTTCTCTCTTTTGACCTGTGCAGCATTTAATATGGTGTCAAACACGGATGTTCTATCGTCCTTCGTGGCATCAGCGCCTCCTGGCGAGGTAGGTCGCGCCGCGATCCTGTTCTCCTAGACAATCGTGTATACGATAACTGACCTCTGTATAGCTCGCGAACGTCATTAACGGTATGACTCCATGCCTGGAGTCTCTCTCAATCGCTAGAAAGGTGGAGCTGACAGCCGCGTAGCCCTTTCGACCATTGTTGGAGACGAAGGCGTCGTCCGGCAACTCGAACCAGCATACAAGAAATATAACGAGGAGCAGTTCGCGACTGTGAAACTTCCGGGGTCTAGTAGAGAGGTCTATCTAAGAGAATGGAGTTTGGAACATGCGTGGCTCACGCGATAACAGGTCCTTGTTAGCGAGTTCAATGAGCTAGGGAATGGTAGATATTTCGATGTGGAGAGTCAGACGAGCTTCCAATTTGATCATGCGACACAAGTGCGTGACTGAAGATATTATATGACTTATTAGGTTGGCTGACTTTGCGCAGATAGCTTCTGGGGCTCAATCATACATGCTTGAAGGTGCTCAGGCAGACTTAGCGTAGGCATATCTAATGTACCCGCAAGGAGAACGCTGACGATGTTACAGGAAATCGCTGCTGAAGTCGTTATCTACGCATGCACAGGAGCACTATCCAGCTTCATCCTATGGCGTATACCCAATTGAAAACGATTCCGCCGTAGCTATTGCCCTAGTAGCAAACAAATACAGCCCGAACAACTTCTGGTATCACCCACAAGCCCGCCATAACTTCGATCTATAAAGCTGATATGATAAAGGAATGGCCGCTGGCGTTCCGTCTATCAGTTTAACCCATCGACATCTACACTTACCGGCAAAGTGCACGTCGATGTACACTACTACGAAGACGGTAATGTGCGCTTACTGACTTCTAAGCCATTCTCGCTATCTGTCTCGTCAAGCAATGCGTCAGAGATCATTCGACAAATTGCAGGCGCCGAGAAGCATTACCAAGAGGATTTGAACAGAGCGTTTGTGCAACTGAGTGAGGGGGCTTTCAAGGGCTTGCGAAGACAGCTGCCTGTCACAAGGCAGAAGATCAATTGGGAGAAAATCAGTGCATATAGGGTGAGTCCTTCTTGTGGAGTAAAATAAGCTGGGTGGCTAATGCAGCGGTATCAACAGCTTGGACAAGATATCGGCGGGGGTCGCTCGCGGTAGGCAAATGGGAAAGCAACGGCAACATTCCCATCCATATATCTTGTATGACAGGTCATGGCGCATGCTCATCTCCAGGTGGTAACGCAGATTGAACAGCGCTAAATCGCCGTGAACACACCTACTATTGGATGTGGGCAAGCTTCGTTGTATTGAATGTGACCAATAGCTCACTCGCTGTTTATGCTTTATAGCAGCCTTCAAAACGCCCCGCTGCTTGTGTTACGTACCAAGTGCCTTGCTACTTTGTCTTCGTTCTCGCTTAGCTGGAATTCTCGTTCCCATCTTCAATTATCTCGTTTACCTCTTGGGCGTCGGCCTGTACCTGACATTCTATAACAATTTCGATATAGCAAGAGTCTTACTTCACACATCATCCGTGGAAAGGAACCATAGCTCTAGGGCATATATTACAAGTATTCCGATTGGCCCCAGACGCAACCATATCACGTACCTCCAGCAATGCAACGAGGTTACGAACCGAACGTATCGAGTGGGGAGTGTCACGAATTCAAGAGACGTGGAACATGTAGTAAAAAGAGATGCCCTTACAGGCACGGAGCTGCCAGTTCTAATTCTGCCAGTTCGGTGCCCAACAGCAAGGCTGGTACGAATATCAAAGAATGCTACGAATTTAAGAAGAGTGGCACATGCAGCAGAAATAACTGTCGGTATTCACATGGTGCTGTCGGACACCGCGCACCCCTAGAATCGCGAAGTAAGAAGGCTCCGACGAAGAAGGAGTCATCCTCACCAATAGAGAAGAAATTGGCCTCCTGGACGTACCAATGTCGTTCCAGCTCAGGGACTCCATCCTACCTTCGATTCGACGAGCTCAAACAGTTCTATCAAGAGGCAAGAGACCTGTCGTACGCTGATGACCCGGATGTACTACAGAAAGTCATCGCTGGACTCGCCAGCGATGGGGGCCTTTTATGGATTAAAGACTTGGGAGAAAATGTCCCAACACTCACGTCTAAAACTAAAGCAGCAGATTATTTTACCTACGTCCTCACTCCTTTCTTCGAAACTATCACTCACCCAAATGTCGATGCCTTCGTCATGTTAGAGCCTGATACCCAACGCATATATACGGCAGTATACGGTCCCAATGGGCGAAGATTACAAGCAATTTTCAGGCTCGTAATTGATATCATTGTCTCCAAGTCGAACGAACGGGAAACTACTTCAGTCGGAGATACCCGCAAAATTCTACGAATTTGCGTGGAGGTTCTCAGTAAGGCTGCAGACTTCAACCAGACCTTGGCTATCGACGACAATATCAAAATGTTGGTGAAAAAGCTTTCGGATTACATTGACTTGAATCTCCAACGCGAGGGTGCGGTCTTGTCGCCGCATATCCAAATCTTCCGGGAACGACTGTTGCAACGGTTTGAAATCGCGTCGGAAATTCCCGACCTGCAGGTTTCAGTGAGCATCCCGAATCAGCGAGCAACTTTCGAACTCACACGCGACATGCCAGGAGAATTGTCAGAGTTGGGACCAAGACATGACAACGATTTCGTCGACATCTCGAAGATAGAAATCATGCCTACTACCCAAGAGATCATGTCTGAGCGTCAGGACTACCTCCCTCTACTCGATAGCTCCACATGGCATGTGCCTGGTGTAAAGGGTTTGCTTGACAGACATTTCCGACTGTTGCGCAAAGATACCGTCGGGCAACTAAGCGATGCCATACAACATCTCGCGAAAGCACGAAACACCAAAAACAAGTCAGCGTCAAGTCGGAATGGCCTACGTCTTCACAGATGGCGTAACATCTGCGTTCAGAGCATCAATTGCGACATGTTTGCCGGTCCTGTACTTGAAATTTCTTTTGAGCAGGCACCCAACATCATTAAAATGCCATTGAAAGAGCGGGACAAATGGTGGGCATCCAGTAAGCGATTAAACGCAGATGCCCTGGTTTGCCTTCTGGATGGGGAAGGGGTGGCCACTTTTTGTTCCGTTTATGGTCCCCGAAAGACAACAGAATCGAATGGTAAGAAGTTCACTTCGCAGCTCCCGGCGGTATCGCAGGACAGAAAGGACAAGAAAAAGGCTGTCGTCAACCTTACTCTCGTTGCAGAGGATGGCGAGAGCTTTCGAAGCGCGCTTGACAGTCTCAGCAAGGCCGCGCCTCAGGCAATAGAGCTCGTTGAGTTCCCCGGCATTCTACTTGCGTCATTCCTGCCAACCCTCAAAGCACTGCAGGTACTAAGCCAGAGAGGTGAAATTCCATTTGCCAACATGCTGGTGCCAAATTCAATTCCGACACGGGGTACTTATAACGTTCCGCCGCCGGCATACGCTGCTGAGCCTCATTTCAAGTTTGATCTCAGTTGTCTTACCAAGGACTCCACTGAGCCGCTTGTATTATCTCTAGACCAGCCCTTAAGTGTGAAGGATGTGTACTCTCATACTCAGTTGGATAAAGCCCAAGCCACCGCTCTTTTAAACTTGCTTACTCGAAGTATCGGCATTACACAGGGACCTCCAGGCTGTGGAAAATCCTTCCTTGGAGTTGCAGCACTCCGTGTGCTTCTTGCGAATCAGCATCAGGCTAATCTAGGCCCTATAATATGTGTTTGCTACACAAATCATGCTCTCGATCAGTTGCTTGAACATCTTCTTGACCATGAAATTAAAAATATAATACGGATTGGATCAAGATCCAAATCGACACGTCTTGCCGAGGTCAACCTTCGGGTCGTCTCAAAATGTGTCGAGCCTACAAAGGAGGAGAGCAAGCGGCGTTTTAGCCTTTATGAAAGCCTTGAAACCCATCAGGAAAAAGTCAATCAATGTCTGAGTCGACTCTCAAAGCTTGGTGGAACATCCAGTATTAGAGATTATCTGTGGCACCACAACCGTCCGCATCACTCTCAGTTGTTCACACACAAGGATGAAGAGGGCTGGGAGACGCAAGGTGTTCAGTCGAAAGGGCCGATGGTGTTCTGGCTGGGAGCTAAAGACTATGGCGGAAATGGTAACCAGGCACGTTCTCTGAACGACCTGGAAAAAGCCGATGTATGGAGTATGTCGAAGCAGGAACGAAAGAAGTTGCACAAACACTGGACTGAGCGTTCAGCAGCGTTCTTACGCCAGGAAATCGCCACCTCCATCGCTGCACACCAAAAGGCCAAAGCGAGCCATAGAAAGATTCGAGAGCAGCTAGATCTTCGTTGTCTCCAAGACGCAAAAATTATTGGCGTCACGACATCAGGTATGGCTCGCAATTTAGATCTTTTTCGCCGTCTTCGAGCGAAGGTTCTATGCGTCGAGGAAGCCGCAGAGGTACTCGAGGCTCATGTCCTGACTGCAATGCTGCCATCTGTGGAACACATTCTACTTATTGGCGATCATTTTCAATTGCGTCCACAAGTTCAAAACTACGAGCTATCACAGGAGAGTCCTCGTGGAAAGCAGTACTCGCTTGACATGTCTCTATTCGAACGACTTGTCGCACCACCTGATGGTATACCAGCTACTCGCTTGCCTTTCAGTACGATCGAAACGCAGCGCCGAATGGATCCATCTATTTCCAGATTAATTAGGAACACGCTGTATCCAGCCTTGAAAGATGACGATTCTGTGAAAGCTTACGAACCTGTCGCTGGCATGAGAAACAGGCTGTACTGGTTCGACCATCGAGTTCCTGAGGATGCTGTTACAAGTGAGGATATGAATGCGACGTCAAAGACAAATGCATTTGAAGTCGAGATGGTGGCAGGTTTGGTAACTCATTTGGTAAAACAAGGAGCATACCAGGCAGATGAAATCGCGGTTCTGACGCCTTACCTTGGACAACTAATGCTTCTACGGAGCCGACTATCACAGTCTCAAGCATTTGTAGTCGCGCTGGGCGATCGCGATCAGGATGAGATTGAAAAGGCAGGTCTTTCGACGGAGGAAGCAGATTCTTCCACTCAGATTGCAAAGACGACCTTGCTATGTGCCTTGCGCGTGGCAACAGTGGACAATTTCCAGGGAGAGGAAGCCAAAGTGGTTGTAGTATCCCTAGTCCGAAGCAACCCGGAAAGAAAGTGTGGCTTCTTGAAGACCTCTAATCGGATCAATGTCCTTCTCTCTCGCGCTCAGCATGGCATGTATATCATTGGGGATTCCGACACCAGTGGTTCCATTGCGATGTGGCGAGATGTCGTTGGCATGCTCGAGTCCGAAAATCAGATCGGGCCACAGTTAGAACTCAGGTGCCCAAGACACCCTGAAGACCTCATGGCAGTCAAGACACCTGATGACTTCTTGAAATTATCACCCGAAGGTGGTTGCACGCTGCGCTGCATCCAAAGACTTGCGTGCGGCCATGCTTGTCCTTCAAAGTGTCACAGTGAGCTCATGCATGAAGTTGTCAGGTGCCTCGAGCCATGTCTGAGGATCAAAGCAGGTTGCACTCATCCGTGCCGAAAGCCGTGCTACCAACAATGTGATAAAAAATGCTTGACCAAATTGATAGGGCTTGATATTGAACTACCTTGTGGTCACCATAAGACCGAGCTCTTGTGCTGGGAGGTCCAGGATCCGAAGAGAGTGTTGTGCAAGACAAAGGTTCGGAAAACAGTTCCAGGCTGTGACCATGTTCTTGAGGTACCTTGCCATGAAGACGTGACCACTTTAACCTTCAAATGCGATCATGCATGCAACAAAAGTCTGGAGTGCGGTCATAATTGCCGGAGAAAATGTAGTGCCTGCCGGATCAAAAAGGAGGATAAGCCCGTCGCCATCAATCACGGGCTTTGCAAACAGCCCTGTGGTCGCGCATTTGCTACATGTGAGCATAATTGCGAAGAGACATGTCATCCTGGAAAAGACTGCTCTCCTTGCCCTCTACCATGTCAGGTCCAATGTAGTCACTCACAATGCCAGCGACGATGCTGTGAGCCTTGCATTCCTTGCGCAGAAGAAGTTTGCGCCTCTCGATGTCCTCATAGCAGCTGCACAGCACCATGCGCCGCTCCATGTAACTGGTTACCCTGCTCCAAGCGATGTGAGAGTAAGCTGCAATGCGGTCATCAGTGTAAGTCTTGGGGCTTTCTATTGATATTCGGAATACACGAGCTAACACATGTACAGGCCCATCTGTCTGTGGGGAAGCCTGTCCTAAAGCTACAATGTGTCAGATATGCGCACCGCAAGCTGTACAAGACATGACTGTCGACTATATTGAAGGGCTAACATATAGGGATATCAATCTCGACGAGGAGCCGTGCGTCTTTCCGGCCTGCGGTCACATCATTACTTTGACAAGCATGGATGGTTACATGGACATGGGTCGACATTATGATACCAGCGTCGATGGGTCTTTCACGGCTATCAAGGCATCGGCTGCTCCATTCTCGAGCGCGGAATTGAAGACTTGTCCAAAGTGCCGAGGCTCTCTCCGTGCGCTGTGCCGGTACGGTCGCATTGTACGCAGAGCTCATCTTGACGAAGCATCAAAAAGATTCAGCACTTTGGCCCGACAGACGTATGTTTCCGTTGCAGAGAAACTGAATGACGAGCTAGAGAAGCTTCCAGCGGCTAAGTCGCAGCTACAGCTGCAGCACGTTACAGAGCACTGTAAGCTCAAAGATAGTATGTCGTCACAGATCTCTACCATCAAAGCTGGAGCAAAAGATTGTACCAGATATGACGCCTTGTTTAGTTGTCATAAGAACATTTTGAAGTACGTGAAGCAATCAAAAGAGAACGAGATGCCATTCGCGCGTATGTGCGAGGTCGTCGAAGCTAGAAGACGCCTGAACGGTAGCAATTCTGAAGAGGCCTTTCACCTGGATAACAGCGTCGTTACTAGTACATATCGACTTCAAGGTGTCGCTTTACAGTTCCGGTGCGAGATCGCGATCATGTCGGATTATCTCACTATGATTACGAAAGCACTGGGTAGTAAAGCGAGCACGCAGATTGCGATCGACCTGTCTCAAAATCGTGCAGAATGTCGGCGCTTGATCAATGACGCTGCTACTGCCAAGGACCCTGTCCGCCAGACGGAAGGACATATATTCATCACGAATCTTATCGCCCTTGAACGGTCTCGATGTAAGAACGAAGATAAATACAAAATTTTCGATGAAAAAGGAAAACGACACATTGCTAAAGCTCGCGACCTCTGCAAAGCCATTCCAAACAGTGTGACCCACTTCCTGCCGTCCGAGATTGATGCTTGTGAAAAAGCTCTGGCGAGCGGCTTCTTCAATGCTCCACTATCCGCTAAGGAGCGACGAGAAGTCCTCAAAGCCATGGCTGGCGAGCTCCGAGGCACTGGACATTGGTACTCGTGTGTCAACGGACATCCTTTCAGTATCGGCGAATGTGGTATGCCCATGGAGGAAGCACGTTGTCCAACTTGCGGCGCAAGAATCGGCGGCCAGAATCATCAGGCTGTGGCAGGAGTTCGTCGTGCAGACGATTTGGAAGCAGAATTGAGGCAGTTGCACATCTGAACGAGTTTAAGATAGCGTAAACAGATTGAATATCGTGATACAGCCCGAAGAGAAATACATAAGGTCAATATAGCGTGTGCCTCTAAAGAGAGGTGACACTGAGGCATCCAACATGATGGGTAGAAGTTATCGTTTCTCCTTTTTAAAGCTCGCAAATATAGCTACCATACTATAAAAACACGTATGTATCTTCCAGAGATGACACTAGACTTCTTGCCTTACCTTTTTGCAATTCTGACTATCCATATTCCCAACATAGCAATCTTATATTCATAACAGGCACCAGTTCATTACCCGCCAATTGAGCAAAGTCTGTACGCTTCGAAAGATTAGCTATTTATTATCTCGCACCAGAAGTAAATAGAGCTTGAGTAGTCTCAGGGCCCTCGAATGAACCCAGCAATGCCTTATTATGAGTGTGAAACTTGGAGTCATACAGCTTGAGACGACAGTATTCAATGATAGGAATACCTGTTATATCGAATGTTTGCATGAAGCGCGCGGTGAACACGATGCTGATGTTTCTATCAGATGAACCATGAAAGCGATTCCGAACTAGCCGTCCGTTAAATTAGATTCCTCTAGCTCTTTCTATCATCGTGACCTCCTAAGACTAAGAATGGAATGTATCACTGTTCGAGGCATAGGATGTTGAGTTGCACGTCCACTCTCAATACAGAATTAAGATGATTCTAGGATTTGCGGATTAAATGTCCCATGTGATCCGTCTAGATTGCCACACGAAGCATGCTGACTGTGCCTAGGATCTGACACCGCTTGAGGGGTTGGCGTTGCATGTGGGCTTTGCCATCAAACGGTAGCCATATGCATATGTAATTGTCGAACTCTATTTCTGGCAGTGCTAGCTGGTTAGACCCCTCGAGGGTTCTTAATTCACGTGGGTTGAGATAAATCTAGATAGCGTTGTGTTTATTCTTTGCGTCGTAAGGTACGCTACTATGACTATCCATAATAGAAACACCCAAGGTGAGCGATCGATTACGGAAAACACGATGACGATCAAAAACTGGCATGGTTCACGGCAATACGGGAGTTTGGTGACGATAGGGCCGCATCGGACGGAACCTTGTCCTGAGCTAGCTAGCGGGATCGCTGCGCTAGAATTCGAATCGTTGTCGTCTTGATGATGGGAGCGAAAGATGCGCTTAGGGCATTTAACTGTCGTGTAATTTAGACGAAGCATATCTTTGGGGTGATGTTTTCGAGCCTGAGGAGTGAGTAATGTGATGGTAGATAACTGTCGAGCTCGGGGAAAGTGCGAACTGAGAACGACATTAAACAGCCGGAGCTTGGTCCGAAGTGGGAGGAGCGGGCCGTTCCGTGATAACTCCGCTGTTAGCCGTCCTTGTTTGCAAACTAGCCTCTTTCAAAGCTCCGGCTACTACACCGGACAAACACAGTAAACCCAAGATCAAAGAGATGTTATATGCTGTTATATCACGAGTTTATAGAATTAAAATTTTCACACTGTATCTATGCTAGCTTGTCAATTTTGACGCCTATAGTGACTGACCCTGTAGTGTCTGTATCGAGCACAGATGCGGAAGAAGCACAAGGCTCCTTATTGCTCGCCGAGCAGTGTATATATAACAGTTATTGGTATTGTACTCGGAGTAAGGCTAATCGATTAAAGAGCCCTTGAATTAGAGCTTTCATGGAGGATGAGGCTACCAATGTCGCTGATGTCTCACTCCTCGTCTGTCAGCCAAGGTTTGACACGCAGTATAGTTAATCACCCTTGATTACGCACTTTGCTATGGTACCGTGGGTTAGTATGCTTGATATGTATGATAGTACACCTCCCATGGAGAACTCCGAACGCTAAACCTCCTTATCGCTCGGTCCTATACCAATATCATAACTCCCACTGCTTGATATCAGCCCTCATTTTGAGTCTCCTGCTCCTAGTCATTCTTGGCCCTATTCCGACCTCCACTCGTCTTCCCCCTCGAACTTTCTTGCCCACTGCTCTCCCTCTTTGAGCCTTCTGCGCCATTATCACTTGGGTCTCCCGGTTGACTCGCTTCATGATTGGCCGGACTGACGTTCAACGATGAATCCTGTGGAAATCAGTACCTCGTAGAACATGAGAATCTCCTTGATCACCCATTAAGAGTGCCACTACCTTGCCATGTTCCTTTTCGGCCTGTGCCTCCTCCGTCTCAGGTCTGGTTGTACTCGGATCGAAAGCCGCGCTCTCGTCGGCTGCTCCACTATCGGATCCTGTTTTTGAATATTCGGAGGAGTCAGTCTGCATACTGTCTTTGTCCATCAGGTCGTCTTTCTTGCTCGCGAGTACGGCGGTGGAGGACTGGAATGGACGGACTAGGGTGAGTTGTGCTCGTGTTGGACGCTGGACGGAGAGGCGCATTGGAATGCGTAGGGTGCGTGCGATGAAGGACATCGTGGTGTGATATGAATTATGGTTGGATTTGCGTGTATCAAAGGTAATACACTGCAAAAGAAATTGAAGTGGAGATGCCTATCGAATTGAAGCTTGGCCTTAGCCCAGTGTAATCCCGATATGATGGTGAATTGACGTCATGCCTGTAGCTTTGCTTGTTTGTGGCCTGAGGCATCAGTATATCCATACGGTACGTGCGCCTTGCACACTAGCTCTTCATTTGTGAGACATCGTTTCGCAGGCCTTCGTCAGCCATGTAATTACCACATGGATCCAGTGGCACAGTTTAGGCACGCAAGTACATCCATGTCGGTAAAGGTTGCTTCCGCGTGCCGCAGCATGCAGAGAATACACACGTGCATAAATAACTACCATAAGGAATACGCGCGGGATAGTGAATGCTCGAGCACAATCAGTCACATCATTAGTCTTACGGACGAGTAAGTGTTCAATACCGGATCTTTCGGATGCCGATAAACGGTCGCTCCTACTACACCCTAAGATACCCGTTAAACTTTTGTGCCGCCGTGTCGCGAAGAGGCAATGTATGCGAGCTTCAACATTGCTATCGTGACCAGAGCTTGAGAGCTATTCCAAAGTTTTAGGATTTTGCACGACACGGTTACGGTTCACAACTTTCAAATCACGGCTTGCACACGCAGAACGAGTCACGCGTCGACTCGTGTTCTCTGTATGGATGAAACTATCTGGTCCAACCTACAGTGTACACGATGTTGAACAGTCCAATGTGCATTGGTGAAGAATCATGTTGGTTGTTGCCGACCGAAATTAGCATCTTTAGACTTCACCACATAGATGACCTACAAGCGGCGCGGACGCACATGCACATGAGGCTGGAGTTACGGGCATGCACCGTTTTGTCTACAACACAGACCATAGGGGAATTGGCGTGTCATAGCATGGTGTTCGGGCCAAGGTGGTGCTTTTCCACTATCGTTTTAGGCAGGCATGTAGTATGTGAAGGCCGGAAGAGTAACGCCGGGGGCCTACCTATAAATTTATCATTCTTGATGTGGACTTTTCCAACATAGTGCCAGCCGCGCGAACGTATTCTTCTTCTACCTATCTTTTCCTGCAAGATGCATTTCTCCTCGATCATCGCGAGTTCCTTGGTTGGATGGACAGCCCATGCTGCATCTATCACGAAAGTCGTCGCTCGAGATAACCCTTCTGCGGAATTCGCCGAAACCTTGTTGAAGCAGTCCAAATCATGCTGCAACGTCATGGACCAGTTTCTTCCTGGAAAGGTTCTGTTTCCTGACAATGCGCTCTACGCGACGTCTCAGCAATCCTTCTGGTCGATGCAAGAAGTGGACCTCACACCAACATGCATTGTATCTCCTTCTTCAGCAAATGATGTGGCTGTTGGTGTCCTTATCTTGAGTGTTGGAGACAAGCTAGGTATCACGGACTGCAACTTCGCTGTGCGTAGCGGAGGGTAAGTCCAGAAGTGTATGGTGGTCTGGTGATCTACTGACAAACGTAGACATACACCATGGGGTGGTGCTGCGAACATCGACGAAGGTGTGACATTCGATCTACAGAGTCTCAATCAGGTCGACATTGCGTCAGATCGAAAGACTGCGTCCATAGGGCCTGGGAACAGATGGAGAAACATTTACCCCAAACTCGACGCTGTTGGACTTGCTATGGTCGGTGGGCGCGTGGCTCCCGTAGGTGCAGGTGGTTTGATCCTTGGAGGTAAGCAGAATCCAATCCCACGATCATGAACAGAGCTGAGGGCAGTAGGGGGCATCTCGTATTTCTCTCCGCGGAAAGGATTCTCATGCGACAATGTTGTAAACTTCCAAGTAGTCGTTGCACCTGGTGTTATCCTCGATGCCAACAAAGACAAGAACGCGGATTTGTTCAAGGCTCTGAAGGGCGGTTCCAACAATTTCGGTATTGTTACTCGCTTTGACGTGAGCATTTTCGAGCAAGGCGAGCTTTGGGGTGGTACTGTCATAACAGATGTCAGCCAGATGGACAAGATCAATGAATTCTTCGAGGGATTTGCCGCGAGCGATGGTTACGATGAGTATGCATCTTTGATAACCACCTACGGATTCTCGAATACGTCATCACCTTGGGTACACTCTTCGAACGTCATCTACACCAAGCCTGAGGAAAATCCACCCGTATACAGAGGTCTCACATCCCTGCCACAGCTGCTCAATACCACAAGGATTAGTACTTTGGCGCCTTTGACAGAGGAGATTGCTGCTAGTACAGAGGTTGCCATGCAAGGAAGATATTACTTCTCGACTTTAAGCTACATCAACAGTGCTGCATACATGAAAGCTTTTTTCGAGCTTTGTGATGAGTGGCAAAAGACTGTTAGTGATGTTGAAGGCCTTTTTGGAGCCGTAACATATCAGCCGATACCAAAAGCTATCACCTCGAAGGGCGCGAAACAAGGTGGCAACGTACTTGGGCTTGACAATGCTCCAGATATTGTTAACGCATTACTTGGTGTTTCTTGGGCCAACAAAGCAGACGATGAGAGGATCAACGCGAGCTTGAAAGACCTTTACACCAAGGCCAAGGCCAAGTGTGTCGAGATGGAGGTCGATCACCCGTACGTCTACCTCAATTACGCGTTGCCTTGGGACAAGCCAATTGCGGGTTATGGAGAGGCCAATGTGGCTTTCTTGAAAAAGACGTCAAAGAAATATGACTATGCAGGTCTCTTCCAGAGAAGATGCCCGGGAGGCTTCAAGCTTGACGACTGATAACCGATAAAGGAGGTCACAAAGGTTGGTTGACCTGGGCACTGTTCGTAGCCCAATTAGGACTAGCATTTCTACACTCCCTGAAACCCTAGCAATTATGATACAATCCAAGCTTTCTCACCTGGGCACAACCGCACAGCCTCTGTGTAATAAGTGAAACTTGCCTTTTAAATTTCCCAAACTTTATAGCATCCCAATCATAACCAGTCTCACTTCATTATGATTGAAGCTGTCGTTGCTGGAAGCACTGGCCTGGTTGTAAGCCTTCCAAGCTCTAGCCTACAAAACAAAAGCGTTCGTCATCATCAGACATCCTGACCGCTTTTATATAGGGCTCACACATTTTGTCCACTCTCATTACCTCTACATCGACCACAAAAGTCAGTGCATATACTCGCCGCGACCTTCCTCAACAATCCCCCAAGCTCACCCCTCTGCTCTCCGCCGATACCCACACATGGCCATCGCTCTTCCCGCGCCAGAGCAAGCCTGTCGTGCTCTTCTCCGGCCTTGGCACGACGCGTGCACAAGCCGGTAGCACAGATGCACAATACAAAGTTGACCACGATCTAAATCTAGAGCTCGCAAAGGCTGCAAAAGAGGCAGGCGTGAAAGTATACGTTCTCATCTCGACATCAGGTGCAAATACCAATAGCATGATGTTCTACCCGAAGATGAAAGGACAATTGGAAGAGGATATCAAGGCATTGGAGTTTGAGCACACCGTCATTCTCAGGCCGGGACTGATCGTGGGAGACCGGACGGATAGCAGGCCTGCTGAGGCGGCCATCAGACATATTGCAAGAGCTGCTGGCAAGTTTGGAGATGGTATGAAGGATTTCTGGGCGCAAGATGCTGACGTTATTGCAAAAGCTGCGGTTCACGCAGGGATGCAATGTCTCGAGGGAAAGAAGACTGAGAAAGGTACTTGGCTTGTGGGTCAGTCTGATATTATCAGACTTGGGAGAACAGAGTGGAATGAGTAAAATGTGCAGATTCAGGACAGCTGGGTCGCATGGCGGTACTTTCTTCGTGTGGCGACTGTCTCATCTGTAATTCTTTTGGTCACATTGTACCATCATGTTAAACCTTGCTAGATACCCAACGAATGCTCTGTATATCTATCTATTCGCATATCGCACTATTTGTCAGTACAAAATAATTACAGGCTGCGACCCATACTGATAAGCTCAGACGTCTCAATCTAGCCTTCTCTAATGGTGAAGCCGAGCCAGCTCAAGGCCAAACACCTGAATACAGATCCTATCTTAACATATCCGGCAAAGCATCATACCGCATGTATCAAACCCCACGTAAGCCAAACGCCCATTGGCGAGTCGATCATCGGTTCCCAATAATGACGAGTGAATAATATGGATAAGTTTTGTCAACGCTTGGCTGCATCTATAAGCTATTGATCAATCCAGCTACTCTTTTCTGGCGTGCTCCTTTAAGCTAACCGTTGAGGATCGTTTATCTCATTAGAGCTCATTGGAGGGACCCGGTATTCTTGCCGATGCCACTACCAGTCGTGCGGCACAGGGATTCAGATAACGTGAACATGATAGCCGGGAAATTTATCATTTCTGGAGATCTAGTCCACACGACCAGGATCCCTATCAGGCAATGATGTACACCCTGGCCGGCACTTTACCTATAGAAACAAGAAGCCCAGCTACCACCCGAAGATGTTTGAGAATTTGTATTCACTCGCCGCACGTGACCAATCCAGCACATCGGAATCATGAACGCAGCGGATACTTCAACGCCCATCGCCCCTGTACAATCACATCTAATCTTTGGTGGTCTGGTAGCTTGGGGTATCAGTCACGCTACATCGAGATTTGCAACCTGGAGGATATTCTTCCTTTGCATTGGCCTCCTCACCATCATCGTTGGTGGGTTGGTTTGCCATTTATTGCCTGATAGCCCGGTTAAGGCAAGACGGTTCACGGAGTCCGAGAAAGTGGCTGCGCTGTTACGAGTAAAGGAGAATCAAAGGTGAGTCTAGGGCTCTTGGATGTGTAGAGAAACGTGGCTGATGACTTAAGTGGCACTCAAAACGCCGTGATTAAAAAAGATCAGATACTTGAAGCATTCACCGACATCCGCGTTTGGCTCATTTTCATCTCCACCCTCCTCTCTAGCATCCCCAACGGCGGCCTCTCCATCTTTAACAATATCCTGCTCACAACTTTTGGCTACACAAACCAACAAGCCCTGATCTTCGATATCCCCCAGGGTGCTGTCGGTATTGTTTTCGTCCTACTCACAGGTTACCTCAGCGACAAATGGGGTGACCGCAGTATTACCATGCTCGTCTGTATACTGCCCACCATCCTCGCTGCAGGCCTCATGTACGGCTTCGTCGCTGAAGACGGAACACCCCTGAACAAACCTGCACTGCTTGCAGGAAGTATCCTTAGTGGGACATTTGGCGCAGCATTCATGCTGAGCCTTGCGTGGAACGCGAGTAACATCGCTGGACACTCCAAAAAAGTTGTCACATACGCACTGACACTTGTCGGATTCTGCATAGGCAACATTCTAGGTACACAGACGTTTCAGGACGATGAGGCGCCGGGCTACAGTAGTGGCAAGGTGAGTGTAATGGCGACACTGTCTGCGCTAATAGTAGTAATCATCGGGCTGAGGTTATATAATGATCATCTTAACAGGGTCAATGAGAGGACTCTGGAGGCAATGGGCGAGGCGGATAGGGAGGCCTTGAGAGAGCAGATGGCTTTTGCGGATCTCAGCGACCGCAGAAATCCGTTCTTTAAGTATACGCACTAAGGGGTACAAACAACTTGTTCTTCACCTGGGACTTGGATAGAGTCAGGTTTACTACGAATCAAAACGATTCTGCATGCTCGCCCAATAGTATGGCATAATATCTCTCGCTACCTAGTCTCACCGAGCCGCGAGGGAACTCCTAAGCTCTATTATTCTGCCAGTCTCTCAGAGGTGGACCGTAATCTAGTCGCGTGCGTTTGTACTCATCATCGCCTGTATGCAGCTAACCACAAGGTAACGATAGTAGTTATAGCCCCAATATAAAACCTCTAGCGACCCGTAATTGATCCTAATTTACCTATAGGAGCAGCTGTAGTTCCCTTGAGTATAGAGTATGGTTTTCATGCACTGGATATGTTAGCGATTCTAACGATAGCCAGCGGAGCACACAAACTTACCCAAGACGTATCTTGTAGAGTCAATAATCCATACTGACATCCTTCGAATCATTCGGGCGATCCAAGGTGCATGTGTAGAATTAGGCAGAAGACCACGAAGGATCTTAGGAAATATATGCTCAAGTAAGGTCATGGTTGATAGATCTGCTGCGATGAACCCAGGGAATAAGGCATTCTCTCCTTGGTCACATGTGACTTCACTCTCATAGTCGAACAAAGTGATGACTTTGTGGTACAGAAACCTGCAATGAGTGATGATGCCTGTGTATTGCCACTCTTTGAACATTTCAGAAAGCAGAATTCCACTTAGGAACACATTCATAGTCCATCTACTTTGGAATATTAACCTATTATCACTACTATTTAACTAAAAGTGGTTTGAGTACACACCCTAATGATTATATTCCAAGCTATACCTCTGAGTGGGCGTGCCTAGACATATATCTAGGCTAGTTTTCTCACTTTTAATAGATTAATACTTCTGGTGGACCTCTTGACGCAAACTTTCGGTGTTTATAAAGAGAACAACAGCCTTGTTAATAGAAACCTACGATCAAGTTCCCAAAAATCCAGAACTGAGTCCCCAATCATTCAAACCAATTCGCAATTTTCATTGTCGTACGCTGTGATCTTGACTGACAATTCTATCAGCCTGCTATCAGTTCCGACGGCGCTTGCGGGCTGCGAGACGTCTCTCTTCAATCTTTGTCATTGTTGCACTTCTCGCCAACTCTGCGACCTGTGCCTGTGGCAAGTCGTCTCCGAATGCGTCTGTTCCATAGCCAACGACGTTGAACGTGCTTGTTCTTATCACGTTCATCTGCGCTCTCTCCCTTGAACCATTCAAAGCGGTGTGGGAAGCCTAGACGATCTTGAAGAATCTGTGTATCTATGCGCTTACCGATCTCTGTATACGCTGTTAGCATAGGATCATGGGTGATAGACAGGCTGTTACATACTAAGCTGTTGCTCAGCAGTCCCAAGATTCCCCCGATTACGAGCTGGAATGGAATGGTAGGTCCTCGCAAAGACCTCATTTATGAGATCATAAGGAGTCACCAAGGAGTCCTCTGCAGGAGCTAGTGCTTTGCAATAAACACCATAAAATGCACCGACCTTATCTCTACAGATGGATGGCCAGTATTCCTGGCTAGGGTCTAGGTCTTCAAACTTAACTCGAGTGATCGAGTATGACACCACCTTGCTGGAGCATTCGCACAGAGTGATGTTTGTCCGTGCGATTTTGAGGGAAGTCTGGTGACGCTCCATTGACGATCGGTCGAAAGGATCTACCTATAGGCCTTGGCGACTGAACTTGACGCTGTGAAGCGTTCTTAAAAAGATTTGTTCTGGTAAATCGTGTAGATGATTCCATGGCGATCATCATCATCAACTTTCTGTAATGAACGGCATCGTCACCATGTCTCCACGACTCCATGGCGATCATCATCATCATCATTCTCTTTGTAATGAACGGCATCGTCACCATGTTTCCACGACTCCAACGGCATCGTAACCATGTCTCCACGACTCCAACGGCATCGTCACCATGGCCCACGACTCCAACGAACATTGATAACCGTCCTTGCGTCCACTTCTATTTGTCCCTGTACCTCCTGGTCGTCCTCTATATTGTTGTTAACTTTGAAAAGCTGAACGGCGTTTCGCTAACGTACTACGCTCGTAAATGTGCTTCTTGCGATCAAATCTGCATAGATACCCGTGTAATCGAATCCGTACGCCAGACCTGTCATCATTGTCTCTCCCCTCTATGCTCGCAACAACAAGGAACGACACTTCATATGCCCCTTTATCGTTCACCGCCTTTACCCGGATACCTCGTGGCATCTGCTGAATTTTGACCATCGCAAAACTTATCAGCTCATTGCGTAGTTTTATTGGAAAGTTGGCCGGATTCGTGCTGTGTAGTTGATCTAGCATGATCAACAATAGCGAGATAACCGCGTGGTCACACAAGAATAGCTCTTGTTCCGGAGAGTGTGGACAAAATTGATTGCAGGAATGAGTGGCTTCAAACGATAGTAGTGCGTTATTGAGATACAAAAGAGCTTCGTCAATTGAATGGTAGACATCCAATCCCAACGTCTTCTCGTGGCATCACATACTGAAGTCGGAGACACTGAGTCGTGCTGTAATTCAGAAGGCTAGCTTCGAGAAGCCTAGCCATGTTTTGCGCATAAGAGTCCCAAGGCACCTGAGACCTCCACTTTCATGGAAACAGCGAGGCGCTGCGGCTGTTCCTCAGCTACCGTTGGGCGGAGGCCGAACTTCCGGGGTGATCCCATGACTTTTGAGGTACAGAGCTCAACAATGAATTGAAACAACCTCGAATGACGGAGACATCTTGAATCTTGCTCAGTACTCCTCCATATGCTTAAGCTATGGCCGACTGACTTACTGTGGTCAGATGCACGACAGCAAAACAATTTCTTCTGAGACGCTTCATCCCTTTGCGATTGCAAATGCTGCCAAAGCATTCCCGCAAATGCTTCTGATAGGTGTGAAGCTGCCTCCTAAACATCATCTGCTTCATCAAAATGATACAGAAGAAGCGTAGTACGTTGCTTCACTGGATCCTGACGCTGAAGCTCCTCAGAGATCTTCATTGCTGCAAACCATATCTTTGTTATCACCCTTGTTTCTTCCGAACTAGATGTCAGGGTCTAACGATCTCGAGAGGTATTGTCATTGTTGAGATTGTAGCTGACATGTAACGGCTTCCTAAACCGTTTGCCACCGTAAAGACACAGCAAGTAGGGCCTGCCTGTGTGCCTGTGGTCATTTGATGGGATAATCAGATCTCCCGTAGACGTCCTCATGATGTTCTGTGATCGATCCATGTCGATCGACACGTCAGGCCACTCTTCGAAATCTTGATATGAACTTTTTTGATGCGGCCGCTACCACCAGTGCTTCCTCTAAGTAACTTAGGTTCACTCATCCTAAGTCAGACATCTTCCCATCTGTTCGAAATGCAACCCCTGGCAGCGCCTTGACGTGTGAGCTCACCATTTTTGTTGCGAGCTGCGTCAATGGAGTTCTCGCTTTGGCGATAGAATAACTGTCGGTTATCTACCCAAAGTTCCAGTGAAACTCAGAGGCTTCGATAGGAACGTGATAGCCATCCTGGTACATGATCATGGCACCAAGCTTCTTCACTTCGCCATGTTGATCTGTCTGGTTCAATAAACCAGCTTTGCTTGTATCTCCAAGCCCAAGGTGTCGGAGCTGCAACAAAGTTCCGAGGTTTACCATGTCAATAACACCGAGCTTCTCCTTGTTCCATCTGAATCCGATGTACCCTAACAGCGTTGGCAATGGGTTGACCTGTATAGTGGGGTGGACGACTTCGATTTCGATAAAATTCTTGTTGTTGCCCCGTGATGAGGTTTTCAACTCAGATAACGGACTGTCTGGAGAATAGTTGGCTGAAAATCCGCCAGGGACGTTGAAGATTCTCGTTTGTGGTGTTGGAGACCGGGTCAGCCTAGAGTTTCCAGAGACTTTTTTGATCAGACTGTTCTCGGCGACGGATGAAACTATGGGCGGATCGGTTGGTTCGGCAGTCAGGGCCGATGAGCTGATCGTGCGAGATTGTGATCGACGAGAGGTTGGTATAATCTGGTCGAGGTCCAAAGATTAAAGCTCTTTTCTGGACACACGTTTTTGACATTTTTTATCTTTTGAAGTGGTAATATCTCCCGAATTAATTGCTAGAAGTAGTTTTGAGGATATGAAGGGGACAACCAAAGGAAGCCTACGTTGTCAGTGCCGGGGCTCGCGGCGGGGACATAATCGTCAAATTTTCAGCTACCAGATGCCGAGTGCAGTAATCAGTGGGTGCTCCACTTTAGACGGCTCTATCGTAAACGTTTCGGTAGACAATAAGCACCCACTGAGTACTGCACTCGGCAGACGTGACGTGGAAAATAGGTTGAATTTGGAGTTTTCGTCGACGAAATGGAAAGAACTCTAGGATGCGCTACCTGTTGAGAGGTGAAGTGAGCGAGGTGAAGTGAGCGAGGTGAAGTGACTCGAGTAAGCGATGACTGCGGCGTTCAGTTCGGCGTTTAATGCCCACGTTATTTAAGGTGAATCTGTTTACAAGTTGGAGAAACCAGATGAGACAATCTAGACCCTTTGTAGCTTAGTGGATTGATATTGAGGTGAAAGCACTATAGTTCTTTGTTCCATGACTCAATCCTAGGTGAATATCAGATATTGCCCACGGCATAGGAGATGAAAAGTCATCAATGCCAACTTGATTAATTTCTCAAGAGGAAATCCAATGAGTGAAGCATGGAAGAGACCCAGAAGACCTGATTGTTATAGATTATCGAAATCTCAACTTTGATTGGACCGCCTCTATCGTTGCTCAACACTCGTCTATCCTCATGTTTCGATGCATTGCGTAAGTTTGAACCCAACATACGTATGAAGAAACATCTTCGACGTGAACTGAATACGTTTCATTGGTAAAGTATTAGCTCTACAACATCTTTAGTATCGAGTAACTCATTTGGACGTCCAGTGAGAGTCGCATTGAGGTCCATGTCCACCAGAGACGTACGACATATCACTCCGCCGGACGTAGCCGACATGTTTGTACGGATTCCTCGCTTGTACTGTAATATGATATCAATCATCATTGGCCCAAGACACGGTCTAGGTCACATGCGCTGTTACTTGTATATTGTAGTCTCGAGCTCGATCCTGCATCGAGGATCCACTAGTTCGAAATTCGACGAAGCGAGCTAAGCCTTTACGTGGCGACAAAACTCACACCTTAATTTTGTAGGGCACTTCTAGCAAGACCATATCCGAGCTTGGAATCATCTTGTCTGAGCTGCTTTTATATCATGGAATGAGGATGAAAAGAAAAGAACATAGGACAAGCTCAGCCAGCGCTGACGTTGGAAATGGACGCTGGAAAATTGATCGGCAACGTATGACATCAAGCTGCATACCTATAGCAACTTCATTAGCTCTGATATCCCCCAGCTTCTACTCATAGCAACTTAGGACACACCAGTATTCATGTTGGGCTTTCAATCATTTCAGTAGTACCACATTTATCAATTTCTACACCATAACGGAAATATTTGGATAAGAAATTCGTCATCACCGTGGTTCGGTCCACAGGTTGATCGTAGATATTGCTCACAGTCGAACACGACGCCGAGGGAATGGAACATGCCATTCTTGGATGGGGGAAAACATCAAGAGTCATGATACATAGGTCATCACATGCTACCATGAGATTGTCGAAACGCTTCATGAAAGGCGTGTCATGCCAACAGCCCTTTGAAGAGGTGGTGGATACCCTCCGTTGTCAATCGCCTTCCTGGCACTCATATGAGTCGCAGGACCAGTGTATCTGTTGAGTGAGTCAGTATGTGTTGACTTAGCAACTGATTGTTGTACTTACCGTCCATCGAAGTCCATATGGCCTTGTGCAACGCCACTGTTGATAGCCGCTCTGGCACCTAGCATGGAGGCACCGGCACTCATCTTCGTAGCATTGGCACTCTGCAATGTCGCTCGAGCACTTTTGGTCACTGCCGCAGCACTTTTCTCCGTCGCTCGTGCTGAGCGCCCAGTCTGCTTCACCGCCATTGCGGATGGCACAAGGGAGGCGATAGTAGCGATGGTTGCGAGCCCGGTCCACAAAGATTTCTTGTTGTACCAAGACTTTTCTTCTTTGGTGGCGACATCTTCAGTGTGGCGGCGTCTGGAGACAGATCTTGGCCTGTGGTGCCGACGGCGTGACCGTGACCGGGTACGCAGTGGAGAGGGAGAATCTGATGAAGAATCACTGGATATAATGGAACTTGGTCTTCGGCGTCTAGAACGCCCACGGTGTGCTGGATAGTAGCTTCGAGGGTAATCGGAGGATGCGGCACGCGGAGAGGAGTCGTATCTGCTGTCATAGTATGTGTCGCTTTGGGAGAAGTGCTTGGACCGGGCGTCCTCGCCACCTAGCGAGTTCGGATGATATGAGGAAGTCATTATGTTGAAAATTTGCCCCCTATATCCAGAGCTTAGTTCTGTTTGGCAACTCGACACTGGAAAATTTAGTCTCGAGTGTGTGTACAGCTTTGAAGGGCTGACAACGCTTATTTATAGTATAAGAGTAAATCCCAATGACGCATGTGGAGGCAGTATCGGGTCCTCTCAGCGCCGCAAAGTATTTTTATGGGACTAGGGTCATGTATACAACACAGGCTCACCCATGTAAAACTACAACCCAACTGAGGTAGCTTCGCCACGTCGCCGAATTAGCACGTTATTGACAACATCAGATTATAGTAGAATTTCATTCATATGAACAAGTGATAATAACAGAAGTAGGTAGTAGTGGCATCATGTGCTTTGCTACATCCGGAAATGGTGAATACATTGTAACCAGACATCAGGGGGTCGTTAAGCTTCCCAACTTCGTTCCGTTCCGTAGAGGTCACGTAAATTGTACGATAAGGGTTCCACGGAAGTGAGGCGCGAGTGGGTGCTTTGGACGGACCGAGCAGCCTTTGTACCCAATTCAACATGGGAGTCCCTGAACGGGCCGTTTATATCGGTCCGTGCGCTCCCTTTTGCACATCAGACCATCTCGATCCCCGCACGATCGGACCAGTTTCCACGATTGCTACGATGCATTCGACCAGGGTCGCTAATCCTTCCGAGAGGCTGAGCGGTATCTTACACACAGGACCGTTGCTACAACCCCTGCAGCATATTTCATCTCATGATATGTCGTCATTGGCCTGCGCAAACCTCATGAATTTGTCCTCATCACGCCGTATTTCCCTGAGTCAAACTCTGAATCATTTTATTATAAGTAAGTGTGTTCATTCACACCTACAAGCTCGTGTGATCCGTAGTATTTTGTCTTAATTCAATCTGAGTCATTGCTAGTGCCGTAATCTGCTGTGAGCGCACACGTCAATCGGCACATACAAACCTTGAACTCTCGTGCCAAGCACATTCCATATTTATCAGTTTCAATCAGACCAATTCAATCCCAATCAGCTTCTGTCAGCTCCCAGGCTTTTCTCAAGATGTCTGGCAAAATCCTCGTTACCCTGCTGTCACTTTGCATGGTGATAGGATGTCTGAAATGCTTCAGATCCGGAACAAGACACCATAGTTGATAGGTGTAGTGAGGTGGATGCCATCTTATTCTCACTAGCATAACGGAATTGAAATGAACGACGGTGATGTCTAAAGGTGCGTGGTGTCAAGTCTCTTCTCTCATAGCAACGAACCGTTATGTCAGAGTTGGCTAGTCTCCTTTGTGTTTCGTCCCTGAAAGTCGATCTAATGGACTATCTTTCACAGACATTGTGACAGCTCACAACACATATAAGCATCCCGTCGCTGCGAAACACGACTTTGCTACACCGTGAGCATTTCTAATCTCATTATCATCAGTTGAACCGCTCCCTTACACAATGATGATGCCTGCATCTGGGCATCTTCACCATTGCACGGCGACAGGTCTCCGATAATCTTATAGTTGCAGTTATCCTCTTTGTCTTTCTAAACATCTTACACATTGTTCTCGGTGTATGGAATTAAGATCCGGATCATTACACGACTATAATTACCGATAATGCTATACATCTTTCATCAGTACCACTCCCCTACTTCTGTCGATCTTTGACATGGTCTTTAATATGTACACCTATATGCCAAATGCTGTCTTTCATGATTTATCCTACGCTGTCACGAAAAGCGGCACAATCAAGCGTGAAGGGGTTATCCACAGAGATTATCCTAGCAAACGCCCACTTCAGACGGTGCAGTATGAGTTCATAGAGCAGCCATCCGACGTCATAAATGGAGTCATGCGTACGCGCCGCATTGCCAAGAGACTCATATCCTTGCAAACTTTAGACTGCGCCTTGAGGAGTGATATGATGCGTGTTGGGTACACCTTTCAACTCCAGGTAAAGTGTGCTATGCAGGTTACTTACGGTAAAAGTAGTGCTTAGAGAATGAGAGCGCAGAGACCCAACGCCTTCGGTGAAAATATGCCAGTAGATACTATCTTTACAAGGTAGAATAGACTATGGTTGGTGCTATCGGACAGCTCATAGGTCTTACCTTAAGATTGAAATTTGTGCCGTCATAGAATGAAGATCTTGGGGACAGCCTCAAAGCTCACATTCACCAGATCTTGTGCCTGTAAGATCCATGAAAAGCAAACTCATGGCTAAAGCAAGGAACCTAAGAACAGAGCCCTACTTGTGTATATATATTCAACATTTGGACCAGGTAAGAGCCTATCTGCTGTAAAGTACCGGAACATACATCAGGTTCTCTAGCTTTAGTATAGGGATGATGAGATCTATTAGTTGGAAGAGAACGGTATCATGGATGCTGTTAAGAGTGACTAATATACCGCTATGTGGCACTAGAGAATGCTAGACTAAGTATGCAGAGTGTATGGAAGACAGACGGCTGTTCTATAATTTTAGAGAGCGAATAGACGCAACAGGACTCTACGAATGTCAGACCGAAGGACCCAAAGCGATGATCATAACTAGGTTGACAAATATATTGAAGACGAGAGCAGTAGTAATGGTTGTATCACCAACAGAGGGAACTAAGCTGTGCGGCCATATTCTATGGCTTGGCCCTCTGTTATCCGTATGAACTTAACGATTACAGGGTATCATATTGTACTCATACACTACAGAGCTCTTGTCCCTCGCTACTGGTACCGCGAGTGAGTTATATGGGAATGCTCAAAATGCACCATGGGACACAATGTTTGAAGCCAGTTCCTACTACTTGGATACTACGATACCTATCTACATTTCGAGATATCGTATGATAATCCTCAACAGATCATAAAAGATTCAATGAAAACTCCACATCGTCAGACGGTGTGCTCTTATGGAGATCATGAAAGTTGTTGGTTCATTATGACTTTAAGCATGATCCTTTATTACTATGATATTAGCCACTCATAGACTTCTAAATAAAATTGAAATATTTTAGGAATGTATGATACCATGGTAACATAGATTTCCATGATATCCTATTCAAGATTCATGTATAAAATGAGGTTTGGATGACGTTTGGGGGTTAACAAAACGTCGTAACCTTCCCACAGGCATAACATTATGAATAGTTTTAGGGGAGAAGTACTCATCTACTTCATGAAGAGAGGAACTCAAAATAATTCATCGAGACTCAGAAGACCATGGTGCAATGTTAATAGGTATATAACTCTATTTGGGTCACCAGGATGTCAGTTTATCTTCGCGCTATCGAATGAATGAATTAAATTCTATCAGCTTATATGCGCGAGTTACAATATATAGTTACAAACAAACAACTTTTCGCGACCTTAATGGAGTCTAAAATAGCGCCTTCAACCTACTTCGGTTGTGCCCGCATGGTATTACCACGAAAGAGCACTTCTCGAAATTTCCAAAGTCTAGTTTTCAAATCTTACCCGCTGAGCACATGGCAATCTATACAATTCTGGAATCAACAAGCCTCAGTCAATAATGTCATACATCGTACTAAGACAACATGCCGATCCCTGTGAGGCATCGAAGCTTGATCCTAGCTCTGATGACACTGGGACATCACCGGGTCGAGCTTTGGCTGCCTGCTCTTTCGCTGCCCGCTCTGCCGCTGATCTCATGGTTCTTATGCCCGATGAGGTCCATGACGATGCCAGAAAAGAGGTTCGTCGATCTGCTATGCTATTATGTCTGCATTCATCCGCAGTGACTGCCATCGAGCTGTGGCGGAGAGCAGCAAGGCTAATCCAGGGACTATCAGTAGTGTAGAGAACAGAGTGTCGCTCTATGTTACTATGTTCAGGCGTGTCTAGTCTGCGCGGGTCGATCGTGCTTGTGCCAGGAGGATCGACTGCATTGGTCATGAGGCTACTTATTCCAGCTCCAACTCCCAACGTGGAAAAGTAAAGGTCCTCAAGTTGGTCCCACGATATCTCGTCACTCCGGTGTTGTTCGCTAGAGGCATTGTAGTTATTTATGACCTCTTGGCTGGTCTCGAATGACTGGTAGTCGCTAATTATGGCAGCAGGTGGGTGTGGTGTTGTATGATCACAGCCATCATGATCCTCGTCGCCAGGGTTCTCAGATTCCGTAGGGTCCTCAGAATCCTCAGGGCCATTAGAGTCGCCAATGCTATATTCAGCCCTTCTTTTCCAGCCCCATTTTTTAAATTGTTTGCGGTACTGGTCGATTCTGTTATGTGTCAGATCTGCCCGTCTGCCAGAACCTCCAGCTTAGGGTTATGTTAAACTCACGTAGCCTCAAAACCGTGTTTACTATTCATAGCAAGCACTATGTCCTTATATTTTATCTCGCTGCTGCAGTATAAGTCAGAGATAAGCTTTTTTTTCTGTTCCCATATATTTTCGGGTATTGGACGAGCATATGTCCGTTTCGAACCCGCAGAAGACATATCTCCTACCTCTTCACTGTGAATGAGGTGCGGTCTCTACCCAGATCATTTGACAGAAGTAGAGAGATCCATCTTTAAAAGGATTTAGGATGGTCAAGCCTAGGTAAAATGAGTACTGGCAAGATAAGGGAGTATACCGGTAACTGACAACTGTAGCGTGACATAACCCTGTGGTTTTCGTATGCAGTCGAGTGACAAGAAGAAAAAAAGAAAGCACTTGCCAAATAACCAATCAATGTTTGAGAAGCAGGTCGTTCAGACAATATGCGCGAAAGTACACGGTTGTTAGGAGCCCATTTCGCTAAGCAGGAATTGGCGCTGTCATCGTGCCCGACACGCATTGTCTATCTACATAATACCAAGGGGAGAAATAAGGTTCAGCCGCCCCGACCTGACTTCGTTGGGTAAAGGCAAGACGCTAATTAAAGATCCCTCTATTAGGAGTATATCGTCGTGCATGATATAGCTTGCAAAGCACGCTTTCGATCACAGGTTACTTTTTTCATGTTAGGCGCGACATTCCAACTAGATACCTTAATTACATCTATCTAGAGCGCTTGGACCAATTAGCCGGGTCCAATTATTGGCAACTGTCCATTTCTTCCAGAAGCTTCGGATCCGGATTCGGGTTTGCAACTTTGCACCCTCACTTCTGGCAAAAAATCGTGCGCCTTTCGATCAAAAACATAGGAGGTCCATGCAGTCCTCAGCCTTAGACTATTGAATAGAGATATATCTGTAATTACAATGCATACCTCCTTTTCATATGCGCCTTGGATCTCATCAGATCTGCATTGAATGTCATTGATCGCAAGTGCCACCGATGGGAGGCCTCACCACGCGCCACAATGGTAACTACCAGCAATGTTGCAGTTGTCAGCCTCAAAAAAGCTTACTGGCGGGATGGCAAAGACTATAGATGAGGCCCGTTGCGTACCGTGCTAAAGCATCCCGTGAAACTAGGTGCCCAGGATGGACCCATACGGGTAGACGACCCAGACCGGCGCGGTCTAGCTTATACCATCCATGTAGCCTCTGACTAGCCGATGTGATCTTTCCGTTGTCTATCATAGGCTGTAAAGGATGCAGAGGTTCGAAACTTGGTCGGATCTAGCTCGAAATGGCAGTCGGGGGTGTTAGAGTACCAGAGGCGACTGCTTATCGCCCATCTGATCGGACTAGACGGTCTGGTTAATAGGAATCGTAGAAGAAAGGCCAGGCTAGTCCTACTCTTCTTCAGATTGCTGCTCACCCTAAATGAGTACTCTCCTGCGCCCAATAAACGAAATACGAGCGTTGTATTGAGGGATACCAGGTGTGCCAATTCCACCAATGCTTTGGCGAGACTTACTTAGAACCAGACGTTACAAAGAGCTTAAGAAATCCCTAGTAGATGAGGTACCTGCCCATCCATCTATACCTTTCTCTGCACAACTCTCAGAACGGGTCATATGCGTAGAACTACCTATAAGAATTTGACAAATTCCCAAGAAAGAGGTTAGTATATGCGCATGATGCGTGCTAGGATTTGTAGGAGGAGCATAGCCCTAGCTAGCCACGTTGTGAGGCGAAACACTCCTGGAAGGGCTGACCCATAGGGGCGGGTACTTGTAATTGAGCGTAGTCTAATGTTGTGGTTCGCAGATCGGTCGACCGGCCCTCCAAGCGAAAGACGTAATCGAAGTACAGTAAATCCTACGAGGAATATGGATAAGGTTGCTGGGAAGCCAGGTCATTGCGTTCCGTAGTTGCTTGACAGTCCCCGTTCCGTCGATACATGAGAGCCTTCACGTGTTATACTGGGACCCACCACGTATGAATTTGAAATATCGATCATTCAGCTGTACCGAATTTTTGGATTCCGACTGTTGGCACATACGCGACATCACCAACAATATTTGGTACACTCCTGAACGGGAAGAGCGTATTACCAAAACGTTTCTGGCTGTGTAATAGGTTTTTGGCATGAGATTGAATGCTACGGCTCTCTGTGCTAAGACGGTCTGAACTTCACTACTAGCAATAAATGTTTGAATTGACTCTGACTCTAGCCCTCGCTTTCGCAAGTCCATTCACACACAGTCTATGCGCGCTCTCCATACGTTTTGTCCAAACGCGTTTTTCCTGCCCTGCGAGGTAACCGGGCTGTGCAGACGGTAAGCAGTCTCCAAAAGCGGCATCCGGTGTTAAGAGTCCTCGAGAACATGGTCCGTGGCTGGTAATTAGTCTCGTTGATCTGAATACCGCTCCCGGACCACCACTTGTTGCCGATCGAGCTCCTCAACATGCTTTGACCCTTGTAAGTCACGAAGTGGCTTCATGCAATCTATTTATTCGATGGCAGCGATGTTGTCTTGGTAGGTCCAGATCCAGAGCTGGACCGGGTTTTCATCCCTGTAAAGGGGTACTGAAGCAGTCGTCCCGGCTGCATGTATGTATTAGGATAATTTGGTGGCACTAATCCCTGCAAGTATCATGCGGAGACTTCACAGCACACTGATAGTAGATGTTGCTTGCTCCGAACTCACTAAGAGGACACCATTAGTGAGGTATAGCAAAGTTGAGGAAACAAATACTCACATATCTAGGTACTCGAAGCATGACTGCCTGCCAAAGATGGTCACGGAGATGATGAGTTGCATTGTACGAACAAGCATGGCTGGCACGATCAGGGCAGTTTGATAACTTGCCCAGGTCTCCTCACATGCTTAGACGTGTAAGTGAAAGATCCTGGATGTGTCCGAGTCTACTTTTCGAGATGAGTCTGACATGCCATTTGCTGGAGATCTTTAGAACATACTCTTATACCCATGGTGGTGAGTTTACTCTTGTTTGGAGCTGACATTCCCGCTCTTGATTCCTTATGATGCAGACATTGTTTCTGGCACGACGCTCGTCAGTCAAAAATGCAGCATGTAGCTTTACGAGAGCTACTTGAATCTCGCTCGAGATCAAGACAAGTCTTCTTCATTTGATGCTTTGTTAACTTCGTCAAAGGCATAAACGACGATCATACGGCATTGGTCCCAGCCGACGGTGAATCGACGCTGTCTATCCGGTGAGAATAATGCGTCTTAAACAAGCCACGCTCCTACCGCCAGCCAGGACCAGTCAGCTTGGCTGAAACCCTGGCAGAGCGAGGAATCAGCCAAGCTCGTTCCAAGAACGACTGTCGTAGCCATTCCGCGAGGTCTGGCTTGGCCTCCCAGTCCCATCGAGACCAAGAAGACAAATGGCAAAGGGCAGCTATGCGGGTTATCTTCGAAGAAGACTTGCGTCATGACATACTGGATGGTTTTTAGAATAGGATCAGAAAGAGTTTCTTTGAGGGCTTACAATATGAAGAAGCTTCGATGAAAAGGGACCACTCAGGAACGGCAAACACAGCTAGAAGGACTCTCATCCGGAGAGAGGTCACCAGCTCCTGATCTGAGTCATAGAAAAGATGAGTCGAGCAGGAGCTGGATGAGCACATCTATTGTGTGTCCTTGCTTGAAGATTGGTTAAACGCGGCTCCGCCAGCACTTGGAAGTTCTAGCGATGTCGCTAGCCAGCTCTGTACAGTGCAATGGGAAGGAAAACAGGTGCCCAGAAGAAGATCAGCTTCCACTCCAAGCTCTGGAATTACCCGCTACTGACAGCAGACAGATGTATCATCCAAAGTGAGCATCTGATCATTCCAGAGATTGGAGCGGAAGCCGGTCCTCTTCATCACTGTCGGAGCTAAGGCGACGGCATGTTTTCAGGATCCTCTATCCAAATGGGAATGACCAGGACGGTCATATACACTTGCGTGATGTGCAGCAGCACCATATCATCCATTGAATTGATGTGAGCCTGAGAAGCTATGATTCACAGAACTTACCGCAGCAAGCACTGTCTGCTGGGGGATCCATGGTAGATTTGGAGTCTCAGGCAAACAGAGAATCCAGACTCAACTTAGGAGAAGTTGCACTGTTTCTTCTAGGAACTTCGTAGTCTGGGAAGTAGGTACTGACAGTACTTTCGTCGTAACGAAGCAGCGCCAAGTCGTCAATGGTAACTGAGGACTGGCAGAATGTATGATTCGACCAAGAAGGTCGTACACTCGAGTGATGTGAAGCGAGCTCGCGTCGGCGATCTTGTAAAAGCACGCAGGCAGCCATAGAGGTAGCTCATCGTTATGGGAACAACGATTTGTGCTGCATGAATGCGGGCGAATATGTCGTCTCAAACTGGACGCTCTCTGGACATAACAGATGATATGTGATCTTTCTGGAGCTAGATGATGCTCTCTTTGGCCATCTCGCCGTACCTTGTTGTCAATGTTTCTGCTGAGGATGCAATTGTAACATGCGTGCTGCAGAGTGGAATGCCTGGTGGTCGACAGCTTGGGGTTCATTGACAGTGTGATCTTACCACGCCAGTATGAGTGTATATCTGCCACACAAAATTAGTCCATTGTTTTTCGTAATGATCAAGATGTGTATAAAGATAATATCGTAAGGGGAAAGTCAGATTGGCATAGATGAATGAATAAATCATTGGTTCTCGATAACCCCATGCAATGCTGCTGTGACAAAAAGGACGAAACCAGAGCGTGCAATACGACGGCTTCGTCACTTGTGACACTCTGGCAACATCTTCTAGTGGAGGACCTCCAAATTTGCTCTCAGTGCGGTGTTTTCATCATCCCGAGGCCTATGGGCGTGTAATTTTGAAGAGCAGGGATACTTACTAACATATTGACCTCCCGTGTGTGTCCGAGTCGTGCTGAGCACACTCAGAGCAGTTTTCGGACATGCTCAGGTCGCTGCAGATAGTGAACGGTAGCAGTCCCATGCCTGCTATGCGAAAGAAGCCAAGCCATGGTAGATGTGAGACACCAAGCAATAGTAAACACTAGAGCTCTTCTGCCGGGAGGAACCGGCGGTAGTGTGGATATACACTGGTGACGGATCGATCGCCAGATCTGTGCTTGCTATTGCGAGCATGAGTAGGTGGTGCTCACGGAGCTGACGTGCAAGCCGAGACGGCCATCCAAATATTCTATCATGTGTCAGAAGTCACCATGCAAAGGTATCAAACACCACGTCTTCTCCAGAACAGAACCTGGCGCGGCAAAAGGAGGTCTTTGATTAACACTACGAATCTGCCATTCAAAGTAGGTCAGCCTGATTTCCTTGGGTTCTGAAGTGAGGATGGAAACCTACTTACTCTACTTTATAATGTTCTGCTGATCGATCCTGCTCAGCGACAGCTGCAGCTGCAGCTTCAGCGTGAAGTCTTCTGTATAAATTGTCTGTAACCGCCGGCGTGGTTGCCGTCTGCGCACCATCCGAGCCAGACAGCGAGCCTGTGTGAAGGTTAACCAATACCCTCGAATTGTTCCAAGAAGGAGAAACACTTTGTATCATGAAGCTGAAGTGCTAGAGGCCTGTTTCAGCCTCGTGCACTTTCGTCAGGAGTGAGGTTGTCAGCCGAGGCCATTGAGACTCACAAGCCTAGTAAGTAGTACAGCAATCCCATGATAGATATCAAGAGAGTCTTGTAGGGACAGTGATAAATCTACAAAGTGATGCTGGCGATATGTGCCGAGCTTGTAGTGATGGTGACAAGGGTTGGCATCTTTTATGATGCTGAAGATCTAGCAACAGCAAGGTGCTGAAGTGTAGGAATAAGGAGAGCGTTAGAGAGAAGAGGAAGAAGCTTACCTTTCTGCTTCTTGTAATGGCAGACTTGCCTTCAAGATCGTTATGCATCTTTGCTGAAGTTGTGGCTACGTGATGTGTTGAGCTAAAGTCAAACACTCACCGGCAGCGGCACTGACTGGTTGCAAGGAACTCATCAGTACCTTTCCAGTATAAGTGTCATGGGAGCTGACAGAGACTAGAAGCATGATGATAGTAGATTCGATCGTGAAGGAAGTAGTGATGGGTAGGTGCTGCTTGAGGTTGCAGTGGAAGGTCTTGACGGGGTGTGTGAAGGCGGAGTAGATCTTTGCCATTGATGTTGGCAATCAAGTCCGGATGAGATAGACTTACGATTCAGACACTGGCTATGATGCTACCACCAGAGCTCAATGATCAAAGCGAAGAAGATGGTGTTGGGCTGAAGTCAGTATTGAAGACTTTTTCAGGGCCAAGGGAAGATAGCCAAAAGCCGTCACTCTGATACATTGCAGCTGTGGAAAAGCAGCTAGCCAGATAGGATGGAGGATATGGTCATCAGGAGAAAGGCAAGAAGATTGAATGAGCTTTGGAGATGAAGAGGGGGGTTTGTGATGCTGAAGTGGTGGATCGGGAGAGTTGAGGGAGAGAGGAAAAAAGGTGAAGCGAGGCAGCAAAGGAGAATTCGCGCCAAGCCTAGCAACATCGAGTTGACGGGAGGGTCAATGCAGAAAATAAGACTACTGGTAACCGGCATATTGCTATCTAAAATCGAGTGCTCGACTTCAACTTCTCAGGATGCTCAGGGGCACTGCAGAGAGAGTGGAGGCCTCGCAAGCTTCATTATACATACAACCATTCCATCCATAGTCGTTACCTATAGGTATCCCAAAGAGCGTAGATTCCGATACGGATCGATCGTAAACGTCGTTCGTAGTCAGTTTGACTGGCAAACAGACACCCACAATGTGCATGATATTCCGAAGACATGATGCAGCGCATGTTTGCTAGCTGGCACCTATATTCCTTGCGCCTGAATTTCCCAATACATTTCAATCATCCTTTGATGCGCCGTGGCTGCCCAATGATTTCACGCAGCGCAGTCGTCGTTAACGCCGTGCGGGTGGCCGGGGTTGTCTCTCACGCACGGTCTGCGGCGGGCAGACGCTTCAGCGCAGCTTCAACATCCTGATCATCAACCACAACTCCACTCTCAGAGCAGCGTGCCTTTGCTCGCAACTCCGAGCAAAGATTATCGATATCAATTGTACCGTCCTTGAAGTCAGATCGTTGCGCCAATTTGTCCCTGTTTGGTGTCAGTAACATTCTCTTGGCATTATCACCAACTTCGCGACATGCTGCAAAGGAGAGCGCAGTCTCTCAACGCTCCTCGTTCTGCAACCGATATGGCGGCATTTCATGCCTTTGTGCTCAATTCAAATACACGTTACAGTATACACATAGCAAGCTCATCACCGTCGCAGTCGGCTACCTTCTTTCGCGATGAAATCGGACAGCGAGCCATACGAACTTTTTTGAAACACAACAACAGAGGATATTGGTCTGCAGGTAGGGGCGGGACGCGTAGATCGCAGAAAGGAGATAGTAATAAGAGATGAATAGAAGAAAAGAAAGACGTACCATATTTTATGACAGTTCAAGAACTTGCCTGGATCCTCGCCCGGTACGACTTCGTCTTCAACACCATCTTGGATCTTTTCGATCTCTGAGATTGGATTGGCTTTACTGGAGGTTGCAGGAGTAATACCATCGCCTCCGAAAGACGCAAATGGGCTGCCATACGAACCAAAGTTGAAAGCATCATCGAAGAAGCCCCCGGTGAAGTCTCCGTCGCCTACGATAGCCGCCTGTGGATCCCGATAATCGCCAAAGAGGGTGGGGTCAAACTGCCCGCCGTTTTGGTTCGTCAAGATGTCAAGAGCAGAGCTATCGTTTACATGGGTGGAATGCTCAACCACGGGGTTTGCTAGTTTGGCGTTAGACTTCGCTCGAGGGATTGGATTTCGCGGGTTGCCACAGGCCATGTTGAGCTTCTCGCAGAAGGTAACCTCACCTTCGGAATTGCCATGACAAACGTATCCATCAGGAGCGTCCGCCTTTCCGGTCATGGGTGAGTTATAGGATGGCTCAGGAGAAGTGTCGCATGACGAGTTGGCGCCACCGTATTGAGAAACTGAAGAGGCAGAAGGGGAATCGGTTGAAGAGTTGGCGCCGCTGTTGAATTGGAATACACGCGATTGTGCTGAAGAGCTGCCGGTACGCTCGCGATTGACATTGGAATTGGTACTGAGAACATGGCCAATATCGACGACCGGAGTACTCGCTCCGTTATAAAGAGGGGGACTGCGCGCATTCGACTGTGACTGCTGCCCCGCACGGACTTCTTGGGAGGAGACATTGCTGTCTGGTGAGGCAACGCCAGTTGATTGGGTCCGTGGACTCTGAACGCTACCATTGCTGTTCTGTCGCTGAGCAATGCCACTGTTCACGTGTATGCTGTTTCCGACGCTAGAGCGCGCAGAGGAAGGACTATTCGACAAGCCTTTGGCCGCACTCATTGCCCCTGTGCTGAGCATATGCGCGCCAGGAAGACCACCAAAACGTGGAAAATCGAATTGGAAGTTATTGCCGCCTCCCATGCCCGACAGAAATGATACGTTGTGCCCCGTAAGAGAATGATTCACGCCGGAGCTATTGAGGGACAGACGCTTTCTGTACTCTCGCAATTCAGTCTGTAATCTTTGAACCTGAGCTTTGAGCAGGCCGTTCTCATGACTGGTCGCATCGGACACTTTCTCTAGTTCCGCAACCTTGGTCTCGAGATCGTGCAAGTGCTTCTCCTTACGTTCACGGAAAGCACGCTGAGCAGCTCTATTTTGAGCTTTGCGTTTCTGCAAATATGTGAGAATTTGATGGGAAGCACCAGTAAAAAAGACATACTGTTGTCGGTTCGGAAGTCAGAGGTTTCCTTCCGGGCTTCTTGGCCGTTTTGTCGTCAGACTCTCTTCTCTTGCCCCCCCCATCAGGATCTTCAGCGTCATCTTCTGGACTCTTTCGTTTCTCGGTATTGTCATGATCATAAGCTTCAGGAGAGGTGCTGCTACCGGGAAGTCCACCGATCATAGCATCTCCATTATTAAGACTTGCATCGAAGTCGAAGCTTGTGTCACCATCGAGAAAGTCCACGTATGGGCTTTCTTCGATATTGTCGAATGTGCTGAAATTCATGCCATTCGGCTGACCTTGAAAGAACGCGGGGTTAACGCCATCTATGGGGAATTGCTGATTGGGGTCAAAAGTCCCATCGTTGTTGTTTTCAAAATCTTGATTCGACTTATAGTCGTTTTGCGGATTCGGGTTATTCGAGTTCAAGGCAGCCATCAACAGATGCTCTTGGTCAGGAGAGAGGCTGCCCGGACCGTAGAACTGGTTGTTAGAGTTTGCCATAACAGTGGCTGGTGCTCTTCTACGAAAGTTATATAGGGTTTGGCTTGGCCCAACGGGCGAGAAGGCGCGTTGTGCCGGTCGAGGCTTCCGAAGGAACAGAACGTATCGCGAGGCGAGAATAGGCCTGAGCGGAACCTGAGAAATGTGATGAATGCGATTGAGGAGTTCCTAGGTACATGGACACCTCGGTCAGCGTCGTATCATGAGTCAACTCTCTATCGCGACGGCTACTGGCGTGGTTTGCATTCGATGCTTCCAAGGGACGTAAGAGGAGGGGTTGGGCGGTATGCGGAAGAGTATGGGTGGAATGATGCAAGCCTAAACTCACGTTTCTTGCAGAGTCGGAAAGCTGCGCTTCGACGACAGTATAGCTGGGTGGTGTATTGGAATAGGACAGGTGGAGTATTCGGCGGTTGGAGTCAGAAGGATTGAGGAAAAGAGAGTCAGATAATCAGGGCTGTGGGAAGAGAGATTCGAGAGCTTCTTGGGAGGCTAGAAGACCAAAGATCACCGACAGACACGCACATGCACGTTTCTTCCAGTGGCACCGCTTCAACACCAGGACCCCCTCTGATTCGTGCGCGCATCCTTGGACGGTCGGGAGTGGATGCCGCCATTCCACATACAGTATAACTCGACTGGTCTGACGGTTGATTATCAATCAGCATCATCCATCATCAGCAGCAGCATCTGCATGGATGATGGCGATGCATGGAACAATGGGGAAATTCATAAGGAGGCTGCGGTATGCTCTCGACATCATTAAGAAACCGCACATGTTTCTTTTCTCTACAGGACATTGGACTGGACTGCATCTCATGATTCCACCGGCTTCCACATAAGATGCGGCTCGCCAGCTGGTACAAATCTGCTTATCGATATCGGCAGCATAATTACCATGATCTATCTAATTGATGGTTCTGGTAAAGGTAGATGACTTTTGAGGGGAAGAAGGGGCTGGGGGCGGCCACGCAACAAGGTCAAGGCGTCAGGTCACCCAGGGTTGGATGGATACCTGAGGCTCTTCGCAGGCTCCTTCCTTACACTTTACAGCCTGTAATGTTTGGGTATTGCCCAGGTCGGTGTATTAGGTTAGGCTACCAGCCAAGGAACTTGAAGGATGGAGCCTTTCCTCATCTTTACCAATCACGTGAGTCGGCTTGATGCTCACCACCGGCCGACCCATATCTACACGCTCAACTCATCCCCACCATCAACGCTTCATCTCAATCGACGTCCTACCATTACTTCCATCGACGTCACTTCTCTCCGACAGTGCTTCCCACACACGAGTTCTTACTTGTTCCCCTATATCGTCTGTGAATATCAGACCCACCAACGCTACGTCACCAGCCACGGACTGAATTGGCCGTTCAATCGCTCAGGCAAACCGTAGGTTCAAGTTCAAATTCGCAGAATACCGCTCAGAATGGCGACCAAGCAGCTCTCCTGGTACGAACTCAAGAATCTCAAGGCCGACATCCACCAACTCCAAAGCGATGTCGACAATTACCACAGACAGGTACGCATCTTGATACCCCTTCTTCGCGCTGCTCACTCACTTTACCCAACAGCTCAAGGAGGCCAAGGTCGACCTCTCACGCCTCAAGCCGGGCGACGAGAAGTACGATGAAACTGAAGACAGACGTGTGAAGCTCGAAGCAGGCATTGCCATGTTCAGTGAAGAACTCGAAACCCTCCGCGCCCAACTCCCTGAGGAGAAACCGAAAGAGCCCGTCGCCGTCGTACCCAAAAAACCCAAGATCGAACTCAAGCAAGGCGACTGGGTCCTTGCACACCGGAACAAAGATGACCAGCGCCTGACGGCCGCAAAGGTCATCGCCATCCTCGGCGTCGGCGAAAACAAAATGTTCCAGGTTCGCTTCAAGGACAAATTCCTCACACAGATCCGCGCAGACGAGTGCCGCCCGGCCACCCGCATCAACGAGGAAAACGAGATCAAGAAACGCAAAGCTGAAGAGGAAGCCGCACGTCCCAAGAATCCTAATGTTATCATCGCCGAGGCACAGCTGAAGCGTGAACCCTCGCTCGCCTCCGCAGGCCCGGATCGCCCCGCCAAGATCCCGCGCAAGCTGGGATCAGAGAAGAAGCTAGAGAAGTCGCGTGGCAACTGGAACGACTTCATGTCGAAGCAGAAGAAGTCAAAAGAGTCGATGTTCCGCACCGGCGAGGGCGTCAATGCGCGCGTTGGCTTCGTGGGCTCTGGTCGCCCAATGACCAAGGACGTTGCGCGAAAGCGCCACGTACACGAGGAAATTGAGGAGGACTAGACAGTGGGGGTTGCGCCGGTGTTCTGGGCGAAGCGGATTTTAAACTTGTACTCATTTTGGGCTTCAATAGAAGCCAGCGGCATCTGGCGGCGTATATGGTTATGGTAGCTGATACCCCATCAAAAATGATACGCATCGTGTGGGTGGGCCGCTGCGGCCTAAGTCCCACACCACAACATACCTGATGTGTATAGCTTTACGTGATTGTGCTCCGCTTGCTGTACCCTCACAAGCCCCCACCATTCCACTTTACATCACCCTTTTGCCTTGAGGACATCACAATCTATCTTTCGACCAGCGCGCAATCCCAATCTACCCATCCCAAATCCCCAACAACACCCAGTCACCGCCACCACCATCACACTCTGGCCTCCAACATCTACTAACAATTCTTTTTTGCCAGCCCTGCATTGCAATCATTCAGCATTAGATCCATCAGCACACACCACTACCCAACATATCACGCCTCGATTCGCCAGCTTGGAAGACCGTAACATCGCATGTCCCAGTAGCACGTTTCATGATTCTGCCCAGGTCAGCTCAACGCATTCGAAACGCGGTCTTAAGTATCCAGTGGCCAGAGCTATAAGCGAGCTACAGATGGAACAGCTGGGATCTTACTAGTTGGAGTGTGGTAAATACATTGTGTAAGTAGCTGGCCTGGTCAGAGATTGAGAAACAGATCCTCGATCTGACTATGACTGACTTGCCCAAAGCAACCATGCAATAAGCAGTACTATTCATAGCCCGGGTATCGAGCCATATGAAAGCATGAAACCGGTTCTCAGCTCCCCAAAAAAATGTCCATGAAAAGACTTGATCACAGTACCAATACACTCCCAGTCCAATCTTCATCCCTCAATCTCAACACCAGAGTCATACTTCTCATCACCCTCACCCCCACCCACACCTACGCCACTGCACTTCTTCGCATCCTCCTCCGCCCTCCTCTTCCGCGCATTCTCCTTCGCATTTCGTCTTCCCCGGCGTCTCCTCTCCCTCTGAGCCTCCGTAATCTCCTTTCTGACAATCTGCACCTCTCCCTGTACCACCTCCCTCTTCCCCCCACCATGACCATCCTCACCATTCACCAAAGGAATCTTCCCCCTGAAACCCCTCCAAACCCCCCAAAATGCTCCTCCCAATTTAATCTCCAACACAGCCTGCAGATACCTCTCGTCCCGCCGTCTGCGCTGCACGAACGTGAGCAGGTCATACGGCCAGTACGGCACGTCCACTTGCTCGCCACAGCGCAGTGCAAGTAGGATTAGCGCGTGGAGGGTATATGCTGCGTCGTTGCCTGCGTTGTGCAGGTGTGGTGGTGGGAGATGTTGTGATTTGCAGGGTGACGAGGGAGGCGTGAACATGTATATAAGCTTTCCGACGCTGAGGATGAGCTTTTGAGTGGGGTGGTCTGGGGAGCTTGGGGGGGAGAGGGCTTGAATGAGGGTGTGGGTGTCGAGGGTGGGGATAGGGTAAGATGTGGGCTGGGGCCGGTGGTATGGTGGTGGTGGCGTTGGCGTTTCTTTGTTCTTCTGGGTTGGATCCTGTGTAGGACTGATAGAAATTTTGGGTGAGGTCTGAGACGCCGTAGGGGATGGGTGGCCATCCGGAAGAAGCGACTGGATATGCGCAACGACATCAAACCCGCAGAGTCCCAGGTACTTGACGTCGTCTGCGAGGGAATGGCCAACAAGGACAATCCTCCTATACTTCTCCTTCTTTCCACCACTCTGCACAAGATCGTCTTCGATGGTCAGCAGATCGCTCAACACAGCATTGTACTCTGCCTTCTTGACAACCTTGCTCTGGCCAAAGAGGAATTTATCAGGACAGCCCTTGAGCTGGCGCTTGTTGACGAGATGCTTGTACTCCTCCGTGATGTAATGATGATATTCAATCAGATGCATCCACTCCCTTCCTGCTATGCCTGGTGCGACACCACTGAGCTTGCGTATATCGAGCAAGGCGAAACCAACCTCTTGCACGCTGCGCCGATCGTCTTCCCAGGCTTCGCAGTCGATGGAGGCGAGGATCGGGGCGTTGGTCGAGTTTATGAACTGCGGAATGGGTGCGGATGGGTCGACGGGATCATATGTCGACGTGGGCAAGTTGAAGATTGAGCGCAGGTACTGGATACCTGGGTCCACGAGCGAGGCCGGAGATGAGTGTGTTGGTTTCGCTTCCTGGGGACGGTAGAGTTTAGGAGATGGTGGTGGGGTAGGAGGTGACTCTTTATTGATAACTAGATCGTCTAGAATTTGAACCGCAGAGATGGAGGAGACTGGCTGTAAGTTATCCACCACAAGATGGCTTGATGGCTGTCCGGGAGAAACAGTCTCGCTAGGAGAGTCAGGGGGTGGAAGATCAGTCTTGAGTGTAGCTGAGATATCCATGTCCATCGAAGGACTTGCAAGCTTGACGCATGATGTGATGTCTGAATCTATGGGCTTAGAAGACTTATTCGCCGCTCCCCCATCCTCCATGATCAGTTCCTTGATCCTCTGCATAAGTATGGCTCGTGGGGAAGGCATGACTGGATATAAAGAGATCGTTGGAAACGGTGTTGTTGATCTGGAAGGTTTGGGAAAGTCAAGAGAGATGGAAGTGGTCGAGGGACGGAGCAAGACGCCTTTATAGATAATGTATCCTATTTAAATGGGTGCCTGGAGAGAGCAAGGACATGGCGGTGAATAGGAAAATACCGGGTATCAATAGCGACGAGTCTATTGAGACTGAATGCCGGGTAGGCCAGCATCATGAGATTTTTCCTAACCACCATTGCCAGGGATGATCATCATCACCAGAGCTACCTATCTTCAGGGGCTACATACCCGGCAAAATCCTCTCGTAACGCGATTGTCGATTGAATACAACAGAATTACACAGATTCGCTGGTAGATCATGACTCCGAGAAATGCAGGCGTGAGGTCGCGGCCAGACCCTCTTGGTATCGTTGTTGTGCCACGGCTCGATATGTTACAATGGTCACGACCGACCTTCCAAACGTAATCGGTCCAGCTGACGCCCTTCTCCTCGCTTCGTGAACAAATACCACAAGCAGCTCAGCCAGCAAATAAGGATCCCAACCCAACTATGCACCGGCATCTTGCCTTCTAACATGGTAAGCTGGAACGCACTACGCGGTATACTTAGAAACGTGACAGTCAACGGACTGGTAGCTTTGGCCAGAAGCAAAGTGGTCGCGAACACTGCCCAGCTGCCGATACCTCCACACAAGATCAGCAACCAGAGGAATGGAACATCGCAAACATAGCAGTTCATCATCATCTCGCTAATCTCACCGGAGAGGAACAGGATCGGTGTCATTATAAAAATTGAGAGAAGGGATGTGTAGTGTAGAGTCCTCCAGTAGGCACGCGTCTCTTCGCGACTTGAAGGGGTCTCGTCACCACTAGAAGCAGGAAATCCAGTCAGGATGTCGCCTTGGGGAACCAGGTCGGCGACGAGAAGGCGATATGTTCGTAGTAGGAAGATAGGATATAGCGCAACAAAGAATGCAGAGAAGACTCCCGGTACGACACCCTCCCAAGGTCTTTTAGCATCCTTTTTTAAACTCGCGACAAAGAGGTTGATAGTTGCAGTCAGTGCTGCTGAGAGCGTCGGAACAGAATGTGACTCGCGCGTGAGTACACTTGTAAACATGAGTGAAAGAGGGACAATGCCAATGCGTGACATCTGGTAGACAGGTAGCTCTGTGTAACTGTTGATCATGGGCCTGTCAGTGCTAGTCATTCTCGTGGACAATAGACCTACGTGAAAGAAATGTTACTCAACATGACCTTGCCGACGTAGATTGCAGCTAATGGAAGAACGTGCATAGCTGCAGCACGTTCAAATTCGAACAAGCCACCACCTGCAATGCCTCCAGATCCTCCTATCAGCCAGCGGTACGCAAAGCTACTCTTCCCAGATCTGTAGCTCGGATTGTTCGAAAGCGCGGGCAGGCCCGGAGCAGCTATTCCACCAAGTCCGATCCTCCTCAATGGTCCCGCAAGAGCTCTTGTCAAACTGGCCGAGACAACAAGTAGTATATGCGTGATTATAAGTTGAATATACGTCGCCGCGAGAGGATACCTGATCTTGTAGACACCAGCTGCAACCATGTTAGCCCTTGTCTCGCACACTCCCCAGTCAACTCGCACTTACTGAGCAGTATAAATCGATTCATCAACAACAGGCCAAAGGAACAGCCCCCAACCCAGAACACAAGTATTCCAACATAAACCTGCCACCCCGCCCATGTCCCAAAAAAGAATTGTCCCAATCCACCAGGCTTGAGTATACTCTTCCAGCCCCGCTGGCTGCCCCCTCGCGACTGCGATACCAACGGTCTTATCGAGCTCTCTCTCTCAAATTCATAATCGTCGTCCTCATCTTCACTCTGCACCGCGCTGCGCGACCGAGGATATGGACTCGAGGACCGTGAGAAATCGATCAGTGGAATCGCTGACGGGGCCAGCTCATTCGAACTGGCACTTGTACGTGCAGAGTGCGGCATGGCCGGGCCGAAGTTTTCGTCGAGCTCTTCGTCGGTGTATGCGGACGCCTCGAGGTCTATACCATCGATGGAGATGGAGCTTGCGCGGCGGTGATGAGAAGGGAAGGTCGAGGGCTTAGATCTTGTGTTCGAAGACGTTATTTGTGAGAGGTATTGGAAGGCGGGTGCGAAGGTGTTTCTGGCGGACGCGAACGGTCGTGAGGAGTTCATTGGGGCATGTGATCCTTTTTTCTTTCGAATGTGAGAATGACTTCGAGGTAGATATTCAGGGTTCAGGAGGTGTGGCTGTGCTGACCAGAACAGGCTAGCGAAGGGTGGTAGGGCTGAACAGGTAGCACTAGCCGTGGCGTAGTGAAACGTTGCAACTTGGAGTGTGAAGTTACAGATGTCCATGAACATACGCAGGCATCCTTGTTTCAAGTGTGCTTGTATGTCAGTAGTAAACTTGATCCTGCATGTCGGAGACGCCAACACTGCGCCATGCATTACTGCATGTCCGCCATGTACTGTATCAAGCTCCACTCTGCGCGATGCAACACATTGCATCGGCATGCACAACGAGACCTCATCAAAGGCCATCATCTTTCATTGCTGCAACCACCTCGATCTCATACAAACACCCCTCCACCGCTAGTCCCATCACCCCGATAACTGTACTTGGTGCCTTTCTATCAATGACCCCCTCAGCATCCATCCACGCCGCGTAGATCCTCTTCCTCTGCTCTTCCTTGGGATCCAAATTAACGACATACTGTCTTACCGAAACGATATCAGCATGCGTTGCGCCCACAGCGGCCAGACAGTGATCTACGTTCGAAAGCGCGATGCTGACTTGTTCGGCTAGCGAGGCGGGCACAGAGTCGCTGTGTGGAGCCCGTCCGATCTGGCCTGCGAGCGTGACAAGCGTCGTGTTTGGGCTAGTCAGGGATATATGCGCTATGGAGATGACATTAGGATTTGAGTGAGGGGATTTGGGAATTTCGCCATACAGTAGAATGCGGGAGATGGGTGATTAGGCGGAGAGAAATTACGAGTCGGAAACGACATATTAGATATGGGTATCTTGACGTATGATACGGCTGTTCAGGAGAATGGAGAGCCTGGAAGCGGTTCCTCGGACTCTGAGTAAAAACTTATTATGTTCATGTACTGATTTGTTATTAGGTATGAATATGTGTGAGGAGACTGTCGCTTACTAAATGCGGATAGCCCTACTGTGACCTAGACTCAGGAACCTGGTTGTTCCGAAGCATAACAACCCGAAATCCCGAGCACGATACTGGTCTAGGATCTCAACACGTCATTAAGGCAGAAGATCATAAGGCTTGCAAGAGATGCGGGGGTTTTACTGTATAGGCTTGAAGTCTTGCATTTGGAAAGGTAAGTGAAATATTTAGTGTCTATAAATTCTTCGTACACGCAGGTAGGCCTTTCTCATATGAACAACGCCACACCCTAAAGCTGGAAAAGTGTAAAAGAAAATAAGTCATGAATTACCGCTGCCAAAGCCTGTGAGGTTGTATTGTAATCGTCAACCAAAGACTTTCACACCCCAGAATCAGCCATCTTCAACCCACTGCTGTTCATGTACGAGCTCCAGTTTGCACATTGGTCATTAATCGTCTTCTCTTCCTTAATCGAGCTCCGAATTTGCGATGTCATCTCCGCAAACTGCAGAGCCATTCCCATGGACGTGTGCCAGCCAATATGGCAATGCGCCAGCCAGACACCAGGGTTGTCGACGACCCATGCAATGACGAGGAAGCCGTTCCCAGGTAGTAGTGCGGTATCTCTTCGTACCGGGTTCTTCAAGCGTAGAGGAGTATCCTTAGTGTACGCACCAGTCCCTGATGCAATCTCGAAGAAATCGTGGCCGTGAAGATGGATCGGGTGAGGCAGGGCGACCTCTTGCTCAATGATCAGGTACACCCACTCGCCCTCGTTCGGCAATTCGATGATGAGGTTGTCAGTGCTAGTGTGGGTGCCATTCTGAAGGTACTGGTACAGCGTCGGACTGTTCCACTGTGATGTGAAAGTCTCCCCAGAGAGGTACCAGCGGAACATGTTATTAGAGTCTGGAGCAACAGTGACTGCTTTTTGAATGTCGATATCGGAGGCAAAAGCGTCGAGCTGAAGGATTGGCTTGATCAAGCTACTCTTCTCGTCCACACATTCACCTGTGTAGCCATGTGCTGTGCTCGTGGGTGTCCCGTCAGTACCGATGTAACGCACTATACCCTTGATGTCGGTGGCCTGAACCGTGCCTGCACAAGCATTCTGATTGTCAGAGCGCATCCAGTAGGCGCCATGCGGCTGATCAGCTTCGATAATGACGTTGTAACGTTGACCTGTGGTTCGTTAGAAATTTTGAGGTGTAGAAGACAGGTTCACATACCAATGTTGATGTTTAGAACATCAGTCTCATAGGGTTCAATGGGCGTAAAATCCGTCGCTATGACAGTCATCTTGTGACCGTCGAGGGAGAACTTGAACGTCGACTGGATAGCAGTGTTTACCAAGCGTATCAAGTGCTTGCGTCCTGGTGCAAAGTCCATCTCAAATCGTTTGCCCGTTTGGTTGTTGGTTCCATCAGGACCCCAGGTGTTCTTTCCATTAAGAAGACCATTGTCCATAATTCGTGGACCACCGGCAACGGAATCTTCTGCGGCAGCGTACATTGAGTCGACTGTGTTGTGGCTCCAATCTTGTAGAGTGATGACACCCATATCAAAGTCGAAATCAGCGCTATGAGGTCCTTTGACCACCAGTGGACCGAAAGCACCCTCCCAAGCTTGAATTGCGAAGTGGGAGTGGTACCACGAAGTTCCATACTGGCTAGCTCTCCACTCATACGTCATCTTACCGCCTGGTTGAATGGGACACTGGGTGATGGAAGGAACACCATCCATATCGTTTGTGTGGTTCATCCTGCTGCCGTGGAAGTGAATACTAGTTCCGTTGTTCGTCAGGTCGTTAAAGACATGGATTCGGACCATATCTCCCCAGCTGGCGTGAATCATGGGTCCTGGCATTTGGCCATTAATGATGAGTCCCAAACGTTCAATACCATCTGGGGCAATAGTAGTATTTTCGACATGCACAGTATACTCAACCGTACGACAGGTTTTCGGAATCTCCTTATAGTAGTTGGTGTGGATGGTAAGACCGCACCATTCATCGGGATTTTTACCAGGCTGACCTTCACATGGCACACAGTGCGGGTCGATGATGACCTTAGCAGGCGATGCAGCATATGGGTCAGTCATGCCATTTGGAAGACCTGGAATGTCATCGTCGTCATCCTCGCCTGGAAAGCCATCAAATCCTGTCTCTTCAGGCTCATCCACCCAGATCGTTGAGGTGACAGTCTCCATTGGCTTGGTGGGACATGTACTGGCATCCGTAACGAATGGTGGTGGAGCGTTCCTCCGCGCTGCCTTGTTACATTTTCCGAACTTTGGATTGCATCCTTTACCGCAGTGCTCTGGAGTCGAACCACTGCTGAAAGTCAGTGCCATTGTTAATATGTATAGGTTTAGTACGTACCAGAATCCCCAGACACTACAGCATCCACCCTCGGGCGATCCTTCGCATGTGTAGCCAATTCCTTGTCCACATCTTCCATGCGGCGATACCTGCAAGCCTTGACCTTTGTTATCTGAACAGTGACCGAACTGTGACTGGCATCCGATTCCGCAGTGCTGAGGTGTGCTACCACAATGACCATCTTTGCTACAGCAGTTCCCAAACATGGAATGCCAGCAGCTCAAACCCGAAGCGCCTCCGCACTTCCCATCACTGCCTTTCCAATGACCGGGGCCAATGGCGGAGACAGCATTGGCTGCACAGAAGAGCAGCGTCCAAGTTGACGACCTCATTGTACTTGAGAAAGTGCTTCCTGGATAACGGAGCAGGCACAAGGAATTAAATTAGTATAGATTGGAAAGATGTGCAGAAGACAAGAGCGAGAGCAAGAAAGAGAGACAATGAGCGACTTTTCCACTGCAGATGAGATACGGAATCAACACCCCAACCTTACCAGCCGCTTCTTTAACGATGTGTAAGATTTGCAAGCCAGCGTACCGAGACACGTCTGTGTGGGCGAGGGGACACGTAGAATTTTCAAATTGCAAATAAGAGACAAATCACTCGAAGATAATGAACGAAGTGAAGACCCACTGTAAACGGACTTTCTTTTATCTTCCCGAAGCGAACGCAGGAACGATACTCGACCACAGACCACAGCGTCATGTGCAGCCGCATTCGTCGCCTACGGGACGTACTTGGTATAGTTGTGTTGTTCAACACGTTGGGCAAAAGATAACCATAGCCATTGCTGCCGTGATCTGGGGTAACGGTACGTCCACATCTAATAGCGCGCTGTCCGGTACGATGATACTGAGATGCAATTGCATCAGAGAGTATGACGGAACTGTAGCAATCTAAACGCAAAATGTCGCGAGCCGAACAGCACTCTATGGGCAGTGCTCTCGGTAAACTCACCATCGGAGCCCACATTAGATGATACCTGGGACATGTAAGTCTGTGCTCGAAGTGGCGTAACATTGACAGCATTTCTCCGTGTGCCACCGCATTACTCATGTTGGCAATTGACATTGAAAACTGCCGGCCACCATAGCTGACTTTTTCATTTGCTAAAGAGGTGTCATGACCAAAAGAATGTACCTTAGCTTTGGACCAAGGGCTCACATTTGTAGCTGGCGACAGTGACACCCAGCTCTTAGCTTTACATATCATGATGGCCGGTGCTACCCGACCCTCGAAGTCCGTCGCAGACAAGTATTTTAAATATGCAAGCGATGCCACCACGCCGGACTTCAACCCGCCTTTGCCTGCGCATGCATATAGACTGTTTCGGCAGACTGGGTACTCGGTACTACTAAATTGAGGCCGAAAGACATGATTCATCAGATCCCGATCATTATCGTGAAGTCTGAACAGAAGGAGTAAAATGTTGATGCAACAAGATAGGGAGGGATGACGAACAAGACTGCTAAAACCTGAAAGGAGACGTTGAGATGCGTCAGATCGCTTTTCTCGATGCTGCTACAATTTGTCCGGCGCCCTGTGATTGGATGCCTATCCGGAGAACTCGGGGATCCGATGTCAATAAATGCAAGACCTGTCTTGCCAAAGGTGATAATAGATCTTCCTGTCCTAATCAGAATCAATGAAGAGAACTATGCCCTTGTCAACCTTCCAGCCTCGCTTGCTGCCCACGCCTACTACAATGACGACTGCTCGTTCAAGCATCCGCGTGAAAGTGAGGGAACTTAGTCAAATTATGCGTTTTTGCCACTGCAGATTCACCTGTTAGCATCTACGCAAGTCCATCCCTCCGCTTTCATTTTTGAGATGAGACTTAGAAGGGTGATAGGCCATTGCAACGCGTGGCAGAATTTCAGTCGCGTTGGAACCGCTGAGGATAGAACTAATTAATATTAGACACCGCATGGCCCCTCGGGCGGACCTCCCGTCCGAGTCCCGATGGGGCTAGTATATTTAGGCCTTAGCGCGCTCTCATCCCACCAGGATCGGGCTCCGAGACTTTAAACGTCAACTCCAACTCCAGGCTCCCAGCTGAGCTTGCTGCTGCCCTGGTGCCTTGCTTCACTTCGTCTCTGCATATTCACGCTTGTGTCAACATCTCTATCTATACTACATACTAAGTGTGGCTGCTAGCCAGACGCGCTTCTGTCGCTGCATGGTTGAGGCCATCAGTCTCAGGACGTGATCATGAGCGTAGAGCTCGCCCGCCTTCTATATAATAGCACCTGTCCCAACGCGTAACTCGTCTCCTGCTGCTATAACCCAAAATGGGAGACCCTATATCAGTCGCGGGACTGATCATTGCTATTGGACAAGTCACAGCTTGTCTGATCGATTACGGTAAAAATGTTGCACACGCGGCGGACGACGTCGCGAGGTTGAGCCAGGAACTGTTCAGTCTCCAAGGAGCACTAGAATACCTCCAAACCGATGCGAACAGTAGAGTATCTTCTGGCACTTCTCCATTCCAGATGACTCCGAGTTTTGATGAGCAGAAGTTCTCCGAGATGGTGACAATGACACAAAGCTTTCTGCAGTCACTGCTCAAAGATTTGGAGGAACCGAGGAAACGAGTAGCTCGACTAATGAAGCGGCTGGAATGGCCACTGAAGCGAACAGACGTCGACAAGCACTTTGCAAGACTTGAGCGTGCCAAGACTTGGTTTGTACTTGTTCTGACCACCGAAAGCAGTGGGCTTGTCCGTGAAATTCATTCGAGCATGGAGGTTCTCTGCGCGACACTGGAACAAGACCTGCACGAAAGGCGACAGGTGAGAACAACACACGAGAACACTGCTATGCTCTCCTGGCTGTGTCCAGTGAGCTATACCACAACACATAAGCAAATCCGCGAGGGCCGTCGATATGATGCCGGACAGTGGTTTATGCAAGGCCCTCTCACTCAATTTCTGAGTAATCCGACCAGCTGTAGCCTTATAATGGTCTTAAAAGGCAAATGTCAGTGCCGTGTGTCGTACCTCGAACGATTTTACTGATTTGAAATAGCTGGTTCTGGGAAAAGCACGCTGTGGTAAGCACACTTTAGTCATAGTGCACTTTAAACTGTCCTTCACTTTTGGGCTAAGGCATCTTTAGTTCAAGTATTGTGGATCACTTCACTCATACACAGGAAGGTATTCGCCTCGCCTACTTCTACTGCTCTGGTAGCAGTTTAGACTCTCAACAGACCGTCCACATAATGGGCTCTTTTCTTGCCCAACTTTGTCAGGCTGACGAAGCCATTCATGATCGTATACGGTCGGATTACCTGACCGCGACAGCGAAGTCATCGGGCTCGGAACCCCGAGCTCCTACACTCACATATGTAGAAGATGCCCTGGTCGCATGTTGCAAAATCCTTGGACCCACTTTCCTGCTGCTAGATGCTATTAACGAGAGTGTCAGAAGCGATGAAATTATAGAATCCATCAGTCGAATCGTGTCCCAAACTCAACATGTCCGGATAGTGATGACTAGTACATCCGATGAACAACATAAGTTCTGGCACTCTCAACAAGCCCCTATCCGGACTGTATTAATGGACCCTATGTTGGTCTTCAGGGATATCCAAGCTCATACAGAGCTTGAACTTGCTAGCAATCCCATTCTGCATAAACTTAAGCCTGAGCTCAGAACCGATATCATGAATTCAATCTGTGCTAATGCAGACGGCTCGTAAGCTACGAGTTCCCAGAATATACCATAGACCTCATGTCACTAACCTTACGCAGCTTCCGCTGGGCACAATTAACGCTGAGTCACCTGACTTCTCAGAGGACAGGCAAAGCGATGCGCAACGCCTTGAGAGACCTTCCTCGAACGTTAAAGGAGATTTACGCTAATATACTAACACGGATTTCGCCCGAAGATTCGCGTTATGTTCAAGAGCTTCTGTTGTGGGTAGCGTTTGCTGAGAGGCCTATGAAGTTGGACGAGCTCACTGAAGCAGTTATCATCACGGAGTGCGAAGGGGTACTCGATGAAGACAGCAGATTCCTGTCTCTCGACGAGATCATAAGAAAATGTTATGGCCTCCTGCATGTTGATAAAGGCACAGTAACCTTATCACACGCCTCCGTAAAGGCCTTCTTGACCTCCGACTGGCTCGCTTCGTCATATATCAACACGTTTTACTTGGACCCGAAGCAAGCAGATACACTTATCATGCGGAGATGCCTTGAATATCTCACATTTCAGAACTTTCTCCCTGGATACAGATTCGGGCCGCATGTGTTGCATAATCTCGTTGCAAACTACGCACTTCTTCCATATGTAGCCCTTCGCTGGGCTCAGCATGGTGTAACCAGTACTCTCGAGAAATCTGACCTCGCAATGATTCTCAAATTCCTGAATACGCGAAGTCTCCCAAATGGTGGTAATTTTGGAACCTGGATACAGCTACTTCTACCTGAAGCACAGCCTCATACACTTGCAAACACACAACCCCTATATTACGCAGCTTCCTTTGGTCTTACTCAGGTCGTCAAAGCAATTCTTGCGGCGGATCCCACGCAAAAAATTGATGCCAAAGGTGGCCGGCACAACTCAACTGCACTGTTCATAGCGTGCTACAGAGGATATGCAGAGACTGCCGGGGTCCTTCTTCGCGGTGGCGCAAATCCACGTATTTTAGACGCTTGCGGTGAAAGTCCAATTTCTTGGGCTGAAAGTTACGGGCCATTGGAATTGCGCAAATTGATGCGTGATTGGATCGCTCATAATCCAAGCCGAAGCCTTACAGCATCAGAGACCGTCGTAGCGATGAGGACGCGTCAACTCCCAACGCCTGACTAAGACTCGCAAACTAATATCTCCAAATGCTCAAAAAGAGTAGCAAACTCAGTTCATGTTGAGAGCTGCAGAGAGTTTCGATTGAAATGCGTTATCACGACGGAATGTACGATACTGTCACACTGATATACTTTTATGGGTCATATTTCTTCAAAGTCTCGATAAGCCCATACTTCTTACAGAGGACAGAACACTCTATAAGCACTGCCTTTGTCAGCAATTCCTGGTTCTGGGCCTGAGAACCACGCACAGTTACTTTGACGCACTTTCTGGACGGCCATCCAAGTCAATCAATTAAGGATGAATGATATATAGCCTTTGTTGGTCATCTCACTCACTTGACGGCCCTGAAGGCTAGATATGGCGCTTAAACACGCGCATATACCATGGGAAATTGAACTAGCCAGCCCCTGAGCATCCCCATGTGCCAAATATCCAGCTCGTTATGAGCATAAGTACAGCCGGGATCAAATAGAACCAGATTGCTGGTCTCCATTTCAGTTCAACTTTCCTCTACCACAGGTCGCTATGTATCACTGCAGGTTCAATACTCGGCCCTTCAGCCTGTAAATCAACCAAACAACTTGAGTATCACAAAATCGAGCTGCGTGATTGGAGCTTCGAGCTCTGGCCACCCTCCGTCAATGTCTGTGTCATATCGAATCACATCTTCGAGCTAGCTGATGAAGAACTATGCCCCAAATCTGTTCCGATTTCACAGTACTTTCCATAATACCAATAACTGTTTAGCCAGGGAAGCGAACGTTCTAGCAGGAGACTTACCACGTTCGTGCAACGGCGCAATCTTTTCAGTGAGCTTTGTACACAACATTCGTGCTCTAGAGAAATCATCTGAGTAGACGCTGACAAAGAAGCAAGCTTGACTTTCGTCATCATAGTTACTTGCCCTAGCTGATAGGCTTAGGCGTGAATGTAGGAAATGCTGCCTCTATCGCAGATGCAGAACGAAACTCTTCCTCAGCTAAGGGCCGAGCTTCTCTTCCGGTCCAACACTGCCAATGGTTAGAAGAACTGCGGGTTGCAACTTAGATGGGATGAGGTCAGCTCAACTTCGAAAACACTTTTCTCTGCCCTGTCCCATCTGTGGTGTTGCATGCGACTTTGGCCCCGGTCCAGGCTGAGATTTCCTACGACTCGGCAGATATGACGGTAGACCTTCGAGCAGGCATGGTAAGTTGGGTCGAAAAACTGCAAACACACCCCGGTAATAGCCTAGCCTTCATGTACAGCAATGTGCACCGGTTATTTGCTCTAAACACCAAGCAAATAATTGACTGAGCGTGACATGCTTCGATACAGGGTTCCTGTGTCGGACGTACAAACTGGGTGATGGCTAAGTTTACGCGCATTAATATCTGAGCAGCGTGCTGAAGCTTTGTCAAAGGACATAACACTGTGTATATGTTTGCGGCGCTTAGATCGTGTAGTGCGGGTCGTGCTGTGTATTATACTCACGTAAATTGTGATATATTACCACATCATGCTGTAAGCAACTGCACTCATCACGTTACTGGTGTGTTCGGCTAGACTGACTCGTCTTACAATTGGAATCCATCTATTCGTGGCCTCGAAACAGGCAAGCATCTTTTCCCGGCCAACTACTACGCTCCTGAGTGCTGACGCAACGGCACACTCATGCGAAATAGAGATGTCACTGACTCTACACAATCAACTATTCTTTCAACTCCATCTCTATGGCTTACATCCATGTCTTTAAGTCTGCGAACGAGGAAGTCGCGGGCGTCTGCGCCGACTCGGAGGGTCAAGACTGGTTGTAAGACATGCAAGTAGGTTTACATTTCACTTTCCTTCGAAGAAGACTATTGCACCACAACGTCAGAGACCGAGTATGGGCTAATCACATCCGATTCTTCTGACCAATACATTTGTAGAGCTCGACGTGTCAAATGTGATGAAACCAAACCCAGTTGTATGAAGTATGGCGAGCCACCCCAATCACGATGCTAATGCTGATGCTGCCGGTGTAGATGTACCATTTCCGGTCGTGAATGTAACGGCTACGATGTCCTGAAGACATGTCGACATGAGTTTGCCGAGTACGCAACGAAGTACTCTATCAGTCATGTGCATGCTCCAGAACGACAGGTGCAATCACTGGGAGGAGGGAATAATGCCCATTTCTTGGAGCTCTATTACCATTGTGTTTCCAAAGCTATTTCCGGACCATTCAACCACGACTTCTGGTACTGCCTATCACTTCAAATGGCCCACGCGGAACCAGCAGTACGACATGCCATTATTGCACTGACATGTCTCTACAGATCGGATTCTGTGAGGACGAAGCACGCACGAACAGGTCTTCAAGACACTAGCGAAGCACAAAGACAATTACTCATCCACTACAACAAGTCGATTCGTCATCTCATATTGCGCATGAGCGAAGCATCTTACTCCCCTGATATCGGTCTTGCAACTTGCATTCTTTTCATCTGTATCGAATTCTTTCGTGGTGAATACAAAACCGCCTTTGCGCACCTCATGTCCGGCCTCAAAGTCATCTCCATCCTATCTCCTACCCCTCCCACGGATATACCCACCATTGGGGCATACCACCGCGCCCTTGTCACTCGCAACACTAAGGTTGACGTCCGTCTGGCAAGCTTCTTTCCCCGACTCATTACTCTCGCCCTCGTCTACGGCGCGCCCGTAGAACATGCAACCTACATCGCCGCGCCCTCTCCATTCAAAGACGCGCACCCCTCCATCTTCAGAACCCTCCCGGAAGCGCGTCTCGCATTGCATGAAGTGGAGAACATAGCACTCTTCTATGAGCGTGAGCTCCAGCACAACCGCTCCCGCGGCATCGAAGTCCCCGACGCTGACGTCGAGTATAACATGCGCCTCCTGCTCGATCAGCACGAGCACTGGATGGCCAGCTTTGAACTCTTCCTTACACGTATCGCCGGCACAACTACGCCTAAAGATACTGTCTTCGTGTATCTCGTGCGCATGGCTTACTGGTGCACATACATCTCAATCGCGAACATGCTCGACCAGGACATGACAGGCGTCGACGCATATAGACGCAATTTCAGACCATCGTACAGTGTGTGGGCGCTGTCCTTGCTGCATCTGGGTTCCTGGTCGCAGAGCCGGAATGTCTGGAATCAAGCTTGGCCTCGCAGCATGGACACGGCCAGGGCTCAGAACACACTGCAGAGAATCTCACTCTCGAGCTCAGTATCATACCTTGCCTCTATTTCGTGGCGTATAGATGCCGTTGTCCTGTCACCCGGCGCGCAGCAATCAACTATCTCTCTTTACCTGGCATTCCTCGCGAGGGAATGTGGGATCCGGAGCAGTATGCGATCGTCGCAAGGCGCACGTTATAGATTGAGGAGGCGGAGGTTGATGAGCGCGGGTGGCCGCTTGCGAGGACGAGGCTGTGGAGTGCGATTGTGATAGGAAGTAATTTGAACTGGAGGTTTTCAGCGCGGATGACGGCAGGAAGGGGGTTTGCTGGAGACATCCGAGCGGGCAAGACGGAACGGTTTGGTGCTGGTGTGGGGGAAGGTCTGGCTTGGGAGGAGTGGTTTGTCTGTGATTGACTGTACGTGTGTTACGGTGTGTATATTCAGCTCTGAAATTATACAAAAGCTCCGCCCAAACGCCTCTATACCCGTCCATTCTTTCTCTATCATCTCCTGTTCCCTCTAATGGCTCTCCCTCATCCTTCTGTCCATAGCTGCTTTCGTTCTCATGCCAGCCTCTCGCGCTAGCATGTCCACGTTTTGTTCCCGTACTTCTCTCATGTAGTTTGCCTGGTTCGCGTCTGGTCTGTAGTATGACGTCTGGTCGCTTGGAGGGTCGACGATTGACGATATGGCACATCCAGCGGCTGTGACGCCACCAGCACCGACAAGGACAGCAATGACGATCCCGAATTGAGCGGCGACCGAGGACATCTTGGTGGAGGTTACCTGCTGACGTCTCGATATTATGTAGTATTCGTGGCAAAGAATGGCCGGCTCAGGCTAAAGTAGGACGGGCTAATTTCGAGCAAGGGTATTATGGACTGTTTCCGTCGAGAAGATGTGCTGAGTATAGTTGTACTTTGTTCGGTGGTGTTTGGTTCGTGCGCGTGGTCTCGTGTGCTATGCTGCTTTTTTCTAGAGATGGTGGTTCGCGTTTTATGAATACTGGGGCTACGCAATCTGGTCCGCGGTGCGAATATTTGATGAGCTGATATAATAGAGATGCAATATCGAAATTTCACAGAACGGGAAAGTTTGGTAGAGCACAGTGACCACCAAATCGTCAGATCAGAAAGAGCGTGAGGCCACAAATATATAAAGAAGGAATGCATCATCAGGAAGCGGCCGCGACTGTCTTACAACATTTACATCTTCCATTTCGCACTACATAAATCCCATCCATCTGCGCTCGTCACAGATATCCCTGAAGCCCGGTTCAGTCTCACCCGCTCTCACCACTATACCCCATTTTTATCTCTGTACGAGCCCTGTACGAACCAATCGCTGCGCCCCTCGTATCCATCACGTGTAACGCCAAGCTACAAGAAAGCCAAAACAAAGTTCAGCCCCTGTCGGTACGACCCATACGAGCCAATCACCGAGACGCTCGCATACGTCACGTGCAGCTTATGGCTTGCTCACACTACTAGAGATAGATCTGGCTTAGTCGAAATACTCAAATTTACTTACTTAGGATTAGCGCGTATGTGCCTTATAATTACAAGGAGCGGGGGCGTACGTACGCAATAGTTTTGGGTCTATTTCGAGAGTGCGGAATTGATTTGGATTTGAAGTGATGCTGAGAAAATGTGCGCAGGACGGACGTTTCACACAACAAAGGAAACCGCCTCCTGTGCGCGAGAAGATGCGATTATTCTTGCTGCGAATATTCAGGGTGCGAGACCACAATTTCTGCAAGAATATTCACAGTCCCTGCAGCGTGATCTATCCATCTAAGTGGAGAACCATCGCATACTAGTCACCCAGAGTTACCTTGATCGTAGACTTGGGGTGAGCAGGCTCCCTACATACGTCACTCAGAGAATCACACCACGAAAGACTCTTGAGAATCAGTACGCGTAGCTCTCACTGAAGGCTGTTGTTCGACAGATGACGCTCTGTAGCAAACAATGAAGCATGGCCAAGATGTGCCTTCTCGTATTCACATCTTATTCACTCCGTACACTCATTAGACATCATTCCGTAGAACACAAAGTATAATATGATATATCATATATGAGCTGCTGACTGGAAGCCAGAATCCCACGATAACAGAGTCAGATCATCGGAGACTATGAACGAGCAGGAGAGTTCAGCAGCAACGCTTAACGCCAATGAACAGGAGGTGGAGCAGTGGCTCTCTGATTTTTCTTTTGAACTTAACGCGAAGATACTTCGAAATTTGACACCATCGGTTTTGAGATGGGTGTTGGAGTTCATGACGACTCCCACGGCACCTCCCGAGAGCACAGCTCCTGTTGCAGGTTGGAGTCGTCCTCGAAAACATCTCATCAGTGCTTCAGAGCTTCTCCGAGATCCAGATATTGTGACACTTATAGCTCGATTTTCCACGTTCTCGGAAGCGCTCACTGCTATAGAAGACAGTCATCTCGTCTTTCAGGCCCTGCGAGATCATCGAAATCATGCAGCGGGCCTACTCTGTTTCCTACAACCCCGACAGTTCAACTTTGATCTTGGGCGGCTTACTGTGCAGCAATACCTGCATCTAGCCAAACAACACGGCGAGCCTGTGCCAGCGGCCGATATCTATATCAACCCTTTACTTATGCAGCTCATGCAACGCATGCGGCAGCTGCCGTTCTTTTCCGACGTAGATACTGTTGCGCTACAGAAATTTGCCAATAGGCCAGCTGGCAGATGGAAGTTCATGTTCTGTACCAACCCTCCGTGTCAGAAGATACAGCTCCTGATTCCTCTTCGACGAGCATGGCCGCCGAATGTTTCTAGTCGCACGTCCACTGACGTAGGACCACCAGGCAAGTACTTCTTGCGAACCCAACAGCGATCACTGGAATTCTTCTGTCTTGCTAATGATCAGGACTATATTCTGGAGGAACTGACTATACTTGATGGGCATTTCACTCTGGAGCGGCTTCAAAAGGACGTTCAGCGCATCTTCTCAAATTGCGTAGCCTTGGATGTGCATTCGACAGAGCTGGCTAAGATTCTCTTCTGCGAGTTTGCACCGTACGCTTTGAATCAAGATCCTGTGGCGAGACCTGATCTGGAGACTTATGTATTGGTTAACACGGATAATACGATTAGGCTGGCAATGGATGACGACGCTCTGTTGGTATACCGCATTCGTGAAATGGTATGGAGAGATTGGGTAGGAGAGCGACGTGTAGTTCGATATCAGAGACCAAGGCATACTCTCACATAGATAGCATTGTAATCTTATTCTCGATGACTTCTTTTCATTCGCGATTTTGGAAGTGTCTTACATTCTAAAGTGCTCAATTTGCTTGCATAAGTCTATCGATATACTCCACTATTATATATGACACTTACATCCGGCTCTTGTAATTTATATTTCGCAGTATACGTTGATAAACTACGTGAATTCGACCTTGAAGTAGGAGGCAGTGACACTTGCTCTAGGAACAGAGGACGTCATGTACTCTATCATGCCCCTTAAAAGGAAAAAACCCAAGACCAATGTGAGGTTTCATTATGCAAGAGAGGAATATGATTCATAGATCTATCACTGGGTCACCAGGCCATTGTTATGATACTTTGGCTTTTGATGAACCGCTTTCTCTGTGCATGATATGACTTTAAACTCATGTCATTTAATGAGCGCTTTCATAGTGTCAGAATTGTAACCATATTGCATCCATCTGCCTTTGTATGATATGTGTTCTATTCTACATATATATGATGAGCACTTTCAGCACGTGACATGTCTTGAGTTTCTCTCCGTTCAGGACGATCTTTAGATCTTACTTCTCTTCTTACTTTCTACAACCCGCATGACCTGTGTCGCAAATGCCAGAACCTCACCTCTGTCATTCTGCACCCAAGTATTGTAGTCCGCGACACCATTTCTTACGCCTGCAGTGCTTGTCCGACACAACACCCATTCCAGTCCCTCTGCTGGCAAAGGCCGCTTGATCTCAACAGTCATAGTCAGTGTCGCAAGCCACTTCGACATTGCGACCTCCGAAAGCACCGGTACGTACGGCATATCGGCAAGCCAAGGAATCTGAAAGGCGGAGAAATTACCCGGATTATATTTCCGCGACGGCGTAAAGTAGCGCGAGAGTGACGATTGAGACTCGGCGGAGTCTCGCACCACATACATGTCTGCATATGAGATGCTGGGAACATCGAATTGAGCGGCGTATTCAGGTGCGTATTTCCAGTTCGGGTCCTTGTTTGCGTGCATTTCCGCGCTGGAGCCTCTTGGCGGCACTTTCTCTAGCGTGTCAAAGTACCCGGTGTCTGCGCTCACGCCTTCAAGTGTGTCGAAGTTGCCTTGAAGGATGTAGGCCGCGACGCTTTCCTTGCCTGATGATGCTGCAAGGGAGAGGTGGATCACGCTCGTGCCGCGTGAGATCTTGGTATCGGTAATACTGATCGTAACGCGGCCGACGGGCGTGGGCCGGAGGAGCGAGGCATGTATGCTAATGGTATGTGGTTGGGAGAGGGAGGCGTGTGTGGTCGTAAAGTGATGATGAGCAGCGCGGAGCAGGAGAGACAGGAGATAGCCACCTTGCGAGATACCTTTGACGCTGTACGTCTCTGGAACGAGACCCGAGTAGGTGTGTGTGGTGAGTTGGGTAGTGGCCGTGGCTTCGAGGAAGTTTGTCGATTCGGCCATTGTGATCTGTGACGTGTCGTTGTGTGGCTCAGGATGAACTTGGGCTCTCAGCTCAAAGTAAAGGCTACGTGCCTGTGAGTAACGAGAAGATAGACCAGATTTCTTCACAGCTTTCAGCAACAACTCATGACAAGACAGTCCAGTCCGAATTGTTACACGAACTCGTTACGCGTGCTCACCCCTTGCGTCGTGCACAGCAACCGAGACGTCTCGGAAAGGGTGAGAACTTCTTGAAAGCAAATGATGGCATTGACTTGTTAGAAATGGCCTCTGACTCTCGGAGACCTCGGTTCTTCAAGCAGATCCTTGTTGTCGCCCCACGACGTTCGAGCCATTTCAATAAGGTTTAGCTCCGGCGCGGCTCTATATTCGTGGTGAACAGGGGTTCGCCGGCACTAGAAGGACAAGGGTCGTGGGCCGTTCCGTGACAGGTATATACTAGGCCAAATATGCCGATTACACCATCGACCTCTGTTACTCCGAACGTGGCGAAACATACGATCATTTGAGGCCCACGTATCGGGGAAGTTTGTTGTGAGATATTCCAGAGCACGGCTGGAGTAAAGACTACCATAGGACTGTTAGATGAGTTGCAAGAACTTCATACCTCTTCAAATAGATATCCGCTTATAAACATGCAATATCTGGCTCAATGCTTCCTTAACCTCACTGATATTCAAGCCACTCGTGCAGAACCTTATCTTCTGCGTAGAGCGTACTGTCTATTATCCATCTCAGGTTATCGCTCCGTGCGCCCGGTAGCAACATACTCGTCTTGTACCCTTCACCCTCGAAGGTTTGGCGCATACATAGACCAGTAGCCAAATTCATTGCGACGACAAATTTCTCCACGTGCGCTTCGTCGCCCTGTTTCGTCCCCAAGGATGATCGTACATTGCGAATGCTGGTAATGTAGTGTATGAATGCAGCGAGCTTCTGTGGTGGAAACTACCGCTACTACGCGTTATGGGTCAGCAGGTAATATACGGGCGCTGCAAAGCTGCGCGTCGAAATGCAAACTTGAATAGCGACGAGGCAGCTATTGGCGAGGTGGTCAAGGAAAATTTGGCGGACGAAACCATGGGTTAGTATCTTCTCGGTCTGAGTGAAGTAGCCTCGTTTGACATGGCAAGCAAATTAGAGTGCATGACTGTCACGCTGAATGTATGTTCCCTTGCTCCTTAGTATAGCGCCGTCCTACTCTGAGGGCCGGCTTTAATAAGAAGCAGGTACGCATCATGTAAAGATCGCAGGTAAGAGATAAAAGGAAGTAAGACGAATTAATGGATGTAATCAAGGAAAACACAGAGTCGAAGAAAGGCTTGATGGAAGTGAATGGGACTTGGACGATTGCGAGGGTTACGATAGACGCGGAATGAGCAAGATTGGACAGTATTGTACAAGGAAAACGTGAGGGGTAATGACTGCCCGATTGAGACTAGTGTCTCTCCGGTTAAATAGTTTCCGACCGAGTTTCTTGGACTTTGTTCTCGACACACTCCATAACACAATACGTTTGAATGCCCTCAATTACTTCAAAATCACTCGAATAAGTATAAGCGAACAGGAAGCGCGCTAACGAGGTATTGAATGATCCAAATGTAAGAGATGATATGAGACAGAGAAACACAAAACAAGGAGTCCTGCTCAGGGAATAAGACCATAAGGCAACTAAAGACGCGTCTGATTTGTTGTAACATATCACTCGTCCTAGTATAATCATTTTTCTCAGATATAGATATCTGCACAGGCATTAGAACATCTGCGTACGGCGTAGATGTTGACTATGCGGTTAGCATTATTACGTTGATCCTTGGTGCGGTAGGTGTATGGCAGCAGGCAGGGCGTTCAAGTAGAAACCCCACGACTGAAGTCGCCTCGTAGGAAAGAGGCAATCTGTCCCAAGGTGAGTCGCCTCAGCAAGAGCAGTAAGGTGACGATTATTACCGAGATCACTATGGGCTATACCAGTATTGTCCGCTGCAGGAGATGGCGTTTAGTGATGCACTGCAGTAACTAGCCGGTCGAAGTTTGAGGGGGTGAAGCGCTAGTATATCGACGATTTTGCCGAATTTTTATACGAAAGATCTAGGTTGAAGGCCTATCCGCAAGATAAGTGTCAGTCACTTGAGTCGATGCACCCAAGGCTGCACGCATTTTCGAAGGCGAGGAGGCCCTTTGGCCTGATAGCCGTATGGCGTTCTACGCGGGCTGGTTTATTATGGGTAGAGCCGCCCGCTTTATTAACGTGTGCACTGGCGGGGCCGACTATCCAGGAATGCGGGTAAGCCCAAGAGTGCCAATCAAGGGGCCGCAAGGAACGCCAGGCTCCCGTCACACTGCTCGTAAGGAGGGTTTCTCAAGCGTCCAGTGTATAAATGCGTATTTGTGCGTATTTATACGTACAAAATGTGACGTGTACATGTATAAAATATAACATCTACGTATAGAATATAATATATAGACTAAGTAGATTAGTAGATCTAAACACTCTATATAATTTTATATAGGGCGTTCGGATTAAGGGATACCCGAGACTTACTAAGTATATACTATAATAATAATAATAATAATATTATATAACTAGGTAGAGTAGTACTCTATAGGCCTATACCTTCTCTAGTCTAAGCCACTATATAAGAAGAAACCCTATAGGGAAAAACTTCCTTATATCTATAACTATATCTCGTTAAACCTCTATTTTATCTTAAGTATATAGCTATAGGGTATACCTATTAGCCTATAGCCTATATTACTATTATTTTACCCTTAGGTAGCACGTATAGATATAGAGATTATTAGTTAAGGGCTACCCTTAACTAATAATCGGGGTTCTCCCGGGGTTCTTCTAGTATATATCGGGTTACTACCGGCGTATACCGGGTCTCTTCCGGTATATATTTCTGGGTCTACTAGTACTAGAGGAGTAGTAGATATATAAGTATCTATTAGGAGATGTTCTTAGGGTACTTATTAAGCTATTATACGATATCTAAAGTCTTTATAATATAGATAAGCTATTACTATTATATATAGAGGTTAGAGTATATAGCTAGATAGTAGCGTATTATACCTCTCCGGCTATATACCTTATACTATAGGGAGGTATTAGGAACGCCTCTCTTATAGATGTAGTATAGAAGTTCTATAGCGCCCGTTCGGGCTTAGATAAGTATAGATACTTAGGCTTTCGTTAGCCCTTTATATATCTATTTACTTAGTTCCTTCTATAGCCCTTAAATCTACTCTAGGTACCTATTCTATTAGAAGGTCTAGTAGATATAGAGTGTCTCTTTCTACTTATCTTAAGTCTACGACCGTATATTTTTTACGAGTTCTTAAAGACTCTACTAGTCTAGAAGAGCGTCTAGGTTATCTCGGACTTCTTATACTACTTAGCTAGAGTTAGCTTCTATTAAGCACCTATACCGTATTTAATTCCGGCCTATATATAGGAGTGCGCGGTAATATATACTAATTTATATATATAGCGCGGCGAAAGTATATTCTACGTTTTCTATATATTTCTATACTTATTATTTAGTAAAGTATACTACCCTCTATATCTAGTAGAAGTTATATATACTTATAACGTCTATCTCGCGTCGTAGTAGTACCATATTAGTAGCTTTATATACGCCTAATATAAGACGGAGTATACGGTTCTATATAGATTCGAGCTTTATTTATCTAGTCTATATAAGGGCCGTATACTAGTACTTATGTCCGTATATAAAGGCGGGTCGTACTATAGATATATATAGCTAGCGTGCCTTATCCTAGGTAGTTCCCTACGTGGAGGCTATAATCTATTATATAGCGGCTTCTATCTAGAGGGCCCTAGAGACGGTATATACTACTTATAGTCCCTATTTAAGCTTGCTATCTAGTATAACTCCGAGCGCGCGTATACTTTATACTAGTAGTTTATTAAATACGTCGATTCGGGGGCGTCGTTCGCCTTCCCTAATTACCTATTTCTCTTAATAATTAATAAAGTGTATAAGCTAGTATTTCTCTAGGGCGAACTTTACTCTATGGCGTTTTACCTACTAGAGGTACCTCTTGTAGTCCTATTCTAGTCGTCTATACGTTCGGTTAGTATTATTATTAATAGCTAGAAGGTATATATTATTAGCGTATCCGACTACCTCTATATACTTTATTTCTTAAAGAAGGTCTACTATAAAGAAGAGGAATAGAATCGGAGAGATAGTACTCCCTTATGGGATGCCGTATACCATCTCTTTATATTTACTCTAGTACCTAGGGATATATATCTAAGTTATTCTTCCTATGAGGAATAACTATATAAAGCGTATAATCTATTCTAGTATTCGTCTTATCCGGAGGTTATAAATAAGTCTTATATAGTTTACCTTATTAAATGCTCCGGCTATATCGAGGGAGAGGAGCGATACTACCCGTCCCTATTTCTATGCGGCCTAGACGACTTTAATAATATATTAGATAGCTATTATTAGGGAGCTATCTATCTTTACCTTCTAGTTCGGAGGGAGGAGATTATATTCCTATACCGCGGTACTTATCTTCTTTACTATTATAGCCTCTAGTATCTTATCTAGGTAGAAGAGAAGGGCGATTAGTCTCTATCCCTTTAGGGAGTTAGGGCTCTTTTCTAGTTTCGGGAGTATAATAGTATAGGCGACTCGGAAGCTCTAGGGGTGGTACCCCTACGTGATGTATACTTAGAATATATAAGTAATAAGTAGTAGAGTTGCTTTTATAGTACTTTTTAGGTATTAATTTAGAATTCTATCTAGTCCGGGTACTTTATCATTTAGAAGTATCTTAATAATATTAAGTATATCCTCCTCCGTAACTTCTTTAGGGATATCTACCGCGTGTAGATATTCGGCGCCGTGAATATCTAATAGGTCTACTAGTTCCGGGAGAGGGAACATGGCCTCCTATAGGGCCTTAGTTTTCTTAAGGCCCGTGGAGTATATTCTCCTCTAATATATTAGGGGAGGTATAAGTAGCGGGGGTGTCGGAGTGTCTACGCCCTTAGCCTATTTCGCCATGTACTATAGCTCTATTACGTATCATATCTATTAACTAGTAATTATACGCTACTATTTACGCCTTTTATTACGGAGGACTTTATCGCGTTATTATATTACTTCCTTCTATTCTTTCTACGACTCGGGTGTTCTCGTATAGTATACGCGTCTATATAGCCTTTAGACGTCTTATCTACTTTCCTATACTTAAGGAATCCCCTTTACTTCTAGGGGCCGGTATATTCGGTATAGTACGTGTTTATTTCTTATATTCTAGTATATTTATAGGAGTATCTATACGGCCTGGTCTATAGCTAGATCGTTAGATATATTAACTATAGAGGGATCTAGAATCGCCGATTCTAGGTCCTTTAGGTACTTTTCCTAGTTAGTGTCCTTCTATATCTATCGTCCCTATTATTTATTCGGGGTATATATATTTATTATGGTTTCCATGTATTCGTGGTCGGAATCCGTCTATACCTAGCCTAGGCGGTAGTATTGGATCCGGTAACTAATATACTCTATAGTAAAGGTAAGGTTAAGCATGGACCCGTCTTCGTCCTATTTATATTTTTTCTATATAACTTATTCTATAGGTATAAGTAGGTATAGAAAGTCGTAGTAGCGGGTGCGTAGTTCCCTTACTCTAAGTTCTTCCCTAACTATGGCTAGGCCTCCCTACTATTAGTAGTAGAGGTTAAAGTCTTCTAGGAGGATATATTATCCTAGTTCCGTAGTACCCTCGAGTATCTCGTCTAGTATAAGTATACGTTATTAGTTATATATATTATATATATAGGGGGCCTATATCTATTTATAGGTGTAGTGTTATCCTAAGGTTATCGCGCTCGGTATATAACTATAATAAGAGTCGTATTAACCTATAAATGTGGAAGAGGACTCGTCTTTCTAGTCCTAGAGGGTGTATAGTATAGTATCCGGGGTGTGTGGTTGGTTTACTCGTCTAGTAGTGTTTATAGGGTTCCTAGATAGCGAGTATTATAGCCCCGGTCTCTTCGAGGAGCGTTACCTAGTTCTCTCTTTTATATTATATATTTACCTATATAATTTAGAGTATATTCTAGTCCCTTATTAGGTACTAGAGAGTATATATACCTATATACTTATTCCTTAGAGGCGCGACTATCCTCGCGCGGTAGCGGCTTTAACTATACCTTTTAGTCGTTCTATCGTCTTTAGAATAGTCTACTATCCCGCCTAACTACCTTCCGGAGGGGAGGTTAGGGGTGTTATAAAGGAAGGGCTTGTGGTAGGTATTATATTCTATAACTATCTCGTGTCTCTCGCTTTTATCGTGCGAATGTATTCTATAACCTATTTATATTTTATACACGTTAACGACCACGACGGGTATTTCCCATCGTAGTTTAAACACTATACTATGTCTCTATTTCTTGGTCCGTCTCCTTATGGTTTATAAGGGTACTCCTAGGTAGCGTGGTCCCCACGGTACTATCCGCACTTAGTCTTCTATAAGTACCTTTATATAGTGTGTCTATACCCTTAATAGTTAAAGCACTATATTATTATCTATGTTCTATCCTATAGCTCGGCTATAAGGAGCTCTCCTTCTATTAGGAATCCCTTCTATATAATATATTATATAAGGGCGGGGTCTTAGAGCTCTATAATTATAGTAGAGTATTTTTTCGCCGTCGTCTTAATCGCCTATAGGTTCTTCTACCACGCTTTTACGATCTTAATCCCTAG